AAATTCAAATAATATAACTTACTACTACAGAGAACTATAGAAGTATATAACGAAGTCACATGATAATAATAGATCGAAAAGATCAATGATCTATTTGTATAGTGAATTATAAAGATTATTGATTTACTATAATCTAGAAGTAGAAAAGTTCTATATAAATAATATAGTTTCTTCACTAAGATAAAAGCTTCGTACTTAATTTGATTCTTAAATATCAATTATAACAGTTTACTTTGATTATATTTGACTCTTTCTGTAATTCACTCACTTTGATATTACTTACAGATTATTAAAAGAGATCATTGTATTACTTCGTTATATAAACGAAATAGAATACTTCTGATAAAATTCCTTGCCGGAAGAATATTAGAACTGTTATATATAAATTATAAAAAAAGTTTAAATTCAAAAATAAAATAATTTACTAACTAGTTTAGAAGTATAAAACGATATAAATAATTCTATTTAAATATAAGACTATCTTCTTTTAAATAAAATATATAAAACTCTAAAATTCTAAAACTATACTAATAATATTTAGAAACTAAATATAAATATAATACAAATATAAGTCTAATATTTATATAAGATTAGAAATAATAGTCGATATAATTTATATTATTCAGATAATAAATATATATAAAACGAATTAAAAACAAATTCTAATTAATATTTTACTAGAATGTAAATATCTAGATATATTTATAAATAATTGGGAAAAGTCTAACTATAAAATTATCTAATATTTTATTTAGTTAGAAGACAACTAACTGTTTAGTTTTATTATTATTTCTTTAATATTTTTCTTTTCTAGTATTTGGAATTTTAGTTTTTATTATTATATATATATTTAATATATATTTTACAACTAATTAAAAGATAATTCTATTTATTTACTAAAAAGTATAAATAATATCTCAATATTAAGTAGTTTATTCTCAAACTTTCTAGCTTGAAGCTATTTAATCTTTACTTCTACTTCTAGTTACTAGATTTGAAAGTTATTTATTTTTGTTTTATAATATTCGCGTACTACTTTTATTTATTTCTCAAGTTCTTATTCTTTTTATTTCTTCTTCGTTTCTTAATTGACTTCTTTATAATTATTAGACTTTGTTAATCTATTTTAAACTAACTTCTTTCTTATATACTTTATATACTTTGTCTTTCTACTACTTAATACTATTAGCTATAGTTTATATATTTCTAAAACTTAATCAGAATTATTAAAATCTGTTGAAAAAGTTATAAACTTGAACTACTTTTTCTCTAATCTTTCTATATATTTATTAGTATATAGACTAAAGTTATTTTATAAACGAATTCAAGTTAATTTAATAATCGTTTAATATAATTCTATTTATTAATTTTATTGTAGATTATATTTACAAAATTTAGAAAAATATATAAAAACTGAATATTATAACGTTTATATTAATTAATATATTCTATTAGCTTTTTGTCTAAGTTGATATTCCTAATATATAATTAGAAAACGATTCGAATTTAATTATAAAGTATATATTTTAGAATTACTAGTAAAAGTACTTACTTTTTCCTAGTTCGATTTAATATCGATATTAACGAATCAAGAAACTAGTTTATTCGAATATAGTTATTCTAAACGTTTTTATTCTTTTTCTAAAAGAGAAGATTAAAACTTAACTTAATCTATAGAACTCGTTTATGAACTATATATACTATTTCATTAAAGTTATAAGAATAAGAATTAGAAATAATATATAAAACGAATTATATATAAATATAACTTAAAAAGAAAGTACTTATAAATTCTTATTAACTTTATCTAGAATTATATTAAATATTTCTTCGTTATTAACGTTCAATAACTTATATATAACCTCGCTCTATATAGAACTAGATAGAAAGTATATTTCAAGACTACAGAAGAAATAAGTTATATAGTAAATAAAAGTCTATTCGACGTACTACTACTAAAGTCTCTTTAGGAATTCAAGATTAATTGTCTAAAAATAAAGACTTAATACTAAAACAATTAGTAAATATTTAATAAATATTTACTAAGTATTTAATAAATGTTTGAGAAGTAATTAAAAAACTTACTATAAACTTAAGTAGAATATATATCTACTATAATAGTTTTAATACTCTAGCTATATATATAATACTACTATAGTTCTTTTCTAAACTCAGTTTGCGAAAGTATATTATCTACTACTAAGAAGAATTCTATAAATACTTTATAGTATACTTAGATTGACTATTTATTAGTATAAATTCGACTAAAATATATTATTTAAATAATTAGATAATAGTTATAAAACGTTTATAGAGTATTTACTTATACTATTGAAACTTTTATATAAACTGTTTAATAAGAATTTCATTAAACTACCTATAAACTTGTTTATATAATATGTCGATTTATATAATATTATAAATAACTATATATTCGATTTACTTTGTAAATATACAGGAAATAATTCTAATATCGCTATTATATACTATATTCCGAATATATAAGATCTTCTTACTTTGACTTTAGTAATACGAGATATAATAACTCTAAATATTTATATATATTTAGAAAATATTAAAAAAATATTTATAGAAAATTAACTTTCTTAGTTAGTATTATCTAGATATTGTAAGTAGATCTACGTTTGACGTAGAACTGTAAACTGACTAATATTAAATAGTATAAAATCAAGAATATAAATATCAATATATAGATCTTTCTTCTTGAAGTCTATATATAGACTAAATAACTGATAGTTATTAAGTAGAATAATATAAATAAGAGTTTTTTAAAATAGTTAATAAACGTCTCAAAAACAGAAATAAAGTATATTATATATTTACTATAACTCCGACTTTAATATATTTCTAGATTTCTTTAATAATAAGTTCGCTAATTTCTTGGGAAGTTTGATTAAGAAGAAGAAAGTTATAAGAATAAATTCTATATAAGAAAAATAGAATAATTAGTATTTTCTTTAAATCGACTAGAATTAATATATTGAACTTAACTGAATATAGAATCTTCTTTATTAGCTAGGAACTTTGATTATATAGAATTTCTATAAATATTATTAATATTTAATAATTATTTAATAAATATTTAATAAATATTTGAAAAATATTTGAAGAATATTTATATAATACTAGATATATACTATAAAGACGTCTTTGTGATATTTGAGAGAACGTGCAAAAATACTTCTTTTATACTTTATTATAACTATATTCTAATAGTTAAACTAAATATATAAAATATATATAAACGTTAGTAAAAATAGAGTAATAGTAGTAGTACACTTTCTTTATATATGTCATTTAATTGTAAATAATATAATACTTTTTATTTCTATTTAAATCTTATTAATTAAATAATTAATAAATGTTTTATAATTATTTAGAAAGATTATACTTTATATTCAGATTTTTATATAACAAATAAATTACTACAAAGTCGACTAAATCCAATATTATTATAGTAACTTGAAAATAAACAACTGTTCTAGTATAAACTCTTGAAATCCTATATAACTATATTATATAAACTATATAATTAGAAAATAATTTCAAAGTAGAAAGTAAATACTTTATTCAAGAGTTAGTTTATATATATTAAAGAGTAATATTCCTTTATAAATAGCCGTTGTATAGTAGATATTCGCTCTACTTTTCTATCCCAAATATCTATATTCTATTTTGTATATAAATCTAAAAAAGACTTATAATAATAAATATATACTTTAACTCCTAAATAGTAAAATATAGTTCGAATATATAAAATATTATTTAGGAATTCGAATCGAGTTAATTTATTATATAATTAATATATTGATAAATAATTATACTAGACTTATATAATATTAATATTTATATATTTTGTAAATAATTTCTATATAATTTATATTATATATTAATATTTTAATTGTTAGATCTAATAATTCTAAATACTTAAAAGTAGAGAAATAATAATTTATACTAGACTTTAATATTTTTAGATACTAAAATAAACAAATACTATAGAAAAGTTCAGAAACTCGTAATCTATCTAAACTAAAATTAGTAAAGATTTTTGGGATATTTTCATTATTTTATATAAAAGTAGTAAACTCCTATAAATATTTAGTAAGTATTTAGTAAATATTTAGTAAATATTTAGTAAATATATATATATAGAGAATGAATTATCTAGAAATAACAGAATATCTAAAAGGAGAATAATAAGATATTTCGTTTTAGTTTTTTAGTAAAAATATTATTTATTATTTAAAGAGAGATTTGAATTATAGAGAAGTTCTTCAAATATAAAAGTAATAATATTCGATATAGTTAGAAATTAAAACTTTATATAAAAAAAGTTAATTATATAATAGAGATTAATAGTATATATAATAGATAAAAGTATATTTAATATAAAACTTTAATTACTTTTGTCGCGAAATATATATATTAATTATATATAGTTATTCTGAAGTTAAATAATATTAATTTCACTTTTCTTAAATTACTGAATTTCGAATATAAATCTTTTTTAAAATACTTAATAAATATTATTCAAATATTATTCAAATATTATTTAAATATTCTTTTAGAAAGTTATCTCAGGTTTTTATTTATACAGCTATTAACTAGGGTACTTCTACTAGTAGGACTACTATGTTAGAGTTCGACTAAGCACGCCCGGGTTTAAATCTAGGGGGCTGGCCAGCTACTGTGCGCGTTTAGGTGCAAAGCTCGTATAGCCTATAGCTAGACCCTGTGTAGTCCTTGTTAAAGGCCATTCCAGCTGCTGTGACCGGTCATACCAACTACGCTCTGTGACGTTTATTGACACATGCGACACAGGTACCGAGTCCCGTGATCACACCTAAGCCCAGATGATCCGCTCGGTCGCCAGCCAGCCTTGTACTTCCTTCGTATGCAGCCTGAATCCCTGATACTTATGACATTTCAGCCCTGCGTTAACATCAAAATGTTAAACAGGCACGACGCAACACTTTAGGATGTCTGCACCGCAGATCCCAAATCTACTCGGTTTGCGCGGCGGACCGCGATCCAGGGGCAGCCGCGGAAGAGGGCGCGGCCGTGGCGGTGGTTCAGAACTGGTGACACCGTCCCAACAACGCAAGGATCTCGACATCCAGTCCACCGACACAGACGCCGCAGTGTCTCGTCTCAGCGCGGTTTCCTTGGGATATCTTGACGATCCATTTGCCTCGTACTTTGTCACCGGGCCGGGCACCCGCCGATTGCCAATTATCAATCGTGGTACGTCTGCTTCGTAGGCAGTGTAGGCTTCTCAGCCATCCCCCTCGCTCACAAGCCCCACACCACATAGGAACCTACACTCGAACTACCGCCCTTGATATCCTGATTAATGCCTTCCTCGCCCCCCACGATGCCAGCCACCCAGAAAGCCAAAGCCCTCCCCAACCAAAACAAATCATATCCCTTGGAGCAGGCACCGACACGCGATATTTTCGCCTACGTGCCCAGAACAGACACCAAAATTTAATCTACCACGAATTTGACTTCCCCTCCGTCTCTACGGGCAAGCTGCGACTAGTGTCGAGCAACGAAACTCTTGCAAACCAGGACCCTGCCGCGAACTTATTTGTTCAACCTAATAAAGCCAGCGCAGAAACTCCGGAATCCGAATGGGGGTTCACTCGCACTGCTGCTGATGGCCGATCGGAGGTGTTGTATTGCTGCCATCCACTCGACCTCCGGCGACTTCCGTACACACCTTCTCTCAAATCATTAGGCGATATCCACGGTCTACGAGACGATGTTCCCACTCTTATCATATCGGAATGCTGTCTATGCTACCTAGACGTTGATAATGCCCAAGATGTAATAAAGTGGTTTGTGGATAGGATACCTTCTCTGGGCATAATACTGTACGAACCAATAGGAGTAGATGACCCGTTCGGACAAATGATGGTGGCAAATCTAGCGGCTAGAAATATCACCATGCCCACTGTGAAGGTGTACAAGAGGCTGGGGGATCAGAAACAGAGAATATCTGATCTAGGGTTTAAGAAGACAAGTGCTGACGGAGGTCAGGAAGCGGAAGCTGTGGACCGTATTTGGGAGAATTGGATAACCCCTCAAGAAAAAGAGAGAGTTGATGATTTAGAGGGCTTAGATGAAGTGGAAGAATGGCAAATGTTGGCAAGACACTATGCTGTCGTTTGGGGATGGAAAGGCTCCTCAGGATGGGAAAATTGGAAAACCTTCCAACAAAAGTAATGAAATACTTTGGCCAGACCCCGTTCTCCCTCCGAGTGGCGCCTCTGATCACTCCGAGACAATCTTGGTACCGGTGTATTCAACGCGTGCTCATTCCCCCCAGCCCAATCAAGAATGTCCAAGCCATTCCACCATCGCGAAATATAGCATTCTTCACGCTCCCCCTCACACTTTATATGGTGTCTGCTCCCTTATCTTCAATGGGCTATTTCCTATCGCCATTCGTTCTTTATCAGTTAGTTTTTTGCTTCAGGGATGATGTTCCCAACATCCCCAGCAATGTTTACGTATTTCCTTGCAATGCTCCCCTTACTGTCTTTACTGTTCGCGATTGGATCGGCGGCAGCACAGAATGGCATCTACCATTTGGATTCATCATTCTCCGGGTCTTCATTTTTCGATGGTTTCAATTTCGAAGCAGTAAGTCTATAATAATTATGGGCAATTTGTCCTTAGCCGACTCGAGCTGCCATACATTTTCTTTCCCGGTGAATGCGCTTCCCACTAACATCCCTCCAAGATAGAAGATCCAACTCATGGATTTGTCACGTATGTCATCCCCATAATTCCTGTTCCTCCGTCTAGTTTGCTTACTTCGTTCAGTTACGTCAACTCAGCCCAGGCAACCGCGTTGAACCTCACCTATACTTCACCAAATGGCCCAGCGTATATGGGAGTTGATCATACCTCGGTCCTCAGTAGCTCTGGGCCTGGAAGAAAAAGTGTGCGGATCAGCTCGAAAAAGTCATGGACCCATGGTCTATTCATTGCAGATATTGCCCACATGCCCGGTGGAATTTGCGGCACTTGGCCTGCTTGTGAGTCCTATATCCCCCTATATTCCTAAATTCGGAGAGAGAAGCTCGAATAAGGCGATATGATATGGTTCTGATGAGGATGCAGTTTGGACCCTTGGACCGAATTGGCCAAACGCGGGCGAGATCGATATCATAGAAGGGGTCAACAGCGTGGCTAGTAATACCATGTCATTGCACACGTAAAGCATCCATCTACGATCGTCACCAACCCGTTAGCTAATAAGTTTCTAGCTCGGCAGGCTGCACAATACCCGGTACCTCTCAACTCGGATCCTCCATAGGCACCGACTGCGATGGGAATAGCAATGATAACGCTGGGTGCGGTAGCACTGCCGCCGGCTCTAATACATATGGCGCAGGTTTCAACGCTAATGGTGGGGGTGTCTACGCCATGGAATGGACTTCGAGCCACATCCGTGTCTGGTTCTTTCGGCGAAACAATATCCCCTCAGATATTGTGAATGGGAGACCGGATCCAAGTGACTGGGGGATGCCACAGGCTAATTTTCAGGGAGATTGTAAAATTGACCGCCATTTCAAAGATCATTCCATAATTTTCGATACTACTTTCTGCGGTGATGTGAGCAACTTTCTCTTATACCTTGATTCAGGTCTTCAGCGCTAACATTGGAATATTCTAGTGGGCAGGAAACACATGGAATGCCGATGATACGTGCAGCGATCAAGCATCGACCTGTTCTGGCTACGTAGCTGCTAATCCGAGAGCCTTCCGCGATGCGTAAGTTGCTATTCTGCTTCCAGTGCCAAACTCTGCTAATGAGGCATTGTAGGTATTGGAGTATTAATTCTGTTGAAGTGTATAAACTTGGGCCCTCTATTCATTCGGGCCCCATACCTGTCGAATCAGGCGATACCACTGTTTCGTCGAATAAGATAGCGGTTCCAACGGCCTCGAAGGACCTATTCCCGGACCTCGATGCCACACGTCCGGCGTTTTATGAATCCGAACCTTTCTTATCTTTACCATCAACGATATTGCGAGGCTCGTCGACAAAGGTTCCATTCCTATCTAACCCAACGCCCCCTTCAAGAATTCAAACCTCGCTCGCCAAACAACTACATTATGCTCTGCCTACGACCCGCGTATCAACGAAAGCGACGGCCCCTTCACCAAACCCCGTCGCAATACGACCCCCAAGCACAGCCATTTCGCAAAATCTAAATTCCGCAGACGTCGAAATATCTACCTATTCTAACCCCGACCACCTCGAATCATTCACACACGTAGGCTGTCGTTCCTCAACCGTCAACTTCAACTCCTTCACCCTAGTCTTTGAAAGCGACACCCTGACCCTGGGGATGTGTCTCGTTGCGTGTAGTGGCCACACCTACGCCGGAATCCACAGAAACCACTGCTTCTGCAGCATTTCCATACAGGATACAACTACCTTCCACAGCTCATCTTGCAATTACCCTTGTCCTGGAGACCCCAGCCAGATTTGCGGTGGTGGGGAGAAGTACACGACAGAAGGCATTGCAGGAAGGGATGAGGATGGTATGCTATTTACGCTTTATAAGAATGCCGATTTCGCTCCAGGGAAGAAGCATCTTAATGAAGCGGGAGAGTCACCGAGTGATGAGGGCATGCCTCCCCCCGTCCCTCGCCCGGCAGCTTCTATTCCTGGCAATGGTTTTGCGCAAGACACCACTGCCTGCTAAACCTGCTAAATCTGCTGCACCTCCTACACCTGAGGTAAACGGTGTAAGTGGGAACTGGAGTGGAGGAGTAGTGCAAGCGAATGGTGGGAATTTGGTCGGAGGATGGGCGTTAAATACCAGCACTATGATCGCGGGGCTGTTGGGCTTCTGTTTTACTTTTTGGCTTCTTTGATGGACTTTGGGAGGTTGGGGGTTGGGGTTGAGGCGTCTCAGACTTGAATTCTTATGTGGGAGATATCGTTATAGTTCGGTTAAGGAGTTCGTTTAGCTATAGCTCAGTAGGAGGAGAGCTCTTGGAGTTACAATTCTATTCAATTGATACGTATTATGCTTGAATATATGCTTCGGGGATACCTGACATGACTACTTTACGGGTCAACAGAAATTCTAATGGTTATTAAAGGTAGCAATAGTTTTGAACTTCTCTTAAATAGACGGGTTATAATTCACGTGGGAATGCGATTGGTTTTTATACAGAGTTAAACAAAACATAGCATCCAGTTCTCAAAAGTTTCCAGTACTAGTACTCTCTCTATAAGCCGAAGAGATTCTAATATAATTTGTACAGGCGCATAGTTCGGTATGAGAGGTCATAGGAGGATATAATTCAGATTTATATAGATTAGAAAACGGTATAGTGATTTTTATAAACAAAAACTTTTCTAAAAGCAGGGTTGATATAATAGTCCTGGTGTCCTACCAACCCATATACAGTACAAGGCACGAATCTAGTATATAATGGATAAAGTAATAAGTTGTACGAGAGGAGGCAAACGTAGATAATTATTAATGTATATTAGTATCGTAGTGTTTGGTTCTTTATTTCCTTCGATATTGGAGAATGGCAAGTCGATGGGAGGATGATGATTACTTCTTCTCCGATGACGCTCACGGCTGGGGGATGCATGATGATTGGCTGGAGAGGTGCTTAACTCGAGGCTTGTGCGCGTTCAAGGAGATGTTAATGGCAGATACATCTGAGCGTCGGCTTAAAACTCTGGGGGACACCAGTCCACCTGGGCACAGACTGAGTGAGGCCCTTAACGCTATCCCTAAATACTTGTTTCCCCGAGATAGGCTATTAGTCAGGAAGATTTTCTCTGAAGTCGATAATGGCCATGATTGTGCCGAGCACCCAAATGAGGGTTGGCGGTGGCAAGGAAGGCACCCAAGGTTTAGAAGAGACTATGCAAATGATGAATTTTATGAGGGTTTGCGAAGGGTTGGCTATGTGATTTGGGACAAGAAGAGGCTGGAAAATATTGGATTTTTTAGTCAACAGTAATTATTAAAGCCCTTTGCCTTAGTCTATATTTCCTAGGAGCTAACACTGTGTTCTAGGCCACGCGAGATATCTAACCGTTGTAGGAGAGTATTTCCGGACAGATGGAAGTCACTGAGTGTTGAACAACGGAGCAGGATCCAGGAAGTTATTTGGGTGAGAGATGGATTGATACCAACTGAATGATTATTCGCAGTTACGTAAAGCTGCGTTGGGATTCCATTGGAGCTCTCAAAGTTACCTCCCGAGGAAGAGAGATTCTGGCGGTAACTCCCGAGAATTATTACGCTACGGTATCAGAGATATACATCAAATTGCCAAATGTAATATCCGCGTTTATCTACTAATCCAACTTCCGCTATAGGATACGTCTGCGTTTCGACTGGCCATTAGACTGGTCTATCACGATTTACTATAATTGTATATTGCTATTAGGGCCTTATACATCCTCCCAGGGCAAATCGTGTATATAATAGAGGGACCCCCTTATGTTCCCTCTACTCTCTTTTGTTTAGTTCTAGGAAATCAATTATTTTGCCTTATACCCGTTGTTTATAATCCGTGCTCAGGACCTTAATAATCATCAAATAAACTCTCTATAATATTTTACTTCTGTAAAGTAGCAGTATTACGTTCAGCCTTGCTTAGAGTATCCTAGGTCCGGCGGTAGAATCAGCTAAATGTTGCGCTTCTATATACATCTTTCGGTTTGGGTTTGGAAGTCTCGTGCCCTCTCCGCATGAATGGAGAACTGCAATCAATATCTGATTGTGTGCCAATTAATGATGTCATCTATATTCCATATAGGGGGCTATCTATATCTATAAATTGTCTAGATTACGCATAACGTTCATTCAATCATGATCATGGTCTCTCATCAATCCCTGTGCCTCCACTACACTCGCATCCCCCCTCTCATCCCCCCTCCCCCCAAATTCCTCAATACCACTATCCCTATCCGCCAGCTCCGCCATCCTTATCGCATCCTCCCGCCCCTTCTCCGCATTAATACACCAAATAATCGGTGCTGGCAACAGTATCAAAACCGCCAAAAACCAAAATGCCGATCTAATACCCCCAGTTCTATCAACAATAACACCTACAACGGCCGGTCCTACCGCCGAACTGCCCTTATCCGTAACTGCATATAAAGCATAAAATGCCGCCTCCCTCCCTGGCGGAATAAGCGCCCCAAAGAAACTCCGACAATAACTCGACAGTCCACCCATCACAAAACCGTGTATAAACCCCAATGGGTATATCTCCCAGCTTTTCTGTAAGCCCCCAACACCCCAGGACTGAACGAAGGGGAAAAAGCCCAGGAGGCCATAGAGGGGTATGATTTCCATTAGCAGGATGCAGAGGATAATTGTTTGGTTTGTGGGGATTGAGAATCGGCGGGAGATGAAGGGCCATGTGAATGCGCCGACCATGCCGGAGGAGATGGATGTTATGGAGAGGAGGGCTATGTGGACAGTGTCCATTTTCAGTTCTGTGCGCGCGAAGAGGATGGCGGTTCCTGATACCGTGGCTATGGCGTCCGAGAGCAGGAACCAGGCGACAAGGAAGAGGAGGACTTGGCGGAGTTTAAGGGCGGTTTTTATGGTGGTGAGGAGAGAGCGCCAGGAGAAAAGAATGGAGGTTAGAATGGTGCGGAATTTGTTTTTGCGGTTGGAGAGCTTGCTGCTAGGGAGTGGTGGTCCTGGGCGGTTCCGGAGCCAGAGCGAGGATGGGATTATGAATATAAACCACCAGAGCCCGACCATGAAGAGAACGAGCCGGAGGGGAAGTGTAGATGAGGCCTTGGTTTTTGACATGAGGTAGAGGAGGAGGATGCTGAGAATTTGGACGAAAACCGCGGCGCAGTAGCCGATGCCGACGCCTTTGGATGATATTTTAGTAGAAATCTTTAATTCCGAGGAGTCCGATTTTGTCGATTTGGGGGCCTGGATATTCATGTGATGGTGTTGAGTTTCCTCAATTGAACCATTAGGGGTGGGATCTGGTGAGAGGGGTTCTAGTGGCACGGATGATATATCATCCTCGGGATCATAACTGGAGGCGTGCTGAACATCCGGATGGTTGGCGACGAGTAAGGGGAGGAACGAGTTAAGAATAACGAATGAAGACCCAAGACAAGTGACTCCTATAACAACTAGGACTGATCCAAGAAAAAATATCCTGGGAACGATGAGGAGGAAAAGCATCGATGATATCGCTCCAGTGAACCCAAACCCAAGAAGCAACTTCTTTCGATAATTCCCTATAAGTTATAAGATTCCATTGTTTGAATATAAGTGAGAGACTTACCATGATCCGCAACTGAACTAAACGATACCAAAGCTAGAGCCTGTACGAATACGGCTAGGGAAAATGTATACATAGCGAAACTCGAGGTTGTGATTTCAGCGCCTAAAACATGGACTACGCATTGGTTGTTTTGTTGCTCGCTAGCTCTTGCAAGTAGCCGCGCTACTGTAGAGCCAGTTTTCTCAGCTACGCAGGATGTAGTCTTATCGGACCAAAGAACCCCTCGTTCTCGAGCTAGTTGCTCGAGGGTCACAGGGAGGAATGAGCCTGTGGACTACTGTTAGGAATTTGGAATGAACTATGAGTTGTATATATGGGATATATTCTTACCAACTCCACAAACAGCAAAAACTTCGGCTGCAACACCATATGTGTAGAAACCCCTGAGTTCCCGAGATGTTGTAGGGGAGAGGTCTTCACCGTCGTACCGTGGTTTCCGCGGGATAAACCCAGCAGCGGGTACACCCCCTTCATCTTCCTCCATTCGGGCCGGAACAAACGTTTTATAAGAATAAATTTTTTTTTAGCTGTGTAATATATAAAGCATACTATTCTATGTTTATGGGCTCAAGTCAGTGAAGAGTTTGGAGAGTGGGACCGACTCGGACAAATGTTCGGAAAGCCGGAAGGGAGGATCATCACGTGATGTTTATGATTTGTTTTTCTTCGTCAGCACTGTGAAGGAGTGATCGTACTAGAATGAGGAGTATGAGGGTACAATTGTAAGGTGTAGAGCTCAACTGCATGGCTTATACTAACTGTTCGGCTCAAGGTTTGAATTCCAGTACGTCGGCATCTAAAAATAACTCGACGTCAGATAACCCGGGAAATACCCAGGTAGGTACATAAGTAGGTATGCAGGTAGGCCGATATGAAGTCTAGCGCCTCTGTAGTTGATAACACTTGGGCTATGAGGAGGTTGCTAGAGGATGTCTTGCTGGGGTTTTCTATTTCAGGGCTAAGTCTCCCTCATCTCCAATATAACCCTCCGTTACCAACCCCTTAAGTCCAATGACGAAGACTGATTTTAGAATGAGGTCGTCCCTAACTTGTATGCGACTTGTTCGGAGAAGAGGCTGTAGATGGCAGCATTAGGGTATCTATATAGAGTTGACTATTTGGAAGATGGAGTCATGAAATAGGGCTTGGATTGGCGATCTGATCGAATGGGGATCCAGTAGGCTGGCCATCAAGTCGTGAGGAAGTGTATGACAGCTGCAGCTTTCTGCATATATCGCCCATTTCCCCAAGGACGCGAGTTCTCGGTCAGTTTATCCCTAAACTTTGGATTTTCTCGGCCAAGGAATAGAAACAGTAGATGGATGTCGACAGTTAAATCATGAAATTCAGTTTACCGCAAATAATGCAATGCAAAAAATTCGTCAACACAAAGAGATTAATATAAGTATCCCAGGGGAACCTTTCAAACACTGACCTCTCTTTAATACGGAGTAATGTCGTAGCTACTTGCTACCAAACCGCTTCAAAGATTTCCACGGGAGCATTAAAGGGGCACAAGCCTCGACCACGCAACTAACGAGCTAGCACGTGTTTTGAAATTGACTGTCAGACCGTGCGCCCCGGCACTTCTCTGATCTGGTTCTGGACCATCGCGATATTTCAAGAAGACAGATATCCTGACCCTGATCGATTCCGAAGTGTTGCTTCGTGGTCTTCGTGGTCGTCGTCGTCAGCAGGTGGGAGTCATCGAGACATTCGCGGTCCTGCGTGACACGACCACATGCCAAATTCGTAGAGCACTGGGTAGAATTCGCCTGGAAGTCCCAAATAATGAAGTCTTGAGGGTGGATAAGAGAAGGAAGACGAGGCAGAATGAGAAGAGGAAAGACAGGGAAAGAAAGGCATTACTAGCCTTGACTGTAGCTACCAGCAAGAATAATTCAAGGCATTCTAGCCACCTTGACCTATATACCTCCGTAGATTCGACGCAAGTCTTCATCCGCCGTTGACGTATTCTCACGTGCGAATCCAGACCCAAGCCACACGTCATTCCCCAACTCCCCGAAGCTCCAGCGCGTCAAGCCACAACAAAGGAGAAAACCAGGAAAAAGCTGTGTCGTGTGCGCAATGGTCTAGCCCGATTTGCTCCTCCCCTACCTCCTACCTTCCACCGACTCACAGCAAATAAATTCATGTGCCACAGCACCGAAGCAGCCAGAACCTAAACAAGCACCACTCTCCCTCCTCCTCCCCCCCCCCCGAACATCATCCCACAACACCACAACTTCTCTCCAAATTCAACATTCTACCCTATAGCATACCAATACCAATACCAGTCCCGTCCGCTGCTACCTACGTGCTACTATCTGCTCAGTACGGTGCAAATACCGCTAAAAGCCAAGTTCCACCGCACTCCGACAGTAAATGTCTGATCTCGAACACAAAGACATCGTCATGCCTTCCATCGAGGACAGCGCCAGCAATGGCTCTTCCGGCCTGGGGAAAACCAAGAACGCCGTCTCCAACAGTAAGGTATGCTGCAGCTCCCAGCCAGCGCCATTGATTCTCGTTGCTAATCTTGAAACAGTTCCCCCGAGAAGCTTCATGCTCAGCTCTAGCTCTAGCTCCCACTAACCCATCATCTCAGATACCTCCGCTGCATCTAACGCAGTTGCCGATCATCCATTGACCCAAAGCATTACCAACGGTATGTTTTCTTTGTTTGCCGCATAGTCCGAAAGCAATACTAATAGCATTCCAACAGGACCTGTTGTGGACAATGTCAAGGACCAAACTGCAAAGACCCAAGCCGAATTCTCGAATCTTGCCGCTTCCCGCACCACACCTGCAACCCCTGCCGCTACCGGCCAACAGCTTACCCACTACCACTCCTTCTTCTCCAGCCTGTTGTCATGGAACAATCCCCGAGCCTCGGCCATCGCGTACGGTTCCGTTGTGCTATTTATCTTCGCTGCCCGATATCTCGATATACTCAGATATACCTTCAAGGTCACCTGGATGACTTTGGGTGTAACTGTCCTCGCTGAGATTGCTGGAAAGGCTGTTTTGGGCACTGGCCTTACTTCGCAATTTCGCCCAAGAAAGTACTTCACCGTGTCGAAGTCGACCCTCGATTCTATCCTCGGCGACGTTCAAGAGTTCATCAACTTCTTTGTTATCGAGTCTCAGCGTATTCTGTTTGCAGAGAATGTCTTTGCCTCTGCAGCTGTAAGTCGCCGCCCTGGACTGCTATGATCTTTGCTGACCATTCATAGGCCTTCGTCGCTGCTTTCATCTCTTACTTCCTAATCAAGGTCGTTCCAATCTGGGGTCTTTCTCTCATCGCAACTTCGGTCCTTTTCCTGGCGCCCCTTATCTACAAGACCAACAAGGAGCTCATTGATGAGCACCTCGCCCAGGTCGTTCAGATTGCCAATCAGCAAACCGAGCAAGTTCGCCAGCTCGCTAGTCACCATGCCGCTCGCGCCACCGAGACCACGAAGCAGTATGTTGGCGAGTACTCTTCCAAGGCACAAGAGATGATTGGAACTGCTCGTGGAAGATCCGCCTCACCCATTGCATCGGCCAAGCCCGTTAAGATCGACCCCATCACGGCGGAGCCGACTACTGTTCGAAAGGAGGAAACCACTTCAGCATACAAGAGCGAGGACTTCCCTGCCGCGCCTGTGGAGGAGTTCAAGACCGCCGCACCTGTTGGAGAGATTGCAAGCGCCTTAAAGGAAGAGGAGCCTTTGATTATCTCGTAAGCTATTCAAGTGCTTCGCAATTCCAAACTCTCCTTGAGAGATGCGAGAGTGTAAAACACTTACAATGGGTGGTGGGTGCCTATGGTATTGGAGCTAGAGTTCGTTACCAGTAATGAAAGGGTGGGTATACGGAGGCCATTGATACGATACGAACGACGACTGTTGAACAAGGCACGCTTCTCCGCGAAGCAAATGGAACGAATATGCGCTTAGCAAACATGCATGACTTCATGATAATTGTATGATGTATGTATGGTGATACTCGAAGTTTTCCCAATTTGCGTTTCCTCTTTCGTTTGATGGGGTTTTTATGACTGGGTTATGCGTGCGTTGTGTTCTTTGTTGCATGGCTTGCGTCGTTTCTTCGTTTCTTCTCGTTTTACGCAGAGGGATGTCTATGGGGAGTAGTTAGATATGGATATTAAATTGAGCGAAACTGTTTCTTACCTGCATAGACGTGACCCTGGTGCTTTGAAGGTAATGGTGATGCGGTGGACTGTGAGATGGTATACTTGCATGACGTCTGAGGTGCACACTACTGTAGTACAGTGTAGTTCTAAGCTAGCAAAGCAACTCCGGCCTTTTGAAGTCCCTATGCTTTCCTTGCACACAATATCACCAAATCAAGAATCCTTGACTTCATCGTCATTTACGCTGTAGTTCAGTACGATTCTCATATTGCTTCTTGGTGGTTATTATTTCCATTTTCTCACAGCTCCCCGTTGATTGGACTAGGAAGTGATATCCTGACTGTAGCAATCAGAAGTTAGAGTCTACATGTAATTTGTTTTCCCTAATCGTTCGGCTCTTTGTATTCGGGGGCATCGTCATCAACACCTTAGAACTGATAACCTATTGTTTTTATTAAGGAGCTGTAATCGCTAGCTCACCAAGGCACTAGTTGTCACACCAGTTGGGGGTGTACTTTTCTGGTTGCTAGAGTGAGCGCCGCTTGCTCTCTTGCGTTCGCCCCAAATGATGATTAAGGAACTGTTGCCAAACTGACAGTACAGTACATTGATATGTGGAGCTCGGTGATACCCAGCCAGTCAAGCCATAATTCTCATCGAATAGGGATCTGCCATGGCTTCGGCGTTCCATTTGATTGCCAAAGCAAGAATATACAATCAATACATTAGTAGCATATCTTGTGTTTACGCACGTCATAAAATGGGCAAGCACCACCTTTGTGGAGTTTGGTGATGGCGGGCAGTTCAACAATTGCTCACTTATCTGGCGTGATGATTGCAGCTACATAACCTGCCTGCTTGTTTTCCACGTAGCCAGAGTAAGTATATATATACTCATAAACTGGCCCCAATCGTTACTTTGAGGTTTCATTGCGGTACGGATTGAAATAGTCGGTGCGGTACTGGCGGGTGTTGTGATCTACCGTGCCGATCCTTGGGAGTCGAACCACCTTCACCCATGCACCTCCACCAGAATTCATAGTGTCTTGCTTCAAGACTTGAATCAGTAATTGACCCTGTCTCCCTTAACCTCCATTTACGAATTATCAGCGTACTATCATGTTGCGTTGCTGCATTTCGATTTATTACACCCATCATCCCCTTGATATAAAAGCTTTTCCCCAACCCTCAGTCCGCTATTGCTTATTTTGAATTACTTGGATAGTCCAAACCAGTAATTGCCTTGTATTTATTTATCAGCTATCCATAGACTACTTCCAATATATCTGGTGGGTAGTTACCGTATGCCAGCTGAGTCAGCTGATGCCAAATTGAGCTTTTACTGGGGGTGGCTCGTTCCGATTCCAGCATCAACTTCATGGTTGCCCACTGGCTGCTGAATAGCAATTATGGTTGAATGATAGCGATTCTCTGTTGAGGATTGAAGAGTTGCTACTGTTTGCATTGCTTTTGTGTTATGAAAACTCGTCTCCATCCTCTTGCATTGTATAAGCTTTCGCTAGTTGTGTCATACAATGCCGGCTAGCTCTCATTTGACCACGCAAGTTGCCTGTCTGTAGCTGAGTTAGGGAGATCCGTCCACAGAATTCAATTCGCATGATATGGATCAAAGGCAAGGCTTGCAGGATGCAACGCCGTGTCATGGGATAGCCTCTATAGTCGATTACTGAGATTGTGTTTATACATAAAAGTTTATCAAATAGCCAAGCATCCATATGGCGATCTTGATGGAAGTCCACTTGTCAATTGGTGCTATGGTACTATAGTTATATATTATACTCATAGCTCCGCAATGTAGAGGTACATTATAGTAAGCGGGTGGTTCTCTTTTGGTAGGTTATACACACAGTTATAGGACTTGTGTACTTACATAGCCCCGTCCCATTGACTTCTGTATAGCACCACTTAACTCTTATATATATTGATAACTTAAAATCTACAGTTTTGCGAAGTGAAGCCTCTCCCTTTTATCTATCTTTCAAGTGCCATAGCTATTTGCTGTCAAGTTGTCAAGTGGTGTCTCCTGTGGGGTGTTGTTAACTTGTCAAGTGGACTAAAATGTCAACATCATGATAGAACTTGTCTTCGCCATATACCCTTCATGTTAAGCACGGCACATCTATGTCTCTAAGAAGTCTGTCGGTCATGCTATTTCTCCGCCCCCGAGCCTCGCCTGGCGCTCTTGAGATTCATCAGCACTCACCCAGCGGTATACATCGCGGTAGGTAGCCTGACGGGCAATACCATGACGGTGAATGCCTTCTGTCAAACACAAGTCAAACAGGAACCAAGCTAACAAATTCAGGTAGAGGGCGGTGGGCGTGGCTGGACTCCTATTTAAGCTGGAGGGGATTCGTCCTTCTCTTCCTCTTTCCAAACAACAACAACAACAACATCCTCCACACTCAGCTTCCAAAACAAAACAACTTCCACTTCCAAAACAAATCAATCAACCTCCAACCCTTCCATCCAACACAAGCTCAACAACATCTTTCAAGATGCAACTCCAGTACACTTCCTTTGTTCTGGCTCTAGTGGCTTCCCTCGCCGGTGCTACTCCTACCCCTGATGGCAATGGCACCTTGGTCCAACGCGATGCGTAAGTCTCTTCCCTTCTCAATCCACAACACAACTCTTACTAACCGTCATTCACAACCTATAGTCACTCTGGCATTGCAACCGTCTACACTCAGCAAGGCGGAACTGGTGCTTGCGGCATTGTCAACCCCGATAGCGCTCGCATTGCTGCAGTCGCTAATGGAAAGGCTTATTGCGGCCGTCAGATCCAGATGACCAACACTGGTGGCCACAATGGTGTAGGCGGCAAAGGCAAGGTTATCACCACTACCGTGCAAGATGTTTGTCCTTCCTGCGATGCCAACCATGTCGATCTCAGTGTCGGCAGTTGGGACGACCTTACTGACTCCTCTCCCTGGGGTGTTACCAACATTGAGTGGTATGTACCTTCCCTCCCCCGGCGCGTCGGCGAGACAAATGCTAATTTGTGACGCGATATAGGCACTTCGTCTAAGACCAAGGGCAATTTTCTATTCTCACCTTACTCTGGTGGGTGGGTTTTGAACTTCTTCGACCGGAGTACAGGAAGGGATTATACATTGGCACATGGCGTTCTCATTCTCTCCTTGATATTGGGAATGCTCTTTAGTTGCTGAAATTCGGATATGAAAAACGTTGGCGGTATCATGGGCTCTTGATAACCAACGAACAAATTACATCGGTGTTTTCCACAACCTCACTGCTCCATCGTAACGTATCGTGATCCCATTGCCTATTTCCCATCCATATCTTCATAGCTCTCCTTTCATAACAGGAAGTATACCCAGGACATAAGCACATAACATCATTCTCACCCCAATCACTGCCCAAGCCCTGTACCTTACCGGAACTTCACATCACTGAAAAGTATTGGCTTTACTATTAACGTGAAGGTGACAATGGCCTCCCTCTCTATCTACGGGACAACCCTCTATAGCAAAAGGCGACGCGTCGCCTGCCCTTTTTTTGCTCTCCGTCCTCTGGGTTCACGGCCCTTTAACTAGTGTCGCCTTCAAGTTATCCAGGGCCATCTCAGCCATTTAGCAAGCTTAATATCATCCCACCCTGTTATAATTATTTCGTGCCTGGCACTCTCTTTAACAGAATTGGACACTCTATTTTATAGATATTTAGAAGTAAGCAAGTCAAAGTTTTGAGTTGGATGGTTAGCCAAATTTGCTAAAGTGAAGTTTTATCTCAGGGGTTAACCAGATGCTCTGATTGAAACAACCAAGTGCTATGATTGAAACAGCTGGAGTTACTAGTAGTATCACAACATGTATGTGTCTTCTGACAAAGAGCGAGGAACTTACGTCTAAGCAGGGATGCGACGGGAGGTAAGCTTGGATAATTATTGCATTTAACAAAGGCTAAGCTAACTGACATGTTATTAGATCGCGGAACTCCCACAAAATCGTACTATACAAGTTATACAATCTCGATCTTGGCAGTCTCAACATTATCGAACAATGGGCAGTCGGGTGGGTTTGAATAGGTTTCCCACACACAGATATCGATTCTCTCTAAAGCCCCTTTAACGATTGGAGATACCCTGAGGACCAGATATCATCATGATGTCTCGCGCCACATGTTGTCTACCCCTGATCCTAAATACCTACCAGTAGAAGCCTCCCTAGGAAATTAGTCTAAAGCAGTAGAGCCCTTCTCTCTTCGATCCCTCGTCATCGTTCTTTGGGTGTTGGTAATCACAGCCCAATACGCAGCACCGATTTTGGAAATTGTCCTTTAACCAGCAGAGCACCTGGGTATCCTTTTTCCTAATGTTTACGCTCCTCGTTTATCCAGAAATACCACTGCACTTTGTAAATATTTAAATCGTACAAATGATCTCACTTTGCTCTTGACAGTCCTGACTCTGATAGGACTGTCCCTCGGGGTGCCCAACGCGACTAGTTCCACGGACGTCCGAGCCCCTGTTAACATAACACGACCGCCTGTGGACCTGGCAGTTCGGTCATCAGGAGGCTGCTTGAGGCACCCGACAATGTCGAGCTTGTGCTGATGCATTGGTTTTGCAGTGTACTTCTAGCTCGATACCGGGAGGGAAAATCGGGGGCGACCGATCCCTGAACGGATGCCTATGGCCAAGCCGGGAAGTTGACCTGTGACTCTCTATTGCCAACTCTGTCGGTATTCTTATATTCTAGCCAATTCTGCTACCCCGCTAGGTGAGGTCAAAATGGAATTCTCTTTTCTAGAGACGGGCTAGATATTCATTGGGAACATTATCTTCGCCCTGCAATCACGAACAGTATTAGCCAAACCGGACACTGCCCTCAATTTAGCTGGTTTTCGAGAAAGGGGCCGAGTTAAATATTCAGAGACAAGGGCCTTCTATGTTTTATAACCTTTACTAGGATGACCAGGGAAGCGAGGGTATGTCGACTCGTGTCTTCTCGAGGGTTAACCGGAGGTTGTAGCCTTGATAAAGTTGGCATCGCCTTCACCATTCTCTGTTTTAGGGATGCACCAAGCTTTCCATATTCCGTAGTCTGCGGTACCCATAACCTATGACCACACTCGCATATCTTCCGGCGTGGACACTCTCAGACCGTTTCATTCCCGTTGAAACATAACCTGTGATTGAGCAACAAGCCCTCCTGAAGGCACCAGGCTCAACTATCCAGGGAGCATATTCCCTCATCCTCAACCCCACAACTAGCCTCCGGCCGTATGAATATCTCAAGCGGGGACTCTCCAGCTGCAATTGGGATATGGGGCACGAAACTGCGCGGCCAGCCAGGATCTGCGAAACGCCGTTTCCCTGAGAACCTAGACTTCTAGGTTGCAGGCTCAAATACCGTGATTATGACATTAGAGCTAAGGTGGATGAGGTCCATCTGAGATGCGTCCTAGGGCTAGGCGAATGAATTGTTTTGAACAATGCATAGTGAACCCACCTAAAGAACAAAGATTTTGAGGCCTCGGACAACAGCAACCGCATCTTGGTTCCTTAGAGGCATTGAAGATAGTAGAATTTCGAGAGAGGGCGATTGTACGTGTTCCGTCATCGTGGTTAAAACGTTCCTTGAGTTTAATCCACAGCAATAGCTAATACAACCGTAAAGGGCAGGTTTAGTGGCCTCAAAGAGAAATGGCTCGCGGAGTCATCTAACGAACCCACGTTGAGGAGACGCCGCAGTATGAGGTATATATGCAGTGGTTTGTAAGCCTTGTCGTGCTCGAAGCAATGGGATAATCATTTCGCGGCTGGATCGAATGCAGATTGGGAGGATGAGTTCTCAACAATGTCCAGAGTCTGGCCGAGAATTTTCTTCGGGTGGAGAAGTTTCACAAGTTGGCTCTTCGTACATCGGTTCCTCTGTTAGCTATCAGTATATTAAAAGCAAGCTCAACTTAAAGCTCTAAGCTATAGATGTTGCTGGTTTGCAACTAATACGCACGGTTGCATCGTCGCAAGAACCGGAATGAATCAATGACTTTTAGATCCACAGGGCAGCCCTTTCCCCCTTACGTGGCTGATCCAATAATAATCCGATCATAGCTAATCATAAATAAAAGGCCTTTTATACTCATAGCTGATAGAGATCAAGCCTCGGCCATCCTTGTTTTCACGGTTTCACCTATCCAACCATCCTTTCACTCCTCCACGACTCGCAGAACCAGGTCACATTCAGGGCAGGTGGGAGCGCTTTCGAGGTACGACAAGATCGACGTAGATGTTCTAGAAACGGCTAGTTACAAATGGTAAGTTGTAGGATCAAGTTTGTGATATTTTCAAGTCTAACTCAAGAAGGAAGGAGAAGCCTTTCAGCGGAAGATGTTGGGTCAGGTGACCCTTGGCTGATTACTTCGCACTGACCCGACCCGACCCATGCAGTGTAAATTCGTAACTGGCCCTGAAGGGCTTCTCCTCTTCAGACTAATACTATCATCCTATTGAAGCGAACTTACATCGTACGGATAGGGACGAGAGCTGCCGCTGAGAATTGGCCGATTGCTGTCATAATGCGGTTCAGTGTTGCTAAGTCAGGCTTGGCGTCAGCACATCTTATTACCACCCACAAGGCTTATACTTTTGGGATTAGGTCAACTTTTAATCATCCTTATCCATAGGTACTTTGGGTTACCCTTACTTTGGCTATATCCACTTACAATTACCACTTTGCCTTATTCGTTACTCATAATCCCAACAACTGCACCTTCTTGTCATCAACATCAGGCAACAGCTGCATCACCACTCAAAATCTAAATGAGCTGACGAATCTTCGCTGTATGCCCAATCTTCTCCTCAATGGCGTCTTATTTACCTCAACTGATGTTCTAGGCGGCCGACTCACTTGATCAGCCAGCTCTAACGACCTTTTAGCCTTGGAAACACCATCGGGATCTCGAAATGCAAAGGAAGGAGCCGCAGGACGGGGGCGCTATTTACTTACTAAACAACGAAATCAACTCGAATTGAAAGCGGCCGGCGAGTTTAGGCGTCCAAGATGCCCTTCGCTACTGGAGAGGATAACTTGCTGCTGCTGAACCAAGAGGAATTTGACTTCAACCTACAGTTCGAGCAGCTATTCTTCTCCATCATACCGTCCACTTTGTTCATCGTAATATCATTATGGCGGACGCTTTCCCAGGCACGGAAGCCCACCGTGGTCAATGCTCCGGTTTTGCAACTCATCAAATTGGTATGCTCTGCCTCTAAGTATACGAATGTATAATCTCAACGTGCTCATTAAACTATTCCAGGGTGCTATCACAACCTATGTCGCGCTTGAACTTTCACTCCTCATCTTGGTTGCGGTTAGGTCCTTCCACGTATCCAGCATGTTTATCGCTGCTTCGGCCCTCAAGCTTGTGTCAGCCCTATTCATGATAACGCTAAGTGTTGTTGATCACAGCAGAAGCCCAAGGCCGTCGGTGCTTCTGAACGGCTACTTGTTTCTGATTCTTCTCCCGGACGCGGCCCAGGCAAGAACGCTGTTTCTATCATCGGATGACAAGCCCGAGGTCACCTACAGCCGCATCTTCTGTGCTGCTATAGCTCTGAAGGCCGTAATATTGTTATTAGAAGCACAACAAAAGACCAGATGGGTAAGCTGGGACAAGAAGGAGCACAGCCCAGAGGAAACTAGCAGCATCTTCTCCCTCGGCGTCTTCTTTTGGCTTAACAAGATGTTCCTGATGGGATATAGAAAAGTCTTGACGATTGAGGACCTTTACCCCCTTGATAGCTCCTTTAACGCCAAATTGCTTCACGACGATTTCTCTAGGAACATGGATTACTCCAAACTAAGGGGCGACAAGTTTGGTCTTTTGAAGGTGCTAATGCGCACGCTAAAAGTCCCTCTCCTACTTCCCATACCTATACGTCTGGCTCTTCTTGGCTTCACGCTTTGCCAACCTTTTTTTATTGAAAAGTTATTGGATTACCTATCCCAGTCTGAACTTGAGGCGAATGTCGGATATGGCTTTATCGGCGCTAGTATACTGATTTACTGGGGAATTGCTATCTCCCGGGCCTTCTACTGGTATAGTAAAATCCGCAAAAGAATTACTAGCAAGTTCCGCTGCTTATACATATGTACAGGTACCTCCACCACCGAATGCGTACTATGGCAAGGTCCATACTAGTCACCGAGACCTTCATCAAAGCCACAAAAGCTCGTATCGGAACTAGCGATGACAGCGCTGCGCTGACTTTAATGAGCACAGATATGGAGCGAATTAAGATGGGCTTCAGGTCTCTGCATGATATTTGGGCGGGCATGATCCAGGCTGCCCTGGCTGGGTGGATGTTGTATCTCCGACTTGGCGTAGTCTTTGTCGTGCCAATGGGACTTGTTATAGTCTGCTTTGTCGGCTTGGGGATCCTTATAAAGTTCACTGGGGACTCGCAGAGGGCCTGGATGGCAGGAGTCCAGAAGCGTGTCGGTCTGACGGCCACAGTCATCGCCAGCATGAAGAACCTGAAAATATCTGGCCTCTCTGCTGCCGTCAGCGACTTCGTACAGAAGCTCCGCGTCGATGAGCTAGCTGCGGGAGCCCGATGCCGCAAGATATTCATCATTGCGGCGCTCCTTGGTTTTATTCCGCTGCTGATCGCCCCGCCACTTACCTTCGCATTCACTCAACGGACACTGGATGCGTCGAAGGTTTTCACGAGTCTTTCTTTCCTTACGCTGTTAGCTACCCCGCTGTTGCAGATCTTTCAATCTGCCCCTGAGCTCGTCTCTGCGCTGGCCTGTTTAGGTCGAATCCAAGCCTTCTTGGAGTGCGAAACTCGCCATGATTTTCGCCAAGTTCTTGCTGATATAAAGCAAAATACAGAGAAGGCCGGAGGGGACACCGCAGCTTCCTCTGATCCAGAACTAGACCTGGCGAATTATGTTGTCATCAAGAACGGTAAGTTTGGTTGGGAAGCAGACAAGTTCGTTTTGCAGAACGTAAATACTCGAGTATCCAAGTCCTCGCTCACTATTGTCGTCGGACCTGTTGGCTCGGGGAAATCTACGCTGTGCAAGGCACTACTTGGAGAGATTCCTTTCAGCGAAGGCAGCGTGGTTTTAAGCTCTAGGTTCCCCCACATTGGATTCTGTGACCAAACGGCATTCCTCTCGAACGGGTCGGTCAGAGACAACATTGTCGGATTCTCTCCGTTCAACAATGAGAGATATGCCGAAGTCATCAAAGCTACAGCTCTGGGCTTCGACTTTGTCACACTCCCACAAGGTGACCGAACAAATGTCGGATCTGATGGGATCGCCTTATCCGGGGGCCAGAAACAACGCGTTTCTCTCGCGCGAGCTCTGTATTTGCAGTCTGATATGCTAGTACTAGACGATATCTTTAGTGGTTTAGATGCGGATACCGAGGAGCAGGTCTTCCGGCAAGTCTTCGGGCCAGATGGACTGCTCAGACGACGACGATCTACGGTCGTGTTGTGCACTCATAGTGTCAGACATCTACCTGCGGCGGATTATATAATAACACTCGGAGAAGGCAGTATTGTCGAGCAAGGTAGCTTTAACAAACTAATGACCAGTCAGGGGTATGTTCAGCGTCTAGGATTAAGGGACTCTTCAGACAGCGATGCTTCATCGGCGGAAATGACGTTGAAGAAGAGTGTGCGGGAATCGAAGCCACAACTGCTCCATATAACGACGACCACCACATCATCCCTTCCACTAGATACGGAAGAATCACGGAAAATTGGTGATAAAACAGTATACAAGCATTACTTTAAGAGCATGGGGTTGTTCCTGGCGGCATGTAGTTTGTTCTTCGCTGCTCTTTGGGGTTTCTTCACGAACTTTCCAACCATTTGTGAGCCAGCTTTCTCTTCTGACAGGAGAACCCCGACGGGCTTGGCATTTCAGATGTAACAAGTCCTAAAATCTAGAGCATTATGAACTAATGTCACTTATTGCAGGGCTCAAATACTGGATTGATGACGTCTACTCGGAAGATCCAGTGCACCCTTTCGCTTACTACGCCGGTATCTATGCTTTGCTTCAAATCTCCGGCTTGATATCGCTGCTGCTCCTCGGTATCGCGCTCTTCGTCGTCGCTGTCAAAAGAGCAGGTGCCAAACTCCATCAGGATGCCTTGCGAACACTTATTCGAGCACCCCTACGATTCTTCACCAAGACGGATACTGGTGTCGTCACAAACTTATTTTCACAAGATCTGAACCTTATAGATACAGAGCTGCCAGATGCAACGTTGAATACCCTGTTCTGTGTAAGTCTATTGTAATTGGACACTAGGCGGAAGTCTGCAATAACATTGCCACTCGTCTTTGGAGAGATCTCGGGAGAAATAGTCTGACGGAACTCGCAGGTCTTTCAAGCAGTCGGACAAGCCGCTGTTATGCTCACTTCGTCTCTGTACTTAGCTATAAGCTACCCGCTCCTCGGCGCCCTACTCTATATTGTACAAAGGTTCTACCTACGGACTTCTAGGCAGCTAAGATTGCTAGACCTTGAGACTAAAAGTCCCTTATAGTAAGTCTACCGCCACCTACTGTCATATACTAGGCGGCTATTATACTCTATACTAATCTGCATTCGTTTAGCACGCATTTTCTTGACACTCTTAGGGGTATTACAACTCTGAGGGCCTTTGGTGAGTAATATATGAAATCACGGCCGACGCTAAATGCACTTCTAATAAGACGCTTTGCGGCATCCTGGATTTAGACATAGCATGGCTGCTAACACTAGAAATATGCAGGTTTTCTTCCCGATGATGTCCAAAAGAACGCTCGCCTAATTAATTCCAGTCAACGACCCGCGTATTTCCTCATGATGATTCAAGAGTGGCTGAACCTCGTTCTCGACCTCGTCGTTATGGTGATGGCAGTGGCTCTGACGACTCTTGCCGTCCGGCTTCACTCCAACTCTGGTTTCGCCGGTGCTTCTTTGTACACACTCATTAGTTTCGGAGAGAACCTTTCAGGCATTGTCATGTTCTACACCAGGCTAGAAACTTCTATTGGAGCGGTAGCCAGGCTCAAGACGTTCAATGAAAACGTCAAGCCAGAGGACAGAGATGAAGAGGACATCATTCCTCCTGAACAGTGGCCTCAGAGTGGTGTGGTGGAGTTGAAGGGCATATCCGCGAATTATGAGTAAGAGAAATATATCTTCACGAATACAACCACAATGCTAACGCCCCGAGAAGCTCGGAAGACCAAACCGACGGCTCACCTAACTTAGCCCTCCGCGATATCCACCTAACGATTAACTCAGGCGAGAAAGTCGCCATCTGTGGCCGTACCGGCAGCGGCAAGTCCAGCCTTATCGCCCTACTCCTCAAGCTCCTCGATCCCCTCTCAGAGACCGCAGGGAACGCAGTAATCGATAACACGCCGCTCCACCGCATAAATCGGACCGCGCTACGTCGGCGTATAATAGCAGTGCCCCAGGAAGCCGTGTTCTTGCCCGACGGAACCACCTTCCAGGCTAACCTGGACCCGACCGACATTTCAACATCCGATGAATGTCAAGCTGTCCTTATAGCCGTAGGCCTGTGGCAGTTCGTTCAAGAGCGGGGCGGCCTAGACTCAGGCATGAGCGCGGGGACACTCAGCGCCGGACAGCAGCAACTCATGTCACTTGGGCGCGCTCTACTAAGACGTCGTATCAGGGGGCGGAATCTGGGGATAGGGGGCGGTGGCTCAGATCGCGGTATATTGTTATTGGATGAGGTGAGCTCGAGTGTGGACCATGAGACGGAACATGTTATCCAGGAGATTATCAGAGCTGAATTTAGGGATTACACTGTTATAGCGGTTAGCCATCGGCTGGACATGATTATGGACTTTGATAGGGTCGTTGTCATGGACACAGGGGAGGTTGTGGAGGTCGGCAATCCAGCGGTGTTAGCTAGGGAGGTGGGGACTAGGTTTGGGGATTTAGTGAGGGCCGCGGCTAAGTAGGAAGAAATGAGAGCTTATATCGTTTGTCTCGAAGCCGGTGAGTCTGGTTTCGGGGCAGGTTATTGGGGCCTCTTCTCTTATAATAGTTATATAAGTCATCAATTACTTAATCTAAATAAATAAATAAAGAGGTCGCTAGGTGCTAACTCATGGGCTTAGGACTATAGGATTAAGTATATAATAGCATCAAGTCTAACTAGGAGAAGATTATTAAGAAAAGAGGATTCGATAGGGGTAGTAGCTCGAGGTCACGTGATATAACATAAGTCTCTATCCCCCGCCTGCTTTATACTTAGACGATAGGTGTTATGTATATTTAGTTGTAGCCTAATTACCCAACGTGGAGAAGTATTTAAGCTTTTAAATAGAGATGTGGGAGTCTGATATTGATGTTGCTAGAGAACAGCAGCAGTCGACCTCAGTCTACCCCTTTTACAGCAAAAGCCGTTATCGCCAAGATCCCTGCTGGCGATCCCGCTTGGCATGGTGACGAACTGCTTTTTTATCGAACACCTTTGCTCATCTTTATGCTGCTAAAGAACCTATACCAAGGAATTATATCTAAAGGAGAAATATCCCAGTTAGTGCTTGGGAATAAGAAATCAGAAGGATGCGTGGAAGAGACTGTTTAGCTGCGCTCTAATACTGGCAACAAGAGGTTTAGCTGGAGTAAAAGTATTGCGGCTGCTAAACTGGGGATAAAGTAATTGAGAGTAATTAGAGCACATGAATTCCTCGTGTTCAAATGGAAGGGGTAGGTAACTTGGATGGTATAAGATCAGATGTTCTGTCACATCGAAGTTCCGTAGAAACCCCGTAACAGTATACACTCATAACTACGAGAGCCCCTTCAATAATCAGTAATAGCGCAGCTGTAGGATCAGCAGAGATTGTATGTTTTGTAGAATCGCCCTTGAGATGGAGACAAAAGAATCTTCCTTTTAGCTGAATTTTGCAAAATTCTTTAAAAACTGACAAACTGGTCATTCTTTCTATCATTTCACATTCCACACATGCATATATATCCAAAACAAGAGGCTACCTGGATAACGCCCAGCAACATAATACAACCATCATTTTGCCGCCTCTAGTTTTTCGTGCCTCCAGACCCTGTACTCCTGACATATTCACTTGACATAAAAATACCGCCTCTCCAAGATAGCCCAGATCAACAGTGAAAATAAACTACCGATTATGAGCTTGCTGTGGGTTCACCCCTTGCATCGACTGCTGTAAATTGTGCGCTTGTTGCTGGGCCAGCTGCTGAGCCTGCATCATTTTCTGCTTCGCCATATCGTTCAGCATTTTCTGTTGCTGCTGCTGCTGATTCTGATCAGTGCCCTGGCCAGGGCCCTGTTGCTGTTTGTGTGCCATTTGTTGCGCAGCTTGTTGTTGTAGGTGTTGTTGTTGTGCGTGCGTTCTTGCCGCTGGATTATTTGACTGGGTTGAGGGCTCCCTATTAGGGTCTACCCCAGGAAATAATGCCTGTAATCTCTTGTACATGTCCTTTATCAGCTCGATATGGTCCTCCTCGGAATCTTCCAGCTTCTGCTCTTCCGACTCGTCCTTTTTGATTTCGGCTTTAGGCGATGAAGATGATGCTGACTTTGAAAACGAGGGTTTAGGTGCAAGAGTTGGTGTTGTCAGATATGCCGGGTGGGGAGGGATTTGGGAAGAGGGTTTGTGTGAGCGGTCGGCAATAGCAGCAAGATACCCCAGGTTCCCCTGAAGCCGGCGCATACACCTATCAAAATCGTTAGCGGGCCTGATCAATATATGAACTTTTTAAGATAGGGCACATACTCAAGCATTTCCTTGCCGCTCACAGCTTTTAATTTCTCCAGATTTTCTTTATCGAACTTCTCCTTGTCCTTCTCCCTAGCCCCAGCGCTATCAGCTGTTGTGCTATGATCCTTCGACTCTTCCTTTTTCAGCTCTGCCTGGAAAGTCTGTAGTCTCATAACCTCCATCAGCAGCTCCCGGTTGATATCTAGTAATAATGTGACCCTCTCCTTCTCCCGCATTTCGGACCCGGGGCTTAATGGAGATGCGATGTTGGACCCTGTATTTGAGCCGCCTTGCGCACCTGGAGGAAAATTTGGTGTCTGTGGAGTCAATATGGACCCTCCCTGCGATTGTTGGTTATTGGTCGGTGTTTGCAGATGTGCTTGACCCGCGCTCTGAGGTGTAGCAAGGTGCGATTGACCCGCGCCAACATTCGGAGGGCTATTGTGTGGCGCACCACCGAACGGGGAGCCTCTTGCCCCGGTGTTCTGGGTGGGTGTGGAGGTAGTCGGAGGAGGCTGCATACGCTGTGCCTGATGTTGTTGATTCATATTTGGCGCGTTCATGGGGAAGGAGGGTGCGTTAGATGTCGTGGGCATGAAGTTCGGGGGGAGATTGGAGGGCGACGAAGGGGGGATACTTGCTCCGTACGGCGAGCTGGAGTATGGGGTTTGATATGTCGGTACTGCTCATAGAAGACATGTCAGCTACAGTCCGCAGAATCGGGCGTATCGATGACCCAGGGTAGATGGACATGGTGGAAAGCTCGACATCGTGTCGGTCAACGTGCTGGCAGATCGTCGGCCGGCTGGCTGCCACTCTGATGCAGCGCCGACGACAGCCCTGCTTTTCCCTCGAATGACGGCTGGCTATGGATCCGAAGTCAAGCGGAAGCCGTACAGTTTGATCCGCAACGGACGGCCTCTAGGCTCTAGGGGAGGAGAGATCCTGTGTGCAACATACCGTTGGCACTACCACTGCTACCACTGCTGCTGCTACCACCAGCTCCTCCTCCTCCTCCACCACCCATCTGCGCCATACCGTTGTGCTGCATCGCGCCCATCCCGCTTGCATTTCCCCCCATGCCCTGGGGCATGCCGGGCCTGGTCGCGCCGTAGGGCGACGATGGAGGGCCGATGCCATACTGAACGGTCTGCGCTGGGTTATACATCATGTGCTGAGGCTGCTGGCCCGGTTGCTGCTGAGGCTGCTGGTTCTGCTGCTGGTTGTACCGCTGCTGCTGTGGAGGGCCGCCATTTGGGGTGAAGGGCGGCGGTTGCGGTGAGCTGTTGTTGCCCGGCGCATAGCCAAACGTCGGGGCATACATGGCTGATGCTTAGGACAGACGCGATAGGGTGCCGGGCATGGCGGACGCCGCAAGACAGCGCGCAAGACGTCTAATTAGAGGAGACTCAGATCGGTCTCGGGATCTGGCAGGTTGGTGGTGAGTGGTGAGTGTGCAAGTCAAAGCCAGCACGACCGGGGGCCTGGAGCCAAGGGTTCGCAGCGAGTTGCAGCAGCAGACAGCAGACAGCAGCAGCAGCAGTGGGGGCGGTTTCGGAGAATGGCTTTCAGCGTCGCACTGACAACTGCTGCAGGTTTCTTGCTTGCTTCAACGCTGCTGCTACTGGACGGGCGACTGGATTTGCGGGCGAGTAGTTGGGGTTGGCGATCAGGATCATTGCCTGGGTCAGGTTAGAGGGACAAGAGAGAAATTTCATGCAGCGCGAAGCGACCAAAAACAAGTGGGGAGGAGGCGAAATGGCGGGTTTTATATGCACAGCATTGGCCGAATCACGCTGCTTGGACCTTGAATAACTCCCTAAGGTACCTTAGGTACCTTAGGTAGTTCGTGGGTATTATTATGGGCATGAATTATTGGACGGAATAGCTTATTAGCCCCAGGGCTTGCATCGGTGTGCAAAGTTAGTTGCCAGCGTACAAAAGCAGTGGGCTAATAAAGTGTACTACTAGGTACAGTGCGACGGCTCCACAGCGTAGCGAGTAATAATAGAGAGGAACAGTGGAAATGAAATGCTTATTAGCTAGTATCAGGCACTACTGTGTAGACAAAATATCTCGGTTTATAAATCAATATGAATTCTGGAGATTATTTTGTTTCTAAAATGTACTTCTTTGGAGCTGTAAGTCTAGTTTTGGTTTACGGCTATAATTACAGGAGCCGAGGCACTAGAGCTATTTAGAGACACATCGTGGCTCTTAAACTCAACACAGGGTCCAAATGTACGAAAAACAGATCACAAATCTACTTCGCAGTATAGCGCAGGTAATATCATTATGTATTTGTAGATTTAGCGTGAGTGTGCTGAAGGTCCAAAGACAGCCCAATTTTGCGGCTCACTCTATAAAATTCCCCTCTCTATCCCATCTTCAATTGGCCAGACGATGGCCTATGGCCAATACGTGGTATAATCAGATGTCCCCTTAACTATCTTCACAAACTCTTGCCCAATAACCTCATCTACCTTCGCCGAAGGATGCAGCTCATCAAACCACATGAACTGGTTCAGCTCTGTTCCTGGCTCCGTTACGCAGTTCGCCCCTGTTATGTCACAGAAGGAATATGCGTGGGTGACATTCGCTGGCGCCTGAAGATACTCGGACGGCTTGTTGTAAATATCCGTCATCAAGGAGTTGACATCGAAGATCGCGAACGACGCGCCTGGGTAGCGTTTGGCGACGAGTAATTCGTAGGGAGTCCGGTAGTCGAAGATGGAGTTGGCGAGCTTGGTGTATTGTTTCATCTTGCCACTGACTTCGGTGATATTTGCTGGCTGCGTTCTGGTTAGCTCTATTGAAAACGTTGAGGAGCGATGCTGCTCACTTTGTCTGTCCAGTAATGACTTTCAGTCAAGCCTGTGGGAGGCATTCCATATAACGGTGCAAGTTGTAATGGTGCATTGTTCATCAATACAAAATATCTGCCACCAGCCTTATATATCGAGTCGAATCGGTCAAAGATGCAATCGACGTAATCTGGAATGGATGTCTCCTTCAAACTGCTATCCGTGAGGAAAGCGCCGTTTCCAAGATCATTAGTCCCAATCCACATCGAATACACGGTGTTATCCGGTTTCCGATCAGTGTACAGGGTGTTCGTCTTCGTCGACGCATTGATGTATTTGGTGTCGGCTATGAACGCATCGACTTCGTACACCACGTCGGGAAACATCTGAGATGTGCCTGCCAGCCATCGCGAGATGATTTTGTTGTCACAGACTGCCCCAGAAACCGCATAATCATAGAGCGTTGCACTTGTATATTCAGCGACCCGTCGAGCCCAGGTGATGCCACCACCTGGGGTCACTGGGGCAAAAGGAAGAAGAAGCCCTGGCGGTGGGGCTGTTCCATTGTGCTCAAAAAAATATCCCAGTCGGCTCTCATCTGTGTAACTAATTGATGTTGGTTGGTGGGTATCTTTCAATTCTGTACACAGAGTGCCTACTCACCTGTCTCCAAAAGCTACCAAGTTCTTGAAACGCGGAACCCATGGGGAGTTGCCGCCATGATGGCCACCACGGGGCGTAGCAGTAGCAAGAACAGCGGACGTTGCCTGGAGCAACAACACTGTAAAACGAAGCATCTTTCTCAGTTAATCTTGAAGTCTCTACGCCAATTGCAGGAACAGCAGCCACACAACAGTATCAATTATACAGTAAGTTCACAACAACGAGGGCACTAGAAGGAAAGACTTTGACGGGCAACCGCCCTTTAATATAGAACTTGCTGTACTAGCAGCTAGGTCTGACGACGGGACAAAAAACGTGGCTGGGCCACTTTCCGGATCAATATACTCATTACGACGATCCGAGGGACCGGTCGTATGGTCGTATTGTACGGTTTATTAGAACTATGCCACGAATAGCCCATTATGCATTCGAAATACATAACTCGTACCCCGCCTCATCCAGGTACTGCACAAACAAGCTTCAAAAGCTATGTCTTGCTCCACGAATGGCCGGGCTCCAATTCAATCCTTGCCACGCTATGGTCCAGCATGGCTCGCGGGTGGTGCATGGTTTATGGTGGTGGAGCTTTTCAAGAGCTGGAGTTGATATCAGCCTGAAAAGAGTTCGGCTCGGGTCGGAATCCGCCAGGCTAAATAAACAAATAAACTTAACTTCATTTGAACGGACACGCGTTGAGCACGATGCGGCGAAGGCAGCTATAGTACCTAGGTACTAGTACTCGTCCGTTCGAGTCCTCTTTTCAGATGTCCGACTCGCGCTTTATTGTAATCGTTCAAGAAATGCCTTCATCATTGGAAATCCCGCCCACTGCTCTTTGAGATAGTGCTGGGCTTCGGCCAATGTTTTGCTGCCCCTTCCACACAATGGCAAGATCGCAGAGTGCAGATATTGGCTTTGGGTGTATGAATTCATACATTTCAATAATCGCATGATGTCTGACTTCCTGAATGCCAGAAGGGAATTCTCATCCCGTGTTGTTGTTTAGATCACGTCTCAAAATGGACCCTCAGAACCTAAAAATGGCCGATCGTAAGTCCAAGCACCCAAAGCAAGCGGCGTAACGATGCCGACTCAGCTAATAATTAAACCAAACGATTGAGAAGTTAGGCTGCCGCTATCTCGCTGCCCTCCTTGCCGTATAAGTGCAGCGAGACCGATTCATCGATGAGATGGTCGAGGTCGTTCGCTAGGCGTTTGTTTGCTCTCAAGTTTTGGCCGGGTGGCTTGTGATGAGATTAAATGCAAGTACCCGTCATCACTACTCTACTAGAGCCATGAACAAACGCGGAACCAACCCAGTCTATAAAGCCTCCGTCCTCCACAGTATTTTGCGACTCGCGCCTGGTGCCAACTGATTTTGAAGATATCGGTCTTGCTTGCGAGCGATGTCCGTTCATCGCGCTTGCTCCTGAAGTTTCATGGAGTGCAAAAGATCGATATCCGCTCCCTTCACTCTTCTTTTTGCGCGTCTCAGACGGTAGCTCAGAATCTGTAGCGCAAACGGCCAATGTATAGTCACTATCACCCTCCCGTCGATGTTCTTCTCTGCCATAGCCAGCGGGATGGGCCCCAAGTGGACATTCAGGGGGCGGCTCTCGCTCGCTTAACCGTGGCCTTTCGCTTTACAAAAGCGTCAAAACAAAAGATAAAAATGACAAAAATGATCTTTAAAAATTTAGCATTTAATTCCTAGAGATTAAGTATCAAAATGGCAAAAGAGTTCGGCCCGGTCGATTGCCTACATCTCTTGTCGATTTTTGTTGTTGTTTTGTTTTGTCGTTTTTGTTTCCCCAGTTTCTATCGTCCCTGGCGACCCCGTAAGTACAATTTGACCCGAGCCACTTGACCAAGTGTCATGCCCTTGTACTTCGGTAATGGACATTTGTTTATTTTGCCTTATATACCTAGGTAGGAGGCGTCGGGGTTTGTGCCTAGGCAATTTCTCACCGCCTCTGGTTTCGTGAATATGATCCATCTTCGATCTTTAGATGTTAAATCGTTAAACGCCAATCTATCCATGGGACACTGTTTGGTCTTGCAAAATATCAAAATGAGCGGGTAATCAAGTAGTCACATGAAGCCGATTATATGGTTAAGCTACCAGAATGATTGCACGAAGCTCATATCCATCAACCTTTCAGTCTTCATCGAGTCCGGCTTTGGCTTCAGCCCACAGGTCTTCGATAATCTTCGCATGCTTGCTAGATCGTACATTGATAGCGCATTCAAACGTGTCTGGAATACACATCCACCCAGGAACCAATTTGTTTCGCGGCTCTACAACATTTCCGTCTTTCGTTTTCTTGGTTATGTTGAATGCCCACAGGATCCGACTAATATTCAAGTACATTGATTTTTCTGCAACATGTACACCGGGACATACTCTCCGCCCTGCTCCATAAGAAACATGATCCCGTTTATTAGGGTCTGCCGCGTTTATATACGAGGCTGCTGGTAGATCATAGCCGAGATATCGTTCTGGCTTGAATCGTATGGAGACTCCCATCTCTTCGAATCATAGTTGATTGCCCTAGATTAGGTCAGTTGTTTTAAACACGCAATAATTTGGGAGCAAGGATACCTACCACCAGTTGAGCATGACAATCGACCCCTTTGGGATGAACATCCCTTCGTACCAGTCATCCTCACTGGTGCTATGGTGCATTCCGATCTTGTTTGGCGGCCTTATCCTGAGCAATTCCTTAATAATCGCTCTGATATACGGCAACTGCGGCTCATCCTCCCAAGTTGGATAACGGTCAGGGCCAACAACTCGATCCAATTCCTCCTGAGCTCTGCTCACAACCTCAGGCTGAGCAGCTGCAAAGACCAAAAACGAATTCAAGTACGCCGAGGTCGTTTCCGACCCGGCTTCCACCAACCCACCGCACTGATACGCGGCATGCAAAGTATCGATGCCCAACTTCTCGGGATCGCTCTCATAGAAGTCCTTGCAAAAGCATTGGTTTGCTGTTCTCTCCCTGATCTCCTTCTTTAGCCCTTCCCACAACCCCAGGTATATCGGTGCGTCATGTTCATGGCATTTCTTTCCAAAAGTTCTCCAGTTTCCAAAGAACACCTCGGGGAAATTCTGCAAAGAGGGAAATGTATCCACCAACCACGCTCCAGGGCTTGCATAGTTCTGCATATTATTTACCACTTTGTAAATGTTCCTTGCAAGTGGGTGATCCCAGGTGCCGATGCGGTGTCCGTAGGTGATGGTGATGATGGTACTAGCCGAATACCGTCTATTATGGTCGTAAAAGTGGACCGGGTCATGGAGAAGGTCGTACAAAAGCTGCTTGGACTCAAGATTTTGAACGGGCTGGTATGCGGTTGACTGTGTAATGCTGAGAAGGGCGTGTGATATTTTCCGCACCGTTCGATACCGAGGGCCATAGGGCATAAACAATTGGCGTCTCCCTGCAGATGCAACATCACTAGCTAGTGGAGCAGGTGGCCGTGAGGAATAAATGCTTGACCTCTTGTCCATAAGGTCTTTTACAACCTTTGGAGAGGACAGCCAGATATAATCTGCGCCGCCAACCTTGGTATGGAATATTTCTCCATATTGTCTTGTCCAGTCCAACGCCTTCTCGCGCAAGGCATCTCCATCTGCTAGGTCAAAGAAGTTGCCTATGAAAGGGAGTCCCGATGGACCAGGAGGCAAATGCCGTCTTCGGCGGTCCTTAAGCACATTTGGCGTGGTCCAGAAGTAGAACCCAAGAAGGAAGATAATTGGTGCTGTGATGACAGTTGCGGCCCATAACGCCAACTGGCCGAAACTTTGCGGCAGAACAAGCATCATTGTTCGCCGAGTTATTGGGGGCTTGATATTCAGATTTGGGCAGGTGTTTCGATGCGAGTTTTGATCATTTGTGTTCACATTTTCATGACATTGCTAGGTATATTGTGAAGTCACTTTGACAGTTATTATATATTCCCAGTATAATATAGACTCCGTATAGGGGGCGTGGAGAATCGCCTCTTGGTATGAACATGGTACTAGGTTAATGAACGAGGGCTACCCCGCATATTGCTGTAGTGTTTAATCTATAGTACGTAGCAATGTGTTGGCGTCGATGCAGGCCCCACACCAAGGAATGTCTGATCTCAACTCACTGCAACTAGAGTTTAGTAACTAGAAGTTGCACCAATCCCCAATAATAATACCAACTCATTGTTTGCCATTCGATAGATGCAGTCCGGCACTTTTATTAGATCTTATCTCCTATTCCCATTCCTGCCCCACACAGCCTTCGATGCCGATATAATTTTGTCATATGTACTACGATAAACACGCCCATTGGGTTCATTGACAGACATTCTTTCTGTGCTGGGCTTGGAAACCCTAGGTGTTCAAGATGGCTTTCAAAATTGGGCCCTTCGAGGGCTCCTTGAACTGGCCAACTATCGTGACTGCTTTTTTAACACTATTATTGATTCAGAAAACCACTGCCAATTACCTCCAGAGCAAGAAGTACAAGCTCCCTCCACGAATCCCTGGACTTCCAATTTTTGGTAATACTTTCCAACTACCTCCCATGGATCAAGGTCTATGGGGGATAGAGCAAGCTAAGAAATATGGAGAAATGTAATGCCACTATCAAATTCTCCATAGCCTTCAAAGAAGATTAATTTTGAGCAGGTATACATGCAAATTCGGTGTCAATACATGGGTCTTTCTCAATTCCTCTCGCGTGGTAAACGACCTGATGGAAAAACGCTCAGCAATCTATTCATCCCGCCAAAATATGCCAATGGCATCTGGAATCATGTCAGGCGGCTGCCGCATCCTTTTAATGCCATACAGCGACCGATGGCGGGCCATTAGGAAAGTAATGCATACGATTTTAAACAAGCAAAACACGGCCACATTCGCTCCTTTTCAAGATCTCGAGTCAAAACATCTGCTTTATGATTATCTGCATAACCCGGAACAGTGGTATAACGCCAATCAGCGCTTCGCAAATTCGGTTATTATGGGGGTCGTCTTTGGCAAGCGTTTCGAATTGGGTCATCCCCATACGAGGGAATTGTTGGAGACCTCGACGGAGATTTTAACTGCGTTGCAGCCAGGTGCCAGTTTGGTTGATGCTTTGCCTGTTTTTGAGAAGTTGCCTACTTGTTTGCAGTGGTGGAGACCTAGAGGACAGCGAGCTCAGGAGAGGTGCAAGAGGTATGTTTCCATATCACCCAACTTACTACACGTAGACGAGATGTTACATCATACTGATAGATCCCCGTTCCAAGTGTTTACAAACGTGAAGTAGCCGACCTCGAAGCCCGTGTCGAGGCCGGGACTGCACGCGAATGCTTTGCTCTTCAATTCATGAAATCCCCCGATGCTCATAAATTTGGTGAAACGCAGTTTCTATTCGCCCTGGGCTCGCTAATGGAAGCTGGCTCCGACACATCTCGCATGACCATCAGCCAAGTAATTGCTGCGGCTGCCCTAGACAAGCGCTGGGTCGTTACCGCTAGGAAAGCCTTGGATGCTGTGTGCGGGTCCAATGCTGAGCGTCTTCCGGATTTCGCTGATAGAGAGAACCTCCCATATCTGTCTGCGGTAACGAAAGAGGCGTTCCGATGGAGGCCGATGGCCCAGATTGGATTTCCGACTATGTTGACTCAGGATGATGAGTATGAGGGGTATAAGTTCCCCGCTGGGACTATATTTACGTGGAATGCGACTGCTATTGCGTTGGATGAGCGGGAGTATGAGGAACCGATGAGGTTCTGGCCAGAGAGATTCATGAATGAGGATGTTGGGAGTGTTATGAAGGGACACTGGAGTTTTGGTCCTGGTAAGTCCCCTTGTTCTAGAAGACTAATCTCTGATTCCATTTTGATGAAGGAGTATGCTAAAGGACCCGGGTTATTAGGAAGGCGAGCTTGTTCCGGATACCACGTCGGGGACTCCAATGTCTGGATCGCAATAGCGAGGCTTCTGTATTGCTTCGATTTTGAACCTATTGAGGTAAGTAGCTTCCCAATCTTAAAATTATAAATGATTAACTAGGATGTTAGGGGCAACCAATCGATAGTCTTCGTGTTTCATGGCTGGAGCATCGCCACGCACCGTTTCCTGTTTCTATTAAAGTCCGCAGTCCACAGCATGCCGCGCTGGTTGAAAGAGAGGGGGAAATCGCTGTTAATACGAAGTATTAGTGTACATAATCTAGCTTAGCAGTGTTCTAAATAGCGTGGTGGAAATTTTATTGTATGTGTTGCATGATGATAGGCCGTTCCAAGTATAGAGAGCATTCATATCTAGTTTTAGAGGGGAAATTTTCTTGAACTCTGTACTATATCTTCATTAATGCATCTTTACTCTAATTAGCGCTTCATCTTCAGCTTAAAGTATTGCAAAGCTCTCCATATCCCTAAGCCGCCAAAGGCTTCTTAAAATAAGGGGTGAAATCCTCGTTTAGAAGGAAGTAAAACTAATAAAATCATTAGCAATTTTCCAAAAGCCTCCGTCGGTACTCAGGAGGGAGAGAAAAAGAATCCACATGACATACTTTTTTGCCCTGATCCTGCATCGCTTTATCAGTTGCCATTTTGTCACACATCGCGAAAAATGCCTCCCGTTCCGGGACCGCATCTTCATTCCACAATCTCAAGAAATTCGCCCTTGAGCTTGGATCGATGATCTTTTTCCACTTGTTTATTCGTACCTCACTATACTTATCTAAGATGCTGTCATCCGTAAGTCCATTGTGCATGGCAATGAGACAGTCGTATAAGCTTGTTATATCTGCGAATCCACCCGTGAGGCCCATGCCGCCGCTATTTTTAATACATGTTAGAATATCATCAATATCTAAAGGAGAGGAAGAGGGGACAATCATACAAAGGATTACATAAATGCCCTGCATCAGCTGCCAGGAGGAATCTTCCTACTCGCATACTCTCCGCGCATCTCTGGTGTAATTTATACGGGCTCGCTCCCACGAGTTTGTAATCCCCAGGCTTTGGACTGCCAGGTAGGATTTCCTCGTACCGCTGGGGTTGCCGTTTCAAGTATTCTTCGGTCGAGAGACCCCATTTATCGCCGTAGGTGACCCGCCACATCCCATCGGCTGTGATTCTCGCGGCCATGTACCAGTTCTCCGGATGTACTATGAACTGTGAGTCCCAGTAATCGAACTTCGAGAAATCGTAATAGACCTTGTCTCATAGCATCAGCATCGTGCGGCCATCATCACAGCTCAGCACTTTGATGCAAGGAAAGAGGGGGCCGGAGATAAGACATACATTGGTAGCAATAATCTGCTGCTGCAGCGTCTCCCCGGGGAAACTATCCCCAAACAATGCTCTCCTAACCCCACTGTTTGCTCCATCACACCCAACTATATAATCCGCACTCAACGTCTTCGTTCCCTCAGGCGTCTCAACCGTAACTCTAGCCTCCTTCTCATCCTGCTCAACACCGACAACCTTATGCTCCCAGTTCATCTCTGCCGACTCTTGCGCGCAAAACTCCTTCAGTAAGATCTTCCCCAGCTTATCCAAGGGCAAGCAAACCATCTTATCCTCGCCCTCGGTCTCTGGATCCGGCTTTATTCCAGCAAGAATCTTGCCATCGATTTCGCGCCAGCAAACACCGGATGGGTGGATTCCTTCGGCCGCTATCTGATTGAGAACTCCTGCGCGCCGGAATTCTTGTACAGCGTTGGGGGCATGGTGGGCGGCGCGGGGATTGCTGTCGAGGATTGTGGCTTGCTCTAAAAGTTGGACCTGGATTCCTTGTTTGGCAAGCAGGACACCGAGGAGGAGGCCAGAAGGCCCAGCTCCAACGATTATAACCTATTCATTGAGTCAGTTGTGGTCTATAATACGAAGATTCATGGTGTAGAAACGGGATATATACTTTAGATATTTTGGTGGAGTCCGCCATTTTGAAGGGATGGAGTAGTCTGTATAGTGTTTAGTAGTTTACACTCAAACAATTCTCAATATGCTTAATGCAACTAAGCTTCTCGAAGATTTCCCCGATATTAATTTGAATGTGATCGACTAGACTATCAATCTATTAGCTATAAGAATGGCCTATCTACTCATGTTAGCCATGTAGATGTGGGGTCGAGCAGCGCCTCACGACTGCCGAAGTTGTCGTGTAACAAAACGCCGCTATGTGGGTTTCTAAGCTACGAAACCAGGTCAGAGTTTATTGATGCGGGGCCTTGCATAAAGGCAAGGAACTTGACGCTGCATCATAGCGTGGTCTAATGAGGTAGTTGCTTATGTTGTTACCCCTCTCCTGAACCCCTATTCCGAGACGGTCACGTGGCATGGCCCCTCAAAACACGAAATTCGAAAGTAACAATATTCAACATTGCTTAGTATTTGACTTACTAATGACCTTGGGGAATAACTGTTACCATAGGTGCGATGGTTGCGGGCTACGACATGTATACCTAAATACACTTTTTCAATGAAGCATCATATCGACTCGCACGTTTGCAGCGTCTTCGATTATACTGGACAAGACAAGGCCTCCTTGATTAGCACTTAATAGAATTAACTAAGCTCTAAAATTAAAAGCATTAAGTTTTTATCCCATTTTCCTCGAGAAGACAAATGACAACACAAACCAATAATAGCAGCAGCACCTATCAGTATATACAGAGCCTGTTAATGCACTCTTTGGTTCAAATCCGTCGTGTTCAGGGGCTCGGTTATTTCTCATGATTGTACCCCTATCGGTCACCTAGGCAACGTTCAAGCTTCCTCAGCTAGTGGTGTTACACCTAAGTGTAGAGCCTTTGAAAGGTACAAAACACAACAGCGGAGGTTAATCTATGGCGCAGGTAGGTAGGTAGGCAATTCGAGTGCGCAGCCTCTCACCGCACTCGCTCGCTAACTCCCAAAAGCCGAAAGTATATATTACGCGAAGCAAAAAAAAAAGATCTCAGTATCTATCGCAAAGACAACAAAGGGAGAAAAAAATACTAAAATGTTATAGTGTTGTTATTTTATACTTGGGAGGCAAAAGAGTTCGGCCCGGTCGATTGCCTACATCTCTTGTCGATTTTTGTCGTTGTCGTGTTTTGTCGCTTTTGCCCAATCAATCCCCTCCAGAAGACAATTTGACCTGAACCATTTAGCCAAGTGGCCGCCTTTTGTCTTCCTTGAAACAAAAACTACCTATTTGTATATATATATAGGTCAAAACGGAGGGAGGGTGACAGGCATGTAACTTACCTCATATAATCCATCACCCATTGCCTACCTATACCAAGCAACCCGCTCTACCTTGAATACCACAACTTTAAAAAATGCGAGTGAGGTTGTTTGTTAGCTGCGGTAGTATACTGTATCCACTGTCTAGTTACATTGCATGCTTTTCGCCTTGAAGTTCGTTTTATTCTACCAGGATTTTAACATCCAGATCCCAGCGTAATGTTGAGTATCATCATTTTACGGTTTTACCAGCAGACCCTCTAAGCCTTGTGTCTAGGCACAACCGTCAAAGTCGTCCTCCTACCCCACAGACCAACTTCATGTAATATAGGGCCAGGATCTTTACAAAAAATAACAGCCCTTAAACTCCGCGCAACCCTCAAGGTGTTCTGGTGCCATTCGTCCAGATTACCCCGCGTTGTATCAGGAATGATGAGGGAAATCGCAATGGCTTTCGTGACGCTCTCCTTCTCCGGTAGGAGGCCGCAGGACGAGGAACAGGTTCATTCCACCAAAATCCCATCCCTTTGAAGTCATCTGAGCGCCTCCTTCCTCGAGTAGGGAATGCCGTGATTTTGGGAAGAAAGCTTGTGAGGTGATTGGCAGAACTCACTTTCGTTTACACTGTTCCAATATCCACTTCCGGAGCTGGTAAAGAATAAATCAACTTGGAACTATTCCCGCAACACATGGCCATGTAGCTAGTGAGAATTTGGTTAACTCCAACTTGGATGAGCATCTATGCCTTCGATCAACGTTCTCTTTGACGTAGCAACTTATCAACAGGTCGTATATGCCAAAACTCTAAAAATAACACCATCTTACACGCTTCTACACATCTACTGTAGTAACTTCGGTAGCTTGAGGCCGGGCTCTAGTCTAAATCTGTTCTATCTATGATTAAATCTCAAGTTCGCGGGGGCAAGATAAAGTTGATAAAAGCAATATTTGCGATTCCTACATCATTGCGGATAGTATGGCATCGTGTTCTACACACAAGTGTCTAATGTGCCAAACGGCATATTGATGGGTCTGAAGCCAATATTCACTTTCAAACCTGCCAATATAGGCACTGCCCCAAATGCAACACCAGTACAACAGCAAAACATTACAATCTACACTTTCAAAGCTGTACGGTGGCTTATTGCCGGGCTTGTCGGACACATGTAGCCCTGGGTGATCTTAGTAGCCGCCAGGAACTCTGTACACCAAAGAAATACCAACGGCAGAGCACTAAATCTCTTCGATCTATGTCCGATACGCTGGTTACCAAGACCATTCTTTCATCAACCACCATGTTTTCCTGTTTTGCTCGGCATGAAGCAGACGATGGAAGCGTGGCTCAAGTATCCATCCAGTACGATCGTGGTAGACTTTGAATGCATGGTTGGCCCAGGGTTTCCTCTTCTGCTAATCCAGGTTGCGATAGCAAATGCCCATGGCGACTGGGTTGTTCCTACTACCCCTATCAACCATAGAATTTCCAAACGAGAGCCCCTCGAAAGGGGAAATAAGCTCGGACCGCTTCAGCGCACTATGTGGGAGAGAATGGTTATGAAATTTAACGGTGCCGATAATAGAGATGAGACTACCGAAGGCCTTACCTGGAAAGAAATTGCTAGTATAATCGATGATTACATTCAGGTTTGAGAATTTCCAGTATTGGCAAATATAGCGGGCTAACTTGCCTAGATGAACGGGGAACTGAAGACCTTCGTTGCTTGGTCTGCATTACCGACGGATTATAACTGTCTCCGCAACAGCTTGTCGACTTCTTCTCAGATGCGTCTGCTGACAAGAGCTGGATCTCACTACTCGTTATTTGATTTCCCTCATCGTCGACAAGGCGCGCCCTGAACGATGCGTTCGCATTCTCTGGCGTATCATCTAGTTGGACCTGGACGCCGGTGTGTTTGATAGCCTCGATTCGTTGTCGCTTGGGCGGGGCGGGGCGAGAGTAGCCATTTGTATTATGCCTTATCAACCATTAGCAGATGCCTAGTATGGCTTTTCCTAACAAGGGAATCTTACACTTATTATTATAAGTTCTACCGGTTCGTGCTTTTGTCAACTTCCTGGGAAAACCCACATGCGAAAAAATAATAATAGGTGCCTAAGGCCATGAGAGCATGACTACTCCATACTCCGTACATTGCTCGAGTAGGTTAGATCGTCCTCCTCATGGCCGGAGAAACAAGTGGCCGAATCTGGCCCGTGCACTAATAATCAAATCCCCGAAGCGTCGTTGGAGTCTGCCCCGTCCAACAATCGTCACCATAAGCGCTAGGTCACCTCCAACTCCACCAGACTCGTAGACCAGTTGCTTCGCCTCGTTTATTATAGAATACAATGGTGGACTAGCCACGCAAGGGACTTGTTGAGAAGAGGCGCATACATGTACCTGAGCTTCAACCCTGTTGCTAATCTGCGGACACCAGCTGGGATATTGTTCTGATGCTGATCATAGTCCATGATGAGCTTCGGTCTTGAGACTGCTTCGTACCTGTTAAGCAATCATGACAGACATCTTTAATTTTTTCTATATTCCCGCTTGCAGACCAAAGAGAATTTCATTCTATCAGCTTCCATTGCGGACATAATGAAATGGTATCTTCATAACGACTCCTGCTCTCCTGCTCTACTTATTTCTTTGAACCAAATTAAATTGCTTGGTTATTACTACCAAATATTCTGTAACAAATTTGGCCAATCTTCCAGTAAGCATCATATATCTATAGTATGCACAACCTATATCTAAATAATAATCAAATCTCCCAGGCGCCACAAACTTAACTAAAATCGTAAGAAATTCTCTTGGCAAGTTCAGCTCAACAACGTCAAATGGTCAAAGATTCTCGACTTTCGTCAGCACCGCATACATATTGTCCCGCGACAAGGACAACGACTTCCAAGTACGGATTGACATTGACGCAGGATACTGATTTTGATCAAACACAGAAGCAGAATACAGGGGCTCAAGGGCCAGGTCTAGGCAAATGACACGCCTGCCAATTACAATAGCGACTTTTGACCTATGTATATCAAGGGTTTATGCCGAGACTGAGAGGGACCTGGCCGAGGTCGTAGCCCGGAACAGGCGGATTACTGTCGAAACAATGGGGTAGCCAACTTGCGCCGGTGCCTTGGTATTTATGCTAGGGGTTAGGGCATAGTATTACCGGCGTGTTTCCTAGTGTAATGAATGGGTTTTATCCTACTCGTGCTTGCTGTAAATCAATTTGTACAGCCAGGTACAGTACATGTATATTTTCGCCTGTTGCTTCCGCCTGTGCTATTAGTTGCAAAGTAGCTAGAACACCCTGAATAATAGATAAAAGCAGGCACTTGGATTATACACACTTGATCCCCTGCCACTGGCTAGTCATGACCGTGGTACTGTATCTACCGCGTAGGGAGGTGGTGCCGATTATTGACGTGGCCCGGCCTTAAGGTTTCCCGAGGCCGGTGTCATAATATCTGAGCTTTGTCGCGATGATCACTATCTTGGCTTTTCACTGGCCTAATAATTGTTGTACACACAATGGCGAGGAAATTCGCTATTCTCCTGTGTTTAGGTATCTATTAATGATCCCTTTTCTAGGCAGCTTGCGCACGTCGTCAAAACTATTTTCCATTCCCTCTTTCTTAAGGCTAGCAAATAAGGGAAAGTATTCACTTGTTTTGGGAAACTAGCGTGTTTGGCCGAATAGGGGATGTCATGTCAATGCCAACCCTATTGCCATGGCAGCCGCAGCCGCAGCAAGAAGAAAGCAAAGCCACGCATGGTGGTGGTTCATAACCTCAGCCTCTCCGCCTTCCCACAGCTTCTTTCGTCCTCTTCTTTGACAACCTCAAGTTCTATATCCCTTTCCAATGCTGAACCTTCACGAACTTCTTTATCTAAAACCTCCAAGTTTGTTCACCAGGTTGATGCTTTGAGCTTACTCTGCTCCATAAGACGTTCATCTCACCCATGTCCTCGTCCTGCGCCCCTCGCACTCTGTAACGAACCACCGTGCCATATTCACGGCCATGTCCTATTACGGTGACAGCGGATATTCTGGGGCTCAGAGCTCCTATGCCCAGGGCCGACAGGAAACAGGCGCCAGGCATGGGGCACGGGAATGTATGTACCAAGGCACTTCCACTCCAAGTATATGGATTTATCCCCTTCCCTTGGCTCAGCTCAGCGTTAAGCAAGGCCTCCTCCGGCCCGCCCTCTACACACAGTTGCGTGCAAGCAGCCGCGAGCAAGTCATACATTATTTGATCCTTGGAGCAAGTGCTAGCATCTGCTCGCAGGTTTCGTTTGTTCGTTTGTTACTACAGGATCTATAAGACTCCGCCCATTTTGCTCTACGATCTGATCTCTCGTCATCACCATTACTTATACTAATGCCGCAACCATCTGTCGCAGATCATCCGCCGTACACGCACGCCGAGCCCCAATCTGCCGTGTCCGCGTATATTGACGAGAGATTCAACATGTCCGACGACGCCTACAATAACCGCCCTCCCCGTCTGAGCGCGACCTTCATTCCAGGACAAGACGATGATTTCTTTGCCCCGGAGATAGTTTCGCCAGCGCCGCAACGGTGAGATATACCTGGTTGGATGGATAGGAGCTCCGTGCTGACGCCAAGTTTACAGAGTAATGCCCGAAGTTCCCTCTAATATGCAGGAACAACTTTCTCACTTGGAGCTCGAGGCGCGAAACCCCACAGTAGATCGAATGAATTCTGTATCCTCTACATACTCCGAGCTCCCGCAGAGACCCCGCGAATCATATAATGAGCCTCCCCCGCCGCCTCCAAAGGGCCCTGCTTTTACCGCGAGCTATGATCATACAAACGCCTCCGCATATCAAAACATAAACAGCGACTATAAGCAACTTCCGGGAGTGCGTCCTGGACCAGACTCCCCCAAGTTTTCTCCATTTCCCAAACCACGAAAGGCAGGGCCAAATGTACCCCTCTCAGACGAAGAGAAGGAGGAAGTGCTCGACAGAGCAAGAGCACTCGTTCTCCAATCCTCAGACCCAGAAATACAATTAGCATGGGCACAGGACGTTCTATCGTGGGTGGAAGTAGCAAGCCAGCATGCCGCCCGGTTACAAACGGAAGGGGAACCTCCAAGACCCATCACCCCGAAAACCGAGCATGACCTGAGAGTGGACGCTCTTAGTATCGTCAACTTTCTTGCAGAGCAGCGCCATCCAAAGGCGGAGTTTATGAAGAGCATGTGGTTGGAGTTCGGGAAGTTCGGCTATCGCGTGGACAAGAAGGAGGCTTTCCTGGGGTACAAGAGAGCCGCGGAGAGGGGATATGCCCGGGCAGAATACCGGATGGGTATGCAATTCGAGAGCTCGAACAACTCGGCAAAAGCTATCGAGCACTACAAGAAGGGTGTATCCATGGGAGACTCGGCGGCACATTACAGATTAGGCATGATGACATTATTGGGACAACATGGCATGCCACAAAACTACCAGCAGGGGATAGATCTTATACGGTTTTCTGCGGATACAGCAGATGAGAATGCCCCCCAAGGAGCCTACGTTTATGGGATGCTTCTTGCGGGAGAATTGCCAAATATAACGGTTCCGGAGCAGTTCCTACCCTTTGATTTGAATGACGCCAAACTTTTTATCGAAAAAGCCGCATATCTTGGGTTCGCAAAAGCGCAACTTAAAATGGGACAGGCGTATGAGCTGTGCCAATTAGGCTGCGAATTTGAGCCCACTCTTTCGTTGCATTATAATGCTCTGGCAGCCCGCCAAGGAGAAGCCGAGGCCGATATGGCCATTAGCAAGTGGTTTCTGTGTGGCTACGAGGGAATTTTCGACAAGAATGAGGAGTTAGCCTTCACATATGCTCAGCGAGCTGCCCAAACCAAGATGGCAACGGCTGAATTTGCCATGGGCTATTTCTACGAGATCGGCATGTATGTGCCCGTAGATCTGCGTGAATCGGCTGCTTGGTACGAAAAGGCAGCAGAGCACGGGAACAAGGATGCTCTTGGAAGAATTGGCAGTATCAGAAGGAACCGGACTTTATCAAAGAAAGACCATGAGCAAGTTGCCATATCACGGATCAAATCGCAGCATGGCTCCCAGCGTGGAAACAGACCCGATCGGTTCAAAAAGCTCCAAGAGCCCATGCCTCAAATTGTGGACGAGTACGCAGACGAGTTTGAGGATGACTCCGCGGATAGAACAGACATGCCAGACCCAGGTAAGTCTTATGATGGAGTTGGGCAATTACGACCCGAAAGAAAAGGTCTTCCTCCACGACCAGTGTCCGCCGCACCGTACCCGGAAAGCGACCTTCCTCCCATAGTACGACCAAAATCTGCCGCGCCATATCCAGAAGATGACGTTGCGTTCGGCCATCCTCCTGGCTCCTTCCAGGGTCAAGGCCTACGGCCTCAATCTGGCCCACATTCCGATAGACCTATGTCTGCGTTTGGTATAAAGGTACCAGTCCATGCCAATACGCTTGACATGGGCGCCAGGCCTCACGACTCGTCACGAGCTTCGGGAGGAGGCTGGGAACCAGAAGTGCCTTCAAAATACCGACAGCCCACCACGCCTAGTCAACCAGGATTTCTCCCGCCACTTGATGTAGGTCAACCTCTCAATCTCGATCACCCAGGTTGCGGCCCAACCAAGCTTCAGAAGCTGCCTCCAATGAACCCAAACAAACCTCAACCTCTACAACCTCAAGGGTATGGTCCAGACTCGTCCAGACATTCGATGCCTCAGCAAGGATATAATAATCGGCCTGCCGACCCCGCTGTCCAGAGACGAGATCCATCAGCCAATAGCGTCCAGCGCCCTCCTAGGGGAAGTTCCATGATGGGCCCCTCCCCAATGGTCTCCTCCCCAATGGTAAGCCCTCAGCATCCACCACGACATGATTCAATGGCGCCAAACCCAAGCCGTGCCCCCCAGCGACCGATTCCTGCGCATACAATGTCATCACAATCGGCGCCGCACCCAGCCCATGATTCTAGAGCTTCTTCGGCAGCTGCATCGGTGAGTTCGGCGCCCCCGGGACCACCAAAGAAGCCTGCTAGGGCCGGTCCTGCAACATTTGAGGAAATGGGTATTCCTGCTGGGAAGAAAGAAGACGAATGTGTAAGTCCTTCTCCTTGATGTCCTCTTAAAGCCCTCTTCTAACTTTGATGTCTAGACCGTTATGTAAAGAGCTATCATGGCTAGCAAGACGACTTTGCTGGTATGCATGGGCATGTGCGTTAGGGATTGAAGGAAGCATTTAAAATTGAGCGAGCATTGTAAGGGCGTCTGATTTTGCTTTTGCTTTTTTTCCAGTGCTTCGACCTTAAAGGAAATTGGGCTTTTTATGCTTATCACTGGAGGAGCGGTAGATAGAGGGTTAGAAGTGGGTAAGCGTATTTTTCTGAGTAGAAATGATACCCGATATAATTGGTTTTTGCTTGTGTACATTTAAAGTTACTGTGCGCTGGAGAGGGAGAGCAGTGTGTCTCGGTTATTTCTATAATATAGGAGATGCGTCGCGTCGACGACACCTTACCTGCCAACCCACCTTCTCTAACTCCTTTTTTCGTCGCGCCGTTCTGGTGAAGAGCCTGATACTAAGTGTAGAAACAATCATCTCCATCTCTACGATCCTCATCATTGTCGCGTTGATAACGCTATTCTCTCTGATTCTGGAGCCCAAATATTATTCATCCAACCATCGGCGTATCTGTGGCTCCATAATATCCTACAACACTAGACACAGACGTGATGCAACGCCATCTCATATCTCATAACCAATCTTATTTATTCCGCCCTGCTATCCATTCATCCCGTCCGTCTATCTATCAGCCCGTGATTCTCGAGGTCAAGCAAGAGATGGCACCTCGCGCCCCAGCAAAATGCAAGCCGAGTACAGTGGCAGAAGATTCCATAAGCACGGCATCCGCCTCCGACTCCCCTGCTCTAAAACCCAAGACCGAAAAAGCCAAAGTTGAAAAATCGAAAGGAGGTGCTGCTGAGAAAGCCAAGACGAGCAAGAAGGTGGAGAAGGCCATTTCCGCCGCTGCTACTGCTGCTGGAGGAAAAGATGCCAAAGAGAAACCAAGCGCAGGGAAGGATGGGAAAACGAAGCCTGTTAGCGGCGATGAGGCGGAGAAGTTGATTCTCCAGTATCTAAAGGAGCAGAATAGACCTTATAGCGCGACGGAGGTTAGTGCTAATCTACATGGAAAGGTATGTTTCCATCCCCTTGTTTCTCATCAATACGTCGTGCCCTCCCTACTTTGGGCCTTGTTAGTCTAGGCTTCGATAGGGAAGCGTGGCTTTCTATTCCTATGTTTCGTGTATGATATAATTAGACGTGATTAATGCTCGTGTCATAGGTGACCAAAACGCTCGCAGATAGACTTCTAAAAGAGCTCGAACAAGCTGGGAAAATCATGGGAAAAGCGACTAATGGCGATAAAAAAGGCAGTCAATGGGTGTTTTGGTATTTACAGGTAAATCTAGCTTTGCCCTTACGCTCCCAATTTTCCCCTTCGACCCATTCTTGCCTCTTTCTTCGTTTCTAATTTTGAATCTCCATTCCCATCTTCGTATTCCACTACATCGTGTCTCTACCTATTTTGTATTTCGGCCAAAAATGCAGCCTTCATGCTAACGTACTCGCTCCAAAGGACAAAGCCGACCAAGCTTCTCCCACCGAACTCCTCTCCATGGACGAAACCATCTCCACCCTCCGCACAACCACTGTACCAGCCTTGAAATCCCGCTTCAAAGCCCTAACAACCAATCTCTCTACCATCCTCTCGGCGCCTACAACCTCCGAGCTTACCATTCTAATCGCCAATCTCCAGACCTCCAATGCGGAGAAGAGGAGCAGGATCTCGGAACTTAAAGCAGGACAGGATGGGAATGGTAAAAATGGTGGAAAAGGAGCGGTAACGAAAGAAGAAGCCGAAAGGGTGCAGAAAGAATATGCGTATTGGAAAAGTAAGATGGGGGTTAGGAAACGGTGTTTTCGCGAGCTGGAGGGGATGCTTATGGAGGGGATGAGTAGAGATGAGATTTGGGAGCGGGTTGGGATCGAAGACGTTGAGGGCGACGGAGGTTGATGGCTATGAGAACGGTTTGGTGAGAGATCTAGAGAAAGAAGGGATGCGGATGAGAGAGCTGTGCTAGATGAACCTCTGCTATTTGCTACTAACTACCCACGCCATCCCGCAAGCATGAAAGAGCTAAGGAATTATTGAACCCCTATTATTTGATTTGATTTGCGTAGGCTAAGAATTAAATATGCACCAAGTGTGTCCCTAGTCAATGTCCTAAACACTTCACCCTGCCCTGCCCTTCAAATGAAAATAATGAATCATCCTTCAGGCTTAGTATTTCAATGAGATTGAAACGGGCACCACGTAATCTCCACCTTAATATTGTGTTCTAGAAGTATAGTAGACGCCCTCTCAATTTCGTTTACATTTTCATTTCCCATATAGGTGTATCTAATCATCTCACATATTCTCTCGGCTTCACTTCTCTTTCTCTAAATCGTAAAAGGCAAGCAGATACCCTCAAAGCTTAAAGATCAATCTATGTGCCTAGCTTTCCTTAGCTACACTATGCGATTAGGCTAAATTTCCATTCCTTCGTATTCTTTCCCAAATTTTCCTGTAGCGCCAGAACTAGATTATGAATTTCGCCCTCCGGTCCTGGGTATGTTGATTGTCTGTCTGCTTATGTTCTGCTTTTGTATATTACATAAAATTCGTGAGCGGGGTCTATGAGTAGCTGCAAAATGAGTTCCCTTGTGCGGGGCAACAGTTTTGCGTCGCGGAGGGGATGGTAGGAGTGGTGACTGATGTGGTTGTGTATATGACTGGTCGTTGGGGGAAGCTTGATGCCCGTCTAGGGTTGATGGTTGCTCTTAAGCACAGTGGTGCCGTCTTGGAAGTAGCGAGTCAAGATTTGGTAGCATCCTCGGAGCAGCTCATCTCGCGCCAAACATGCCATCGATACCGCCACCGCTCGTGGTTGGAGTGCCATTGGTATTCCTCGGTGGCCCGCCAACAGCACCAAGATGGGGACTTCGCGTACTATTCGCATAAGTCCAACCGCCACTATTTCTCTTCTCCCCTTTCCTCTCATCCACATCCTCCATGCCTTCCATACTGAATACAAAGTCACCCTGTTCTTCGTCAATGGGCGTGGTAAATCTGCCACTCCCACCATTGCCTATACTGCTCGAGCTGACCTGTCTCTCACTAACTCTTTGGCTAGAGCCTAGAGGGTTGCTTGTGGGACGTGCTGGGTGCAGGCTAGATTCACTGCCACCAGATTCGGCCCTTGAAAGTCGGGTCCGTTGAAGCTGTTGTGAAATGATAGACATGGAGCTTTGACGGGGCGGGGAAGCAAGGTAAGGGGATGCGTCACCCGAATTACTTGGACGTGCGATTGGTCGGGAGCTAGGGCTTGCACCTGCGTGGAGAGAAGAATTTCGAAGGGGAGATCCAACATGCCCAAATGCCGAGGCACGGGAAGCCGCTGCTCGATCCTCCTCTTCCTTTTGCTGTTGGTGGCGTTGGAAGAGGGGGCCCCATCTTGAGGGGCTGGCGTTGGAAGGAGAGCCGAATTTCGATGAAATGTCATTGTTTGGAGTACCTGCCCCGCTATGAATCGGTCTGCCTTCTTCGTCAGCTGTGCGAGATCCTCGGCGAGCTTTCTCTTGCGGTGTCATAAGGTCTTTGAGAGTTTCGGGTAGATAATCCTCCTCAAATGTGAACGCTGCCTCCCAATCTTGATCCACAGCCTTTGGAAGACTAGCTGACATAGCTTTGGGTTTTGCGAAACGCTGCGAGTGCATCACTCTCTTTCCGAAGTACTCATCTGCAGGGTTGGTTGGTGGCGAAGCTGCAATGCCATTGAAACGATCCCTTGTATCATCGCCAAATGCAGAGCTATGCAAATTCTTCAACGCTTCCGACGTCCTGCCCTCCTTCGCAGCTCCTACAGAACCCGGGGGGGATTCAAGTCCAAATTTTGAGGGAACCGACGACGCCATTGGGCCGTGCCGAGCAATCCAGGACACCCCGTTGCTATCGAACGACGCTGGGAGAGGGGCATCTAGGACACTGAGACCCTTACCCCCGACTGGTGATAGGCCGAGCCCAAACCGATTTATATCTTCGTCTCTTGGGGAGCCGTAGGTCGATCCTGGATGAGAAGCATAACTTGTATCAATCGTCGGCACACTAATATCAATGCTCTGATGACGTCCTGTCTGAGGAGCAAAGCTATCATCTTGGCCCGTAAAAGGCGGGTATTGCTGGTTATATGGAGATGGTGGCACGCCGTTCGCACGCATAAATGAGTTGGTCAGGGCCGAGCCGGAATTCTGTGGGTGATACAGGTCTGTGTTTAATCGGCCACCAATATTCAGATGTGCTGGTCCCATTGGACCCCCTTGTTTATAGTTGACTCGGCGTCCATCGGGAAGGACGTGTATGTTCGCGCATTTGGGACCAAATTTGCAGTTGCCCTTGATAAATTAGAATTAGTCGAGATCTGTAGATGATGTCCTTCCGTCTACTCACCTTTGCAAAGTATTTGCATATATTATCTGTCGTGCTCGCGAGATCGTGGCTGAAGGGGCATGCAGATCCAGCTTGACACGCGCCTTGTCGATAAAATTTGCACGGTACATGTGAAGTGTCTGGGAATCACAAATGTCAGTGAGCGGACGAGAAGTAGAAGCTGGGGATACTGACTTTGTCGCCCAGGTGGACTTCGTGGACCATCAAACCGTCCCATTGCGCCAGCTGGTGCAGGTGCAGGTGGAGCTTCTCCGCCGTTGCCGTTGCTGTTAAGCGCAGTTGGCGGTGGGATATTCAGCGAGCCGGTGCTCATATGCCTATATTCTGGAGCCATCTCAGAAGCACCCTGGCTTACTATTACTTGCTAGCAATGTGGAAATACCGATATGCGCTCTCCGATGCCAGAGGATGTCGAGGGCTTCTGTTCAAGTCTCGCGACCCCGCGAAGTGGGGGATTAGGGATGTCGATCTGGTTCCGTAGAGTCGCTGAAGGAGGGCTCTGTCTTGGTGGGTGGAGGTGAGCGCCAGTAGATACGAAGAAAAGCAATCTCGGTGTCGAGATGGGGCGAGTGGACTGGTTCGTCGCCGATGCTTGTATCTGGTCCTTTGGTGGTTGGGAGGTTGGTGTCGTGTTGTGGGAGAGGTGAGATGGAAGTGGTTTACAAGCGGTCGAAGCGGAGCTCCCTCGCGTTGTCTTTGGTAGCACCTTGAAAAGCTAAATTTCAACCACCCAGGCTCTTGCTCTGTCTGCCGCCCCTGCCGTCTATACTCCGCCTTGCAAAACACGAAGCCAGCCTTGACCTAGTTTACAGCTAGGAGCAATGAATTTACCAAACTCCGATGGGAGCTCTACCTAAATCGCTAAAAGCCTACAATTTCTGTGCCTTAGAATTGCGAGCCTTGAGGGGTACTCGAGTAACTCTTCGGCGCCCGCAAGCTAAGGGCCCGGGACGAACGCGGGCGTCTCCTAACAATCGGATTGTTTTGGCGGCTGTGGACATTTATTAACAGGACCCTTGCGAATAGTAGGAAGCGTCGGGTATGATTATGCTGCTTTCCTCTTATCGGGGGCAACGAGCAGCGCAGGAATCAAAAACTCCAGATATGTACGCTTTGATAGGCCAGGCCAGAAGTGTTTTTGATATGTACGAGGGGGTTTGAAGAAGCAACCGTGGACGATATCAGAGGGGATCAGGCTCAACTCTCGAGTCCCTGGGAGTGCAGACTTCAGACCACCAATGGCCAAACGGGAGATAGGAGTTAATGGGAGCTGAAGGGAGCTCAAGGGGACCTAGCTGTTCTACGTTCTGCCTAGGCCTAGGTAGGTAGGCTCTAGGATGCTCTGGAGGTCTCGTGATTGCTAAAGTCATGTCGGAATGCATCTGCAACTTTCCGCATCGTGGGCCTGCAGATCTTGGCCGCGACATGGACTATTTGGTCTGGAGGACACCGCTTTTATCATATCATATGCGCAGCGTCGACGCAAAACCATCATACCATATCCAGATCCCCTTCTAGCATTTCCCCCTGTAAGGCAACGAGTGAAGATGACAGCTCGATGATCACGCAACGACTCGGTCCCAGAGATCCCAGCGTTCCAAACGCCTCGTCTATCTTTAGATGTTCTTCTGCGTGGACAAGCTATGGTTCTCCGCTCTCATACTAGGCCTAGATAGCCGAAGACAACGACATGGCATCCACTACGCTATCTGACGAGTATGGCCGTGACCATATCTCCTTCCCCTCTTTTTTACTCCAGCAACCGGGAGTCGACATCAAGGAAAGGGTCAGAAGAGCAGGCGAACAGGCGGAGCGGAGAGCGAGCGGGAATCATTGGTGCAAACCGCAAACGTTTCAACCGCCTACGCCTCCTATGCCCCGCCTCGTCTGGCGCGGTTGCTACAAAATGCACCCATCGATGTCGAGGATACGGCATTTAGTAATCTTCGATCTATACTGCCATCCTTGAGACCAAGGATCAAGACGCCTTCTAGTCATCTGATCAACGGACTGTTCCAACTTCCAAGTTTCTTTTTGAGACACAGCATGTGAAAAGGGTAGGTTAGACGCGTATCACATCAAGCTCTAGACCACCCTCTCCACACTCTTCAAAAGCCTCCAAGCTATTAGTCAATTAACAAACAATTGCCACAGCCACAACCACGCACCACAATAGTTGAGGTGACACACATCGCTCAGCCATAAAGTGTTAGCCCTATTTACCAAAGCCACACAAGCCCAATACGAACCGACAGCTTGGTCATCCGGCCTACTTTTGCAAGAACCCACGTTTTGGGTTATCACATGTATCAGCCGCCTTTCATGACAAGTAAGCTTGTTTCAGGGTTTGGTGTTGTTTTGATCACTGCGTGGTGAGCGCCACGTCAGATTCGGCGCGCCCGACTCGGAAATATTGGACCTCTTTATGAAATGGAAATGAAATGATGGTGTGGTGACGGGATGGTGTGTGGATATGTAGTACATTGCCGTGTGGTACTAATCACTACCGTTATTGGGATTTCTAGGAAGTCGAGGGAACCTCAAGTACAAGCACCCAACAAATCAGATATGGAGATTGGGGGACCGAAGTCGTTCATTGCGCAGAACTTAGTGTATTCTTTCCTCGTCAACAACTCCAATGGAGTTTAGGCTCTCATCAGCACCTGGTTTTTCATTCGCTGTCATAGTGCTGAACACAAAAGAACCCTACGTCTCTTGTTTTCACAGCTACTTCTCAAATTGAATAGAATTTAACTTGGAAGCTACTGAGTTGTACTTTCTAATCTCAAAGCTACGATAGCTTCGGGTCTCATTCAAGTAGCTATTTGTTGTGCTGGCGGCCTATTCTGTTGCGGACAATGTTGACTTGTTGCGTAAAGATTACTTGCTTAAGCTTGGCCGCTACGTGGTATAGACGGTCCAAGTAGCCGTAAAGAAGACTTGAGCCATCCGCCCTGCAATCCTCTCTTTATATCCTTTCTAGATTAATATCAACCAAAATCACTAGTTTAGACAATATACAGCATAAACCAGGTAAATTGCCGTATTGTTTAACGAGCCTGTCGTTTTATTTCCCGAGGACGCGATGCCATCGCGAAACATAAAGGCATTTTGGGATACCATTTACTGGGTTTTGTTTAGAGATGTCACTATGGCGGAAGTAGAGTCAAATATCCATGAGACTTGAAGGGACAAAGAACAAAACTCCAGAGGATGGGATATAGATTATAAACTAAGAATAATTTATTTTCTAGTGCATATCTACAGGTAAGAAGTACCTTGCTCCACATGTCTGTTGCTTCTTATGCACTTGGTACTCGGCCGTCGGTTCTGTGTCGACACACTTCAGCATGCTCGATAGACCGCGCCAGTTCAACATGAGGCGAAACTAGTCTGGCCCACTTAGTTAGTTATAGAATCTATGGATACTGGTAATTCCTGGCACTTGGCAGAGCCTGAAAATGATTATAGTGCGATAAATTTGAGATTAATAGATATGACATTTTCTGGGCATCGCAGACTGAATATATCAAAAACGAACTAAGTGAAAATTGGGACGACTACTTGGCATAACCCATCTACAAGGCTTGTAATAGGAATATGAACTACCATCAGGATAACTTCTGGAGTATAAATACTAACTTTTCAGGGTCAGGAGCTCATATCTAATAGATAAGCTTAAGAACACGAAGTATACTGTAGCAAGATTTCCAGGGCCGTAATATGACTAAGTTATTATCACGTGATAGTTGCATATTTATGCCTGAGGCGATAACCGCAAAGATCGCAGCTTTTGGCAGCAGCTTCAGGGTAACGATGAAGATAAAATAAATGTAAAAATAATATTCCCATTCCTCCTCTGTCTAAATCTCCTTCCTCCTAAAGTCCTGCAAGACACGTCTCGACGGTTGTCTGTGATTGTTCCCTTCCTCCTATGGGTCTGCGTCGAGTCGCAGCTCCTCTTAGGGTTTTGACCTCGATCATGTGAGCCGTCTCGCTAAAACTTTCACTAGCGCGCTTTTCAATTTTTGAGGCGCATCTTCAATTTCTAGCATTGAAGATCCAGACGACCCCACGACAACGACAACAGCATCGAACAATACCGTCACGATGCCTACTCGTCTAAGCAATACCCGCAAGCAGTACGTTCTCCTCATCTTCCCAGTTATGCCGAACCCTCTTGGGAACGATTGTCTCTGCACGCGCTGGGTGTCTCCCCCGCCCAGCATTGTTGATCTGGGCACAGCGATATCAGTCTATTCGATTGGAGATGCCAGATGGAGATACCGGATGGAAAGAGTGGTAGATCAAGGGAGAATATTTGCTAACATTTGACAAAATTATAGCCGCGGTCATGTCTCCGCTGGTAGGGGAAGAGTAGGCAAGCATCGCAAGCATCCCGGTGGAAGAGGTCTTGCTGGTGGACAACATCATCACCGAACGAACATGGACAAGTACCATCCTGGTTACTTCGGAAAGGTCGGTATGCGGTACTTCCACAAGCAAGGCAACCACTTCTGGAGGCCCATTATCAACTTGGACAAGGTACGTTTTGAGACACCGATCCGTTGGGTTTTTGGCATTGGAGGCTGGGGGAATTAGAGAGCGACCGAAGATATGGGGCCCACAGAAAAGTTGTGCAAGGGGATATGGGCAGGATGAAGGACTCTAGGAGCTATTTTCAGACCAAGTTAAGATGCTAATACGGCGGAATTTTAGCTCTGGTCCCTCGTCCCCGCCGAGAAGCGTGACGAATACCTCTCCGGCAGCAAGAAAGACACCCTCCCTGTCCTCGACCTCCTTCCCCTCGGATACTCAAAAGTTCTCGGCAAAGGCAAAATGCCAGAAGTCCCATTAGTCGTGCGCGCGAGATGGTTCAGCAAGGAGGCAGAGCGGAAGATCACCGAGGCTGGTGGTGTTGTCGAATTGGTTGCATGAGCGTGGTGTTACTCAGGACGGAATGGAATGGTAACGGGGCTTGCGTGCATCAATTGTGGACTTGAAGAAAGGCGTGGCTTGATTCATGCATACTATTTAGCATGAACCGGCTTACTTCTATGGCTATCGGAGTTCCTATGAATGAAAAGCACAAAACCAAGACTCAAATTCGCATATGCGTTTGCCAACTGGAGAATGTGATGATTATCCTTGGGTTTATGTGGTGATGTCCTATTTAGATCATAATGAGCCCATAAGACGCACCACGAATGCGAAATATGTACGTGGAGTTTAAAAGAATTATATGCCTCTTCCACGTCGTAATCACCAGCAACGCCTCTTATGCCTCTCCCATCATACGCCATCAACAGCAACGCCTCCCATATGATTATCTTACAGCATGTACATTTCCACCTGAACCCCATATTACCCAGAAATTCATTCTGGAGTGTTAATAATCTCCATCTCATCCTCCTCCTCATCATCCACTCTCAGGAAATCGTGCTCGAGTGCCTCTTTAGCACTAATACGCTTATTTGGATCAAGTTCGAAGCAACGTTCTAGGAATGCCACAGCCAGCTTTTCTTCACCAGACAAGCTATTCACAGCTTTCGACCACATAATAATCTTTTCCAGTGTAAAGCCTGTCTTTCCAATAGTGGGAATGTTTGTCTCAAAGACAGTACCATGAAGGTATGCACAAGACTTCATCCTTTGGACGCCAAAAATAGTGGCAATCTCAATCATTGCCTCGACATCATCGGCCGAGTTGAAGAAAGGGAAACGCCTTGATAGGAAGGTCAATAGGATTACCCCCGCTGACCAAATATCGAGCTTGGTTGTCTGGTTCGTGCATTTGAATAGCACCTCAGGCGCCCGGAATCCACGAGTGCCAGCTCGATTCGCGCGTCGAGAAGGGCGGGAGTCGTTCTTTGGATAGCCGTTTGAAGGGCCCATAGTAGCAGCCACGCTGTTGGAGATCCGGGCACGTCGTCTCTCCGAGTCCTTCTGACAAAGACATGGTTTGCATTCTGTTCCCTCTTTCTCAGCCAGTCCGAAATCAACCAGGACCCCGCGTTCTTTAGCCGAATCGTATAAGAAGTTCGTGGGCTTGATATCTCGATGGATGATCCGCCTTTCGTGTACTGCTTCAAGAGCCGTGAATAAAGACCGGAAATATACCCTCACCTGTGATGTGGTGAACTCTCTGAAATAGTCGCGGAAATCCGTATGTCTGAAGTATGGAAGAATTGCAATAACTTGGTCTGTATTCCGGAATGCTGTAATGAGGGGGCACACGGAATTGCAGTTTTGCAGATCGTGGAGCAGCTCCAGCTCATTTAGAATCCGCATTGGACTACTCGTAGCATATATCTTTTTGATGGCCACATATTTCTTCGGCGGCCCCTCCTGTCTCCGTTGTCGGTGGTCATCCTCGTCCTCGTATGGGTGATTTGTCTTCCGTCTCTTGACTGGTGGTGAACACCAATTGAGGTTGGGGTTTTCCTTATCGGGGTCCCAATCGTTTTCAAAATGGTCGTATAACAAGTCCTCCGCTTTATATACAGTAGAGAAGGTCCCTATATCGTGTCAACATACGGTCAAGTATGGTTTGGAATTAACGTACCTTCTCCAATCCGATTGATCAGACGAAATCGTTCTTTTATACCCTTAAATGTATTTTGGAACTTGTCCATATCTTCTTGCACCGAAGGGTCGACATGTGCATCGCTCTCGTCGGAGCACTCGGAATCTCCGTCTCCATCCCCGTCCTGTGTTTCGCCTCGTGACTCGTCCGACCCATGATCCTCTTCATTAATAACCTCATCCGCGTCCAGCTCGTCGTGATGTATCTCGAACGGTATTCTCGCGTTCCTGGGACGAACTGCAGCCATCTTGGAGCACCGAGCTTCAGGAATGGCCGAAATCCAACAATTGCCCTGCGAGCAATAGTTGAATCTTGTAAGGCTTCTCGATTGGTTGTTTAGAATTAAGTATATGAAGTGCATATAACGGTAGACGCGGGGTGTTGATACAACATAAGGCGCTAAATCGGATTGGGAAGTAAGTCAACAACGCGTAACCCTGTCCACAAACCAAAACACCACCGGCTTTGCGACTTTTGCGACAAACCCGACTTCAAGCGAAAAGGCAACTCGTTGATGTCTATACAAGTGCAGTTGAATACTGCGTCCTTATTTTCATTATGGACACCATCAACTTCGATATCAACGATGCTCTCAAACATTATATGAGCGATCCTGCCACAATATCTACGCCGGAAGCCGACTCGAATCTCGTCGATTGCGAAAACGACCCCGAATCCCTCACCAACTCCCTAATAAATACTGTGTTGAATCCGATCGTCGATTCAGTAGCGGAGAATCCAGATGCTATAACAAGAAGCTCCTCATTTGACTCGCTGCAATTTTTACTAAAGTGTGCCCCAGTTTCCTTTAAGTCTATTCAAAATTACCCTACAGAGCCGGACTCTGAACTCTTCAAACTATCTAGATCCTCCTCCATCCTACCCACACATGCCTTAAGCAAAATCCTTGATCTCGTTGTCTTTGGGCTATCTGCTGAGGCGGATGTCATCCACCACGATCTCGAGTCGGATGAGCAAGATATCATTTCACACCACAAAAACCTACTAGAGATCTTCGGCTTTCTGCTACAATGGACTATTGCTGCAGTCGAAACGAAGGCGGCGGAGAAGTCTACCACAGCGCCCGCCGCTCGAGGACGAGGAAAAGGCGCGAAATCGAAAGCCGCAGGAAAGGATAAGGATGGAAATTGGGATTCGTCTTCCCAATTACAAACTGCCCTTGATACCATGTGTAAAGTGTTCAAGTTGAAGCTCTCCAAAATCTTCCTGACTACTTCGGAAAGGGATACATTTATTAGCCTGTTCACTCGACCAGTGACCATGGTTTTGGAAAGCGAGCAGAGGGTTAAGAACACTGCGATTCGGATGCATGCATTTAAAGTATTGTGCATAGCTGTTAAACATCACGGTCACGGCTATGGTAAGATCGGGCCCGCCGCAGTTCCTTGACAGATATGCTAATGTTCCATGCCAGCCGCGCAAATATCGATTGTCCAGAACTTGACCTACTTTGAGCATCTTGCAGAGCCAATGGCGGAATTCCTTCATATCCTTGCAGAGCAATATGATTATCCCCAACTTACTGACGAGATTCTTCGAGAGCTCAGCAACAAAGAGTTCAACAGTAATGATACCAAAGGACCGAAGTCAGTCTCTTCATTCATTGTCAAGCTTTCCGAACTTGCACCTAGACTCGTCATTAAGCAGATGACGATGTTAGCGAAACAACTAGACAGCGAGTCCTATGCGCTACGATGTGCTCTCATCGAAGTCTGTGGAAATTTACTAGCATATCTGAGCAAGCTCGAAGAACGGGGTGACAACCACAAGTCACAGTTAAATGCCTTTTTCGATGTTCTAGAGGAGCGTTTCTTGGATATCAATCCTTATTGCCGATGTAGGACAATCCAAGTCTATATCAAGCTATGCGATCTGGAACAAAAATTTCCGAAACGGCGACAAAAGGCTGCAGAACTAGCAGCCAGAAGTTTGGAGGACAAAAGTAGCAATGTTCGAAGAAACGCTATTAAGCTCTTAGGATCACTAATCAAGACACATCCATTCAGCATCATGCATGGTTCTCAGCTCTCGCATAAGGAATGGACTGCAAGACTGGAGGCTGTGGATGCAGAACTGAATGCTCTGAACCCCCCCGTCGACACACCAGGTTTGACCAACAAACCAGATGTGACCGTGGATACAGCACTGCTCGATGATGCCACACAAGTCGAGCCAGAATCCCCACAAAAACAGATGACAGAAGAACACAAAGCTGCTATCGTCAGGAAGGCCCAAGAGGACGCCGCAACTTCAGAGGCCATCAACAAGTTAACCTTGACAAGACGGTACTATGTCGAAGCGCTCAAATTCGTTGACGTTCTGCATGGTGCCACTACTACTGTTTGTCAGTTGCTTGGCTCTAAGAATAAGAGCGAAGTTATCGAAGCCATGGATTACTTCGAAATTGGTGATGCGTACAACATCGAGCAAAATAAGTTAGGCATCCGGAGGATGTTGCGGTTGATTTGGACCAAGGGGAACAGCGATGAAGGGAAGGGCATTCAAAATCATCTAATCGAGTGCTATAAGCGCCTCTTTTTTGAAGCCCCAGATTCTTACAACGGCAACGATGCGGCAAACTACATTGCTCGAAACATGATCAGCTTAACCTTCGGTGCCACACCAGCGGAGTTGACATCGTTGGAGCAGCTTCTCAGCACCATGATGAAGGTGAATCATGTCTCAGAACTTGTTGTTCAGAAATTATGGCAAGTCTATGGCGTACAGAAAAGGGAAATCTCCAAAAGTCAGCGACGTGGGTCAATTATTGTGCTTGGCATGCTCGCAACAGCAAAGCCAGAGATTGTAGTTGGTGAGATGGAGACAATGCTCCGAATTGGTCTCGGCAGACTTGGACGTTCCGATCTACAGCTGGCCAAGTACACTTGTATCGCCCTTCGAAGAATAAATTCTACCGGACGACAGGTAAATGAGCCCAACATCCAGCCTTCAAAACTTCCAAACGACCATGCCATTCTTTCCAAGCTGGCAGCTATTATCGAGCTTGAATCAGATAACAAGGAATGGTACGGGGTTGCTGAGCAAGCAATCAGTGCCATATATGCGCTTTCAAAGCACCCAGACACTCTCTGCTCCGAAATTTTGCGAAGGAAGACGAAGCATGTATTCCAGCAACGAGTCGCAAAAACACCTGAGCCAGAAGTAGCCCAAGGAGAAGCCCAAGGAGAAGCCCAAGGAGAAGCCCAAGAGGAAGCCCAAGAGGTGACCCAAGTACTTTCTCCTCCACCGGAGCCACCAGTCGAGGTACCTGAGCCAGACAAGAAGCTGAAGGGGGCGGTTGCCTTGTCACAGCTTCTCTTTATTGTAGGCCACGTCGCCATTAAGCAGATTGTTCACCTAGAGCTTTGCGAGCTAGAGTTCAAGCGGCGGAAAGCAGATACCGAAAAGAACAAGCCAGCGGAGACAGCAGCTGACAAGGCGGCAAAAGAAGCAGCAGATGATCTAGATATGATTGGCGGAACCACTGAGGACGACTTCACCGAAGCAATGACACACATTCGGGAGAGGGAGCTCCTATATGGTGAAAAGTCACTTCTAGCCAATTTCGGTCCCCTGGTCTCGGAGATATGTTCAAATAACACCACATACAAGGACCGGAATCTCCAAGCAGCCGCCACGCTCTGCTTGGCGAAGCTCATGTGCGTTAGCTCTGAGTACTGCGAAACCAACCTTCCGCTGCTCATTACCATACTCGAAAGGTCTAAAGACCCTATTACACGGTCAAACGTTGTCATTGCTCTTGGTGACATGGCGGTCTGTTTCAACCATCTCATCGACGAAAACACGGACTTCTTGTACCGTCGTCTCAACGACAAGGATGCGAGTGTTAAGCGCACCTGCTTAATGACGCTCACATTCCTTATCCTTGCTGGTCAAGTCAAGGTGAAAGGCCAGTTAGGAGAGATGGCCAAGTGCCTGGAAGATGAGGATAAACGCATTGCGGATATGAGTCGAATGTTCTTTACTGAACTGAGCACCAAGGATAATGCTGTCTATAACCACTTTGTAGATATGTTCAGTTTATTGTCTGCTGAGAAGGAGCTGGAAGAGGATTCTCTGAGGAGGATCATTAAGTTTTTGGCTGGGTTTATTGAGAAGGTATTTCATCGTACTCTCCTGCAAGTTATTATTTGCAATGAATTCTAATGCGTGATTTAGGATAAGCATGCTAAGCAACTAGCTGATAAGTTGGCGGCAAGACTTACCAGGTGTGAAACTGAGAGGCAATGGAATGATGTGGCGTATGCGCTTAGTCTTCTCCAACATAAGAATGAGGATATCACGAAGATGGTGGCAGGTGGTTTTAAGGTAATTCAGGCAAGTGCCTAAGCAAAGAATATATCCTGCTGTATGTGTTTATATTGTATGGGTATTAGGAAGGATGCGGGTGGAGGGAAGGTTACCTGCTTGGTTGGGGGTATGGGGCGTTTGTGATTCGTAATAATGCCCTTATGAACGAAGCGTATATTGATCTTGAAAGGGGGGAGTATCTTAAGTAGTTGAATCAGATTTCATTAGCCTTGGCCCAAAAAACGTACTGAAGTTCTAAAATAGGGTCAGGATCTTTGCCCCGCGTATATTGAGATGATTAGCAGAATTGCTTGGGTTGACAGTTCCGTGCAGGCACAGAAGAGCTACGAGGAGTTCAGGAAGATGGAGGAACCAGAGGCAAAAATATCAGGCCGGAAAACATTTAAAGTAGCATTAGGAATTAGGACAAGGGCCAAAAAGTTTATGCTAGGTATCAGGATCGAACTGATGATCTTCTGTGCGTCTCGGTCCAGCTCAAACCCACTCTCTACAACAGTGTCCTTTGGATAAACTGGAGATGTGTTTTTTGTTGGCAGAGTATTGGCCGATGTGAGACAGACGTCGTACCACTAGACCAACCTAGCATTAGAGGTAAATTTAAAATAGAAAGTCCTATTTAACATTATATAGGTGAGGGACTGGGGGTTGGTGAATGATACCGCGTGCCGGTGTATCCCCCCCCTTAGTACATAATATTATTTTCAATATAAATAGCTCTAATGGCCCTCGCAGACTAATGATCTAGGAAAATGTTACAACTACTTTATCCTTCCTTAACTTATTGACCCAAGGGTGATAATAAACTGCGATAACTAGGTAGTAACTATCTCGCTTACCGTCTTGCTTTTGGTTGAATGAGACAACTATTCCCTCCGCCGAACCTGTTACCGCTTGAATGACCAATTCAATAGGCTACATCTCGGCCGTAGCCAGTAGCCAGTCTAACAATTGCTCAAGAATACAGATAAGGTTCGTGTCAAGCTATAGGCGCACGAGAAATCAAAATATAATTTAGATCAAGTAATTTCCTTGGATTAAGTTAGAAGATCTCCATTGCTGGAGCGTGATAAATGTTTAGGAGACTTGGGCAAATTTAATAAAGAATTTAAACACCTAACTATTTAGACTAGAAAAACCGAGAGAGTGGGTTGGTTTCTATTACCGCGCTTTAACTTTAATATGCGCAGATGCTCGTGGCAACGTAAACACCAAAAAAACACAATGGCTTAATAGCAGGAAAGAGTTGTAGTCAAAGGATATCCTGGTATCTAGTAAGAGAGAGCAGTGGCGGTTCTCGTTGGTGCCTGAGGCCGAAACAGCTTCAATGCCACCGACCGCGTCTCCCAAAGCTACCTAGATCTTTGCCTACCTCACCTCCATATCACATCAACCCAAACAACCACCCTTCCCATCCACCCTACCCATTATTCGCACAGCCCATATCTTTCCCTCTCAAAATGTCCGAACGCGATCTCCAAGATATTCTCCGGAAATTAAGATCCTCCCCTTCTTACGCAGACGCCTCCGCCCTCCTCAGCAAAGCCAAAATCACCCTCCTAAAGCTCCACGCCCTCACGCCTCAACCCTCCACCCCTCAATCTATCCTCCTGGCCGCGCGAGAAGTCTTCGACCTCGGCGCCCTCCTCAGCATCCGCGCCAAAGACCCCGCTGCTTTCACACGCTATGTGCATCAACTAACGCCCTTCTACGATTTACCCGCCGACAGACTTCCCGCCACAAGGAGCGAGCGGAATAAGGTCATCGGGTTGTATTTATTGCTGCTGTTGACGCAGGGCGATTATGCTGGTTTCCATACGGAGTTGGAGGGCTTGGAGTTGAGGGAAGGGAATGGGGGTAGGGTGGAGGATGATAAGTTTCTAGGGTATCCGATCAAGCTCGAACGGTGGTTGATGGAGGGGAGTTATGATTTGGTTTGGAAGGCTATGGCTAGTCGGGAGGTGCCTAGTGAGGAGTATGGAATCTTTTCAGAAGTATGTTTGTTTCGTTTCCCTCCTCTACATTCAGATAGTTTAGGGAATGTGTAGTGGCTAACAGTAACCTAGATTCTCACCTCCCAAATCCGGAACGAGATCGCTTCATGTAGCGAAACTGCATACCCATCACTCCCCATCTCATCAACGAAGAACCTACTGTTCCTTGATAGCGAAGGGGCTGTGGTTTCTTTTGCCCAGAGCAGAGGTTGGTTAGTTAGGGATGGACGGATATACTTCCCGAACCAGAGCCTGAAGGCTGGTTCAGATCAGGAAGGTAACCAGAAGGAGCTGAGCCGGCTAGCGATCGAGAACACGCTAGGCTATGCAAGGGAGCTGGAGACCATCGTCTGAGGGCATTCCACAACTACGATGCTCTGTTCTAGGCCAAACAAGAGATTGTTTAAGATAGTGGCTTGTCAACTATGTATTCTAGAATTGGCGCTTAGGTGTACTTGAAGAAACGGTCAAGAATAGATTGCAGCTTATGATATGATTGGCTTTTATCTAGATACCTACGTGATCCAGGGGCTAACATTTATTGATACTCCTTACATGCATCTAGGTGTAGCAGCCAACTATAGCCACCATCTACTTTTCCCGAACTCCATATTCGTTCCGAAATTGCGCTCACGCAACGAGCTTTAGCCCACTTCCATTCTTTCCCACTTCGCATACTCCGCACACAGCACAGACGGTACCCTTGTACTTGGAATGGTACTTGCTGCCATCAAAAGCACAAACTTCAAATGCCGAGCCTGAGTAGATGGGTGTATGGGATGCAGCACAAATGTCGAATTCGGCAAATTGGTCAAATTCGATATCATGAGCATCATTCGGGTTGCGTTCGCATTGAGCCTTCATTTTCCGTGCCTACAGGACATAATCAGTAAAGCTAGCTTAAGACGTCTCAGAAGTCGCTTACATTATCGAGCATCTTGGCAGCGCCCCCATTTGCTAACATCCTGTTTGCAAAGCTCAGCGCCGAATTGAGGTTCTTGTTGGTATAGGCCAACTTCATCGCACTCAAAAGAGCTATTTGTCTGTGGGGAACCTCGAGCTTTGGAATGGTGAAATATGCCGAGAGTTCAAGACTGCGCTTGAGCTTCTCGGGCGATTTGGCTACCTCTTCATTACTGCCAAGCTTTCGGCGGGACAATTCAATCGCCATCGCAATGCTGTATTCGCATGCAGATGTGATGAGCTTCTTAGCCTCTTCCACCTCGGAAACTGTAGAGACCGCATTCACAAGAAGTGCATGGAGGATGCCTCTGAAAATTTTCGCGCCGTCGTCCAATTTGTTGGTTCGCATAGCATCATATCCTCTTTGGAGGTCATTTGTTGCTAGGAACTCGATATCACGAGGGATGATTGGGAGGACCTTTCGAGTATCTGTCTCATCGACAGTTCGGCGAACATAGTTGATGATCGGTGGGAGTCCAGCTGATGCCGGAAGATATGTCTTGGATGCCTCATAGATTTCCAGGAAGCGCGGCTTTAGCGGTTCGAAATTAACAGCACCGAGCTGTCTGTTTAATAATTGCATTGCTGTCTCGAAAGAACCTCCAGCCACGTGATCTGCCGCAAGTGGCGAGTTGCGGGCCCATAAATCGGCTTCACTGCTTCCTGCGCCAGCTTCAGCACTATCGACATTGACAAAGTCGCTCTCGACTTCTGGGACGATATCATCTCCCATGTCCCAGCCAGCAGCATCCTCGTCATCCTCTGCATCTGCGAGATTAGTTGTTCGGTTGTCACCATCGCCTTCTCCAGCATCGTCAAAGCCGAATCCATTGGAGGTGGTCGCCGGCTCGTCTTCTAGTGATAGGCCCTCTACCTGGCCAAGTAGTGCTTTCTCGAAAAATGACTGTGATGTAGCCTTCGTTGGCCAGTTAGACTTGAAAGTGGGCACGACAGGTTTCGGTGGAGTCAGGGGAGAGCCTATCGATGGGAGTGTGATTTGGTCTTCGGTGAGTCCAGTTGCTTCTAATATTGACTCGCACTCTTCTGTCAGGCCATTGGATTTCGCAGTCATGTATGCAAGGGGATCTATCTTGATTAGTCGAGTCCAAAAAGAAGAACATGGATATACGCACAGAGATCAATTTCCTTGAACATATTTATCCGATCATTCACGTCTCCAAGATACAGCGCATTCTGGAAACGAGCAGTGAAATCACCACGATGTTCAGCAATCTTTGCCATTCGTGTGAGTTTTGCCTCGTCGCCAGTAGTGAGATAAAGGAATGACAACTTGTCGAACTGCCTCAATTTCTGGTATGTCATCTCGACAATCTGGTGATTGCCGTGGGCAATGGCTTCTGTTGTCAAACGCGACCAAAGCTTGGGCCGGTCCAGTTGCTTCGCCATTTCAACAGCAACATCCAAGTTACCGCACTCGATTGCAAGTTCGAATCGTGTTTGTGGATCTTGAACGAATTGCAGCGCAATTTCGGGGTAGCCTTTCTTCTGTAAGTATGAAATGATGCTTTGACCAACCAAACTCGAGTTCTTGATGATTTGTAGCATTTCTTCGTAGTTCCGCTTGACAAGTGCCAGTTTGAAGCGATACTCAGTAGGGTCAATATTCAAGATCTTCGGCTTAGCATTTCGATCCAAACAGTACACACTGCGTGCTTTAACCCGCACGAGGTATACAGTTTGGTCAAGGGTCCGAACAATTCCGTTATCACCATTCAGCAGAGTATACTTGATATGGTTGAGGGTTGAGTAGAGAAGGACGCCGGCATCATCCCACGTTGCGCTTTTTATCCGAATCGTTTCATGTAATGTACTGACTTGTTCCAAAGTCTTCGTTACAATGGTGACGTTGTGTTTGCTCAGAAGAGCAGCATAAAGGCCGTCATTTGACCAAACCACATACTTCACGCCGGCAACAGCGAGTTCCGCAACTGCCTTCTTCTGCTGGATATCATAAAGTTGGACGAGGGCGGGTGTGATGAGTAGAAGATTACCAGTGCCGCCAAAGTAGATATCGGTTGTTCCACTTGGTGGCTTGATGGTTTTTGTGGTTGAATTAGCGAGGTCCTTGATATCAATTTGTTGGTTGGCAGCGTGAAAGACAGCAAATCTATTGCGTGCTACAAAAACGGCTGAATTGCCCTGGCCGCGTTTTGTATCAGGAGCATCTATTGAACCAGAGCCGTCCCTAGGAAGATTTATGAGTTCGTAAGATCCGCCGTCGGCAGGTGAAGTGACTAAGATAGCTCTCTCAGCAGGGTTGTACGATAATGACCGTGGAGGGACCCATGGGCTGCCCAGCTTTTTGAGAGTTAACAAAGTCGGACTCTCGATATTCTTCTGGAAGTCGTATGATCGGACGTGCTTCTCCTTGGTAATAAAGAAAAGGTTGTTCTGATAGAAGGCGGACGCAGGTCTTTCCCGCTCAAGCTTGAAAACCATAACACCATTATCGTGGCCAGCAGCAAAGAGATTAATTTCCGGATGGGCAGCAATGACCCAAAACCGATCGTTTTCGCGCTTGAATGATTGCACAGAGGTACGCTTATTGAGATCCCAAACTCGGATGGTCTTATCTTCACCCACTGACAGTATGAGATCTTGGTGGGGATGAAACAGGCATCCCGAAGCATTCTGGAAATGTCCTCGACATGTGTCGACTTCCCAAGCTTTTGTTTCACTCATTCTCCACAGCTTCACAAGCCGATCATCTCCCGCAGACACGATAAGGGGTAATGTAGGATGGAAGGCAACCCAGTTCACACCTCTGTCATGCCCCTCCAGGACGAATTTGACCACAGCATCTGTATTTCCAAACATATCGGCTTGATTCTGATTTGACCGAGACATCTGATCCTCAAAGGTCATCGAGGTGGGCGCGGAGTGCTTCTTTCGAAGGCCAGAAATATCCCAAACTCGGACGGATTGATCCAGGGAGGCTGATACTACCAGATCTTCTTTTGGGTGGAACTGCGCACACATAGTGTAATGGTTATGACCGGTCATAGTGCAGACTAGAGAGGCTTATTAGGGGTGCTCGCAGATAGAACGGAATTATGGAGACTCACTCAAGGACCTGTTCTGCCAATTCCAGATACGGATCGTTTGATCATCCGAGCTTGAAATAATCCAAGGAAGCTCATGGTGGAAAAAAACTGTGCGCACATAGTCCAAATGGCCATTCAATGTAAAGAGACATCTGCGAGTCTGGTAGGACCAGACCTTGATCTTATAATCATCTCCGCCAGACACGAAGAGAGGTTGTGTTTTATGGAAATCGATTCCGCGGACTGGGCCATCGTGCTCTTCAAATCGGTCGATTAAAGTCCCCATGCGGTAATCCCAAAGTTGAATCGTAGAGGAGTGGAGGGAAACGAGAATCCATGGCCTTCGAACGATTAGCTGAGTATGCGCCATCGGGGTTAGGCAACGCACCTTTTGGGATGGAAGGCAATCCCCTTAGCCCTCGAGGACTTGGATTCGAACTAGAACACATATTAGACATATTATAATATTAATATCCTCCCGCTGTGGGCGAACTCACCTTCGTCAGCATATTAGGGGAGGACGCCATGTTGACCGACGCTGCGAGAATCGAGGACGCCTATGCCTCGCTCATTAATGGACGGGTAGCAGCTGCAGATCTCCCTTCCCCTTCGAGTATGAGCTGCTCCGCTTGCAATAGTTGATCTGAGAATTGGAGATTTCACGGAGACAGCAGTTGGCGAATTCGAGATTCTGGCCGTGGGTTTGTGTGCTGGGGGGAAACTGCGACGTTGCGATTTGTGGCCGCCGCCCCTGATTGACGCCTCGTATATCAGGCACGACAGTACAAGCTTCCAGGGGAAGCTCCAGCCGGATTTATTTTGGCAAGGTGGCCCCAAGGCCCAAGACACCGAGGGGTGTTCTCAGCCTCGTCGTCGGTCTTCCCCAGATACCGTCCTGTAACTCATAAAATATAATGCCATGTCCTGATTCCTTGGCCGCTGATTGAAACGCAACATAATTGCCTCCCATTCCCATCCGCTGGCGGACAGCTGAACCCGCATTCATTCACGCCCCGGCGTTTCGAGTAGGAGATAGGAAATATCAGACATTCAAGATCATCTAGCTACAAGCACGCGATGGGAGTGCTCAATTTGCCATGGGGCCTCACGGGAGCCCTATTGGCAAGTACATATCTTCACTCGTTATGCGTCTCGGCCAGTCCCTCAATAAATGTTGGCTTAAAAGCATCCTTCTCGTCGGCCCCGTATCTCCTCGAATTGCTGTATGCCATTGCCACTTCCCACTTGCCAAATACCGGCATGCTAATATGATATAGGGAAACTGCTGCAGATGAGAACTCTACCTCCTACTTTCCACTGCTTGATCGAATTGCGGACGGCTATTTCTCCAAGTCTCAAACCGACAAAGCACTCTATGAGCAGTTTCTACAGGTTCTCAAGGATGATGGCCATATATCAGACCCGGAAACTCTGTCTTCGTACAAGTTTGCCTTGTCCATGCGGTCCTCCGCCCCCCGAATCGAAGCGCATTACCAGTATTACCATACCGCAGCTGAACCGTCCTTAAAGGCCGAACAAGAGTCTTCATGCCCCGTCTGGGTACATTTCGGTGGTAAACAATATTGCTCCCCGTCATTAGAGACGCCTCATGGGGATGTCAGCGGCGGCATGCAAATGCAAGAATTGCCATTTGATCGGATTCTAGGAAATCTTTCAGCACCTACTTCGATTCTATATGCGGATATTACATCCCCAGCCTTTGCCCAGTTCCATAGGGCTTTAGTCGAGACAGCTCGAGAAGGTAAAACATCGTACCGCGTCCGTCATAGAAAAAGTCTTGGGGCCGAGCCCCAACCACTCATTGTTCCTGGGTATGGCGTCGAGCTTGCGTTAAAGCGTACCGATTATATTGTGATTGATGACCGTGAAGGTGACGAGACTAAGCCTGCCCAGGAGGGCTCCGAGAAAGAGGTTGTATTTGAAGACGAGGAGTTAGCGGATCTGAAGCCACTGTCTTCCTCAGAGCTTGTTTCACTTGGTATCAAGGCGTCAAGTTTTATTATGCAAAGCGAAAATCCATTTGAGACGCTGGTGAAGCTGTCACAAGATTTTCCAAAATATTCGAGTGCTATAGCTTCACATAATGCTACCAAGGAGTTTGTTGCCGAGTTTGAACATAATACTGCTCAGTCCCTCCCTAGTGGCTACAATGTCTGGTGGTTGAATGGCGTTCAAATGATTGAACGGCAGGTTGAGGCTTTGAGTTTACTTGATATGTTAAGAGGTGAACGGAAACTCATCAAAAGTGTTCGCGATCTTGGCTTGACTGGGCTACAAGCCATTCAGCTCTTATCTCATGACGAAATTGGGACGACGAAGGCCGAGAACGAGCCAACTAGATTTGATTGGAGGGATGATATTGAAGGAGGCAACGTTATCATTTGGATGAATGATATTGAAAAAGACAAACGTTATGAGGATTGGCCATCATCCCTTGCAGCGGTCAGCAATCCCCGAACAGGAAAACCTTTCACAGCTAACATAAATATGTAGTTGTTACAACACGGGTATCCCGGGCAATTGCCAACAGTCCGAAGAGATTTGTTTTACCTAGTTTTACCGATCGATTTTACCGATGCTCAGGATGTGCTCCTAGTTGTGGAAACACTCCGAGGCTTTGTCCAGAGAAAGCTCAATCTCCGAATTGGTCTTGCCCCCATTACCAGTACCGCCAACTCCCTGGAGCAAGCGAGGATCTTGTATTATCTACTCGATACCTACGGGCTTTCAACTATGATATCTTACCTAGAGGGATCGTATACTTCCCAGAAACTCTCAGCTCCTGACAGGTCGACCCTGGAGGCCGTTGTGAAAGAGAAAGCTGTTCGACCAGAGAAGGCTGCGCGCCCTATCGATGAAATGCTCAAGTCCGATGACTACCAAAATCAGATTCAAGCGTCCAAGAAATGGATGCGCCGGTTGTCTGCCGACACCACAACCCGACCGGTATTCGTGAATGGGGTAGCTGTACCGCGTGATGAAAACTGGCTTCAATCGATGAGCCAGAGAGTGACAGGAGACTTGCAAGCTATCCAAATGGAGATATTCAACGAGAAATTCGCGCATGATGCATGGCTCCCTTCGTACTTCTTGTCTAAAGCAATTAAGAGACGGAACTCTCTAATTGTTCCAGAGAACGAAAAAGCTCTGAGAATATTCGACCTCAACAAGCTGCTTGTAGAGAGCCCGGATATTCTAAACTCGCTTCCTAGCATCAAGGCTGATCCCTTATCTGTTAAAACTGACTGGGCTCACATGATTCTGATATCAGATTTAGAGTCGGAAAGTGGTGCAAAGCTTCTAGCTACAGTTACCGCTTTCCGCGACGTGAACCCTTCCATCGAAGTCATCATTGTGCATAACCCGACCTCGGATACGGTTGGTTCCGGCCTCAGTTATGATTTCGTTGCCCAAATGCAAGAAAATCGCGAGGGAGTCGAGAGTGTCAACGGATTTACAGCTTTGCTCTCCAATCCATCTGTGAAGAACGACCTCACGGAGAAGGAGGCAAAGCAATACTGGAAAGGTGCAGAATCTCTCATAAAAGCGCTAACACTCCGCTCCGGGCAAAGTGCTATCCTCCTTAATGGACGACTTGTCGGGCCTATTCCGGATCCTTCAGATCTTACTAATGATGATCTGGATCAATTGCTAGCCTACGAGCGTGCTAAACGCATATTGCCAGCTTATACCGCAATGGAGTCCCTAGGATTGTCCGACAAAATCATGGACCCGCTCTCCGGTGCTAAAATATCATCAATTGTAGCAACTGCTATGGTCTCTGATAATCCCGAGGGTATCTTTGAACAAGCTTCAACTCTAAGGGTCGGTAAATTTGACCTGTGGAATTCCTCATACACTTCCATTGAAGTTGGTGATGTCTCTACAGCTACTGTTCAAATGACTATGCTTTTGGATCCGGCCAGCGAACAAGGCCAAAGATGGATACCAATAATCAAAACAATATCTGAACTTGACGGCGTATATGTGAAGATATTCCTCAATCCCAAGGAGCGGCTCAAGGAGCTTCCCATAAAACGTTTTTACAGATACGTCCTCGACTCGAAGCCGACATTCAACAGCGATGGGTCACTTCAATCCCTCAGTGCTACTTTTAGTGGCGTTCCGCAAGAAGCACTGCTAACAGTTGGAATGGATGTCCCCCCGGCGTGGCTTGTTGCACCAAAGGCTTCAATTCATGATCTCGATAACATCAAATTGAGCTCCATAAAGACCAATGTCGAAGCGCTATATGAGTTGGAGCACATTCTTATCGAGGGCCACTCGCGCGAGATGCCATCCGGTTCTGCGCCGCGCGGTGCCCAGCTTGTCCTTGGAACCGAAAGGGATCCCCATTTCGCCGACACGATCATCATGGCAAACTTAGGTTATTTCCAGTTCAAGGCGACCCCAGGCTTCTATAAAATTGACCTCCAGCAAGGACGGAGTTCAGAAATCTTCAAAATCGATAGTATTGGATCGCACGGCTGGAGTCCAGTCCCTGGCGACGAGAGCACGGAAGTCGTGTTAATGAGCTTCCAAGGTGCTACATTGTATCCGCGTTTATCCCGCAAACCGGGAATGGAAGACGAAGACGTTCTCGAGGCCAAGACAGATACCAAATTGGACATCGTTTCTCGGGGTCTAAGCTTCGCCCAAGGTATTCTAGGAAAAGGCAAATCTGTCGAGCCCAAACAGGAGCAGGCCGAGATCAATATATTCTCTGTCGCCAGCGGCCACCTGTATGAGCGCATGCTGAACATCATGATGGTGTCGGTGATGAAACACACCAATCACACGGTGAAATTCTGGTTTATCGAGCAATTCTTGTCACCATCATTTAAAGATTTCATCCCCTACCTGGCCGCCGAATACGGTTTCAAGTATGAAATGGTCACCTACAAATGGCCCCACTGGCTCCGGGCTCAAACCGAAAAACAACGGCAGATCTGGGGATATAAGATCCTCTTCCTCGACGTCCTCTTCCCCCTGTCTCTGGACAAAGTCATCTTCGTCGATGCGGATCAAATCGTCCGTACCGATATGATTGAGCTAGTCAACGTGGATCTCAAAGGTGCCCCATATGGTTTCACGCCTATGTGCGATAGCCGCACTGAAATGGAGGGGTTCCGATTCTGGAAACAAGGCTACTGGGAGAGATTCCTCCGTGGCTTGTCGTACCACATCAGCGCACTCTACGTGGTCGATCTCCATCGATTCCGACAGATTGCTGCTGGTGATCGACTCCGCCAGCAATACCACCAGTTGTCCGCCGATCCCGGCAGTTTGGCAAACTTAGATCAGGACCTCCCAAATCACATGCAGAGTATACTGCCCATTCATAGTCTGCCGCAGGAGTGGCTGTGGTGTGAAACTTGGTGTAGTGATGAGAGTTTGAAGGATGCAAAAACTATTGATTTATGCAATAATCCGTTAACCAAGGAGCCAAAGCTTGATCGTGCGAGGAGACAGGTCCCCGAATGGACGGTATATGATGAGGAAATTGCGGCTGTGGATAGGAAGAAGCGGGGCGTGAAGAATGGGAATGGGGAGCATAAGAATGAGAAAAGTAGAACTCTGGAAGAGCCGCCCAAGACAACTAGCAAGAAAGATGAGCTTTAGATTCTTGTATTTTGGAAATACCATAAGACTGTACAACTATATATATATTTTGCATCGCTATATTCACACTTGAATGGTCTTGTATAGCTGAGCTCTTGATCAAACTCGTTTGCCAAATTAGTAGCTGAGAGCAACAGCTCCCTTACCAAGCCACGCTATTTGCCACTTAGAAATAGCGGTGTTTTCTCAATATTACAGTTGCCACCCATTTGGACTTGAATCGACAGCGAGATTGTCGCCAATTCCGTTTACTAAAACATTGGAAAATTGCGACAGAAGTCTTTCGTCTCAAGAGACCACCTAGTTTTCAAAATTGCATTGTATTTGCCCCGGACTACTCCCTATTCAACCCCTTCTTAAAATTAATACATCTCCCATACATAACTCATAAATATCATAAAATCCTATAACTTAGATATCGCTACCGCGCTTCCAATAGGCGCCATGGGTATTCGATAGTTCGATATAGACGCTATTCGAAGACTTAAGTCATCTTCCAGGCACTCAAAATAATTGTTCCCGATTCCAATCTCGTTCCCCATTACAATCACAGATGCCGGCCGCTCCGGTGGTTCCATTTTGGAAACCCGATATTCAAGTTCATCTCCTAGTCCTTGTCGAAAATGATTGTTAATCATGACCTTGACATTAAGGTTGGTCTTCAAATCCCGAGACGCCAGAATTCTGGTCATTGAACAGAGGAGGTATCCACTCCCTTGTCAGCCCAATACCCCAATACCCCCATCTCAAATTTTATATTTCCAGCAAGGATTGACCGATCCTACCAAGTCTCGAATTTCCAGATGGCATTCTTTGTCAGATTCTGGACTGACGACGGATGACTCGAACATATAATAATCATTCTCTATCGGACCTTTCTAGAGCCACCAGCGTAAGCAAGATTGTGTCCCGGCAAGTCTTGGATGTCTTAAGACTGATCGCGGCCATCATCCGAAATGGAGAAGGACGTCTCTGGAGTTATAAGCATTGCCGCACGCGATTTTATGGGATGGCGCTCAGATCCCACAGCTATCACTGGAAGATCTGGATCTAGGATATCGTTCACACCGTGAAACCCTGTTTCCCCATCATTGGAAATTGAAAAGGATGTCTCCGGACTAATAGGCAATGTCGGAAGCTTCTTTTGTTCTGAAAAATCAGAATCTAGGGTTGACAAGTCGTGAGATCTTTGAAATTCTTCTTGACCACTCTCACAAATCGAGAAAGATGTCTCCGGGCTTATAGGCATTGCAGTATTCCTTTTTGGTGATGGGAGGCGTTGAGTTAATTGAGACTCTTCATCTCCACCCTCGGAAATGGAGAAGGAAGTCTGGGGGCTGAGAATAGAAGACGAACGCTTCTTCGAAGCTGGCATCAAGGAATTCCTCGCCTTCACTAGATAAACGATTTGATGTCGACAATCATCAAGTGCATAATGCTTCGTCCCCTTCTGCTTCACCTCCCGTGAGTAATCTCGTCCGGTCATAAATGCACACTGCTTGACAACAGTCCGGACGCACATATTGTTGTAATACGCCCAGGGCTTTTCCATAGAGCATGAACTATATGCCGTTTGGATCCAAAGATTATCAGCTAGAACACCATTTCCCCAAATCATCGGTTCAGACTCCTGACGATGGAACTCCCGTCCAACATCCCTCAGCTGTTGTTTTGTTGCCTTGCAGCAGCTCCGGATGAATTTTGACAGTTTAAACAGTGCGTGAGCAAGCGTAACGGAGGTGGTCTTGCTAGTTTCTAGTGTCTCGGGAATTGTCTTCTCCAACCAGGAGAGCGTTTCCGGTTTAGTAACGAACCCAAGGTCCAGGCAGGATTGGTAGCTGATTGGGGTAATAAGATGGCCTAATTCTTTGCCGGTATCGATATCAAAGTAGACAGCTCCTAGCTCGAGAAGTACTGGGTTATATACATTCGGGTCTGCGCACTCAAGGTCTAGCATGATATTTGTGTGGAAGTTCTTTTGCTTCATCTTGAGGCGGGGTTATTGTGGACGCACGGAGGGAAAATGGCAAGGCACCAGGAATAGATGCTTCCAAAGGAGGGGATGTGAGCTTAACATATAACTTGATATATTTAACATGCAGAGATGTGCTGCATGAGGCTGTTGAGAAACGACGATAGAGGAGCTGACTCTAGCCGCTGAGAATACAAAAAGCAAAGCGCCAACGCAATACTACCCACTGAAAGGTCGTCCGAAAACGCCAGAAATATTGACGAAACAATATTTATTGCGTAGTATACCCCTTGAAATTTTGATATCTTACAGAGTATCTTCTCCCTTTTCCGGGTTGCTACAATGACACGAGGAATGTATCGGGTCCGACATCGCCGAGTTGATAAGGGACATTGACGAATCACTTGTCTCACACCCACTGCATGATAACAGTGTCTGAGTATCGATATGCATTTAATCACACGCGACGCGCCTTCAGCCTCGCGACTAATCGGCAGACCAGAGAACAACTTGTTCAATTGCGAACAACCACACACAAGATGGCTCCTTCAGACAAGACATTGGTAGACACACTCGAGACAACCGTTACAAGTATTTTCCACAGCGACGAGCGTGATACTTTAAGTGTGAAAAAGGTTCGCGACAAAGCTGAAGGCGAGCTTGGCCTCGAGAAGGGATACTTCCTGCAGCCTGAGTGGAAGGATAAATCTAAGCAGATTATCAAAGAATATGTAGTAGGTGCACCAATTCCTGAACGCATTGCCAAATACTAACAAATTGTTTAGGAAATCTTGGCCGCGCGCGAGGAAGCTGGAGAATCGATACAAGCAGACCCAGAACCCGAGAAGAAGAAGAAAGTTGCGCCAGCTCCGAAAAAAGCGGCATCTCCCGTGAAGAAAAGGACACAGAAAGCGCCTCCAGCAGAAAAAGCGCGACCAAGGAAGCGCCAAAAGAAGGAAGAAACGCCTGAGGAGGAGGACGAGCTCAGTGAGCTGAGTGAATTACCCGATGAAGAAAGCCCTGAGTCTGAGTTGAGCGATTCAGATGCCAGCGAAGCACCGAAGTCTAAGAAGAAATCTGGGCGTCAGACCAAATCGCCTGTGAAGCGGCAAACAAAGAAGAGAACGCACGCGGATACGGAGGACGAAGATGAGGGCGAGGACCCTAGTGAGGATTCGTTTGATGACGAGGAGAACGATGTCAAGCCCGCGCCGAAGCAGAAAGCACTCCCTACGAAACCCGTGAAGGCGACTACGGCAACTAAGGCAAAACCTAAGAAACCAGAAGTCGAGCCCTCCGGATCAGAGGATAGTTCCAAACTTACAACTCCGACGGAGTCCGAAGAGGATACAAAGCCTACGCCACAGAAGAAGGGAAAATCAAAATCCACCCCAGTAGTAGAATCGGAGGATGACCTTTCTCCTACAAAGGCGACAGCCAAAGCGCCTGACGAACCGGAGGCGAATGCAGAGGCAGAGACAAAAGCCAATGCCTCCGAGTCTGAAATGTCCGTCGTCCTAGACGAGCCCCCTAAGCGCAAGCGTTCAAAAAAGTCTACCTCCTCAACCAAAGAACCCAAATTCAAAACAACTAAACCCTCCACATCCAAAACCCCCACGACTCTCTCCGCCGCCGAAGAACAGCTCAAAGTCCTCCAAGCCCAACTCCGCAAGTGCGGCGTCAGGAAAATCTGGCAATTCGAACTGAAGCAATTCGGCGACGAATCAAAGGCAAAGATCAGATATTTGCAGGATATGTTAAGGGATCTGGGCATGACGGGACGGTTTTCTGAGGCGAGGGCGAGGGAGATTAAGGAGATGAGGGAGTTACAGGAGGATCTTGAGGCAGTAAAGGAAGGAGAGAAAAGCTGGGGTTTGGAGAGTGGGAGGAGGGCGAGGAGTAAAACACTCAAAACGAGCATGAAGGTTGGTAGCGAAGATGAGGATGAGGGTGGGGATGGCGGAGAAGCGACGAAGGGAAGTGGCGGACCCGTCCAAAGTGGCAGCGAGAGTGAAGAAGAGGCACCTAGGGCAAGGGTACGGAAGTTTAATCAGGATCTGGCGTTTTTAGGTGATGAGGATGAAAGTGATTGATACTAAGTCGTCGTTTGATTCATAGGGCAGACGACAAGCATATATAATTTCCATAAGGCGGGATTACGCTATACGGCCATCACGAGTGCCTGCTAGAAGTGTTATGCATCATGAGCCAAAATTGATAACCTACGGCCAAAAACTGTAGTTTATTTTGATTTTTTAAGACGCTCGCTAACCATTCCACTGCAAGTTATTAAAAACATCTAGAACATACCCAACAAATCCTCATTCGTCTTTTTACCCTGGTCTCCATGCGGCTGTGACTGGGGCGGAGGAGGACTTGTCGTACCACCAAGATCTAGTCCCGCAAATCCATTCATTATGTCGTTCTGGGCAGCCCCCGCCGCTGCGGGAGGGGCGTCACCACCCACGTCAAATAGACCCATCATGTCATCCATGCTACTTTGGGGGGCACCACTAGCTTGTGGGCTTGCTATTCTCTGTGGAGTACCGGCCAGTCCTTCTAAGCCTGATGCCCCACCTGTAGGAGGAGCCTCAGCTGACGCAGGTGCGGCGCCATCAAAATCGATATCCAGGAGATTCTCGGCGTTGTTTTGAGCGCCATTTGGAGCGGTAACGATAGCAGCCGCGATTGGGTTCTCCACAGCGTTTTCACGTTGTTCTTGAATAGCAGCGTGTTGGATGGCGTCCGCCCCATAGCGGCCATGACCAACGAATGTCTCGGGTGGTTTGTGGTAAACGGATGCAAGAGTTGAGAGTTCGGTAAGTAGTTGCTCTAAAAGTGCAGGTGGGAGAGAGGACATTGTTGTAGTGATAGGAGGCTTATCGGAGAGAATGATGTTCTAACAGAGTTAGTTCTGAAATAGATAGAAGGGCTTCATAAACTTACCTTGGCCACTTGCAAGTCACCTGATAGTAGTCGCCAATAGACGTATGCTCGATCTCTGATATCTGGGTTGTCGTTCTCGGCAGTTGCGGACTGTAGAACTGTTTGCACCAATCCTTGGTTGTTGTCCGGCTTCTTCAGGAACAGCTTGACAACCGCAGTTAGAATCTGCAGCTGAACTTGCGTAAATTCTTCCATAAACCCTTCCACAAATCCCGCGAGGATCTCATCAGCATTGTTGATCTTCTCTGCATACTCACCAACAATCCAGATAAGAGCGCCCCTTGCCTCTGGCTCGTCTAATTCGTCGATATATTTGCAGAGAGTTGGTATGATGCCTTCATAACCGGGGTATTTCCGGAAGATGTCCTTGATAACCACAATAGCCTCTTGCACAACGTAGTTGACTTTTGTAGCAATGAGATCAAGAAGCGTATTGACACACTTCTCGCTGGCACTCTCAATCTTGATTGCTGCTTGTCCAATAGCCTTGACTGCTCTTCGGACAAAGTCCATGTCGACTTCCAAGGCATACTCCTTTAGTTCGGCCAGAAGCTGATCGACATTTTTGTCATTTGCTATCCGGACCATGATCTCTAGCTTCTGGAGTTTGACGTATGGAGGGTCGTTGTACTTGCAGAAAAATACTCGGAGCTCTTTGCTTAGAATATCTGGATTGGCCTGAAGTAATAAATCGATGTTTCGTAACGCAACATATTGCACCTCCGGAGCCGATGCAACAAGCGTCACTTTAGAAGGTTAGTCAAAGGGGCACTTCTCGATCGAGCGATGTACTGACCTAGAGGAGGAGCCATTTTCTTCAAGTACTGTTTCCTGAGCTCCTGATTGACGAACTTCATATGTAGAAATACGACCTTAACAGCTGCCAGAACCACACTAGGATTGACATGTTGGAATTGAGGAGACACTCTCTCGCAGATATGTTCCGATTCCTTCATATCTTGTGCCTTATAATCGGCCAAAGTCGTCAAAATTGTCACCCGACCCCATTCCGTGCACTCATTCAGCGCCATCAACATCTTTTTTAATGTCGTAGATGTCACACGCAACGCTTTCGTTTCCGGAGCGGCTTCATTTATCTCTACCAGTGCGGTCACAGAGTTTGCCACCACCATCGGGTTAGGGTCCCCAATCAGCTCCTGCAATGTTTCCAGAAACCCATTCTCAAGACACATGGCTGGATTCAAGTCGAAGAGTTTTGCAACACATATCGCAGCCGTCTTGCGCACGTACGGCGATTCGTCTCGTAATGTCTTCCGTAACGGCTCCTCCATGTAATCCACCATCTTGTCCACCCTAATACAGCCCATCGTCCGTATTGCGAGGGCTCTTACTAGCGGGTTTGGATCTTCGGAGTCTTGAACGAAGGTATTGACCGCTAGAATACACAGATCTGGATGTGATTTGGCATAATTCCTAGGGGTCGAGAGTCAGCTTATTTCGCCATATCCTCACGGCCAAAAGCGCTCGTACATTAGGTACAAATAGACCAGCTTCTTCTGGTCCAAATCTCCCGTGGCAATATTCTTCAGCACGTCCGGAAAGAGAGCAGACACATCCTTGCCCAAGGTCATGGACATGATGGTCTTTTGGATCGCCTCCTTGCGCTCATAGGCATACTGAGATACCAACCCAGCTCTCAGCTCAAAGGTTTCGCCTTTTCTGGGTACCTGGAAGGCCCCTTTAATCCTGTTTACCGCCATCGCTCACACAGATGGCGAGTTGAGGTCGTGCCCCTCATGCGCCCCAGGGGATTTCTCGTTTGTGTGGTTCCGCAGCACCTTTGTGGAAGTTGTAGAAGATAGCGTGGTGATATCGAGATGATGATGTATGGTACTCGGTGGCGTTATTTCTTTCCTTGTCGATTTTGAGAAATTCGGATTCGCAGTTGAAGGTGTTAGATGTCCTAATTGTTGATAGCTCCTCAGCCTTCTGGTGCGCTCCCAAATGGCGCTAGTGTGGGACGCATGAACATGGCCGGGGTCTGGCTTCACTGGAGGACTTCCTCACCCTGGAAACTCATTGACTTGAAACAATCTAATATTCACGTACAGATACAAATACACCATGGTAAACCCGTTTCCCCTTTGTATCCATCTCAAAAGAACAATGAGTCTGACGAAATTCTCAAAGGCAAACCTTCCTAATCTCCGCCGACTGTTCGTTGAAGCCCGAACAGACGCAGAGGAGAGTTCATACTCCAGAGCTGCTGTTTGTGTTTCTAGTTAATTTTATTACGGATGTGTACTGATAAAGTTGCAGTTCTACAATATCGTTTTATTCATGTCCTCCGTTGCCGTGTTCAGTCTCGTTGCTCAGAGAATGAACAAAACAACTTGATGGAGGCTCTTCAAACCCCGGCAATAAGCTTTTTTCAAAACTTGGCCCCTCCAATGGCAGTGTTTGATTGGGGTCTATGAAATCTTATGGCCTCACGATGCAAGGACGACATTAGCAAAGGGGGCAGAGGAGGATCAACCAACTAGCCAAATGGCATGGCCAAGGGAGGTGGAGGGATATGTTCGGAAAAGGCCGGGAACTGTCTTGGTTCTGAACAAAACCATACCAGAACTTGGAGGAGTGCATTGGCATTGGTAGAGATATCAGGAAGTCGCCAATCGTGTACACAACAACACGACAGCCTCCAGCATTACCTAGGCCCAAGGTGGATCCATAATATCAAGTCTACCATATCCCCTTCCAGTCCTACTAGCTTTAAGAATTCCATATTGTCTCTAATATCTGTCGATCGTATCTGCTTAAAGTTCCCCTCATTCATATGCCGTGGGCGATTTGTGCACTTTGGCACCGCTCTTTCCTCGCACCTTTGACGGCCGATTCCTTAAATTCGTGGATATCCCACACTCAACCGCTTCACGCTGTGGTTCCAGTCACCACCTCACCAGTCGTATCCTTACCGGGCGCAACCGGTTCCCTCCCCTCAGCCTTCTGCTGCTCCCATTGTTCCGGCGTAGAACATTTCGGCGTCCAAGCATGTATAGCGGCAATTTCATCCTTCAAAACTTTATTAACTAATCGATGTCTCATTAACGTCGTCTTCTTCTCGAATTGAGGCGACACAATAATGGCCGAGAAAGCTTGTCCGCATCCGCCTGTGGTAAAAGTTAGTCGGTGCCAATGTCGCAGCCGTGGGTTAGGAACGAAACACACCCGACATATCTTCTATTTCGACATGGATAGCTTGTAATTGTTCTATGAGTTTGGTTTTTAGGCCTGCTTCTGTGACTACCGCGTTTCCTGCCATGATGACATAAAGAAGTTGGTTGTGAGGGAGAGGCGGGCGAGGAGGTTTATAGATATGTTTAGAGATATGGAAATCTTATCAGATTGGGAAAATGACGATATCTTATCAGAGGTCTCAGTGTACAGTATCCGAGTACGGACGGCGAGAGTACGAAGTAATATTACCTAATGAGGTGCATAGGTACACCTAGCACTACGTCTACTACCGCCCCTTTTTAATCTCACACCACCGCTAACTGAAAGACATCTTGTCTACAAAATATGAGAAGAAATTGAGCAGCAGATAATTTCTATCCAGAACCCTGCATTTATTGTCGATCGTAATAATCTTAGCTAACTCTAGCCTCCGTACTTCGTATTCCTCTATGCGATTTTCCCCAGTTTCCATCATATTTTCAACTACGAGCTCCCAGGCACTATAGCTAAACCGGTCTAGAGGCTGCATCCCCGTGCACCCCACCACCCGCCTGTCATAAATGATATCAGTTCGCTACTCCGTACTTGTACTCTGTCACAATCCCTTCCCATACGTTAACCCAACATACTAAGGTATGAACATTTACAAAGGCCTCATACCCATAAGACGAGCCTTCCAACCCACTTTATTCTCTCGAAGACGAATAACCACAATGGCGAACCCTCAGCCAAAATCCAATGTTGCACCATTTACGCGTGCAGTCGTAGCTTCAATGCGGAAGTTGTAAGTCTCTCTTGAGAATTTGGCGCTATATGAGTATAGATACTAATGTATACGTGAAATAGATTTCCAGAACAACTGGCTGACAAGTCATTTGATAATACCGGCTGTGAGCACACCTTCCTCTCCCAATCCCTCAGGATAAAAAGAACGGAGGCTAACAATCAAACAACAGTGCTACTAGAATCCCCGTTCCGCCCAGGCCATCTCAAAAAATCCGCCCTCATTACCATTGATCTCACAACTGCCGTAGCAGATGAAGCAATTTCCCGGAGAGTTTCTATTATTATTGCCTACCGTAAAACCCCCTTCCTTGCACGCTCAAATGCATATTCTCATCCACCTAAGTAAACTAAATGATAACGTGATGCCCAGATCCAATAATCTTCAGACCGATAAAATCTCTCACGCAAGGGGACACGCAGCAAAAAACACTATTACGGCTTGCTCAGGAGGGCATCAGTGTGTATTGTCCCCATACAGCCGTAGATGCTGCACCGGGAGGTTTGAATGATTGGCTAGCAGATATCGTCGTTGGGGGAGAGGGGAATAGCACGTAAGCCTTCTTACTTCCATTACCTCCATTACCTACCTCAACTGCCAAGAAGCAAAATCCTACTTGGAAAATATATAAAAATCCCAATTAACTGACTTCAAATTCAGCCGGTCGATAATAACACCTATCAAAGACCCACCCCCAGGCTTTGAATCAGCTGGCTACGGCCGCATCGTCCGATTCAACCAGCCTCAAAAACTCGGAAATCTAGTGTCCGCCATAACCTCTTCTCTTGCCCTAACCGGCGTCTCAGTCGCGACACCACAAACCGTCCCGGCGGGCGAAAAGTCACAGATCTCCATCTCATCAATCGGCATCTGTGCTGGGTCCGGCGGCTCGATGCTCAACAACCTAGATGTTGACCTTCTATTTACCGGGGAACTCAGTCACCATGAAGCCCTAGCGGCGATTGAGAAGGGCGTATGTGTGGTTACTACTTTCCATAGTAATTCGGAGAGGGCGTATTTCAGGAAGGTGATGCAGCCGAGTCTTGTGAACGAGGTGACACAGGAGATTTTTGAGATGAAGGGACGCGGAGACTGGGAAGGGGATGTGGAAGGCGAGGGCGAGGGCGAGATGGTCATTTTTGCTAGTGATATTGATGCGGATCCTTTCCAAATTATTTCGAGGGAGCAGAAGTGGTAATACTGAAGACTGCTAAGGAAATTCAAAGTTAAATTTGAACGATAACAATTGGCCGTTTGGGAAAATCCCAACGGAGGGGTATCATGGTTTTAATTCTTGCTGACTCTTTATGTTGATCCAACTCTTCTCTCTCGCTGGCTCGCCCCGCAAAGCAGCTTCTCCGTCATCGATACAATCTTGTACATCTGTCCCACCTACACCCCTTTCCTTCCACCTCTCTAACACCTTTAACGTAGGCTCCCACACCCTTACGGCCTCCTCCGTCTTCCCATCATCAACTAACAATCTAACCTTTTCAGGTATATCCAAAACACGCCTCACCACATCCCTCCTCCTCTGTTCCTCTTCCCCGGCCCCCTTTTCTAGCGAGTCTCTCAAATGCCCCCTAATCCCCTCAGCCCGCTCATAAATACCTTCAATCGCCAAATCCAGCATCCCGGCCCCAGTGCCCTTCTCCTGCATATTGTCCCTCATCTTCCGAATAGTTTCCGTCGCCTTGATAAGCTTACTATAATTATCATAGACCAGGGCTTTCTTCTCCGCATCTAGAGCCCGGATATCCGTTAGGATACCATTATACGTGCCTAATAACTCGGAGAGGCTTTGTGTTTCTAGGACATGTTTGATGTATAATTGGCTATCGAAGGATGGGCTGTCGAGCTCGGAGGAGGGAATATCGCTCGGGTAAGAGTCATGGATTGAGGACGATGAGGAGAGCACCTCGTTGGCGTTGGTGGGAGAGGGTAAGGCGGAGTCTTTTTTCAGGTTGTAGTATTCTCTGAGAGCCGTCCGGTTCGCGCGTTTTGGTTGTGCGGAGGCAGCACGGTTGGGTGATGCGTCTGAGGAACGGATGCCATCTAGACTCGGCCGCGAGGAGGAGGTGGGTGTTGAGATGAGAGGGACACGTCGGCCATTGACGGAGGCCTCGCGGGGACTGGCTATGGTTGACATTTTGGAGGGGTTTTATTTTATGGGTGGCATGTCATTAACGGGGAGAGCGCAGCAAGGCTCTTGGGGTTAGGAAATACTGTGAGTGGTGATGTTGCATAATGAAAGCGGTCGAGGAAGCATGTCTCGGGCATGGGTGAAAGGGAAGGCTGTGGCTGCATGGCTGCTGGCTAGCGCAAGGCTGGAAGCGAGGCTCTATCCAGTTCTTCTCCATCTCCCTTCTTATCCATATCAACATCAACGGCCTCAATGGCCTCACCATATCCTCCATTCCAAGGCCACGACCTCCCCTCTCCAAAGCAGCTGCTACAGAAATACAACCAAAGCCAAAACCCAGTAATATGGCCCAACCAACCCCAAGACCAACACCAACAGCATCCTCCGCCGCGATCCAACAACTAACAACCTCCCTCGTCCAATCCGGCCTCCCCACGCCTCACCCCTCATTTTTACAGCCCATCCTCTCCTCCATATCCTCCACCTCTCAACGCACCCCACCGCTCTCCTCCCTCCACGCAACCGCCCGCCTGCGCCTCCTAGCCTCCGACCTAACAGGACCCAACATCCTCTCACCAACAACACCATACTTCCCACCCAACACATCGAATGTCCAAATTCCCTCGCAGACGCTAAGCACAGACATCCCAGTCCAAGTGCTAGATATCGAGGACCTAGGCAAGAGCAAATGGGAGCAAATTGAAGCTCTAGAATCCGAGAGGAAGGGCGAAACTACGAAGGGGAGGGAGGTCATACGCGTTATACCGGACTCGAGTGATAACGCCTCTTCTCTTTCCACTCCCGCCACACAAACATCCGCCGCTGCAAATCAAGCGTCTACAACCAACATCCGAAGCGCCGGCCCCTTTAGGCTTCTCCTGCAAGACGCCCGAGGACAGAAAGCGTGGGGGTTCGAATTAAAGAAGGTGGAGAAGCTGGGTATGCCGCCATATATGGCTATTGGGTGTAAGGTTGTGTTGAAGAGGGGATGTAAGGTTGCAAGGGGCATGGTGTTGCTAGAGCCAGCTACTGTAGTCGTGCTTGGAGGGAAGATTGAGGCGTTGGATAAAGTGTGGAGGGAGGGACGAGAGGGTAGGTTGAGGGATGCCGTGAACACGGGGACAGGGGATAGCGGGTGATAGTTGTGGTTATGTTATTAGCACTAAGAGCGGGGTTTAAAGGCGTTGAGGCGGTGCTATTAGAGGCTTTTTTTAGTATAGAAGTGTAGGAGTTTAAGGTCCTTACGATACCCATGGAGAATAACAGAACATTATTTACTTTAAATCACAAACGGGACCCATCGACACCGCCAAAAAAAATATTGCAAGCATTGCCATCTAATAAAGGGTTTCCGATGCCAGTTCCAGATCGACAGAGTCATTCAATTGAAGATTTCCGCAACGCAGCACGCAGTAGTACTAAAATTAACCATGGATCTCATGCCTCGTAACTAGCGTCCATCATTTGCACACCGCTACCCAACGTGTGCTCGGGAGGGAAAACGGATACTCAATATCTGTCTCCACTTATATTGCAAGTATGAAAAATTTCCCATCTCCATCCTACTCATAATATTTTGACGGCCAACCTCTATCTGCCTGATTTCGGACCTTCCTTTTGTAGCAAGTATCCGAAGTATCTCCGTACAGTGGTGAGAGACTCAGCGCCCCAAAATTCGCCGTATCCAACTTGCGAGGGCGAACAAACGGATGATGATCTTTCAATCGCAAGACGCTTATCGCATGATTTCCTGATAAATCAACTCCTTAAGTTGCTCCTTGCTGAGGTTATCCTTGTTCTTGTCGAAATCAAAAAACTCTTCTGGGATTGGGGCGGCCGTTGGCTCGTCCTCTGGGTCATGATATGGCTCGAGGTAAGGATGTTGGAGGGCCTCCTCGACAGTGATGCGCTTGACCGGGTTGAATGCCAACAGCTTCTCGAGGAGATCAAGTGCCAAGTCGGAGGTCTTGGGGAACAATGATCGTAGTGGTACCTTCTTCTTGAAGGGAAGAGAGCGGATGTATTCGCGGGCCCGGCGGGACTTGATACCATAATAATCTTCCATGGTTGGTGTGCCAAGAACATCGAGGATAAGAGTGAGTTGATGATGATCTAGAGCCGTATTAGCATGTGAGACACGATGCATCAAGTATATGCAGAAAACTTACAGTCCTTTCCAGGGAATAAGGGTTTGCCGCTCAGCATCTCCGCCAAAATGCACCCAACGGACCAGACGTCAATCGCCTTTGTGTACTCCTTGAACGTCAACATGATCTCAGGCGCACGATACCAGCGAGTTGCTACGTATTCCGTCATGAAACCGGAGTTATCCTCTTGAGAAGCAGCAGATCGCGCAAGACCGAAATCGCAGACCTTCAGATCGCAATTGGCATTTAGGAGCAAATTTGAGGGCTTCAAATCACGATGGAGGACATTGGCAGAGTGCATAGCCTTGAGGGCGCGGAGAGTTTGGTAGATAAAGTATTGGCAGTGGTCATCAGATAAGTCCTGGGTTCTGATAACGCGGTGCATATCGGTTTCCATCAGCTCCTTGAATCACATTAGCAACCTAGGCTTTTGACAAACGATGAAGGCAAAGTATATTACGTACTTGGATCAGATACACTTCGGTGAAAGTTTCGTAGCTGCGAGGTTTTTGGATGTCGAGAATCGAGATGATGTTTTCATGATTGAAATACCGCAGTAGCTTCATCTCACGCAGGGTTCGTAGGCAGAACATGGAATGATCAAAGGGTGTGATCTTTTTAATGGCAACCTTTTGTCCGGAAGGCTTATGGAGGGCAGAACTAGGCGTCTGGTTAGTTCTGAGTACCTGTGGTAGATATATGTTGACACGTGTGCCATTGGCGTAGTGTCAGGCTGGACTTGGATAGCGAGGTTAATCTCGAGTGGAACTCACCAGACGACACCATAAGCTCCCTCTCCAACGACATCTTGAATATCATACTGCTCGGACACATTGAACGAGATCTTCCGCGACCCAGTTGAAGGATTGGGCGCACGAGAAGTCATCTTGCTGAATTATGACAATATTAGGGTCTCTAAGTGGGACTTGGATAACGACGAGGTCAGCTGCAGGAGCTGCAGTATGATCGCGATCGCCGTCAAGAGCCCGTTTTTCTGCAACGAAAATGTGTAATGGTGCGCGAAGGGCGAAGAAAGCGATGCGAGATGACAGCAGGTACTTCGTATGTACTTCTTTGTTGACTTGACTTCCGTTTGCCCAAGCTTCTTCTAGCGTGAGTGCGAACTAGATTTCACCGTGCGAGTCTCTTTCTTGCTTTGTTTATTGCTTCCAGTATTACTCCGGCTATATTGTATTGTTAAGGATATGGATATGGATATTATTTCGCAGGTATATCTGGAGGGCAATCGACGCCGTGGATATCTTTTTCGACGACGGTTCTCGGCCTTAAGATGGGGGAAGTCAAACGTGCGCTCGGCCCTGCGAGGGAACGTTGAGTTGTCGCAGCTTTGGGTACCAGGGCGGGGTCTTGGGTATACACCAGTGAGGTCTCTGACCTCCTTAATTCGCGGAGTGCCCGTCGGGTTCCCTAGATCAACAGCAAAAAATCAGTATTTTAGTCCCTGAGAGCGTCTGATCATTTCTATTCCCGTCCCGGATGGTCTCGTTCGACTTCGTTCGTCTCGCCTTGAAAGCTTCTAGAAGGCGGGAAACCCAGAGGCTCCACCATGGCTGGAGTACATTGCGCCTCAAAGAAGACAGGTCGTTCATCCGATGTGCAAGATGCTGCTGTGACATGAAAAGTAAGGGCTGGCGTACCTGTGAGATTCCACGCTGTGTGCGTCGTGGTGTTGCAGAGCTGAGGGTCGGAATACCCCGCTACCAGCAAGGATGCAGCGTCTTCTGATCAGGGGAATCGTGGGCTTGTTTGGAGCGAGGGCGAGGGCGAGGGCGCGGCAGACCAGCGGTGCAGCAAAGGGAATCAGAAAGCAGCTTTGGATTGCGCGACGAGGATATAATTGTCGGGTCTGCTCTGGTGTTGTTGCTTGTGCTGTGTTGCTGTTGCTGTGCTGTGCGGTGGTGGATATTGGCTGGTGTTGTGAAGGGGAGGAGGGGATCTGCTGGCGGGTTGATGGTGGGACAGGACACCGCTCTGGGGCTGGCGCGGTTTCGGGAGCTGGGCGGCGCGGGCCTCAAGACACACGACTAAGCCGCTTTAGCTGCCCTGAGGAACCCCGTGAATAGCTAATAATAGCGAATAGTAGCGAGCAGCAAGTCACTAACAGCTAATGATAATAGACTCTTGTCGGTCCTCACGCTACCGTCGTAGTGCCGCGGGGGCCAAATCCCACTTTGGTGCCAATCAGGCGTTGCAAATACAGTCTGATATTGCACCCTAAGCGCCCGAGCCCTTCAATCCCTTCCATCACCGCTCCCTCCGGATGCTGCGTCCGCTCAAAGGGCTCAAACAGTTTCCAACAGCTCCCAACTCCACCCCAACTCCCTCCTCTGCAAGCGCTTCGACGTCCTTCCGCAGCTGCTTCGGGCCATGGGGCGCCTGTTTCACTGCTCGGAATCGTTTCATGAGTGGCCCAAGGTGTGACCAAGCGTCGCTTTAATATTCCGACGTGCAGCTTCCTGCGATGCAGGCCAACCGCTTTGCCGGATCCCAAATGTTACTGCTGCAGCTGTAGTCAGACTGGCCCGCTGTCACGTCCGATGGGGAGCGAGGAGAGGACGTACAGCGCAAAAGTCTCAACTAGTGTAGGTCCCATTGTTGGTCTGGCCGAGTGCTTGTGTGCGAAGGAGGTCGCTGAGAGGCTAGGCTCTGTCTTTGTTTCGGATGTAATCAAATCCGCAGAAGCGGTACAGAGAAATGGCTGCCTATTTTGATAGCAAGTGGTCTGTCTCCATATACGAGTAACGAATGTATCAGGGGCCACGACAACCTGTTTCCGTACGAGTTGCTTATCCATATGCCGTTTTAGGCATGTCGCACAAGCAGCGACTCCTAAAGCTTCAACAGCTCACCTTTTTACGTGGTAGGCATCGGCGAATAAAACACTAGCATTAGCTAGTTTGCATACTAGGGGAAGGTTCCGTCCCCATGTATTTACCTACCTAGGTACTCTGAAACTATCGGATGATATCGTAGTAACAAGGGCAACTCTCCAGTTATCAATCGATGCTCAAGCATATCCATTCTCAACCAACACCACAAAACCCCCACACCAGCTGAGTCTTTGAAAGGACTGTAGGAACCGGCTTGGCGGAGGAATAAATGCATTATGTTCTTCGTACTGTACTACGTACTACATACAGTAAGTAGTACAGCAGTAAGACATAGGTGTTCATGTCGTTTAGAGGTGCGTTTGAGCTTCTGCATCCGGACCCCCTGCACTTGCTATGGGCTGTCTCGCATTTAGACAGTTTTGGGGGCCGCGGCATCTGCAACTGTCTATAGGCTGTACGATGCTACGATTCTACGATGGGAGGATATAGAATAAGGTGCAATATGTAGCATACCAAGAGGGATGGAAAGGTCACCGCTTGGAAAGATATTGGAAGGGTTGCATCGCATATAGTTAGCAAATCGCCCCATGGAATTTTATTTTGTTTCAACGACGATACATTTCTTTCTATAGTGCTACAGAGTAGTATCTCGACGACATTCATTGCACGACCTACGCAAAACAAGGAGGCACACACATCAGCAAGCGGCCCAAGCTTCACCGAGCACAAATCCCACGCGCGGGAAAATCAACTCACCTTCTCCCTTAGTGTTCCCATCCACTGCTGGAAACTCATGCCCTGGTCCGCACGATCCTCAACCAAGAGCGTCTGCGCCCACAACTTCAAGCTAGGATCGCCGTCTTCCCGGATGACATACAGGTGCGGCACGACGATGCTACCAACCCCACGGGATCTATAATCGCGACTCTTATGGACCACTGCACGGACGCGTTCGCTGAAATCGTTGTCAAGTTCCGGTAGGGAGCTTTTGCCGACCTTAAGCTGGGTTCGGTCCGTGATGTCAAAGACGTCTGCGAGTAGTTGTGGAACTGCGTCGCGGCCCACCCAGAGGAATTGCGTTTGGCCGTCATCGATAAGATAGAGACCGAAGGGAGTCAGGCGCTCTGAGGAGAGATTGACTGGAGTGGGGAGAACAATCTGGCTCGTTTCTGGGTCGATAGTACCAGCATTGTCTGGCATGTCGTGGAGCGAGTAGAGCCGTGGGTAGATGTATTGCATCAGGAGGGGCATGGGAAGAGTCGAGAGTAGGCACAGAGCCGCTGATCGAAGATCCGATGGGATTTGGGCCGATTTTCGAAGTCCGACATTCTTGATTAGTCCCAGGAACAACACCGGCAAGCCGCGAAGGTTTGCAGGGAATTGCAAGCCGCCGCCTCCCATATTCCCACCGGCAAGTTCTTTCTTGAACGTCGAAAGAAGCTCAATAAGTTTCGATTGAAGCGCGTCTCTGGCAGGTTCGAGACCGCTACTTAGTGCTCGCTCCACAGCCTTGTGGCTGAAGAATGTCGTAACGGCGCATTGATCAGCTGAAGCATAGACATCCGCAAGGTTGCTTGTGGTAGGAAGTGAGAGGGTCATAACCCGGATACGTCTCTCCCCATTGCATGTCGTGTGGAGAACAGCGGTTTGCATGCAAACAAAGTTCTTCGTCAAGCTCTCATCAATAGCTACTTCAACCACATAACTCTGGTCTCTCGGGAAGGCAGGGAAGGCGCAAAGATCGGAACTTCGGTTAAAGAAGTTACCATAGAATGTACTCATGCGAAGGCCTGTGGTAGCACGGACACGCAGGACGGCTTCAAGTCCAATCTCAGCCGACAGGTAATCACTAAACTCTGTCGCAAACTTGATCGCATCTTCACTCCTTCCAGCGTTCCAGCCGGGATAAAAGTAGGTTTGGCCTCCAGTGTATCTTGGCAGGTTACTGAGCGATGCCACATCCTGGTACTGCGATGAAAAGAGGAACATATCGATGGACACTTGATTCTTGGAACATTCCACCGCAAAGCTCTTGTAGAAGCTGTTAGCGGTCTGGAGTAAAGCGCCCTCTTTTGAAGTCCCTAGGAGCTTCTTGTCCTCACGCATCTCCAGCTTGCCATGCCCGACATTGGGCAATGATGCTGTGATGACAACAATTTTGCCGCCAAGTGGAGAGATGAGTTTGTGTCCAGCTCTCAAAGCAGAGCCCATGCAAGAGCCATTGTTCTGGTTGTTCTGGAACATTTCTGGGAGGGAAGTTAAGAATTTTTCGACGCTCAGGCGGCTCTCCGATAATGGAACAAGCAGTTCCTGCGGGATCGGTAGGAATGGCTCCTCGAGGTCGCTAACCACAAGCATTTGGGTCTCGCCATTCTCGTCTGAGTCTTTTGGAACGGCAAAATAGTGTAGGCCGGAATCAACAGCCATGAATCCTACACGCGTTCTGCGGTCTGCGTTTGGTATCCGGTTCAGACTGTCCAGAATGGTTCGCGCGCTGGTAGCAAGGAGACCACATGATACAGAAGCATAGCTGACATCAAAGAGGAAAAGGTACACGAGGGGTTGCGGAGGGCGGACCATATATTCTTGAGGCGCGACGAACTCGACCACGGCGTGATTCAACTCTGCCCGTAGCGAACGGTCAACACTTTGCTGTGCAGCTGCATCCCAATCAAAAGCTTGCGGTACATCATTTGTAAGATTGCACATATTGCACTTCCAGCGGTGCCCGTGATCCATGAACGTGACGTAGGGATTTATGTACGACCGACACCGGCGACAACGAGAAATAATCTGGTCCTGGACAACGGGTACAGGATCATCCACATCATGTAGAGACGTATACGGCTGGATGACGAGCGCAAACGGAAGCTTTGATTTCTTCAGCAGCGAATTGGTGGTCGGGACGGCATTAAGAGTCGAGCGGACATATTTGGGGGGACAGTTTGAGTCTGGAGACGCTGTAACACTCGACTGTCCATGCATGTTAGCAAGCTCAATTCTCTCGGTGTATTCAGTTTCCTTACATTTGGCGGGAGGATAATTGGCGGCGGGGGTAAATCGAGCTCTGTGACATTGAATGGCTGATTCAGAAGATCCGTAGGATATAATTGATTCAACAAAGCGGGCCGAGCAGCACCTTGTTGAGGTTGGACAGGCGGTTGTGCTCCCATTCCCATTTGGCCCATCCCTTGAGTAATTCCAGCAACACCACCAGAGCCAGGTGCGCCAGGACCTGGATATCCAACATCAGGAGCTTGATAACCTCCAGGGCCGGCAAACGGCGCAGGCGCAGGCGCAGGTGCGCCATAACCAGGAACTGGAGCTCCAGGAACAGGCGCGCCAGGTTGAGCTCCATATTGCGGCTGGCCATATGCTGGCTGAGGCTCTGGTTGCTGTGGGAATCCTCCATACGCAGGTGCTTGAGTTGGGAATTGTCCTCCTCCTTGCAACTGTCCACCTAGCGCAGAGTTCGCGCCAGCCCCGAAGTCATAGGCTTGCGCCGCATAACCTCTTTTCTTCTTCTTTCCTCCTTCATGCTCCTGTTGTCCAGCTGGGGGAGGTGGAGATGCAGTGCCAAAGCCGGGTTGAGCTGGGCTCTGTTGGCCTTGGCTATATGGATCTTGGGGAGGATAACCTTGACCCGGATAACCTTCTTGTGGCGCCGCCATGGTTGCGTCTATTCGTAGAGGTGCACGGTATTGGAGGACGGTTGCTAGAAAAAGCGCGGAGCTGTGAAGTGGTTGTGGGAAGCTTGTGGGTTGACTGTAATATTAAAGGTGCTTCGTCGGGTTCGCGCCCAGGGAACACGTTGCGATATCGATATCTCCAGGCAGATCGGTAATTGTCTCCAGGCAGAGGTAATTGTCGCGAGTTGGGTCTCAGCTATGACCAAGTTGCGGGAGATGGACAATGAGGACAGTCATGACAGTGAATTGAGTTGAACGGAGGGCAGCTTGTCGGGGCCCAGAATAGAATGGATATCCTGGCCTTGCATATTACGAGTTGTGCTTGTGCTTTGAGTGTGGCACGGCTCTAAAGAAAGGTGGTCTTCGCGTCACGTGCCATGCCTCGTGTCTGACGCGCATCCTTCCACTGCCAGAGCCTATCTAGTCAGCCGGGAGAATAATGCCCCTGAATCAACACCAACATTTCTAAGTCGCTCTTTATACTTTCTGGACATATACCTATTTTCCGCTCTCTCAGTATCACGACACGCCAATCAAGTTAACAGCGCCGTTTTCACAACCGTTTCATCGTAATCATGGCTTGGGGACGCTCAGTTCCGAAGCCTCCCCCACCACCCCGCTCGCTGTTCATGTATGTCTCTTAATTATACCTCCCTATAACCATCCACCATGCCTTAGAATCCGCACTAACAGTATGCTTGCGCAGGAAACTTCTCCCTCTTGTCATTCTCATCATCGTCCTCGGAATATGCGCCTTTATCGGGTATCACATCTACCTATCGGTGCAGAAGATCTCGAATACAGCATCCGAAAAAATGCAATCCAAGAACGTCGTGTTTACAAAGGACGGAATGAAAGTTGGTGTTAAGCAGATCAAGAATGAGAACTACGTCGATGCCACGCAGGGATTCCTCGTTAAGGCCTGGAATTTGAGCACTTGGCCTGCGTACAAAAGCCGGCTCTGGAACCAGCCTGAGCAACAGAATAATGAGAAGGCCCAGGCCAGGAAGCCGTGAGTTGCCCTATTATCTTCGTATCCTACCACCCATAGGGGTTGAAATAGCCTTGTCTCCAGCAAACCTAAGCTTCCAACTCCACTTCCTATTTGCTCCTTCACACACATCTATTCAGTACCATAACTGACTAATTCATCTCCAGCTATACACGATCCTCGTCCTCTTCCTCCAAGTCCTCCAAATCCACCATGTAGTACTTCCGCATATCCCTATCCGATACCCCTTTCGCGTGTAGCCTTTTACGAATTCACACTATAACACCACACGGCTATTGGTGTCTTGGTACGGTGGTCATGTTTTTCTATACCCTGGCGGATTGCTCATCTGTTTCTACTGCTGTATTAAAAGGGGGGGATGGCGAGGAGCGTTTCAATTCTGATGGATGAAGAACAACAGCAGTTTGTTTTAGGGATCATGAGCTGGACTTGTTTATTTATGCAGAAACGACGAGATGAAATCTCACACCTGTGTGGTCTTATTATAGCTCCTGTCTCTGTCGTATTGTGATTTTTTTTTCTGTGTCCGCGCCGTGTCCTTTGAAGCCCTAGACAAAGACGGACCTTGCCAAGTACATTCGAGGCCACCATAAGTACACTCTAAACTCGACACTATTTTCTGACCAGATGATCGACCACTCAATATCTTCGCCCAACAATATTCTCAAAGAATAGAGTAGTTTTCAATTCACACCCCTACTCATCATCTCGCACTCTCGCCTCTATCTACCACCAAAACATTTCACAAAAGGCCTAAAATCCACAACAGTACAGTTATCCATCTCCTATTCCCATACCCCTAACCGCCCTACAACTCCCTAGCTAAACCCCGCTTACTGCAAACTCTACTTCACCCCCCAAGTTCGAACGCCAGACTCAAAAAGTGTCTTCCTCTCTCTATATACGCAACGGCGCTTCACCATCCTCACAGGAAGGGGCCGTAATAAAATTTATACTCTTCAATAAGCTAGTATCAAGGTTAAATATATTTTGTCAAGCGGTTCGTAAAAATACATATGACGCAGATTATCTAACTTGAGTTTACCTCCCTATTCCTAGCCGTAAAATTCAATTACATCTATACTTACTTTTAAACCGACAAACGAAAGGGATATACTTAATTGATCTTTTATTTCTTTGCTACTCTTTATATAACCTTACTCTCTAAATCTACTGATTATAAATAATTCGCATGGCGGTATGCTATTACATCATACATGATACCCTCAGGGTATAATCCTAGTTGTATAATTCCACGGGGGTGTAGGTTCTTTAAAGCTTAAGGAAGTCAAAATATATTTCAGGATCAATAGCCTCACCAGGAATGTAACCATACAGTAATGTTTTAATCCTATCTGTTGCAAATTATATAGTATTTATCTAAAATAACGATGAGAGGGATAACTCTACGGCCACCTAGATGTATAGATTATTTACGACACCAGAGAGAATAACGGTAGGGCATTAACGTGAAGGTGAAGTGATATTGAACTACTAGTTGAAGCTGTAGTAGTAGTGATATAGAAAATTCTAGTCAAAGTACCATGAGCCTTGAAGGGAAACAAACACACGGCTACGTGCTTGGCCGTAAGGGGATAAAGGCAGGCATGCAAGGAGGCAGATTAACTGTAACATATCATAAAGGATGATATAAGCCCGTATATTTTGGATATTCACCCTAGTCTAAGACCAAATAGGCACACTCAAACTTTTAAGCCAGATAAATGACACATCGTTAGTCATTGAGAAGAGTATTGCCAGAAACCCTTCCATCACGCCTCATTCAATCCGAAGCGTAGTTATCCCCTTTCCGGCCTCCCAACCAACTCCAATGCTCGATACATTGTACGCTTCGTTTCAAAAACTCGAGGAAAACGACAGGTATACCCAAACAATACGTCATACAGCTAAATAAACAGCCAACAACTTTTCGACCGCTTCTCCCTGGCTATTACTAGCTTTCTTAAGAAGTAAAGCCCGTTCCCTCTCAAAAGTCTCCTTTTGCATTGCCTCGCGCTGTTGTAGTGGATCGAGGGCATATACTGTAGCCGAGATCCTTGTTGTTGCTGAAGAGGCGTAGCTTATGGGGAAAGAGGGATGAGGGAAGGGTGGAGTAGCGCCGGATGGTGGCGCCGTGGGAGGAGAGTAAACACCACGGGTCATAGCAGGTGCCGTTTGTGTGCTGGGAGGTGAGTGGCCTATATTGTCGCGGCGGATGATCATGGATGGGAGACGGAGTTGGAACTGTATTTTGTTAGTTGTGACCTAGTTGTTGAACGACAAAAAAGAGGGAGAGATATACCCCCGCAAGCACCTTCGCATGGTTCATTCCCATGCTATCACCAATATACCGCATCCGCGCCTTGGCCCATGCTCGTTGCGCATCGGTGATGTAATCGGTACAGGAGACTGCAAATATTGGCCATAGGGCGAAGAACCCACCTATACCCTTAGGGTTCCTAAATGCATCGAGCCCAGAAGTGAAGCTCGAGAAATCAGATGAAGACACGGCTCCTCCCTTATTAATGTCCCACCCCAGGTGATACGGTATCGAAGAGAGAATATCGGTCGCTAGGTCGGAACATAGTCTGATACCGTGGGCATATTCTGGGGTAGTGCGGTAGTCAACGGGGGAACAGATCCAAGCTGCACATCGGGTGATAGTACCAGAGATATTGATACGCACGGATCGAGCATGGTTCCACGTGGTACCAACCCAGATACTAGTATATACCTCAACTTTACCCGGGCATACTTCTGCCTTGCTGATATCGGCACCTGCGACATTGTCTACCCAAGCCACGGTCCTGGGTTTCCAAGAAGCAGGTAAAGACGCTTCCCATTGATAGTACTCCTGCTCCAATAGCTCAGCACGCCGTATAAAACCAGTCACCTTTGCGAAATATTCTGGGGTCCGAGGGAAGGAAGTGAGTGCGTTATTGACCTCAGCCCGGAGTTCAGCTAGTTCAAGCTGAATCTTGGTTACGGGGACACCAAAGTCGTCTGATACGCTGTCTGCGACCCACCAGTCGGGACCAAGCTCTGGAGATTTTGAAGCAGTCATACAAGTGATCGCCTGTCTAGTATTTAGCGGCGTTACAATTCCCAATCCTGTGACGACTTACCATTTGTGTTCTCACTACTTGGAATAGAGCATTCCCGACTTTTGTACGTAGCTGTTTCTTACCTCTGAGTTTCACGATTTGAACTGCGCCATCAATATGCGAATACCAGGCACTTGGGTTGGTATTCTCCGTGCAAACGGTCTTCCATAATTAGTACATATATACCGAACTAGGGAGATGGCCTAACCTCATAAAATCCTAGCATTAGAATAGCCGCGAGAGTCTGGTCTGTCTTTTGTTTAGAGGGATCCTGTAGAGCTAAATTGGTGGCCTTTAAAGCTTTTGCGTATTGCATAACGGAAATATACTTTAGTTCCTTCCTACTCTTTGAATTGGGTCTATTGGCTAAAGACGCCATCGCAACAGCAGAGAAGGCACTTGCTAGTTGGGAGTCTGGGTGTTCGTTCTTCATTAGGGGAGCAAGGAAGTCAAAATATCCTCGTGGGGTACCGGCATCGTTCGATGGGGCCAACACAAAGTTTGACATGAAATAGCATGGTGCTTGCTGTTCGATAGGTATTGATAGGGACATTGGTGAGGCTAGTGCCATAGCCATATCGGCGCCTGACGTGGACGTAATCGTCAAGTTGCTACCGTCGTTCGGCGCACTCGATAAAGCAGGATGCGGATTCTGGATCGTAACCCGGATATTTGATTGCTTTCCCGTCGTGAGTGTCCGCCGCGCCCGTCGCTCGGTAGCTTGGGTCTCATTGCGAAAGACAAGATCAAAGTCGTCCTTATATCCTGGACACTGTCGCCTTGATTTGGCGCATTGGTTACATGTTGGCTTGGTCTCATCACACTATCCGAGTTAAGGCGATTAGCAAGAGATCGTTGGCCTGGAATTCTTTGGGCTTCAAAATATCACCAACCTTAATCCTTCGAGTCCTACACATCTGGCACCCTCTGGAGGGCTTCCCGCAATAAACCATTTTGATACTGGTAGCAAAGCGGGGCAGTCGGCACGATCCGAGGGTTACTCCGCAGATAAACGTTATACGTAGCGGCAGCAGCACAACGTCTCGATTTGTGATTATATGATCTCTTGACGGCCAGTGCAAATGCTAACGTGTGACAAACCCTCGGAATCGGCGAGGCACTTATGTTTCTTGTTCAATTTAACGTTTAGGACAAACCAGCAAATCTTGGCAGTTCTCGCGCTACTCGATCACCTCCGGCAGGACTTGTGTTGGTGCGCCGATCACGACTGGGTTCTAGATCCCCGATTCTGATCTTTTCCGATAGCTGGGCTGCTGGTAAGGGTTTCTCAGGGGGGAGAAATGACGGCAGATGACATGAGCTTGAACCGGTAGGAAACCGGGCTCGCTATGTGAGCTATGTGATGTGATGTTTGGGAGATCGAGGAGGTTATCTGTACGCAGTATCTGAGCTTGGACACTTCTCCTGTGCAAAAGGAAACCTATGCCGCTTGAAACAGGCCTTTGCATCAGAATCTGGGGACGGTGGGGTAAGGATCGCTGGGCCTAGAAAGGTGATCGATTCTCCTGGGATTCGCCTCCGTCGTCCACTATCACTGGCTACCCTCGGACAAAGTTTCAATAATTGGCCGGTCGAAACAATGATGGACCTTTTTGAACGATTGATCCAGTACTTACTGCAATCATTATTGTTGATCGGCGCTGGCGCTCCGGGCAGCCCACGGTCCGTTTCTGATCGACGCCCAGTTGTACCGCGTACTTTGCACCTGGTCAATCGTCAAGTAATAGTGAGGTTAATAAGCCACAAGCCTGGTTTACTATGTGGCATTTGTGCTGCTTGGCTGGCAGCCTGGAACTCAAGTTGCTCAAAGCCTCCGCGAATTGGCAAAGTCGGTGCGGCAGCCACTCAACGCACGGAACCTGGCTGAGGGGTCAAAGCAATGTGGATTGTCCGTCGGTACCGAGGCGATATTTAATATTGAGGCAGAACTTTCGGAGGTCGTGAGGAACCGGGAGAGTGGCAAGGTGGGACGCATTGGAATAGGCAGGAGAGAGACCAAACCAAGAAACTTGTTGTGAGATATAGCTCTTCTAATGGGGAGGGGAGTTCTTGGGAGGACGACGAGGACGAGGAGGGAATCCGGAGATAAGGAGAGGAAGATGACGAAAATCGGAAATAAGCGGAAAAGGAGGCGAAGATGTGATACATTTCGTACCTCAGGAATCATGCCAAGCTAGGTAGTAAGAACCATTTCGCTCCGTATTACAGTACATCAATATCAACTTGCAAACATTCACTCCCCCATGCAATGAAGTGGGCGCAGCAGCACCACACAGTAGTACAAACATTCCAAAACCGACCTACGGAGTAAAGGGCTTTGCGCCAGCTGGCGCCCTCGTACAAAAACGTTCCAGATTTCAATATTAACGCGTCATTATTGGCACGGAAACAGACATGGAGGCGCTACCCGTTGTGGATTATTTTCATGGTTATTGCCTGTTCCCCGTGCTGTCAAAGAGTACATGTACATATAAATGAAAATAGAAATGATAGCCAGTATTCCGTATGAGAGATTGAAACAGAGACGGCAAATGCTGGAACCGTGATAAAAGAACAGAAAGACGAGGGAAAAAGCAAATGTACTGTACCTGAGTGACGAAAAGCTACTCGCTAGAAATTGCCAACAGTATATAGAGGAACGAATCTAAACGAGGTCTAAGAATCGATGCGGTGTATATTAATTATAATGACTCTTCAGCTATGCAAGTCTAAGATTCCCAACCCGTCCATTACCACAAATTATCGCGTATCATGTATCTCATATCATTCTCACATCTTGCGGGTCCAAATGCCAATCCAAATAAATGCCTCGAAACGCTAATAGAAACCCCGGTCCCAAATCCCCAAATCCTTAGCTCTACTGCACTGTATATCCCCAAACAAACAGAACGGAATGAATAAAAGAACAACGGAGGGGAAATGCCTCATGTCGTAGTAGTACTATCACCCATCGATTTGCTCCCCGACGCCTCATCGCTCTCGCCCTCGGTTTTAGAATGTGCCATCGCTTCCCAGTCCTGGATACGCTTAATCAACTCCGGGTCATTGTCATCTCCAATAAACGTCCAGCTCTCCTCCGAGTCCTCCAGTGTATCATCCGGAACCTTGCCATCCCGGTTCTTGATCAGCGATTTCGCGTATTCGAGATCGCGGTAGATTGATTGGATAGCCGTGTTTACTCCATCCTCCTAAAAAAAAAAAAAGGTGTTAGTACAAAGATGAAGGAGTGGTTTAGGTACGGAGAGGGAAAACTTACACCTCTGATCGCCTCGCCCAGTACCTTGGCTTTGACGATCATTCTCTGGCTATTGGTAGCCTCCCATAGAGCTCGCGAGAAGACACTGACATTAACCTTCTTGATCACAATCCCCACGCCGAGGTCCTCAACTCGGGATCCAAAGAAAAACTGGTCGCCGAAAAATGGGCGGATGATGGTAGGAAGACCAGCTCTTAAACTAGCTCCGGTTGTGCCTGCACCACCGTGATGGGCTGCTGCGTCGATTTGCGTGAACAGCCAGTCATGGGGCACCTGTTTAACAGAGTATATCTCGGGGGGTAAGGGAACTTCAATATCGCCGGCTACCTTTGTGTCGAGACGGTCCGACCACCCTTTTGAAAGGATGCATCTGACATCCGCCTTGAGGACTGATTTGACAACCGTTTGTGTGAGGGCTGCGGAGTCACTTACGACAATGGAGCCGAAACCGATATATACCAATTTCTTCCCATCTTCGCGAGCTTTCTTGATGAAGTCTGTCAACTCCTTTTTTGGTTTGTAGTCCTGGCCACCCTCATCAAGGAACCAATACCCTGTTACCCTGATCCAATCGCTGTAATCGAGGGGCGGTATGACGACCGATGGACTAAAGTTGTACAGGAACGGCACCTTGTTTGGCTGCAGCTTTTCAAGACTTGTCGCTTGCAACCCGAGTTCCCTCTTTCTCCATCGATTGACCTGTCCTGCGATAGATTTCCAGAAGATGTTGTCAAACATAACGTAAGTGATATAATTGTAAGCGCCACCCATCTTGTGTTCGGGGACGGCAAAGGCATGGGGGTAGGCTCGTGTGCGTGTCCATGGCATAGAGAAGGCGCGGAAATATGGTATGCCCAATGCCTCTGCAATGTGAATGCCGCCCATCGCACTAGGACTCTCAATCAAGAGATCTGAATCTTGGCAAGCTTGCCATGACGTTGAGAGCAACCCGTCAATCCAGCCTCGAAATTTAGAGGATGCTTCCCTTAAAAATGAATAGGTAAACATCCCGTAGTCCACACATATCCGCATCAGCTCGGCAGGATCACCAGCTACTGGCTCAAACACAATCCCATGGCTTTCCACCCACTCCTTGAATTCGACATGCGTTGCTATCTTTGGTCTATGGCCTTCCGCAATCAATCCTTTGCATAGGGCAATATAAGGTTGGACATCCCCTCTGGATCCGATGGTCAAACATGTGATCCGAAGGGACTCCGTAGGTTTAAAATTTAGGATCGAAGCTCGCGGATCGTCAAATAATATCGGAGGCGCCTCGCCTTTCGGCCCTTCCGTAGTTTTCGGCAGCTTTATCTCATGCTCGTTGTGATCCTCCTGGCGTGCTTGTTGAAGGGCTTTATGCTCAGCGCTGGCATTTTCTGCGCTCTCTTGCTCCTCCATAGTCAATAGACCAGATTCCTTAAGGTATCTCATGGTTTCCAAATTCTGAAGGAGGGTAACGGCGCAGTCGTCTCGAATATCCGATTGACTGAATTCAAAGAAGAGTTCTTCATGGCCCTTAATGACGACGACTAATCCAGAATATCCAAAGCGGAACCCCTTTTCCTTATCCACGTTCTCGATATCCTTTAGTGGAAGAATAAGTTTTGTTCGAGTACCCGGCAAAAGGCTGCGGAAACAAAACGATCTATCGCTGATATAAATCTTGCCGTACAAGGGCAAGACACGATGCAAGTACCCAAAGTAAGCAGCCTGTAATTTTTCGGTCGCAGGAAGAGCAAAATGGTCGCGGAATCGGTCTCCTGAGATGGCAGCTTGATCATCTTCCCCATCACCGTCGAGATCGTCATCGGGTGCAAGGCCTTGCGGCTCATCATAATGCTTCTTGCCCCCCTTCCACATCCCAGACACCTTCTCAACGTAGCCCATCGATTCCGTAGCTAGAAGGGTACTCATGCGCTTTGAATGACGGTTGAGATAGCCCGCAAAACCTGCGGCGCGTTGCAAAGGGTATGATCCAGCTTTGACGAGGCTTTGTAGCGTTGGCGTTGTTTGAGAGGGTTCCACATCGCCAGTAGCAGACCCTGCCAAAGATCCGGTAGTAGCTGGATGTTGTAGGTTTGGGCGCGTGGTACGGTCCCTTGTGTTGCGCGACAGCGAGTCGGAATCTGTCTCATTAACAAGAGCAGAGTCGGGGTCCCGGCGGCGCGAGGCTGAAGCTGAGCGATGGATAGTTGGTGATAAAAAGACGTCACTTCCTCTTAATATCTGGCTAGCCGAAGCTTGGGTCTCGTCGCTCGCTGATCGTAACGCACCGGACGAGCCCGGCTCTTCCAGAGAATGGACGTACGAGTCTGAAGATTCCTGCCGTTCTGATGGCCTCGTCTCGTGAAGGCGGTTTCTGCTTAGGCTTCGTCTGCTGTTGCTCATACTCCGCCTGCCACCATCCATATTCAGCCTGCTAAGATCCACACTTCGCCTTCCAAACCTCGAGAGATCCATACTTCGTCGGAGGATATCAGAACTTGATCGACTGACATCACCACTTGGGCGACGGCTCGGGGATACTCCTGCAGAGCGCATGGGCGACAAAGTGGCCCGTACATTCTCTTCAAGAAGAGGCGTATCTGTTCGGATAGGCGGCGGAGGTGTGGGTTTGTTTTCTCTTTGCGACGACCGCCTAGATAGGCTCGGCCTTGAACTATTCTTGCCATCCTTTGTGGGTAGCGGAACAAGCATATCCTCCGGAAATCGCTGTGCAGTAGTGTCCTCCACCAATATCCTTAAAACATTCAAGGCCTCTTTCCCAAAGCTAAAGAAAGAAAAAAAGTACTGGGATAACATTAGCAGCAAAATGGGAGATACTAGAATGCCACCTACCTCATCTATCGCATATGTCTCGTCATTATCAATTACCCGTATCTTGCAGGTATCTGCAAAGTCCACGATCTGACTGTCTTCAATGTCGATAATGTTCTCAATAGGCAGCGATATTTTAACACTATCCCCTTCATTATGGGAGCGGAAGATGATCTTTTGCAAAGCCTTAACCCATTCCTTGGCACTAGGTATGCTGTCGGCTTTGAAGTTTAACTTGCGCTGGTGGGTGACGACGGTGAAATGCGTAGCATCTTTCCCCTTTTCTTTGTCGGCAATGTGCGCTGATATTCCGTAACGCAAATCAATGTTACCAGCCGGGAAATATAAATCTGAAGGGTCTGAGTAGTATGATAGCACGTCACCCTTCAGACGGAACCAGTATCGATTGAACTTTGGATTTCGCCTGCCCGATTTCGCGAGATATCCTGATTTGACAACTTCATTCTGGGCGTTGTCAGTTTGGTCCTAACATGACGTATAGGGTGACACTTACAGATTTCTTTGGTAAATACGCATAAAAGCAGATATGTTTGGTGGTAATGTACATATACCCTTGAAGTAATACGCTCTTCAAAAGCCAGCAAGGATATTCTACTGAAATTAGCACTTTACTTTTGAGAGCTACCGTATTTCTTACCTTCTATTACATCCTCCGGCTTCTCAAATTGGAATATCTCCATGAGTCTCTTGGCAAGACTGCTGGATCCCTGGCCCGCGTTGTCTTCGGCATCAACCTGGCCGTCGAGAGATCTGGAGATGTCAAAGCTTGGTCTCATGGATAATTCGGCCCTTGCTTCCAACATCCGACTCATAACTGGCGGATTTCTTGAGGCTGTCTTAGACAGCTGGATTGTAGGAGGTGTAGGTTCAGAGGCAGACTCTGGGGGAGGCGAGCCGGGGCCCTCCGGCGAGGTATTCGATTTCGATTTCGATCTGGAACTCAGGCGTGGGAGCGACCGGAGAAGCTTGTTCTCTGAGAACTTCCGCCGGTGCTTCTCTGGCTTCGCAGTGTCCTTCCCCTTCCCCTTCCGCGTCTTATCCACTTGCAGCTCAGAAGGCCGGTGCGATGAAGGTTCGGGCTCAGGTTCCGTGGAATCCTCCTCCTCGTCCGAGGATTGTCCATCGAATCTAGCATTGAAATCGACCTGGGAACCAGCTGCAGCAATCATGCCAAAGACAGACTGGTTCATATAGGCGTTCCCGCCTTGTAGACTAGTATAGTCATGGTCGGCGTCCTCGCCGTCCTTGAACCGCTCCGGAATCTCCATAGTGACCTGATGGCCCTCCTTCCTCCTCTTCGTCAATTTTCGCACCACCCGCCTCTTTGTTTCCCCCTCCGGCGCCATGATGAGGCGTGCTGGATGGGATGCAGAACACGTCGGGTTGCTGCAGCGTCGTGTGGACGGGGGACTGTGTTTGTCGGGTCGGTACTGAGTCGTCTTTTTCGCGTCGTCTCCTTATCGTCGATAAGCGGTATTCTTTGGTTGTGGTGAGGCGACAATGGCACATGTAAAGCCCTAACAGGTGACTATTCGATAGGGTACAAGAACAACCTGTTTATTGCAGCCTTAAGCTGGAGGTGTAGGGACTGTATATCATGATAGCACAGCTGGGTTGTGGTTTGTATATAGTATAATAAGTGCAAAGAGATATGTAATGTACAGGACATGAAATGACGAAGGTCGAAGGTCTGCGGGTACCTCTGCTCTGTACGTACGGTGGACTGCGGAGGTACATGTACAGCACCTACTGTACTACTAGGCTGACTGATGACTACCGATTATCATCAGGCATGTTAGCGGCTGGCCAAGGGCTCTAGGTTGGAACTTGGGCCTTGAACCTTGGCTGGTTGGGAGGCTTTGCAAGGCGAAAACAGTCTGGCAGTGCAACAGTGCAACCGTCTCTACCAGCAGCAGACCAAAAGGTTACCGGCGCTCCTCTAGGCAGATCTAGCGCAGCTCGCAACTCGCAACTCGCGCCATGCCAGCTGCCAGGGCTGAACACCGGCTGATCCCGAGGTCGCGAGCCGCCTTGTTGAGGTATTACTGTACTTCAGAGTCACACGTGCATGTGCGTGATATTTATATCACGGTGAAGTAGGCACAAAGACAAAGCATAGGTTACCTCGGGGAATGGAAGCCTTGCTCAATAGTATCTGAGTTTCAGTTCATCAGAATCGGAGTCAGAAACATGACATGACATCCCATTCTCAAAATCCGGGGAACTTGATCCCTGCGAAACTCCTATCTTAGCGCCTTGCTGTCTGAATCTGAATCCGAACTCGAATCCCAACAATACATTATACCACATTATCATCACATCACATCCAAAGACAGAGCTTCCCACTAGCAGTACCACCCGCAACCCAATCCTTCGTGGGGTGGAATTGTGCAACTGCAGGAACCGCCGTGATGCCTTCGCCACCAAGTTGCGCCAATTGTTCCCCATCAGCGCTAAACACATCGACAAACCGATTCATATTTCCAATCGCAAATTTCTGGATGCCATCGTCCGGCCTCTCCTGCCACTGCGGCTTCAATATCGTTACCCAGCGCCCAGTCTGATTGTTGTGCCTAATGGTAGCACTGGGCTCCATAGCTTTGTCATCTAACTCATGGCCCGCGTCCCAGGACCCAGCATCAGGGAAGGAGTATATTTTAATCGTGTCATCATACGATGAGGTTGCAACGTGCCCAGCAGCTGACCAGGAGGCATGAGATACAGAGAGACGCGATACATGTTCCCCTAGTAAACTGGGCATTGCATCATCTCCCTTGCCTTTGATATTCCGCAAGTCCCAGATTTTCAACATGCGATCCAGGGATGCGGTTGCAACTAGATAGGGGTATAAAGGGTGGACTGAAAAGCCTCCGATCTTCTTATCAGTGAGTTGCCAGATCTCGGTGTCAGATGGCGTTCGCATATCATGGCGGCCAAATGTTCCTTCTAGGGTCGAAAGCAGCAAGATATTTGGATCCGTGGGGGAAATAGCTATGCTGGAAATAGGCATATCCTCATCTGTAGATTCGGGGGCAAAAACCTCTACTGCAACCCCTTTCTGCAGATCGAACTTTCGAACCGAGGAATCATATGAAGCAGAGTATAGGTGGTTTCCATCTGGCGGGAAGACAAATGAAGTAATCGTCCTCGAATGTAGTTTCATTGCCGTGATGGCAGGCTCCGGAGTGTCAGCCTCTTCCTCATCGTCATCATTATCCTCGGCCTTCACCTCGGCCGGCGTTTGGGACGCGTCGAATATTCCCATATTTCCTAGTTTATCCCCAGCAAAAACCAAAGGTTTGTCAGGCGACGGATGAAATCCTAGGGCATATATCCTCTCGGGGGTAATTTTTATTTCTGCTCCTCATTAGCCCAAAACCCCGCGTGAAAGAAGCAACAGGACACGGACGACTTGGGTCAAAGCCTTCATATAACTCCAACCCACTCATCCTCTCCCTCAACCCCTTTAATCCCTCGTCGGTGGTCTCCTTAATATCGTCCTCGGTGAACGTCCTAAAATTCGGCTTCGCACCCCTCATAATCCCCACCAGGAAGTTATCATCCTTATTATATTTCTTCCCTTCAACCACAATATCGCTGAAATTCAGGTCTCCCGAGACACGCAGCCTCTTGGCCTTAGCCTGCTCCTGCGTGAACTCATATTCCACCTCCGCCTTCCGTTTAGCCGTCTCGCTATCTGCCTCGAGGCCAGCGAGCCGTGAGCTGGTCCTCGTCGCTCGCGTTGTCTCCCTTTGAACTGGCGCTGCCCTCTTTTTTGTGGCCGTTGATTTCTTCGGCCGGGCCGCCGGCGCTGGCATCATCTTCTCCGCGTGGGTGCTGAGGTCTTTCAACATCGCCTGGTTGGCGGCGATGTTCTCGAGCCGCTTCCGCTCGAAGGCGCTCATTTCGGCCTTATCTTTCTTTACTGGTGCCATGATGTGCCGCTGACAATTAATAGGTGATACTATAGATAAAGGTTGGAGTGAGTTTGGGGTTGTTCGAGACGGTGAGGTCATTTACGCGAAATAAGTCGCGGTCAGATCTCACGCGTCGGTGACAACGCGACATCTCGTGGAGGCCGTAAGTGCTGATGGTACAGGGGGACAGAGCACCGAACCTACGGAGTAAGCCCCGTAGACCGACATGCTATGTACCTTACCTAGGTCTACATTATGTATTCCTTTATAGTCAGTACAGCATTCGGTATAGAAATACTTTAGATATGTACATCTTACTACCTCCAATTCTTGGTATCCCAAGAACATTGTGAATTTACGGGGATTCTAGAAAATCATGATGGCCAAAGCAATAAAGCCTTCGGTCAAGAGTGTATACCAATATCAAAGTCATCTCAGATACCTTTAACGTTCTTACACTACTAGTCATCGACTGGCTCTTCCATATTACAAACCGACACTCCAACAACTCAGGATCCTCTTTCCTAAATGTACCTATCTACCTACCTATTTACTACTTACTACCCCTTCTTCTTCTCCATCGTCGCCGTCTTCTTCGCATACGCCTCCCCCTCCCTATTCCTCTCCTCAATCCACCCCTTCAAATACGCCGGGACCTCCTTAACGCGATTCACAGGAGCCTCAACTGGCGTCCCCAGCCTCTCATACACAGGCACTACACCAGTCCACACGCTATCCAGCACCTCCTCATTCTTCAAATCCTTACGATCATCGCTCGGGCCTCCCACATTAACCTTCGCACTAGCGCTTACGACTCGCACTCGCAGAATCCCCGTAGAGATGAGCTCTGATTTCGTCGGCGGGGAGCGGGAGTTCTCCCAGCGTTGCGGGATGAGCCCGTTGGTTATCCGGTACATGGCGAAGAGCTTCTCGTCCTCGGAGGTCACGGTCGTTGCGTACCCGTGGATGATGGCCGAGCGGTAGGCGCTGGAGTGGTTGAAGGGCGTGAGGGAGAGGATTAAACTGTCGATGTGGGCTGCTGAGATGCAGACCGGGACACCTTCGTTCTCATCTCCATTTCCATTTCCCTGTGAACTCGCGGTAGGTAATCGCATCAACCGACTCGCCGCATGCCCGTGGATATATAAATCCAAAGCATCTGCTTCCGGGTCCGCGTCTGGGTTGGCGAAGGATGCCATTTGGCCGAGCATTGGGAGCATGCAGGGGAATGGGTCGGAGGGGTCGGAGGGCAGGAATGAGACGTGCCAGATGGGGGCGGTGTTCATTATCTTGTGGATGGTGCCGTAGTCATAGTGGGCGCGTTCCTTGTGCCGGTGGAGGGTGCTGCGGGGGTGGATTGCGTATTCTGTTTCTGACATCGTGATATAATGATGTTGAATGAGATGAAGAGGGAGAATTGATATAAGATTAGCTGGAGAAGTGTGTATAGGATGAGGTGAATATATAGTTACAAAAGAACAGAACAGAGGAGAGATAGTAAACACTCTACGAGGCACATTAGTTGAATAATACGTGATACTCGATTGGGCAGCTCCAGTCATTAGTCTAGTACAGCACATGGACAAGCGGAACTCAGCACGTTGATCACGTTGACTCATATTTGTCAAAGTGAAGAGGGGTACTTCGTATTACTTCGTACTAAGTATACTTCGTACTAAGTACCTAGGTAACTTGTATAGGCCATATAAGGCTAATCACATGACTCCCCCTTTCCCCCTCGAGCTGACCTATATAAATCAAAATAAGCGATTTTGGTATTAACGAAGTACAAGGGCGTGGCACTTGGCTAAGTGTGTTCTGGTCAAATTGCACTTTCGTTATCGCCAGGGACGACAAGGGGAAAAAAGGGGAAACAACAACAACAACAACAACAACAACAAGCGACAGACAACAACAAAAATCGACAAGAGATGTAGGCAATCGCCCGGGCCGAACTCTTTTGCTTCCGGGATATATAGTAATATTTTTGCCTCTTTTTTTGAAGGCCTGCTTTGTAATGGAAGTTCGGCTTTCTTTTTTGCCTGTTTCGCTTGTGGTGGGTGGGGAAGGGGGTTGGCGAGAGAGTGTACAGACTCAAATCACCGACCTGTCTATCTACCTGGATACCTTTATACTACAACAACTCCTGCGTAGACTCTCCCACTTATCCCGAGATATACCAAAACACCAAACCCCCGAGGGAACACTTCTGATTTGTATGCTCGTTGCCTTTTTCTATGTACCTATCTAGCTCCCCTTGCTCACTTATAAAACTCCCAGAATGACCCCCATCGTATCATGTATGCATCGTTCCTAGAGCAAAATAGAAAACAAAAACTGGTATCGTTGCCAAGTCATCCCCTCGATCTGCTCTGCTCGACGGTTCCGTTCAGTTGACATTATTCCCGGCATATCATAACCGTTGCCCCCAATTATCAGATCACATTACATCCATACAGTCCATTTTCACGCGTTGATATTCCCCTCAGCTTTTCCGCCCTCAACAACCATCCCCTTAACGCCCTCCACAAGGTCATTAACCCCTTTAACAACTCCACCCACGCTCTCCGGCAGCGACTTCTTCCGCTTCTTCTGCGCGTGCTCGCTAATCCTCACCAATTCACTTACAAACGACTCGCCCCACCATGCACTCGTGAACTTGAAAACGTATTTCTCCAACTTTTTGTAGTTGGCTTCACGCCGCTCGGGTTCCATGGTGACCGCTTCGTGGATAGCGCCCGCGAGTTCTTCGGTGTTCCAAGGATTAACGATCAGAGCACCGTTGAGCGATTGGGCGGCTCCGGTGAACTCGGAAAGGATCATGACGCCGTGGCGGGCACGTTGGCTGGCGATGTATTCGTATGAGACCAGATTCATGCCGTCGCGGGTGGAAGATACCATGCAGGCGTCGGATACGGCGTATAAGGCAGTGAGCTCGTCGAAGGGAACGGATTGGTGAAGGAAATGGATGGGCATGAATTCCACGGTGCCGAATTTACCATTGATTCTACCAACCAATTCGTTGACGACTGCGCGGAGATTTTGATATTCTTCGACGTCTTGTCGACTAGGTACCGCTACTTGGACGAGAACGATTTTCCCAACCCATTCCGGGTGCTCTGTCAGGAAGACCTCGAGAGCGTGGAGCTTTTGTGGGACACCTTTGATGTAATCAAGTCGATCGACACCCACAATGAGTTTGACGCCCTTGAATTTCCGTTCTAAAACTGCGATTCGGTCTTGGACCGATTGTTTCTTCAGCTCTTCGACGAACTTATCCGGATCGATGCCAATTGGGAAAGCGGCCACCGTGACATATCTCTTATTGAACTCGACGCCATTAGGATTTGTTGATGTCCCTCTGCACCAGTGTTAGCAATGTATCAGCCTCAAAAGGTCAATGCCAGTCTTACAATATTCTGGAGCAGCTGCTGAGGAAATGTCTCGCATAGTCGTACGTATGGAATCCAATGACATCGCAGTGCAGGACACCAATAAGCAAGGCTTCTCGAACGGGCAAGATTCTGTAAATCTCGCTGCTCGGGAATGGCGTATGTAGGAAGAAGCCAATCTTGACATTCTTCTTGCTAGTACCAATTTCTTCCCGTAACATCTGGGGAAGCAGCATCAAGTGATAATCATGCACCCAGATCAGATCGCCATCCTTCACATCCTTCGCCACTGTCTTTGCAAATAGGCGATTCACCTCTGTGTATGCAGCCCAGGCCGACTCGTCGAATGTGATTTCTCCGGGATGGTAATGGAAGAGCGGCCAAAGGATAGAATCTGCGCGAGTTTTTGCTTTTTAGCTTCTGTTCTGCTCAGGGCAACAGGGACAAAGTCGTACGAGAAGGGAGGAAAGCATACTTGAGAAACCATTGTAATGTCGATCCGCCAATTCATCTCCAATGAATACCGGATGAGCTGAGTGTTCCTCCTCCAAGCGCTTCACCATCTGAGGGATTTCGGGTTCGGGCACCTCCAATCCGGGCCAGCCGTACCATTGGAAGGTGGTGGTCTTGGACAAGCCACTGAGGCCCGTCACTAGCCCACCTGAAGACATGGAGAATTCATAAGTGCCATCGTCGGAGCGCTTTATGGTTATGGGAAGGCGGTTGGAGATGAGGAGCAGCCGGCCCCGAGGTTTGACGTCCTGGACCAACGCAGGCATCGTGGGCGGTAAATTGGAATCGAAGGTATTTGTATTTGCACTGGTCTGCGCCGACGTTCGAAAAAGGTACTGCGCGGATTGCGAGGCAGTGGAGATATGGAGGTTATTCTGTACGAAGTAGTGGCGTGGGTGTGATCAGAAGCTGAATAGTTCCTATCAAAGGCGGAGCGGGGAGGTTGCGAGACCGAGTCGTTTTGCAGAAGCCGAGTCGGTGGATGACGTCGTGTTTGGAGCTGAGGCAGGGAGGTAGGGACTAGCAGCTTGGGAAGTTATTGAAGCGGATAGATGAAAAGAAGAACCCGTATTGTTTGGTATGGACGTGAATTGCACCTCTCTCGATTTCAAGCCTTATTAGCGATTACATGGACTTTGCAAGAGGCAAGACAGAGGGGAGGTACAGGTATGATGTAGGTATAGGCACTGGCGGGGGAAGAAGGGGAGTGGGAAGCTAGAGGCAAGAGGGTAAGAGTTGAGACACTTGGTCGACGAGGGAGCTAGAAAGGTTGATAAGAAAGAGAAAGAGGGGGAGGGAAGTGCCTTGCAGGAAGAGCGATGTTCACCAGGCGAGTGGATAGTTCTTGTATGGTTGCATTGGGTGGCCAGAACCTTATATTTATCTATTGCGTGGTCTCGACCTATGATTCTGCCCGGTTCCGTAACGTTGTCAAATATTCGTGGGTTTCCCAAGGAAGAACAATGGGCGGATATGTGTACGGTGGCCGGGCTGCTCGAGTACGGCGGACACGCAGGACATAAATGCCTCGAGTCTCTCCGCGAGGAGCAACGACCAGATGTCACGCTTGCGGCGCTGGCCCACCGCCAACCAGAACTGCGCTGTCTGCTACACCGCGTATCCCCCGCCGTAGCAACGCCACTATCCGCCAACGGCTCTTTTTTCCACTGACGGAATTTCTGCAAATAGCATGTTCCACGCTCATGTTCTCTGCACTCGGCACTCTGCAGGGTCAGGGGTAATAAACCCTCCGATCCGTATTGTTTATCGACGCCTTGAAAACCAAGCAACTACCAAGTACCAAGAAAAACTGCGGACGCGTAATAGCTCCCGCGGACAATGAAGGGTGGCGGGCCATAGGAAGATGATGAGGACAGGAGGGTCATAACCTAGAAGCTCTCGAGCAAAATGATCCGATCCATGGTGGTTCAAGGACCAGGCTCTTCCGCTTTTATCTGCTTTGCTGAGTGTTTGCGGATCGTCGGACTATAACTTGATAATAGTGTGACAGAGAGGAGGGGTTCCTTTTATTTATTATCATACTCGAGCGGTTGTACAGTACGTCTGTAGGAGGACAACCTTTAACTGAATTTGAAGGACACGGAAACTACTACTGCTACGAACTAATTCAAAATACTATGCATCCCTGCGGGCTATGGCGTAGGTGTGCGTCAGTACCCTGGCAATGGCAGAGCAGCCACGGTTTATATTGCACGTACGTAGTACAAAGTAATCCGTACCTAGGTATCTATTTACAATCATCAGAGTTTAGGAACTATATGAATGCCTAATTTGCTCACAACTTGAGTGTCTTAAGAGATTTGAGTTATCTATCCTTACAAATTTCCAACTGGATTTGGTGCATCTGGGCAGTATGATTTCTTGTCCACTTTAGATCTGACATTGATATTTGTTAGTTATATTTCCTAGGTTAGCAATAGCTTAGGAATAAATCAAATTGTCGCTCCAGCCCACATGCGATTCGGCTCTCCTATATATAGCGGTATGGACTTTTGTGCCCATTTATACTGATAGTAGAATAGGTATCACATCTACCAGGCCCTAGATATTACTGTGGCCATCAATTCCGCTTATAGTCAAGCAGCATTCTGCTCTGTAGCTATCGATCGTCTCTACTTGGCGCGTAGAAAAGAAAGGCTCGTGAATCTGGGCAAGGAGGGAGACGAGTGATCCGAGAGCCAACATTTTCATTGTACGCTGGATTTCGATGACCGATATAACCATCATATTCTAAGTTTCACACCTGTCCCAAAGCAACTCCAACCCATCATTCCGCAGTAACCAAAGCGCCATCCAAAGCAACCCAGCCACTCCGTTCCCAAGGTGAAAACATAACCGCCTTTTGCGCATCTCCAACTTTTCCCGTCCCCGCAAACGCCCTTGATAGGTCCTCAGCAGCCAATTCACCATGGGGTGGTACCGCTTTAATAGCAGTATTCAGCGCCATATCTGCAGCATATCCGTTGTCATCCCAACTCAACTCGGCCAAACGGCCCCAGCCGTGCGTTTGCTGAGGATGGAGAAACACGTCGGTTTGGATCTCAGAAAGCATTGCTTGTTCCGGATCGTCCTCGGAAAATGCTGCGATGGCGCGGAGAACTTCACTAACATGCTCCTGTTCGCGCTCCGTGATTGTATGTGTTGCGCGCAGCTCTTGGAGAGTGGAAGTAACGGCTTCAAGGCTTTCGGTGTCTTGATCGAGAAGAGCAATTATGCCTAGTAACAATACGGATTGCACATGGTCTGGATGGCTCTCAATGCAATCGAACAGAAGTTCTCGGCTTTTACCTCGAGACTCTTCGGTTCCTTTTGCCCATAGGACCTGGGCTAAGAGACACACGGCGTCAGGGTTCCCAGCGGATTCCTCCAGTGCGGGCTGGAAGTATTCTAATGCCGTCTCCGGTTCGTCATTGTAGTATTGTGCAAGGCCGACAGTGAGATGGGCTGACAATCTACACTTTTGACGAGCTTCTGCCGAGAGTTCATTTCCGGCATCTTCGGCGCTGAGTTGTAAAGCTGTCTCGCCGCTGTCAATAGCTGCAGTGTACGCTCCTGTGGAGAGCTGTAGCCGAGCAAGATCTGCTTTGGCCAACGCAAATCGAGACAACGAGGAAGGTGACTCGGTGACTTCATAGTCCGCTTCGACTGTACTGCAGATTCTGGACAGCCGTGAGACAGCTGGATTGACATCATCTACTCGCTCTAGGAAGAGAGTGGACAGATGCCGATACACCAGATCACTGGGCACCGTCGACTGAAGCTGATTTAGAGCAAATAACGGCTGTACGAGATCTGTAACATTCAAGGCACTGGAGTTTGCGAGGATCTGGTCGAAAGTTGACTGGGCATATTGTTGCTGTGCTATTAGGGACGAAGATTCTGCGATCTCCACTGCATGCGTGAAAAGAAGATGTGCTTCATTGATATCACCTGTCATCAATAGTGCGAGGAGTCCTTGGCCAATCCAGGCGTGTGCGAAATCAGGGTCGCTCGATTGAGCTCGTGTGAACGCCTCGTTTGCAAGAAGAAGGTCATTCTGTAGAAGGTACAGTGTCCCTAAGTTCGTCCATGTTTGTGCGCTTCTCTCGTTCAAAAATAGACTTCGAACGAATGAGTGCTGCGCAACCTTTGGATTCAGGTCGCTGGTGACGACACCAAGTGCATTCCAGAACTCCGAGTTTCCAGCTTCCAATTCGATGGCCCGCTTGAAACATCGTACTGCTGCTTTCAGGTATCTCGTCGATTTCTTCTTTAGTCTCCCACCTAGGCAAACATGGGCACGATGTTCAGCCCAGCCTAAATTGTAATATGCAACAGCTTGGGCGTGAACGTCGTCTGCGGAGGAATATATTGCTCGTTTATGAGCTAGGATTGCCCCGTGAAGACAGCGCGTGAGGTTTACCCCATCTTCCTCATCTTTTGCGAAGAGGCCATCAGCAAACACAACATCGATACCAACACCATCGACATCGGCAAATACCGTAAAGGCATCTTTATGATCCTTCACTTGAAGCAAGCGCTTGATCTTCGCTGCTGGAAAGTCTGAGAGATAACATTGTACCCACGAGAAGACTGAACAGGCATCCCCAACCGCTTTCCAAAGATTGAACACATCGGCTCTGCTATCGGCAAGTTTGATAGCTGCATCAATGGTTTCGGTTGCGCGTTTAGCAGCATGTCCAAAAAGACCTTTATCAACACCATCCCAAGCACTGTCAACGAGCGCCTGTATCAGAGCTATAGATACTCCGAATTCGGCTGGTCGCCCCTCGAGAACGCTTTGATATTCTTCGATTGCCTCATCATAGTCACCCAGCTCTCGCTTAACGTTGGCAAGCATATACTTCGCAAACCAAGTCTCGCCAGATTTTTGCTGCTCTATTTCATGTTCGAATTTCTCTGCATGTTGAAACGCTCTTGTGGCCGCAATATAGCGTCCAGAATTGTGATAACTCTCACCGAGGCCTACCCAGGAGTGGTAATCCGTAGGCGCGATTCTAAGTGCGTGTTGGAAAGAGACGATACTCTTGGCGTAATCCTGCCTATTTAGTTCAGACACCCCGAGAGCTGCAAAAGGCCAGCTGATGCCTTTCTTCTTCGAACCTGGTGCTGGTCTGACTTTCCCAGAGTTAACCACTCTCTGTGCAACAGCCTCGACGAGTTCCCATTCGGCCTGCTCTGAAAATATCCTTGCCAGCCGTTCCGCAGCCTCCACTTCAGCAGCTGAAAGTTCGAAAGCTTTTTGGAAGCACTTTCGCGACCTTTTCTTATCCTTGGCGTAGTCTGCGTAGTATATCCCAAGGCTTGTGTAGGCTGGCGCAAAATTGAGATTGCTCTTTAAAGCGGCCAAGAAGTAAGCATATGCACCGTTTCTGTCTTTCCGCGCGGACTTCGATGTATCAATATTCCAGATGCATGTGCCAATACGATATTGACACTGAGCATACAGATCTCGCATTCTCGAATCTTTGATATCTATCAACGGGAGACATTCCTCTAGTTCCATTTTACCTAGAGCGTAATCCCCGTTGAGAGCCTTCACCCAACCAGCTTCAGCCTTGATGCGAGTATTTTTCGGGTCTCTTTCCAGTGCACGCCCAAGAAAGTCAATTGCTGCTGGATAGTCTTCTTCCTCTTCGTAGATCAAACCAATCCCAATCAAAGCTGGAGTTGATGCTGGATTTCGGGCAAGTAGCTCGTCGAATAATGCTTTGGCTTCTGGATGATTCTTGGGCGATTGGTAGAAAACTAGTGCCGTGCCAAATAGCGCAGTTATCGATTCAGATGAATGCTCGAATTTTAATCCGGTTTTGTTGCGCTCCTCTGCAATCAGTCGTCTCCCATTACGCATGAGTTCAACCGCGCCCTCATACTCCTCTAGAAATTGATAATACTCGCCCATCAATCGGTGGGCTATGATCGACCTTCCAGACTCCGACATTCCATCCAACATCAAGGCCAAGCGATCTTCTGCAGTGAATGTTTCGGCTAGATAAACCCCACCCCCTTCATCGTCGTCATCTTCACTTTCATCCGATGTCGTACCAGTCTCAACCGGCTGAGAAGGAGGCTGAGAGGGTGGAAATGGAGATATTTCGCAGGTCATAAATCCACGCAAAATCTGGCCAAGACCGCTGGTTGGGAAAAACGCGTAATACTCACGCAGAATATTTGGATCCAGATCACCAATATTCTCTGGATCTTTCCACTCGATTGCGATGTCCCAAGCTAACTTGTAGGGATGTTTTATGATGACCATGTCGGTGGCTAGTTTCATGACCCTGGCGCACTTTTGGGACTTCTCTTCTCCCGGTGGGAGAGCTGTCATAACATCGAGGCATCTTTGGACAAGCTTTTCTTCGTATTGACGACGAATTTCATCATCATTGCTCCAGTCTATAACTTTGGTGTAAAGGTCTTCCAGATCACTGTGCTTGAAAACCTCCCGCTTGACCTCGAGAGTAACTTGGCCAACTTTAGCTCCAAGCCTAGTCCTTCGCTCGCCAATTTCCTTATTTATGCGCTCCTTCTCGTCGAATTCAGTGATCTGGGTGATTATTTGATATGTGTGGGCGGGGTGGGGCACTCTGCCTTCGAGATAGTCATATATTGGGGAACCGGGCAATATTATCTCTTGAGACTTCTTGTAATGCAAGCGTGTGCCTTGAGTCTTCGCGAAACTAAGAAACTTGTCCACGAGAACTTGACACTTGTATTTGTCGTCCAGCGCCTGGTATATCGCCGCCAATTTTAAGACTGCCACCTGATACCGGCCCACTGCCTCGCCGCCCTGCTTTTCGTACACCTGTATAAGACCTTGCCATGCTTGGGGATCCGATTCTTTTATCTTTGTTGCCGAATCGTAAGCTTTTTCTGCGTCGGTGTAATTGTTTTGTTTGCTCAATGCGAAGCCTAGGAAAATATTTCTGGCAAAGGTTAGCTGGGCACAGGTATACGACTGCTAACCAGAAGCAGAGATAGAAAAAAACATGTAGTGTAGCTGGAGGCACTTACGCCTGATAGCTCTTGGGGTCTGATGCTAGCAGTGTCTGAGCTTGTTGAACAGCATCCTCATATTTTTGGGCCTTGATGGCGGCGCCGATGGCTTTCAGCGCAGCCTTTGCTCCGGACATAGCTGAGCAGTTGCGCTGGCATATGGCATTGCTGGGCACAAGACTGCAGAAATCCAAAGTCAGACGACGCTGTGTTGTGTTTGTTGGTTGTCGGTAGTACTCCGTAAGGCCTAGAGGGGTTGTTATGGAGTTTGGAGGGGGACGGTTAATAATGCAAGGGTGACCCAAGCCCTGTGGACTGCGCCATGTGCCAACTCCCCTAGTTCCTGACCTCATCTCCTACGGAGTACAAGTGCTGTACAAGTACTGTACAAGTACCCGTCATCCGGGAATACCGTCAAATGACCGCCACTCCCCAGTACTCGCCATCACTCTACACAATACATGTATCTAGCCTTCTGTATCTTGCCTTGCAGCCTCCTACAATAGCCCGCTGATTCCGCATGCCTTCACGTCTCTTTTCCCCATAACTGGCTGCGATCCCCAGCACTATCATGTCGCCCCTGAGACTTACCATAGAAGATGGCTTCTTTCGCGACTCCCATGGACGAGAGGTTACCCTTCGAGGCATTAACGTAGCAGGAGATGCCAAGTACCCCAGCCATCCGCATCAGCCTTCCCATATCGCAGACGGCTTTTTTGAGGGCGACGACGTCAAGTTCCACTCGCGGCCGTTCCCCCGGGAAGATGCACATATCCACTTCTCTCGATTAAAGAGCTGGGGATATAATACCATAAGATACGTCTTTACATGGGAGGCGATTGAGTCGGCTGGACCGGGAATTTATGATGAGGAATGGATCCAGCATACGATCGAAATATTGCGATCGGCGCGAGAGTATGGGTTCTATATCTTTATGGATCCTCATCAGGATGTGGTAAGCTCCACCGCAAGATATGCCAAATATTGGCTCTGACAATCTGGTACACAGTGGTCTAGATTTTCCGGAGGTTCTGGGGCGCCGATGTGGACTTTATATGCCTGTGGGCTCAATCCCCAGAGCTTCGCGGCAACAGAATCCGCCCTGGTCCACAATACATATCCAGACCCCGAGAAATTCCCTAAGATGATCTGGTCAACGAACTATCAGCGACTGGTGTGCGAAACCATATTCACATTTTTCTGGGCGGGGCGAGATTTTGCGCCTAAGTGCATTATTGATGGACAAAATATCCAAGATTATCTGCAGAATCACTTTGTGAACGCTTGCGCCCACCTTGCCAAACGCATACATGAGGCTGGAGATTTAGAGGACGACGTTGTCGTTGGCTGGGAAAGCATGAATGAGCCTAATCGAGGTTTAGTGGGCTGGCCAGATCTCTTATCATTTCCCAGCGAGCAGAAATTGCACAAGGGTACGTCTCCAACGCCATGGCAGTCTCTATTGACTGGCAGTGGAAGAGCGTGCGAAATAGAAACCTGGGATTTTGGAGGCATGGGCCCGTATAAATCGGGACGAGCGCTGGTAGACCCTCAAGGAGAAAGTACTTGGCTGCCCGTAGATTACGATGAGTCGAGATATGGCTACAAACGAGATCCCGGGTGGAAGCTAGGAGAGTGTATCTGGGCTCAACATGGCGTTTGGGACCCCAGCACCGATACACTACTGAAGAAAGATTATTTCCGGATTAATCCACGAACAAACGAAGTTGTTGATTACGAGGTATTCACCAACACATATTTTATGGAATACTATAGGAAACACAAAAACGCAATACGCAAACACCACAAAGAATCCATCCTCTTCTGTCAACCACCTGTCCTAGAGATCCCTCCATCAATTAAGGGGACGGAAGACGATGACCCAAAAATGGTGTACGCCCCTCACTATTATGATGGCATAACGCTTATGACCAAGAAATGGAACCGGTACTGGAATGTCGATGTATTTGGCATTTTGCGAGGAAGGTACTTGAGCCCTGCTTTTGCGGTCAAGCTTGGGGAGACCGCGATTCGAAACTGCTTCCGTGACCAGTTAGCCGCTATAAGAAAGGAAGGATTGGACTACATGGGTAATCATCCTTGTGTTCTCACAGAATTTGGTATACCCTACGACATGGATGACAAGTACGCCTACAAGACTGGGGACTATTCAAGCCAGCTAGGAGCCATGGATGCCAACCATTTTGCTGTTGAAGGCAGCTCCATGGCAGGCTATACTTTGTGGTTATATATGTGCGAAGTAGGTAGAGACACCCCTTTCGATGAGAGGTAAACTAACCATGTGCAGAACAACCATCCTAATGGCGATTTGTGGAATGGAGAAGACCTTTCGATCTTCTCCCTGGACGACCTGCCTCTCCCTCTTGCTCCTATTCCACTAGCATCCATCAATGCATCCACGACGACATTGGATCAAAAATTTAGGCCAGCTAGCAGAAAAGATCTCTCGGATGGGCAGACTATTAACCCTGGGAATCTAAAAGCCAAATTGAAGACGCCTTCAATCTCATCGCAAGCAACAGACAAGCCGGAGCTTACTAACACTCCTGGTTTCCGAGCTGCTGAAGCGTATATCCGGCCTTCTCCAATCGCGACCTTCGGCAAGATTATCAATTATGGTTTTGATCTTCGGAACTGCGAATTCACATTGCAGCTAGATGCTCACAAAGCTGTGACGGACGAAACACCAACCGAAATATTTTTACCCGAATTCCATTTCCCTAAAGACCAATGCGATGTTGAGGTCTCATCGGGCAAGTGGGCCATAAGCACGGACGATGGTGATGCTGGCTTGATTCAACGACTCAGGTGGTGGCACGTAGAGGGCGAGCATTCCATTAAAATCAAAGGTGTACAACGACGATCGACAATGGGGCTAGGAAATGAGGACGAGGATGGATATTTGGATCAATGCCAGCAGACCAGATGCACTGTCATGTAGATGATGACCAGCTGACGATACGATGATTTTGCATTCATTCAGGCGTACGGGAATCCATAGTTTCTTGACGGCCATTGTATATGAATCGGAGGCTGATTCCCGGGTACTCTAGTATACCTCACTATAGTTACATGCATCACTATAAGACATAATTGTCCGTAGCTCTATATAATGTCTCCCAAGGTGCCCGACGTCTTTGTGCCATATATAGTTTATTAATTGTTCAGCCGAAAGGTTGTGGTAGCACTAACTCCACTTAGCGGTACAGCCTTGCCCAAGATCTGACAGGAACTATAATAGCTGCATTCTTGATTAATCACACTGCAGCCTCATTTTCCTTTCCTGCACCTGTGGCCCAAAAAGAACCAAGTTTCACTTGCCTCGGAACTCATTTGGTGGCGCGTCTCACTGCCTCGCGTATGCCTAGCCTTGCCTTGCTCGGAAAAACGAGGTCCGCGATTTCAGCCTTCCGTCCTGTCCTGACAGCTTGACTTTGTACGCTCGAATCTATAATTAACAACTTAGTAAAACTATCACAACAATCGTTTCCAAAGCACGGCTTGAGACTGCACAAATATCTCCCTTCGCATACTCTACGAACTTTCTGGAAAGTACTTTTTAGATCGCCGCCTCCTTTGATTGTTCCTTGCCCAGTGGGGTTCCTGGAGCACGAAGTATTAGAATCCACGCGCATGACTGCGCTCAGGTCACAAGCTGGATGACTCTTCATTCGAGCAAAGCTCAGGTTGAAATTTTTGAGACTCTCAGAGACATATCTATTTGTATCTAACAGAGCTTAAATCCAACACTATGCACGGCTCTATGAACGGCGATTCGGCGGTGGGGGCGAACTCGGTGACTGCTCTTCTTGCTGAGCGAGCGAACGGCAGTAGCACAAACATGCTCTCTCAAATCCACGAAGCCCTCGAAGTCGTCCATGGCCCCTATTCTTCCAACGAGTCCCGTCGGCAAGCGTCCTCATTTCTTGAGGAACTGAAGGTCAACGACGAAGCTCCCTACCACGGCTTTACTTTAGCCTCCGACTCTGGCCAACAAGCCGTTGTTCGCCACTACGCCCTCTCCCTTCTCGAATATGCGATCAGACACAAGTGGGCGGAATATTCGGACGAGCAAGCAGCTGCGTTGAGGCAATGGGTACTGGACCTCTCGCGGAATATCTCCGCTGAAGATCCGTTATATCTGCGAAACAAGACCGCACAATTATGGGTTGAGATTGCAAAGAGGAGCTGGGCTGCGGCATGGCTTGACATGGATGAGCTGCTCGTACAGCTCTGGAATCTTCCCGGGTCCGTGGTACATAAAGAATTTGTGCTGTTTGTCCTCGAAACTCTCTCTGATGAGGTCTTTAACGGGGACGATACCGTGGCTATTCTGCGGGAGGGAGCCTTGAGCAAGGCTTGCGTAGAGATCTTCACACCTGCGATCGTACTAGCTGAGCAGTTTCCAAATCGCCAAGTTGGAACGTCTGTTAGATACGGCGAGGAGGGTTGGTTAGTCCGTCTAGGCGAATTGCTCAATCAGTGTCTAGAGACCGATCTCCACAATAATTCGCAATATCAGAGCTGCGCGGTGAAGGCTTTGGCAGTTTATAAATCTGTCATGCCTTGGGCTGTGCCAAGGGCCATTGCGAGTGCCTCATGCGTTCAGCATATGTGCAAGAGCCTTGCTGCATCAAGCGTCGCCGTGCAACTGGTATGATATATCTTTGAGCTGTAAGTGGAACAATATCAGACTAATAATCATAGGCATCTGTCGAAGCACTTCATGCCTTGTATTGCCGGAGCCAGTTTCGAGATGAGGAATTCGTGTCTCTCGTTTGTCCTATGTATACTAGCCAAATGGTGGACTTGCTCCGGAAGCTATACGAATGGTCTGTTGTGGATCCTCACAACATCGACGATGAGAAATACCTCTTTGCCAAGAAGTTCTCAGAGGTTCGTCTCCATCCTTTTGGCTCTTTATTAAATTTTCTCACCAGTTTTAGATGATGTCAAACCTTGGAACTTTCATTGAGCAAAAGATATCGGCCATCCCAGAAGACTGTGATCTTCCAAACCTATTGAACCTTTTCCTTGGTATTAGTCAAAGTCCAAGTTTTGTCGTCTCGATACCCATTCTCGTTACATGGACACGGTTGCTACGTTCCAATACCATCGCGGATTCTCCTACTATCACCACATTAATTGCTCCCCTGCTCGAACTTTGCCGTTCAAGACTAATACGCTATGAGAGCATCCCTGAAGATTCAGATGACCCCTGCATGGTCTTTTTGCTGGAGGATATTGACACAATACCTGAGCGACATGCTTTTCTTGGAAATTACAGGCGGTATTGCATCCAGATAATCGAGCTTATTGTTCGTCAAAAGCAATCTGAGGCTATCTACCATATATTAGGCCAAATTGACCAGTCGATACAACACCTTTACGATGGCCAACCTCCATTTTCTGGTTCGTTGAATGTATTGATGACATGATGTAAATGCTAATTTTTATCCAGCTGATAAATACTCTAAAAGCTCCATGGCTCTATTGCGGCTAGATGCTCATTTCGCTGTTGTTGAAGCGGCACTGAAAGGATATATGAAATGGCGTGCGGTACACGGGTCAAAGCTGCAGGAAGATGTATGCTAACACGAGCGCAAAGTTTTTTAGAGTCTATGTTAACAATTTTCAGGACCAAGAGCGTGTAAATATCGAGACCAATCTCGAGGCATGGTGCGACCGATTGTTGGAGCTAAACTTTGAGGTACGTTTCGTTGATTCTTTCGCTTTCAGGACTGACCGAAATGTTAGGACCCCCTTATCCGGAAGAGAATAATGCAGCTTGCCGTTGCCTTTTCAACCACTGCTTTAGACAAGAAAGTTGGCTTTATGCTGAAAGTCCTTGAGCATATTCTCATGAGCCAGCTGGCCGAGAGGCCGGAACACCCTGTTTACACAGAAGCTGTAAAAGAACTTCAAGCTGACAGCATGCATGAGCTGCAACGATTAGCGATCAAGATGCCGGATCAATTATTAGTAAGCCCTATTGAAAGGTTAGGCTGTGGTATGATACTTACATATCTTCAGGATGTATACGAACAACTTGAGGCTAAGATTAATGAAATTATCGCATCTGGGACACTTGACAACAAAAGACAAGTCTCCTATCAAACATTTCTGTTCACAATCATGTAAGTGTCTTAGTGGGTCATTAGGCTTCGCACAGTGCTGACCTATTGCAGTCACCGTGCCACAACTATCGATCCGGGTCTCCGGCTGCAGAAACTCCAGAGCTTCATTAACCCAGTCCAGCAACTCTGGCAAAATCCCGCAATTGACCACTCACTCTCTAGTTTTGACGGCTTTTGCGATATGTTAGGATTAACTGACGTTCGACACTATCTTGTCAGTCGGCGAGTTCTTGAAATCCAAGACTGGGCACATTATCAACTCGATGCTGAGGGGCAGGCTTTGCAAAGCCAGCTGGAAGAGCGATTAAAGGTATGCCTGTAACGGTCTCGTCCATAGAGCCAAGCTAATATTTATATTATTATAGACACTTCCTTTACGAACCACAAAAAGCTTTCTTGCCTGTTCAACAGACAAGATCGAGAGAGATACACCCGCCTACAAGGTTTCGTGTGCATTATGGCGCGATGCCCTCCCCGTTATACTTCCAAACTTGCTGAAGTTTCTAAGGTTTGTTGATCCACTCTTGAGCCACTTATATTATTCTAACTCTGTAGTAATGCGCATGCTTTCCATAATCCAGACAACTGGTCCGGACTTCCCCCTGAGATGAGGTCCCTGGTAAGCCGCATCCTCACGGACCGATTCTGGCAAGCGGGAATATCTGAAGGCACGAAAGAAGAGTTCTATGCCCGTGTCAGTGGAACCAAATCTACGATGGAGGGTTTCGCGTCGTCAATCCGTGGGTCTGTCCGTACTATTCGGGAGGCATGCTATTCGATTCTGTGGTGTATGAGTCGATTAGATGTCGACTTTTATGGGTTCAGTGAACTCCCTGGACCACTTGCACATGCTCTGTTTTCGGATGCTCACTGCCTTTCCACCCATCAAATTATCGCATTGCTCAATGTGGTGCGACTGATGGTCGATGATTGTCCAGTTGAAGTTCGGAGCCATTTTGTCCCCCCGATTTTAGCGACTTGTTTTGCTCAGATGGATACCAAGATTAGTTCGCAATGGGAACGACTAGCCCAGAAGCAGGTATCTCAGACCGGTGCTGATAATTTAACGGAAGAAATGAAAGAGGAGAGCATCTTGCGCCAGTTAACATATACTGCTGTTATGATGATTGGTGGCTTCCTGGATCCAGCACGAACAAGTGAGTCAACTCGAGCCCACATTCCCAGATTTACTACTAACGGGCTACAGATCGGCAGGCTGGCTCACCTGATGGCAAAGAAGCCTCGACTTACGGTGCGGAAGGCAACCCAGCCTCTGCTTACCCGTCGATACGGAAGTTCTGCCTAACATCCTCCACCATTCTTGAACCGCTCCTCTTATTTCTTTCCCACGCAATACGTATGCGTGATAGCCGAAGTTGCAATGTCGTGCTTCGAGTTTTCCGGTCCATCGTTCCGGACTTTGCTGCAAGTCCACAGGACTCAGCCCTGTCCTCTTCCATCCGTGAATTCATCAGCACCGACGTTTTGAAGGCGTGCATCTCTTCTCTGAATGAGCCTTATTTCGTTGATCAGCAAAAGGAACTCGCCCAATTGATCGCTTCGATCCTCACTTCATACTCACCGAGCACGGAAACCCCACGGGAAATCCTAATCAGTCTCCCGGGTATCCAGAAGTCATCAGTGGATAAGTGCATCGATTACCTTACGCGACCCAGCATGCAGCAACGCCAGCAACGGGCACTCGTGCTTGATCTCCTTCGAGATCTGAAAGGCGTCAGTATCAGCGAGCAAGGCCGCATCACCAAATCCGCCTCTACCGTAAGGAAAGAACGGAGCAAGATGCAGCAAGAGTTCATGAAAGAGCAACCTAAGGCCGGGGATCGCAGACCAAGCCCGAGTCTTGATGGCGTGGCCGGGATGTTCGCGGAGCAATGAGCATTAATCGCAAGGCGAAATCTTTTTTTCTTCTCTTTTTCATAGGCGGACTTGATAGAAATTATGCGGCAACGATCATTTACCTAACGCGTCTGTATCTCTAGAGTATTTGAAGGGTTTTCTTGGCGTCTATGATGCAACCCTTATGATTTATGAGAAGAGGTTTTATTACATTGCTATGTTCCCACGGTTATCGTTCTAGTGAAGGGGCCTTGGGCTTTGGAGTTCGAAGCCTGCATCACCAAGTACATGACGGTTGCAAGATGTATCTAGATTTCCTAGATACCTACCTAGGTAAATAGCAATATAAAACAACAACCTTGCCTTACTGTGTTCAGATTATCTATCTTACATGGCTTTATTCCTATTCTACTGTTTGTACATATTAATAGCCGAGAGAAATTTGGCGAAGGAGGTGTGTTATATAATAAATTAAGCAAATAGCTGTCACATACGACCATAGACTGAGGAGAAATGGGCATCCCGTCCGCTCTGCCATACACAAGCCTCAGATCGGCAGATTAGTAGTTGGGTGGGTGACCACCAGCGAATACCTGCTGTTGTATGTTTTTTTTTTGGGCTTTTGGGCATTTTTGCGTCGAGGCTCACTCGCTAAAGCCGCGGTATTAGAAAGGTTAATGGTAATGGGCTCAATCGTGCCAATAGGCATAGCGTGGAATCTGGGCTCGTTGCCGCTTGAAGGGGTGACGGTTGGTGCTCGCTGTGCCTTCCAGTGCATGTGCAGGTGAAGCCTGTTCGCCGGATGCACGAGCTGGTTGGCCGCCCATGTGGAATGGGAGCGCCATACGGCGTACGAGTAAGTTGTTGCGAGCCATGGGGCCCAAATATACAACAGTAAGATCGAAAATCATGTTCGCGTCGTGGTTCATTACGCCTGATTTGCAAAGAGTCTCTTTTTATAGCGTAATAAAGCTACTCCACTACAGCTCCACCACCAAGCCGTTACTCTTTCTAATATATATAAAGGGGTCGTATCCGAGCTCTAAGACATTACTGCTATTATGCGGGAAGCCGTGCTCAGCCTTATAGCTGCTGTGGCGGCGTGCAAATTCATGCAAGATCGCCACGCGGATGAGGACCTGGCGTTGAAGCGACGAAACGATATTTGGGCTAGAGCAAAACGACCCTTTACTCGAGTACATAATATTGTATTTACAGCCCCGCTAGTTGTATTTCAATTAAGCATTTTATATGTATCAAGCAGCTACGTGTCTAGTTCTGCAGAGTTGCCACTCAGTTGTCCCCAACCCCAACCCCAACCCCATTTCCATCTCCATGTAAGGTACGGAGGTAATGCTCTCTGCCCGTACGGCCGGGCTGGTCTATTGGGTGGCTTGCACCTCCGAGCAACAGGTGACCTGAAGCTCTGGGGGTCAGCCGTCTAATTGGCGGTGGCCCGGTACTCACAAGCAGGGCCGACCACACGTTGGGGGCGGTATTCGCAGCAGTGTGTGCCTGTCATATAAGCGAACGGCGCAGCAGCCTTTCTATATAGGCAGATGACCTTCCTACTCCTGCTACCTAAGGATCTCTTTGCTTAACCATCCAGCGAACGTCATCATTTACAATGGCCCGAACAAAACAAACTGCCCGCAAGTCAACAAGTGGCCCTGCCCCCCGGGTGCAGCTCAGTGGCAGTTTCCGGCCAGGGGGTTATCGCTTTAATTACGGAAACCTTCCATTACAACAACATGTTGTCTCGAAAGAACCTATAATTCCTGATACAGCAATGGCTTCAAATGCAGCAATGACTTCCGATGCTCAAATGAAGGTGTTTTCCACTCCGGAAATTCTTGTTATCATTCTGTCTCAGCTTCCTCACACCTCCTTGCTCAAGGCCAAACTGGTTAATAAAACATGGGCAAGCCTTTCCGAAAACGTGGAAATCCAAGCTTCTTTATTCGAGCGTCCTAGGCCTAAAGAATCGGCTCTGTATGCCGAAACATATTCAGATCTATTGATGAATAAGTTCTTAACTCCGTGGCCAACCAACGAAGAAGAATATGCAAACAAGTACCCCAGTTGGCAATGGCGACAACTTCTTATTTGCCAACCACCGGTCGAAGTTCTAGAGGTTGTTCAACAGATCAGCCAACGTGTAGGCGGTACTTTAGAATTTCGAACTATTATTCCTCGTCCTAACGGTTTGCGGATGGGGTTTCTTTATGATGCCATTAGACATTGGCATCAAGTGGAAAAAAGCCCTGTTGAGCTACTGTGGAATAGGAAAACCGGGGACCTTACCGATAGGAAGCATATTTATCCAGATGGTCCTAGTTACAAGGCGTTTGATGACAAGCCTTGCGTAACTATCTGGGGAAAGAAGAGTGTAGGATGTGGACAATCTGGCGGGCTTACGTACGAGCTCTACCGATCTACGCGTAATAGTACGCAAACACAAAAGCCAAGAGTCCGGGTTATAAAAAGCGATGATGAGAAGGTGAAGTTTTCTATGTCGGAACCTAAACTCGTAAGCATTGATTTGGGGTTACTCCGTTGCTTTATGGAAAAAGATGAAGAGGATGAAGAAGAAGATGAAGACAGTTAGACAAAACCGACCTAATTCCTCATGTTTAAACAAACGAATTATTAAAGCTTAAAAAAAATGGTATTTATTTATTTCTGGATACGGTAATTTAGGATTGATTGAAATAAATATTTCTCTCGAATATATCGATCTAGCAGTGGGTTATGGGGCGTGAGATGGAAACTCCATCGAGGAATCAGTACCTAACGTCTATCCCTGGAGTCTCAAATTTTTTCTTGGCAAGTCTGCGAAGTTGTTATTAATATATCGCTGTTCTTTAACCATTTCTCTTCAAGGTGACCGGTCGGGAATGAGAAAAAGACTGCAGTTAATCATGCTGTCAATCGTTTCAATACGCCACTGATCGCCGCTTCGGCTGTTCCCTCCTGTAAATCGCGGCCATTCCTAGCCAAGAGAGTTCTAGAATTGAGAGCCAAGAACTCACCAATTTTCAGTACACCCTGTAGTCTTTCGACAAACTTCCAGCCCGAACTTTTGCCCACGTCAGATCTGAAGTATTGAGATATTCGTATCCGAAATGGCTATTTGGTGACGCCTTTTTAAATGTCAAAGTCTTCACTAGTATCCCTAGACATAAAGTTTCTCCCCACTCACTCAAGTGCAGGTCAAGAATGGGGAGTCCCAGGCATGAAGTGTAAATGGTAATCTTTAACAGCTCTTGAGGCTTAGCTAGTATTTTTCTCGAACACTTCCATATGTCTCACCCGTCATAGCTTCGAAGTAATCCTGATCTCATTTACAATCTAGGAGGCAGTGTTGTTGGAGGTGGTTGCTTGTTGAACGGGAAATCTCGAGCTGTAGAAAATTGGGTTATTACAAACTATACAAGTCTAACAGCAGAAGTAGGACACCTACAACCTGCCATGTCGAGCCTAGAAATTTCTCTAGGACCTTTCTCTCCTTCAGACAACCCGTTGTTCTTCTTGCCTTCCTCGGCAGTTCGCCACTTCCATAGGGTCGTGAATTGGTCAGGTTTGCGCTCCAATTGGTTTCTGACGTGCTACAAATTTGGTCGATTAGACTTCACGAATGAAAATATGAGATATGAGGTCAACTTACCCTACCAAGGATGGGTAGGAACTTGAAAGCGTGACCACTATGCAAATCAAATGAGTCCATCATTGTCCTAGAAAATTTAGGTGCGAACAATACTTACCACCCCCCGGTGCAGATAAATAACGAGTCTGAATAGCCAGGAACGTAGTCGATGACGTACTGTACATGTGAGCAACTTTGATTTGTCTTCAACGTGGGTATACTTACGTCGTTGTCGATACTATCAGTGTACCAGCAAAGCTGCAGATGGTCAATATATACACAAGGGTCACAAGGATGTGGCGAACGGACTCTACTGTCTGTGAAGCCAAACTCTATCAGCTCGGGAAATGCTTCAGTAACAACCTCCTTCATCAGTGATAGTGCGGATCGTGGAACCGTGTCGATAGGATTATCGGTGTATTTTGTCCTAGGAATGGAAATCCGTCTAGAATTTATAAGCATGGTCTGAAAACTTGCTATAGCATGCGAACATGCGAACATACAGATTGGGCTCGGTAGGGTGATCTTGGAAGCTTGTGAACTGCGAAAGATGACCGGTTAGTACAGTCACCGAAAGGAGAAAATCAAAGTTTGCTTACTTTGCGGTTACGGAAGCTGAATTTCAGGCGGCCTTCTTTGGAGATTGGGTAACCACCACCAGAGTAAGATCTAAAAGAAGTTATTTAAGGCCAATGAGTTTGTCTGAGAATCAAATATACTTATTGTCCCCTGCACCTCTCTGATAGGACCAGACAGGGTAGTGGTCAGCGTGAAATCTTCTCCGTAAATCTTGCCTATCCTGGGGAATGTCGACAAACATAACGGTGCCTGCTGTGGCTTCGACGGCATTGTGGGCTTCGGGAATGATTGATGCAGTCCAGCCACCAGCTGCAATAGAGTCAATGAGGACGAGCAACTTAAGTGGGTAGAAGACTTGTCTTACCAGCCACTATCACAAGATCACTAAAGTGCCTCTTGCCGTCGTAAGTTTTGATGCCTATGACCCTCTTTTGCGTGCCATTGTTCTCGTAGATCAGACTCTCCAGCTTGCCCTGGGGCTCCCCTAGAACAAATTTGACACCAGCTTTAACACATAAAAATCGCGCGTAAACACAAGACTAGTTGTAGTTCAATCCTTAGCATCCGATCAAGAATTAGTAATTCCCTCATACCTTGTCTGCGATGGTGACGCCAGCATTGATGTCAAGGAAGCCACTCGTGTTACCATGGTTGAATTTGTCAACAAGGTGATATTTGTCAATCCATGTAGGGCTTACGTTTCGCAGACGCTCTTCCTCCGCAGCATTACCCTTTGGAGTCTATTGAAGTTAGCGAGCGTAAGGCAAACAGGCAGCGCTGGCTTCATACCTTGATAAATTGCGCTTCTCGAATCTCAGGTGCTTGTTTGGCGATTGAGTCCAGGCTCTCTGCGTCAAAAGGGTCCAGGTTTTGACCGTCGGAGAAGAAATAGCATCCACATTCAATCAGCAGCTGATCATCCACAGTGAGACCGTTCGGTAGGTCAGCGGCAGCGCTCGTTTTGATGGCCTTGTTCCAGGCAAGCCATATGTCTCTGACTTCGATGGCAAGCGTTTGATAGCTAGAGCGAAAAGTATAGAATTAGTTGCTCGAACCACGAAATTGAGTTCGGATGCGGTGCTTACTTCAGCTGGTCTCCGTAGGCCATTCGAAAAATCTTATTGATATCAGAGGAAGCCCCATCGCAACCATTGAAAGGTGCGTAGTAATTCTTGTCATAAGCACCTCTGTCGAAGACGGTAATATTCTTGTAACCAGCGCGGGCGAGCCACAGTGCGGTACTCAAGCCGAATACACCAGCACCCACGATGATCACATTTGAATCAGAGGAAGCCATGTTGAGTGACTGTGAGACAGTGTGAGGGAGTACTTCGGACGTCGCTCGGACTACTTAACAATTGCAGGTTGCAGGTTGCAGATAAGAAGAAGAAAGTATAAAATGTGATATACTAAACAAGATCAGAGCCGGAGTGTCCGAAAGGCTGTCATCGCTGTTGTTGTCGTATTCTCCCGAAGTACAGTGAAATGAATTGACATTTACTCGGAGGAATCCGAAGTTGCCTCGGACAAACCGCTCGGACGGGACAGTGGCTGAGTGGCCGTCATTTGCGGTGACCACTTCTCTTGACTTATTTTATTCTTGGAGCATCAATGCATTGTATGCCATTCGATGATGTCGGGCGTTGTTGTGTTTTCTTCGTTAGCACTAACACCGGCGCAGCATTTTAAGGAACTTGGGCGCGGTAGCCGATGCAAGGGAGGGGGTTAAGGGGCTGATAATGATAAGGCTAGTGGTAAAAGGACGAATCAGAAGCCATGTAAATCACCGTAAACCGTGCTGCTCGTATTCTCCCGACTAGCGGGCGATCTCCCGAGTAGGTCAGGACCCAGAGATCGAAATTGCCGCCTCGCCGCCTTATTAGGCGCCTCCATACCGACAACAACCCGCAGCTACTCGTATTCTCCCGAGCAGACGAAGAGGAAGTCTGAAAACTCAAGATAATCTCCCATGCTCCCATTTTGCTCCGCGCCGATCGGATTCTTCCGCTTAGAGCGCACACATCACCGAGGCCTTGGTCAATACGTGCGGCCTGGGCGGCATGAAACCACCATCAAGCGTGTGGAGAATGGAGAAGTTAGATAGGAACTGTCGAATCATTCATTCATGCCTTTCTTAACTTTCTTATAACATCGTCATCGTCCGTCCTTTGGCCATCTCCACAGCTCCACAGCTCGATAGATCAGCTCATCTTGCAGACTCGTTCGACAACAACATCGTCCCTCCTTGCACTCACTCGGACGCGCCAAAAGATATCAGCCCATCCTGTAGACTTGGACGATATCACAATGTCTGCGCCCCTCGCCGATGCCGGTAGCGCTGCCATGTGGCCTCCTGGAACCGTACAACTCGAGGAGTCTAACCGGACAATTCACGAGATCATCTTGCAGCCACGACCGACCGAGGATCCTAATGACCCCTTGAACTGGTCTAAAGTGCGCAAATATATCAACTTCGCATTTGTATGCTTCTATGTCCTTATGGTCAACGAGTTTCTGAACGCTGCGACTCCCACTTGGGGGCCAATGAACAAGGAGCTAGGGTTCAGCTACGAAATATTGAATGACAGCTACGCCGTTGGCTGTGCTTTTCTGGCAATTGGCGCCCTCGTTCTCGTCCCATTTGCTCTCAAGTTTGGTCGCCGGCCGTTATATTTGTTTTCCACGATGCTTCAATTTGGGCTTAGCATTTGGGCGGCGAAGATGACCACTGTTGCAGATCTCATGCTGATCAACATCCTGCAATGTGCATTCGGAGCTCTCGCCGAAGTTATTGTTCAGATGACAGTTGCCGATGTCTTTTTTGTACATCAACGCGGAACGATGAACAGTATTTATATTTGGGTCTTTAATATGTCCTCCTCACTTGGACCTCTCATCGCTGGCTTCATTGCCAAAGCACAAGGCTGGAGATGGGTTTGGTGGTGGAATGCTATTATTTTTGGTGTCACTATCTCTCTCGTCGCCTTTGGCTACGAAGAGACCAAATTTAACCCGTCTTCCGTTCCAACCTTTCTCCCGGGCCAATCACCAGAGACCGACGCAAATCAACTCTCGAATTCTATTTCTTCGAAATCAGCGGATGTTGCTACAGCAAAGCCAAAAGACATTGAGGAGGGTCCAAAAGAAGTTGAGGAAGGTTCACGGCAACTTGGCCCTGTCACAATCAACCTCAACATTCCTAGAAAGACCTACCTCCAAAAGCTGGCAATCACAACCCCTTCAGGCTCCGATGGCAACAACTCTTTACTTCGCCACATGTATCAGCCTCTGATTCTGCTTGGAACTATTCCTGCTGTCGCCTGGACAGCACTTGTCTATGGTATTCTGGTAGCACTCGCAGACGTCATGTCGACCATATTATCGAGTTTCATGACCAAACCACCTTACAACTTTGACTCAAGTCAGATTGGGATGATGAATATACCTAAGATCATTGGGTCGACACTCGGCTCTCTTATTGCAGGTCCATTCAGTGATTGGTTGGTTGTATATCTTGCCCGCCGTAATAATGGCGTTTATGAACCAGAGATGCGCCTCTGGGCCATAGTTCCATTTATTTTCTTGGTCCCTATAGGGTCGCTCATGTTTGGGATCGGTCTAAACAATAAGGGTAAGCAAATTCTCATATTAATATGCTGTTTCCTCTTGTGAGAGCCGAGAACCCAGGAGCTGTCGTAGGACCCGTCATGGTGCTTCTATCCTTGTGTTCCAGGAGTCGGCTCTGAAGCTCTCATCTCCCTACAGAATTATCAAGAGTGTAGAGTGCTAATTAGCTAAATAGTGCCGTGGCCCGCCATTACTGTCGGACTTGGATTGTATAGGGCTGGCATCGCGCCGATTAGTGGCATTACAATAACTTATCTCACCGATTCATACAAGGATGTAAGTTCAAACCCCGCTTGCTTGCAATAATACTTACTATATAACAGGTTATTGGCGACGGATTAGTCGGTGTTACCATTGTGCGCAACGTGTTCAGCACTGCCTTCATTTTCGCGCTCTCCCCGTGGGTCGCGGCAGTCGGCATTAAATATGTCTTGGTCACCATCGTTTTGATTGCAACTGTTATCCTTTCATTCCTTGCAGTTTTTATTATATTTGGCAAGATCTTCCGGGCCCGCAGTGCTGCAAGATATAAATATTACGCGGCTAGACAGTACAAAGAAAGAGCACTATAAGACTATTTGATGGCAGTCAGGATGAGGTGACTTCAATCCGGATTTCCTCTACGGACGCCTTGTGGTGGTTGGCAAGATTTGAGAATAGTACGCCTTCGAGTAAGGGGGCTTTTTTGTTTGCAGCGCTTGTTATACTGCCAGTTTTGATTTTATTGATCTTCAAGGACGGTGTGAGAGTTCGTGGGTAACGGGCAAGGAGTTATGAGTATCGCGAAATATGTTTAAATTTTCTGTATAGAAATGGCAATTATCCGGAGCTGGAACCATGATCCACAATCCTTTATCAGTGAGACAGCAGTGAGACTCTGTGCTTTTGCAGTTCCGCCCTGGGTTCGGTAAACCTCACCCCGCAAAGATTAATGAGGCCACGCGAAGCGAAAGGCGCTGGACCCGACCACAATGTGCATCCAATGACAAATGATCTACTTATCACATGAGCGGGGAAATAGAAGAAACTAAGGTACCTTAGGTAATCTTGACTCTCTTATATCATACCCATTACCCCTTATCCATTACCCTCGCCCACACCTTAGTGTAGATGCTTTCGCAATGATGCCGCAAAGCATCAGCGAGTCTTCCACGCGCGGCAAACGAACTGCCCAGGGTCCCGGACCGCGGCCAACCCGTATTCGTACCGGCAGCAGGACGCAGGTCGCCTGCATCAACTGCAAAGAGAGCAAGCTCAAGGTACAAACTATAAAGAAAGCAAAGCTCGAGGTATGAAATAAAACAGCTGCTGACAGATTAAATCATGATAGTGCGATGGCCGAGTGCCAGCATGCACCAACTGTGGCCGTTATCAGCTAAGTAAGCCAAGCCCATTTGCATGGCCATTGCCCACCTCATGCCCTCATGCTCTCATGCTCATGCCTAAACCACGTCGCTCATTGCCCAACAGCCTGTCTCGTAGAAGACCCAGCAACCCGACGTCGCTTGCCTCGGAATTACTTGGAGACTTTGGAAGGCCGAGTCGCAGCCCTCGAGAATCTCCTCCAACAACTCCGTTATCACGCATCAGCATCACCAACAGGCCCAACAGCAGAAACTCTTTTGCTTCAAAGTGAGCCTGGCCGTGACAGCGCCGGTCAGACGGCTTCAGACAAAGCCAAAGAGGATGATGACCAAATCAGCGACCTGACTGCTAAGGTTGGCATGTTGGATCTCAAGTACTCCGCGGCCGCCGAGCCGCATTACCTGGGTTCATCTTCTACTTTTGCCTTTTCGCGCATCATAAATTCGGCACTCCGTCAACCTGTTTCAAGAGGCCCTGCTTTCACTGCTGGATCTTCACTTGTGGATAATCTAATGCCCTTGACCTATCCATGTTCCCTTCCAGATTATGATACTGGTATCATGCTTAGCAATGCATACTTTGAGAATATTCACCCTCAATACCCCTTCTTACATGAGCCCACATTCAGACTCTGGGAGATGGAAGTGAGAGAACCACCTCAAGACTTAGAGTACTTTGATCCAGTTCCCACATTCTTTGTCAATATGGTGACACACCACCGAATCTCCTTCGCACTTTCCAAGCGCTAAGTCTCTCAGGTCTATGCAGTGGGCAGTTTACTTCTGCCCAACTTAGGATCTTTATCACAGGTATATCCTTTCGAAAAGTACAAAATTCCTGTCTTTCTGACCTTCGTCTAGCAACTGTACATGGCTGCACAGCTAGTTTCTGAACAGATTCTTATGGTTGATAATCTAATATCAATACAAGCTATCTTATGCTACACTATGTTTTCCCTCCGGTCTCCCATGGGTCCATCTCTTTGGTGAGTTGTTTTCCTCCACTTAGAACTTCTACTACTAATAGAACTACAGGAAACTCTCAGGACTAGCGTTGCGCCAATGCATAGAGCTTGGCTACCACCGCAGTGTCAAACGTTCCAAAGAACCAACCCCAGACCATCTGCAACTCGAGCTTCGGAAAAGAGCATTTTGGTGCGCGTGGGGCATTGACTGTAGCGTTGCTACCATGCTCGGACGACCACTGGGACTCTCTCTTCAAGAAATTGACGTCGAGGTAATAGAAGTCTCCAATCTTCAGATTCAAGAGTCTAAATATCTATGACAGTTTCCGTTAGACCTTGACGATGTATACGTCACAAGCGCCGGAATAGGCAGATCTCCTAGAACCTCCGCCATTGAACCTGCCACAGGAATGTCCATCGCAATACAAGTCTTTCGCCTCAGGTGTCTCTCAGCTCGAATTCATACCTCACTTTACTCCGATACTACATCAACCACCGCAAACCTTGGTCCGTCGCTTCAAAATCGTGTAGCTGAACTACGTCAAGAATTGGACGACTGGATGGCTGCAGCGCCGCCCATCAAGCCTCGAGCCGGAAATGCCCTTTCTATCTTTGCAAGCAAAGACTGGTTTGAAGTGAACTACAATCACAGTATCATCCTGCTCTATCGTAGCCAATTGGCGGAGCGCAAGGACGGCGACTTCTCAGTTGCTGATGAGGTCTTCCTCGAATGCATGAAAGCCGCTCAAAATATCTGCCATGGCTACCGTCGGCAATATGTTGGCCGGCCAATAAATTACACTTGGGGTGCTTTACACCTTCTGGTGACTGCAGGATTGACATACTTACATTGTCTTTGGTCGCGGTCTTGCCGCGAGGTCTCGCGCCAAGACGAGATTAGTAGCACCTGTACAGATTGCACAATAGTGCTTACTGTGATGGCGGAACGCTGGGAGGACGCCGCGGTGTATAGGGACATTTTTGAGGCGCTGGCGGCGCGGACCATGACTATGTTGGTCCGTTGGAGAAGTGAGCAATGGTCGGTGGTGACACCAACGGAGGCTATGCCAGCGAATAACTCGAATCTAGGTGAGTGCCTAAGCCAGGAGCAGGTTAATCAGTGGATGGCATATATCAATGCAGTGGGAATGATGGATAGCATTGGGGGTCTGTTATCTGGCTTTGTTGATGACCCTATAGATCACGAGCAAGGTCAAGATGTGAGTGCGGGTCATGTGGCTACGGAATGGGGGAGTTGCGACAGCAATGAAGATGAAATGTTATCATTCTTTCCCATAGTGCAATAATCAGCTAAACATTAAGTCTGTAGCAGACATATTGAAATATCTCTTGTGCACCGGTTATTATCAAGTCACTGGCGGCGTTGGCTATCTAGTAATCCGAGTACATGGTGGAAGGTGACATATCGTTGATAATCTGCGCTGCAGCGTCTATGAAGACCTTGTCGCCCACCATTTGCAGAGACTTGGGCAATCAATAATAGAGTTGAGCCGAAAACTGTCGCCATACTGGCGACTACTGCAGCTCAGATTGAGAAGTAGTCCAATTGAGTCTTTAATTGAGAAAAGGAAACTGAACCATAATTCCGGAGCAACGTAACTCGGGGACATCTGCATGGCTGTTATACTTAACCTCATGGGGAACGAGCACAGTTGCGCTAACCCGACAAGAGACGAAAGGGCCAATCAAAGTCATTTAGCACAGTCTCTCTCCAGAGCATGATACAAAATTTTCCTAGTAGTACAGAGACATTTTGCATGCTGCTAAGCTGTTCAAAATGGTCCGTGGCGAATACGACGGCGAATACAATGGCGAACGGATACCACCTAAACGGCTCAAACAGATAAGTGAAGAGATGAACCTCCTAGTATCTGCCCTGCCCGACTTCCTAGTAGGCTCTACCAAAGCTTCTAAGGACAAACCCAATAGTCGACGGGAAAATCCACGTAATAGGGCTATAGCGCGTAAGTTGGATAATTATATAGATATATAAAATAGGTACCTAGACCCTTCTTTATCGAGGTATCGTAAAATCAGCTAACTCTTCGCGATTTAATATCGGCTCATAATATTACTTGAGTTACTTAACAACGAAATCTACACAAAGGTTAGCTATATATCAGTTGATTATATACTATAGAAGACACGCCTAGAGCTTAGTCAAGAACTGAGGGACTTGGAAATAGGCATAGCGCGAAATCGGTGCCCCTTGACGCCCAATGGAGGTGAAACGACGGTGAACTGGGTGAGCCGAGAGGTGAGCAGGGTGAGTGAAGCAAGCAACATTTCGTATCAGCACCGAAGTTTGGCCGTCGTAGCTTACGTACCTTGTACCATATGAGGGTGCCTTGTGTTGAACACATATTTGGAGTTTGACGACTCAATTGTGTAAACTATGGGCGCGAAGCGTATACCGCTAGCTGGTATATAGACTACACTGTGTGGAGTACTTCTAGGAACGCAGTTCTAACACCCTGCTCCTATTTTACGGTAACGTCCGTCCCTACGTCGAGAGACGCACCCCGTAACGAGACAAACTATCGGTACTTTGAATTCAATTAACTCTAAATTTATAAATCTATTTAAAATCCTTATATTTTTGTATTAGTTATATTATAGGACTACTTCTAAATAGTCTAAACCCCGACTACTCTAAAAATTACAATCGCGTTGTCGCCGTCGCGTCTAACTATAGAGGGCGTTAATTCGAAGTAAAATAAAACTTATCGACCTATAGTACTACTATGAGCTCTTTGCGCCTTTCAAACTTATAGAACGGTTTGATTTAGGTTTCCAAGCCTCGCCACGATACTAAAAATTCATAGTTAGTCTTGTAGTGACCAAAGAGTGCTGTGTCATGCGACTTTGTCACATAGGTTAATACCTCTAAGCAAGCGATCAAGTCCCTGGTTATGGTTACGGTAATTAACTTATACTGTATTTATCTTAGGTAATACGGGTAAAGCCTGTGGCGGCTGAGCGTGTGGCTAAGTGTGGCGGACTGCTGCTGAGAAATTCCGTTTTTCTAATATGCTCCGAGTTGCACCGCACCCTTTTAAGTAGGAGCCAAAAAGTGGCCGATGTTTGAGAGATATAGGCGCTTGCAAAACCGGCTTCGCCCTTTATGGAGTACGGCAGATACAAAGTTTTAGAATCAGCCTCCCCATGATCGACTGTTCCTTACGAGGTGCGACGTTCTAGATCGCTCTGATAAGACGCCCTGGCTCCTTTCTTGGTTCCCTAAGAGAACTTCCGAGTCCGACTTGTGCGGCTACGCGCGCCGTGCTACGCTCCCAAAGTTGACCTTGATGGACACTAGCCACTTCAGCAGCTATCATGGATACGGCGCTTTGCGGGGACTGCAGAGACTTCGTGCAGTGCTACCACGACAACTTCACAGACAGCCAGAATGACGAGAGATCCATCACCAAAATTTTGGATGCCACTGACACCGGGTGCCGACTCAAGCTATAGTAAATAGGTTCAGGTTACTCCAGCCAGATCTACTCTCACTTGCTAAGGCAAACGACCAGCGGGCCACATTCCACATGTTCCCGCAGCCGTACGGGAATTCGAACATGCATTCATCGGAAGATTGGGAAAGAATATTCTTAGATGTCTCTATCTTGAAATCACAGGTCCAATTCCGGATATCGCGTGTGATAGATGGGCCTGCAGCAGAAGCCGCGAGTGATGATCAGAACACGGGCTCAAAATCTAGCCTCACGAGGGCAGCGAAGTGGTTGCGCGAATGCATCTCGGAGCATGACAACTGCAACCAAATCAACAGTCCAAGAGAATGGACCCCGCACCGGCTGCTCGACGTTAGATCGAGGTATCCTTTCGCTGACGTGATAAAACTCGAACACACCGAGGGCTGGCAAACACCTGTGCGATATGCCGCACTAAGTCACTGCTGGGGTGATATACAGCCTCTCAGGCTGCTACAGAGCAACCTGCATACGCTTGTACATGGGATCTCTTTAGGAGACCTTCCCAGGTCTTTCCAGGACGCTGTTCATACAGTTCGGAGGTTGGGAATCAAGTATCTTTGGATAGACTCCTTATGTATCATTCAAGACTCGAAGAAGGATTGGGATATCGAGTCGTCTCTAATGACATATGTTTATGGTGGAAGCATGCTAAACATTGCGGCCGCTGCATCCAACAACTGCACGGGTGGATTGTTCCAAAATCGACCTTCATCCTACTTAGGCCCCTGCCAGTTCTCGGTAGCAATCCGGGATAGGGCATCGATATTACGGTATCAATTGTATGATGAAAATCTCTGGAATGCCGAATTCGAAACTGCCAAGCTTAACACGCGCGCCTGGGTAGTGCAAGAGCGTATGTTATCACCCCGCACGCTTGCTTTCACCAAGACGCAACTCTTCTGGGAGTGTAGGCGTAAGCGTGCCTGTGACGAGTTCCCTTCAGGCTATCCTGTTGAGTATTTTGATAAGCCGCCGATAACCTTCAAGCTGCCTAGCCTGGATAGCAAACTGAAGACGCAGGCTCTAATCGGCCGGGAAGATAGCCGATTAGGCAAGAACCTTACAGTACAGCTTAGTCTTGCCTGGCACAACTTGGTTATGCTGTATTCAAGACAGAATATATCCTTTGAGCAGGATAAGCTAGTCGCTATTAGCGGGCTTGCCATCGTCTTCGCGCAGCAAGTACGCGGACAGTACCTCGCCGGCCTATGGAGGCCTACTTTGCTCGATGACCTCCTCTGGGAGGCTAGTACATGCAAGCACCCTAGGCGTCGCTCTTTGACATACCGATCCCCGTCATGGTCATGGGCTTCTATGGAGTGCCCTGTGGACTATATCATTGGTAGAGTCATGTCAAATAGGGTCAAGGTCGTCGACGTCAATGTTCAGACAATAATGGGGAACAGTGAATGGGGCGGGGTTAAGGGGGGGTATCTTCGATTACAAGGAAATCTCTTTCCTAATCTCTGTGCTGTGTTCAATAGAGACTTAGAGAGATTCTCTTTGGAGAAACGGGGCATAAATCGTACTATTCCAGTTGCCGGTTGCATACCAGATGAGAGAGCGCACCAAGACGGGAATGTCGCAAATATAGAATTGGGACTTTTGTGTCTACCTCTTGTGTCATATGTAAACGCAACTTGGGCTATGGGATATTCTTGCGAATTTAGAGGCCTTGTTTTGTTGCAAGCTAGGGGACAGTCTAGGGGCCACTATCAAAGATGGGGTGTTTTCGAGGTGCAGCATTCCACGTTCTTCGAAGATTCTAATAATCAGGCGTCTAGCGAGTGGTATGTTGATCGAGAAGAAGGTATTATTGTCATTATATAACTGCCAGCTGCTGCCTCCGGCCTTCAATCAAATCTACCCTCGGCCATCTCTGCACCTTTATCCACGAGTTCAGGCTTGGTGAGAACGCCTAGCGTCCTCTGTCTATGCGGGTCGACTTCTTCTGCTATCTCCGTTCCTGCATAGCGATATCGACATTTACAGGAATTACAGCAAGTAAAACAGACCTCGGAATTTCGATATACCCTGCATCATTGACTTGGCCATCTGCATGTCCGCTTTACTCGCAACACCCTGTGCCGTTCTCTTGAATATTCCTGGGACATCAATAACGCTAAGGCACTCTTGCTCTATCCCATATACCTCGAGGCACAAAACGTCATCGGAGAACGCTTTCGACTGCTGGAGGGTCATCGGATATTCCCATAGCCACGTGTACCTGTACATCTCAGTACAGCTCGGGGGAAAATGATCTCGGGTTGCCTATACCCCGCGCATAATATCCGTGAAGAACTTCTGATACAAGGTCTCCATCTCTCTGGCCCATCTACAGACTTGCTCCGCATGCTCTATGCCTAAGTCCTTCGCAAGGACGGTCGATACCGTGATTCGTCGTGCTGCTGATCGCCGGAAGGTGATCTGTGTCTCGAATCTTACAGTATACACAACCCACTGTTTTGCTCAAAGGGTAAGTCGGTAAGGCCGACCAAAAACAGAGCTCTTCCCACTATATTGATCTCCGACCACCACAATCTTGGGCAAATCGATATAGTCCCCGACATTGCAAGCAAAGACCTTATCAATCTTGTCCAACGTGGGAAATTGGCCATGCTGCTTCATTTGGTTGCTCATAACAATTGTAGTGTCGAGTACCCCGTCCACTTCTGGATCATCGAGCGCCTCGTATGCTCGCTTTGTCCATCGTTTCGATGCGACCACGTAGCCTTCGCTGAATAATCTAGTCCATTTCGTGTCAATCCTATCAGTGAGCACAATGGTGGAGTGTAGAGTGTGGGACATTGCCATGATCTGCAAGAGCACGGTATGATTTAGGCACGCCAGGAGGCACGCTTTGCGCCAATACTTGACTGGCTCTGTCCATATTACAGTTGTGATAGCGATGTGGAAGGAGACGAGAGAGCGCTCTCCTAGGCCCAGGCATCAGCGTGCTGCCACGCACCTGCTCATGGAAAGTTCGAAAAACCTGCTCTTACGCCACACGCGTGACCATTCTACGCCACACACATGACCAGACCAAAGAATAGTGGCCGAGTAAAATATAGCGAGCCCGGATTTATACAGTATATTGTAACCAGGCTAATGCACATTAATAAGCACTAAACCTGAAGCTAAAATATGATGGCGTTTATGCCCCTCTGCTCACACCGGAGTAACTCCCGGACTTTATTACTTTCACTTTCAAGTATCTTCAAAATTTGGAGCTATATCCTATCGTTATAGGACCTTTCCCCAAGTACTCCGAATTGTGAATAGACTCTAATAGTCGCGATTAAACAGGGGGGAACAGCCAAAGCGGCAATCGGTAGCGTGATTGAAACGATCGACAGTATAATCAACCACAGTCTTTTCTCTATTACTAAGTAGTCTCCTTAGGGGAAAATAGTTAAAGAAAGTGAGATATTAGTAACAACTTCGTAGACTTGCTAAGAAAATTTTTATGATTCCAAAACCATAGATTCGTCTCGTGACAGGGTGCGTCTCGCTACGCAGGGACAGACGTTACTTCGCTATTTGTGAGCAATACGTCTACACATCAAAACCATAAGAGGCTTAGTTGTGCTGACCAACACAAACCTAATTTGGATGCCTAAGAAATAATCAGCATTAAGTTGTGCTTTGTTGCAAATCTGCACACCGTTCTCTGCAGCAATACGAGATGGTTGGGACTAGCGTCAAGTGAGTTTGTGCATCTCTAAATAACCTAGCACACATGTCCCGGCAGAATCTATTGGGAATACCTCGACTACTCCTGATCTATTTGTTGACTGTTCTGATATCATGGCAGATGTGTAGTGGTTGGAGATAATGGAGTTGGAAAGACATCTCTGTTGACCTCATACCACCAACTCATTCCCGTCTGAATATCTCCCACGCGTGTTCGACAATTATTCACGGACAGTTAGGTGAGCTATGTGGCCCTCGAAACAGGACAATTGAAGATTCGTCTTCCAAGGCTCAAGGCCTTCGTCGGATAAGCCTCTAACGTGGCTCTATATTTATTCAGGGTCGGCGATGAGTCATACAACCTCAGCTTGTGGGATACCTACAAAGAAGAGGAGCATGACCGTCTCCGTCCACTGTCATATCCTGAAACCGATATTCTTCTTGTCTGCTTCTCCGTCATCCGGCCAGGGTCCTTTGAAAATGCACAGAATTGTTGCTTCGATGAAATCCAACACTACTGTCCAGGAGTCCCTTGGCTGATGGTTGGAACTAAGACTGACCTAAGATATGATCAATGCGTTCAAGCGAAGCTAGCTAAACGGAGGATCCACGGCATCAGAGTCGCTAAGAAGCTAGGAGCTGTCAAGTACATGGAGTGCTCTGCTTTGACGCAAGTCAATATAAATGAGATTTTTAAACAGGTAGAGCAACCCAAATAACATCGCCTTCATGCTCCGCTCTCATTTTCTCGTCCTGCTAGGTGCATGTGCTTACAAAGACAATCTTCGCGTTTAGGCAATCATCGCCACTTTGACGCCTACCCCTCAGAAGAAGGCCCGATGTCTCCTGCTATAGTGAGCAAAAGGCACTTGATATTTCTTTATTAAGCTCGATAAGAAACCTTACTAGGTTGTATTTGCCTGCAATCGTTAGGGTAAATACAATTCTACTGCGCATTTCAAGGCTACTCCCTGCAGCCTGTTGTGCCGGCAGTGATGTCCGTGTTCGTTATAACCCCATATCTTCTTACACTGTGGTCATTGTAGCACCCTTCCTTGACTGTGGTACCCCAATAGTTAGTTCGTCATTGATTTAAAACCGTGGCTCTGCAGCTTCGCCATACAAAAAAACCTGTATAATAGTGGACAACCCATATGGGGCTGCAAGCTAAGAGCCGTCGTAGGATGGATATGGGATCGTTATCTATGAGTTGTAGCATTCTTTTGCTATACTTATAGCTAGGCGGTAGTACTACTATTAGTATTATATACTATGTATTTGCGATCTAATTGCCACTTCGAGCGAAGCCTTTGGCCCGACTATTACAACCATGTCTTCTGCTGCAGGGCATGGGATGAGCTCGTTAAAGATTCCATAACGATGGCTGATATACAAGTGACTATGGCTCGACTGCAAAGTTATTGGTGCAGTTATATTATAGACATTCCTTATGCAATTTATTCGTTGATACAGCATTGTATAATGCGAAGTGGATCAAACCAATATGCTTTACACCAACGATATAAACCCCCATTGAAGGCCGTCCAGATCCCAGATCTCGCCATCCATTAATCCATGGACATAACAAGCCCTTATGAACTCCCACCTATCGCCCCGTGGCCTCATGACGACTGGTATTCTCATGCCCCGGAAGACGCAAACCCGGTCGTTGATATGAGTCTTAAGCGGCACCCCATCTGAACCTACCATGCTTGGAAACATAGAAGCGTCGTGCGTCACGGACCCTACCTTCAGCCGTCTCAAACGGTTCCGGCAACGACGTTAAGATTTGGCAAAACAAAACATACTGCATGATATTGTGCCGCCATAGCCCCTTTATCATCAGCTTCTTCGATACGTACCAGTAACCGAAGCGGACACCGAGCGAGGCCGCCGGCTTTTGGTTGGGTGACTGGCGGTTGAACTATGGTTCACGGTTATATACGAGGGTTTGCCAGAAGGCATTGAAGGATCCATCAAAGGATTTAGGCATGATGCTGCTAGGGGCCTGCAAGGTCGGGTCTGTTAAAGTTCTGATCTCTGAAAGCCAGCAAATCATCTCTGATTCGTACTGGGCGGCATAATCCGATGCTTCTACGTAATCGGTGGTACTAACATGACCTTGTGCTGGGCGAGGGAGCTGTGGTCTATTGCTAGCTAGTGTTCTGTCACGATCGAACACTGCACCCATTATATCTATTCCTGTATGTTGCTTTTGCTTTAGCTACTAGGTTTCGCCTTGTATGAGCTGGAAACTTTGCTTACATCAGGTACAGGTATAGTCTACTGACATGGCAGCAAAGACTCGTCCCACTCGAAAAGGGAGCTTTTCCTCAGCCGCACTTTCGGCAATGGGATCTCACTGGCCCGACGCATGAGTAGGGCGTTGTAAAACCTGGACATAATAAGGCCTGGGCTGTGTGGCGATGTAAAACCGGGAATCCACGATGGTAAGCCGAGCTCGTAGCTCTGTGGATTCGCGTGAAAGGCCAACCACTCAATGAAGAACCTGTGATTCTTAGATTTATTTGTGAGTATGAGCACCTCATCGCCCCCTTCCCTGTCTCAATACCCAGGACAACCGAGCAGGGACATTTTGCCAACGAGGCAGGAAATGTCTCGAAACAACTTTTCATAGTTTACAAAGCTAGCGTCGATGCGTGATATACCAGCGAGTGCGAAACATCGGTCCCGAGGATCTGTGGCTTCTATACCGTTGTACCGGGAAAGCGTATCGTAGATGGCAAGGGGGCCAGCATCTTTAAACTCCATGTAGCCCGCTACTACGTTGCGGGCTATGAGGGCTGAGCTTGGCGGGCTACCCATAAAGACATCAAAGTTCTGATAGAGATTCCCATGGCGACCGATCTGCATTGCCATCCAGAGGATCGTATCAGTATTAATCTCCAGGTCTCCGTGGCGAGCTGGGCCGCAGCTTCGAACGGCTCGGAATGTTCCCGGGTACCACGCGACCCAAACTCCCTTCTTACGAACCTGGAAGCACGGGTCTGTGCTCTACAGGGCATTTTCTAATGTACGTTTTTGTTTTCAAGAACTTTATGATTTTGTTTAGGTGCAAAATGCCCTGTAGCCATGCTTCCAGGTTCGTTACGCGTTACCTGGGATGAGGGGGGACGGCTGTTATCCCGGCTGGGTTACCCCTCTCCGCATGAGTAGCCCATCCCACCCCGTCCCGCTGGGCATCGATCCCGTACCGTGTTTCCCACAAGCCACCACCGGTAATGGCATCAATAACGGCATCGAACCGGAGTCAGGTCTCCCCGGACAGCTATACTTATCACCCGACTCCCTCGGGTTTCCTGAAGTCGGCGTTTACTCACTGGTTTTCTCAATAGTTGGATTCATGCTTGTGGCATCTGGTGTTATGACAAACTCCGAACATCTTGTGTGCATTCATTCGATGCCCTGGACTTCACCAGTCTCTGGACCCAGCCTTCCGCCATGTCCCAAGCACAGAATCATGGCATGACTGGTGCGGTTAACGCTAGCCTGCCAGTCTTGATGACCATGGTGGCATTCTCGACCATAGCACTTCATAACGTCATCGAACTCAACGCCATTATCTTTACAACCTTCAAATGACGACAGGGTCTCTACTTCTGGAGTTTCATCGTGGCGACTTGGGGTATTGTGCCGCACACAATCGGATTCATTGTCAGCTTCTTTGAGCTCACCTCCGTTTGATGGGCGCCTCTTATCATCATTTCCTCCGGTTGGGTCACTATGGTGTCGGGACAGTCCATGGTCTTGTACTCCCGTCTCCACATTGTAGCTGGGAGCGAGGGCAGGATTCGCTGGATTCGCTGGGTTCTCTATATGATCATATTCAACGCCATTGTTCTTGGAATTCCCGACAACATCCTGGCGTTCCTCGCACACCGACCAAACGCACACGCCTCAGTCGTCGACGTTTTCTCGATATTCGACAAGATACAGGTTGGGGGGTTCTTCGTCGAAGAAGTTATTATCTCAGCCTTTTATATCTACGAAACCGTACGATTACTAGGTCCAATTGGAGGGCGCAAACATAATCCACTTCGTAGGCTTCTTTCCCATCTCATCTTGATCAATATCATCGTTCTGATCTTCGACGCCACACTCCTCGGCACTGAATACTCAGGGAATTTTAAGATCCAGGTAACATACAAACCTGCCATATACAGTATCAAGCTGAAGCTCGAATTCTCTGTGCTGAATCGCTTGGTTGATGTCGTCAAGAACAAGGAGCTCGCTGTTAGAAGTCCGAGTGACAACCGCAACTCGTTTCCACTTAATTTTGCTACCAACACTATGGGTTCTCCTGCAAACAGCAGATCGATGGATGATGCAGTCATGGGCGATCAACGACTGAGAGTCAAGACGACGGAGATCTTTGTGGGCAGTGCCAATAGGGGCGATCATGCATTCAGCGAATTGGAACTGGAGAAGTAACGCACGGAGATCGGCGTTGGTTTCTGAATCGCAGGTCCGCTACTAGAAGAACACCGACAGTGTTGGAGTTTTATTGCGAGGGCGGCGGGATGTATTATTAGCTATAGGAGGCGGAATTTGATCGGCGATCTAGGTGGGAAATCGAGGCAACCTGCGGGAAAGGACGGGTGATTATAGGTTATATATCTTTTGGAGTTTGGCTAGCTAGTACCCGCAGAGCGTGTTTCCGACACAGTTGGCTTGCCTCGGTTGTTCTTCCTATTAGCTTTTAGGCTGCTGCAGTAGTGACCAGTATAGTACTGGGAAATGGCCGGTCCTTTCTCTGCACTATTGGACATCAACATTGCTCGTGCAGCAGTTGACAGGTCATTGGTGGCCATCGTATTAGTTCCTCCGGTTAGTGCTATAATGTCTTTATCTTTTCTATTTTCCTGCCTAAAATAAGGCAGATTGCGAGGCTTTCGCCATTTTGCCGCGGCGTACAGGTGGAGCGCTCAAAATGATGTATACTATTAACCTAGTTCCGAATGCTGCAAAGTCACAAAGCACGTGTTAATACCCAACTACACAATCAGCGTAACGTGAACCCTCACCAGTCCAACCCTATTGGGCCTAAACTGGGCCGCTGGCTTCTGCTCACCGAAAACCAAGTCTCTAAGTGGCCCACTGTGATGGTTTAACACACCCTCATCTCATATCTAGTGCAGATCTGTTTGCAACTTTTAATATTTGACTCTCTACTTCTAGTCTTTTCTTGCCACTTGGAGCGTGCCATATCTCACTCCCTTCCCATTTCGCAGCCTTGATATCCTATAACTTCGTAAGTCATACGCTGGACACAAAAGCTGGCAACTCTATACATCCAAAAGCCCTACTCTTCCAACTTAATGATACTATTCGGTCTCACACTTGAAAGTTCGTCCACACATTCCTTACTGCAATAACCCAACTCATCGGTATTTCACAAGCACCGCCAACGCGCGAGTGGCTAAAGTGCAGAACAGGCTATCAAGGAGGGTTAATAAACTCGAAAACGACCTAGCCAGCCAAAGGACAACATATAAAGGAGCTCAAGTAGCTCTTCTTGGCTATATTTAGCAGCTCGTAATTGTCAAAGGTAATCCTAGTCCGGCCCTATTGGCCAAAACCAACGCGAAGTTCATTAAACTAGGTGGGAATATAACTCCTAAGGAGAACAAGAGGCTCGTCAAGGCGACTTTAGTAATAAATCTGGGTGGCTTGGTGACTCTATTATTTGATAGAGTTTAGCCGCGTATTAATAAAGCTTGAGGAATAGGGCAGGCTCTGGCAGTATAGACGGCCAGTATTAATATTGGAGTACAGCTCAATATTTTACCACGATATATATCTATAGTGCAACTGAGAGATATATAGTTAATTACTTCTGGGTTATACAGTGCAAAAGAGAGTGTTAAAGCGTTCCTAAAATTCTCTAGATACTTCGCTGTAGATATATAAATCTTACTGTCGTTCTCGATATTTTGCGAACAGAAGTTAGTAATTCAGCCGGAAGAAGTATAGTAATGGCCTTTCCCAGTTGTAGAGAATATATTTCAAGTAAAATTAAAGGTTAGACAATAGAGTTAATTCTTTTTAGTGTTTATATATGTGTTTAATTCTATTTTCGGCTGGGTACTTAGACAAACTTAATTCACGTAAAATTGGTTCTCCGCAAAAGATATCTGAATATATATAAATAGATAGCCTGTCTAGAGTTGGTTTCTCTCTAGGAGATTGCTTTAGAATCGTAGAAAGACTACGAATTATTAATCTATTACAATTTGCCCATCTGAGTTCATTTTATGTACTCCCTCCTGGGTTCAAACGTTACAGAGGGAAAAAAAATCTAGAGCTTAAAAAGGACACGCATCCATGTTCGCCGTAAACAAACCCGGGAGCTCTAGCTTACCCAACACATAAGAAGGTGCTAAGTAGAGGCTAAACACCAGATACAAGTGAAACAGGCCCCCGCGCAGAGTGTAGAAGCCTTCTTTGGCTCTCCCATCAGAAGGGCGAGCATTTATTCCTCTGTTTTTAATCCTTCTATCTTGCAGACTTTCTATATTCTGTGTGAAGGGGGCCGATTTTGATCCCGGAAGCAGGGTACGCTTTCAGCCCTACAGCTGCGACCACGTTGGTTTGTAAGACTACACCTCGGAGAATCGTGTTTAAGTATTATGGGTTAGCTTATTACAGGCGAAGGCGGAATTAAAAGAAATCGATAATCCTATTAGTATAAAACGAAAACCCCCAGAAAATAGAGGTACAAACCCCAAGTTCCTGTGGTGTTTTGTTCGGTATCAATTGACTTATATACATAGTCCATCGACGATGGCAAACGAAACCAGCAAGTCACCACTCCGACAGATCCTCAGGCCCGCCAAGATTCCTTCTCCACCGTGATAATCCCTTTAAGTATCACCTAATAAACTCCCCCCCTCGCGAATTCCTTCCTCTACAACCTCTCTCTGTATCCTTATCCCAAATAGACCCGCCCTTGATATCCGTGATGTTAATGCACTGCTCTCCCCTCCTTTTCTTGCTATAGCCTTTACTGAGACTAATAGGACGAATTTTAGGGAATGTTTTATCGTATTTACACTGCCAATATTCACTAGCCCCAAGCTCAGGGTGTAGGAGCCTTTTCACCTCTCTCCCTCTAACAAAAAATGGCGAACACGTACTCCTAGATCGTGTTCCGCGCGTAGGAGGAACTATTTATGGAAGGGGGCCGATTTTGGAACCTCGAAGCATAGTTCGCTTATAGTCTTATAAATAGGAGTATATTAGTTTATAAGATTATGCTTTAGAGTTATAATATTTATATGTACTTTTTAACCCTTTTATTTCAATATGATCTATAAATTATCAAGCTCTACTAGACTTAACTAATAGAAAAGCTAGGGAAAGATAACTTTAGGCGCTATATTAAGCGTATAGAAGAGATAGTAGCTGTATTCGAGTATAACGAGATATACTGTATATTATGTGACAGCTCGCACAAAGCCTTACAGTTCCAAACTTTTTCCAGTCTTAATTTTGGATGGGACGCAAGATACTACGCCAAGATAATTTCTCTGTCCTCAGCAAGATGGCGCCAATCGCGCCACCATCCCTTGGGCGAGACCAGGCATACCCGTTCCCAGTATCCCTGATGTATAGCAGACTCACGAATCAGCAAGCCCATAGTCCGAGACGTTTCGTCCGACATTGTAGCTCCTGTAATGGTTCCTACTTGAGCAATGAGATAATAGCACTGCTGCGCCTTTTTTCCAGTGAACATTTTCCAGTCATCTTTGGTGTCGAGGGAAATGATCGTATCATGCGATGCCCCTCCGGTACTTTTCCCTGCCCCGATATAGGACCGTAACACAAGGTGGTAAGTCTTACCGTTTCGGTTCTGCTCGTAGATGCCACGCCGCTCAAATATGCCGTAATTGTCCTTCAGGTCCGAAGCTGGTCCTTCACATTCGTCTACAAACACCGGCGCGATTTTGCTCTGGATCCGGAGCATGCCCATTGATACTGGGCCCATAGGATTCTCACCGGAGGGTTGGCATGAACCATCCATGATTCTCCATATTTGAGTTGGAGCTGGACTGTTTTCACCGGAGTGGGAAATGGTGCTACCGGAAAGGGAGCAAAAGGAAATCCCTCCTCGAAGTGAGGCCCACGACCAAGTTGGTGCGTAGTAAGCTTCGTGCCTACCACAAGGAGCCCCGTTCCGATTCCAGCCACGCCACAGAAGTTGGTCGCCAGCATCTTCGCGCCAAATTCCCGCCAAGTAGTTTTGTGATGAGCGGCCGAGCTTTGACGCGGCTCCAGCAAGTGCCGAGAGTCTATCCCGTTCGTAAGTAAACGTGCGGCGACTATAAATTCCGATCAACTTCTTCCACGACTTATTCAGATCTGTGGTTCTACCGGCGTTACTACCACTGGCTGATAAGCCTCTGGTGACGCTGCCGTCCCCGCGTTGCGTTAATAGTAAATTCCTGGTTAGGTCATTCGTGAATCGTTCGTCTGCCAAAGATTTTAGGCCACATTCGCATCGGGACATTGACCTACACTGCCAATGCAGTTCAGTCCTTGAGAAACAGATTTTGCGGCGGGAAAGAATTTCCTCTTGCATGATCCATCCTCGACTCTGGAGCTGCGAGATCGGTTTGTCAACCAAACAGAATGCTTCTTCCGGGGAGAGGGAGTTGGGATAGTAAGAATGCCGAAATGACGCTAAAATCCAGTATTGGTCATTGGTCTGCGGGTTTCGACTTTCAATCTCTCGGACCCAATCTGTCGCAATGCTTTTGTCTTCTACTGTCTGGAAAAGCCCATCATCGCAGTGGTTGGCTCTTTCAGCAAAAAGTGTCGCGTATGCGTTCTCGTAGATGTCACCCATTCTGGCGGCCTCAATCTCCCAGTCCTGCAGGTCATCCTGAACAATACACAGAGAGTCGATCCAGAGATATTGAATCCCCAGCGAGCGAGACACTTCTATAGCATGCCTAAACGTCAACGGAAATGATTCAAAAGGAATCATTCGACAAAAGTCCTCGATATTTTCTCGTTTCGTGATCAACATCTTGAGCTGAGAGTCCAAAGCGCCCCAGCGATGGCTAAGAGCAATATATCGTCCAACCTCACCATGGGTGATCTTGAGGAAAGGCTGGGCCGTGCCACTCCCGACGTCAATAATCCTTGTTGGAAGTTTTGGATGCATACTCTGCTGACAAGAAGGATGATTTGCCTGACAATCATTAATCCAAGCGGAGAGCATCTGGATATCTCGTAATTGACTTCGATTGAACGGGGATTTGATAACGTTTGGTAACCAAGGGAATGGTGAAGGGGACCTTTCTGATACCAATTAGTAGGCGTGAAAACGGAGCTAACCAGGTCATTTACCTCCGTCTGCAGCGAGAACCACGACCGCAACTGTTTCTCCGGCTACTTCATTCCCATCTTCAACACGTTTCTTGATAAGATAGACACCGAAGGCACCTTTGTTACCAGACCATGTCGATACATAGTGAACGGGGCCTAAATTCCCTGCTTGTATGTACACTTTCCAAAAGAGAGAACAAATGGAGCAACCATTATCGAAAGACCTGAATAGAGCCTCTATCGGCACAGGTTGTTCAGTGCACGTCGTCAGAGGGCCACAAGTCATGCATGGCCGTGGTGTGACAGGGTCATAGAAATTCGATAATTCCTCAACCTGTACTCTAATTTCAGGTATCTCACCCAGGGCGGGGTCTGAAGGTGGGGGACAGAGTTCACCCTGTGTCTGGATTCCATTCGTCGAGGCAGGTTTCCTCGGTGCGAGCCGTTTCAGCTTCTTAAACATCTCTAAGCTTATTTGATTGTGCCCTGCGATACGAGAGAGATCAGGGTGATGGTTGAAGAATCTCTATGAGTTATTGTCAAAGAACATCGGTACTCGTAATGCGACTCAAAATCGTAGCATGCGGTGGTGTCATCGAACCTGGCGCACCTCATTGGAAGGGTTTCACCATCTTAACGCCTACATGGCCCAACGCCCAAAAACCTATTTGACTGCAAACGAACCACAAAGCAAAGAAAATAAGTTGAGATTCGTGGCCTACGACCCCATTTAAGCCATCCCTAGTAGTTTTCAGAATTCTCTAACCACTTTGAAAAAATCTCAAAATTTTGGTGTTCCGACAGGGGTATAAGGGGGAGGTTTACTATAGGCGATTAGACGGCGCATCCTTCTATAGTAGCATATCGATTACACTGGCGATTAATAGGCTTCAGCGTTGGCGAGGGAGCAAATCTGGCTCTCTCATGCCCATTCATAGATTGCGCTGGTGCTTGACGAACGGTGGTGTTGAGTAGGGATGGCCAAAATAGGTTCTATGTTATCCTGCTCATGCTCCGCTCAGACTCTCCTTAGTATGCCCGCCTTCAGTTCCGGCATATATCCCCTAGACTCAGGTTAAGCACTAACTGCTCACGCCCGGAGACTAAAACAGATTGAGCAAAAGAAAAAAGCACTATAGGGTTTAGGATACTTTGGAGTGATTCAGGGCCCTGAGAGACGGACTAGAGTCCTATGTCAGTTTGTCAGCCTGCGGTCACCCACTAGCCCAAACATGTAAAATGGGACCCCTCAGAAAACAGAGGTCGAAACCTCAAGCTTCCGAGGCCCTTTACTCGGTATCAATCGACTTATGAGCAAATTGCATCGGCCCACACTAGCATAGTTGACCGATGGTAAGCCAGCTCCTTGAGGGCGTCTAGGAGACTCGAACCAATATACATTGACTAACCATTGCACTTGATCTGCTGCTTCGTTGTTTCCTTGCCCCAGACGTATGAAAGGGCCTCGAACTTCCAAGCCTATACTCATGAATTTCGATCTCGAATGTGGTCTTCTCGGAGCCAAGCTTGGTTTTGATGAGCCGTATATTACGGCCCTGCAGGGACGGACCACATGTAAAGGCGACCTCGATTACCATATTTGTGCTGGAAACCGAAGAAGGGAGGACTTGTACAGATTGATTAAAGAAGGATAAATGCGTTACAGATAGGATTGTTTAGATATAGCAAGGCTGAAGTGTACCAGCTTCGGGAAGAAGAGTTTAACTACTGACCGGCAAAAGCAGGTTGGTAATTGCTGTAGACCTTGGCAAACTACAACTTACTTTGGTCCTTGGTGTATAAATAAATTAGTAAGGCTTAAGAACAGAGCAGGTATTTTACGAGATATCAGTCGTGCTTGAATTAAGGTTCGACGTTCAGCTCTATATAGCCGACGGAGGTAATATGGCACCAGGCCAGCGTAGGAACGGTGTGGGGCGATAGTACGTGTGGAGCGGACACGACGTGATTTAAGCCTATTTAGCACCGCGTTGAGCACCAACGCTCGTCAATGTGAGAAAGGTACCAGTATTGTAAGCGCACGATTACAAGTTCTTTGATTTATAAAGCGAGGTGCCACCACTCTTCTTTTCAAACACGTTCGTTGACATTTTCGATAAGCATGGCTTCAAATGCTACTTTTCAAGGTCTTCCGCCACCACAGGAGAGAGTTGTTTCGCAAGATGCTGATCATACCGGCATAGTAAGCTCAGAGCCTCCTTTCTTGATACATATGTAGTATCTGAATAAAAAGAGTATAGTAGCATAATAATCACACAATTTTCTTCAAACCGCAAAAGAATCAGTGACGATGAGAATAAATTAAAAGAGGCTTTCAACAACTAGCACAAGTAATCTCCAACATCAAAGATCAGGAGGCGAGCTGGGACGGGCTACTGCGATCAAAGTAGACAATCTGGCAACTGAGTTAAATAGGCGGGAGCCTGTATTGCAGATGGACTTGCGCTAGGGGTGTGGTTCGAAGTGGACGACAGGATTGAAGTGGATGTCCAGTACCAAGTGAGGATAAAAGTTGTAGGCTACCGTTTCATATTAGGAAACTTTGAAGGACGTTAGTTGGAGCGATAATACCCACGTCTCATGAAATAAGAGCCAAATATTTATTCCGTTGACTTTAAACACCGTGATCGAGCTCTAGTGCCCAATTTTTAAGATGCGTCTACTACGCATCCCTCGCCATTAGCAAACATCCCTCTCTCATCCCAGACTTCCCGCAGATCATCTCTAATCCTCCCTGCAACTACAAACCCCTTCTGCGCTACCCTCGAAAGCATCTCTAGTATCTTCCCCCTCTGTTCTCCCCCACCAGCGCGTGACCCCGCCACTCGGAGCGGAAAAAACATCAGCGCACCTGCGAGTCTTGACGTCCTCAGCGCCACATCTGTCAGCTGTAGTATCGATGCCACATGTCCCATTATTTCAGGCCTTGACAGAATAGGTGCGCTAAGGCCGGTCCAGTACGGGAAGTAGTCGAAATTTCCGGAGAGAAATATAAGGAGTGCGTTGTAGTACGCGAGAGCGAGGAGTAGTGGGGAGCTGTCGCTAGTGCTCAGAAGAGACAGTGCTTGCGCGTGCCATGCGTAGATAGCATTTTGGATCGTGAGACCTTCGAGACCGAGGGCCGAAACAGCTGGGTCGGTGTATCGCTGTGCTTCAGGTAACTGGAAAACGACCTGATGCGCCCTGAAAGTAGTCTTAGCTAAAATTAGACGGGACAGAGATCTGAGACGCACCGAAGACTGAACGTCGAGCAGTGGATCATGAGAGCAAGAATCCCTTCAATCGGGTCCCAGCTTTCATCATCAGATACGAGTTCCCTGTGGAAGTTCTCCCAAGTGCTGTCTGCCAGTATCGTAGCCTCTCCGTACAAGAGTGCCCTGCTAGCTTCGAGCATGCGGAAAATCCCATAGAAGGTTCGCCGGAGTGACGACATGTTCTTATCTGGACTGGACAGTTGGAGAAGCATGGAGGTGCCATAGAGCATGTGTTTGACCCATCCATCACCGGATGAGTCTGAGAGGAGCTGTACCAGCTGTTAGGCTTTCTTTTGGTTATGGAATTTCATGGCATACCTCAAAAAGACCTAGAAAGAAGGTACCCCAGAGCACATCATCTCCTTGAGCGGCATCCTTGTCCGAAACGCTCGCCTGAAGAGCACGGATTGATGCAAGGTAAGAGTTGAAAGCCACATACTGCGGGGAATCTTGCCCACTAGACACGCTGACAGAGCCTTGGCGACTGGCGTCCAGAGCTCCGATGGCAACGGCCGAGTGGTGGAGGACTGGAGAGGTGCGCACAAGTTGCAATATCTCTGTATCAAGGCTCTGGAGGCCTGGAGTAAACTGGTTCTGCTGGATGAAGAGAAGGAAGCAACCAATGAAACGAACGGTGGGGTCCCCGTCGGTTGGGCTGCTTGACACTATACTCGTAGTCCATTCGGAGCTACGCGTATTCAACGTTGTTGGGCGGTATTTGGTCACTCCAGAAACATGCCCTTCCACAAATAGCAGTGTGCCGGTAGTTTGCTTAGGTGGTGTGCATACGTTTCCCTTCTTGATGCAATGCGTGCATGGGAAGCCGCCCTCACACTAAAGTTATCATCAGCCAACTACCCTCGAAAGCTCGATCCCAGGTGGCATGGCAGGGCAAGTACCTAGGTACGCGACGCACTTTGATCCGGCGTGCAGAGCATGAGCCGCAACGCTTCGTTTGTCTCCGTTTATCGGCGGGGCCAATTTTCTTCTTCTCTCTCGGGCATTGCGTTGACATCGGGTAAGAGTCGTGTCGGCAACCGTCGCTCAGAATGACCTAGGTAATTACGAATACACCGTCACTCAAGGTATCAACATTCTTGAATAGGCAATAATCGAGCGAGGACAGTGGGCGAGGGCGAGGGCGAGGCGTATTATAACGCTGTAGCCACGTAATAATTTTAAATCCCATGTCGTGATGACACATTCTGGCTTTGAAGTTGAGGCTGAGATTTAAGGTCGTTGATATAACCCCGCTGGTTAGGCCGAATTAGGAAGTAATCGAGCGCGAAAGGCTTGGCGCCTCAGCCGCTGAACCAAGATTTTTTCGGCTGTGCGACGGCAGATCATCGCCCTACGCTCAATTGCTTCCTGTTTCGGTAGGTCTATCAAAGCTAACTACATGCTGTTGCGTGCAACTTCAAATTTGAGCCGTAAGCTCTCAATATGGGGCGAGATCATGATGTATATAAAAGCAACTGGAAACCCAGCTGTTGGGAAAATCATCACAACCAACATCCTCTAATACCTATACCTACTCCTCGCAATGCTTCCCCCCGCAACACTCACCCAGCGGCTCTTAGCCCTCCTCTCTATTCTCTCATCAGTCAGCGCTACGACGATACTCCCAAAGCCGCCAGGCCCATTCGATGTCTATTACAACACCGCCAAGATGGTCGACCCTGGCCGTATCGACCCCTTTGACCCAAAAAAGGGGCATCGCGCAGTCATGACTTCCATTTTCCTGCCGGTCCGCTGCCCGACCAGCCTCAAGCCCATCGCCTATCTGCCTCCGAAGACAGGGGAACTGGAATCCGAGCTATTCGGCGTGTACGGCCTTCCAAACGGGACGCTGCAGTCTCTGAATCTCCAGGTCTGCCCCGGGCCGCTGAGAACCCGACTACAGGAGGCAGAGCAGCACCCTGTCGTGATATTTTCCCCAGCACTGAATACACCAAGGCATTTCTACAGTTTGATCGCCCAAGCTGTCGCGAGCTATGGGTACATCGTCGTCTCCATTGATCATCCGTATGACGCCGACATCGTCGAGTTCCCAGACGGATCTGCTGTGTATGCGATCAACTTCACCGATGAGCAGATTCCGGTGGATGTAGACACTCGAGCTGGAGATGTCTCTTTCGTTCTTAATCAACTCAGTTGCCCCGGAAGCGTGAAAGACCTTCTACCTGGATCCAAAGGCCTGAAGACGCACAAGGTCGCCATGTTTGGCCACTCCGTCGGTGGGGCTGCAGCTGCGCAGGCTATGCTCCGCGATAAGCGCATCGTCGGCGGTGTCAATCTCGACGGCAGTTTCATAAGCACAGTGGTCCAGAAAGGTCTCGATCGCCCGTTCCTCATCTTCGGACATGAGAACAAGACGCAGGCGACTGACGATAGCTGGGCAGAGACATGGTCGCATTTGCGATCGTGGAAGCTCGAACTGGGCTTGGCTAAGTCGCAGCACTACACCTTCTCTGACTTGCCTGCCCTGTTGAATCTACTTCACGCGCCGCAAGTGATTCTTGACGCTGCAGCGGAGCGGGTTGGGACTCTGGATGGACTCAAGGCCTTGGATATCGTGCAGACTTATGTAGTTGCATTCCTTGACTTCGTGCTTCTCAATAAAAAGCCAGAAGTCCTCCAACACGTGGTTGCTGAGTTTCCAGAGGTATCATTTATTGATAAATGATCGAATCAATAATCTGCAAGCTCTCAGGAGCGTCAGGAAGGACGTAGGATCTTAATATCCGTGTAGATTTATATAGAACGGAGAATTTACAATGCACTTAGACATATTTAGTCACCCAGAGTTCAATGACGAGAGAAGTTTTATATATATATATATTCGTCCCAGATGGCTTGTGACGTGGTAAAGCCGCCAACCCACGCCAGACAGAACCCAACGTCTGTAGAGACGTGTCGGCGGGTCAACAATATGATAAATTAAATATAAAGATGCGGCCGTAAACCCCTCCACCACATTTGAAAACAAGCGAGGAAAAAAGAAATCACCCAGAAAGAGAAGACACAAGCAGATATATCGATAACGGCTCTCAAAGAAATATCACCATGCGAGGGAACTTCTATCGTAGCAGATATTGGGAGCTAACCCGCAAACGCCATTTAACGCAAGCCAAGCACCGATGAGCGGCCTTTCCCGATCAGACCCTCCTCACTACCGTAGCTCCCATCAAGCCACAGTTGGCTCAAATAGCAACCCAAACGTTTTCGACTACATGAGAGTGAGTTAGATCGACAGGAACTTTTGTTCAGGAGTTCATTCGGCTATCTACTACGCTGACAACTAAGCTATATAATGAAGGCCGTCGAGGTAGGCTATGCTCGCTAAGTAACAAATCCATCTAGACTATCTACCTGCCTCAGCGCAAGATCTCTAATAGCTACTGATTATTTCCAGGCTATAGTCTGAACGACCGCCTATAGAGAGAAAGATCGAGCTACAGGCTATCTTATACTTTGGATAATTTCCGTCTATCGAAAATACAGGTATTTGAATATACTACGATGATATTTACTACTGGAGCAATCTACCTAAGAAACGAAAAAAAGGGACTCTCCAAACCTAAAGTAGGAAAGACAAAGCCTACTACTCCTCTCGGCAGGAGAACGACTACCTAACAAGAGCAAAGAAATCTATCTACTAAAGTATACGACCTCCTCTTTCTTGGTACCTGCTAATTAACTTGTTTCTTGCGATACAGGGCCAAATACTTCCCGAAGCTAAATCCCTTCTAGGAACCGCTTCCGAGAGCTCCAAAATAGCAGAGGTTCTACGATAAATTCCGGATATATATATTTTCCGTGAGATTATAGATGAAGTAGGACGTAATCCGCAGAGTATTCCACGTTTCCGATTTTGCCTTTCCCCGCTTAGGTTTTTCTCCTTTCCCGCGGATATCCTCCTCAGTCTACTTCGTCGCGACTTAGACAACCTCCCAACTAAGGTATAGGGGATGATTTAACGACTTCCACAGTTAAGAGTTTTACGACATCCAGGTCATAGGAGTTTACAACATCCCGAGTCATAGGAGTTTACAACATCCCAAGTTATAAGTGAGTTTAGAGTCTAATGTTCGGGTAAGCTTTACCTATAGCATACCTCAATTCCAGTAAGATATTCGAGTAACTTGAATACCTCAATTTTAGTAAGATATTTATACTATATCGGAGATATATAGAGGTAATAGCCGTTGGGCCTTACAATACTGGCGAAAAGAGTTTTGCACCAAAGTCGCCCAAGAATGCGCCATATCAGTTCGTAACTTCGTCTCTGGAACGGCGAGACCGTTCCAACACTTTGTACCTGGATGCTTACCCTGTAAGCTCCAGCTGGGATGGAGCGAGCGACCAATTTAATTAGGTATAGCTATGCACGTAGCGCAGCGTTACTTTCGTCATTCCTTTTCAGATTTCAAAGCCTCTGCTTCGCACCACGACCATTATACTTGTTATGCCCAGCACTAGCACACGATGCCAGTTGTCCTCGATGATGCGAGTTGTGTGAAATAAGTGTGTTCGGGAGTCGTGACAGTCGTGAGCTGTCATTGGTGTATTTAGTACTTGTTTCTCTCCGTTCTCGTAAAATGTAGAAGATGAACTTAAATAATATAGCTTAGTAGCTATAGAGTACTTAAGATCTAATATACTAACTTTTGTAGTTAAGTTACTAATTAAGTTATTATCTTCTTTAGTGTTATCTGAAGCTATCTAACTAGCGCTATTATAGTTAAACTCACTTTATAGTAAAACTACTTCTACTATTAAGTTTAATACTAATATATAAGAATAGAGTTATTGGAGGAGATTCTCGAGAGCTACGACTCAGCTTTCCAAAGTTTCTAAGTAGTTCCGTAGTAAGCGACGTCCGGTTACTAAGTCTTCTATAAGATAGGCTATTAGACGACGATAAGCGACAAAAGTATATTAGGTATATAAATATACTTAGCTTACTTAGCTGATAACAGCAAAAGTTAGTATATACTAGTACTCGGCTATCACACTATTATGATATAATATGTCAGCAGCTGTTTTATTTCATACTTCTAGCTTTGCTTTCTGTATACTTTGAGCTTGCTCTCTTTGTAGTTGATATAGGCGACCTGCGTCCTGCTGCCGGTACGAGTGCGGGTTTGCCGCGGTCCGCGACCTGGGCAGTTCGTTTGCCGCGGGTGGAAGACTCGCTGGTGCTTTGCGGCATCGCGAAAGCATCTACACTAAGGTGTCGCTTGGAGACAGTCTCCTGAATGTCGAATTTTTGGTTCGCTACGCCAATATTGGGAAGTGGAAGAATGTGACTACATGGTTTCGTCGAATGATACTTTCCTAAGTGGGTATTGGCTTGATTGTGAAATTTGGGGGTGGGGGACGGATTTTAGAGGAGTACTAGCTTCTGTAATAGTGAAAGCGGACCTAGCTAGGTACGGGAGTAAGCCTAGAAATAGCTTAGATAATCATATCAGGCAGACCTAGCGAAGATACGAGGGAATCGCATTCGCCATGAAGGGGCGGAGTTCATGATACCATTAAAGAAAGAGAAGGGTTTGCGAGTCTTAGACATGAATGTTGATCCGAACCAAGGCTCTTCCAAATATCCTACCACGGCTTGGTGAGTTGAAGGTGTGCTCGAACAAGAATGGCTGAATAGCTTGGGCTCGGGACTTAGTTAACGCTAGCCTACTCCTTCAACTCTACCACGATCCTTCCCCACGCTTCGCAAGCCTTCCTTCGATTAAGAAGTAACGTTGATTGCACAGTTGCTAAGTTGATGTCCTCTATAAGGGACTTATTCAACCTTTCGATCCAGTTGCGACTGTCAAGAACTCTCATAATTTGGCGGGCGGTGGAATGCTGGTCCACGAAGATGCGGCCTATTTGCCCTTTCATTTGACAGCAGAGCTGATTCGGGGGGCTGTGGAAGGGAGGCTGGAGATAGTAGAGCATCTTGTAAGGTTCTTCTACTACGACGTTTGAAAATTATCAGACCGTCACTGTTCAACGCGTTCTGAAGAGTTTGAGATATGAAAGATGGCTCACCACAATGGACACGTGCCGCCGAAACCCACGAGCCATAAATCGATGCAGTGTTGGTGATAAATGTGGCCGCAAGGGAGTATCCGAACATCGTCGCTCTCAACGAAATCTTCTGTGCAGACGGAGCAGCTAAGGGGGTCATGTCTTGATCTTGATCGGTCGCTGCACTGTGATGCGTCTGCCTCTAGTGGTATCCTAACGTTGTTATCAGGTGTACCGGAATTTTTGACTGTCGTTTCATTCGTGTGCTCTTTGGCTCTGGGGATCACTGCCGCTGCATTTATATACAATGGTCTCCCTCCATCTATCATTTTCGGGACTTGACTTCTCGGTGGATGTGTATTCGTGGTAGAGTCATAGGCTTCGCTGACCCGTTCTTGCAGCCTCACGCTATACTTAACGACTGGTAACGATTGTAGTATGTAACTTTCAACGCCTTTCCGGTGTCGCGTGTGGGGTATGCGTGGATATCGCACAACAGTCGAGACAGTGACGTGAGGCCGTATTCGATTAGAAATCCATGCAATAAAGAGGAGAATTGCGATTAATCCGATGATAGCACCAACTGAGATTATAGTTCTGGCGTTACCGGTATTTGTCGAGCGGTCAGGTTGCGAAGCAGTTGCCATGATCAAAATCAAAAACCAGATGTTAAGCGGGCTAACAGGTCGATGGGTCTAAATGAGTCGTCACTTCCTCATTTAAAGATCGTACTGATTTCGACCAAGTTTCTGGCTGTTGATAAGTGTGTCACTAATCAAACTCTATAGTAATAGTACACATTGATTGACTTTTACAACATAACTATAGGGGGGCGTTGCCCTCGTATTGCATGCTGCTATGACAAGGCTTGCGGGGGATTTGTTTACTATCCTCGTAGTCCGAGCCGCAGCGCGCCGTTCGATGGAGGACAACGGTCGTCAAGCTGACACGGTATACTTGAAATGTGCTCTAATTAATGACGAGCAAAAGTTCATGGCCTGGCGATAAACCTGATTGACGCTAGCCAAAAATGCCTCAAAGCAATGGTTCATCACCTTGCCCAAACGAAATTGGAGCTAGCCAAAATGCCTCAATCACGGCTATTTGCATTTTGTACATGGCAATAAAATTCCCTCATCCCTCATTGTATTGCCTGTGTCGTACAGCCAAATGCACAACTTGTGCATAGTGCTATTTCCATGTAGTAAGAGGCGCCAGCAATAGTGGCTGCTTCCCAGTTTACTCGATCTGGCCTGCCACTTAACACTGTAAACAACTTACGGAAACCAGAAGCTGTTCCTTATTTCAAAGGTCCTGTGATGAAAATAATGATTTTCGTGCCACTCTCGTCTTAGTGAAAGCGACTTTCGTCGCTTTGCTGACAATGACGCATGGTGTGTCCACGTGAGCTATGACTTGTTGACTTGGCTACATATCCTCCTTCCAGAACTTATGTAGGAAGTGATTTCAAGCTTCTCATTCTTATACTCACTCTCATTCAACATGACACCGCCAATGTCCCTGATCCTGCCTCCTGTCTACAAAATACCTCATTCCCCTTCTTTAATCCTTGGCCTCACCCCTTTAAACCTGAACAAACAAAACATGCTGCACTGCCTCAGAACGCAACGCTTGAGTGACGTGGACATAGTGAAAAAACTGATCGTGAATCCTATATGTACTTTAAAATCCCACCTTTGATTCCCATTTCACCTGCTATTGAATTCCAAGTCTAAAACTCCAAAACCCTCAAATAAATAAATAGAATTTGGCTGGTGTTACGGCCGCGCCAGCTCATATATTCAGATGCCCTCTTCCCTCACTCTGTAGAACTTGTATTAATAACGAAGACCAATTTAGCACATAAAAAAAAACGCAGTAGATTAGTCAACAGAGGTTATAGATTTAAAGTAATTATATTGAAAAAGAGCTTAATACTAAAGGGTAAATGCCTGGTATATATAGGTAGGATATAGAAAGGGAATTTGTACTAGAGACGTACATGCGTCAGAGAGGTAAAATTTATCCTTGAATAAGTAAGCCACCAGTCCGAATAACGCAATAAAGTCACTGAGAACCGAACAAAAACTGCGGATCTTCTCCGGGTCCAAATTACTCAGTTAAGTAAGAATAGGGGGGCTTCAAACAAGGGGAATGCTTGCTCGCAGGTTGAAATTCGTCACAGCCAAGGTAGGCATCTTGGCTTATATCTCCCTTACTGCCCAGGGGAGATGCTTAAAGCTCGCCGAGAGAGATTGAAGGGGAGCAATTGGACTATACGATATCGATTATTAAATGCTCTCACGAGATCAAGGGTATTTCGAAAGGGCTTGCTATAGACAGATCAGTTCAAACAACTGTGTTCTGGTTAGCGATTGGGCAGCTGGAATGTATGCGCGATTTATTTTCCCTTGCAGCATGACAGCTCCACCCATGCATTGGACAGAGGCGGCTGTCGAATCTGGAGCACTCCGTCGATCCAGTATCTACACTTCCCATTCATTACAGGACTCCTTCTTATCAAATTGCGGAGTTAAAAGAGAAAAATGTAGTAATTTAGAAGGCAAAAAGACTTGGCAGCAAAGGCATGTTCCAAAAGTCCTCGAACAATAAAGCTACTTACACCCCACCAAAACTCGCAAACCTTAACTGGCACATTATAGCGCCCAAAGAGATATATACTCACTTCTCCTGGCTAACGGCTCTCGTTAGAACAACCCGAGTGACTCTTCACCCAGAGAACATACCCTTCCCCACCACCTACTAGTACTTTCACGGAATACTTGGATACTCCTCTAGAGATAATTATCTGATTAATCCCACTCAAATCTAATCAAAAACCAAGCTGGATTACAGAGCTGGGAAGCCGCCACAGCGTGTTCGCCGACGCCGCAGCAGCAATGATCTCCGAAGCCGAAGCCCTGCCCGGCAAGCCTTAAAAGGACCGCCTTTTCGACGTGCGACTTATCCTTCAATCATAAAGCTTTATAGATGTCATTGAAACAATGGCATCATTTGCGACATCCTACTGGTATCTGCAACGTAGTGGCATTACCTTTAGGGATATGTGGTTCTAATTCGGCCAATTCCACAAAGTATCGATCAGAATTACCCCAGTGATCGCCTAGCACAAGCATCCAGCATCTGCTTGTAAACCTGGCCGTCATGTGGACTCGTCTCCTCTATCCCTCCCAGTCATCTTTACCTATACTAACGACTCTATAGGTAGCGGTTCAACCTCATGACTATCCTCACCCGCCGACTAGGCACCATCTATTACCAAACATCCTTCAACAGAGCTGCACAAAACCTGTACCCCTTCCCCGCAATGATATTCGCACTCGTCGTGGTGGCTTTCCAGCTCTATATCCCGCAACTTCAGAGTGTTTTGGTGCGAGTAGGGAACAGGCTGAGCATTTCACCTTGGCGGCTGCGTTTGGCCTGGGAATGCTGCCGTTGGATGAGGCGAGGAAGTGGGTCGTTGGGACGTGGTCTAATGGGCTGCTGGGGGAGGATCGCTGGAATCGGTGTTCCCTTTGGTACCACCATACTTGTGCCAATTGTTTTGGTCCTATGTATCTGTTAGCGGCTGTCCCGGTTTCTAGTTGGTGGGCGGCCTTCAATATACATTCTGTACGAGACGAGCTCGAAGATCTCCGTGCAAAAATATCATGGTCAAGACAAGGCTAAAACTTATTATGATGGATGAGATTAGCTCCATGGCCGTCGAGTTCGAGGGAGAAATGATGCTAGGAATTTTCTGGGAGGAGATGCAGATTGTCGAGGAGAACAGAAAATACTCCAAAGATTGGGGCGAATCAAGATGTTCAAACAAGTCATTGTATTACCGTATTATGACTTCTTATCTTCACTTGCCTTGGATTGATAAGACCTATGCCGTACTCGTATATCCTATTGTGGATCATTTGCGGGATTTTCGTTCGGGTTAGGCCATCTGATAGATAACGAGATATAAATCCCTCAACACTCGGCATCGTAATCATAATTATGGCGCTATCTGCGGCGTCTTGTCTCATCGAGAGCTTTGACCATATACCATGCGACCACAGCTAATATCCAATCAGCTGTTGTACTCTTAGCTTGGTGCTCGTGCACGACAACTCCGAGACTAACTTGATAACCTTAAACCCACAGCAACGATCTGATCAATTGCCATACTCGTACCTACTGTAGCACGGAAGACAACACCTTACATCTCGACCATGGCTGCCGTCAGAGCACGGAAAGCCTCTCTCGTGGCCGAAAAGGTTCTATCCGTTATGTAATACTCTCTGGATTTCTATCCCGTCCCCACCTGGGTATATTATATCTTTGTATAGTACATTTTCGAGTATTATATAGACTCCTCTCCTGTAGAAATATCGCATCTACCTTTGGCCCAAGGGTTACCTGCAATGGGCATAGCGCAAATGCACCGCCACGCTTAACCCCGCTCTCACTTTAAGCGAGCAGGGGTTAGCCGACGCTTCCCCCTAACCCCTAACCCCTGAATCTGGCCCGCCATGTCGGCATCATGCTTTTCGTCTTGGGAAAGCGTGCCTCAAGTTAAGTTACTACTGAAAGCCCGTGATGTTGTATACCACCTCGTCCGCGCAGGGACGAGCCCTAATCTCTAAAATCCCTCATCCAAGTGCTTTCGTTCCATCCCTGACGTGTAACAATCATCTTCCGATTCAGTCTTTGCAACAGGATCGTGCTTTTCTATTCTTTCAATCCCAACTTGTAACAATCATCTTTTAATTCGGCCTTTGCAACAGCATCTTCTTGACGATTATGCTCCCCGAAAATGCCGCAGCCACCCACATCAGCGAGAGCGATGGTGCGCTTGACGGTGACAACAGCGACGACGACGATGCCGATGGAGCAAGCTATTCATTTCTATTATCTCCAGGGGATAATCCATCTCAAGATGTGCCAATCGAATGGAATCGGGGCTCCTCCTGGATCTCGGGATCCAGACTGATAGGTGAGTCACTATCCTCTTTGCTCTCCGAGGAACTGCAAAGACTAATCTGTGTTGGCAAGTCCGCCTTCGATCTTGGTTTCCCCTATCATTTAGCCGCGGTAATGGAGACTTGTATAATGCAGCACCCGCCACCGAAGCTGGACGATATCGGGTAGGGATGAACACTTCTAGAAAGAAAAGTGTCGCCATTTCGGGATCGTGCATGTCGATTGTGTTTACTCTTCGAGCGATCGTTTGCTGTTCCTGGGGAAATCTTCTCCTCGTCTTTGTCCCGATTGGCATTGTAACCTATATATCGAAGGCCCACCCGTCCATTATTTTCGCATCTAACGCTATCGCAATCATTCCATTGTCAGGACTACTAGCCTATGCTACCGAAAACATTGCTAGCGATATGGGAGACACTGTTGGTGCTCTCATGAATATTAGCTTTGGTAACCTGGTCGAAGTGATTATCTTGTGAGTTAACTTCAGTTGGAACTGAGGTGAGAAAACTGGCTGACGGTTAAAAGTATGTGATTATTATCATTGGCACAGACTCTGAACGGAATTCTTAGACTGACCTGGGTAGGACGGCTTTATTCAACAACCAGATCCGCATTGTCCAAGCATCTCTCCTTGGATCGATCCTCGTCAACCTATTGTTAATCCTTGGCACAGCTATTATAGCTGGGAGTTTCCAGGATCAAGAACAAGCATATAGTATTTCCAATTCGCAGGCTCTTGCATGCCTTCTCTCCTTCTCTGTTTTCAGCTTATTAATACCAGTAAGTGTCCTTCGCAAAGAAAAGTATGGCTTGATTCCTTGACTAACATGCTTGAGACCGCTTTCCATTACTCTTTCAAAGATATGAAGACGGCAGACCAAGCTGTCTTGAGATTAAGTAGAATATCAGCATTGGCCTTATTGGTGATTTACTTCCTTTACCTCCTATTCCAGCTGAAATCTCACGCGTACTTGGCCAGCCCTGTCCACCATCATGAAGCTTATGTGCGGTCTCGTATTGGGCCCTTGGTGCAGCGAAGTCAAGAACAGAGCCATACTAGGGGTTCATCTACCTCGTCAATTTCGCGTACTATTAGATTTGCGGATGAAGATCTTAGACTAGCTCTTGATTCAAACGTCATGGCAAAGAACATCAAACTAGACACGATAGACAGTGGACAACAGTCTGAGCCGACCGCCGAGACCACAGTCCAGTCTGTTATGGGGAATTTCAGCAACCATATCGATCAGCCCAACGGGGGCATAGGAGGTACTACGGCTACTGGGCAGGGTAAAGCGGGTACAGCATATCTACCCTGCTCAGCGGCTCATTCTTCTTCTGTATGGCCACATTCACTTCGAACGCCTCCAAACCAGGACGAATTACTGCCTCCTAGTACAACCAGACAAGGGCTCGTCAGATCCGCATCCAGTATCCCCCTCCTCTATTTCTCTCGTGGAAGTTTAGACCACGCACCTAACGATGATTTCTCCAACAATTCCCCCATCATCAGTCGAGCAACCTCCTTGGTCCTCCTCATCTCCTCCTCGGTCCTCGTTGCATTTTGCGCCGAATTCCTCGTCAATACAATTGATGACATGGTCGCCCACAGCCCACTCTCGGAGCCTTTTATCGGCCTGATCATTCTACCCGTCGCCGGTAATGTTGCTGAACATATCACCGCTGTAACGGTCGCTGCAAAAAACAAAATGGACCTTGCTATCGGTGTATCTGTGGGCTCATCTATTCAGATCGCCTTGTTCGTGACCCCATTGGTTGTTATTATGGGCTGGATTATGGATAGGGATATGACATTGTATTTCAGCCTTTTTGAGACGGTAACGCTGGTGGCGACAACCTTTTTGGTGAACTTTGTGATTTTGGATGGAAGAACGAACTATATGGAGGGAAGTTTACTTTGTGCTTGTTATGTTATTATCGGGTTAGTATATACTCTTTTTAAGTGGTTGGTAGCTAACAAGTCTTGATAGCGTGGGAGCGTATCTATTTCCTGGGCCAGACGCGCAAAGTCCAGGTTGATTGGGTTGTCGATATTCGAGCGATTACTAGGAGCGGCAGAGAACTATTGCTACATATCAGTTTCATCTCCTGCAACCCAAGGTGTAGAAGTTGGCGCACACATGACTTTGGCAATGTTAACTGGCTAGGTTCGTGCATGAGAGTGGATTTCGTCGATCCGCCAACGGGCTTATTACTCCTAGGTATTGACTAGACTAATATTAACGCTTTATCTACTCTCTTGTGTTGCTATTGCATTCTTAACATAGATATTGAATATATATCCAGTAATTTTGTAGAGTCCCAATGCCCTGATTCATGTACAGCAAGCCATTAATACTTGCGAAATTCTAGATACCAAAGTATTGGATCCAAAGTATTGGATCCAAAGGATCCGGAGATAGAAGAGTGATCGAGGGATTGGATTAAGGCAAAGGGCTAAAGGGGTAAACCTTACCGAGATTGGCTCTAGGCGTAACCGAGCTTGATCAAACACACATTATTCTACTAGGGCAGTGAGGAAGGGGGGGACAGAGGCGGCGGCCCTGAGGCTGTAGAGTATAGTAATGGAGACAAAGAGGACACAGGGTAGTAAGAATGTGTCGAGTGTGCATCGAATGCTTAATGGTATAGATATAAATAAAACAAGAACGCTGTCGTCTATCGTCTTCACCGACCACCAGATATATTGGGAATGTCAGGACATGGCTACACATGAGAGCATCAACATGCCACTCTTTCTGGCCGATGGTTATGAATCCCACATAGCCGACTTCATATAATCCAGAATATTCAAGGGTGATGCTTATAGTAGGGGCAGCCAAAGTAACCAGGACGACTTACTTATTACTGCGAGGATATATGGATATACACAAGGGTGGGGCACTGGGCAGCGAGAAGGCCGCGGGGTTGTAGAGTTTTCAGACGAGATATGCTATCGTCTTGTTCTCAAAATTGCTACGTTTGGTGATAGTGGAATCGAAGGCGGGGCATCCTCTGCTGCCAGCATCTTGTCGGCATTGAGCACCAAGACCATCACTAACTGGTATCGGAAATCAGTAAGGATTTGGGATAATTTGCTTTGCGCGAGAAGGGCATTGTAACTCTCGTTATGTTGTCGGAAGTGGTGAGAGTGCCACGACTCATTGAGAAAACATAGAAAAAAACAAAATACTATAATTGCGGTAGAGACATCACAGTAATGCAAATAGAAACGTCAAAATCAGGACGAGTCCATTGATGACCGTTTGACAAGCTCCTAGAACTGAACGAAAATATCTTTAAGATTTACTAATTTTTATCTCAGCAGCTCTATAATGCTCCTTCAGACCTTGTCAGCCAGCCTAAATATACAACATAGAGTAGACGTGAGTGTTTAGCGGGCTAGCGAGGCTATCAAAGATTGAAAGCTAACAGGTGGTTCACGATTAGAGATCCCAAAGCCATTAATCTTGTCCCTGGCAGGGTCACAGGATTTCTCATCACAAGCAGAAATTTAGGAATTAACGCCGCCACCACTAACTAGATATTTGTGTATCACTGCACCAGGCAGCTCGAGTCCCCTTCACTGCCTTCAGCCTTTCCTCTTCCATTAACTACGCCCTTTTGTCGAGAGCCAAACAACGGATATACAACATCAAACAAGGCCCTTTCCAACCCGGCACTCTCAACAAGCTTCTCTCCTAGCTCCTCGGCTTTGTATCCTTGCACAATCTCACGAGTGATGAGCTCAATCTTCTCACCTTCTGTGAATATATTGTCCAGTGGTGACCTGGGTACTGCCTGTAGGTTATTTTTGATAATTTTACGTCGTGCCAGTTTTGCAAATTCTTCAAGTCTTAGAATTCCTGTGCATTTGTTAGTGTCATGTGTGTGAGAGAGTTTTGTGGTACAAAGAGAAGGTCGTACCGCAGTCGCAAATACTCCCTGAGATCCAAAAATGTTAGCACAACCTGATATATTGAGGAATAAATGAATGGTCTAGATGCTTTCTTACCTTGATCACCCAGAACCAGCTCTTTCTCCTCATGCAAACGTCTCATTCCGTTATCATCTAGCGTTAGCTCGCTGACAAGACCCCATAATGGCTTTGCTATCAAAGAGCCATTTGCAGAAGCATGAAACATCAAGCGGCTGAAATCTTCCTTCCGAATTGAATCTCTTGCTATTCTCGATTTAAGCAACTCACAAACTTGTGGAAGCGAGAAGAATGGCACTTACAAGCAGCAATTATATCCTCTGCCCCATACAAGTATTTTCCTGGTAGGACACTATCTTCCAACATATGTTGGGCATTGATCATGGTCCCACCATGTTTCATAAAGCGTATACGTTTGACATAGATCCAGATGACTTGTGCTGGAAACTTGTCACCGTATACGAATTCTCTTAGGAACTTCTTCCGTGATTCTTCCCTCTTTGCTTCAGAGAGGCCCCGTGTGATAGTGTCTGTCTTGATGCGCATATAAAGTAGCGCGCGAGCTTGATCGAAGTCTTTTTTGTCAAGCTGTTTTCCACCTACAGATTGTTAGGCAGGGGGAGAAGTCCACTTGGGGACCAACACTCACTGAGTTTGGAATAGAGATTCGTTGCTTTTTCGTTTTCGAGAAACAAAGCATGTACTTTGTCTTTGGGTATATTCTCTTCCCTCAATATATCTTGCGACAGTTCCGGGGTTTGACCCGCTGGCAAAGTTGCAGCCAAAAGCTTCGCTGCGTGTTCCAGTTTAATGATAGCTCGAACACGGCTGATTTCAGAAGGGAGCACGCTCTGGCCAGCTAGGTATTTCACAAGCGTCTTCAGAGTCGCAGCCTTGCTATTAAAAACAATCAAGTCAATCGCATGACTTTCATCCAGCATGACTTTGTTGATTTTCTGGACGTGGACCTCTGATATAGGAAAAAAGCGGAAACAAAACCTATCGTGCATCCCTGCTGGGCCGCCATTGATGAGAACAAGTTTACCAGCCACGAGTTTTGAATACGAGTTGAGTGCTTTGGTGATGGGAAGATCTCTGAGAAACATCCCTGCTTCTTCGGGATTGGCATGCCGAGCTGTGGCAACTTTGAGGAATTGCTCTCTCTGTTCAAGGATGTTGGCGGAATCCTGCTCAGGTACGGGAAGGATGAATGATCGAAGCACAATCAACAGTCTTGGTGCTATAGGGGCGAAGAGGTGGAATTCCGTGTAGGCCGAGAGTTCCAATTTGCCAGTTATGGGACTGAGTTTCAGGGTTGATGCACCTTCGAAGATGCTGTAGGCATTCTGCGTGAGTAAAAACTCCTCTTCCTTGTTGTTTGGAGTAATGAGAGCCATGTAAAATCCCTGGATATTATTGATGCACCATTCCGCATCGTCAGGATAGATTCGCTTTCTCAACTTGTCCATCCATCCCATTTGGTAATCCATCTTCAAGTCAATAATGGCCTTGATATTGTCGAACCACACGTCAATGGTTTTCTTTATCCCTTTCTCCTTCATATATTTCAACATCTTTTCTCTATCATCCGCGTTATAGTCTTCGGCATTTTCGTGGAAATAGCGCCTGTGAAATCTGCTACCCCGATACTTCATAATGAAAAGGAATTTTCTCAAAGTATCTCGCTGAGTTCTTGTCACCCAAACATCATCCTTTCCTGCCTCGAATGCCTTCCGAATCGTGCTGATGATTTCGCCAGCTTGGGATTCAAGCACGGATAATTGTTCTTCGACTTGGTGCCGTTTCGTAGATGCGCCGAGATCGCAGTACATGTCCATCATCCCGAAAGTCTTTGCCACGGTTGTCTCTGTTATTGTGGGTTCTTCACGAGAGAGGTTGACGCCATAAAGCACTGGCTCTCCTGCGCGTGGTCCATTCTTGCGATTGCCTCGCTGTTTGCCTCGATTTTTGGAATTTCGGGAACCAGTTGTTAGTTCACCTAGATGTGAGTAATTTCGTAAAATGAAGCGTGGGATGAAGTGATGATATTGCGACTTTTCTTGAGCTGCGGCCGATGATGTTGCCATTTTTTGACAGTGACGATTGGTTATTGCGAAGGTTGGGCAAACTTTTGGAGGAAATACTGCTTATTTTATCTGAGGACCGAATGCAAGATTTAGTCAAAGCTGAGAGGGATTCAGGTATTGTAAATTTCTAGGCAAAGCTGCAGTTCTGGTGGAGTGCCCGCAGAGAAGTTGTAAGTAGAAATGAGCTGCGACGAGACTTTGCGACTTGAGAGTAGGTGGGTCTGGTCAAGAAATAATTTCAATTTTAATGTTTTATGAGGGAAAGATACGATGATTTTGATGAGTCGACTCTGAGGTATTGGTGTTTTGCATTCGTTGGTTATCCGGCCGCCTGTATACACACAACTTGATACAACCCCCTCCTGGACCCTCCAACGAGACGATAGCTTTAGCGCCGGGGCTTCACACGCACGGGATCAACATTTGTGATGGCGCTTGGGAATTCCTTCCGAGAACCTGGAGCTATGTCGTGTAACTCCAACTCTACGTTGTCGTCCAATGACCTAGTGACACACAAGCTCCCAAGAATCCCTCATGCGAGATACAAGGTCTGGAATCCACAGCCTTACCAAGAGACATTGACATCTATCGAAGCTCAGCAGCCTCACGACCAGCGATGAATTCGTTACCAAACATGTCAACTACATCAGCTCAAAGCAATACCACATTCATTGACTTAGAGTTGGATCTTGTGGCTTTGCTTGACAACATTGCCAACCTTCCCGTCGACCCTCCCTCGCTGCATCTCGATCTAGAGGGAATTGACCTGGGCCGTCATGGCCCAATATCGATCCTCCCCCTCCGTACCGCTCCCACCCAAAAGACTTGCCTCATCGACATCCACAGTCTCGGTAGGGCCGCCTTCTCCACCACTAGTAATAGTGGAACCTCGCTGAAAACTACCCTGGAATCTTCAACCATCCCTAAAGTCGCTTTCGATATCCGTAACGATTCAGATGCCGTGTTTAGTCTTTTTCGGGTTTCTGTTGACTGCACTAAAGATCTTCAGCTCATGGAGCTCGCATAGCGGACAAGCCTACGGGAGTTTGTTTCCGGCCCAAGGAAGTGCATTAAGAAAGAGTGCCCAATTTCTGCCGCAGCGAAGACAGAATGGAGCCTCACCAAAAAGCGTGGTCATCGGCTGTTTGTCCCTGAGAAGGGTGGACGCTATGAAATTTTCAACGAGCATCCCCTAAACTCCGAAATCACTGAATACTATAAGCAGAATGTTCTGTTATTACCAATCTTTGGACCCCCTTAAAATAGTGAGGATTGGAGCGGCCTTGGTCGTATTTCGTCGCCCAAGTTTCTGTATGTTCGAAGAAGAGATTGTGTCTTGGAATGAAGAAATCATGATGGAAACATCGGTAGATGAATATGATTTAAATGAGAATGATGAATGGGTTCCGGCACCTAACGATGACCTCGATTTTCTTTTCTATGAAGAGGAAGAGCAAGTCGACAAGGAGGGCTGGCGTGGTGACATAGCTTGGGATTGTATGGGTTGGGAAGAAGACATGATCAAGAATGGCGAGTTTTATTTAATTTTTGGGTATGGTAGTATACTGTATGTCTTCAACTTTTGATGTCCTCCTGAACAGAGCAAAGATTTTCTATTCTTCTCTCAACAAGCTAGTCCTCTGCAACCTGCGCTTTGGTCATCTGCGCCACTGGGGCCTTCCACGGCACTGGCACTGGCACTGGCACTGGCTCATCCTCCTCTAGCGCAGCACTCTTACGCATCCGACCACGTTTTCCTTTGCCTTTTGTAATCTCTTTGGTAGCACGCGTTTCTCGTGCCTCCTCGACGGAGGTGCAAGAATCAGTAGCAAGATGCGATGTGATGAGAGAGAAATCTGCTGTCCAAGGAAAAATAAGTTGCGGAAAAGTAAAGTCTAATACTGAAGAACAATTGTAGAATGGTAATATATGTAAGGATGAGTTGGTGAAATGGAGCATGATAGTTCATATATATCGTAAGTTAAAGTATGTAGTTTACTAGGTGTGGTTGAGTGGTGTGTGAAGGCCTATGAGGCGGATTGCCTGCGGTGGTAGCGGGATTGATCGAATGAACTAGCGTAGCCGCCGAGTTCGCGGCGGGCTTTGTCGGAGAGTTGAACTTGCTTAGAGGGGGTCGACGAGGAGTGAGAGGATTGGGGTGACGACGGGGTTAAGATGGGCTTGACGTAGATGGGCAGAATTTGGGGTTTTGAGCGAGATGACGAGGTCGACGGCCTCTTAGTGAAGTTGTCGCCAGAAGGGACGTCGGAGTTGTTGCTTGGTTTTAATGGCCCTGAGATCGAAGCCTGAGGAGGGGGAGGCGACCTGGCCTCTGATCCTGCGTTGGCTCTTCCGCAGTCAGCCAGACGACAGCCCTCTCCGCAGTAGGCATTGTTGCCATCAGTCTGTCTATCACAGGCAAGGCAGAAGGTGAGCGACCAATCCATATCTTGAGACATTATATGAGGTTATTGATTGGAAGGTAGCGAGGAGGTCAAATGGAGGGGAGAGAAGGGAAGGTCAGGCTATGCTTGGGATATCCGACACAATTCGGAGTGCGATGGGATGAGATGGGATGAAGATATAACGAACAGTTGGTTTCCCTCAGGCTTCGAGATTGGATTCGAGTAGTCAAAAATCCGCAATGATGATGGCTTCGTTGCTGAGGCGAAAATCCCTCAAAGTGATTATTGTAGGCTGCCCATTCCGACTTAACATCGCAAACGATGAAGATCTAGGCATGCGCGATATTTTGGTTTCCGCGTGGATGAGCGATTTCCTCAACATCAGACTTGCACCGCCCCCAATACTTTCCTCCTAGCGAGATGTGGATGTGATATCCTGAAGAGCCCCTTATCGATAAAACTCGCGGATGGCAAATTCTTGGGTTTTTTTTAGGCTTGTCGGGGCCGGGAAGTGGTGTACTTTTTGCCAAGGAGTCAGACCTAGGTCCAACTCTTCGCCAGAAGCCATATGAGGGAATCGAACTCCTTTACTTGTACTGCACTTCCTTCGAGTGCTTTCGGTCTTTTTCCTAAAAGAATATATTCTCCGGTTTCCTAGAGGCCCTTAGTTTTAGTTATTCAAGAACTTTGACTTTGGTTATTACTAGCCAAACTACCCCTTCTTCGTTCGGTAAGGGCTAATTACATGTGTTTATCCGTCAGATTCATTAAGTAAGGAGCTGTCTGAGTCGCTTCCTAGAGCGGGGAAATCAAGGTCCTGGTCGAGGTTACCTACCTACTCTAGCCGTAGGCGGGCCCTGTAGGACCTTGATTCTCTGCAGGTCTTCGCCCCACACCTCCTAGAAAGCTATCGGGTTATAATATTTGCAACTATAGACTTACCTAGGCTAAGGGTTCTATTAGACATAATCCTCTTTCTTAGTATACTTTCGAACATAGTAGTGGCGGACTCGATTAACTAGAAGGCGGCTAGTTTATCAAAGCTACAAGACAGGGGAGCCCCCGATGAGCAAAATGCCGCGGTGGAATACACTACTTCCTCTCTTTTTTTTTTTTTTTTGTATTCTTTGTCCCTGTTAGAAGGCTGAGTACATACAGCGCTAAGAATAGGTCGAAACTAGATAAGTGATACATCGTCCCTTCTATTTTCTCCTAGGCCTCCTTGGCGCTTTCCTATCCTACTTTGGCGACTTTACAGTTCACCTATATATATACCTGGGTAAAATCTACCCTATGAACTGGGCAGTAATATCTGTTAGCTGGGTTCCAGAACACCTTGGTTTCGGTTAGGACTTTATTATGGAGGAGCCTCTACGACTTACCTCTCCTAGGGTGTACTTAGACCTCGTCAGTATCTAGAACTTGTGTGGCTTAGGTCTTAGCCCTATGGCTATCCGGTACACTGTTAACAAGCCATCCGCCTTATTCTCGAAATTAATGTCCTTTAAGTGGCCTGCATTAAGAGACTTAGAGGCCCATTTGAAGGCAATGCTTACGAATGAGTTTACCCTGTTCTTAGGTGAAAATTGGCAGCTACTGGACCAACATCACACTCGTAATCCACATGCTGGATTGCCGGTCTACATAATGATACATCGGTGAGTGCGGCCACCCAGAGAACTGGAGTGGATTGGGTGACGACCATGATCAGAGAGGCCAGCAAGGGAACAGATGGACTAATCGGCCGTAGGATTCTGCGCCTTGTGCTTGCTAGCATTGGCGAGTGGATTTACATAGATTATACGAAGTATTGCCTAATCTATCTAATAGAAGTCCAACAACCAGCTCACCAAGCACATCGCCCTAAAACACTGTTTGGCCACGTCCTGATGCTGTATTTCCTCCCCTCATCCAACAACAAAATGCCTAATCCAAACGCACCAGGCAGGAAAAAATACTCCACCGGAACCTGTGCCGTAGCCAACACGCGCTGAAACACGGGAACATAAAGCCAGAAGAAGACCATCACAAGCGCGAAGCCCATCGCCGGGAACAAGAGCCAATTCCTCGTTTCCTTCTTAAACAACGGCGGATGCTGGAAGATACTAAGTCGGCGCGTGCGTACTGCGAGTAGGTTAAACCACTGCATCACGACGAGATTGACGAAGTAGATCGAGGATGCGATAGCGAGTTGCGAGGCGACGAAATCAGAGTCGAGGTCGCTGGGGAGCGCTCCGTACTGGAACCAGAAGACGGAGAAGGGGATCCCTTGGCGCTCGAGATACCAAAAAGCCATAGCGAAGGAGGCAATCGATTCGAGGACTCCGATAAACCCATAGGTTTGTAGCATGAGCTTCCAGTCGACGAGACGGTCTACCTTGGGCTTGCGCGGGCGGCGGAGGAGAACGTCAGCCTCGGGAGCCTCGTACGCAAGTACAATTGCCGCTGCGCAGTCTGTAAAGCAACATATAATAATCATTAAGAACGAGGACAGGATCTGCGGGAGACCAAAAATGACATTGCCAAAGACCGGCCAGAACTCAGAGAAGGAGCCCGCGGGGAGTAGGTACGCGATAGTCTTCTTAAGGTTGTCAAAGACAACGCGACCGTACTGTACGGCGACGACTATTGCTGAAAAGGAGTCTAGTAAAACCATGTCCGCGGCTTCGATAGCTATATCGGAGCCGCTGCCGAGTGCGATCCCGATATCTGCTGCTTTAAGGGAAGGCGCATCGTTAACTCCATCACCGGTCATCCCGACGATTTCGTCGCGGCCTTGGAATTCCCGTACAATACGAAGTTTCTGCTCAGGAGTTGTACGGGCGAACACGATCTCGTCATAGCGACAGAGTTGGTCCCATTGGTAGTCGTTGAGAGCAATCAGCTCTGCGCCGCTGACAACGATTGAACTTGTAGATTGGCGAGTCGGGTCAGATGATTTGTTAATAGATGAAGATGAGGATGCTGCGTCATGAGAGAGTGCAGAGACAGTCTTTACTTCGCTTGGTGGGTTGGTAATAATGCCACATTCAGCAGCAATAGCCTGTGCAGTCAACGCAAAGTCTCCAGTAACCTACATAGAGCGTTAGAACGTTGCTCACCGTAGCCTTTCTAAAGAATACTCACCATAAAAATGCGAATACCAGCACCTCTAAGAATGCTCACAACCGAGGGTATCTCATCGCGGGGAGGATCAACGATACCAACAATCCCGACAAGGGTCAAGCCAGCCCTAGAATGCTCTATTATCTCCTCTTCGAATCTAGCATCGGCAGGGGTTGATCGAATTTGTTCTTGGCGAAGAGTCTTGCGAGCTAATAAGATTACACGCTTGCCCTGGGAAGACCAGAGGTCCTTCATACGGGATATGCTAGCGCGGGTCGCTTCATCGAGAGGTTTGCTGACACCGTCACGGTCTACAAACATAGAGCATCTACCGATTAGCACATCTGGTGCTCCTTTGATCGTCAGGAGGCTGCCAAGGTCAGTGTATGCCGTATTCAGGACACCAGTAAACTTACGTGCCATTCTCCCAGAATGCATTCGCCTCATTGGCTGGTAGAGCTAGTTCCAAGCCGGCCTTATTAGCCAGAGAAAAGGTCCTTATCATATATTTGTTCTTGCTGTTGAATGCAAGCTCGAAAGTCTTAACCCATGATTCTCGGAGCTCAGTAACTGGCCCAAGTGACTCTGAGAAGCGGAGTATGGCCTGATCGGTGGCATCCCCGTTTATTTTCCGTTCGTGAAGTTGCAAGTGGTAGGTAGCTGCGTCGAAGTTTCCAGAGTTACACAGACCTGCAATAGTGCGTAATTGAGAGACAGAGTTTTGGCCGTCGTCCGCATCTTTCTGACGGAGCATTTCATCGCGGCTACTTTCGGGAGTCATGCTGAATACGCCGATAGCAGCTTCGGTAACATACATTTGGTTCTATACAGTCCGTTAGTTTTATTAAATCATATGTTACATATATGACACACCTTGGTCAAGGTACCAGTCTTATCCGAGCAGATCACAGAAACCGAGCCGAGGGTTTCCACGGTCTTGAGAGACTTGCATAAGATCTTGTTTTTGCGCATGATATTGGCGGTGATTGTAAGGCTGGCAGTGACTGCAATTGGTAGCCCTTCAGGGATGAATGCGATGGCGACACTAACACAGCTTACAATGAGTGCTGGTACTGAGATCCAGCCAGGGTAATGAGGACGAAGATATGCAGCCCTAATAGGATTAGTCAAGGATTACTATCGTAGGTGTGTGAAAACTAACCAGACGATAATAAGAGTAACTATCATCGTTACCATAATAGAGATAATGACGAAGACAAAATTGAGAACTTCCTTCTCTAGAGGTGTCAAACCAGTCGAAGGTTCATTGGCAAGCTTTGCTATCCGACCAAAGACTGTCTTGTCCCCAGTACTGACAACTACACCGAGGCCACTTCCAGATATACAATGAGTACCTTGTAGGCCAATGCATCGGGTCTCGAGGAAATTAGAGTCGGTGCTGTCTACCGTTCCGGGAAGAGGCGCAGATTCACCTATAAGCACATGTCAGTTGCTGCGTTTTTCTACCACCATGAATGAGTCTTACCAGTCAGAATGGACCTGTCAAACTTCGCGTCTGAGGAAATTTCGACGAACCGTACATCAGCGGGGAGCTTGTTTCCGGCCTTGATATACAGAATGTCTCCAGGAGTAATGTCACTGGCGAGTACTGTTACTTGTACGCCGTCCCGTAATATCATGCAGTTATCGGGAAGCATAGTAGTAATTGATGCCATTACTCGAGACGAAGACCAATCTTGCCACGCATTAAACGCAGCCTGGATAACAAAGACAGCAAGAAGGACAATGGCGAGTGCTAGGTTAGCAATGGCCGGTGCTGGTTCTCCAAGCGGCTTCCATGATACAAAGACGAGAATGCCACCAACAAGAAGTATGCCTCCAAATCCCTTGAAAAAGTATCCAAAAATTTGCTTTGTATAATGGGTCGGTGGCTGAGAGGGAACATTTTTGCCGTGTTTAGATACATTCCTCTTCGCCTGTTCGGCGGAAAGGCCTTGAGTCTTCGAGGTCGAGAGCCTCTCAAAGACTTTGTCGGGTGAAATTATATGCCAATCGAGGCTTTCAAGTTCTAGGATATTGTCAGCTTCTGAGTAGACACTCGTATATAGGTGTAAAACCTTTTGCTGCAGTGTCTTTGGCCTTCGTAGCCTTCAAAAGCTCTTGATCTTTGCCTTCATCAATTTGAAAAGATCTGTGGAGCATAAGCAATCAGCTAGTAACGATATTTGGCCGCAACATACACTGCTCGGTATTGAATAGGGAGTGCGTGTGATGGATCAATTGATCCCCGGCGGCTATGGCTGCTGTGGATGGAGATTTGCGAATTTGAGCGGTGCAGTGCGCGAGGCCTCGAGGCCGATTCCACGTCTTCCGCATTCCATTGAATGCGAGGACCATGTTTTTCTGGAGGATTCGCCATTTTGTCTTTACTTTGTATTCGAAATTTCGGAGTTGGGCCTGGGATGAACGAAAAGGAGGACGTGTGAACGTCTAGAAGCAAACACTATGGGATTATGGAACGTTATGTACTCGATAGAAGGTAGGTAGCTGATAGTTAGCTAATGAATAGATCAAACGCGGAAATGGAAGAGGATGAGGTTAGATGGAATATTGGGTCTTTTCCGAGACTAGATCTCAAGCAGTCAAAGAATGGGCAATTGACGGCAAGAACATGAACTTTCATTTTCATTTTAGTGGGTAGTCTGCCGATATGCGAGGCTCAGAATTAGACTACCATGATACTGGTACTTTTCAGCGATAGTCGCTTTCTGCGTCTAAAAATTTTAATGCCTCGTCTCCGTACTTCTTTGATAGTGGGATAGGGTCTTTGACATGAGGGATTTTTTGGGAGGCGCAGCATTTCCAGTTCCTCTACTATTTTGTTGTTTCTGACACCAACTGGCTGGAGTTTGGCTTACTTCGTGGTGCGGAGGTAGCTGAAGTATGAAGATAACAGACTTAGAGCGGGCCACCAGCGATAAAGCCTCATACAAGAATAAAGAGGGCGAATGTTCTACACAGCCCCCAAGAATCCTAGCCCGTAACGCTGCGTGGGGTGAAATAACGACAAAAAATCTCTCAAATTCAACAACATGCGAGATTAACAACTTACATATTTTCAGCCGTTCGCTAAATTGTCATGTGGCTGTATATCCATCCCACTCCAGGGAGGAGTAAACCAAGCCATCTTGCTGGTATTCACCATTGCGGTTCAGTGGAAGCCAGACGTCGTGTCTCGCTGTGCGGGTTCGCATCGCAACAGCACCGGTGGTCCAGTGTGGATGAGCCAATTTCAGCGGTAGCGTTGATGCTTGTGCTAGTGGATTGCAGGGGTACTCGTACTCGTAACACGTCTAGCCACCAAGCGACAAACATATGAGCTTTTTTCGACGTACAGAGTACAGCGCGGTAGATGCCAGATCAAGCCAAAAACCAAAAAAGGCTTAGCTAAATACCTTATTTAGAGATATTATGTGCTTTCTTCAGAAGGTTAGTAACCAACCCTACAAAGCGACAACTGCGTGGTTTGGGGATTATCGCTCATCCACAGAAAATATCGCGCAGTCAGATTATCAGCGCCCTGGACGATCGTATCGTGATTTTCACTTGCTCCTCATCGTAGTATTATGACATAGCAATCCTTCCCAACCGCTCACATGCTCTGTATTTACTAAGACCGCCCTTCTAACCATCTCATGCTCTCAAGTATGCATTTATATATCTCACTCTTGTGTATGGGGAAAATTACGACCTTTCATTGTTGCCATACACCTCCTCCCTCCCCTCACAGCCTTCGCCAACCAACTTTACTCTGCGTTTCCTCCTCCTCCTTGCCCACTCTCCCTGATTATCTTTCATCTCCCTCTCCTAAGCTCATATGGCTCAATTGCCCTTTAACGCTGCCCCGGCTACTTCTAATCCGCCCAAAGTCCGACCTTCTGTCGCCCTCCATGTCACTCCAGGTAATATACACGTTACTGAGAATGCTTCTGTCCATATAATCTAACAGCGGAAGTATATTTTTCCTCATCAGACCGTCTTTCCCCGTCCACAGCCCAAATAATATCTGCCTACCGCAACCGCTACGCCTCCTACCTCGCGGCCACTTTCAACATCAGCCTTAAAGCAGCCCAGTTGGAAACAGAATACCAGCTCGCACCTCGGCGGGCAAACGAGTCTTAGGAGACGGAGGCCCATCGAAGTTGATTCCCAAAGAGAGCTTCCACACGAAGGGAGCATGCCTGAGCTGCTTGTTATCTTCATCGCTATGCTCGTGTTTGCAGATTTATATTTGGGGAATCAAAGGGCGAGAAAGGTTGTTGGGGCAGAGTGGGAAAGCATCTGAGAGATGGTAGCATTGATTTTGGCTGTACTCATGGTTTCAACGTTTTTAATTGGTAAATTTGGCACTATTTTCTAGGGTTTAGCACTTGAAGCGCCTCTAATCTACAGCCGTGTCCTCTCTATTACAGAATGGACATGCTCTCTTTAAAATAGCTTTAGAATCTTGAATTGGACTCATCTTTTATATTTCGCTGGCTTTGGTCTTCCAAATCTTCCGAAGCCCAGCTCATTTGCGTTACTTGGATTCCAATTCAGGCTCCAACCAAGCCAAACTAGTTATGCCTGGCATGATCTTTCGCTCTAGGTAGCCTCGCATAGTTCTATCTCGTTGGACCATTTGACTTCAAAACTCGGAGATATGTAAACCTATTCTCAGGAGCCAGGAAATAATCTAGTAAGGAACCGTTACGAACGCATGACCCATCGACAATATAGAATACAGTGTTAGCCCCTGTACTACTAACGATCGTTAATAAGCTCAGATTACTCAAGTTCTCTATAGAGCGATAACCCCAAAGACCTGTGGGTTGTAGTAAATACCGGTTATCGCACTCATCTGCACCCTAAGCAACGAAATCCCAAAGTAGCTTTCCTTTCTCATCTCCATGTATACGGTACCGATAGCCCAGGAGTTCATGATTGGAGCGAACTCAGTGGAGTCAATCATGCGTGGATTTGCCGTCGGCAGAGCAGGCTAAAATATCCCACCCCCCTATTAAGATTATGAGTCAACGAATAAGCCATAGTGGTAACTATAAGTGGATATAGTCAAAGTACGTGGTAACTCAAAGTATAGATCAGGACGATTAATCTAATTACAAGAATAAAACAGCTATCGCTAAGTATAATTGAAGTGCCTCAAAATACTGATTACTTGGATTGCAGAAACTCAAGCGTAGTACCTTAGTATTCTATTGCAAGATACCAACTATTCAACTGCCCATCTTTCACCAGACAGATTGGGCCAATCAGTAGTCTGCTGCTGCAGCCGTGGCTCCCTCCCGCTCAATAAGATCGATATGTGCCTTGCTCCGCGGCGTGATCTTGACTTTGAATGGGGCTTTCAAGGGTTCTTCCCAAAGGGTGTTAAACTGGTCGATTGGATAATCCTGCCAAGTTAGTTCTTGCCCTGCTATGCTTCAAAAGATCGGAATGGTCAATTACCAGGTCCTGTTCAATATCGAAGCAGTATAAAATACATGCAGCTGCAATCCAAATATTGTTTGCACCGACATTGAGACCAACGCAGACACGACGACCTGCAACAGTTAGCTTCTGACCTCCATACATTAAATCTTCGCAATCTTCTCGCAGCCTTAACATACCAGCTCCAAAACTCCAATGCCCTTTCGCTGTCTTATGCAAGTCATCATTCATAAAGCGCTCTGGCTCAAATTTGAGCGGATTAGAATACTCTTTTTCGTTAAGGGCGATAGAGTATGCGTTCCAGCTAAACTCCGTGCCGGCAGGAAACTTGTACCCCTCGTACTCATCATCCCGCATCAGGGTATGTGGTACGCCGGATTGAAGGAACGGACGCCAGCGCAGCGTTTCTTTCATTACTGCTGTGATATAAGGTAAGTTTGATCTATCCGCAAGAGTAGGTAATCGATTAGCATCAGCGCCACAGACTTCATCTAGAAGAGCCCTGGCTTTTTTCGCCCACTCTGGGTAACACGCTGCACCGGCCATCATTTGTAGAACGGCTACGCGAGACGTGTCACTACCGGCTTCTATGAGAGAGGTCCAGGTGTAGATCTTTTCAATATCATCGATTTCGAACTCTTTTTTCGCCGTACCACGCAGCACATCGACCGCAAAACATGGCTTTGCGGTGCCCTTGTTCATTTTATCAAGGAGCGCGTCGTACTCTTTTTGGAACATTCTGTGCGAGTTTAGTCAATTGAAGTTCGGCAAATCTCGCCATGATTTGCAAGGGTGGATGGGGCCCATACGCTACATGTTTTCTGAAGAACCTCTCACCAAATGGTCTCCACCACTGTAGAGACGTGGGAATGTTTGATAGCCAAGTAAACACATCCGCAGGGCTTTTGATGGGGTTGAATTGATACTCTCCAAGCGTTTGGGTATACCCAAGAATGAATTTTAACAGTTCGTCGTCTTTCTTTGCTCTTCGTCCAAATATAACACTCAAGATTACGGAGTTGGAGAAGCGTTGACTGGCTTTATGAAAATTCTCTGGCTCTTTGTACATGTCGAGTACTAGCTGTTTGGCTTCCAAGTCTTGAAATGGAACGAACTTTGCTTCCGCCTGTTTTCCATTCAATATTGAATGCATGATTTTCCGTTGGTTGCGCCACCTATCCGTGTATCCCATAAAAACTATACGAGCACCACCGGACATGATATCGCTGAGCATTGGGCGGAAAGGACGTGACGAATAAATTGCAGCTCGCTTTTCCAGGAGGTCCGTCACAACACGAGAGGAATTGAGGTAGACTAGTCTCCTGCCTCCGATATTGACCGTGAACCTATGGCATCAAGAGTTAGAGTTCTGAACGTAGACATCATAAGATACATTAATGGTTCTCAACTCTTACATTTCGCCATATTTCTTGGCCATATCAACACCCCACATACCTGCCGGATATGGCACATCGAGCGAATTTCCAATGAATGGCCAGCCAGGGACAACATTTGGAAGTTTGTATTTCTTTGTAAAGCGTATTTTGGATACTACCAGCTTCACAACAATGGCGCCAATTATGAATAACACTGAATAACCAAGAGTAGGCAACATGATGAGCTTGCTATAAGTGCAAATCAAGGAGGCACGGGTTGTTCAATTTCCTTGATGCAAGAGCTCCACGGCGAACGAAATGTCGGCATGAGCTGCACAATGATTTGATAAGGAAAGAATAATGTATGTAGCTGCGGGGGCGTATATAAAGATACTTTGATGACCAACCCGAGGTAGCTAAGTGGGCGGACTTATAGTATGCCGGGTTGTTGAGCAGGATGCGGGGTTCACATATGGAGAGAGACCGGGGGAACATATAAACCCCGCCCCACCTTGCTCATAGTACCCGTACTCGTATGAGTTACCGTTAAAGTCTATGATGTCGAGAGTGGAGTGAAGATGTGGTAGTAATTTTACACCCTATGTTGTAGGAGCTGTAAGAAAAATGTAATACTGCTCAAATACCCTAAATTGTTCATTTTTCTCATTCTCCCTAGAGTTTTGTGTGCGTAATCAGAAGCTCAGGCTATTGCCGGCGGGGGTTGGATATTACCGCTAAACCCGTGCACGGCAATACGGCTCATCACTAAGTGGAACACACTTGCAAAGTCCCCGGTGCTAGCGAATTCCATGATATTGCGCGGTAAATGAGTTTGAACCCGGGCCATCTGAACCAGTATGTGCGCACAGAACCGGCTCTACAGCGCTTCCATCCCACAGCTCTGTTCACCTCTGCAATAATGGCCGTTGGTTGCTACTAAAAACGTTCCGAACGTCCAATCTAACTAGTTTAGCTATTTAGCTTGGAACGTTTGTGATGAAGGCACCGTCGGATCCCTCCAGCTACGCGCCTCGGGAGTCTGAAATGACGACTTTGAATAAATTCAACACCGGATGATAATCCTTGAGAATGATGCCTCAAACTCGAGAGATTTCCAGGGGAGGAGATTTCACCTCACGTCTGCTGTCTATTAACTACCTCATACCTAGTATATATGTTTTATTCTAGATTCTTCACGCCTTATATCCAACCATAGAAGATCTCAGGTGTCTCATATCACGGTTGGCTAAGAAGTCACTCAGGGAGATGCTGCACTTTCACTTCGTCAAGGTGGGATTTGAGTTAATAAAGATCCCTAATTTGCAATTCAAACTAGATAAGTTTCTCAACCGAAGATATTACTAAATGAATGAATATCATGATGGTATTCTGTTCAACCCAAAGGAGACCTAAATGGCTCAAATCTTGCTGAAAACACTATGAGAATGCCACCAAGCCCTGAGTCTCTTGCCATAGATGTACACCGGGATAGTCGTCGCGCAAATGGCGAGCATAATCCCACCAATGGTGTTGAACGTCTTGACTGGGCCCCAGCTTGCCAACCAGTCGTTTAAGAAGACTAGGACACTAGTGTTAGTACTGCTTCGAGAACGGCGAACGATGGGAATAACTTACAAGAAAAGCCGAAGAACAAGAAGTTCTTAAAGCACATCGAGATGATGAAGACTTCTACGCTGATGTTGCGAAAAGCGTCAACCAGATAAGATCCTGTAGCAACAGCTGCAATCTGGACCGAAACAAATGTGATGCCCCAGAGCGTAGCCATGATTACAGGGCTCCTACCCTCAGCAGCGAGCTTGCCAAATAAGAAATATCCTGGGGCACAGAAGATTGGTACGGCGATAATAAGGATTAGACGAAATTCTGGTTCGTAGATACCATTGTTGTGACGACTGAACCATCGGGCCAAGGGATCGGAAACCAGTCCGCAAAGAATACAGCCTACCAAACCACCAATCATAGGACCCGCCGAGATATATCCAATCTCTGCGGTACCGAGTGAGTATGGCGGCTGCCCGAAGAGTTGAGCGATCATGAAGGAGATGCAAACAATCCAGAGCTGCGAGAACGCAATGACAAAGATGGCCCAAGTAACAACCGGGTTGATCAGAACGAAGAAGGGTCTAAGAATCATCCTGATGATAGAATCATCTGAATAAGTTCCCGAATACGGTCTCATTCTCTTTACGAAAGAGTCACGAGTTCCAACAATTTCAGCGGCAGACGCCCCGATTGCTTTTTCCTCGGCTTTCTCATGATGCGTTGAGCCTGCCTTAAGGTTCTCGATTATTTCGATATTCTATTGTTTCTTGTCAGTTGTGAGACCGCATTTCAGAAGTGAATAGCCCACATTTTGTGACGATGTATCAATGTTGTACAGTTCATTGCGACTGAACGCAGACTCCCATCCAAAGAATATGGTCAGCAACATGCCAAGTCCGAGGAAGATTGAAAGGAGCCAGAAAACCCATCTCCAACCGAGATCGACGGAGATCTTGCCTGCAACCAGTGAAGGGAGATGAGCAACGCCAGACTGCGATACGATGTACACCGCCATGCGAGTACCCCTTTGATGGACATGGTACAAGTCGCCGATAATGGCGAAGGTGACACTTTCGAACATGGCAATCCCAAAGCCTTGGATAACGCGGGCACCAACTAGTGAGCCATACGATTGAGCTGCACCAGCCCAGATTGTGCCGGCGAAAGCCAGAGCCATCGATCCGAGCATTGATGGGCGCTTGCCGAACTTTCGGGCCAAAGCAGAAACGAAGACTCCGACGGCGCCCACAGCGCAGAGGTTGTATCCTGTTAGGAGGGAGACTTGAGTAAAGTTGATATTAAATTCTTCGATAAGCGGAAAGGCCATGACCGACAGCAGAGGGCCAACTCTAGGCTATCATTAGTAGATGAATCGAAGGGGGGAAATAACTGGGATACTTACCCTCCAACGCAGCAGAGTGTACAGAAACAATACAGTAGCAGGAGCAAATCCCTCTGCCAAAGCGGCCAGTTCAAAGGATCATTTGGATCATTAGACGGTTGGGGAATTAGGACCACATTTGCGTCGTTTCCAGTGCCCTTTTTGAGTTGAGATGTTTCATCCAGGCCAGTCTCCTCAAGCAGTGCCGTACCTGGCACATGCTCGAGCTTGCCGTTGGATTCGAGAATGCCGAAAGGCATGTTGTTGCAGACTTGATATAGTGAGAAGTGCAGAATGGAGGGGTGGTAGTGGTTGAAATCGATGACTTAGGATTTGCTATTTGCAAGGACTGCCAGGACCATTTATATGCCAGCTCAGGAATATCGTATTACAGGAGGAATAGCGGCCGTGAATTTCGGTTCTGCACACCAGACCCAATGGCCTGCAGACTGTAGTCAAAGCAAGAAGCTATCATACCCCGGGTTTTGACAAATTCCCGGACGCCCACCTACCCGTAAGCCACCGTCTCAGGGCCTTACCCCAGATTGATCGTCCGTGTTGGCCCAAGCTCCAAGACAGACCAGATCTGGATCCTTGGCTGCAATTGTCCCCTCAATGACTTTGTGCCACCGGCAAAGCCAGAGTGTCCGGCAACCAGAGAAGGCATCTATTTACCTAAGGTAGGTACTGTACTGTGGCATACATTACCACTTACCATACCTACGGTACAAGGCTCGAGCAGCGGTAGCCTCGCACCAATCACGGGTCCCCAGCTTTGCCTATTGGCATCGCTACGGCCAGGTTCCAATATGGATTGACTTGTATACAGTACGCAGCTCCTTGTTTCTGTGATGACTCTGCCGAGGTCGAAAGCTACCCGATTGCAGGATTGGCATTACAAAAGTTGGAGGGGTTCCGTAGGATCTCAAGTATATGATAGCATGATAGTATGAGGACTGACTGTTGGTAGGAGAGGCTTGTTCGGGGATGAGAATTTAGTCGGACGGATCATTAGGTCAGTGCCAAGTAAGCGGCTACCGTAGAGGTCGGTGATCTAGCGTCTTCACTCCTGCCGCACCCCCTCGCCCCGCGCAACTACAGAGCTACTCGTAGTACTCCAGTACCGCAATTTCCTCTCACCAGCTCCCCGCATCTCAGTCCTAACACCTTGGTGGGGATCTTACGCCACGGTACCGTCAACTCCACGATTTCTTTGATATTTATGGACGTTTATTTGGCAGAGTCTCTTTGCTTAGTGCAGGCAGAACAAGATTCGTATTGTACCTACCCAGGTAGCTATGCCTCGCGAGCCAAGTACAAATCGAGCTTGTGAGGAGTGTACAAGGTCTGTACGAGGTTCCCCGCTCAGCGTTTCGGACGGAGACTTGAAGACAAAACCGTGCTAATGCGATACTTTTAGGAAGAAAGTACGATGTGAGTTACGATGGCTTGAAGCCGCGCAACGACGCACATAGTTGTGCTGACAGTCGCCTTGTAGGTGAGGGAAGAAGGCCACAATGCATCCTTTGTTCCCGAATAGGTGCAGATTGCATTTACGCGCGACGAAAGCCTCGCAGACAGGGCCCTCCTCGAAATCCAGCTCGGGATCAATCCCAAAGGAGTAGCAATATGGACCTAGGTTCGTTATCCATTCGATGCATTACGCACGAGGCTCACTAACAGCTGCAATTCAAGACCAAGACCAATCCTCCCAATGCTCGCGACCGTCGGAAATGCAACAGAACACGCCTGAGCAGAGCACATCCAGCTTTTCACCGCCAGAAATAAGAGAAGCTGAAAACAGGAACCTAGGCGTAGGTAACCCGGCTACTCCCAACATGAACGAGAATAGTGACTGCTATCACGTGCGGGGACCATCGGGCCCGGCTATAAGCAACGCAGCCTTCATTTCCCCAACGGATCAAGACATAATCGACTTCCTGACTGAGTCCATACCCGAAGTTTGGCATACCGAAGGCGATGTAGGGCTGGACGCTTGTCAATCATATTCGATAGTGCCTGACGGCTATGGAACAAATATTTCCCCAGTCATGCCAGAATTCGAGACCAGTTATCCAGTGCGCTGCGAAAACGGCAGTAACCAGGTGTTGCTAGCGCCAGAAGAAACTGCACAACAAATGATGCTTCAATCTGGAGGCATCGACAGACAAAGAAAGTGTTATTCTCTTGAGGTACCGAAAGCGATTGTAGATCATTTGTAAAGTTTGCCCCAATGAACTTCAATTTACCATACTAATGTTTGATAGAATTGACCTATACTTCCAAAGAGTACAGGTGTTTTTGCCACTGTTCCATCGCCCCAGATTCTACAAAACATTTGTCGAGGTTCATGCCGGGCAAAGGTATACCAACCTCACAAGAGAATCGGCCTTTCTGTTACTATCAATGATGGCGTTGTCCGCTCGTTATTCAAAATCGCCGTATTTTGAAAGCACGCACGTCAAGGATCGAGGCACCCTCTTTGCACGCAGGGCTCAGGCCATATACGATGAAGCACCCGCGTTTTCTGAATTTCAAACGCCCTCGCTAAAGCTGCTTCAAGGGTGCATCCTGCTTTCCTACTATAATCAATCGTGCAAGCCCTCATGGGGATCTGATTTTTCGATCAACCGCTGCACCAGTTTGGCGTACGACTTAGACTTACATAAGATTGATGAGGACAGTCTTGATGGTTCAGGGAAGTTGCTCGAATCACAGTCCCCGGAGATCTGGATATTGAAAGAGGAACAACGCCGAGCCTGGTGGTCAGTTTGGGAGCTTGATGCTTTTGATTCGGTCGCGTTTCGGCGGCCATTCAAAATTGACAGGAACCGAATGTTTGTCTTCCTGCCCGTCTCAGATGAAGCTTGGTTTGCAGGCATACCAATTATTTCCGCCATGCTCAATACCGATATTATGTATTCCTGGAAGAGCCTAAAAGATACTCCAAATCAAGACGAACGCGCGTGGTTTTTGATTAGCAACTTTGTCATGGTACATGCACATGACCTTGCACAGCAGAGAGTCATCCACCAAACGAGTGTTGAGGATATTCAAATGGCTGTAACATGTTTCTCATTACTTATCAATGAGAAACTGCGGGTTGATCTAGGAAGTCTTACCTTCAATGAAAATAATTACGCGAAAAGCAACTGGACAATCTTGACGCAGCTGATGGTGCAAACGTGAGTTTATCCCCACATCCCTGCGCTTCCACTTTCACTAGAAATTCTTGTCGCTGAAGGTTTCTCGTAGTACTCGTCTCATCTTGGGCGTCTTGAGTCGACATGCCTCATCGCAGCCAGTCTTCACCGGTCACAATCGATTCGTCAATCGGTCAGGCAGAGCAACACCAAGTGGTCTGCACCTTGGTACTGCAAGCCTCGAGAACCTTCAGCAACCGCTATACGAAATCTTCCGGATATGTCGAGCGTGGTCACCGGATTTTATCAGCTTATCCCCCCCTACAATGGTATGCATGGTTGTGGGGCCAGCGAACACAAATCTTCGATTGGCACGACTTCTTAGGAGAGGCACGGAAAAGAGCGGAGTAAAGTCGCAACCTAGTATTCAGGAGGAACTCCTTACTCTTGTATTGACTCATTTTGCACGCCATTGGAATATGGGGCATATAATCTTGGGTAATTCCCCCGTGTTTGATCAAATCTATTAATTTTAACTGTGATATAGATTTCGCTCGGGCCGTCCGTGAGGAATAATCGCCTTGGGCTAAATGGGGTTTCATGGTGCCTCCGGAGAGCTATTCAATATGTCGAACATAGCAAGAGTAGCAATTTATGCTTACAATGCGGCACAGGCGGGCAACTGACGATTATGATTAAACATTGTAATGCTTAATGTGGAAAGAACAACTTCTTAACTATATTCTATCGATAATACGAGTAATATATATATATGAATATCGAACTTTGCAAGACTAGATGCCCTGTTCTGTATTACCCAGCGTTGACCAATCCGCGCCCTTTATATTGTTAGCTAGGCTTTACTAATGAGACGAGAAATGAGAAACTTATTTCTAGAAGACAATGACGACCTACCGCACCAAGCATAACCTGCCCTCTGTTCAAGTCCGCGGCGAGCTTCTCCCCTAACCACTGTGGCTCGGTCCGGTTGATCCCTTCGTCGATGTCGACAAAAATGCCGCCGGCGCAGTAGACGACCTTTCCATTGTGTGCAGGGTCGGCAGCAACTTGTTGAATGATGCGCGCGATGTCTTCAGCGCTGTTTAATGGTAGGCTATTCTGATGCCAAAGGTGCACAGCTCCCGCGACCATGGCAGTATCTGTTGCCCATGGGCAGATGGCGTTGATGCGGACGTTGAATTTTGGCAGTGTCAAAATTCGGAGCGAACGTACCATGCCAACCATGCCGTGCTTACTACCGGAATAGGCGACCAGACCTGATGACTCTTTGAATCCAGCAGCGGAAGCTACTAAAGTGATAGACTTGGAAACGGCGTCTTGATGGGTGCTGTTTTGTTGGAAGTAGGCCAATGCGATGCGAGTGAAATAGAGAGAGCCAATAAGATTTATTTCGATGAGATCAACCAGAGGTTTAGGGACCTGAAAAGGAGATTAGGATTGAGTCCAAGGTCTATTCGGCGACGAGGGGCTGCAAAAATACAGGTTACTGACCTCCTTGATGCCCTCCAAGGTAAACTTCTCTGGCGAAAGCCAATCTGCTGGTTCCGCGATTCCAGCACTGTAGACAGCCTGATCAACACGCCCATGTTTTGCTACTGCAGTATCGAAAAGCTTCAGCTGGTTCTCATAGTCGCGCACATCCAATCGTAAGAAGGTCGCCGAACCGCCGTTGGGGTTGGAACCGGTGGCTAGGCTCACCTCCAATGCGACGCCGCTTTTCTCGTCCCAGTCGCCGAAGAATATGTGAGCTCCGGCGTGAAAATAGCTGATGACAGTTGCAGCGCCGATGCCGTTGGCACCGCCTGTAAAGTAAAGCAGTCAGCCACCGATCAAGACAAACAGAATCGGAACAGAACCAGTGACAACAACAACTTTATCCCTAACACTGGCCAGGATCTCGTTATTGATGGTGATTTCTGCCATGATTGTGGCCTTGAGACTGTGTAATTTCCGTCGAGAGTGCTGAGTCGTTGAAATAATCAATCGATGGAAACGGATCATATAAAAATATTATGTTTTTAATCTACAACGTCTTCGATTCACCGAACCTACTCGTACGTCCGTCCTTAGACAGGGCAGCTTCACCACAGGATGCACGGAGTCCCGACACCGTGGATCGGGGAACGACGACAAGGATTGTGGGTGTGGGGGGGTAGAGTACCGGGTGCGGGGTATGGGGTACTCATACGGGGTGCAAGCTCAAGCTACCCTGCATATTTCCGGTTGGTATGCCCGTAACATTAGTTCCGGGTTTACGCGGCCCTGGGCGGAGTTCTGCTTCTGCTCATACCGTAATAATGTCCCTGGACCTAGACCAGACTCTTGAAAGCCTATTCTCGACAACCCGACTGTCTCACGGGATTTTGCTATTTCCGCGCCAAGACTGGAGAAATATGGTCCACCCCCCTCAGCTGGAGCTTCCTACCAAAGCAATCGGGCTGGTGTAGACGACGAGGGCGAGCTTCCGTATGAAAATTTACTGGCAATGCGGGCCGTACGGTATTGGACAATGAAATCGACCCATGATGGATCGGCGAAGATTGCGGTGCTGCGCCGGAGCATCAGGTTCGTGGCTTGGATACATATGATATGACCTCTGCTCACATACATCCTACCTAGGTATGCTTTGATATCTTTACCATTACTGAGACGGAATAGCGATTTAAGACCAAGTCCTTAGACAAGATGCCTACAACAACTAGCACCATAGACGCCGTCGCGGCTCCCGCCACGCTTCCTGTCCAGGAGCCCACCAAGGAAGCCATAGCAGAACCTGTCACTATCGATGTCAAGACTGCTACCAAAGCCCCTTTCGACACTCGAACCTTTCACTGGACAGATGCCAAATCCAAGAAGGCCACAAGGCCTGAAGATCCTTACACTTACCTTCATGGCTTTGGAAACGAGCATCAATCAGAGTTGATTCCAGGCGCTCTACCAATTGGACAGAACTCGCCGCAGCTGTGTGCCTATGGGCTCTATGCCGAGCAGATCACTGGTTCCTCCTTCGCGGCTACTCGCGCCAACACGCAGAGGGATTTCCTATATCGCCGTCGCCCTGCAGCCGTTCATGACGCGTATCGTGATGCCGCAAGCAATCCCAGCCTTACTGGTTCCTTCCTTCCTATGAACCAAGATTTACACAGCATCCCATCCCAATTATCATGGTCGGCGTTCAAGATACCAGAAAAGCAGAGCGGCTCCGTAGACTTCACTCAGGGTATCCAGACGCTTGGGGGAAGTGGACACCCCAACCTGCGCGAGGGGCTTGCGTACCACATCGTCGCCTTCAATAGCAACATGGAGAATAAAGCCTTCGTGAACAGCGATGGGGATTTTCTGATTGTGGCCCAGGAAGGGCATATGGACATCACCACCGAATTTGGCAAGATCTATCTGCAACCGTCCGAGATCTGCGTCATCCAACGCGGCCTTCGCTTCAAGGTAGACATCGTTGACGAGCATTCGCCGAACGGTGTACGAGGATACATCATCGAAACCTGGGGCTCAAAATGGGAGCTTCCCGAGCTCGGCCCACTGGGGATGTATGGACTCGCGAACTCTCGCGACTTCCTCTCCCCAACCGCAGATATTGATACGACCTCCACGGGATCTTGGACGGTCATCACGAAACAGATCGACAAGTACTACGCGGCCACTCAGAGCCACACGCCATTTGATGTCGTGGCCTGGCACGGCAACTACGTGCCCTACAAGTACGACCTGACCAAATTCGCATATCAGAACTCCGTCGCCATCGACCACACCGACCCCTCGATCAATACCGTCCTCACTGCCCAGTCGCGGGACGCCCAGTCTCCGCTCTGCGACTTCCTGATCTTTGGTCCCCGCTGGGACGTTGCGCAGAACACGTTCCGCCCGCCTTACTTCCACCGCAACAGCGCGTCGGAGTTCCTGGCCAAGATCTACGGCCCAACTGGCGGCGGGCGCTCCGAGGTATTTGTGCCCGGCGGCGCGAGCTATGAGGCCGGATTCACGGCGCATGGTTCGGCGGATGAGCGTGCGATCGGCGCCATGTATATGGACTTGCAACCCATGCGGGTCGGGTTGAATCAGCTGACCTTCATGCTGGAGAGCAACCGTAGTTTAATGTTTACGAACTGGGCGTTGAGAGATAGCGAGGTGCTTGTTTCGGAGGACATCCCGGCAGATGCGTGGGACGCCGCACCTGTAAGTTTACTCTAATAGATGGAGTATAGTCTGTGTAAATACAGAAGCAAGCTGACTTGTGTGCTACAGGACCGCTTTGGCAAGGATCCAGAGGCACTGGAGTATCTGAAAGGGATTGGAAGGGCCTTGTCTTAGAATCCGTGCATATTGTTGATATAATGATATAGAACATTTACGCTCTCCATAGCTTCAATGCCATATCAAATATGATATATGCCTTTTCAGCAATGAGAACTTGAAAATTTGACTTGCATACTTGGATAATGAGCTAAATGACATTAACGAGATTCAGCTACTCAGTGTGACACAAAATACCGCATATCGGACAAGATTGCGGGCTGACGTGGAGATTTAGTGTCCATTACATCGGTCGTCTCTCTTAAGAAACGCGGACCCGTGCCGTCAAAGAGGGTTAAGGTGTGCAATTCATCTACGATGGAAAGTAAAGCATAGGGTAGACTAGAGTCATGAACAACTTGTCGTTTCGCCCAAAGCGTAACAGATTCTAAGCTTCAATTGACCCGCCTCTTAATGGCATTTACCTAAACTATTCCTCAAGCCTCTAACTCAATCTCCCTTGCCTCAGTCATAACATCATAGTCCCACGACCACTCGCTCGTCGTCCCCGACCCCGTGGACTTCTTATCATGCCATCTCTTTGCATCTGCCCTCGCCCCCCTCACAATAGCCGCCAACCTTGGCTGTCTTAACTTCTGGTACGTCCGTAACACGCGTGGAATATCCTCCTTTCCCCTCGCCCGGGCCAATAGCTCCCCCAATGCCGCCCCATCCTCGATACTGGCGCCCGCCCCTTGGGCTGCGGACGGCAACATCGCATGGCCCGCGTCGCCGATCAGTACGATCTTGCTGCCCTGAAAGATACACGACTCCATGGGCTCGAGGTCGCACAGGCGCCACTCGAGCGTGTCGGCCGGCAGGTGCTGGAGTATAGAGACGAGGCGCGGATCCCAACTTTTATACAGCTCCAACACTTCGCTAGGGTCGACTGACACGACATACTTGGAGTCCGCGGTATGGATGGCCGGCTGCGTAAGCACGATGTTATAGAACTTGCCTTCGCGAACTGGATATCCGACGACATGACAACCGGCTCCGACCCTGCGTTGTCTAAGTAAGAATATCACGAGATGATGAGGACGGGCTGTGCTTACCATACGTAGGTTGTCTGGTCCTCCCAGTTGATGATGGGCTTCAATGACGGGTCTCCTGCGAGGAGCTCGCAAGGGATCAGTGCACGGAAAGCAGAATTTCCGCTGGGACGAGGCTCGTCGACTCGGCCGAGCATGTTGGATCTCGCATATGACCTGTATCCTACAAACGGGGAATAAGTCTCTCTCTTCTACACGACAGTGGTGAGCAAACAACTAACCATCAGCAGCCATAATCACATCTGCAGCGATGCTCGTCCCGTCGTCCAGTAGCGCACTGGGCCTCTCCCAGTCATACGTCTTGACTGAATGGCCCATCTTGAACACCGCACCCAGCTCTTGCGCCCTCGCCAGCAGCACATCATGCAGATCCGCGCGATGCAGCTGCCACAGCGGGAATCCGATCTGCTTCTCTAGCTCCGCGTACTCCGCAACCTTGAGGGTCTTGCCCTCGTCATGGTTTACAAATATGGTGCGTTTCTGGCGGGCCGCGCATTTGTCCATCTGCTTGCGAAGACCCCAGTGGCAGAGGATGCTGGACGCGTTGCCGCCGAGGAAGATCCCAGCTCCAACCTTTTGCTAATTAGTCTCGCTGTTTCGGCAACATTGTCTTGATAGAGACGAGCAGACAAGAGAAAACTCACATGTGTGAATTCCGCAGCCGCTTCCAAGATCGTGACATTGAACCCCTTCTCTCTACATGCTATCGCGGCCGATAGCCCCGCGATCCCCGAACCCACAATTAGAACCTCAAAATTGGGCGCCACCGTGCTGTTAGAATTGCCTTGTGTCGACATCTTCACTCTTGAAACTGTATCCTATTCTATTCTCACCAAAGGTGCAAAGATATTAAATGGGTATAAGGGGCATATAAGTCAAAACCACCCTCTCAGTAAAGATTTCACAGCTCATAAGTCATCCAGCCGTTACGGAAGAACAACATGCCCCTCCCCCACCACGGGCTATTCGCATTCGCAAACAGACCGCGGGGTCATAACAGAGGGTAGTGCTACTGTATCTAGGTCGCTCCACCGATTCGAGTATAGGTCCGAGTGGAAAAGAATTGTGGAAAGGGCTACGCTACCGCTGCCGCTAACCGCAACTTCGGAAAGACAGGGGGGATCTGTATTTCCGGCGCCCGTTCGGATTTCCGTGATGTCGTTTTACCGCCCACTAAAATCGCGAATTTGACGACGAATCTACAATTAGCAGGAAACGCATTACACATCATTCAATCCCCGAGAGCCCGTTACTATGATCGCAATTTGTTGGTAAATTACTCCTATCTACGTGCCTATGCGCGGCTCGCAGGCTAATGAAGCCCCAGCCCTCTTCCCGAATAGACAGATTCTCACTCTTCTCATAGCCCTCTACCGCAATCTAATCCAAAATAATATCCTCACCGCGAATCTTCGCAGCCAGATCGGAAATGCCACCCTGTAGCCTCTCGACAAGTCGAAGGGTTTCGTACCCCGGCTTTTCTGACTCCAAGGCTTCCGTAGCTCGACCACCGTTTCCAAATACCATGACCGTCGCAGCTCCTGAAAGCTTTTGATCATACGGTTTCCAAGGTTGGCCGCCATTGATGAAAGCCAACCATTGCTTGGCCATCGTCTTAGCGAGCGTCTTAAGATTATCAGGAAGATGGTCATTGTATGTCAAAAAAGGGTAGAGGAGGTCGACGGCATGATGGGCCACGTCTATAAACTATTAGTTGTGCCAAATCTTCGAGCTGATATTGAAAGGAGATTCTTTGTATTGGAGACGACTTACCTTGCTTCGGCCCTGGAAATGGGTTTCCTTCCTTGAAGTGGTAATAAAAGACATCTCCGTTAGCAAAGGAATGTGCTACAGCTTCAATTGGCTGGGACCACTCTGCGTCAGTCAGAAGTCTGATAAGGCCAGGAATAAGGCGCTCTGGTGCTGCATCTGCGGATAGTTCGTAAGCTTGCAGAAGTTCCGTGGTCCGCTCTTCTCCGAGGATTGATGATGACAAGGCTTGTAATTTCTCGTAGGTCCACGCGAGCTGTTTAAGCTTATCAACCCAGAGAATTCCTTCAGCATCGCAATCACCTATGAGCAAACGCTTAAGGCTTCTATGGTAAGTCTGCGATAGTAATTGCGAAAATTTTGGAAGTGTCTTGAGGTAATATCCATCCACAGCCGCTTGCCACGAAGGCATTGGGGATCCAGTCGCAATATATGACTTGATGAGATCCTCTGTAGGAAGTTCACGTAAACGGCTGATCTGGTCATCTAGAGGAAGTGCTAAATCAAGTTGGAAGTGTGATGCAATCTTGTCAAACAAATCCTGGTGATGTTTCATGCCTCTGACGGTTAGAGGCGCAACGCCAGATTGTAGGATGGCTTGGTTAAATGGCAACCTCGACGGAAAAAGCTCGGAGGAAATATTCAGATGTGTGTCAACTTAAGGGTATCTAGTTAGCTATATTAAGCTTTCGAAGAGGATTTAGACTTACTTGACCCTGCACTCTCGCCCATAGCAGTTATGCCAGCTGGATCGCCTCCGAATGCGTTGATGTTCTTCTTTACCCACTCGAATGCAAGAAGCTGGTCTCTTAGCCCGTAGTTACCCACTCCCTTATCCCCCGCTGCCTCGTTGTCCTGCCTGATGGCCTCCGAGGCAAGAAATCCAAAAATTCCAAGTCGATAACTAGGGTGCGATTAAGTCAGTCTCAGCTCACGTCCTAATCATCCTGGTGATTAGACTATCCAAAAACTAGCTCCGCACATACTTTATCGTGACAGCAACCACAGGCAAGTTCTGCTCAACCGAGTAATTAACAAATGGTGCCATGTCTAGCAGAATATCAGCTCATCATTCTTGCACTAGCATCGAGTGACAACACACTATAACCTGGTTCTGATCCAGAACCGACGATATTCCCCCGCTACAAATTCGTGAGCAAAACATCGTCATGTTGGCATAGGTCTTCCTTAAACCACACACATATAAACGGGAAACGCTTACCCATGAACCCATACCGTAACGGGCCAACCATTCGTCGGAGGGTCGCCCTTGGGACAAGTGATGTTCAAGTTCAAGCATTTGAACTCGTCCATATAATAGTCATGCTGAGCAGGCAATGACTTCTGCACAATGGAGAATCCAATGACGAACCTGGGATACGGAGAAAGTGGACTAGGGCAAGTTAGCGAACACCTCCCACAAACAGATCACGATGTCGAGAGTACCCATGAACTGTCCCATCCCATTTGTTATCTGGCCAGCTTGTGACAAGCTTAGATTGCCTAAATCTTGCGGGGACGGAGCCATACGGAATGCCACGGTATTGCTCGACATTAGGACACTCGGCAAACTCTATGCCATTTACCGTACCAAGTCCTGGTACTTCGCGCTGCATATTGATTAGACAAATTTTGGTTTTGGAAATCAGTCGAGATGAGATAAGAAGATATGAATTTACTTGACGGACAAGTCGTCGTGGCTATGTGCTCCTGGAGACGTTGGCCGTCACCTTAACGTCCGCATTCTTGGCAAGGGTCAAGTCCCATCTCGGAACTTCGGTATTATTACACGGACAAAGTCGTCTACTTGCTGTGTATAACCTCAAATAGTACGATGCCAGTAGTCCGCGACCTAGAAGTTGCAGGTCCCACAGTGGGGTATTCCGCGGTGTAGCAACATAAACCCGGTGCGTCTTGGCCGGAAGTTTCTCAACCTGAACGCTACTGACCCACATCGCATCGGGAGATCTGCATCAGACTCATGGAAAGCCGGGCGACGAGGTTCAGAGTAGACATGTTCGAAAAGCTCGGATTACGTATATATAGGTTACGGCCTTCTTCAGCAATGTACCAACCTCCTCTAGTGCGTGAGTAGTCATTATGTCGCTATCCGGAAAAGTAATTGCGCTCTCAGGGGCGGCATCAGGCATCGGCCTCGCAACAGCGCGCCTGCTCGCCACCAAAGGCGCCAAACTCTCCCTCGCCGACAGTCAAGAGCAAGCTCTCCAGTCTCTCGCAACAGAGCTCCGCGCCGCCAGCCACGAGGTTCTCACCTTCGTCGTTGACGTGCGTAACCGCGCATCAGTCGAAGACTGGACACAGCAGACGGTAGCGTGCTTTGGCAAGCTCGACGGTGCGGTAAATTCGGCCGGTGTCGGCGGGAAGAACCTGCTTCTCCACGGCATCCACGAAATCGAGGACGAGGACTGGGACTGGGTGTTTGATGTCAATGTTAAAGGCGCGCTGAACTGTTTGAGGGCACAGATTCCGCATTTTAAGGACGGGGGATCTATTGTTAATGTTGCCAGTCTGGGTGGTCTGATGGCAGTAGCGAAGAACTCGGCGTATGTGGCTTCGAAACATGCGCTTGTGGGGTTGTGTAGGACGGCAGCAAAGGAGTTGGGGGCACGGAATATCAGGGTGAATTGTGTTTGTCCGTAAGTTGCTCATCATTGCACTGTGCATGGCGTCTTGCTGTATTAACCTCTCGTATAGAGGCCCGATCGAAACGCCGCTTCTCAAAGAGGGCAACAACGCCGTGGAATTGGAGATGTATGCAAAGTTTGCCCCAATGCAAAGAATAGGTCAGCCGGAAGAGGTGGCAACCGTTATTGAGTGGCTTTTGTCAAGCAACTCGTGTTATGTTACTGGTACTTCGCAAGTTATCGATGGTGGAGTATATGCTCAATGAGCTTATATTTGCTGCTCAGAGTTCTTACCGCTGCATAATCAGAGTGAGGTTCAGATACCTAAGGTAGGTAGATAAATAGCAAAATAAAACAAGAACATTGCCGTACCGCGTTCAGAGTAGCTTACATGATTTCATTCTTATTCCATTGGAATAATGTGTATATACTGATTAGCCGAGAGAAATATACTTAACAGTAGTGTTATATATTAAATTAAGCAAATAGCTGTCGCATACGACCATAGACTTGGGAGAAATGGGCATCCCGTCCGCTCTGCCATACACAAGCCTCAGTATCATTAGGTTAATAGTCTCAATCGTGCCAATAGGCATAGTATAGAATCCAAACCCCTTGCTGCCTGAAGGGTGATCTTGAGTGAAGCGAGGGTGAGCCGCGGGTGAGCCTGGTGAGCAACACGTAGTTGGTATGACCGGTCACAGGAGCTAGAGCCCGGATATATTACTACTGATTGTAAATTGACTTTCTAACTTGCTTCGTACATACATCTTACTGCTTAATTCGACTACTTCGTCCACCTTTAAACCTTCTAAGCCTCGATTTACATTAAAGCGACGCTATCCACCTCCTAATCATTTTTTTGTGTATCTCCCCAAGCCAAATCGTTGCACAGTCTGCTAACTGTTCTCCATACCCTTCTCTTGTCCTTTGGAACAACCCCGACCGTCCCTGAAAACCACCTTCCGTCAGCGATATTCTTTCTTTCAAAATGGCATGTTCCTTTTTACAGAGTGTAATTCGCCTTCCTAAACCTCTTTATCAGCTTGTCACATTTGCCATCATCATATCCTCCCATCGGTCAGTTCTCACTGCCTGTTCGTCTAAAGCACAATAGTTGTGGGAATAGTAGTCGAAACTACGCCAGAACGTTATGATGTAGTTGTCACTCTTACAATACATCGAAACCAACGTAACAATGACATCATGGGAATTATGAAGACTCCCTGAGAAACTCAGTTCGGCACTCCCTCTACCTTGAAAGATGCTCACCCCATAAATATAATATCTACTAGATATCACAATCAACTGACACTATATATACGTCATGATCAATACAACAATAGCGATGTTTGAGCTGAGTTATTACCAGGTACTGCAAATGTATCGGAGAGAAGAACTGATGCAATACGTTACAACAGCGAAACAGGTCGAGGGTGATAACATTTCCTCTGCTTCATTTGTGACTATCATGTGAAGAAGACCGAGTCACTTCGACAATACTAGAAGCAGTTCTTTGGGAAACTCAGTGCATTTGTTATATTAAAAAGTAGGAGGTAAAGCCATTCTACCATCACCCCAAGATGTTGAGCAGTGCTGAAAGCCGCATAAATAATAACAAGTCAAATACAATAACCAGCGATCGTGCTGTATAGGAAGCCCAATTCTGGAGGACCGAGTCCTAACAAGGTAGATCGTTTTATTGACCATATTCATAAAGTACAAAGTGCTGCCCTGGTTATCAGGTTCACCACCATACCACGATGCAAGGCTTCAAGTCGATTTTGTAACCACATGGTCCTCTTGCAACGCAGGCATCTACCACATAAATTACCATCCACCTTAGAATCTCTTTCAATCTAGGACTAAACGGCTTAGGGCATATGTTAGCGATAAGATCTCGCCCAGCCTAGAACTTCTTCGGCCTAGAAACTCTATTTCCCATGGGATCTTGTTACTCTAATATCCGTTGATTCTACGACTGGCGATATTCTTTATAGTCAGTTAATTTTGTTTCCTTGCAACGAAGTTTGTGGACTCAGAAATCTTGGGTTTAGTTTTTACACGAGCTAAACTATTAAGAGATAGGAGTATTAACAAATTGATAATAGATTATACGTCTAACTTTTGTACCAAATGTGTCAAGGTACGGGCATTATATTATTGGCCAAATTGATAGTCATGGAATTGGAGAGTTTGAATTGATTACCTTCTGAGAATAGGGAACAGTAGGGAAGCCTATATAAAGTATTTCAAAGGTAAGAGAAGAGAATTCTAGGCTGAAGAGGCCTCTTATTCTATCTAATAAGTCGAATTTGTAAAATAGGCCGAATAATAACAATTAATGCCTGAATAGCTAAAGCAATCCCTGTATAGTTGTACTTCGTATCACGTGTAAGATCCAGGAGCTGAATGCTCAACAAAAAACTACTTAAGCTCGGAGTATGAAATTTAGTAAATAAAGATGAAATCCTCGTTCTTTAAATCCGTCATATCATCAAATGCCTGATCTCCAACCCTGTTTCCTTCCTCACCCTCTTCGCCTCCATGGGTAGCAAGATCCGCCGCTCGCTCTTTAACATTCATCATAGATCGATCAACAAGGAGAGCAGATTTTCCAACTGCAACTCTGCGCTTGGAATGCTGTTTGTTAAGGACCATGAGGTAAAGTGTTGTGAGGCTAAGTTGAAGTCAGTATTGGGGTAAAGAGAGTTGTGGGGCATAAGCTTACACGATGAGGACTATGAGAACAATAAATAGTGATAAACTAGATTATAATTAGTACCTTGAGGGAAGGACTTAGAATGAAACAAACGTACCTTGATGTGAGACCGCGCTTATAGCGAGGTTTGTCTGCAACATTGTAGAGAAGCGGTCCAATAATCTACAACGGTTAGTCGAAGCTGACTAGGAATAGAGATTTGACACCATACATTTCCAGCACTCTGACCAATGAATAGTATGGCAGTTGTGCACTTCTTCTTAGTTTCTCCTGCAGTGTTCTGAGATGACCAAGAGTAGATGAGAGGAGCTAGAGTTCGTTAGTGATAAACATTTCAAGACCTATTCGACGAGTTGAACTTACAAATTCCAGGATAGACCGAGATCTATGAGTATTAGTATTATATAAGTGAATAAAATATGCCACTCACTAAGTAATATCCAACAAGAAGTGGACCTCGGTTGGCAATAGTATGCTCCAAGCAAAGCAACATCACCGTTCCAACGATTGGTGGAATGCATAGAAGTGCAAGCGCCGGTCCCTTCTTCTTCGTCCATGTAGCAAATGCAGCGCCACCCATGGTAGCAATAATTTGTACCGCACCAAATGGCATATTTAGAAGCATGGTCTGGTATTTATCAAATCCAAAGGAAGTGATGATGAGAGGGCCAAAAGTTGTAATACCACCACTTGGAATTCTGTGATTTTCAATGTCAGCGTGAATATGGAAGATATCTAAGGGATATTCTTACGAGATGGAGGTGATAAGACAGAACCAGCACCAGGTCTTTATGTCAAGAAGACATTCAAAAACATGTTCCCATTTCCATTCTGTTGATACAACTCCCATTTGATTGTCTCGAAGTCTCTCTACAGCGATAACTTTGTCGTGATCGTTGAGAAACTTGGCCTCCATAGGAGAATCCGGAAGGTAAAGACTATTTCAATTAGTAATGAGGTGAAGAGATGAATTTATTCAACTTACAACACCACTATGGAGAAGACAACAGTGGCCAGACCACAGAATAGGAAGATGATCTGGTATGAGCGGAGAGAACCAGATGAGATATGTCCTAGACCATATGCCAAGAGACTACCAAGCTTCGGGTTGTCAGTCAGTAAATAGTCTAGAACTAGGGAAGAAGCACATACAATGTTGGTCGCACCGTTCATGGCATACCAAGAAGCGTTCCTGTTCGTTTGCTCACTACGACGCCACCACATTTGGGTGATTGCAACAAATGTTGGTGCTACAGACAATTGTCAGTGACGAACGATATCTATATGGGGGAGAGAGAGTGCTAACCAACTGAAGCTTCAAACGCGCCCAAGAAAAAGCGGGTTGCAAGAAGGCCTTTGAAATTGTTTGTTGCAGTCATGCAACTTAAGATGATACCCCAGCAAACGACCATCAACGCAGCAAACTTTCCAGTGGGCAGTTTCACGAGGAAGTATGCAATGATTGGTTGCATGACGAGCTGTGCAATGTAGACGATGGAACCAAGCCAGGAGTATTCCTGTCCTTTGAGGTTGGCATCCTGTATGATTCCGAAGACACTTGCATAGGAGAGCGAGGACTTGTCAAGCTGCTGGAGAAAATATACAACGAGCATTATAGGCAGGATGGTAAGATCAATCTTCTTGAGAATTCGGTCATTGTCTTCTGGGGAGACAGTGATTCGTTCCTGCGAGGCAAGGAAACCGGCTGCTTTGTCCCCACCGGTGGCAGCCTTTTCACTGTATGCATTCTTGTCAGCAGGGAGGGTTTCGACTGTGTCGATGTTGTCCTTGCGGTCAACAGACGCTGAGTCGTTGTTCGAAGCCATGATCGAAGGGTTTGAACCACGCAAGCCGATGGACCAAATGAAGATAGTGGCGAGGTGTGCGGTAATAGATAGATGTAGACCAGTAGTGAGATGGAATTACCTTAGGGAGGTACAGCAGATGGGGGGCGAGTTCTCTCCATCTGATACTTATAGATACTTATAGAGAAAGTCTGGCTAACGAATTCCGCCAAACTGGATGGGACTAACCAGCCAAGTGAGTCTCTGGAGAATCCGGGGTCTGGGGTAAATCGGCCTTCGGATGTAAATGCGAAGAATCTGGAGGGGAGGGAAGTTGGGGATGCTGTAGCTGATCTTGGGCGGGTTTTGGGATCTGAGGGTCGCGACTCGAGGGGGCCGAGGCGTCGGAGAAGAAGCCGAAATCCGAGTCTAACGACTTGTCAGAGCTTGGACGTCCCCATTTCCGGGGTAGCTCTCCACAGAAACAGTATCAACATCGTCATCAACATCAACATCAACATTAAACCACACCAGTCAAAGTTGACGCGTGCAACGATGATCCGGCGCTGGACCGACGCCGGATAAGTATTGCCTTCAAGGTAAGTATAAAGGTAAGTTATGATTCCTCTCTGTGAAGCATTCAGGAAAGTGACACCGATCCATCCCACATTTCTCCATCGTTTTCCCAAAATGCCTCAACGAGAGTATATCCCACGAAAATACCAACTCCTTCAAGAGAATGGTTACGCCCCAAAGACCCCGCATACCTCTACAGAGGTAGCTCTGGAGTCTACTGACACGGATTCTCGATTCCTATTTACATTCCAGGCGGTTCGTCCAGGTCTCTTCAGAACGACCTTTTCCTCCAAAACTCATCCACTCCCTCCTCATCCTAGCACGCCCCGCCCAACAGTCGACTTCCAAGGCATCAAACCCACCTCTGAATCTGCCAGATCGAAACACATCATCAACATTGGCGATATTGAAGCCACTGTTGATTGGAGCGACTCTCCAGTCGTGTCTCTGCAACTGGCAGGACAAGAGAAGCCAATCCACCGCGACCTTCAATTCCGATCCTACGCCGTAGATTCGTCCGGCATTGCACATTATACCTTTTACAAGAGGGATACATTACACGTTGGATTGGGAGAGAAGGCAGCTCCAATGAATTTGGCCAACAGGCATTTCATCCTCTCTGTGACCGATTCTTTTGGATACGATGTTTACCGGACAGATCCTCTGTACAAGCACATTCCGCTTCTCATCAACGTTACTCCGGAAGGATGTGTTGCGATATTTTCCACATCACATAGTCGCGGGACATACTCAGTAGGGTCAGAAGTTGATGGGCTTTGGGGTCACTTCAAAGTGTACCGACAGGACTACGGCGGCTTGGAGGAGTACATAATGGTTGGAAAGACTGTGGAAGATGTCGTCAAAATCTATGCAGATCTCGTTGGATATCCAAAGTTAGTTCCGCGTTGGGCATTTGGTTACATCGCTGGTGGCATGAAATACTCTACCCTAGACGAACCTCGAGCTTCTGATGCACTGATGGAGTTTGCGGGAAAGCTAAAACATTACGATATTCCTTGCTCAGCTTTTCAACTCTCATCTGGATACACTATCGCTGAGACTGAACCGAAGACAAGGAATGTCTTCACATGGAATCGACACAGGTTTCCAGATCCAGAAATGTTCGTTGCCGACTACCACGCCGAAGGTATCCGAATCATCGCGAATATCAAGCCTTACATTCTCTCAAGCCACCCCGAATATTCAAAACTTGCCGTTGCAGGTGCCTTTTTCACTGATCCTCGGACAAAGAAGTCCGGTATTGCGAGACTTTGGAGTGCTGGTGGTGGGGAGAGTGGCGAGGGTGGTCACATCGATTTTACATCTGAATTTGGCTTTCAGTGGTGGTATGAGGGAGTCCAGGTACTGCGAAAGGTAGGAATCGAAGGCATTTGGAATGACAACAACGAATATACTATACCTGATGACGAATGGGAATGTGACTTGAATCGTGAGGATCCTACCTCTGTTTCTAATGTCGGAAACCAAGTTGGTCTGTGGGGCCGAAGTCTTCAGTGTGAGCTGATGGGAAAGTCGTCTCACGATGCCCTTGTCGATTTTGAACCCGAATATAGACCATTTGTTCTCACTCGATCTGCAACTGCTGGAACGATGAGATATGCTGCGAGTTCCTGGAGTGGAGATAACATGACGAGTTGGGATAGCATGAAAGGTGCGAATTCACTGTCCCTCAATGCCGGCATGAGTTTACTACAGGCAAGTTTAGCCTCGAAATTCTACAGTTGGCTTCGATACTGATATATATTAGTGCTACGGCCATGATATTGGCGGTTTCGAAGGTCCACAACCAAGCCCAGAACTTCTCCTTCGATGGATCCAGCTTGGAGTCCACTCACCCCGCTTTGCCATTAACTGCTTCAAGACTGATGAGAATGATAACACCATCGGTGGTGTCATCGAGCCATGGATGTATGCATTTTACTTTTTTCATTCCCATTCCCATAGGGTGACTTTCAGCAGTTTCGATGTCTGACTGCTCCTGAGACATTTATATTGTGCCGAATACTTGACCCAGTACTAATGTTGAGACTTCCAGGTACCCTGAAATCACCCCCCTTGTTCGAGACGCAATCAAGCGACGCTACGAATTAATTCCATATCTCTACTCGCTCATGCTGGAGAGTCATATGACAGCTTTAGCACCACAAAGATGGATTGGTTGGGGATATGAATCAGACCCAGAGGTTTGGACACCTGAGGTTATGCGAGGGGAGACTCAATACTGGCTCGGAGATACAATTCTCGTTGGTGGTACGTAAACTCGTAATTTTCTACTTTTCAAAGCACATACTATGAGATCTCGACGTACTAAATTTCTGGAGATATTGCAAATTCTTAATCCAAGTATGAGCCAAATCATGCTGACTTATCCAAAATTAGGCGTCTACGAAGCCGGAAATACGACCGCAAGGATGTACCTGCCAAAGTCAGATAACGATGACGGGTACCTGAATCTCCATGCCCCACATCAATCTATCTCTTCGGGACAATGGATCGATCTTGAATCTCAATGGAAAGACGGCATCCCCCTCCTTGCTCGAGTCGGCGGTGCAATCGTCGTCGGCCAAGACGTTCAAACCCGCTCACCAGGCGACAACAGATTCCCTTCTGCCAACGTCGTCGAAGACGATTACCGTGCACTTGAAATCTTTCCCCCCGCGGGAACTTCGTCCAAAATTTACTCATACACTTGGTATGAAGACGATGGAATCGCTTCGAAACTCCAACTCTCTACCTTTACTGTCAAGTATAGCTCTACTGATGATGAAGTTCTTGTGGAGTTGAGTAATGGAGAAGATAATAAATTTGTGCCTGTTTGGAAAGATCTTGATATCATTTTACCGTTTGGGGATAAGAGGACTATTATTACTGGAAGTGGTCCATGCAGGAAAGGAAATGATAGTCGTGGTCGCTCTGTTTATACACTATAGATCTCAATATAGAGTCAGATCTTTTCAACATGTCGCGAGAAACATAACGTTGAGGAGAGCGCGCAGTTTTCAGGCGTTTGGTAGTGTCGTCCGTCTACCACCGAGATTTGTTTAGCTGCCCACGCCCCGGAAATTTGTCTAGCAGATGAAGTTGGCGAGACACAAAATCTCAGCTGTTACGAGTATGCCACGAGGGATGTAGCACTAAAACCGAGTAGGAGGCAGTATCAATAGTTGGAAATCGGGGAAAGCACGTGATCTTTGATTACCCCGCATCGAGTGCTGTAGTGTACTTCATAGTGTAGTAGTGCATCACCAGCACCGTACTGTACCGAGCATACGAGTATATGGCCCTGGGGATTTCCGTCAATCGCCGCAAAACCACTTTCGGGATTAGACGGCATCTCCAGGATTTTCTCCACATCAACAAATCCTATACTTCCAAGTTCCAAGTTCTAAGTTCCAAGTTCCAAGTTCCAACATCCCCACCAACATGCAATGGAGAGCGACCCGTCCCCAAACCCAAAGAAACGGAGGATACCGGTGAGTGAAGAGCCCCATTCCCACTTCTTGGAGACTTGGATGCTGACTTGGGTTAGAAAGCATGCGCTGCGTGTCGGAGTTCGAAGGTTCGTTCCTATTTCCTTTCTTCATCTCATAGGTAGGTATACCTGTTCGAGACCCGAGACTGAGATCTAAATAGGTCCGTTGCGATGGTGGAAAACCATGCATCAGATGTCGAAACGCAAACGCTCACTGCGACTACCTGAAACTAGTCGAAGACAAAATGGCCGAGTTCGTCTCCCTCCCTCCCTTACCTTCCCTCCCATTATAGCAAATGCAAAACTAAACCCACATCCAGAAAACTAGCACAAATAGAAGCCCGAGTAGACCAACTTAACAGCCGTATCCCAGATGCAAACACAGCCGCAGCACTCTTCCAACTCCAGCAGCAGACCCAACAGCAGCAGTCTAGAGAATCGGATTTCACTTCCCCTTACTCAGCTTCAGAATATCAAGTTCTGCCTCAGAGTCAGCCAGGGCCTCACACAGCTTCTCCTGTTTCAATGTCTTCTGGCCATCGTTCTTTAGCGAACAATCAAATCGATGGTCCGTTTCATCCTAGTTATAGAAATGGCTCTGCTGCTGGTACTGGTGTGCAGATGTATTCAGGATTAGCGGGCACGAAGCGCAAATGTCGTGATTTCGAGCTAAATACGGATGCGCCTTTGGATGTTGTGGGGAAGGGGATCATCAGCTTTGATGATGCAGCGGTTTACTTCAGGACTTTCTTTCAGGGTTGTGTGGGTGTATTGTGTATGAGAAATTGCAGCGTAACTGACTGACTATGAACGCAGGATAAATACGTCCCAGTATTTGATCCGATATTCGATACTTTCGCATCGGTGAGAAGCAGGAGTAGTATGCTTTTCGATACCATCTGCGCTGTTGGATGTCGAGCTGAACATGGTTCGCCACTCCCCTCATATCTCATACCCTTCGTTTGCAACCTAACTCCCACTAGGACCAACATCACCACAATACCAAATTCTCTCAAATACAACCAAAGGTTCAATCTGCAGCGTAATGATCGGAACAACCCGACCATCAACAGAAGTCATCCAAGCATTACTAGTAGATGCTTCATACTCAGAAAAGGGTTGGCATTTAACATCCCTCGCCCTAAAAATGGCACTGGAAATCGGGCTAGCTGATGCGTATTCGCAATTGTGTGCTAGGATATTAGAGAGTGATGCAGATGATTGTGGGAACTTGTTCAGAAAAGCGAGAGTGTGGTTTGGTGTTTTTGTGCTAGAAAATATGTATTTGTTTCTGTTCTATAACCTTTGAAGTGAACTGCTAACGTGAAGATAGATTGAGTATCGACTGTGGAAAGAAGCCAGGTATAAAAGCCGGTGAAGGAATGAGAAGATGCCGTGTTTTACTTGGACATCCAGCTAGAACCACGCTGGATTTCAGACTCTTGGCGCAAGTAGAGGTCAGTGTCCCTCCATTTCCCAATTGTGGTGGGAATTATACTGATCGAGATGCAGTTGAATTCGATCCGAGGTGAGACCAATGAGAAACGCGGGGTGAAGCTATTAGCATCAGAACTCTAACATTGTATTTTGATAGCACTCGCTCATGAAAAATTATCCCCGCGACCTGGAACAAGTCTTTCAGATCAGGAGTTGAGCGATATTGTTCAAGGCACGAGAATCGATCTAAGGATTTGGCTCAGGTGAGTAAACTCTAATATTTCTCCGAGGATAACTTACTGACACAGAATAGTGATTGGATCAATCTCGTTGGTAAATAACACTGACAATTTTGGTAATGTGTGACCTAATGAAACTCTCACAGAATCGAGACTAGGAAATGAGAGCGACACAGCTAGTCTTATCATCAACTTCAAAATTCAGAGAGATTGGTCCGAAATGACAATGCTATGTAAGGGACTGCAAGGCGTTGGCATTGACAATTTAGCGTGCGTACCCGTCCCACGTTACACTTATAGAATAAGCATGATGCTAACGAAGTATTCAAGGATAATGTCAGATGAGCAAAAAAATCTTGTACACCTCGCCAAAAGTAGCGCCCAAAGTCACTTGTCAACCATTCTTTCCAGCCCAAAACTGTATCTCGGTGCACTCAGATACGGCATGGATTTCGTGTGGGGTAAGTTATTTATTAAACTGCTTTTTGGTTCCAACTCTTTCCAAACACGATTCTAACCCCCCCAGCTAAATGCGCCTTTTCCGTCCTCCTCTTCCTCAAGCTAGCCCGCCTTATCCCTGAATCAACCAACATGTCAGAACTAATCATTGACGCCAACACCCTCCTCCGCGAACTCTCTCAAATCCAAGGCTCCAACAACATCTATTTTCGAATCCTTAGTCTCAGCGTAGAGAAATGTGAAAGAGCCCTAAGAGGAGATTTTCAACAGAGTGATAGTAGAGACACTCAGACTGCTGGGATAGAGAGTTTGGATGCTGAGATGGATTTCCAGAGTTATGTTCCGAAGGAGTTCATTTTGGAGTGGAATTTTCCGGGTTTGACTTTTTGTTGGATTCCGTTTGATTTTGGAGAGTTGTTTATGGATTTTAGTGCGGGATGTTAAGGAGTATAGTTGCGGATTCAGAGCGATTCCCCCTTCACCAAAATCGATTCGATGTTCTGGCAAATCACCCAAGAATAGTCCAAATAATTTGGGACAATCGGGAGAGTCCGTGTACCATGTGTCCGTTCGATTATAACCCCTCCAGCGTATATCCGCACCTCGTGTAGAAACCCCCTCTAACAATAGCTCATCTTCATCCAACTCCCTCCCCTCCCCATACAGAGCCTATCCTCAACCACCTACCCTCAATGATATTAGTGGTCCCAGTCCTATAACTGTACTAATACTCGAGAATTTTACCTTAGAATGTGATATATCCCGAGTTTTGTAGCACGTGCACCCCAAAAGGTTAACCTTAGTAACCCCCTGATCTGTGACACATCCCCGATCCCCTAGCTAGTGCACGCCCGTATACGCGTTAAAAACTCCTTGGTTTATATCGTAGTTTGTTCCCTTACGCTCTCTTCTCTCTCTTATTGTTTCCTGTGCATCTATGTTTTGGGGAATGGGAGCCTTATGCACGCTGTCCCCTATAAGACCATGGGTTCCATCGATTACATTAGTCGATGTCAACTCTATGCCGATCCTGTCGACCGAGCACTAATTTGCTGCTGTTGTTAATATACCTTCGCGGTAGGCAATTCTCAGCTACTTCCTACTAGAAGATCGCTCTAAGAGGTAACAATATAGCGTTTAAGTAGTGTATTTGTTAGTCTAGGCTTAAACTATTGCTTTAACTCTCTCTAGTTTAAGCTATATTGTTTGGATATATCGTATACACGCTTAATGTTCTTGTGTATCTGAATATTTTATTAAAAATTAAAGTAATCGATTATTATACTTAGAAATATCTAGTAACTAAACTATACTTAGTTATATATTAAAGAAATCTTTATCAGCCTCGTTACTAGTAAATTTACTCTTATAGTACTACTGTTACAAATACAAGTAAAGAATACTTAATAGTAGAGGATGTCTCTATTTAACTATAATTGCTATAAGTACGAAGATATTAAGCTAAGGAGAGAAGAAGAGAGAGTATGACTTTTCGAGGTAAATATATGCCTCCTAGTAATAAGTTACGTGACTTGCTAATTCTAGTTCTGTGATAATAAGGCTAGCGACTTTGTACGGCTAATAGGAATAAATCAAATCAAGTCGCTCAATCAATCAATCATGGTAGAGGAGGGGAGTTCAAATTAATAGATATAAGATTAAAACCTTCCGCCATTAATCTTATAAGAATAAGTTATTGTAACATATTCAGGTGCTCGACTAGATGGCGCTTCACAAGGCGTCTTAATCGCTCTGTATAAACCACGGATGCTCTAGTGCCTCGCACGCTATGATCCTCCTCGCCGGATCCAATGTTGTGATCCTACAAACTAGGTCTCGAAACTACACGTCTGCAAAATACCACTCCTAGAGCGGTTTTCGAGGGTTTGCGGAGCTGAAGCTCCCCGCGAGAGCAACAAGGCGTTCGAAGAATGGGTTCTCCTCGCCGATCCATTGCAGCAGGCCCTTGAAGCCTTCTTCTTCGCGAAAAAAGATGTCTGCCGTCGAAGAACGTATCGCCACGAGTCGCTCGCGGTCAACTCGTCGTCGCTGGCGCGGAGAACCATATCATTCAGCATTATGTAAATAGACTATGGAATGGGCTGCAACCAGGTTCTGGGAGCATATAATCCGTGGAGAATTCCCAGTTGCAGACAGCTAGGTTGTCGCTTCACAACAACCGCCGACTGACGATCCCCAAGATCGTAGAATAGTTCAGCTGGTTGTGGACAAATGGACGGACAAGTCAACTCACAGACTATTTATCTTCGAAGCCAAAAACACACGGCATCCCAAAGCGAAATCGATATCTTGGAACATCAGGCTTATGAAGCGTGTATAACACACTTGAAATACTCTGGACGCAAACAAATGTATGCAATGACAGTGATTTGTACAGTGGCACGGGTATAGGTCGCGCACATTGAGGAAGACTACCTTATCCCATGGATTTCTATGGGTACAAGTCTGGGGGACAAGTCCGGTTATATTGAATCACTCAAAAAATAACCCTAAGGCGTCGAATAAGAGGAACCGTTTCTTATATTTGCGCCTTTCTATCGTCTATTACTTTTTTGTCTGGTATACTATAGCGGGGCAACCCCAACCACCCCTAAATAGCACCATTTTTATTCAAATACCATGTAATCAGTATATTAGGTTTGCTATAATGCACGTGGGTTGGTGGAGATAGCTAAGCTTTAAAGCTCCTGGCACTCATCCATATACTTACAATACACACAGACACACATATAAAAGAATGGACTTATAAATCAACTCGACGACTCCGGCTCTCATAGCTTAGAATACAATAAGCTTGACTCTTGTCTTAATTACTGCCTGCATGACTATTAAGTCCCTGAAATGCCACCAACTGGGTGAGCCCTAATAAACACTATAAAGAACATTGTGCCTAATGGCACAGTCTTCTTTTGGTCGACCTGACGACCCGACAACTCGTCGACAGGCTAGACGTTCCCTCTGACCATTTCTCCCACAGGTTTATAGTCTCCATCCCATACCTCCTGACTACGGGGTTTGTTGGTTGTTTTACACCTTACGCTTACTACCTTACGGACGGTCCTTCTACCTCTCGACAATATATGATTTATTAGAAGAATAACTGCCACATACGACCATAGACTGAGGAGAAATGGGCATCCCGTCCGCTCTGCCATACACAAGCCTCAGATCGGCAGATTAGTAGTTGGGTGGGTGACCACCAGCGAATACCTGCTGTTGTATGTTTTTTTTGGGCTTTTCTTTTTGCGGCGATTGCCTCACACATTCTTCACGTGTAGTCTCCACTACGGAGTACAACTCATACCTATAATGCGCCATAACAGGCGGGTGTCTGAGAATTTCTAAGGCCCTCTTTGGTCCAGTAGAAGACATAGCCACATCCTCAACACTTAATTCCTTTATTTGCACAGTGTGTTCTATTTTTGTGGTTTCTGATACCTGCTGTTCCTGCTTTCTCATAACATTGCGACTGCATTTGGAGGGCTCGCAACCCCTCCTGGTACCTAGGCTTTTATTAGATTCTCAGGTTTTGAAGAAATTACTCCGGTGCTCAGCTCCTCTTACATGTAATGGCATACTTGACAAGAAGAATGTGTTTCTCCCTAGCCTTTTACACTCTTTGGCAAGGTCCTCCAGATCAAACATCTCACCAATCGGCATTCCCCATCCTCCTAACATCCATTGATGCATCGTAACATCAGGGTCATTGTATGGGCCATTTGCAGGGCCTCTTTCAAAGCTAGGAGAGTCACCTGCCGCCGCGGCAAACTGATTCTCCCATAACCAGCGCAGTGACTCTTTAGTAGCCTCAATTCCAAGCAAACCGGAAGGTTGTCGATCTGGGAAAGCCTGCTGCTCGTCTATTGAAAGTCTGTTGTAAGCTGCCGCAAATCCGCAGCGAATGAATAGAATATCTCCGGGGCGAGATTGGATCTTTTGCTCGGCAACAATGGCCTTCAGATGCGACACTTCGACAGCGCCGGTTTGGAAGGGCCGGACCAGGATTCCATTGTCTTCTGCCCAACTGGCCCAGTCTAGGAGGACTCCACGGCCAACTATACCACCGCTTTCGACCCATGCTGCCCGAGTTAGTTCCCATTAACTTTAGAGTGTAGGTGTCTCACAATTGATTCCAAGAGCCGTGCCCCCATTTTCAAAATCTGCTTGGGTGTGTCCGTTGAAGTGTTTCTTTGCCTTTTGATAACCTGTTTTCAAGTTATTACAACACATCCCAAGTTTCGGATCGTGATCAGACACCAAATTTTGTGAGCAATCCGGTAATTATTTCAATGTGCTAAATGGTTTTGGATATTGAGATGCCTTGAAATTGTGACTTACCATAATGCCGAAAGCCATCCCATTGCGTGCTACTCTGCGTGTTGAAATGCACCACATCATCATTCATTGAGACGCCTGGTTGAGGACTCTTATTTTGAATCTCATGATGAAATTTCTCACGCGCAAAGGTAGGGAAGGCGGGTTTGTTCAAAGGCCAGTCTAGAGGTATACGAATGCCCTCTCGAATCTCCTCTTTCGCCGCCGCTCGTACGGTTTCTGGGGTGATGAGATTCAGCATACCCAGCTGGTCGTTTGGCCCAAAAAGCCCCCATGCATTCCCTGGAGGTCCACTTTTGTCAAGGGGAAGTGAATCAAATGTGGGGAAAGGGGTTGGTACTGCTCTGGGGGTGGGGATGGGCATTTTGACTGTGGAACCTGGGGAAGGATAAAGAATGGAGAGGGGGATAGAATAGAAGTTTCGTAACCTAGTTGAATGTCCTTTTCAATTTCGAACCACCGCCATCTGATCTTAGCATGATGCTAAAATCGGGGAGATCCTTTAGCCGCGCTTCGACCACAATTAGCTTGGCCCCGTGGACCTGGCAGCTGGAAAGATTGTGCGGTAAACCATTTCCCCAAAAGGTCGCTTGTCAGCATCCGCAAAGAGTGGGGAAACCAGGGGCGAAATCCCCAAAAATTCCCAAAAGACCCCAGGTTCCCCAGGGAAATATGGTCTTGTCGAGGTCAGCTTGGCCGAGTTAAATATTTATCCCATTATTGGTGGGGCTCTTGGCTAATTATTTCTGCATACATATATTTCTACCAAATTCCACTTCTCCCCCTTCCCTACAAACGAGCAATATTATCTATTTTGTGGCATTTCCGTCAACCCAGAAGAGTAAGACAGGATGAGAAACATCTTCGAGGTGAAGGAGCCGCCGGGCGTGGAGCCAGCCCCACCTTCAGTATATGGATATCGGCCATATATATTGTCCTTTTCGGCGGCATGGGTATGAACGAGTCTCTCTCTTCGCAATCCTCATTTCTATAGACTAACATGTGCACAGGCATCCGCAATGTATGGCTACGACTCCGCATTTATTGGAGGCACCTTGGCACTTCCCTCCTTCAAGAGAGCGTACGGGCTTGATGTTGCATCGCCTAGTCAATTAGCTAGTCTCTCTTCCAATATAGTTTCCACGTTCCAAGGTGGTGCATTTTTCGGCTCCATGTTTGGTTTCTACCTAGCAGAACGTTTTGGTCGCAAACCGATTCTTCTCTTGTCCGCCGTCATATTCTCTATTGGTGCTGGTATGCAGCTTGGAGGCATCATTGGCTTGCTTTATGCCGGACGCGCCCTCACTGGGCTAGGTGTCGGTGCAACATCTATGATTCTACCTATCTACATTTCAGAGTGTGCACCACCATTGATAAGAGGCCGTCTTGTCGGCTTGTTTGAAGTAATGCTTCAGGTAGCCCTTGTCTTCGGTTTCTGGGTCAACTACGGCGTCAACTTAAATATATCCCCCGACAATCCCGCACAATGGCACATTCCTGTGGCTATACAACTCGTTCCTGCCGGACTCCTTCTTCTAACTGTGCCTTTCTTCTGTGTGGAGTCTCCGCGATGGCTTGTTTCGAAGAATCGCAGCGCGGATGCTCAGGCTTCTCTCGCGTGGGTCCGGAATTTGCCTGAGGACCATCACTATGTTCAGCAAGAACTATCCAGAATCGAACATGGAGTCAATCATGAGTTAGAGATGGCTGGAGACTCATCTGGAAGATTTACTCTCTTCAGAGAGCTGATGGCTCCAGGAGTGAGGAATCGGGTAACAATTGGCACTCTCCTTATGGTCCTTCAAAATCTCACTGGGTAGGATATTGTTGAACTTCCCCAGGAATACCACTTCAGTGCTAATGTCCAGCACAGAATCAATGCAATCAACTACTACTCCCCAACCATCTTCAAAGCCATCGGTTTTACGGGGACCTCGGTCGGGTTGCTAGCCACCGGTGTCTACGGACTTGTCAAGATGGCTAGTTGTTTTATCTTCGTAGCCTTCTTTGTTGACAAGGTGGGCCGACGGCTTCCTCTCCTCGTTGGCTCCGTGGGTGCCGGCATTGCTATGTACTATATGGGTATATATGTGGCAGTCAGCGACTCCCTGAATAAAGCGCCTCCCAGAGATGCCGGTGCAAATGCAGCTCTTGCCATGGTCTACGTGTATGCAATCTTTTACGGGTTCTCCTGGAACGGTATTCCCTGGTTATATACCTCGGAAATTCTGCCTACCAGGGTGCGGACTTTGGGAATGGCTACTGGGGTTTGCATCCAATGGCTATCGCAGTTCATGGTTGTGTATGCACTTCCATACATGATCAAGGGGATCGGATATGGAACCTTTATCTTCTTTGGAACTTGTACTGTGTTGGCATTCTTCTTTGCGTATTTCTTTGTTCCAGAGACGAAGGGTGTTACGATTGAAGACATGGAAATGCTATTCGGCCGAGACGTCTCTTGTATTGCGGTGAAAGCAAGAAAGAATTACATAGCACATAGAAACGACCCTGACTCTGCGGTTTATCAGACCGAAGTCATGAAGTCGGACCGCGACGACAGAGAGGAGGTTTAATCACGCGAGAGCAATGGCCACTGATGAGGAATGTTAGTAATATGTACCTAGAAACTAAAGCAACACGGCAAAAAGTGCAAGCCGTTTGCGGCAAATAATAGAGTCTTTAGCAGTTCCTCACACATTGTCAATTTTGATTTTGCGGGATATCTGGCGCAAGAGACTCTCACTCGTTTGGCTTCCTTTATTTCCTTAACTGCCTACCCAACGCAAAACCCGATTATTTCCCGATTGGGCAGTATTCAAACCGCAGACTCGGTCCAACCAGGCGCAGAGGTGTTAGAAGACTGGATTACGCAGGAAACTCGGAGAAACTCGCAAATTTGCGGCGGGATAACGGCAGCTCAGTGACTGGGAGCAAGATTATTGATTATATAGGAAGAGGCAATCACTAGTGGGAGTATTGTTCTTTGGCGGGAGTCCCAGTCCACATTCTCCATGAATCCAGATTCAATCCAGCCACGTGCCGGCCGCTGAGTAACGTGACCCAGATGTGGAGTCATCCAGGTGCTCGCTTAGCCAACCAACAAGAGCACCGCTAGGGCTCTCCCCACTCCGGCGGCCAGTTGGCACAACCGGTATTTAAAAGCCCCATGTATCCCCATGTTTTCCACCCGCCAGACAGACAACCGCACGAGACGAGAGACAGAACAACGTCACCATTTTGCACCGTCGACTCGGTCGTGCCTCAGGCCGCCATACGCCACTCTCTCTCCCACGCCAACCCCCATCGAGAAGCTCCAGCCAGACCAAGCTTCAAGCTCCCAGTGACCGATCCCCAGCGCAAACACAACACCACGCGATTATCCTACTTGTCCCCATTGTCGCCATTATCGCAGCAGCAATCGCAGTAATCGCAGGTATTGCCGTTGCGCACACACACACACGCACATTCCACAAAGCAAAAAGGTGCTGTGCACACATCCAGAGAAATCGCACCGCAAAAGGAAACGATTGGCGCAAACCGGTCAAGGAGTATCTCAGCCAGATCAGATATTCCGTTACAGCAAAAGGTGAATATCTGCAGCACGGGACACAGAATGGAAAGGCGGTTCAGACACACAGGTCATACAACGCTGTAGCTGTACTCCACGCGACATCTATGAGAGCTTTCATGAGGCTCAAATTGAGATCGTAGGTCCTCCAGCAGCTTGTAGATGCCGTATTGTGTACCCTTGAAGCTTTGCGCAAACTCCTGCTCCTGCTATTTCTCCTACTCTAGCCTTGAGAAACATAGCAGGGCGGGATGCGCGCTCCGGGGCCATCATCCATGCTTCCCCCTAATCCTTTCTGTACCTACCTACATTGACAAGAACGCCTGCTAATGTCGTCTGTTTGTATCTCTAGGTCGGCAATACCCAAATCCAAACCTGCATGAGGACAAAAAGCGCGATACTCCGAAGCGAAGGAGGCCGTCGAGATGGGAAAGCCACTGAGCTTAGGGCCACACCTCAAATACCCAATTACAATCAATAAGATTGCCAAGAAGCCCGGCGACGCCGTCAAGAAACAAGAGACAATCCTCCAATACACGTTCAAATGGATGAACCAAGTCGGCGATCCATTTGGCGAGCAATGGGAGGAGGAGCAGACGAGTTGGGCCGACTGGGATAGCCCTTCCGATGGCAGCATCACGAAGTGGAAGGTACATGAGGGCCAGGTCATCGAGGGGAATATGCAATTCGTGGAAATTGAGGAGGAATGCTCACACTCGATCCAGTTCGCAGGCCTTTGTGGCCTGTGCGGGAAAGATATGACCGAGATGTCCTGGGTTAGCGCGTCAAGTGATACAGACCGGGCGAAGATCAATATGATTCACGACCAGACTGCGCTACGAGTCAGCCAAGATGAAGCTTCCAAGGCGGAGGAAGAATTACAACGGCGCTTGCTCAAGCATAGGAAGTTATCGCTTGTAGTGGATCTGGATCAGACCATTATACATGCATGCATCGAGCCGACGGTTGGAGAGTGGCAAAGCGATCCGAGTTCACCAAATTACGAGGCCGTCAAGGACGTGAGAGTATTTCAACTGAATGATGATGGACCCCGAGGTCTGGCTTCAGGATGCAATTATTATATCAAGATGCGGCCTGGACTGAAAGAATTCCTCGCCAAGGTTGCGGAGATATACGAGTTACACGTTTACACGATGGGTACGAGAGCGTACGCCTTGAATATTGCCAAGATTGTCGACCCAGACAAAAAGCTATTCGGTGACCGAATTATCAGCAGAGACGAGAATGGCAATATCACAGCAAAGAGTCTAGCCCGGTTGTTCCCTGTGGATACCAAAATGGTCGTTATTATCGATGATCGAGCTGATGTTTGGCCAAAGAACCGACCTAACCTCATCAAAGTTCTACCTTATGACTTTTTCAAGGGCATTGGAGATATCAACTCGAGCTTTCTTCCTAAACGAGAAGAACTACCGAAACCTACCGAGGCGCCGAAGAAGAAGGCCTTCAAGGAAATAGAAGCAAAAAAACCGACTGAAGACAAAGCTGCCGAGGGGACTCCAGCCAGCATCGAGACCACTCAAGAACCAACCGAGACAGGGACAGATACGCCTGAGGAAGGTGGGAAAATCAGTGCATTAGAAGAGCTGGTTAGAATGGGCGGTGGCGGTGATGAAGCTCTACGCCTCGAGCAAACCGCCGAACAAGAGAAATTCTTAGAAAAGCAATTAAAGGATCGACCGTTATTGCACCTACAAGAGCAACTAGATAAGGAGGACGAGGAGGTAGACGAGGAATCCAATGAAGAGACAAAGAATGGCAGCACCACCCCTGAACACCACCCCCACCACCGACATAACTTACTCAAAGACGACGACGTCGAACTCATGTACCTCGAGAAGCATCTTACACAAGTTCATAAGTCGTTCTACGATGAGTATGATAAGGCGCTTGTTAGTGCTCCGGGCGGTCGTGTTGCACAATTAAAGCCTGGACATAATAAGAAAATGTCAATTAAGGGCGAGGCAGCGGATTTGAAGATTGTCCCAGATGTTGCGGTGGTGATGCCACGAATAAAGTATGCGATCTCGAAGAGAGCTATGTTTCCTGTTTTGAGCCGCTTTACTGACAGCACCAGGGCCAACACACTGGCGGGCTGCGTAATTGTGATGTCCGGCCTAGTTCCATTAGGAATTGATCTTCTAAGGTCCGAGATTGCTTTACAAGTCATGAGCTTTGGAGCCGAAATTCATACAAGGTAAGTACTGCCCATTTTCAAGCAAAGCCTAATATTAACAGAATATAGGGTTTCGAGGAGAATTACTCATCTAGTGGCCTCAACGAGTCGGACTCGGACAAGTAAGGTTAGGCAAGCAGCCATCTACCCTCATATAAAGATCGTGAACCAGGAGTGGCTGTTGAACTCGATGAGCAAGTGGGAAAAAGCGGACGAGACGCCATATCTGGTAAGATTTACTTTTATTAGTAATCATAAATATGTATTGACATGCTCTAGATCGAGATATCTGAGTCAGATCGAAAGCGAGGAGAAGATGGGGGCGACTTAAGTGGCCCGTCATCAATTCACGACTCCGACGAGAGTGACGACTCTGGCCCAAGCTCTGACGAAGAAAATGATTCTGTTCCTAACAGTCAAGAATCAGCAGACACCGTTGGTGTTATGCCCGAGGATTTCGACGAAGGCCATTCGCCCATCGACGACCTCAAAAACTTCAACTGGGCATCAGCCGACGATGAATTAGCCGAATTCATGGATGGCGAAGAAGAAGACTCGGGATCCGAGAGCGATACGGCGAGCGTTAAGAGTACTACAAGTCACGATAGCTCCTTGGTGCGGGGGAGTAAACGCAAACATGGAGAGACGACAGCAACGGATGATGATAGTGATGGAGAAAGCACGTTATCTAAAAAGCAACGGATTGCAAATTCACGGACTACGGGGTTGAATATGGTTAAGACGCCTAATGGGATGGTGTCGGAAAATGGCCTCCCTACGCCGGGCCCGATGAGCGACGGAGGGGATGGTGAAGATGAGGGAGGTACAAATGATGGTGAAGGTGTCGATGGGCTAGAGGACGATCTTGAGAAGGAGATGATGGCTGAGTTTGAGAGGGAGGAGGCTGAGGCGATGGGTGGGGATGGCGGTTGAAGAAGGCTATTTGTTCACCTCCACTCATGCTTTCTTGTTGAATTTTGCCAAAGCTCTACGAGCGTCATGTCGTTGCATACCCCATAGCATTTATTTATTGTGGATTTGGGAAGGAAGGCGTTCAATGTCTCTGGTGATGGGGTGCCAGTTGGGTGTTTAGCGATCGGGCTTAGCATACGGGGAATTTCACGACATGGGATTTGCAAAGGGAGTCGGATACCTGCATGGATAAATACTTCGAATCAAAAGATTGATTCGAATGTCGATTATAGCCTTACAATATTCCAAACACAGAAATCCTACCTCATCTATAAGCCTTTGATTCTTAATAATCAGTCCTTTTGAAAAACTCCCCCTCGTGATTGTGCTCCATGTCTGGTCGCATTCACCGCTTCTAAATAAAACGGCAGAATCCCCCAAATTGTCCTAGCGCGGTAAGCTTCCAAAGCCGACCATCAACCTCAACTCACCCATGCGGAACAGCGATTGAAACACAGCAATTGAAAACACAACGACCACGAGACAAAATGCCACAAGATCTGCCCCCCGTTGGCGGATACGGCCCTGTGCAGTACAAGGTACGTTTGTGCGTTTCCCTTTTTAGCTGAGGATGGTTACGGGTATGAGGGATGGGTTGGATGATTGCGGAATGAGAAAGGGCACGATGGAGGATGGACGCCCCGGGAAGGAGAGAGAGATAGGGATGGAGGAGGGAATTGGGCTGCGTACGGGATATAGGATTCGATCAATTGCGGACCCGCGAGTGCGAACGATATCGCTACACATCTACCTCACGTCATAAACAAGCCAGCATCCAATGCGCGTGGGAAACATAAGCCAGGACTGGCAATTTGAAAGGAGACATGCTAATTGATTTCTGTGGTATAGCGAAATATCCCCGCGCGTGGATTTCGGCCTGGACTCGTGCTGATGGGCGTGGGGGCCCTGATGACATATGGCTTCTATAAGTTGGGAACGGGGATTCGGGAACATAAGTACGTTTTTGATACATGCTTTTCTTTTGGCTGTTGGGGCATGATGGGAAGTGATCGTGAGGCTAACTGCTGTGCAAATAGTGAACTCGCACGGGAAAAGCTATGGTCGAGAATTCATCTCATTCCTTTATTGACGGCTGAGGAGGATCGGGATCTGGCGAGGAGGCATTATGCGGATCAGGCGAGGGAGAAGGAGTTATTGGGCACTCAGACGAGTCCTTATAATTCGGATCGGTACGTAATTGATTCTCTCATTGATTTTGCTTTGGGTTGTAGGAAATTCTGGGAGAGGGGAGGGATGGCGAAACAAAAGGGTATGGCTAACATGCGAGGAAATACAGTTACGTCCGGCCTACATTCGCCATCACGCCAGCTCAAATTACAAAATAAATTCCCGGGTGGTGTAAAAGATGGTTGCATGAATTGGTATTAGGTGGGTTAAGTTGGTCAGAGTCTATGTATATATCTCCAAAATTCAAGACGGCTCAATCCTGCCCAAGGACTAAACCAGCTCCGCTCCCCTATTCAATCTTCATATCAAAAACATCTAAAATCTCATCCACCGTAATCATCTTCCTCTCGTTCACCAACTCCATAATCTTTTCATGCGTCGTAACATCAATGCCCAGATCCTTCCCATTCATTACAATATACCCGTTAATATAATCAATCTCCGTCGTCCGGTGACTTCGAACGTCCTGCAGCATGCTACTTGTGTTCCGCTTGGTTTTGCAGGCTGCAAGTTGGACGCGCCTTTCTAGTGATTCGGGCGAGAAGCGGAAGAGTAAATATTCTTCCTCCTCCTCTGTAAGATCTAAAGAGCGTAGTTCTGGTAGGGAGAGAAGAACATTGCTAGCTTCCGTGATCAACGCCCGCACGACTACTACAACCTCGATGTGGTCGAAGAGTTTCCCGTTCCGGCAGTCGAGTATGGCGGTTAGAGGGTTGATTACCGCATTGATAACGACTTTTTCGAATTGGTGCAATATGAATTTCTGTGGAGAGATTCTGGTAGCGTTTAAGAGGGGGGTGTTGCAGATCTGCTTGATGAGATAGTTTGAGTGAGAATTAGAGGGCGATTGAGTCGCTGCTTTCGCGGGCAGTTTTGATATGAAGACATTGCCTCGTCCGGAAAATACAGAGCGGAATGGGCCTTGGGAGAAGACGCCGTGGGAGGTCACGGCGGCGAGATAGTTAGGGCGTGTAGCGGGGTCTTTGAAGTTCCTTGCGGACACTTCTTCTGGGGTGCCTATGCCGTTTTGCAAGAAGAGGATATTCGAGGATGGTGAGAGACGGTGCCGTATTAAAGCGAGCGCATCGGCTGCATCTACTGCTTTTGTGGCCACAATTAGGTTCTTGATTGGAGGGTCTAGACATTTCCCGCCGTTATCCAAGGAAGGTGTTTTGATTATCTCGGAATCGTAGGAATTTGATACATATCCCTTGCCTTTTATGGATAGCTCAATAGACTGACCAACCTTCTCCCAGTCGGTTGCCATCTTTATCCGATGAAAGAGAAGTGTGATGGGTGGTGGCTCGGGTTTTGTGGCTAAGGCATAGGCGTATAGACAGCCTAGGTTTCCAATGCCTAGGATGTGGATGCGGTCCGCTGGAGTTAGGGGGGAGGCAGTCGTGCTTGAGAAACGATTGTCGCCGTTCCATTTCCATTGCACAGCTGAAAACTTCGCCCGCGAGCTCTCAGGGGAATGGGTGGCAGTGATAGGGACAGTGCTGCAAGATAATCTGCATCTTCTAAATGTCGATTGGGCGAGCATGGTTTTGGAGCCCCTTTCTTAAATACTGCCGTCAATGAGTGGGAAGACCATAAACCTATGGAGCTTAGAAGAGTCTAGACCATAAGAGACCGTGCATATCGAGAAGTCATCCAAAACTCAGAACTCAGAATCTTGTCCCTACGTCCTTGGAGCTGCTTTCTTCTTCGGGAGATCGAGGTAGCTCCGGTCTGTGCACGGGCCTCTTTTGATATTGACCCTGTTATCACGTGACGCTCCCCTCCAACTTCATGCCTCGTAAACAAGGCAGATTTCATCGCCTTGGAGACTTCAATACGCCGCGCGTCCAAGGCAACAGGATGATTAATTCGTACGGAGTAGGAGTACTGTCCCCTTCGCCTGCTACTGTAATATACCCCTGGAGCACTACATAGCCACGACTCCACGACAAGTTGCCAGATATTACGTGTGTACTTCGAAGTACTAGAGATGCACTGCGCCTCCACATTCCCTTGTCCGTGCTTACTCTTGGTACATTGGCCCATTGCTTGTTATTTGGTCTGACCGGAATCTCTTTCTGTTTCTCTGATTCTGCTCACTTTGTCATCTCCTAGTTTCCCCAGGCAATCATCTTATTTCGTGTTGTGTTGTGTTGTGCTTGCGCGTTGCTGTCCGCCACCTCATCCCTTCCTACCTTGGACATGCCCTTCTCAGACAGTCTTTACTCCGCAGAAGACTCAGATACCGACTCGTTCAGCGACGAGCTCAGTCCTACCGATGGTTATTTCAACCCCAATCGCGGGGCCGTTGCCATGCCGCCAGGCATGATGGTCCAAGACCCGTCGCTCGATCTTGACGATAAAAAGCCAGAGGCAAAAGTCTTGATCCCCACACCACATGCCCAGGCGCCTATGAGGCAAGGCTCAAGAGCTTCAAGCCATCCTGCCATGACACAGTCGCCGTCGTCGTCGTCGTCGGCTACCCACGCGTCAGCGCCGCCGAGTGAGAGGACGCTTTCTTCGCCCGAGAGTAGACAAACACACGCTCCTCTATCTCGATTCTCGCCACAACACCCCGATCACTTCTTCGTTGAGCAGATGCCTTTAATGGGCGGTCCCCCTCCAGCGTATACCCCTAGTCCTACTACCTCATCCGGTGCCTCTGAAGCGTCGGCGAACGAGAGAAGATATCGCACGTTTGCGGAAAACCACCTCGAGCGGGGCCTTCTTCAACCACATCAGCCCGAAAGCATGGGTGGACCTATCGAAGATAGGTCGGATGAGCGAACGCCTCTTTCGGACAACGCACCAAGAGCTACTCGGTGGCGGAGAGTCAACAAACGTGTACTATTACTTGCTATGTTATCTACTATGCTTATTGTATGGGTTGCAACTGTTTCTTGTGCACAATCTTTGGTGAGTACAGGGATCCCTAATATAACTCGATCCATTATTAGCATTCTTTCTATCCAAACATTTCCGAGTGGTTCATGGACAGTCCTACTGCATCCATTGGAATATACAGCCCCGCAATATGTCGACTTAAGTAAGTCGGTCGGAGGACGTAGCAGAGGTTTTCTTCAAAGCCCTCGGTTATTAAATCTACTACAAGAGTAGCAATTCTCTATGAGAGCTCAAATCGAGTCATATCTACTCAACTGTCTCAACTAGGTACATAATTGCGAGGTTGGCCTTGTGTGCTAACGTCATACCAAGCGTCACAAAAACCCCGCCGTAAACTTGCCTCCATCAAAAGGCACGCCGGCTGGTGCCAGTGGGCCATACTGCCCATCAGCAACGCACAAGAACGAAGAGGTGGTGTACGAGTTTCCTGTTGGGTCTGACTTAACTGTGATACAAACTACCCATGACGATGATGGGTCCCGATACATGAGCCATGTGGAGACCAAAGGAGAAGTCCACCTCCGACGACTACCTGTGGACTCGCAACATGGCAACAGTTCTCATTTTACCGTCGATGTGCGTGTCAGCGATCCAAACCTACGGATCAATAAGTCTTGGGATGAACATTCCCGAACTCTTAAGATTAGCACACCGAGGCGGGCACGGTTGAACTCTCCCAGACGTCACTGTGTCTCCCTGGAAATTACTGCTTGGTTTCCTGCGGATGCCGAATTCACAAACCTTTTGATTGAGGCTGTTACTCTTAATTTGAGGGTTCTGGAAGATATCAAAGTCAACGTATCTGGTCGTTCTAAGCTTACCACCCTGACCGGTGATGTTTTCTTCCCCAATATTGGAGACCTGAAAACTTCTGAGAAGGGCGTCCCAAGTAGCGATCCAAGCACTCCAGGCCAAACCTTAATTTCCGCTCAACCCGACGTAGAATCTACCTACCCATTCTCATCTCGGCGAATTGTTGTCGAGACTACTACTGGGCAAATCAGAGGGCAATACCCCTTGTTAGACTACCTCGCGTTCTCCACACAATCGGGGGACATAAAAGTTGACGTCCTTCCCGAAGATGCCTTGCCTTCTGCCCCCGCTCCCGCGGACCTAGAAGTACAAACAGCATCAGGAACCATTTCCGTGAACCTACCCCTTGTGGACGAGAAATACGCACCACCTCCACGAGATTACATCACCAACGTTCACTCCAGCGCTGGCGGCATACATGGAACATTCTACCTTGGCTCACTCGGTAATTTCAAGAGCAATTCCGGGACTCTCAATTTCAAAGCTTTGCCAATCGTTCAAGCCAATAGTGCGTCCGGGAATTTTAGTAATACCGTCCCTGGCACTTTCGAAACCCATACAGTGAGCGGAGTTACTGATATCGAAGTTCTGGACCCGTTGTTTATGCCCCACCCCAACTCCACAGAAGACAAACAGCCATTACATGATCAATCTCACCCAGACCCCTCCAAGGACAAGAAATCGAAGACGCTCCGCAACCTTCAATCTAAGCACAGTTCAAACTCCGGAACTGTCTCGGTCTCCTACCCCAAAGCATGGGAAGGGTCTATCCATGGAAAGACCGTCTCAGGCGATATTGTTGTAAAAGGAAGCGGGATCAGGACTATCCGGGAGAGGAAAGGGTGGGCATATAACGAAGTGCTTGCGAGGAAGGGAGTGGAGAATAAAGGGGAAGGATGTATGGTTGAGATGTCGGATGTTGCTGGGAACTTGAGTTTTTTCGTTGGATAAAGGCTACGGGTTGGGACGGTTCTACGGGTTTGGCCACTAATATTTATAAATAAGTAGGATTCTGGGATTGGATACCACGACGGCGTTCTTTGGAGCTAGGTCGGCGTTTAGAATTTAAAATTAGCCGTTGCGCTTGAGCAGGCTGTGGTAGCTATTTACAACCATAATACTATAATAACATATGGGTTATCTGTCACATGCGATTAGCCTCCTTACCTGCCTCTTTTCATTATGCTAACATACTTATCTCCACTCCCGCCTTCATACCTTATTTAGCCTCTTCGTATTCCCATTATCTAAACACCTCTTTTCGATCAATATCTGGATTCGATTCTCAGCCAAAAAGTGGTTTTATTAAGACTGAGGCAGGTGAATATTTACATGTGACTCGCTGTTCGTACAGCAGGTACGAATTAGTATTAGTATCTAGTACTTTCTTTAGTAATAGAGTATACAAGCTCTTAATCCCTTCGTCCTTTAGCTTAGCTAAGTAAGATAGGAATTTTGTCCGCTCGAGTTATAAGACTCTCTCCGATCTAAAATCCTTAAAATTATAGAACTCCTCTAGATTATATATTACCTCTAAGTAAGGCTTGTACTATAACGGAGTGGAAGTAGTTGACTGCGAATCAAGATTTTATAGTTGTAACTACCTAAGGAGAGAATAAGAATATATATACGCCGGGGCCCCCTTTCTACCCCTATTGCCTTAGCTTACGCGACGTAGCCACGTGACGCCTGCCTGTAGTTCTACCCTACTATAGTACTTCTATAACTCCTCGACAGTCCTTAGGTCGTAGCTACTGAAGAGCTAGATAGTTGTACTTAGTATATTACCTAAAAGTCAATATAGGTTAGCTCGCAAGTGTCTCTTTTAGCTTTTCGTATTAGGGACAATACCAGACTTGTAAATATAATAGACTACGATTTTATAAACCCGATTATATAGAAATATAATTAGTGGAAAAGGTGGTAAAAAGGGTCCGCGGTGACCCTAATAAGGAGAGTGAGTTAATTAACGTAAAAGGGAAGAGTTTAAATAGTCTAGATAAAGCTCTGTAAGTATAGAAGAAAGCTCTCTCTAATTATAAAACTCATAGAGTTGCACAGCCTATTAATCTTCACGTGTTCAAGTCTATAGTCACAGGTTAAGACTTCGACTTTATAAGATCCTAAACGATGGGTAAATTGGTTTTGTTTTATAGCTTAAATTATTACCCTATCCTGTTCATTTGTATATTGAAAAATCATCAATCTCCATCCCGAAAACCCGTATAACATAACCACCCACCACCATCTCAAAACGGCTTATACTCCGCAATAGCCGCATCAAACGCCGTATCAATCGGTGCCACGAGACCCTTTGCAACCTCCACAAACGCTGCAGGCAACTTGCTTACAACCGCCGCACTAAATTTATCCGTGGCACGCTTCTGCTCTTTCAAATTGACCAACACAACCGGACTAACCAGCACCAACTTATCAAACTTCGGTTTCGCATTCACAATTGATGTCAACACAGTTTGTACATCTGCCACAAGAGATGAGGTAGCTGATGCTACTTGAATGGTTTCGGGGACGGTAAGGTTGGCAGAGGAAGAGGCGACTTTTGTGCCAGAGTTGATGTCGTGGAGGAGGTTGGTGCTGTCGATGAGGAGGGGCACCACGTCGGCGAGCCCGAGGAGTCCGGCGGAGAAATCGGTAACCGTGTTGTTGAGTTTGGCGGTTGAAGAGGAAATTTTGCTCATGGCAGCGAGGATGGATGCGCCGTCTGCGAGGACGGTGGTAGTAAGGAGAGTGAGGCCTAGGATTTGGAGACGCATTTTGATGTTGGTAGAAGTATAGAGCTATGGACTAATTTTTGAGCTGGCTTTGTGGTTTCTTTAGGAGGCCACATAGTTCGGCAGTGGGATAGCTTTGTAGCTAAATACTACTTTCTATGAAATTAAGGCAGCACCTTGTGTGCAGATGAACCCAATTTCTCAGCTTCAATTTGTGGAGATACGACACCTGTCGGACCCCGCATCATTGAAAATCCAAGCATCTTTCCGTATGCCAACCCCGAAGTCAGATCTTGGGCATGTGCAAAGTTATACCATCAAAAGAAAATATGATGTGATTGGTTGCATTCATAATTGCGCGCATGTGGAAATTAAGATCCAACAACAGGAACAAATCATGCAGCAGTATTTACAAAGAATAAGTGGTGATCGCCATCGGAGAGGCGCAAATGAGATATAAAGCCGATGAGGCTTAATCGAGAGGCAGACCGGGTTGATTCGCCGAACGAGGGGAAGTATGGGGAAGAACCCTGCAAGCCGCGGCTTTCTTGTCAATCCTTAACGACATGTGAATGTTGTGAATTGTGAGAAAACACGAATGGCGGAGGTCTAAGTAAGTAAGGCAATTAATTCAAATCATCTAGATGCTTATGAAATGCCTCAGGAGGACAAAATTCTTGGCAATCATGATGAATGCCTCCCCTTGAGGTGGCAGCTCGGCCAGGACTTTAGGTGCGCTTTGTAGTCTGTGACGGGAGGGATTGGGTAGGGTGCCTGTTACGGATACAGAGAGGAGCGAGGAGGTGAGAAGGGATGGGCTTTCTGTTTCAGATAGATAGGGTGCGGGGGCGGGGGGCTAGACCAGGGGTTCGGGATGCGCTAGTGGAGGAGTAGAGTAGTATAAACCTAGAACAGGTAGTTTAGGGTTAGGATTAGCAGTCCCGCTGTCCATTTCAATGATATGATCTGTCGCTATGGTTTTCCCATCAATAACAATATCACCCGAAACAACCCATGGTTCTAGAATCGGCGCAGTGTTGAGTTCGCCGTCATATAATGAGGTATCAAGTTCTCCTAGGACTTGTGCTCCCATGCCATCTGCTCCAAGTACTAGTCCAAACCTGCACTGAGAGACTTTCTTCTGAGTGCAGAGTGTTTGGAAAAACGATAATGAATTGGTAGGGAACTGGCCAAAAATTGGCCCGGAAAAGCTAACAATTCCGGAGCCTTGAATTGGAGATTTGCCTGATCGTGTAATGGAACCGAAGTCTTGTTGAGAGGTCAAGCTCCCAAATGACATTTCATCACGGTATAGCGCTCCTTTCACCTATTTCATCGTATTATTAAGCGGTGTTGCTTTCAATACACGTTCAAATGGCTTACTGTGCTACTGCCCGTGCCGTTGCTTTCCGTGGACCCGTACGAATTTTCGAAAGTAATATTTAGGGTTTGAGAAGCTTTTCCAGGGACATAGATGCCAGGATTTAGGACCACATCGCCAGAGCCAGTGTCAATCAGCAGGCTAATGTTGGATGAGCCTCCGACTGTGAACTCCCCAAACCAAAAGCCCTACCACGGTAGTCAGAAAATTAACGTAGTTCGGAGAAGGATAAATATATTACATCATCGACTGTTATTGCCTCATTTTCTATGGCATCTCGACGACCGAGACGGAAAGGTGGAGAGCTCTGCTTTTAAACAAGAGAAATATGGGAAGATGTTGTAGATGTTCCCGCAGACCAGGGAACAGGAAGGACAGTGCATTGTAACGGCCAGACAGCACTTGAGAAGACTTCGAGGGTTGAAAGAGAGCGCATCTTGATAGACAATGTGAAATTATATTAGAACGAAGATGAAATTGTTGAGGGGCTTCTTCTGAGCTGGAGAAGAGCCCTTTATTTATACAAACGGAAGACTGCGGTCCATGATCCACCCCCATGACATGGTCGACTGCGTATTTATGGCACATTAGGGCTTGGGCATGAGATTATGATATTAGTACCGTAGGAAGGCGAAGGAATTCATAGCCCTAGCAAAGGAAGATACTATATGAGATATCTCCAGATAAGATGTCGAAGATGACTTGTCGTAATTCTAGTGATTCGCTCGGTCGCTTCTTAGTCATCAACGCTGACGGTCAACCATGTCGGTTCCAGAGACTTGACCGACGTCTGCGCCATAGCGGCGTTTTCAGCTCGACAACCATCCACAGGGCTCTCCATCCATATACCAGTAGTACCGTGTACAACGCCCCAGGTAGTACTACCGGTACATGGACGCAACCTGGGTCGTGGACTCGTGGGCAAGTTATAATTGGCATATCTGCTTATTTCTTAACACGGCTACTACGTACTAAAATGAGGCTTCGCCCCCTGTTTTACTGATAAGCTAGAGCTCCGTCTAACCAGTTTGGCCCCGTTCTTCATTTCATTCCAACGTATGCGCGTGTCCACTGTCTATCATTGTCTTGATTCCCAGCGCAACTCGAAATTTCCAACTAGAGAAAATGGAATTTGGACGAGGTGGTAAAATAAGAGTGACTACGGGATGCAGAACTTGCAGGTATGTCGACCCCGAGATCGTATCGAGATGTGGAAGTAGATATGACAGGACCATGACATATCAATTAATGACATGTCTTGATACCGGGAAGCAACCCTGAAGCTAGGGGACACGGGTGCCTTTTCTCCCTCGACTGCTCAAGTTGTGGGATATGCCGAGGAATCCTTTTCACGAGCCAGTGTAATGATGGCTATAGATGGTTACTAATGTTGGGCATCAGAGTCCGGCGAGTCAAATGCGACGAAGCTAAACCAACTTGCCAGCGTTGTACCTCGACTGGCCGTAAATGTGATGGCTATGGCTTATGCACGCCATCCTCGACGTCCTCCTCCCGCCAATCCAGGATAAATGGCCGAGCGTCTATGGCTGGCAAATCTCTGTCACCTCGTAGCCCCCCAACTCTTCCCACCTTTGATGACGATAGGCAACGAAGTTCTTTTTCCTTCTTCATTTTATGCACCGCTATCGAGTCTAGCCCGGGGTATGGTGCTGAGTTCTGGTCTCAAACAGTCCTACAGCTTAGTTTGACTGAGCCTGCGATGTACTTCTCTCCCATCACTCTTCTTCATATCCCTATTGAACTAACCTTCCCGGATATAGCCGGTATGCCGTCTGCTCGCTAAGTGCGCTCCATCAACGGTTTCGGGCCACTCATTTGAACGGACGTTTTCCAGGCGAGAGTGCTATAGAGTATGGCAAGTATTCTCTAGAACAGTACACCCATGCTGTCGGCCATACAAAGAGACTCCTTGCATTAGGTTCAGGCGGCGAGAAGACGCTGGTGATTAAAGGACTGGTGGCCTGCATTCTCTTTGTCTGCTATGAAAATTTGATTGGGAATTTCAAAACGGCGCAGATGCATCTGCAGAATGGCATTCGCATACTAGCGAGAGAAGCGAGTAAACGAGGTACAGTACCCGGGCCCCAGGTCAACTCGTCATCTGCTATCCCCAACAACGTCCAAAGGGTCTTTGCTCGCCTGGATCTACAGGCCATGGCCTTCGCCGACAATCAAGCGCCATACCCATACCAGCTACATCAAACTCCGCCCAACCTCAGATTTCCACCGAAGGCTTTTAATTCGACAATAGACGCAATGGACTACCTTATTCACAATTTTTGCTGGATTTTTCGAACTGCTGTTCTTTCAGAACCCCAACCAGTCCCAACAGATCAACTGGATGCAGCATCCAAAGTTTTGAAGGAGTGGAACTCAACATTTCAACGGCTTTTAGACTCTATGAGCGAAGAGAACCTCCAGAAGGTCTCGTATACCATCTCCTTGTTAAAGATGTACCATATTGTTATGACAATTATAGTCGCCACGGGTATCTATGGACAAGAGTGCATACATGACGCTTACTTATGGGGATATGAGCACGTTGTGGACTTGGGGGAAAATCTGCTTCCCAGGGAGATAGCCAAGCGGGAGGACAAACAGCACGTCTTCTCTTTCGAGCCTGGCCTCATCTTTCCCCTCTTTTTCACTGCTATTAAATGCCGATATCCACAGATACGTCGGCGTGCAATAGCTTTGCTTGAGGCCGCCAACCATCAAGAGGGATCTTGGGAAAGCATCGCCGCGAGCAGGGTTGCTGGCTTTGTGATGGGTATCGAAGAAGCCGGACTACCAGCCGGAGCTGGACCCGATTTAATCACAGAAACCGGACGTGTACATCTAGTCATGGTTTCCGTGAAGTCAGATCTGCGGAAGGTTGAGATTGGCTGTGTTCGGGTCTCGGAGCTAGATGGCTCTTATTATGTAACGGAAGGGAAGGTCTCTTACTGATTAGATGATTGTAGGATAATGATCACTATGTATGAATCGAGATCTTATCCTGTCAGAAACTCGATATCTCCCAGAGTGTGTAGATCTGAGCAGAAGCTCTCAACAGAAACCATCAAGTCAACCAGGGGCCGGAAAGGGGCCCATAGCGAGGGGTCCCGAATTAGTGACCTCTCGTCCACAATATCTGCCTGTTAGAAGTCACCCCTCAACAGTTGGCAGATAACCCCCGTCACTCTCTCTAATACCGATTGACCCATATAACACACTTCTACCTCATTCGCACTAAATCAATATCTTCCGCCTTCGCTATTACCCCCCACATGAATGTCTCAACATTTATAAATTGCATTTCTTCATCTTTCATCTAGACACCCAACATCTCATACCCTCTATTTGACTGTAATACGATCTAAGATGTGTCATTATCAGTGCTAATCTGTACTTCTACCTCTTTAACCTTAATCCGTATCCAGGTGTAATCTCTAAAACATTCCTATATCGGCAGCATAAGTAATAGGGCCCAGATGTTGATCCCTGACTAGACAGCCATAAAGATGTATTACATCTATTAGCTTTCATCAGATCTTTAAGTTCCCAGCATGTCAACTACTCAAGTATAGGTTTCCAAAAGCCCGCAACGTATGGTCCCCATCAGACTTCTTACGCGTGTCGGGTGACTCCAGAAAGAGCTGGTAGGTAGTACAAACTTCACGCATCCATACCCATATCCAATTATTTGTCCTCTCAATTTTATCTCTCTGACCGCCAAGGACTGGATGAATACAGGTTCGAAATAGCACATAACATGTATCCCACGAGATTGGCAATCCAACATCGTACTACATTCCCAGACGGGCTCTGTTGCTGAGTAGTGCACGCTTCTTGGAGAGAGGAGACCTTCATGTAAACTCAGATCGTCAAGGAGAGAGCGATTTGTGGTACTCATTCGTACATGAGGTGTTGGCCGTATTGGCAAAGATGTACACTTCGCCGGTGCTACTTGGAGTGGTGAAGAAACATCGGCCGTTGGTGTCAGATGAGTGGGCTGCTGCGATTTGTGAGGTAGGAATTTGATGGCAGAGACCACTAAAGTTTGATACCGAGGTGAAAGCTTCACTCAGGTCCTTCATTGAAAACTTTAAATGCGAATGACGGTCATGTTCGAACAAATAGCTCCCAAAGACTGTTTTGATATTTACCACTGGTGCCAAGCAAGTCAAGTTGGCCACCTGATCGGCAGAACCCCGGCATATCAGTGGCGCACGTGAGTGGTACGCCATCTGCACCGCCACTCTGGATATGACGCCACAGTGCAGTCACCACAACACCCCGCCAACGTTGAGGCAAGATTTGACTTTCTTGCTGGTGACAACCTTGATGATAGTAACATACATTTCTCACCCGCACCTATTCACTGCGCAGCAATATTGTGCGAAGTAAAGGTATCCTCTGGTGTACTGGAGACGTCTAAACTCTCATTTTCTACATCCCACGTTCCCTAAAATGTTCGTCCTCAGAAATGGTAAGTGCTCGAACTTTGTTTACCTGTACTGGTCCTCTTTATTGCCACGTTCGTCGCATCAGGGCTCGCAAAGCAAGCGCGCCCGTTTATGAGCGAAATCACTTTCGAGACATTGCTAACGTTGACTATAGTTGGGAAGCTGATCTTCGGCGATACCTCGAAAGAGTCCATGATCGATATCCCACAAGGTCAACTATACCTCGTTCGGCCACTTTCACCCAAAGGTTACTCCGAACTCATCTTCAAGGACGCTGCAGCGAGGATACGACGGACAAATCAAGAATTCCAGTATCAACTCGTGATCCAAAGGGCGTACGAGGAGGGTGAGGCCGAATTACTAGACGACGAGGATGGGGAGGACGTCGAATCTGCAGCCTTAGCGGCCGAACGCGACGAGAAGACTTTTCTGCTTGATGAGGGCTTACATTTTCGGTCCGAAATCAGACAGGGGGGAGAAATGGTGTTGGCTTGGAGAGATTTGAGTGGTGATGCCAGCGACGTCTATGAATTTGTCTGCGACAACTCGATTGACGAGGCTCAAGTGCAAGCGTTTGAGCTAACTGCAGTACATTGTCAATACGAACGGAAACACAGAAAGAGTTACCAAACCGCAACGAAACAAGAGCTTGCCCAATTTGTATTCGCGGACGAGCCACCTATTCCCAGTGCGAGCCCCGTACAGAGTCCCACACTCCGCCCCGAGGCTGTGTCACCTATCAACACGGACACGAGGCCTCTCACGACTAGGAGCACTGCCAACTCAGCATTAAAACGAGAGAAATCACCTACTAGAAGTACTCCGGTTCGAGAAGAAACCCCGACAGCAGCGCCTCCCGTTGCGACACATCCGGAGGCTCGTTCAATTCTTGCAGAAGAGATTGGAGAGCTACATCTGTTCGACTTCCAGTCTGGTGCGTTCATCCTGCAAGATGCGGCCGTTAAAACAACCGTCTCTGATGTGGGTAAGTGGCAATACTGGCTGCAAATTGGAAACGAAGACAAAGATTGGCTTGGCCAAGAGATTATTGCCGATATCAACCCTGTCTTTAGCTTTGAATACTTGTCTTGCATCTTCAACGCATACACACCCAATGGTGACGCATACTCTTGGCTCCTACGTTTTAAGGATGAGGCTACTCTCCTGCGTTTCCAGGAGGGCCTTATGCAGGCGCTATGGGAACAGCTGAACGAGATCAAGTGGAATAAAGCTAAGGAGGAGCAACGCGATTACGTTATAGAGGCGTTTCAAGACCTTACCATGGAAGATGCAGAGGATGCGGAGGAAGAAGAGGAGGAGTTTGAATCTGAAGAGATAGATGATGACAGCCAGAGGAGCGAGGAGTATGATAGCGATGAAGAAGAAGATGCGATCACTAGAGATGACGACGGGAACGTCAATTCACAACTCGCAGTCGGCCGAAAAGGAGACCGCTCATTTGTCGTTCGAGGATCGAAGATCGGAGTATTCAAGCACACACCCAACAACAATCTTGAATTCTCGACGAATATTTCTAAAGTCGAAACGCCAGGTGGAAAGCTCTTTAGTCCCAAGAAGGTGATGCTACACATGGAGGATACCAGTATGGTTCTGCAGAACGAGCAGGAACCTCATACGCTTTACCGCATGGATCTAAATTATGGCAAGATCGTCGACGAGTGGAAAGTACATGACGACATTCCTGTTAACAATTTCGTTCCGGAACACAAATTCGAGAAGGATGGAGGCAAGTCATTCCTTGGTTTATCTCAGAACGCTCTCTATCGGATTGATCCGCGTAATCCGCAGATGATTGCCGACGATGCGATAAAGCAATATGCCTCAAATTACGGCTTCTCTGCCGGCGCAACAACTGCGGATGGCCATGTAGCGGTTGCCAGTAGCAAGGGCGAGATCCGCATGTTCAAAAAGGAACACAGGAATAAAGCTGCGAAGACTCTCCTCCCTGCCATTGGTGACCCCATCATCGGTATCGATGTCAGTGCCAATGGCCACTGGATTCTTGCGACATGCAGAACATACCTCCTTCTCATTGATGCCCGGCACAAAGGCAAGTATGAAGGTGAACTAGGCTTTGAGAGATCATTCGGCAAGGATTCAAAGCCTCAGCCGCGCCGTCTGGGCCTTACACCCTCTCACGTCGCCCAATTCCAACACGAGACTGGAGCGCCCTTGTCATTTACCACAGCGCACTTTAACACTGGAGAAGGGTCAACAGAAACCTCAATCATCACCGCTACTGGCCCCTTCATCGTCACTTGGAATCTGAAGAAGGTGTTGCGAGGCAGTAAGGATCCTTATAGCATCAAGCGCTATGCAGAAGAGGTCAAAGCCGATAACTTTAAATACGGTAGCGATAAGAACGTCATTGTTGCCCTGCCGAACGAGGTTAATATGGTTGCTAAGCAATCGTTTAAGAAACCTACGCGAGAGAGCATTGCTACACCGGCGAGATTTGATAGAGGGAGAAGAAGCGATGCTAATAGGATTGGGACAAGGGATAGTGCGAGGTACAAGCTTGGGAAGGATGATGTTGTTAATTCTCCTTACTAAACTGGCCGCTATCATTAATTCGGAGCCTTTTGTTCGTCTAACGAATTTATGATTACACCGGAGTTGGGTCGTGTTTGTGGAGGATAATAGCGTGGTTAGCCGCAGACGCGGAGGATTTCTAGTTAACTGGAGGTGACTTTTGAGAGTGTAGCTAGAGCTAGATAAGCTTCCTCGGCAGCTATTATCTGCGCTACTGATTGTATGAATGTATTTAGCACTCGATACTAATGGCCATAATCCCCATGCTAACTCTTTAATGACGTGAAGTGTACAAATTTGAAATTTATTCCTAGCCAGCGTTGATAATTCGGATTCCTGCCCCCACTAGTGTGGGGTGGGTAGGTAATTGCGCGATATATAAGAAAGTGGGAGTATCATATTAAAGCACATTGATAATATATTCTGATTACCTGCGGGAGTGTAGGTACTTTGTAAGGTGTTACAGCATGTGACCAGCCTCGGCTACCCCCAGGCTTAGGATTTCCAATTCTTCCACACACTTTCATCGCGATACAGTATACACCGCACACAAATCCCATGCCTACCATCTTCCTAGCTCCTTGAACCCCTCCACAAATCCAGTTATGCTTTTTAGTTCTTACGGATTTATATGCTGTCTGTTAAATTGGCAAGTTGCCGTTAAAAACCATCTCCCACTATGTTCTTTGATTTCCTCGTGTCGATAGACTCTTCCTCAAATCGTCGTATTCGTAATTTCCATCTTACTTGTGTATCCCCTATTTTTCTATATCGGACCTCTCCTTCTGAGCTTGCATTTGTACAGCATATTGTTCCATACTCCCCATTCAGAGAAGCCGCAATTGGCGCATGAGAAGGGGGTAAAGGTTTCACAATATTGCACCAGCACGCCACTCGGCGCCTTTCAGGTCGTATCGTTACACTTCTACCATTCAGATTCCATGTTCAGTCAACGCGACGCAATTAGCCGCCCGATGCGACGTGGCTGACTTGATCGGCGCCAGGAAGCCTCCCGGCTTGTGCGACATGGGGGCTGATTCGATACGCCCAGGAGCAGGCGCATAATGTCAGCGGCAGTGCAAGTTTGCTCAGCCAGCTCAACACAGCGCCCTACTACTGCATATGACAAAATGAGAGTCATCTCCTCCCTACTCCTATTGTAAATTTTCTGTGCAGATATGAAATTACAATGCCTCTTGATCCCTTGACCGCGCTAGGTGTTGCGAGCAACATTATCCAATGCGTGGACTTCACTGTAGGGCTGATTTCCAAAACCCATGAGATATACAAGTCGGCGGACGGAGCGTTGGTCGGGAATCAAGATCTCGAAGTCATTGCCAGAAATTTAGTTGGGTTGACAGAGAACCTACAAAACGATCTCAACTACCATTTACTTCCCCTGGGCGGCCCAAACTCCCCAAGTAACACCGAAACGCGAGAAAATGTTGAGCTCGGTGCGATCAACACAAAATGTAGTGAGGTGGCTACTGAACTTCTTGGTGCATTGAATAAGCTCAAGGTTGCAGCTAAACATTCAAAATGGAAGAGTTTTAGGAAAGCTCTGAGAAGTGTTTGGGATGAGGACAAGATCCAAGTTGTTTTGGTCAAGCTTTCGGGGTGCAGGGCAGCGCTTGATACTGAACTCCTGATCTCATTGAGGTATGAATATCTAATACAGATGCAACGCAGTTGCTTACTCTGGATATAGAACTAGTATGAACAGCGCCTCTTTTGATCAGTTTCAGGGGTTCAAAGCCTTGGACAGAAGTACACACAATATAAACCAAAATCTCACTGCGCTCCGAGCAGACACCTACAGAAACCAACAGGAGATCCTGAAGGCTATACAACAGCATCACTGGGATGGAGAAAACCCCAACCATGTGGCACAGTTCTCCACCAAGGTCACTCAAATGGTAGACAAGGAGAGTATTGCTCTTCTTCGACAAAAGTTTCTTGACAGACTTAGTTTTCGAAGGATGTCTGATCGACAGGAAGAGATTCATCCTGCTCACGAAGAGACCTTTAACTGGATATACCAGCCCGCGGCAGGCCAGCCTTGGGGAAACTTCAGGGAATGGCTCCACCATGGGGAAGGGTTATATTGGATCACAGGGAAGGCTGGTTCTGGCAAGTCCACCCTGATGAAATATCTGTACAATAATCCGACTTCTACAGAGCTACTTCAAATATGGGCAGGGGATCTCCCTTTGATAACCGCCAGTTACTATTTCTGGGACGCTGGAACTTCGATGCAAAAATCCCAAATTGGCTTGCTTCAGTCCCTTCTCTACGAATGTCTAACGCAGTGTGAGGACCTTATACCTCATATATTCCCGTCTCGTTGGCGATGTTATGAAAATATTGGCGACGATTCATCCCCGTGGAGTCGAACAGAGTTGATACAAGCATTCGACCTGCTATTGAAGCAAGACGGCCTATCTGCGAAATTTTGCTTCTTTGTGGACGGCCTTGACGAATATGATGGGAGCAATAGAGAGATTGTTGAACTATTCCGAGGTGTCGCTGCTTCTTCAATGGTCAAAATCTGCCTCTCCAGTAGGCCACTTCTTGAGTTTGAAGACGCCTTTGGTAAATATCCTAAATTAATGCTTCAGGATCTGACCCAAAACGACATCAAGCTCTATACCGAGAGTGAGTTTGGAAGAAGTGAGAGATTTCTGAAACTAGGGCAACGCGAGCCAGAGCGTACTCTCCTTTTAGTTAAAGAGATTGTCAACAAATCAGCCGGTGTGTTTTTATGGGTGATTCTAGTTACTAGGTCATTACTTGAAGGGCTTCAGAACTGTGATAAGATATTCGATCTCCAAAGACGGTTGGAGGCGCTACCGGCAGATCTTGAGGATCTCTATTTTCACATGATGGAACATGTTGACGAATTATACAAACAACAAGCTTCTCATTTTTTTCGAATAGTACTCCACAAACGGGGCCAGGATCCCGAGATAAAACCGCTTGACCTAGCATTTGCCGCAGAGGAAGAACCCAATTTTGCCATCACAACACAAGTACGGCCATTGGAGGAGTCGGAAATTTCTTTCTGGCTCGAAGAAACAACCCGTCGCATTAATAGTAGATGCAAAGGCCTTCTAGAAGCCAGAACCGGTTGGGGAGATTGTCCCGAGGACCGAGTACGTATTCACTTTCTCCACAAGACAGTCAAAGACTTCATGGAAACATCTAAAATCCGGGAGACTATCGTTTCACAATCTGCAGCTGGCTTCAATCCAGATGTTGCTATGATGAAGTCGGTTCTCGTCCAGCTCAAAGTCTTCCCGGGACAAAAAACCAGCTTTAGGCTCTCCCATCTTGAGAAGGAATTTATGCAATATGCGGCCAAAGCTGAGATCACCTCAGGCCAAGCTCACCCCTCGTTGATGCAGAATTTCTACGAGACAGCAAATCAAATAGAGAGCATGTGTGCGATACCCAAAGGGAAATCTCGATATAAACGCCCTAATTCCTGGGTTCGTGAGGTTATGAGGAGCTACTTCGATCTTGATGAGGAACCATATTTTCTTTCATTAGTCGGCCTTTATAGTATGGACCTTTTTGTAGCTGGGAGGTTAGAACAAGATAAGCAACTACTCGCGAGTAAAGCAGGATCCCAGCTTCTTTACTCCGCTACTATCGGCGCGGGATTCCCTCCTGATGACTCTCAACCCGCCAGCTCTAAACTTGTGCGGCTCTTACTCGACCATGGGGCGGACCCCAATGCCACCGTTCAAGAGTACACAATGTGGGAGCAGTACCTACGCTATTTATATGAGGGTTACGGACCGGAAAAAGACTGCGAACCTGGCCAGATGTTGAATATTGTCGTAATAGAGGTCATGCGCCTACTGGTCGCGGCCGGTGCCAACCCCGAAGCATGCTGTTGGGTGAATCATCTAGAAAGAAAAGTCCCGGCGGTCACAGTTCTCACCGAATCATTTGGGAAAAGATACCCAAAGCAGATAATTGACCTTAAACAATTGATCCGACAGAAACTAGAAGAAAAGGTTGGATGCCTACGCGCCATGGAGATAGAAGATGAGTGGTACCAGATGTTGCTGGAGTGGCGTCGGGTGAAGGATGAGGACCAATTTGACGATTGGTCTGAGGAGGATCACAGGCATGCAGTGGTTGCAGCAAAGCGGATAGCCATCGCTAATTCTAAGAGGTGGAAAATATTAACCATATTCAAGAAACCCGCGGTTTTGAAAAATTTGGAAGGACTCTGGCATTTTAAGGAACCTCGACAGAAGCCGCGACGCCGATCGAGGCTCATCAGGCGGAACCGAATACATAGTGAAGGTAGCGGCTCTGGCGAAAGGAATAATCCTTGGGGAAGAATCAACAGAAGTCTATTGAGTCAAGTGCTCATTATGATAGTCATACTAGTCCCCACTTCAATCTTGTTGCGCTTTGTTGGAAAGTCCGAACAGCAGTTGGGTATTTGAACACAATGTAATTTTACGATTTTTCTTTCCGACTTAAGTTTAGAGTTTACATGGAGTCTGTCAATGGCAACATATAGATTGAAAGAGAGAGAGATATAATCGGATATAACAGGGTCAAGTCAAAGATGGATATTCACAAGTTACATGGACGGCATACAAGCCAGCATATAATAGTCGGTAAGTTGTAATTGAGAATGAACTAGTAAGTGGTATCGGTGGTACTATTTAGAGGGGATTGGGTTGGAGGAATTAGAAACTAGCTACTTCCTTGATCCTCTACTGGCTTTTAGATATGGTAGCTGACGTTCAAGTTCTAGAGGGCTACGTGTATGCCATCTACTTCATAGTCATGTGACCGTCCCCTTTGTTGCCACACCCATTTACTAGAGCTAGAAACCTATAACCCGTTTCAATAGTCATATCCACTGGCAGGGGTATCGAGAAGTATAATCCCCCAATCATGAATGTTAGCTACTTGGAAGTGCATGTGATTTGTAAGAAAATACGCGTGGAAAGCATGCCTTGCCACACTCTGATTCCACTAGGCCTTCTCTTCAACTAATGATTCAATATATTTGTGTATTATAGCATTGTCTTCCCGTTCTCCTGCCGCTTCTATGCAATATCCTTACCTACCTAGGCAGGTAGGTGTGAAGTGGTTTACCAATACCACGTGACTGTCTGTAGTCGCCGTTCCCGACACGACGGATCTCGCACGTACCTTGTTCCCCTGACGGGCCGAACGACAACAAATGTCGAAACTGCACAGCCAACTGCGGGTGGGTCTTCCCCACAACATCAAATAGCATGAATAATAATGAGTCAAAGACCTTTCGAAAGTTACGGGCTATCGTGAACGAGCGTATACGAGTGGTAGAAGGGTTCCCGAGCCAACGCCCCCAAAGCTGTGCCGAACACTACTTGGGCTCTATCTCCAGCTTTTCCTCGCTTGTTCTCCCCGCCTCCTTTTTCGGATATCAGGTGAAGGGGGCTCATCTCATCCTGCTCAACATTCAAGTTCCCTCACTAGGAAGTCGACGGTGGAAGCACGAGAGCAGGTTGTAGGTCGGCGGCCCCTCGGCTGACCTATCTCGAAATCCAGCGCGCGTCCTCGATCTACTTCGCTGAATAAAACTACGACGAAACTTTAGCACTTATAGTTAGTCTATTAGTATTAATATGTTAATATTTAAAGTTATTTAAGTTATTAGTATTAAAGCTTAAATAAATACTAATAGTTATCAAGGTAGGCTCGGCTCGGAAGTAATCTGGAGATCTCACAGTTGTAATTTAGGGATCGAATAGCTGAAGCAATTGAAGCAATTGGTAGTATTCGAGGTGGATGAAACGGAAGGAGAGCGAAGCTCTCCCGTCCTGACTGGATTGAATTAAGTGTGTGGGCTCGGCAGAGTTCTGCCGGCGCCAATGGCAGAGGATACACGACAGTTACATAACTGATTCTTGACAATAGTTTATACCAGTTATAATATAATCTTTTTTTTAATTTAATTAAAAGCAAAGTATTATTGATAATACTCTATTTATGAATATTTAAGCTATCGGTGACCCTCGCGTACCGGCGTTAGTTCGGTCGACTATGTTACAGGACTCGGATGAAAGTTCGTGGGTCAGCCGACCTGTAGTCTCGCAAGAGAGCAAGAGGGCAAGAGCGGAGCCGGAAGCCGAAGGCAAGATTAGAGTTTGATAAGCACGAGGATTACCTTTCTCCGCAGTTGGAGTCTTGGAGACGACGGAGATTACAGTACAGTACGTGCGTAGCTAGTCGATCGGGATGACCAGATCAAGATCGATATTCTGTAGGGGCGCGGCGAGGTACATAGTACTTACCGGTTACTGGTCGTGTAGAACTTCTTGGTTGGTATCGTGGACTCGTTGGATTTGAAGGATCGGCTTGACAAGTGTTCCAGGGCTGACGGATTCAGTTTATCAATTGTTGCGAATCGTTGTCTGATGGAATCATCAGTGGGTATCGTATCAAAGAGCCTCGATCCCGATCATTATCGCTATCGCTATCGCGATCAATTAGCGTTGGGCGACGCGTCGCAAACCTCAGTCCGTCCACTGGCAGTTTCAGGGTTTGGAATCAAGGGGGGCGGGATGTGCATCATTCATTTGAAGGATCTGTTCCTGCTGAAGGGAGGCTTGTTTGGGACCAAGCCTCAAAAGCTTAGTAACTGCCTCATATGAAGGTAGGAATCTGCACCGCGGAATGACGCTAAGCCTCCACATGGTGAGCACTTCGTATTCTTTTTTGGATCAATAGACCGACCTTGTTAATCAAGCATGAACCCATATCCTTGCCTCCACGACGGTATTTTCGGTACGTGGGCACCCTTTTGGCTCTCAGAACCCTAAATCTCCAAGAAGATTCTCACCACGGGCCTGTTACGGAGCTCTGGCCCCCATCGCGAAACCGCGCAACCGCGCAGGCCCTCCGCAACGGGTCATGATTTGCCAGCATGAGAAGGATTCAACCCATGCAATTTGGCTGAATCCTAAACTTGGTGGCCGAGGTGTGGTTGATCTCCTAATCGAATCATGGCCTACATGAACTACCGTGATGGTGCTCTCGTCTGCTTAATCTGAAGCAAGGTCGCCGTCCCATCTTCAGTAGGATTCACAGGCACACTTGTCAAAAAGTTCGACTACGAAATCTGGAGTGCTTGCACTCCCCTCCGACATCAACGTACAATTGTCGAACCTCATAATGTCGAATACTCACTTGGCAGAATTGAACAATGGCATTGTTACGAGTTGGATGCCATTGGTTACACCGGCGCCTTCACCATACCCGTCAAGTTGCCTTTCGGCGCTGAGGCTAGAAACGATATCTGGTAGCGTTACGAATATCGTGGCATTTGATCCGTGGTATGGACAGGCCATCGATACGGCCTACCGCAACTGTTTGGCGCCAGAACAAACAGTATGGTGGGCCCAGCAGAATGCTCCATCAACTGTCTTGAACCTTGGGCCTTTTTCATGTCCTACACCCTACACTACTGCAGCAGTCAGTAATATAAAGGCAGGGACAACTCTGATTGCGTGCTGTCCGAGGTAAGTAGCTTTACCCTTCGAAATGCTGATTATACTAAACGAATTTTCAAGTAACTACGCCTTCCAAGGGGAGATTTTGCCACCTCTTTCTGGTCGGCAGTGCCTCTCTCGATTGACGAGTGGCCAAGTTATCACTGCTAAGACCGGATCCATTGGTCCTAATCAATGGAACATAACGACCGCTACAATCACAGCAACTGATGTCGGAGTATATGGTAACCAATTGAATGGGTTTGTCTTCGCAGACGCCTCAGCGACGGCTACCACAACCGGGACCAAACCGACTGGCGCTTCAGGAAGTCCGACTGCCACGGGCCCAAATCTAGCAGCCTCGACTTCTGGAATACAAACCGCAGAGCAATCAAGGAACGATGCAGCATCGGCTTTAAGTACCGGAGTGAAGGTTGGGCTTGGCGTTGGAATATCGGCTGCAGTCATCGCTATTTGCTGTATGATAGTAGTTTGCTTTATGTTTCGCAGACGACGAGCGGCTCGTCGAGATGGCAGTTCCGATGAGCTGGGATCTACTAAAAACATCCCGCCCCGCCCCGAACGCTCCTTACCCCCACCTCCACTCCCGCCAAAGCCAGCGGCCCTACCACAGGAACTTTCAAGCGTAATCGACTATTACGAGGTAGAAGCCAATGAGAAACGGCCTCCGAAGGCGCCTGAGAAACCGCCAATTGAGATGTGGGCGTAATGGGGATCAATGATCTTGATTGTTTACGTGGAAACGGCCTTTTGCTCTTTTTGATAAAGGACCCTGGTTGGAGACTTAGGGCATCACTCGGCGGTGTTGATTTACAAACGGCAGTTACGATATGGGATTCACAGTTCTAGGGGCGTTGTTGAAATCTATCAGGATTGCAACACCGGAAGTAGAGGCAAGTGTAACCGACGACGGGGCGATGGGCCCCAACTGGCTTGGAGAGGTCTGGCTGGGTGGTGACACACAATATCACAACAGCCGCGAACCGCAGAGATAATTCCAAGCTTCGCAGGGAAATCAGATGTATCATCATAGATGAAATCTTGGGATTATTTGGAGTTGCATCGCAAATCCGGCGCAGAATTGCCAGCGGCAAAAGGCGCATTATATGGTTGTACGACCTGGCGGGTGTCAGTGATTTCGAAAGACCTACATATTACATTAAACTATTGTATTGCTATGTTATTAATAAAAAAAAGATTTAATCGATATTTAGACAAGTGGTGATTCGTAACTGTGTGTCTGTCAAAGAAACTCTCGGCGCTCGTTTTCCTTGCTGCTTACTTCGTACCTGCATGCTTGTCCTACAAGAAAAAGCAGGCTGGGAAGTTTTTAGCCAGGTGTAACACACGTGTAGCCTATATATACATATATATATCCCGCAAACGGGTCATCACCCTAATTCCACGCGGGTTCTATCTAGTATGTACCTGCGTCTACTTTAGTTCTTTCGGCCTATTCGTTTACTGGAACTTAAGGTTATCTAGGTTATCGGGCGCAATCCATGCCCCGCCCTGCAAGCCATTGATGACCCCTCATTTTTGCTTTCACCATAATTATTTTCCCAACAGCTTAGGACGTGTTTAGATAAAGGTCCTCCCTATTTCTGCTCGGCATTTAAAGTAAATCGACGGCGGTAAAGGCGGGTAGGGGTTGGATCGATCTCCTGCGACCGATCTGACAGATTGCCGTGCCCACAACGAGTCATGGGCGACGGGGTTTTGCGAAGAGCTTGACTTAGCGATTATCGATTGCGACGGCTAACAGGTTTCTATGGCAGACATACTCCGTAGAACAGCAAATTAATGTCAGAGCAATATAGCCTAAAGTCCTTTGTGTACACCTCCTCCGCACGATTAGAAAACAAAAGACTTTCATTCTTCCAGTATGAATTCCTCTTGGCGTGGGGGCAAAGCTTGTCTTGTTTCTTTTTATTGACATGCTAACTAGCTGAGTGGTTTAGGCGTTGCGCACGAGGCAGCTTTTGCTTCAAACCAGGCACTATGAGTGCTAGTCTACTGCTAGGCGTTACAACATGGTCTTATGTATGAAGTTCGCAGGTAAGGCTATCTCCGTCTCCCAGCCAACATAGAACCAGACAGTCCATACATCACCACATCTACATCACCACGCCCTTTACAGAGTCTTCACTCTCGAAATACTTGCACTTTTTTCTCACCGCAACCCGATACTCCACCGTCCCTACGGCAACTCGTGTGCTTTGTACGCATACTCTCTAGTTTATTATTAGCTTTACCTCATGCCAGTCCGACAGACTCAGCCGCGGTGTTTACTCCGTAGTCTAATAACCTAGTGGCCTCGCTTTCAAGCCCCGGGGATATACTGCACAGGGATGATCTCGCTCTTGCGGCGAACGCGCTTTTCTTGAATGCTGCGAACGGCATTATTGGCTGCATCTGACGGCGACTTGAACCAAAATGAGATGCTTGTACTTTGCAGCGCAACTAGAAGCAGACAGTGGGTATTTTGCCTCTCTTTCATCGCCAGGGCCCATAAGGCTTGCACGCCCGCTGCCTTCTCCTGACGACTCGCTACGCAGAAAAGGGGGGCGCCGTCGCAAAATCGTCGCTTGGGCTGCAGATGGCGACATCATTGCTCGCTTTCGTATCATTTTCTTCATCCCACAGTTTTGGCAGCTTGGGCCAACCACCCCGCGAGGAGCGCCTTGGTCTAGATTCCAGAATGCCATATAATCTCACACCGGCAGTGTCGTCCCCCATGGCCATCTTTCCTATTTCTGGGTCGAGGAACTTGTCACCGTCCTCGCCTCCCTGCTGCTGCTGCTGCTCCTCCTGCCTTTTGCATTCTCCCATAATAGCCAGCCAGTCCAGAGCCCCTAAGCCAGTCCACTCAGTCCACTCAGTCCAGTCATGTCCGATCCCGACATCCAGAAATCCCATCCGCAGCATCATGTCTCGGATTCCGCCCCAGAGTTCGACCCGGAGAGCGGCGTCAAGCGTGGCCTGAAGACCCGGCATCTCAGCATGATGGCCCTCGCAGGAATCATCGGCCCCGGCCTGCTCGTCGGGTCCGGCGGTGCCCTGGCAAGCGGAGGGCCAGCCGCTCTCCTGATCGGCTTTGGTGTTATTGGCATAATTGCCTTCAGTATAATGCAGTCACTAGGAGAACTCACAACTCTCTATCCCAGCGGAGGCGCCTTTACCCACCTTGCGGATCGGTTTGTCGACAAGGCGTTTGGTGTCGCCGTTGGCTGGAATTACTTCATTATCTGGGCCGCCGTCTTGGCCAACGAATATAATGCCGTGTCGTCCATCTTCGTCTTCTGGAGTGATAAAGTCCCGCTTTGGGGCTACTTCCTCATTTTCTGGTTTGCTTTTCTTGCATTCCAGCTCCTAGGTGTTCAGGCGTTTGGCGAGGCGGAGTTCTGGCTTGCGTAAAGATACCCCTTACCCCCTACCTTATCTCTTTCGTTGCGAGAGATAGATAGATATAGATAAAAATTCTAACTTGGTCTAGCCTCCTCAAACTCGCTGGTCTCGTGGCCTATTTCTTGTTCGCCATCGTCTACGCAGCCGGAGGGCTCAAGGGCCAGGAGAAACCTCTGGGTTTTCAATACTGGCATAATCCAGGCGCTTTTGCAAGTGGATTTGGCGGTGTAGCTAAAGTTTTTGTCTTCTGTTCTACGTTCTACGCCGGATGCGAATCCGTGGCCGTTGCTGCTACAGAGACGCGGAACCCCCGCCGTGCGGTGCCACTTGCAATCCGTCAGGTCTTTTGGCGCATCATCTTCATCTACATGGGCTCAGCATTCTTCTTTGGATTAACCTGCCCATCTAATGCTGAGGGTTTAGTCAAGGGAGGCAGCAGAGCCCTGAAATCCCCGATGACGATCGCTATCCAAAATGCAGGCTGGGAAGGCGGTGTCCATCTCATTAATGCGTTCATCTTCGCTACTTGTCTGTCCGCCGTTAACAGCTCCATTTACATCGGCTCCCGAACCATCCTCTTCATGGCCCAAGACGGCAAAGCACCGAAATTCCTGGGCTTCACGGATAGCAGAGGCGTTCCTATCTATGCGATTATCTTCACGAATCTGTTCGGTGCCCTATCTATGATGAACGTCAACACCGGTGCCGGTGCCGCGTATGGCTATATCGTCAACCTCAGCGGCGTGTCCACCTTCCTGGTCTGGGGCGCAATATCATTCATCCACATCCGCTTCCGGAGCGCCTGGAAAGCCCAAGGGCGGCACGTGGACTCCCTCCCTTTCAAATCCTTCTGGTATCCCTGGAACGCATACTTCGGACTGGGAGCAAATATCTTCCTCGCTTTCGTCCAAGGCTGGACGACCCTCGCCCCTTTCGACGCCGGGAATTTCGTGGATGCATATATCCTCCTCCCGCTATTCCCCATCATATATATCGTCTACAAATTGATCAACAAGACGCGATTCTGGAAGCTCGAGGAGATTGACCTGGATTCCGGGAGACGCGTGGATCTCGATGCCTCGTCCGAAGAGGAGTATCTCTCAGGCTCGGAAGTGGGACTGACGAGCTCGAAGAAACTGAGTATCTGGCGACGACTGGCGAGGAATTTTTAAATGAAATCAAGAGTTAAATCTCTATTTTTTGACCGTTTCTGGAGTTTTTAAGAGGAGGGTTGGGCTGCGAGAGCGCCGAGCGATGAAGATGTGTTGGAAATACCCAGTTAGTTATAGAAACATGAAACCTTTTTATATTTACCGATATTCTGGGCCTCTCTAGCCTCCTGGCGAGAGTTATATAACGGCTAGAAAAGTCCGAGAAGTCGTACGTCTATTCGGTATCTCATTCAAAGCTCATATTCAGGTTCAGATTCAGCAAGTACCCTCACCGGTGCGGTAGCCTTTTTCAGGTGTATTGAACCCCTTATCCCTCATCTTTTCGATTGAAATACATTTCAATATCTTTCATGCCCCTATTATTGCTATCCTAGTGGGATATGTTAGGACAATAGATGAAATCCCTGATTGTGAATGAAGCGTTCAATAAAACAGCTACTTGTCAATAATACCAAGGCATTGAAACTGGCCAGTATGGAAGAGGTAGATAACACGGAGAAAGTTCTTTATAGCTGGAATACTCAGTCATGCGTGGTGTTGGGCAATATTATTATTAAGAAAGTGATGAGAGCACTGATATGATAAGGAATAACCATGAGCATTTACTACACAATAACTGAGGATTTTGGTCGTCGCGTTGTTAAGACATATATAATTAGGATAGGTACGCACCAGCTAAAAACTCATTTCTCCACACGCTTGCTCGCTTGCTCGCTTGCTTGCTCCCTTTCTCGATATAACAAAAAGCCATGTAAGTCAAAAAGAAGGCTCAGCCGGTCCTCTGGGCATCATCACACCCCACCCCCTCAGCGACATTCAAAATATCAAAACACAAAATCAAAATATCACAAAATCCCCATAATATCTTGTCTTGTCGGCGCCATACTTATGATTTGGTTGGTTGGTTGGTATTACATTTAAAAAGGTTTGTTTGTCCCCCCTGTTTCGTATCCTATTCCTATTTCCTATTTCCTATTCCTATCCGGAACCATACTCCACACACACACAAGATATGCCGTATTAGCCAAATTTCGAATTCCCGATTTCGCATTCAGTACGTTGTTTTTCATGCATTTCCCGTTCAAGGCACTGGAATTTGAACCCTTTCTCTTCAGCCCCTCCCTCTCTTAATCAAATATAAAAAGAAAAACACGCTTAGGCCCCAAACAACTAGGCGGACCTACTTTCGTCGGAGGAGAAGCGTAAGCTTCCGGACCAGCCAGACAGACGAAAGTGGCCGCCACTTCAAGTTCACCCCCCCCAACCACCACCCAGCCGCCTATTAAAAAACCCGATATTTTGAAAAAGGCAATCACAAAAGCAAGGAGAGCGGATATATTCCAAACGCAACGCAAATAAGCAAAGCATGTTGAAGGTGTATGTCCATTCAACAGCCAAGGTATCAGTCAAATTTTGTCAAGAACTCCCACCCAACGTCCGCTGCTCGATTCCCAAGAGCCAAGTTAAAAACCACGCCATCCTGCAGTGCTCGCTCGGCTACCATAACTCGCGTTTCAGTGGAATCAAAATTCCACTCGAGGTCCGGAAAGGGTTTACCAACCCTTCTTCCTTGCGAAACGTTTATTTAGGAGAGCGAGCACCTTCGGCACGTTGAATTGGACATACTCAAGATCGAGATCTTCCTGGTTATCCTTTTGCATCTCGAGGAGATCGTCTAGCTTGAGATCAAGTTCTAAAAGTCCACGATTGCGACCTATTGAGAATTAGTGGAACCCACTTCTGGGGTAGACAGATCTTCATACCTTTATAATGGAGCGAAATAACGAATGTACCAGGCAATGGACTAGTGAAGTTGAAATAAATATTCGCTCTTCGGTTGTCAGGGACATTGCTCTTCTGAATGACACCTTCCTTCTCCAATTGTTGATGCGTGAACTTGTACGGTCCCAGAACTTGATGCTTCTGCTGTTTCCGTTTGGTGCCTTCGCTCTGGCTTCGAACATTGTGAAGATAGCTCTTGTAAGTCTCAAGTTGCCCAACGAGGTACGAATTGTGATCACGAATCGTATTGAAAACCTCCTGAAGCTTTTGCGACTCGAGAAGCACGCCGTCTTTCAAAGAGCCGAGATGTTGCAACTCCTGCTCAACTTCATCCCGGAGGAGACTAAATCCATCAGATTTATCAATGACCTGGAGCTCCTGTAATTGACTGAGTAACTCCATAGCGCGGATGCCCTTCCGCACCATCACCGCATCGTTGCGGGATGTTGCAGCAGCGTCTGCGACGCGCTCAAGCCGCAGGGGTCTTCGGGCAACGGCACTATTGCTAGGCAAGGACCGCATAATTTGTACGAATGTGGATTTGGCCTCCATGAAATAGACCTCCTCCTGTGTGATATCCAAGGCGGCAGTCAGGTCGTCAATTGCCGTCTCCCACTTGCTAAAGAGGGGTAGGTTGATGGATCTATTCTCTTTTCGGGGTAGCTGCGCTGGGGCCGGCCCTAGATCACCCAAGATGACGGCGAGATGAGAATTCTCGTCTCTGTTGAGCTCAGCGCTGTGCTTCTCGAGCAAGGAATGCGTCGCATAGACCTCGTTCAGTGTGATTGAAAGCTCTAAATCCTTCTTCGACAACGCAACATAGTTGTCCATTTCTAAACTCTCGTAGAAGTCCTGAACCTCACATAAGTCGAGCATAAATTTATTGACACGCTCCTTGTTGTGCTGAATGAAAGGTTGCAATTTGGCCATATAAGGTTCCTTGGCATAAGCTGGCTTGTTCGCCAGGTTCTGCAACATCTTTGCGATTAGAGTTAGGGTCCGTCTCGGCCGCTCAGCGGGAGTTCCGTCGATAAGCATATAGGACTTTGGTGTGACAATTGCTGGGTTGATGAAGCGGAGGAAGAAAAACCCTCCAATGAGGGTGCAGATAACTTGATCGTTGGCATCGGGGTATTTACGCTTTGTGAGACTTCGAATTTGTTTGCATATCCATCTGATACCGTAGGGAGTTTCTTCCAGGCCTTCAATAATTGTGGTCAAGAAGCCGTTCGCTATCTCCATCAGCATCGTTAATCGAGGCTCGATAATGGCCTGGACCTGTGCATTCTCTGCGGCCTGCTCTGCCACCACTCCCCTCGGTAACGATGCCGGGAGGCTTCCGGTGTCTTCTTCGATTTGCTGGATCATCCGCTCGTACACCTTCAATGGATTGATCTCGAGATCAAGATCCTTCAACTCGATCAGCCCGTTGATCCGATCAGCCAGCACCGTTTTTAGGTAACTCTGCCCGGGACCTCTTCGTGTATATGTTGTCATCATTCGAGATACGGGGGTATTCGCACGGAGAAGGGAGGAGTATTCGGGGGTATTGTCGAATTGGTACGTGAGGACAGACTATGAAGAAAACGTCAGAACTAGGTAGCCATCCGGAAGTAAAAGAATATGTTACCTGGAACATAGTTAGCAGCAAATGCTCTTCACGGCTCTCATATTGATTTCCATAAATCGTGAACATGACGGTTTGGAGCAAAGAATCAATCTCAGCCATTGTGACGAGACGGCAGAGATGGGCGATGTGTCGAGGCTCGGACTGCAGAAGGAAGAGGAGATTCCCGTATTTCTGCGTCTTTTCGTCGTTCGGGAAGAAACCCTCTTGTAGGTCTGACGCATCTTCTAGATGGCTCGCAACCTCATTTTGCTATCAAATGTTAGACCAGCGGCTCCCCAAGCATGCACAATCCTTACTTCTTCTAATGCCATCCGATTCTGAATTAATAGGGCGATCCGCGAGTCGAGATATCTAACGTCCTTCTCCAACACAAAATTCTTCTTCGACTGAGACGAAATCTTCGACTTTAGGTCCCGCAGTATTTTCTGGGCTTTGAGGTATTAGTTAGTAACTGGTCAATAACGCATAAGGATACAAAACCCTACCTTTAGCAAGATCATCTTCAATTTCCAAATCCTTCTCGTTCGCAGACATAGACAGGTACAGCGTGGTCATGGAGTACCGCTTAGACTGTCGGACGGACCTGGCTCCATCGTGGGAAGACATGGTGTTCTGGCGCGAGACGGGTTGAAAGGAAGAGGAAGAAGCGGTCGACGCCCGGGACGGGGTCTGAAGCATAACGCTCATTACCGTTGCCGCTACGTGCAATTGCAAGTTTTAGCAATTGTACTGCTGCTTCTGGGGACGGCGGGTCGCCGGTCGTGGTCAAGTTTCACCGCTACACTCCCTATTATGGGTCGTGGGAACAGTTTCGGGCGGTCGTTGCTTAAGTGTTGGTGTATGTGTGCTCCAAATGGAGTCTGCGAAAAAATAGCGTCTAGGTCGATAATACTGATATTCGAGCAATGGGCGGGGTTGGGTGTTATCGTGCGATAGGTGAACGACGGGACGTTTGCAGCCAGGGTCGATATTGGAGGGAAGCGCGATTGCGGGTTGCAGATTGCGTCTCGATGGCGGCCAGCGAGCCACTCGATTCGAATCTGGACGAGGAGGAGGGAGGAGTGGTGGCTCTCGGAGTGAAGCCGGTGGATGCGATGCTAAGGATATCGAGGAGCAAGGCAGGTAGGCGATAGGGCTCAAGTTGTAGATGTACGAAGTAGTCTAGGCTCTCAGCCAGTCGCAACGATTCCCAATGTCAATAAGAACGACCCCGTGACGCAAGGCGTGCAGGTGAGACAGGGCGAGCCAAATAGGTGATTTGAGATGCGACGCGATGCGATGCGATGCAGCGAGGCGCGGTGCGGTGCGAGGAGGCTGTGCAGTTTGGTCTTGCGAGAAGGATAGTCGGAGATGGCGTTTGGAGTATGGAGTATTGAGTATTGAGATTGTATTAGAGTATGGAGACGTAAACAACGGACCCAGGACCCAGGACCCAGGGGGAGCGGAGGGGAAGTGGGAGATGGAGGAGGGAGGCGGAGTGGGAACGTTTCGAGATTGTGATGGAGATGGGACGGCGATGCGACGGAGAGGTCGCGGCTGTTGTTGACGGGGTTGTTGTAGGGGGGCTTGGTTAGCGGTGGAGGGTGCTGGGAAACAGGTTAAAGTACACTGAATGGGGGGGTTGATGGTGCTGGAGTCGGTACGTCCGTAGGGGATGTTTTAGGGGTCTTAGGGGGGGGGTTAGCGCTAATAAATAGCGGTGGTTAGTGGTTGTAGTGGGTGATTCTCCTGGTGGCCGGGGGATTGGGGATGGGAATCATACCTCCCTCCGTACGAAGTAGGAGATGAAAATGATAAATGAACCGCCAACACCGTCACTTGGCAGGGCGCCGGTTTGAAACAGGGCCAGGGAACACCACCAGGGCAAGAGTTGCCGCCTCTGGTTCCTATTAATACAAACATCAAACCAGATGACGACTTGGATTTATCATGCTCCACCGGGTAGGGAATACGTAGGGACTACGTAGGTACTCGGTACTATATCAGGAACAGATCCCCAAGTTCCATGCTCAATATTGCGATAGGACCTTCTTGTCCCTGGCTAAAGCTTTGATATGATCTACTTGCACTTGTACGTAGTACTCCTTGGATTTTATGATACTTTGTTTAGATATCATACGGTTCTTTTACCCCTGGCTTACGATCATTCCTTTTTTCAAGACCAGATATTGCCAGATATGACTCTCATTATTTGCGGGGCGGAGGGAAGTCCTTTAGAAGTACTTCATACCTACAGTATCTATTCTTGGTGGATATCAGTATCATATCGGAATCCGAAACCAACACAAACAAAACACCCACAAACACCGAACCCCTCCCGGGGGAGAAGAAAGCACCAACCAAGCCGATCCAACATGCACATGCAAATTAACAAAAATACTTCCGCGCTTCAAGCTGCATACTCTACTGCACATATACACAGCGATCATGGCCCCAAAACGGACATGTTCTAGCCTTGCCTTCCGGACATGCCTCCGTATCATTCCTATATCGCCGCAAAGGTATGACTGCCCGCCGTCCTAGGGAATTCGGGCGCAAGCAGGGGCGCCTAGTTTCCGTCGTGCAGATAGCTGCAGATAACTGTAGATAAACGCCATGCTGCCTCCCTTTCCAGTCTCGAGGATGGATTATTGGGGGATGTTTCTCCCCCCCACTGCCGTTCGCTCGGGCTTTGGACCGGTCGGCCTGCTCGGCTTGCCAGGAAACGGAATTGATAGTCGTTGGGGAAACCCCGGAATGATGGACGTGGAAAGATCCAACGAGCTGAGGAGGCGGGAGATGTGGAGAGGACCGTGCAGTATTGTCTCGGACTATTCTGTCCCCGAATTGGGGTTTCCAGGTCCCTTGATACGAAGTACTTTGTCGGGTCCTTTTGCACGTGTACCGTACAGTACAGTACATACTTATCACGACTCTGCTACATGTACTCGTACTTGGTAGCGTTGCTTTGTTCGGTGACCTTGGTCGTAATTGGGACTGGGTGCGGCCGAATGGTGGCGCCCTGGGTCGCTGGTTGGGAACCATACAGATCGGGCTGTGAGCGCCTCTCCGTCCCCAAGCCCGCCACCTGGCCCGTCATTCTGTCGTGCCACTGCTGCTGCCCATTGTCGGGCTGCGGTCGGTCAGCCGTAAGGGACCAACATCTTGTTGTTGATTCTGGTGTTGCTGGTGTTTTGCTGATGGAGGGGGGGGGGGTTTGGTTGAGTTTATATATAGAAGAGTGAGTGGGTGTTTTATACTTTCGATTAGTATGTGTCTCTGTACAGTACCACACTGCCTTAGGTAAGGTAGGTAGGTACCTGAGGTACCCTCCGTACCTTTTCCTCCTCGTACCTGAGCTTGTTCCTGAGAGAGACTGACAGGACCGTTCTGACACTGATTAATAATAAGTCACCCACCATCCTCGGCAGGTACCCGCTCGGTACCATCGGCATCGGCCTTTCACTGGCGCCGCGGGTCCCGTGCCACCCACCGCAGGGCGCTCGGACGCTCGCTATTCCCGACGCAGCGCCTGGGACGTGCGACGTGGTACAGAGCGTCTCCTTCGGGTTGCTGCCACTGGCTGGGCATCGTCCCTTTTGGCACCAGAACCAGACATCGGCTTGGTCTACGAATGTACTGTGCAAAGTACAGAGTACAAAGTACAATATCAATATCAATACATAAGATCTGCATGCCACACCGGGTATATGAAAGGTCTTATAGATATTATTCAAGCCAGCTTTACGAATCGGATATTGGGGGGATAAAGCATACTTGGGAAGAATGCCTAACAATGGCAAGGTTAGTCCGCCACGCATAAAATGCCACTGGTACTGGTACGAGCAGTGCTTCTTTTCTATCCAGGCCTAACTGCATCCACCTTTGAAAAGGAGCTGCGAGACTTGGCTAGATACTAAACACTGAACATCCATCTTTGGAATAATAACTATAAACGCTTAGCCACTGTTCCTCCCGGCAATAACCGAAATGTCCAGCACACGGGCTGTGGCTGGTGATGCGCCTGGTGATCAGTGATATCATTGTAGTAGGGTGATGACTAAGCAAGGCCGGTCATCACGGTTGTGTCGCCACCTCGGCGTCGCTCACTCACTCACTCACTCACCGACGTCCCTGCGAGGCGAAAATCCCGTAGTACAACTGAGCGTACGACTAAAACATAAATATCTAAACATAAAACAATAGGATTTTTTCTTAGGGAACCTTCGCAAATGCTTATTAATTGTATTTTATATATTCATTTAGTTTACAACACATCTCTTTACGTCGCGACTTGACTCTACCTCGGTAATATTTTCGAAGTTTAAAACTATGAAAATATTAAATAAGAGTAAGTGAGTCAAATTTATAGCCTTAGACGTCTTCCTCAGTTATTATTCCATCTCAACGTTACACAGTACTATGTACTATTTGCAAATGTTTCCATGCTATTATTCTATCTATCTAATTAATCGTAGTATTATCTATCAGCCGAGGTACTAATCTCCAGTTCCTCAGTCTGCCATACAACTAACATTGTTGAGGAAGACAAAGTATAAGGGTGATTAGCCCCTAAGATTCTAGCCCGTGCCTCTACACATTGCTTCATTAGCTTAAGGGCATCTATATCTCGGCTATTTCTTTTCCATATTAAGGCAAGATTAGCCATGCTGGTCAGCGTGTCTGGATGCTCCTGCCCAAGTACCCTTGAGCATATCTCTAGTTCTGTCGCTTGCAGCTCCTCAGCCTCCTTCCAGCGTTCCTGATACTGGTATGTCGAAGCTAAGTTGGTCATGCTGGTCAGCGTGTTTGGATGCTCCTGCCCAAGCACCCTCTTACTCGTCTCCATTACTTGTACCTCAAAGTCTTCGGCCTCCTTCCAACAGCCCTGATTCCAGTATGTCGCAGCCAAGTTAGCTATGCTAGTCAGCGTGTCTGGATGTTCCTGTCCAAGCACTTTCTTTCTCGTCTCCATTACTTGCACTTCCAAGTCTTCGGCCTCCTTCCAACGTCCCTGATTCTAGTATATCAAAGCTAAGTTGGCTATGCTGGTCAGCGTGTCTAGATGCTCCTACCCAAGTACCCTAGAGCATATCTCTAGTTGTGTCGCTTGTAGCTCCTCAGCCTCTTTCCAACGTCCTTGATACTTGTATGTCGAAGCTAAGTTGGCTATGCTAGTCAACGTGTTTGGATGCTCCTGCCCAAGCACCTTCTTTCTCGTCTCTATTACTTGCACTTCCAAGTCTTCGGCCTCCTTCCAACGGCCCTGATTCCGGTATGTCGAAGCTAAGTTGGCTATGCTGGTCAGCGTGTTTGGATGTTCCTGCCCAAGCACCCTCTTACTCGTCTCCATTACTTGTACCTCCAAGTCTTCGGCTTCCTTCCAACGTCCCTGATTCCAGTATGTCGAAGCCAACATAGCCATGCTGGTCAACGTATTTGGATACTCCTGCCCAAACATCTCCTTCCAACTCTGCAGAGCGTCATTGAAATATAGCTCTGCTTCATTGAACCGACCGTCACTAAACAGGGCCGTAGCATATTTATATACTAGGTTCGTCCTAGCCCCGTTCTCTTGTCTAAGGTGACCAAATGAGAGAGCAAACGTAGTATGCGGTAGTAATCGTCTCCACTTACTTCTATTCCCATGATTACTGTCTGGGAACACTTCAAGCAGACGTGTAATAGCAACTTGAGTCCATTGGCTTAGCAATTCCTGATTTTTAAGCCAGTTGCGTGTCGAGAGATGCACCAGTCGATGAAGGTCGAGCGCTGATTCAGCCGTTCGTTTGGTGACAAATGAGTAGGCGTCGAGGGTTCCTACCGCGTCTATTCCCTTTTCGCGCGGCGAGGTCGCCGGCAGAAGAGCTAGCGGAACGTCCGTTGGATCTACACAGGCCATGAAGAGGAGATAATCAGCCGCCAGCGTATCTTGGTGACGAATCTGCTCGAACGAAATAAGCCAAGTCGTAGCTATAGCGTTCTCACATTCTTTACTGATAGGTTTAACGACTTTCTTCTTTTGCTCAGCTAGTAGCAATAGATATTGTCTGAGCGTTATCTTGTTGAAGTTGATGTAGGCTGCTGCTTGCACAATAGCCAGAGGGAGGTAAGCGAGCTCTTTGAGCAAGAGATCCGCCACCTCTTGCTCGTTCGCCGGGCTGATCAAACACATTTTCAGCATCCTTTGAGCTAAATCCTGTTCTATCTCTGGCAATTCCACAATATCTTGTAACGCCAACGTGACAGCCGTTATCCTGTCAGTTGTTGTGAAGACGATGGCCCCCTGATCAGACACCGGTAGATACTCGATCAGGCTAATTGCCTGAGATGACTCGGCGGTTTCTAGTCTTGCCTCGTCCGTGATGTCAAATACGAGTAGCCACTGCCCTGCGCTCTCTTTACTTAAGTAGAGTTGAACCAACTTTTTGACATCTGCCTTTTCATCATCCCAGCCTGGAATGCTAAGCCGTTGAGCAATATACGCATACGCTTGATGAAGACTCTCCATATCGCTTGTAGGTATCCAGAAAACTAAGCAGTTCTTAAACTCTTCTCTTATTCTGTACGCCAACTCGAGCGCCAGCTGTGTTTTGCCTATACCGCCCGAACCTGTGATTGCGACCTTTGTAATTGACACTCCGACGAAGAGTTTTCGTCTCAGATCGGCGAGTTGCGATTCACGACCAACAAATCTAGCGTTTCGGTCGAATGGTACAATGAACGGTGTAGTGTTAGCTGCGCGGTAGAATTTAGTACTTATCAGACAAAAGTGTGTAGGCTATACCTTTTTCCATCTCTTCCTGGAGTCGGTTCAATGCTCTCTCTTTTCCTTCGCCATATCTAAACTCCATAGACACGCCGAAAATCCCAATCAAAGAGTATGCGATATCTTCTTCTTGCGTTGTCTGGCGGCCTACCGTCCATGCCCTTCGATCCCCTACACTGAAATTCTCTAGAGGGTCACCCCGTAAAGCGGCGACTGGAATTCCAGTAATCTCATATACCTGCTGCTCGAGGGATTCTTTGTCACCTAACCGCCGACGTTCTAAGGAGAAGAATTCGACTGATGCAGGAGCTATAAGCTCCTGAAGCGTCCAGCCTCGAGTAAACCATCTGCTCTTTCGAAAAGATGCTTCCCATACACTCTGGTGTAGTTGTTCATCTGTTATAGGTGTCGAGATATCCGAGAGATATACGTAGCATTTTGATGCATTTCTATACCATCGGAACATAGAGTTTATCGCGCTTGAAAGCTCACGGAGGTTCCATTTGTCAATACAACATGTGTCGACCCAGAAGTACTGTAAATGGTCACGAGCCGCTTGCTCACCAGAGAACAGAATCTTTTCATAGCCAACCTTGCTTTTACCAGTGCCATTCACTAGATCTTCGAAGAGGAACTCGTCACCACCCCAGGTGTGTGAAAGAATGGCATATGGAGGAATTGTTTTCCCGCTAAAATTCGTTTGGGTCAGCCTCTCGGAGCTATCGAAGTGAAGAAGCCGCATCGCTCCAACGTTAGTTTCAAGTTACAAGGATAAACGCAGGCAGAAGAAGTATTAAGACACAGGACAGTATCGCAGGTAGCCGGACATGAATAGCCGCAGGATCGCAGGGGAGAAAGTAGTGCTCTATATATTACGATGATGGGCTGTGTAAAGGCAGTGGAAAGGCGTTGGACAGGCTCAGCCGCGTCATCACGTGCAATTGGTTCGGACCCCACAGAATAAATGCTTGGTAAGTGATTATTGGAGTGTACACACATTGGCACATAGGGATGCGAATAACGAGCAAATTATGGTGATCAAATTAAATGAAGGGTTGTGCTGAGTCGCAGTAGTCGAGTAAGAGCATGTTTTAGCAATCTGATTCTTAGAATCACTTACTAAGTAATGTTTAACTCAGTTAAACATCAAACGCTACGCCCGTGACTGATTATAACAGACTATTTCGCCAAGTAGATGCGCGATCTAAGTATATTAATATTTCAAGTTAAGTATATTGGATACTATATATATACATATATTTTAAAAATTCCTTTCCCAACGCCCTGATCTTATTAGACTTTTCCTCTTTCAGGTCTCGACCACATGACAGTCTATATCAGGAGCTGTTAGAACGCTCTACCACATAGAGTGCACGTGCGATTGTCATCCTCAGGCGTCAAGGGCGATATTTGCCCGAGGCCTATAAGGATATAGTTGCAAGTGTGGCTGAGATGGTCGACAAATTGGCAAAAGTCACCGAGCAAAGTCCTTGTCATAGAACTCTTATTTAAATTCTCACTGTATTTTGATATGAACCGTTTAAAAATAATTGTAGAGGAAGTACATGACTTTCTCTTACACCTGCTCGAGATATGAACTAGAAGGCATTCTTACAGTGTGGCGAACGCATCGCGTCTATAAGGTTAGGTAAAGTAAAAAAGTTAAATAATATTTCAAATAAGCACAATAGAAGCTCTTAATAAGAAAAGTCTTGTACAGAAAACATTAGCTACAAATAATTGTACGAGATCTGTGAATAGGTTATTTCTATTTGTTGTTGAGATTTTTGCGTTTTAGTCGAAGTACTGTACTACGGGAGTTTCACTTCACAGGGACGTCATGTCGGGTGGTGACTCTTCTTGCATCTCGTCGTTGCCCCGCGACGCCGTTATCGTAACTCCGCCGTTCACTCTTCACCTGCTCCAGCAACCCAACTCATTTCTTCAAAGCAAAAACGTACAACAACTATGACTATACTCTGTTCTCATTTCCCCACCGCCATCCCCACCGCCATCTACCTCAATGTATGCTTGCCTTCCTGAAATCCCACCGCCTTGCTATACAAAGGACTAATGATTCGACAGACTTAATCCTAATCCCTATGGCTGTCACCGTCAACGACACCGGCCCTTGGAGCTTTCGTGAAGCCCGGCAGTTCCTTCGATCCTTTGATCCCCCATCCCTTCCTCCAGATCCGAATTCATCCAATTTACGACCACCGTCGAAAATCGCTCTGGATTTCGATCCCTCCGAGTTCAATCCAAAATCGAGTGCATCTAAAGCACTAGGGGATTTCGACCGCCTCTATGCCTTCTGCGGCATACCCATCAATAAACAGTCTCGGGGTCGAAATGATTCAGCAGAGTCCTCATCCTCCGACCCCAGCTCCGACCCTTACTCAACGTCTCTGTCATCCGCACCCGACGATGCTCTGAAAAATGCTGCTCTCGGATTGGGACTTGCCAAAGTCGACTTGAGCCCCCTAGATGATGGTGGACAATCCGATGGCTTTATAAGCAAGGCCAAAGAAGTCCGCTGGAAAGACGAAATACCCGGCCAGGATATCTCGGAATCGCGCATGCGACGCACTTCGGCTTCGGCTGGAGATGTTGATCTTGCGGAGCTTATAGGCCTGCTCGAAGACGGCTCGGAGACCGAACCTGCAGCTCAAGCAAAGCTCACTGCTATATCTAAACATCTTGTTAAATCTAAGCCATTGACAGGTTCCCCGGCCACACCAACATATTTCGATTCAAAATACATTGAACCTCTATATCCATTGACCATCACAGAGGCAAAGGCCGGCATTATCAAGAAACTGCGGAAGATGAAACTTATCTCTCCAAGCTCGAAGCCGACGGGCGCGATTTCTCGCTTTGCAGGATATTCCGATAACAACGGCATTCATGTGTTCGTCGACCTATCCAATATTGTAATTGGCTTCCACAATAAATTGAAGGCGGACAGGGGAATCCCTCAAGATTTCTATGTCAAGCAAGCTCCAATCTGCTTTCACTCTCTAGCTTTCATATTTGAGAGAAGTCGCGGAGTTGCCCGTCGAGTCCTGACCGGATCACATGGGGGTCTCCTATACGGTCAGAAACACAGGCGCCCCGATTATATGGCCGAGGCTGAAAAATGTGGGTATGAAATGAACATTCTCGAACCGGTTTACAAAGCCAAACTTGCAACGCCCGTGAAACGGCGAAAAGGTACCGGGAATGGATATGCTACAACTTCCGGGCACTCAAGTGGTTCAGACACAGCCCACCTGCTCCGACCATCCAGGTCAGAGCAATGCGTGGACGAAATACTACAGATGAAAATGCTAGAGAGCTTAGTGGATACAGAAAAACCATCAACAATGGTCTTGGCAAGCGGAGATGCTGCAGAAGCGGAATTCTCGGGTGGGTTTTTGAAGACGGTCGAGCGCTTCCTCCAGAAAGGTTGGAAAGTTGAATTATTATCGTGGTCCAGTGGGCTGAGTAAGGAGTATCTATCGAAGTCCTTCCTGAAGAAGTGGGAGGGCAGGTTTTGCATTATCGCATTGGATGAGTTTTCAGAGGAGTTATTGGCTGTTTACGCTTCTTCCTATCCGGCAGAACTGGACAACTACTGAGGACGATGAAGATACCCCGCATTGGCGATTTGGTCGAATTATAATTTATGGATTTTAAAACGAAGACAATGGATTCCTTACGATTGGTGGCATATGGTTGGGCGTCTGGATATACTGCATAGCGAGGGTTTGCATCTGCGTTGTACTGGAAAGCGATCGAGATACCTAGTTGACATTGGCATGATGATTTGACTTGTTCCGTTCGGACGGCGAATTATGATATGATCTATGATGGTCATAGAGCCAGTTTGATCGCATATTGGTCCACATCCCGGTTCGCATCGCGCTACCGCTCGAGGTATCAACTGCTACGCGGCACACAGATATCTAATACCAAGATGCAAAAAGTCGAATGGGCATTGTGCCCGATAAAATAATGATAACTGCTATAAATTCACCATCTTTAATTTCCTTACGATGTGCTACACACTTATTTCAAGGGTTACCTACTTCTTATACCCGGGAAGGGACCATTGCAGATCAAGGGGATTCAATCAGGGGAAATTGTGGCTGAGAACCCCTCACCAGCCACCCCCAGATCGCGTTCCCTCAACTTTCGAACATTTCAACACAACAAAGAAATAGGGCCAGAAAAGCGGTGTTTCCGTTCAATTTCGCCTCTTATTTTCCAGAAATGCCTGAACTATGTAGGTATCTATGATTTTCCGTGATCTTCTATGCATAATATTTTATACCTCCCTTACAAACGCCGTCTCTACGCCGTCATTAACGCGTGCGGGCGCGTTCAAGCGCAAACCAATATATTAACTCCACGGCGCATTTTGGAAGCAATTGATCGCGATAGCGGACGTTCCCTGACTTACTGTATGGATTGGGGTAATTCTAAGTCTGCCAAGGAGCAAGAATGCCCCCATTAGATCCAGGTATTTCCCTTGCTCTAGCCCCAGGTTACTAAGTGCTGATTTTGCTTTGTTCAAAGATCTATGCAACGAGCATGACTCCCCGTCCTCCTCCGCTGAACTGTTTTATGACGCGCCGACGAGCGTGTCGTCGTCTTTGAAGCATGGAATTGGTGTGGGGGTTTACTCCATGGACGGTCCCGGCGACGATAATGGATGTGAAGAGGAACCGGTGGCAGAATTGCTCTCAGTTGTTCCGTCGTCGGCCAGCGTAACTAGTCCTTCCCCTTCACCTTCGCCCACGCCTTTTCAGCCAACTCGGAACTCCACAGGTGGCAATGCCGAGTCCGATTCCGATACAAGTATGGAGGATGAAGGCTGGGAAGATCAGTTTCCACTAGTGGTAGGAATCACAAAACACACCCCACAACAATCGCGGGATCAGCCAGTATGTCCAGGGTTCATCTCACAGCTCACATGTCCAAAATCCCGGTACATTGGCCATACGCCACCCCTACCTATTTCGAAAGAGCGACACGTAGTCAAGGAGCTACTCGAGGAACTTTTGAAACAGGAAGAGGGGAAGAATTTCGAGGGAAATAGGGAAGGATCTCCGGACAGTTCAGCTCCTTCTGACGGCCATTTCGTCGAATTTGGACTTTCGGATTTTTCGATCTACTTGCCCGATAACAAACATCACGGCTTCGAGCTACGGCCGCTACAAAATCTAGTCACCAAGAAGGGCGAATCCACGTTCTTGTTCGATGGGATCTTGAGTTATGGATCTGTGAAGCGCTATGTCCAAAAGGTGCCTTTCGGAACTTGTTCCATTGGGAATTATGGCTTGGAGTCCCACACTGTTGACGGCAACATATGGATCAAATCAGCCTACAATTCGAAAACGAGATCTGAGATATACTATCATTTAAAAAAGCCGGCGCCCGAGTACGCGCGGTTCCATGATGGGTTCCTATGGCTGGCGAATTTAGCTAAGCATTTTGTGGATTATAGCCAGCAGTGCGGGGAAAACCAAGTGTCCGTGTTTAAATTCAGAGATGACTTCTCTCAGTGGATCTGTGAGCATCATGGGGAATCACCGGATTTTCGGGATTGGTATCAGCAATACGGCGGGAGGGATGATTTTCGGCAAGCGGTTGCAGTGAACATTCAATTTCTGTTTAAAGAGAGCCTTGGTGTGGATGAAAGCTTAAGATCGCAACCGATATGGTCCGAGTTAATGGTCAAGGATGCTATCCGAAAGCAGCCTATAGTGGAGGAGAAAACTGTGGTTACTCCGTATGTGTACGGGTGCTTTAAGGATCTCCCATTTGGTTCGCAGCTGAAAATTGTTGAGCCTGTGGGTGTCTCGAAATCAGAACACGCTTCTAAAGTGGCACGTCTAAATCTAACGGAAGGCCACCAGATACAAGAACACGGTGCTGAGATCCCGCTAAAAATGAGAGCTGTCAGAGTTGGTGATGTGCTGTCCGTGACCAAGGATGGCACAGGCTCGGTCTGGAAGGATGAGCCCAGCCGCTACAAGACAGTAGACCAATGTTGGTACGTCTATGTCCAAGCAGTCCATGAAGCAGAGAATCAAGAGCCCTCGTTCGACGCCATCTGGCTTTACAAGCCCTCGGACACTTCGTGCGCAAAAATGAAGTATCCTTTCGAAAACGAGCTTTTTCTGTCAGATAACTGCGTTTGCGGAAACCAGAAAATTACCAGCGATGAGGTGATTAATATTGAGCCTGTTCTCTGGAATTGCGGGCCGCCAAAATCGAACAATCAGCTCTTTGTTCGGCAGACTTACCTTGAAAATGAGAGATTCGTTACGTTGACGGAGGAGCATAAGATATGCAATCATCTACGACCCAGGAATCTAACCTCTACCATCACCCAACGGTACCCGGCAGGTATCACCGTTCTTGTACCGGCGTTTCGTCAAAATAAATACCGTTTAGAGCCTCATGAAATTGTGGAATATGCCGATGACGATGGAGGAAAAGAAACGGTCGTCTTAAGGCAACTGTTGCGAAGACAGGAAGTAGATGGGACGGGAAGACCGAACGAACTCGTCTACTCAGCCAAGACTTGTGTCTTGCCGGTCAAGAAGCTGGGCCGAACATGTCTTGTCCGCTTCTATACCGAAGCAGATATCATTGCAAAGAATATCCCAGCTCCCTACTGCAGAGATGGTTCAGGGAACGCCTTTTATATTACGACTAGACTTGTCGAATCCGCAACTGGCTCAACTTTAATCCCTATCCAGGACGATCTTCCCGAGAGTCTCACTCAGGGGTTCGACCCTAGAAAGCCACCGAGTCGTAGCCCACTTCGTGGGATGGACTTGTATTGCGGAGGTGGGAACTTTGGCAGAGGTCTAGAAGAAGGCGGTGGTGTACGGAACGAGTGGGCTGTGGATATTTACGATGCTGCTATTCATACCTACCATGCCAATCTTAAGCATCGGAAGGGCGCGAAGCTGTTTTTTGGCTCTGTCAACGACCTGCTCATCCAAGCGCTGCGGGGCAATCCCAGCAAAAGCAACCTGATCCCTCGTCCTAAGGATGTGGACTTCATTTCGGCCGGAAGTCCATGCCAGGGCTTTAGTATCCTTAATTCGAGGAGGGATAATGATAAAGGCCTCCGCAACCAGTCTTTAGTTGCCTCTGTTGCAGCATACATCGATTTCTATCGCCCGAAATACGGACTACTGGAAAATGTGATGACAATGGCCCAGAAGGGGTCCCGAAGAGATCAAGATGTGCTGTCTCAGCTAATCTGCGCAATTGTCGGAATGGGATACCAACTCCAGCTATTCGTGCTAGATGCGTGGAGTTGCGGAAGCCCACAGTCTCGCAGTCGACTATTTGTATCTTTTGCAGCCCCCGGGTTCCAACCTCTAGAGCACCCAGAGCTATCACATTCACATCCCCCACAAGTCAGAGACCGCGGACTCGGCACGCTAGCCAATGGGCAATCGTTCGGCGAGCGTCGAAAGGACCTGACCCCTTTCGACTATGTGACTGCTAAAGCAGGGACAAGACATCTCCCTAAGATCGGAGACGGGAATACGTACCAATGCACGCCCTTCCCGTATCATGTATCGGCAAGTGGTATCTCATCAGAGATGAAATCGCAGATCGACGTAATCCCGAAATATCCTCGCGGCATGAACTTCGCTAAGACGTGGAAAGAAGGGAAGGGCACTATGAGCCATGCCCAGAGAGGTCTTTTCCCGTTCTTGACTAAGGAAGGCAAAGTGCGTTCCGCCGTTCAGTCAAATTCGCGTGCCTGGGGCCGTGTAAAACCCAACGAAATATTCCCTACTATCGTTGTTACCACTACGGCGTGGGACAGCCGGATGGGAACGTGCCTGCATTGGAACGAGGATAGGTACATGACGGTTGCGGAAGCACAAGCTGCCCAAGGCTTTCCCGATGATGAAGTCCTCGTTGGTGATCCGCGAGATTGGTGGAAGATACTAGGGAACAGTGTGTCCCGGACCGTGTCTCTTGCCTTGGGGTTATCACTCCGCGAGGCTTGGTTGAAGAATGGGGACGATAGTAGTTCGAAAATGGTGTCTACGAAAGTCCCTACTCCTATGAATGGCACTTCATCATCAGCTGTCAAAATTCCTGCGATAGCTACCAGAGCTTCGCCAAGAGTGTTGCAAAGCACCGACATTCAGTCAGGGGGGATCATTCCCAGGGTGCAGACGTCGGTCAAAGTACAGGTAACGACAGAGTCATCTATGGTTTCCAAAGAGTCTCCACCACGGGATCCGATGATATTGGCTTCTCGAGTGACGACTATCAAGATAGAGGAAGGCTTCGAACGTCGGAATAGCTCACCAAGTGAAACGCGTCAGATTCTCCCTCGAAAGAGGAGTGGGGTTCCAAACATTGCGAACGGAATGAGTTCAATAAATGGTATGGGATTGAGCAAGGAGCCGCCAAAGTCTTTGAAGAGACCATACGCAATGATGCAAGAGACAAGAGTATTGCCTCTGGGTTTGACGAGCAGCGTCTCCTCCCGCATGGGATCCGATTCGAACTATTATAGCATGTCGTCGACGAATTTGTCAAGAGAAAGTAGGATATTGCCACCGGAGAGAAGTCACAAAGTCGCAAGATTGGCCAGTCATGCATTTATATCTTCGAGCACGGAAGGTGTAAGTTTTCGCGATGGCGGGGATGCTGATGCCGGCGCTGTCAACGCGACGACAAAAATGGAGCTAGACTGTTTGGTTTCCAAACCAGAGAATTCCAACAGTCCTGCCACGCCCTTCGAACGTTTAGCCTCTGTATCCGACACTACATCTGACGACGAGATCTGTGCATTGTCCAACGCATTCGAGCGATATCAATCAAAAACCCTCCAGGCCCAAAACAGCACAGGAAAAGCTCCATTCCCATCACAGCCCAGTCAAAAAGTTCAAGTTGTGATCAATCTCATCTCAGATGACGAGGGCGCCGAGGCGTCACAGACGAAGAAACCACCCAGGAGAAGTCTGCCAACGCCGAATCAACATCGATCTCTCTCTGCGTTGAGTAATGGCCGCCTCGCCCCGCATCCAAGTACTGCCAATGCGGCCGTAGACAATTCTTTACGACGAGCAGCCAACTACCGGCGATCATCCGCGGCAGGATAACACCCCGTTTCATCCTCGAAGGGTATGGCTTACGAAGATAGAACATCGTTAGTGTATGGGTTGGATAAACGTATGGACAGGCCGACGAACAGGATAACTGCGATGTCATACGTCTTACGATAGAGAGCGCTACTTGCGCTATTAGATTAGATGCATATAGAAAGCATTACAGCTAGAAGCCAGAACCTCGAAAAAATATAAATAAATGATATTTAAGTACCTTTTTTCAGTAATGCAAGCGTAGCTGGAGGGAGTCCGTCGTATCTTGCTTCTTCTTATCTATAACTGCAGACAAACTATTCAACGGTCGTACTACAATTCACAGCATCAATACCACCACGCCATACGTTAAAACCATGAGCGGATGCGCAAGCACTAGTCATGAAAGTCTACTTCGAACTATTAACCCCCCAAGGTCACGGAACCTAGAGGAATGAATCAAGGAAGAATGATAGTGGTAAAGGCGCGGGGGAAATCCGTATATCTACTCTCCTTTGCACACGCCACAGATAACTTTGTTTAGCAGGATTTGTTATATTTATTATACCTGTGCCTCTATAGTGGTGTTTCCCAGTCTAAAATCTACCTATACATACATAGCTATCTATCTAAACCCCCAAGCCCTACTACATATATCCCGAAATAGGACAAGTCAACGCTACAGAGGGATCTCTATTTATACTGTTACACGTTTTCAGGTATTGGTCCGTATGCATGATACCGAACCACCGGTGCGTTCTCTCCGAACCCATCCCTCGCGCCAATGGCTGTGGAGATCTTAGTTCTCCAGAACTTGAATTTCGCCGCGGAGAATTCCGGCATACTCCAAAGCGCTTGTATAACGGGTCCTCGCTCGCCACTAGTCACTTTTTTATGCGTTCTTAGAATATTGTCGACGATCTCCAGAGTCTCTTCATCCAACCCCACTGCAGAAACCTCCATTTCTTCTAGCGTCTTGATAACTGCTCCAAAATTCTCGTATCGGTAGAAGTAGATGCGGAGAATTTCGTTGTACAATTGTGTGGTTCCTCCAAGAACGTGTGATATGGAGCCCAGGGACCTGACTTTCGGTAGGATTGAGAGCGCGAGTGGGGACGGTTTCGCAAATGACCGGTCTAGGAGCCGGAGCCCGAAGAGAAGGTGTGATGGGTAAAGAGGGCCATAAAGAATCAGAGCCGACACTTCAGTTCCAGTTGCACTGTCGGTAATGGTAGTCTCGAATTGGGCGCCAAGATCTTGGGGCACCGGTTTTTTCACTTCTTTCACTTCTTTCACGTCTTTCTTCTTCCTTCCTCTCTTTGCCTTTGTGGTTGTTGGTATCTCTGGGGTTGATGGCTCTTCGGCCGTTGGTGGCTCGACGCCGGATGGGGTTTCTTCTAGTCCTAGCTTTTGGATCAAGGAGAATACTTCTTTCTCCATGACTTCAAATAACTCAACGTCGGTTTTGGCTTCATTCATAAGAGTCTCAACTCGAATACGTTCCGGATCCCGTAATGTCTCCAATTGATCATGGTCTAGTTCTGGCTCCTCGGTTGTTGTTTCTCCAAACAAATCATCAGAATCATCCTCGGTCAATCTGATAGCTTTGGCAATGGAGGCGCGTAGAACAGGCGGGTACCGATTCACGACAGCCTCTTTTTCCTTCCGGGTCTGAGCGTTCTGTTCTAGAGCAGTTTGTAACATAGCGTCTAACGTCGACTTTGCTCTTCCCGGCGATGATGCACTATCGGTCATTTGGGGGAATGAACTAGGCGCATCAGCCGATCCTTGGTTTTGGGCAAACATCTCTTCAAAAATCTTCTGGAAAGCTCGCTTTTCCGTGTCCGTTATAGTCGACACCCGCGGCCCGCGCACATCCATTGAGTCGATGCCATCATCTCCCTGAGGGAAGCTGTCCTCCAGCCCCTCGCTGTAATCAGGTATTCCCTGCCCCTGAAACGTTCTATCGTCTACCTCGCCAAACTCGTTTACTCGGACGGAATCCAGTAGGTTGAACGTAGAATCATTCCGCTCCAAATTCCTAGATCTCGGTGACCGACCGCCTTCGAAGTGGATGTCATCGTCCTGCCTCGGCCGCCCAGCGTTCCGATCCCTTCTCGGTTTCGATGATCGACCGTCTTCAAAATGAATGTCATTGTCCTGCGTCGACCGCGTAGTGTTCCGATCCCTTCTCGGTTTCGATGGTCGACTGTCTTCGAAGTGGATGTCATCGTCTTGCGTCGGCTGCCTAGTGTTCCTATCCCTTCTCGGTTTCGATGGCACATTGGATTCTATCGCTACCCTCCGGATTGGGACGCGCTGATCAGCATCGAGCGATGAATCATTTGAACGAGTCTGGTAACCACGAGTGATGAATCCCCCAACGGAGGGATGGAAACTTCTTCGGATGATGTTCGTAGATTGACTTCTATATATAAAATTGGGCTTGAACAGAGCTATATTGCACAAGGTCTTGGTTTGATACAAGAAAGGTGCCATTGTCGTGGATACGTTGGCGGAAAACATTGCCGCTCTGTGGCGCATATGATATTTGGAAATGTAGGTATGAATGCAAAATTAAGCCATAATTAATATTGCCTTAGTAGATATTCAAGAGCTGAATATGGGCGTGCAAGCACAATTTAGGAGCAGGATGTCGTTGAGACAGAATATCGGTACCCTCTCTTCAGAGCTCTGCAGAAACATAAAATTTACCAGAGTGAGCATAGAGATGCTACGCTTGGAATGTCCTAGCTCGGGGCGAACCCATGCAAGTTGCAGTAGTGGTGCACGTGGTGGGTCATGCCCCTGATGACTAAGTACTGCAGTTTTGCTGTTGAGACGTCAATCATCCCCCTTTCCCAATACATACCAAAAAGGGGGAAGCATCACTCTTGCTCGTGGCAATTTCAGGGTCCAGTCTATTTGAATAATGCGAAGAAATGCTTCTATTGTTTCATTTTTAAACAAAATTTTGTTTTTTGGAACTACTAAGTAGTGTTCTGAACATGTGCGTCAGGGTATCCCACTACTTTAGTTCTCCCAATTCACAAAAGCCCACATGTTGTCTTAAACCTGCTTTGGAATTCTGCATTTATCCCAAATAGCTAGAAGCCTCTGAAATCACGAAGTATCCAACTTGCTGAATAGCGCTACTCTCCTTTCCTCAATAAGTTAGAGGGCTACTAAGGCGAACCATGCTAAAGATGTACTACCCAACCTGTGAAAAGCAGAGTAGATTCCTGAATTGGAAAGCGGCGCACATCTGAAGTTTTGTTGTTTCTGGCCTGTCCAACTACTTCTTAACACTTTATCCCCCAAGTCGGGCGCATAATGCAGGATGACAGCTGTGCTAGGAACTACAAAACTTGTAAAAACATTTTGCAAGAACTTAAACGGTCCTACTATGATAATATTAGTGGAATCTGGAAGTCTTAGAATATCTGACTTGTCAGATAGCTCCTATACTTCCTCTACATTAGTGAATGGAGGATGTTGTATATTATTCTAAATTTCTTATGTCTACAAGGCTACAAGGCTACACTACAACCCGTGAAATGCATCAAAAGTACTTTAACTGCGACCGCCCTCCCTAATTAGCTAGCTCCATTCGGTTCCATCAACAGATGCGCACAAGGAATGAAATATATATATTTTACATCCTAACTTTGCTTCTCACCCTACGTCGCTTTTCACTTAACTTCGCTCCCCACTGAACCCCGTCAACGATGTCGTCAGTACCAGCAGGATCTGGGCACAGAAGGGCCCTGATATGAACGATGATACTTCCGCCGGCGTGCCGGGTTGGGAGCAGAAACAGTCCAAACGCAAGCGTCTGCGTTCTTTCTTCAGGCCGCCAAAAGATTCCGACAAGGGGATCCCACCTGCGTCTCAACCCGCACCCTCCACCGAGGTAAATAGAGGACTCAATCCGGCCTCACCGTAAGCTCCTTTGTATTCCTCAAATTATTGGAGACATTCACTCACAAGACAGTAGCAGCCGCTCCGAGTTTCCCATTGCTCCTGCCGCTCGCGTCCCCTTTAACCTCGTCCCCTCATCTTCTATATCCACCAAACCTATAGGAGTTATCGAGTGGATTAACCAGTTGCCGTAAGTCTAGCATGTCTATACCTCAGAGTATTTGAGACACTTTCTTACTAAAATAGTGACGACCCCCCCGAGCTGCTTCCCGAAACCGACCCAAGAGCCACGAACCACCTCTGGAACGAGGTAGTCAAGTCGAAGACGTCGGCTCCTTCTAACGCCCCAATGGCCCCACCGACGCCGCAGTCAAATAGCGCCAGCCAGGTATTTACTGGCCGTGAGTGCTTTGCCATGCTGCAGCAATGCTACGGCATTCGTGAGGTTGATAGATCGGACGACAGGGGAGCGGCTCTATATAGCATCTTAATCGACTTCAAGTCCCTATCCAAAAAGGGGGTATCCGCCGAGGCGTTTGCTAAAGCCTTTGGGGCAATGAGCCCAGAGCTGGTGATATCAAAGCTCTTTACCAAACTCGAGCTCGTCATAAGCCCCCCTGGCAAGGATGGGAAGCCGCTCGTTCGTCCAATTCTTAGGACCAACGACCTAACCCTTTATAACTCCGCCAAACCCAACAATCCCTCCCATAAAAAGTGGCTCGAACCAACGATCGTTGGCGAGTACAAGAGTGAGGCGTTAGGAGTCCGAGATGGATCGATGGTCCGGGGCAATTTACGCCTTACCAGTAACATGCCCATCCCCGCGTGGCAAGCTGCCAACCTCCCACTCCAGCGCGACATCAATCTGTCACTCGATGGAAAACACGATATGGCCTTCTGGCTCAAAGCTAGTTGGTTCCCTCACGATATGGCGCTCGTTAAAGAGCACATGTTCGTTAATAAATACGGAGAGACGTGCCCTTACTTGCACGTGATTATTGATGACCTGGACTCGGCGGTCTTTGGGGCTGTCCGAGAGAGATATGTTAAGAGCAAGGTTGCGATGAAGAGCGCCATGCATTTATACAATCGCTGGCTGTTGAGAAAAAAGGTATTAAGTGTCAAAAAGTTGACCTTCGGAGCGAAAGGGGACGAAGGAAGTGTGGATAATATCCGGCAATATGCCATCAGCGTCGTACACGATGCTTATATTATATATTCCTTTAACCCTCGGGTCAGGGACAACAGATGGCGGGGTTGTGAGATGGTTCTGATATATCAGGGCCGGTTGAGTGTAGAGGAGGAGTTGAAGGGGTTTGTTACAGAATTCGATAGAATTCAACAGTGGGGAGAGTCAATATTTCTCGACGGAATTGCTAAAGATCTTGATGAGTGTATTGAACCTGCCGGTAGTAACTAAAAGTTACTAGCCTTACCAATATTTAGAGGGAGTGGAATGTGGGGGACGAGGGGTGGATATGTACGAGTAATGTATAGTAGTTAACGATTATGAGGCGCCGTAAAGGGCGATCCTCGCGCATATGCGCCAATACAGAGATGATTACCCAGATACCATTAACCCGCATCTTCTTTTGTAGCCAAATTATTTATAACTCAATTGGTGATTCGCGGTGAATCAGTGATGCGCATCTACTGCTGTTGACTTTCAACTACCTCCCATATGAGTATTGCGAATCAAAATTAAACTAAATAGAATAGAATGGAAATCAAAACCACAAGCATATTTAGTTCGTCAGGCTGGATTCCAATATCAAATGTGATCAAGCTGTATATTCTATTTCTAGTTAAGGAAGAGATTCATATATATACCCAGGTAGTACGATGAGTCGTACGAAAGAGGTCTAGCGTAAGGGGTAAAGAATTCCAGTTAATTAATCTAAAACACCCGCCTTCAAGTTGTTAGGATTATAAGCAACGAATAAGCTAAAGCGGCAGTTATAAGTACTATTAGATGAACTAAGTACCTACCTGGTACCTAGTAGTAACCTAACTTAAAGTGCTAATAGAGAGACGATTAATTTAACTACACCAGTAGAGACCCCGTGAGCAGTTATATAAACGTGCTTACACCAAACCTGATTAAACAGACTAATCCACATTCTAACAACTCATATAAGTCACACGTGACATTCACGTGATGTTGCCTGTTTGACTCTACCTATTCAGAATCTATGCCGCTATATCTAAAAATCATAAATAGGACTAGGTTCCCTTGACTATCATTTACTATGCTGGCAATCATTTCCTTCATTAAAACAATCTGACTCAATCGTCGTAGGCATCAGCATCGCTTCGCCGCATTTACGCGAATTGGTGCCTTGACACTCTTTTATCTTTTCTCCCTCCGAATACCTAATCTTTCCATAAGTACTATGCATTCAAACCATCAGAAAATTACCAACAGCATCTCTTCAAGGCGGCCAGAAGTAGGGTTCAAGAGTGCTTGAATGCCACGGTACATCGCTGCAGACGCGTCGATAGTTAATAGTATATCTGCGATCAACATGGCGTTCAACCGCCCCGAGTCTGACGACTTCGAGTTGATCGACCGCCACGAGGCGAATCTCAACCCAGAAGACCTCGCAAAAATACAGAAATGGCTTGAGCCCACCAACCACACAGCCGACTCCAGCGAGTTTCGCCGCCATCTGGCCTCGCAGGCTCCAGGTACCGGTCACTGGATCTGTGACACCTCAAAATTTGAGCAATGGCAGACCTCCGAGAACCACGGTAGCCTTTGGATTAAAGGAGTTCCGGGAGCCGGAAAGTCGGTGCTTGCAGCGTCGATGGTTGACCACCTGAAAAGAGTTAATGAGACTCCGGTCCTTTACTTTTTCTTCCGGTACATCATTGCGGCGAATCGAACTTCACAGTGTCTTGTCCGAGACTGGCTTTCTCAGTTGCTGCCTTATAGCCCGAGACTGCAGGCGATATTGCAGCCGCTATCAAGCAATAAGCTAGAGAATGTCTCCGACGAGCAGCTATGGGAGTATCTATTAGCGGGACTATCGTCGGTCCAAAAGGCGTACTGCGTTGTGGATGCGCTTGACGAGATGGAGCTGGACAACATTTTCCTTCAACGCCTTAATAGCCTAGCAGGATTCAGACCAGGATCCGTGAAGCTTCTGATGACAAGTCGGCCAAAAGAGTACTTGCAAAGCAGCCTGAGAGATACCGCTATTGTGCACATTAGCTTGGAAAGTGATGCGGTTGGAAAAGACATCACAGTATTTGTCTCGCATCGTCTACGAACTGCTCTTCCGGGTCCAGATTATGAGGAGCTCATAGGCTCCTTAGCATCGACAATTTCGACAAAGTCTAGTGGGCTTTTCCTCTACGCGCGACTTCTCCTGGACCAAATCGTTCCTAAATTGGCATCGAAGCAGCAAATGGACGTCCAGAATCTGGCGGTTACTCTGCCTGTGGGCCTTGAAGAAATGTATAACAGCATGTTGCTCAAGCAATCTCAACTCCTTGAAGTCTCGGGCCATCCGGGAATTGGAACCAAGATTCAAGTCTTTCTGCTCGAATGCGTTACTCATTCATCGAGGCCCCTGAGGCTGAATGAGCTCGCAGATGCTCTAAATGTTGTGTTCATGCCTTCAATTCCTGGTCTGTACTTGGCTTCATTGCCTAAATGGAACCCGAAACAAGTGACGAGAACAGCTTGCGCCCCACTTCTGGAGATTCTTGAGGATGGGACGATACAAGTCATCCATCATTCATTTACTGAGTTTCTTCTCGACCATGACCGACAAGTGTCAGAACAAGGAGTCCAATTTCCCGTATTAGACCCCAATGCGATTCATAGGAAGATGGCAGAGACATGTGTTACATACCTGCAGTCTGGATGTTTGGTACCCAAGGATGCCAAAGCTGAGTTTGTACAGATGTGTGACGCTTTATGCGACCATGGAGATTGGCCTTGCCCACGAGCCCCTGTTCAAAAGGACCCCTATGAATATCGGCAAGCTCGACTACAATATCCATTTCTTGAATACGCCGTCAGGAAGTGGACTTGGCATGCTGGTCATTACGATATTGAAGAAACGGAGTTCTTTGACTTAGTCTCGCGATTTATGGATGGCATCAACACAGCCTTCCAAAGATGGCTGATACTTGAGTGGCACGCAAAGTATCCTGTGACCGAGGCCCAAATTCCTTCTCGTCTGCACGTCGCTGCCTATGCTGGAATGACGAAATACGCCTCGTCTCTCATCAAAAGCGGGCAACGAGTAGAATCACCCGACTTAAATGAACGCACGCCGCTGCATTGGGCAGCCGAAAAAGGGCATACGAAAGTTGTTTCACTACTGCTACAACACGGAGCGATCCCTGATCCGGCAGACTTTAAGGGCCTCAAACCATTGCATCTAGCTGCGAAGAACAACCATGCGGGCATTGTGCGATTACTCCTACAAGCAGGTGTGGACCCACTTACCCCCAAAACGCAGGAGAACCACCGAGGAAGGATTAAAAGTGGCGAAACAACTACAAAAGGAGAGACGTCCGTGGAGTACTTGTGTTTTCTTGGCCATACAGAGTCCATCCTAGAAATCTTACCGTTCGTCAAACCCGAAACCCTAGAAGAGATCTTGTGTTCCTGCTGTCGCTACGGAAAGGTCGAGGCTACGCGTGCCGTTTTACAGAACTCAAGCGTTTCACCTAATGCTATATTTGAAGGTGCAACTGCCCTCTATCTGGCTACCAATCACCCGAGTGCGAAGTGCGTCGACTTGTTGCTGGCCCAGGGAGCGGATCCTAACCTTGCCTCGGAGTGGCAGCCGTTGATGTTTCACCGCTGGAACAGGGTGCAAAAGGGGGACCGTAAAACGCCCCTACACAGCCTCGCGATATCATGGCGGTCGCCTTGCGCCGATTATCAGTTGATTTTCGACTCGCTCGTGAAAGCTGGGGCTGATCTAGAAGCGAAGGCCAGATGCGACGAGACCCCCTTACTACTGTTGCTAAACACGGCATCTGGTAATTCCAGAACCGGCTACTCTTACCTGCCGGCAATTAAATGCTTCTTGGAAGCCGGTTCCGACATCTCAGCTGCTGGCGATGCTACAGGACCCCAAGGAGCGAGTGCCGCGAGAACTATCCTCCAGCGGCTGCTGGAGGGTGACCAAGATTTGGATGTATTTGACTTATTGCTGGAGCATGGAGCTGATATTCACGTGCGAGACAAGTGTGGCAACAATGCTCTGCATCTGTCATTGGGAAGTAGACATTACCCCACGCTTAGACCTGGAGTCGTCGATAAGGTGGTAAGTAAGCTACTGGCAAGAGGAGTCCAAGCCGATGCTAAGAATGAAATGGGACGTACGCCCCTCGAATTGGCCGTGCCTAAGTCAAGCTGCAGCCTGCAAACAGTAAAAACACTGATTCAGTCGTGCCCAGACCGTGAGGCTCGCCAGCGCTGCCTATCCCTTCTTAATTCTCGGTCAAATGAGGAGATGGATGCGCTTCTCCAAGTACTTGTTTCGGCAGGTGTCTCTTTAGAGTTTCGGAACAAGTCTGGTGCAACTCCTTTACTTACGAACACACGATCACCAATGCTTTTCCAGCTCCTTCTTGATTATGGCGCCAAGGTTGATGTTGAGGACAATCGGGGACAAGGCATTCTACACCACTGGGTCCAACACGATTATCCTTCAGTTGAGAGACTTGAAAAGCTAGTTCGGTTAGGTTTGGACCCCAAGAAAGTGGATCTGGAAGGAAATACTCTTGTACATGCTTGGATTCATAATTATGATGGCACACGCAACAGTGTTCAGTTTGTGGAGCAGCTGCTGGAATTGGGGATACCGCTCGACGCAAGAAATAAGGCTGGATCGACTGCAGCACACATCCATATTAAGGGAAACCGTATCAGATCGCCCACCAACGAGCGAAGGCGCGTGCCATTGCTAGAGCTTTTCCACTGGAGGGCCGACTTCGATATCAATGCTCAAGATAATGAAGGGCTGACCATACTTCACTGTAAGTGACATTCCAAGCCCTCTGTCATTCGTTCTAGTAATGCTAAGATTTCTCCTTACAGTGGCTGCCTTACGATCAGAAGTCGAAGTCTCTCAAATCCTTGCCGCCGGAGCTGATCCCAGCATTTTGAGTAAAGAGAACAGAACCGTTCTACAGCTCGCCTGTCGGGCCCGGAAAACCGGCGTCGTTTACCTCTTGGCCTCTAAACTTGGACAACAAGTCATAGACCAACAAGACTCCTCCGGACGTACAGCTCTTCACGATGCCTGCACATCAGGACAACCCGAATCGGTATACTGCTTGCTGAAATCCGGAGCTAACATCAATTGCAAGGACTTCAAAGGCAGAACACCACTTCACGCCTGTGCAGAGTATTCCTTGGAACAGTCTCTTTCGTTACTCCAAGAGCACTCTAGCGATGTTTATGGGTATTCCTCCTCCGATCAATACAGGCCTGGTTTATCGAGCAGCCAGCCAGCTTGGTATAGGTCCAATTATCTTACCGGGCCGCGCCTTTCTGATCAGGATTCTTCGAGAATTGGTGTTATTGTAAAGGAGCTGCTCGCGGCTGGGGCCGACATTAACGAACTTGACAAGAACGGCCGGACGCCATTAGATTTGTCATTGTTGTTTGACTGTCGCGAAATGCTATCAGCTCTCCGATTTGCCCATCCCGACATAAAATGCCAGCAGTTGGAGGCAGCGAATCCCAAATTGGAGATTGAGTTAGCATTGAGACGGATCCCGAGGTAGGTGTTGGCAAATTTTCTTTCCCTTGGTTTGGTAGTGAGACTAGGCTCTCTACGCATTAAACTCCGCCCCGTCAGTTCATACCTAGTTTACGTTTTGTCGATCATTGGCAAAACGTAAATCGGGTTCTGCTTACTTCTACTATACTATTCTACCTAAATGGGTAGGCTAACCCGACGGTCATCTGTAGTGTCATAGATCACGATCTTTCCGATCCTGCCATAAAGCAGATTGTGCGGACGCCTTCGAAATATCTCACCCGCCTAGCCTCGCCTGATATCGACTTCATTGTCACATATCACGAGACGGCTAAGGATACGCTATTTGATAAAGGTGAGTCTTTTGCCAATTTTCTTGGTCAAATGTCGAATAAAGTCCGGATCTGTTCTCGATACTCTTTTCCCCTCTACTTTTAGCAACTTCAAGGTTGAAGTTGCTCAGGCTTTATATTTTGTTGATCACCGACAAAACGTAAACACAGTCCTCGAAGGCATTTGCATAGAGTGGCCGTTTTCATCGGACAACCTATCATATTGGACATGTAGCTGACGGCATTGTAAATATAGCGGAGCCATTTTACGACGAGGGCCCGGTATTGCATTCTGCTGCTAAATATGGACTCACCGAGGTCGTCCAGCGGTTGAGCCATAAGGTTTTGTTCTATGATAGCTCTCCCAGCCTTCAGCCTCCGGAGAGTGATGGCAGTGCTGCGCAGGAGGATTCCAAATTTCACAAGCCGGGAAAAGAAGACATTTCGCCGATATTACATACGGCATGCCAGAGGCGTTCTCCTAATATCAAAATGCTGAAATTACTAGTCGAAAAGTGTAATGTCGATGTCAATGCTCGATCCCGAGAACATCAGTATCGGTACTCAAGCTACGAATCTAAGTACGGCGATATCGAATCTACGGCACTTCATTGGCTGGCATCAGCGGATTCATTCTGGCAGCTTGACGGTATCCGGTATCTCGTTGAGAACGGGGCAGATATCAATGCCACAAACGAGAAAGGACAGACGCCTCTCTACATTGCCGCTGCGGGGTACGTGTTTGTAGGATTCCTTCTTTCTATTTTGAGAGCGCAGTCTACTCAACTCTCCCGTGCCGATCCACGGGTAGCTGACATGTTGTCGATTATCGACGAAGCGTGAATTAGCTCTGCTCACTTGAACTCCCTTCATTACTCAGAACAGATAGACTGACCCATACTTGCCTATAGGATTACTGAACACAACATGGGAAGCTACGAAGGCTTTTGGAGACCACAGTGCGTTGATCTGCTTCTAAGCCTAGGCGCTGACCCCAATATCGTTGCCAAAAATGGGCTAGCGCCTCTTCACGAAGCTGTGTCTTCTGTAGATATCACAAGATCCCTTCTGCGAGCTGGAGCAAATTTGTCCGCTGGAAAAACATCGCCGATATTCAATGCCATAATGGAACAGAATGTCAAGGTATTGACTGCCATTTTGGATTCTGGTGGCGATGTGAACGCTATCACAGATTCCATCACCATCTCACCTTCAATCACAGATCAAGCCCGGACAGCCCTTTTCTGTGCCTCCTTCGCCCTTAGTCTGAACCGTCATATGCCCGACTCGATACCTCTGATTAAACTTCTCATTGATAGAGGGGCGGACATGTATGCACCTCTTAACAATAGAGAGACATTGATTCACTACATATTCGAGCACGGAAAATATGAAACCGTATGTGCATATCTGGACTGCCATGATAAGCTCAACTTCGAAGCTCGGGATCAGCTTGGGAGAACCATTCTTTTGGCGGCATGTAACTGGACTGAGGGATATGATCATAAACGCTGGTTTGCCCAGGAGGCTCCTCCGGTTATAAGACTCCTAGAGTATGGGGCAGATATCATGGCTATAAGCAATGACGGGAGAAATGCCCTGCACCATCTTCTGGACAATCCTGATATGGAGCAAGACACGGTCATGCAGGTCCTAGAGAAGGTGCCCGAAACATGCAAGGAGATGCTAAAACGCAAGGATAATGAAGGTTACACGCCATTCCATATCGCCCTCCGTGTTCTACTCCCAGAAGTCTGTTTGAGACTATTGGACTTGGGCGCCGACATCCTTGAGCCAGACCCAACCGGGGCTACTACTCTGCACCACATCGCCTCGCAGTATCTACGACATTATCGACCGCAACGAGGCCAACACCCTCGACAAAAGCATGCAGACAGCTACACCGAGAATGCACTGAAGCTCTGGAGCAGATATCTAGACCTCAGAAGCTCAATCAACGTCCGTGACGGCACCGGCTCCCCACCTCTCTTCGCCTATCTTTCCAGCTCATTCAATCACGGCTACAGCAAGCCAGAACACTCCTGCTGTCATCTCGAGAGCTTCTCCGAGCTCTTTGACGCCCAGGACTTGGATATTACAGCCAGGAATAAGGTCGGCGAGACGGTGCTGCATATAATCGCGAAAAGAGCCATGAGTTATCATGAGAAAGATAGGCACGATAGGCGGTTGTTTGAGTTCTTTGTCAAGGATGTGGATCCGTTGGCTGAGGATAGTCAGGGGCTGACAGCGTTGGATGTTGCGGCTGTGACTGGGCAGAAAGAGATTTTGCAGTTGTTTCAGAGGGGGTGAGGAATATGGGTTGGTGGGCAGGTTACGTGGTAGTACATCACGACGAGAATGGATCCCTTCCTAGGTAAGTGCACGCGATCTGGATTATTCGACCAAACCCCCAAGGAGCTTTCGAAGTATGGGAAGGGTCACTGGAACAGAAAATGATTGAGTGAGGGCTTTTCGGGTTTCTCGGTCCTCCCTAAGGTTGTCGATTACCAAAGAAACGTAAACTTGGGACTTGGCCATACGGCTCTTTCCAGCTCCTCTGACATTTAGTGATCCCTTGGTAGGATGTCTAAATCCACGTACAAAAGGATCTTAGTACTCTTAGTGGCATTTTTGACAGTCCTATACCACTCGTGCTAGACTACCCTAGTAGACAGGCCGGGGCTAAATGGAGGAGCTGAAGAAGCCGGAGGCGTACTAACTAACTGGTCACGATCAACGCAAGAGTTTCAAATCTACCGGGCCACTATGGCCAGAGATATACCAGTGCTCGGGCTCATAACTGTTAGATAAAGCTGTGTATTCTAGTTCTAGCCAATTAACGAGATTTTTGTGCAGTAAGAAGAGTTGTAAGAAGTCAAGGGGCCTAGCATCAGGGGTATTCGAGGCCAGCCGAACTGCAATGTGGTTTTGGAGTTTAAGTGAAAGGTTGGAAAACATTGTAGTAGCGAGGAAGCTCTATAAGGGGCCAAAAAAAGAAAACAATCAGGAGACATGGTAAAAATGCCAGGAAAAGGATAAAAATAGCAAAAGAGTTCGTTGCCCACAGCCAACTAATCTCTGCCATTTCGTAGGTGTCGCTAGACCTAGTTATATTTCTCTTCGATATGAGTGTCGTGTGACACTTGTGGGGAGTGTCTTAAAGAACTAGGTTGTCGGTATGTGCTTTTTGTTTATTTTTATATATATACCTTGTAGAGAGAGCGTGCAGCAACGTTCTGCCGGCAGGCCGGGAAAGACCGAAGTGAGAGCTATTTCGTGGTAATTGTACGAAGTACCTCTAGTCTTATGATGATTTACGAAGTATCGGCGGACGTCGTCTCCTCCCGGACCGGAAAAACAAAACACCGACGTCTACCAAAAAATATCCCCAAGCTCAATCAATCAGCTCAACCGCGACGACCTCCCTCCTCAATCGCAGCCCAATATGTCAAAACAAGTCCAAAAGCTCGCGGCCTCCGCCCAGCGGCAAATAAATGCCGTAGTCGTCTCCTCCGGGCTGATGAACAAAACGGTGCGAGCACGCATCGGGGTACAAAAATGGAATAATCACATCCGGAAGGTACTTATCCTGCCCCATCCGCCCTACCCCCAACTTCTCAATTACTCACACCTCTTTGCTTCCTGAATAGGATTTCAACCATAAGCAACATGTCCTAGTCCACGATCCAGCATCCTCCCTGCGAACCGGCGATATAATAAGCATCTCGCCCGGCTGGCGCGTAAGCAAGAGAGTGCACCACGTAGTGCGGAACATCATCGCGCCATTTGGGGAGCCGATTGAGGCGCGTCCGCCTGTGCCGAGTGAGGAGGAGCGAATGGCGGAAAGGGAGAGGAAGAGGGCTGCGAAGGAGGAGAGGAGGAAGGCTCCACGGGTGGACGAATCACCCGCAAAGCCGAATTCGGCCAAGTCATGAGCTTTTAGCAAATGGGATAGAGAAGAGTGCGGATGATAGGGGATGGCTAGGGGTTGGGCACAGAGGCACCATGAAAGTGCTCTACTACTAGCCATCAAGGGGGGGGGGGGACGATCGATATCTAAACCGGGAGATGGAGTGTAGCAGGGAATGTACCCAAGGGGCAATACCCATGTGTACAAAATGGCGTTATTTGGAGCGTGGGGATCGTTGTATTATATGGCAGATATAGAAGGCATTGTAAGCGCATGCATATATACGGCCCTGTACAAGCTATGTTGTCATACTTGGGGTTTCTTCGTGTCTCTTATCGGTCTGTATAGATGGCCAAATGTGGTTGTATTTCAACTCTACTGCTGATATATAGATAGGTAATGGGTGATAAACTGCTGTAAAAATTCTCGGAGAGGAAGGCCGCTGCATGGGAGGTGATAGAAAGTCAAGAGGAAAGTTTCTGGATTTGGATTACCCAGAACGTTAGATTACCAAAATCGTATCGACACACTAATGGCACCAGTCACCACGCTACCAATCAACCCCAGGACCTCATCTTATGCAACTGGATCCGTCGAGTTATAAAATTTCCTTTTATAATATGCATATCCGTTTGGCTTCCCTATAAACATTCCCATAACGGCATCATATCAAGTCTTTCCCATCCGTCAAGTATGCAATCAGGACCACGTCTATCATGCGCCGTGGTTCTCCATTTAATGCCCCAGTCCCAGTTCCATACCCCACCACGCAACCCATCCCATCCCATCTAAAATACATGCCGTCATAAAAGTCCAATCACCAGGACACACCAGGACACACCACTAACCCCCACGCTCACCAAACTCCTTCGCCCAATCCTCGAACTGCTTCAGACCCTGCTTACTAACACTTGGCCGAATGTTAATTAGACTAGCCTGAAAGTCCTTGAATTGAATAGGACGAATCTGATCCATGGACATATGAAGGAGAGCTTCACCCAGCGAGCGAAGAGGACCCATTGCTGCATCTTTTGCCAGAGCCGTGATATCGGAGCCGGAGAAGCCTGTAAAGTAGAATACCTTGTCAGTAAAGTGATTTAAGATTGAGATGAAGTAGGGTTAAGTGTGAGAGGATACGAACCATCAGTTAGCTCCACCAACGTCTGGATATCATCGGCATTAAGACTGTGTTTCTGGTGACCCAGCAAAGTCCTCAACTGCGTCGCCCTAGTCTCGCCCTCAGGCAAGGGGATATATTGTCTTCGGACAAATCTTCTCCTCGCAGCCTCATCAATAGCCCACGGTAAATTTGTCGCCGCAAGGACAAGGACCCGACTGGGATCACCCTTCTCCTTTTCCTTTTCGGTCTGCTCTCGGCCGGCTGCTGCTCGCTGCAGGTCGCTCCACTGGATGAGGAATTCCGTCTTGATACGTCTTGTTGCTTCATGCTCTCCACTTCCAGAGCGCGAGGAGAGGAGGGAGTCGATTTCGTCAACGAAAATGATACTTGGCGCTAGGGATTTGGCTAGTGTGAAGAGGGCGCGGACGAGTTTCTCGGATTCGCCTAGATACTTGCTTGTGAGACTGCTTGCAGATATAGAGAAGAATGTCGATTTAGACTCTGTAGCCACAGCCCTAGCGAGCATCGTCTTGCCTGTTCCTGGGGGCCCAAATAGGAGCATACCACGAGCTGGTTCGCGCAGACCCATAAAGAGATCTGGGCGGAGGAAGGGGTACACAACAGCCTCTTTCAATGCATTCTTCGCAATATCTAATCCTGCAACATCATCCCAATGCACTTCATCTCCATGGACTACAATCTCATTGAAAATCTGTTTCGCGGCGGTTGGATCCACCCCTTTCGGCAGATTCTTCATTAAGTATGCGACCTTTTCTTCCCAAGCGCGGTTCCCATGATCCGATTCTTCCTCGTCTGAATCGTCGTCTGAAGTTGGTGTTACGGGATCCTCGAGGATAGGGCTCTCTCTCTGCTTTTGCCTGCGCTTCTTTTCGGTTCCTGATGCCTTATCACTGCTACTAACTGTATCATCATCCATACTGTAAGAGGATGCATCTTCTTTCTTCACTTTCTTGGCACCTGTTCGTTCTGTAGGTCGAGATTCCTCTCGACGATCACGGAGTCTAGACGGCGGAGCGGCGGGAGGTACCAGCTTCCTAGACGCTGTAGGAGGACTTCTGTTCTGGGTAGCTTCTTTCGCTGCAGCGTTCCGAAGCATTTCACCTTCAGCCTTAGTCCTCTTAGCTGTCGTTTCCGGATATTCTTCAAGATATGCAGGATAGTGAACGGCCTCAAGCTTTGGAGGTGGTTTTGGACGGGTTGGTGGAGCAGGCGGGGTTCTTCTACGTCGTGGGGCGCTAGACTCAGGGGCAGAAGGAGGCTCAAGATCAATAAGATCATGAACAGCAGAAGGCTTGAGCATTGACCCAGAAACAGCACCAGGCTGTCCTGGATCTGTGGGTGGAAATGGATATCCATTTGAACGGCGTGTAGCTCTAAATAGTTCGGGATCCCCGGTTAATAAGTCTTTCGGGCTGGGGGGTTTCCGGTGATCAGGGACCAAACTTCGTGTCTTGCTATCATAACGGACATTGTTCGATCCCGTTCTTCCTAAGGCAGGATCACCTATACTATCTTTCCGACTCAGATCCGGGAGCGTGGCAGAGCTAGTATTAACATCCTTGTCCAAGCTCCGTCCAACTTTGTCTTTGTTACCTTTCCCTAATGCTTGCCATGCTAAAGTAGCCGCTTTGTTCGTAACAGTATTTTCTATCCGTGATCCTGAGGTCGTAGACCGTTTAGGGCTGGGCTTCTTCCCTGGTCGGTCAGATGATCTCAGCGTGTGCAACATCTTCCTCGACCTATCAGGGCTGGGACTCCTCGACGGTTTCTTCGTAGGTGGCGCCAACATCCCCGACGAGCTCCCCATTCCTTCTCTCGGAGACATATAATTTGGGTAACTAGGCGACTTGCTTCCTACAACCGCAATCTCCGAACTATGTTTCGCGGTCAAACCTGGTCTCTGGGGTAGCGGGGGGGGTTTAGAGATGCCGGCATAGTTTATAGCAGGAATCGATCCACCGCCAATAAATCCCCTTTCATTGTTCTCGCGGTTTGTGTCAGAAGATTTTCTAGGCGTTTGTTTCTGGATCTTCCCGTTGCTTGGTTCCATGGACATCTCCGTAGTAGCCTTCTCTAATCGCGAGGCTCGCAGTGCTTCCAACAGATCAACCCGTTCTTTGCACTGCATCTCCATGTCACGCAGGCTGTCTTTCAGGGCCTTGTCCGTCTCGGATTTGGGGACGTAGTTCGCGGGCACACGGTAGGCATTGTGGTAGTAGATCTGGTCGAGTGCGGTGCGCCACGATCGGAGGGCCTCAGCTTCGTTTCCCTAGGTTGGACAGCACATATTAATAACACCATTCCCCATAATAAATAATCAAAGGAGTTATTAAATAGAGTCACACGAGAGTAAAGAGCATACCTGGCTCTCAAAATACACGGCCGTGGAGCAAACCAGATAGCACTCGTCGTACGTCTTCTGCAGCGACGCCGACACAGACTTGTTTCGCATCATGGCCGCACATGGACCTCTTTCACGACTCCTTGTCCCTGATCATGAATGTGATTCCCGATCCCAGCGCTCGGATCATAGAATCCTCTTCTCTCGTATTGTCGTGCTTGAATTGGTCGTTGAAAGTCATGTGCTTCGCAAGCTGAAAGACGAGAGAGAGACGAGGCTTGGATTTCGCTTCCACCCCACTTCAACCCGTTCGCGTGAGTGACGTAGCGCAGCCGAGGGGCGTATTGCTTTCCCCCTTTGGCAACTTTATTCTTGAAACTCACGTGCCCATGTAGAACACACAGAAAGGTGGTGAATATTTTATATCTGTTTGCAGATTTGTGATGGTGCTTAAGAGCGTTAAACTTTTGAGAGAGAAACTAGCAAAATATTTGTACAAATTTGTCTGAGAGTTGATATATCGCTAATAGAAGCACAAGTACACTCTGGGGTACTAAGAAAACAGCTCACCTATATAAATACATCTCAAAACTAATAGCTAATGAGCGACACCAATTAATTCCTCCATAGCTCTTCGTCTCCCACCAACTCAAGGATTCATATAGCATCCACGCCCGTAATCCTCTTAAACTCGGACTCAACATCCCGCCAAACCAATTCGTCCACACCCTCCTTCCTCAACTTCCCCAGAAGCTCCACAACCTGCTGCCCAGCACTATCCCCATGCTTATCAACCGTATAAACGCCACTTCCGCTCTCCCCATCCGTCCCCTTTGCAACCTCTATGCCCTTCGGAGCAGGGATCCCATCTTTCCCACCCACCCTGGCAGGATACACCGCACTGGTACACAGCCATAAATGCCTCTCGCCAACCTCTACGAGCGGCATACTCATAAACAGCCCCAGCACCAGGAACACGCCCTTCATCAGCGCCATCGCCAGCCCCGTCGTCCCCCTCCCAATACCACTCTTCACCGGCCCCGGAAACCCATGCACAAAACTTACATCCGGCGCTTTTTTGGCCAGTGCTTCAAGAGAGAGCGTGATCTGGGACGCAGCGTGGCCCCGCAAGGCGAGGAGACCTTGGGTTGAATTCCGACACTGGAAATCCGTGGTGTCGACGGGGCCTTCTTTCGTAGCTACAGCAACGGAGACGACGCGGCGAAGGGAGGGAGCAGCTTGGAGGAGTGGGAGAAGGTTGAGAGCGAAGCGGTGGCGGGAGTAGTGTATTAGGGAGGCGGCGACATTAAGGTTTTCTGATGTCTCTGTCGATAATAATTCGCGGTTAGTTATTAAACCTTTTTTACTCTGTAATTCGCTCCTTTTTCGGAAATGTATTTAGAAAATGAACAAGAGACTTTAGAACTCACCAGTATCCCGCACAAGCGTCCCCGTACTTAAAACCAGCAAATTTACCCAGGCTTCCTTCTCCTTGATATACTTGCACACCTCGTCTACATTCCGGATCAAGCTCGTGTCCTTCTGTATAAACTGATATTGTCCTTCGGGATTTAGAGCCTTTAATTCAGCAGTGATGCGATCCCCGGCTTCTTGAGAGCGGCCTATGAAGTAGATGCGTGGCTTGATGGTGTGTTTGGCGAATTGCCTAAGTGTCGTTTCGCCGATTCCATTAGTTCCGCCGGCGAAAACGGCTACCAGACCTGCACCGAGGGAGGAGTCGATGAGGGCATTGGAAGATTGGACGGTGGGGAGGGAGACCATTGTGTGATGTGAGTGCTAGATATAGTTGTAGAGTGATATGTATCTGGTACTATCATTAACTCCGACCGTCGACGAGAGAGAATGCAAACAATACTAATATCGCTCAACCAAATTTCTGACCTAGAAAACTCAACCGGACATTCCAAAAAACTTTGGCTCCTCCCATTGTTTATATAGTGATGGGTGATGTTGTGCTGATATGGGAGCTGGATTGTACAGGCGGAATGTTTCAGTCTCGCGTACACAGTGCTACGTACAAACGCTGGGTAGCACTTCGACCAGCGCCGCATGCAATTGGTGGCGCCGGAGTCGGCGTAATCAGGGGATCAAGACACAACCATCTCGGGCCTCTGCTTCGGGTCCGACGGAGGAATAGAACAAGACCACAAGACAACTACCATCTTAGCGTCACTATGAATCGCGATCTCTTTGCGAGTATTTCGTAGTAGCCAGTACGATCCGATCCTCTGTAAGTTTATTTTAATCTTCAAAAATCCAAATCCTCGGAGTCCTAGCTCCAAACCAATTAAAGAAAATTGCATTTCACGCAGCGAAACCAGGAGACTCCAACAAGCAGCTTTCAAAGTTGAGTTATTTCATTTTAGCTGCGTTATCTCGCCGCCTTTAAGATAGCAGCTTCGTTTCATAAAAGTACACAGCAGCAAGCTCTCATACCCAGGTATGTTCTTTATCACGCCGCATCCATGCCATGCCATTTGAGTCGCAGAAGCCGGGGGAAAACGCCGGCTCGCCCTCGCTCACTTATACTGTGATGAAAATCCACCAGCCAGGCTCAATCAGGTTGGAATGACCGAGAGCTTTTCGTGATGATCACGCGCCAAATCAATCCCAGCAGTTCAGACCTTTCTAGAGAAGAGGAAAATTTTAATATGTACAAAATCGAACAAGGTCTTCGCACGATACCGAGACTGGCGGATGGGTATGCAGGATAACAGGGCGGAGGTTCCTGGTATCCAGAATCCGGCACGCTGGGAGCTTCGATGGCGAGTGAACGATGAGTATGGTGAAGGACCGTTATTAGAAAACCAGGCCAGAGATTTGATCAAAGTATGTCCGGTGGCTATAATCATCGATGAGATGGTGCGGATCCCCGTCGTGGTTAGCAATCGTTGTCGTTTCCATCAGCCAGCAGTCTTAGACCACTAGATCATTCTGCTTGATGAAGTATGCCCTGAGGAACACCCTTGTCAGTAAACCCTTTTTAGGAAATGATTGGTTCCTCTTACTTGCAAGCCTCGTAGGCCGACCAACAAATAGCAGTACTGGGCATTGTCGTAACAACACGAGGTCTGACTCCCTTAAAGAAACCTCGGAAGCCCTCTCTCTCATGCAATAACCGAGCACCCTGCATAAACCCGTTTACATTCCTCAACTCAGCATCCGAGGCTGTTCCTCTCGTCTGCAACATCGTCTTCACCACATCCATCGGAGTCGTCAGGGCCGCGGCAAATCCTCCTGCAACACCGCCAGCCAGACAATGCGTCAATGGATCATAAGCCTTGGTCGCGTTCATCGCCGTCGAAATCGACTCGTATGCGAGGAATTGGAGCGCGGTGAAAGGGACGGTCATAGAAAGGGTTGTTGGGTATGAGACGTAGAATGCGGAAATACCCTCGCTTTTGTAGACATATCTCGCGCAGTCAAACATGGATTTGTACATCTTGCTTGAGTTATGGATTTGCATGCGCTGTTTAATAACTACAAAAGTATTAGCAGGGCGAATATTGTAGTTTTACGGACGGCGTACCATCGAATGGGTTCATCAAAGCATCGCTCGCAATTGTTGCGCAAGCACCGCTTGTGGCTGGCGATAAGTTAGCAAATGGACTGACACCGGAGAATTCGAAACGGCCTACCCGCAGCAAGTGGATGATGCATGCCGGCTTGGTTGCCTCCCATGACATGTTTTACAGCTTCGTATGTAGCAAAATAGACAGCATGGGCGGGTCCTGGCGAAATGTCAGCTTTTGGTTCCAGTTGGAGGGGCCATTGCACCAACCTGCTCCTACCACCACACTTGACATGCCTCGCCACAGACTCATAAATCCTTCCCCGGCAGCTATTCTGTATCCTCCATGTATCATGCCGTTATAGACAGCCGAGGGGGTTGGATTGAGGATTTGCATGCGAGTCTGGAGGAGGGGTAGTCAGTTTAAGGGCTCTCAACGTGGCATCTCGCGGGATTTGGGGCGCACCTTAATTGCATCGATAGGGTACATGACAGTATGTTCCTGTTCAAATTCTCAGCATATGGCATTCACGAAAGGCCGGATCAATATGGCGCATACCGCTATGCCAGCAAACGCGCCTGCAGCCATGTTCTGGACCAACGAAAAATTTGGCGGTAGAGCTTCATAGCTGCAGATAAGATGTCAGTAGGGGTGGCAACGTAATCGATACTCCTCTCAGAGGTAATATTCCACATACTCATACTCGTGCTCCTCGACGGGTTGCGCATCTGGGTGGGCCATTTTGGCGGCCGCGGCCACAGATGCTCCTCCGTCGGTCTTCGATTGTAGATCCAGGATGGCGGCGACCTGTGTCGGCCACAATGGGAACCGTTCAAGGATATCCGCGGGCAGTGTCAGATATTCTCAGGGTGCTATAGCACAGGTGGTGTAGGAGGGTTTGGCGGGTGCTGCAGTGTTAAAAGCGAGAGTCGACGGCGAATTGCAGAGTATGGAGCGTGAATTACGGGTTTTGGGGTGGAGCAGCCGAGGGAGAACAAAACGACAAAAAGTGGTTGATGATGATGATCGATGATTGAACTTGTTGCAACTCGAAAAGAAAACACCGGGGCAGACGCTCTAGCGAGCAGGGATCAGAACAACGGCGGTTTGGCCGCCTTGGCGCTGGTGCTGGCGTAGACCGTGTCTCCGAAGCCGCTCTTTCGCTCTTGGTGCTCTGTCCTGCCTACGGACGACGTACAGCATCGGAGATTCCTCCTCCCTAGAACCCCGTCCCTAATTACAGTAGTGCTGGAACTGTGCCTACGGATGGGCCGGGAAGCATCTGATAACGCTGGGCGGGCTGACTGGGCTCGTGGCTGGCGACGGGGCATTTGTCGGCGTTCACGAGGATCGTCAGCTATTGATTCTCCTTGGAGAGCGCTCTTTTGTCGTTCAATTTGCTCGGGGATCTCTTGGGCTTCGGTCTTTTCCTCTCTTCGTTGCTGCTGCGTATGCTTCTGCTTATCGTTTTGCACCAGCCTCTACAGTATCTCTGTCGCTCTATCTCGCTCGCTCACTCGCTCTCCCTCTCCTAGGCTGGTCCTCCACTGCATCAGCCCTTGGCGCATCGTTCCAACCCGCCTCCAAGGACGGACGGAGATATATTATTGACATATCCAAACCAACTCGTCGGAGGGGTCGTGGCGCCCACGAGGCGTGCTCCGCGGAGGATGGAACTGAGAGGATAGAGCATCTCCGGACTGACAGTCTCTCTTGTCTATTAATAATTGTGAACTTCCCGGCCCCAAGCACAAATACAAAGTGACCGCCTTTGGACGCCTCAGGCCGATACCAGTTTCAATCTGATATCGGTTCACCGTGCACGGACCAGGTGGCCACAGTTGGAAAGTGCCAGGAAGGATGAAAACACCGACGGAAACAGCAATCAGCTTGGAGACATCGTACGACTGTGAGCGCAACTCATGCCACTTACGCAGAACACAATTGCGTGAATCCCATATCCTCCACTCCAGAATCCCATGTTCCCCAGTCACTATTTTAACCTTTGTCTAGGGATATATCTAGTTGCGCTGCAAGGGCCGCGCAGTGTGGGGTAAATCCGAGATCTCGTATGCGCGCTGATATCTTATCAGATCACAGTTCGAAGTGCCGGTACTGTAGTAAATACGTGGTTGGCCAGCTAGTCAACATAAAAAAACCTCTTTGTTTGCAAACTAGACACATAAAGGGTGGATAAATTGGCCTTATTTAGTTGCCTCGTAGGCAAGCCAGTCTATTAATATAATATTTCAACATACCGCTAGTTGCAAAATCTGCTGCTCCTGCTGCTTTAAAACGCCTATGATATACCCTCGCTTCATATCAGATATTTATAGTCTGCCATCCGTTTGCGCCTTCTGAAATTGATACAACAGCCCAAGAACTCCCCCGGCGCCAGCCGGCGCATCCTCCTCATCCTCCACATCCTCTCCCCGTGCCCCCCTAGTAGGGGAGGTCTCCCATCGAGATTCACCTAACCCGGCGACGCTTTCTTGGGATATGTTACTCCGCCTGGGATCCCTTCCGTCCTCATCTACATCCTCATCTTCCATGGGATCCTCTATGATATTCTGTCGAGCTTGATATCGAGACCGAGAGTTTCGGCGTCCACTGCGCCCTCCAAATCCAGACGCTGATGGTTGGTGATGCGGGTCCAGTAAAATCGAAGTCATCGGCGAGCCATGCGCCGCCGCAGGGGGAAATCGAGGTGTGCGAGCTGCTTGCGCCTGGGACAAACCACCCGGTGCTCTGCCTATCCGTCTCTCGCTGCGACCCATTCGTGACGTCTGCATATCTGCAGCGAGCGCGGGGGACATGAGCCCTGGGAACGCGGGTGGCGGGTGGAACGCCTGTCGGGCTCCGGGAGGGATATGCCCCTGAATACCTGTCTTGGGGTTGAGTATATAATTGTCCAGGAATCCATAGTATGAAGCGGTCATCTTGCCATGTTTCGTGGAATAATAATCGTCGCGCGGATCCGTCCCGGGCTTGTCCTGTTGTGCCGATCTGCCATCGCCTCTTTTGAAGTCGAACACCGCGAAGGAGCACAAGTAGCCTACCCCATCCACGTGGACTGTAAACTCCCGGAAGAAGTCGATGATCTGATCACAGCATTTTGGCAAACTATACCAGAGGATAAACGGAGTAATTATAATACTGAAAACCTCCTCTAAAAAGATCATGATCTTCAACTGATATAGAGTAGAAAATTCTCGTTTGACCTCGTCACTGTGAAGCCGGTTTTCCCAGTGAGGTGGCCGGTAATGGGTGTAGTCAATGACTTGGCGCAATGCATATTCTGGATCGAATACATCATTATCTTCCGGTATCGACCCACTCAATACGGCCCAAAGCGGTCCAAGTATCCCCAAATAAAAGATCACCGTCCTTTCGGGTGTGATCTCGAAACTCAGAAAGAGCTCAGGGTCCCAGAGCGTTGCAAGAACCAGGACCGACACTATCGACCCTGCAATGAATGCCAGGAATCTTGCTAGATGCACGGTCTTAACCTTTGGGAACTGTTCTAGGTAACGTGATGCGAATGGATATGACATGTTCAAGCGCTGGTGAAACAAGTGGTGAAGCTCGTTGAATTCTCGAAACTTCCACTCGGCGAAGGCCGTATATTGGCGCGATCCAATGGCCGAGGGATTCTTTTTGTATTCCTATAGAGCGGTCAGAGCATAAACTTAGCTGTGGGTGGGAATAATACATTGAAATATTTCAGGAAATATAACACCACAAGTACTATAACAATAACAGGGGCAAATAAAGCGTTCATAAATCCAGCGAATAAAAACCTAGTCCTAAGGCCATCACTGAGTTGTCTACGATGCGAATCTGTCAACACTAGTTGCCGGACTTGGCCATACTGGTTGAAGATATAGTCCTTAAAGCAGAGATCCAGGTTCCATTGCAAAATCCTCGAATATAGTTGACGACCTCGAAGGAATGGCAGTGGTAATGTTAAGTCAAGTATGTCCTTGTTAAACATAGCAATGAAGTAATTCTCTTCTCTCATCAGTCTGTTCGCGATATCGTGGGCATCCAGCCTCGCTTTTGACTGACTTCCTACGTATCTTCGGTTTTTGGCCGACATCTTCTCGGCAGTTCTGGGATTTGAGTCCCGTAGAGCCATTATTCGAGCGACAATATCTTGCCAAGAGATTGTTTGCATATCGCTATCGGGAATTCCAAGTAAATGAACGTAAAAATCGTGCATCCGCATCAGTCGAGGGATATCAATAAAGAGCTGATACACTCTGAATATTATCAACAGGGTAAATATCCAAATGGCTACATTTGGCATCCCTGACATATTCTTGATGCACTTCGGTACGAGGACTTCTGGCAGCCGCTTACTATGAGGAATCTTTTGGAAGTCGACGCATTGTGAGAGGAAAGTGACGAAAACGGCAAGAAATACGCTTGTCCTATATTTTGATGTCAGCTGAAGCGGCACATTTCCTAAATGTGACTTACAGGATATTCAGTGCTCTCTCGAGCACAATGCTCCACATCCCAGAGCCAAGATAGTAATCATAGACCTCTTTCATGAAATTATCTAAATTTTGGACATTTGCCCACCTCCACATTGCTTTGTCTTTGGCACTACTCATCAGCAGCCCCGGTCTCGAACGTACCTGTGGCTGCCCAGTTGTCGTATTTGCGTGGTCTTGATGAAGTGCTTGCTGTGCTTGGGTAGCTTCCCAATGAGCCCGACTTTCCCTGCCAGATGGGCCTGGCATGGCAGGGTGGCTGTTTGATTGTTTTGTCTGTCGAGCTCGTGGCTTGGCCGGGGTTCTGGGTTCCGGTATAGCGTTCCCCTCGACTAACAAGGACTCCGGGACATCGTCATCTCCGTCTTCCTCGAGCAACCTCGGGGATTGCGGTAACCATTTTGAGCGGCCGTCGTGTGCCTTCCCCTTTTGCTCAGGCCCTCTGCCTTCCGATCGGCTTCTGTGGCCAGTTAGGAACGCTGTGCTTTCCGTTGTGATCCGGCTCTCCTCCCCGTTGAACGCTTCTGCGTCCCCCAACTCATCATCCCTAAACCGTAGATTTTCTTCGTCGAGCGCCAAGCCTGCTTGCTCCTCGATATCTGATTCCGACGCTTCGTCGTGGTCTCGAAGGTCTTCGTAAATAGAGCGGGCCGTCGGATTTGTGGGTAGGAGCCGTGATAAGAGGTTCGACGTCATCATCGTGATAAAACTGGAGGGGGGCAAATGTGGCTCGACGGCTTGCAGATTTTATAGAGGTAATATGGGGGTGCTGGTATTGTGTTGGAAATCACAGTGGATGAGCGGGGAGCTATCCTCTGGAACAATGGTAGTCGAGGCGAATGAACGGGCATTTGGAAAGGATCTAGTTCCTCGAGGGTGGAGAAATAGAAATTCCAAGATGAAGCATGGCTGCGGATGATCACTTCATACTGTTCTGAAAGGCTGAAGTCATTCGGAGGGTGCTGGTGCCTTGCAGTTGGAGAGTCATGGAAGTAAGTGGAGGTATAGATGGCCGAGAGGGTGAGCCTGGAAGGCACGAGCAGCAGCCGAATGACTACTTAGACCGCGCTAAAGTAACGTAAGGCTGCAGCCAATGTCGACGACTCTCAGCCTTGCGTAGGGCCGTATTCGGACAAAGCTCATCGGAATTACGTAAGCGTAATTTATATCACGTGTATCCTAAATCTAGTACAAAGACACCAAACTTCGACGTTTACGACTACAACAACTTATCCAATTTTCGCCATGGCGACGGATTACTTGACGCGAAAGCACTCTGGGCTGAGTGACGGCATCGGTTCCCCTACATCGTCTCCCGGCCCCCAAGCGGTGAGGGGTAATCCCCTTGCAGCCAAAGTCACGAGTGTCCTTTCGGCGTCCTACACGGATTCTGATATCAGGGATGCACTAAGTCTTTTGGACAAGCGCGGTATTGAGAACGACGCTGAGACCCGGCGCCATCTGAGACTAGACATCCAGAAAGAAGTTATTGAAAGTAATGGCGACATTATACGCGAATTCGGCCAAGTTGCAGAGGTACGTGAAGTCGGGCCCCGTTTTCCAATGCATTGACCAATTCAAATAGCAACTTACCCGGATTGGCGCTACCATTGCAAGTCTTAATCAGGGTTGTGAAGAGATGAAGAAGCACATCTCGGCTGCCCACCGAGAAACAGCTCCTGTACTTGAAGAGGCTTCCGAGCTTATGAAGCAGAAGCATCAAATTGAAGCAAAACAGCAGCTCTTGAATGCATTCAATTGTCATTTTGTTATGTCGGACGATGATATAGCTACTCTCACATCGACTGCTGAACCTGTAGATGACAGGTACTTTGCAGTTTTAGCAAAGGCAAAAATAATCCAAAATGACTGCGAGATTCTGCTTGGTACGGAAAACCAACGCCTGGGTCTTGAAATCATGGAGCAGGTCTCGAAAAATCTAAATGGTGCCTTTCAGAAGCTGTACAGGTGGATCCAGCGCGAGTTCAAAACTCTCAACCTAGAGAATCCTCAAATAAATTCGTCAATACGACGTGCACTCAGAGTTTTGGCTGAGCGTCCGACTCTTTTCCAAAGCTGTCTAGACTTTTTCGCCGAAGCACGAGAAAATGTCCTCTCTGATGCCTTTTACACTGCTTTAACTGGCACGTCGGTCACTGGCCAGGAGGATACCTCGGTGAAGCCTATTGAATTGGCAGCTCACGATCCACTGCGATATGTTGGAGACATGTTAGCCTGGGTTCACTCTGCTACTGTCAGTGAGCGAGAGGCACTTGAGGTTTTGTTCATATCGGAAGGGGACGAAATAGCCAAAGGTATACAAGCTGGACGAGAGAGCGAACCCTGGAACCGCATCTCGGAGGATGAAGATGAAACTAGTACCTTTGATGGGCTTAAGGCTCTTAATGAGCTGGTGGATCGTGACGTTGCCGGGGTCGCCAGAGCGCTTCGTCAACGGATTGGGCAAATGATCCAGAGTCACGAAGAAACGATAATGGCATACAAGGTTGCAAACCTCCTCAACTTTTACCGCGTTATGTTATCCAAGCTGGTTGGCGATGACTCCGTTCTTCTAGAGTCGCTATCCAGTCTTGAAGAATCCGCCATGCGCCAGTTCCGGGTCTTGATGCGTGATTATATGGCTACTCTACCAACGGATATGCACATTTCACCTAATGACCTTGGCCCGCGTGATTTCGTGCAAGATGGCTTGAAGCAACTTACCGCTATAATGGAAACCTACGATACGTCTTTTGCCTCCGTCAACAGCAAAGAGGCAGACTTCCAGCCAATATTGGCTGGAGCCTTCGACCCATTTATGAAAACAAGCGAAAAAATCGCTCAAGAATTGGAGCAGCCGGTACTCTCCATATTCTCGATTAATTATCTTCTAGCTGCTCGCAACGCTTTGGCGCCATTTGAATTCACGAAGGGACGCGTCGTCGAAATCCAGGATAGTATTGACCAGCATGCGGCTAGACTGATCGAGTATCAATACTCGTTTTTCCGCACAAACTCGGCACTGCAACCTCTGCTTCAGGCGTTGGCACCACTGTCAGATACCCCAGATGATCTTAGATCGATCCGATCCCTTGAAACATTCCAGCCAGAGGTTCTCACTCAAGCAAGCCAAGCCTTGGATGACTTCCTTCCATCCGCCTTGATGGACGCTACGGAGAATCTGAAGCACCTGCAAGATTCCCACCTAGCCCGTGAGATAACCGAAACGGCCGCTGAGAGATTCTGCGATGATTTTGAGCAGGTGGAGGAGAAGATTATTGCTGCAGACGAACTTTGGGAGCAGGAGGAAGAAGAGGGCAGTGGGGCAATGACAGAACCCTTGCGTGCTTTGTTCCCCAGGACCAGTGGAGAAATCAGGGTCTTACTATCCTAAAGCGAGCGCTCGAGACCTGAAGCTCTAGCACGAAAAACTATATATCGTCATCGTGAACACCTACTAAGCGATTTAACCCATTGATATTAAATCGTAACGTCGAAGTACATGGTACCCATTCCACTTCTTCTTTTGCGGAAATCCTCATTTCCACAGCCATTGGTTAGCTCCATTACTTAGCTCCCAGCGGAGCGATCGGCTCCCAACATCACGTCTTGTTGCCAACGTCAAGTTATTCCTCGAAGCATCATATTCTTGTTATTAGAGCTTCTTCTTATACTTCAGATTTCCCATTCCGATCCTTTTAACAGCTGGCTCCTCCTACGTAGCGTACAACTCGCGTTCTCCATTAGTGGCGGACCATGGCGCATAAGCCAAACCCCGTTACCACCAAGGTTTTTGTTGCACATTGCACGTTTGCTAATGTCTCAACTTCCCAACTCTTGTCTCCTATAAAGCTTTGTTGCATAGCGCGCCTTTGTCCAAGCTGCACTTTTATTCGACATTTCAAATCTCCCCTTAAAGGCGAGTTAGGTCACCTCTTAATAAATTTTGCTGCATGTCGCACTTCCGAAATTATCCTTAAACTCATACAATCCTCAAATATTGCATAATAGCTCTCTCGAAGTTAACAATTCCCTCGGCAACCAAACAGTTGGCACATAGCTTGGTCGAAGCCGTTGGTGAATGTTTAGCAAACAAGCGAACCTGAACTAAGGAAGGATATTAGAGGGAGGATGGGGGCAGTGACGAGGAAAGTATCATCAACAACAACCCACTCAATAAGGGCTCACCATCTCCCGACACCGAATCGAATTAACTCGCGCGGATCTAGGCATCCCGAATTCGTCCAATGCAGTCCAACTCGTCTTTTCAATGGCTGTTGCATCATATATTAGTTGAACAAGCCTCAGGCGATTCTCCTTTTTTTAAATGTCAAGTTGCTTCTTACTGTCAAGTTGCTTCATATTGTCAAGTATCGCGCTGTACATGAGCATACGATCTCTTTAGAGCCGAAAGTGCGGCGGACCTCGATATCATGGCCCGCTTGATGTCAAGCAGCGCCATCTTGACCTTTCACCCCTCTGGTGTGTCAACTTGGTCGGCTGCGCATCCTCCAGCTCCTCTCGGGCATATCCAATATGAGCAGCCCCAACGACATCATCCTCGATCCGGTCAAGGTCTCCGGCGTACTCCTCCCTCATGTTGTCCACATCCTTAGGGCCCCACGCCACCTCGACCTTTGCCTTCTGCGCGAGGCAGACGGCCTTGACAGCCTGGGTAGACAGCTTCACTCGCTGTGATCTTTACCAGCGCCCAAAATCTAGTGCGGCTCGTATGGATACCTACTCAGATATTTCACCCACGCCGATGGCAGACCCTGCTGCAGCGATCGTGCCGTACACGAGCATACGATATCTTTAGATTTGACCTCCAGCGTTGGACCAGACACTCAGAAGATGGAAAATTAGCGATCAGATTAGAGTTGCTCACAAGGTCGCTATACCGACGATAGAATTAAGAGTGTGCTTGCACTTTGAAAGCAGCTCCGACATAGCTTTGATTTGCTCTTGTTTGGAGAATCCCACATTTACTCGGTCCTGCCATGTTTCGTGCGGAGGATAAGCTAACGTTACCTTGATAGCTACAGCTCCCTCCGCCACAACTATATCACGGAAGGGATCAAGAAGATTGTATCTACAAAGCAGACTGAGGTTAAGGGTGCTATGATTACAATAGCGGATCGACAGCTAGTATTGTTAGAGAACAAGCTAGAATAGCCGAACCTCAGCAGCGACGATAACGAAGGGGCTAGATCCAAGTAAGGCAAACCCGAGGTATTGCGACAACTCGAAGGATATTGAAGGCTATGAACACGTCGCTGAAGCTACTAAATGAGCTGCTATCTAGGTTGTAGGAAGAAGCTGTTGCGAAAGCCGCGGGGAGATAGAACGGCCTAACCACGATACCTTTGGTGCTAAGACCTCGGGCTTTCAAGCTGTTAATATTAATAGCAGAGTTACTGGATTAAATTTTGGCGAAAATTGAATATTTGATATGTTATTTGCTCCCGCGTTTTGGTTGCGGAATTGCTGCCAAGTTCGCACCTGCTGTCACATATCCTAACTTATTTGCATATCAAAATCCTCTTATAGCTGTATAACTTAAATCGGCAACACGAAGTACTTAATGTCAGGATACCGATTATTGTTATCACGGAAGTATTAGAAGTACTAAAAGATGGGCTACTGGCCCTTGAGGTGCTGCCCTCCGCCAACCTTCGGGCATGGCCCATTTAGCTCGATCTCGTTGCCCGTTCTGTCCTTGGTGTCACGGTAATAGTGAAGAGTGCCAGTGACGCCGAAGCTTGTTGGTGGGTGGGTGGGTAGTTGGTAGATGATGTATATCAATAAACCTAGTGTAGGCATTAAGTGAGCCCAACTTGACTAGGGCAACCGGGGCTCTCATTTCCGGGTTGAGCGTGGCCACCTCCGGTTTGATATCGTTTAGGCATTGAATCGCCCGGTAAATTTCATTATAGACGCTATAGCTTAGTACTCTGTCTGAACACCCCCTACAAGATGGATTTCAAAGGTTCTTTCCAGATAAGGCTCAACATCTATCAACCTTCCTGCTCAGAAAGTGATAGTTTACAAATATATAGAAACCAGAAGCAGCGAGGGAAATTACTAAAACATCGATTATCTTCCTCTAGAGATAAGTCAGGGCTCAGCACGCTAGACTGGTTGTAAATGACTCGTCCAGCATAGTGGAGTTATAAAGCATATTACACAGGGGATACCAGTGAGGTCTGCGAAGATGTGCGTCTTGTTAAAGGCGACAATACTTACAAATATACTTTGAGGACACTGTGGAATATGAATTTCAGCGTCCTTGCCGTAGACTAGCAAGGCTTCATCTAGATCATGTCATTTCTGGACCCTGAAAGTCTCTAGATTTTAAAGCTAAAGGATGGTCGACCCAGCGAAGGCTAGGGACCGAGGTTCGAGTTTCATAAAGGCACCTGCGAAAGTGAGCTCCTTCAGAGCATTCCAATATCGCAGTATGTAGGCGAAACGGAACTGAGAACGCACAGGCTGGTTCAGGACTCTTTGCAGCCTACAGTACATATAGAGTACTGAGGTTGCGTTTCTTTCCTCTCTAGCCATCACAACACGCAACACACAATATCACCTTTCCTCCTACTGATATCTATGTCAGCGGGTTGAGCTAAGCGTAGCAGACTTCATTTCCCATACCACCGACTCTATCCCAAATAGCATCCTCCCCGGCACTATCGAACTCTATCCACACATTCACCCATACCTACACCGAGAGTAATAAAACGTGGATATCATCCCCAAGATCGCCTCGCTTATCAGGGCAGATTATTCACTGTACTGTCTAAATTTGACCGCCATACCGGCAAACTCCTGGCAAACACCTCGTTAGCTCCAGATCTCACCATTATATAAACAATCCACACCCTCCATCAGACCACAACGGTTCAAGTTCAACTTCGCCTTCGAACCAGAGGCATACAGCGCGATAGGTAGTACTGATCCTTACCACACTTGCACTTGTATTGATATCTGACATAACGGACATAGACAGCCTGAGCCCAACATCAGGGACAGGTCGCCGGTTATCACGATCTTGCCATTTTATCGAAGTCCCCGATCTCGTCAACGGTCACAATACAATGGCAGGAAATACCGATAAAAGCACTCAATCCGCTGGCCCTAGCCAGGACGCACGGTCCGAGTCGGAACATCAGGCTGTATCCAAACTAGATATTGCAGCACGATGTGAAGCTCAGATAGCAGGTATGTTCCAACAGGTTACACGCTATTCTTGATCATTCAGGTTGTAATACTAGTATGCTAATATCGATATCCAGCCGCGATGAAACGTGCCATACGCGATACATATGAGGAGCCGCCTGGCGGATATGATCGGAAATATGGTTTTGAGAAACTAGGTATGTTACAACAGGTTAGGCGCTAGTCTTGACCGTTCAGGTTGTAGTAATAGTATACTAATACTGATATATAGGCGCGATATCACGTAAGATTCGCGACAGCTCCGGCCTTGACTTGTCTACCATTTGTGCCATGATTGCCAATGAAGGACAATTTAAAGTGGTTATCGAAGTTGAGAAGATCCGCGTCAAGTATGGTGGTAGAGGATTCAACCTTGAGCCGAAACCTAATACAGGTCGTATCAGGATTTGCATTATGTCGCCAAAATCCACACTGCAGCCTGAGACGGGAGACAGCCACGATACTATGCCGCAGGCCAAGGATGCAGCCACTACAACTACGATGGCGGGCGATGGAGTTAAAGCAGAGGCCGAGCCGGCAAGCAAACAGCCAATAGGTGCTCCGGACTTGGTCAGTCAATTAGAGGCTCTAATTGAGGCTGAAAAATTGAATGTTCGAAACTTGCAGGCTGCACTGGAGGCTCTAAAAATAGATGCTCCGTACTTGTTCCGTCAAATAGAGGCTCAAATAGAGGCTCAAATACAGGCTCTAATAGCGATTAAGGCTCTAACAGAGGCTCAAAAAATGGGGGCTCAAATACAGGCTCGAGAATGGGCTGAGCTCAAGGCAAAAAATGCCAAAGTAGCAGCAATGTCAAGGGCCAACATCATCCAATTAGAAAGACTTGATTATCTTCTTAGCGTTGCATCTAAATAGCGATAAAATCACGGCGAAGGTCCTCCTTATGGCGCACCCTCTAACCTGGTATCTGGGCCGAAAAGAAATACAAGATATCCGTTAACTTGCCGAGCCTGCCCACCGTGTTCATTCCGTGCATGCTTTCACCGTATTCATAGAACACTTCCGGAGAAGATTAAACCACTGGGCTGGACCCCAGGCTCCCAAGTCCGGATGCCGATGATTATCGTCGAGGATACTACTCAACCACTCCATGGCAACCTAGGGCAAGGAAGCTTAAACACAGTGTCCCTGACCCCACGCCTGCACTCGCAGCTCCCCTCCTCCTAGCTGCTAACATGCTTGAACGTTTCACCGAATCGGTTTCTTTGGCGGAGGCCTTGCGCGAGCCCAGCACATGAATATCAAGAAGATGATCCAGAAAAACCACTCGAATATCAGCAACGCGGTAATACTTATTATTAGTAAGATAGTCTGACTGACTAGTTCCTGGTTCCAAGAGAGCCTAGAGTCCCTCCCTTGGCATGATAAACGTGCATTGCTCCCGCATATCTAAATGCTCTGAACCATATTTCCAGTCCTGCAACAAGGATGAACCCCTTATTGCATATATCCCGTTGAACAATCATCGCAGCCAGCGAGAAAGGAGGAGTACTCCACCGCCTAGGGCAGCAAGGCCCGCACAAGATAAAAAGTTATTGCAGATCTTGACGGGCTTATCGAAATATGGCTTTCCCACACAGATGGCAAATGACAAGCAAGTAAGTCTTCAACGATGGAAACAAGGAAACTGTTCGCTGACATAGAGGGCCAGCTTGGCGACTTCAATCGCGATACTTGAGCTTTCCACTACTATGCATTTTGCGATGTAGAATAAGCTGCCAAATAAATTTAAATAAAAATCTAAGTGAAAGATGCACGGAAATCTCTGACCAGCGCCATTGCTATTGTATTCGTGATGTGGTGATGGTAATGCGGTGACACAGATGTGCAGGTCCCGACCTTGGAACAAGCCCAATTACCGACGACAAAAGTGGAGGCACGTCCCTGCCAAGGCTAGCTCAGAACTACTATTCCTATTTCTGACAGCACCAATTAATAGTCTGGTGACTTCATGTAATAATACCTACCGGATATACCTTAGTTGTATCAAGTACGGAGGATCAAGTGACGATATTGAGATAGCTCCTCATCCGTATTCCAATCCTTCAACTAGATCTGCTAAACCCAGGAGTGCATATCGGCTCCCCCTTGTCGTCACCCGGGACCTCCTCCGGCAGCCATCTGCGTCCCGTTCGGCTCCCATCCCGACTGCCACCAGAGAATTGCCGGCGCGACACGTGACTGCGGTGGCGTTTCCAGATTAGTTCCTCTTTTGGTCCCGACAACGCTGGGTCGATTTTAGCTTGTGATGGCTTCGGACTAGCCAAGGAACCAGTTTGACGGATCTCCAGGGATCGCCTGGTGGGAGATGGAACGGAGGGGGATGCTATCTTATGAGTATGAGAGAGAGGAACATTGTTCTTGTAGGCACAATAATATGCGCAAAAGGCTCGGGGATTTTCTCTCTTATTAAGTACTCGAGTTATTGCATATGGGATATTGCGTTACGGGCTGTCGTGGTCACATAGCGCGATAAAACAACAACACACCACCACTCTCTGCAGACAGACAGACTCACACAGAGCCCACAATCCACAACCCCTCTTGGCGGCGCTGGGCGGAAGAATAGGAAGGGTTGCCGCCTTTTATCGGTACAGCATCTGCATCTGCATGCATGGAAGCAACGCCTCACCGTCGCGTCGGTCCTCTAGAAACGGAACCTGGATCCCCAAAAAAGAAACATGCCGTCCAGACGGGCAGACACAGGGTCCAGCAATTGCAGCAGACCGATCATTTTTCATTCACCCAGCCGGTTTGCTTTTATCCAGCATTCTCGTTTCTCTCTACTTATGTCTCTCGTTCTCTCTCTCTAGACTCGTAGTGTGCAACTGACTGTGCAACCCAACACCCATGCCCGGCCGCCGGGCTGAGATCTGATGCACACAAGTATTGGGCTCCGGAGTATGTCTCGTGCATTGGCGCTGGCATGTTATTGTCTCCTCCCATATCCTTGTTGAGGAACCCCTAGTACAATATGGTATGTCCCGACCTTCATATGCTCGCTCATACAGCACGCCTACATGGTCAATATGCCCTTCTGACCGACAGCCGCGGGAGATGTGATAACAATACGAGTAATCCACTCACCCGTGTCTCTCTCGATTTGCCAGCAGGCAAGAAAGTAAGAAAGGAAGAAAGGTGACGGGCGGACTCATTGGGGTTACGGGTACTGTATCTATCAGGCCCAAGGCCCAGTAATAAGCAAGGACTCAAGGAGCGAGCGAGTGGTTCGAGTGGTCGATCTCCGGGACGTTTGAGCTAGAAACGGACGGCGACGTTGGAGCACCAATGCCAACGGCCCAACCTGGACGTTTTTTCTCCAACTTGTCAACCCCGATAATAATGCCAACGCCGGCTCCACCGGGGTGGGGTCTGGGTTGAATGCCAGACTGTCCATGACTCCATCGAAACAAAGGATGGGCGGGATATTCTCTTTGTACTCGTATGAAGTGCCACGTACTAGACTGTGCCTCTTGAGAATCTCCGAAGACGACGTCAAGACTCAAGGGAAGGAATGGAAGGGGATGGCGAATTTGAGCGGGGCGGGGGAGCGAGCGGCTCTCATTCCTGGTTAGTAGTGACCTGGGAAGTTACAGTATTTGTTATGGAGTGTACACGTACCTTATTTACCTATTGCTCCGGCCCTCAAATCCAGTCTCCATCAGAACCTGAATGGAACCGGATGAGCAGCAAGTGAGGTACAGCACGACGGACGGATTGGATGAGCGTGGCGGGGGGGGGGGGATGACCCACGGGGTGGTTTATGACGCCAAAACCCATCTACGTGAAGCTACAGGAAGCTTATTCGCGCTGCTGCCACGACCACGACCACGACCTCGACGGTGATTTAAAACGGAGGGAAGGCAGTTTAAACTACTGGACTGGCCCTGTCGAGGCAAGCCATGCCATCTGGCCCATCCACTCTGGTTCTCTCTTCTCCATCCACATCCACTTCCTGTCTTCCACATCCCAATCCCATCCGTCTGCCTTCTTCTGCCTTCTGCTGCTCGGCATTTTTTGTCTGATTTCTTTTTTAAGAACCCCCCTCCCCCCCCCGCATCTTCCCTTTCCTGCTTCACTTACTTTTCCCTTTCTTTGCTCCTCGTGGGCGCATGCTCTCCCCATCCCCATCTCCCTCCCCATCCTTTTTCCATTCATTACTGATTTCGCTCGCCCGCCGCCCGGGTGTTGTGGCTTGCCCATCATCCACCCCCATGCCGCCGTATCAAACCCGAGGATCGCTCCGGCCTGCGACCGCACGCAACCATTCCAGGCACCAAAGCTGCCCAGCTCCGGACGGATGATGCTATATCCAAGGGGATCCTCGAGGAGGTCCTGGGCCACCGTGTCGCCTTGCCAGCCCTTCTGGCGCCCGGCGACGACGGCTGCCCATATGGTTGCCAGTGGGCTCCAACACTAAAGCAGCACGGGGGCTTCTCCGGATCCAGACAGGTGTGAGCTGGGGAGAACGATTACAGCTTTTACTACGTCCACCTACGTGGGATCCGGCGATGCTGGGCAGAGAAGAGAAGCCATTACAGGTATACGGGAGTGAGGCCGGCAGTATCGAACTGGAACCGCAGCGTCCGACGAGATGCCTCGAACGCGACCGCAATTACGATACAGAGCCCCCGTTGTTGCGTTGCGTTGCGTTGCGGGGGGGAAGGGGGGGAAGGGGGGCGGACAGAGCAGAGGCCAGATGGGGTGCACGGAATGGAATGCCCAGCACTCAGCTCCAGCGTATGGCATGGCATCGCTTATCGGAGAACCCGACCGCGAACTTGCGACTCCTCCGACTGGAGAGAGGGAGAGAGGGAGAGAGAAGAGAGGAGAGAGACAGCAGCAACAGACCGTGAGTACCTTACCTAGAGAGTGAGAGGAGATGGAGAGAAGGCCGAAACGCGTATCGCCAACCAACTCCACACACTCAACCGGCACCACAGACAGCACCACAGCACCCACCGCGCAGCGCAGCGCAGCGCATCGCAGCCCAGTCGATCGATCTGATCTGATCTGATCTGATCTCATCTTATTATTATCTCATCTAGCCTCTAGTTGCCCGTTCCCGGCTTCAGCCTCCGCGCGTCGTGGTCTGACTGGGTAGGCCAGCTGGTGTTCCCACCTCCTCTCCTCCGTGGCTCCGTCGCTGCGTCTGCTGCGGCAAATCTGTCCGTTGCAGGAGGGAAGCACGGAAGCACTGTATTCGGGGCCTCTTTTATTCGGTTTCAGGCGCTTGTCTACCTGCTACAGACCTGCCTTCCCTACGATCCAGACTCCAGTGCGACTCCCAGCGACTACGTGCTCGCTCCAGCCTCCAGCCGCCAGCGCTCGTTTCTCACCGTTGCCGGTCCGGCCTGCGCCGCGCATTCCAGCGTGCGACCACTGACCACACCGCGTTTTGCTCTGCTTTGCGCTGCTTTGCTTTGCCTTTGGGCCCTTTGCACCGGCTCGAGACTCCAGTATTGTATTATTGTTGTTCCCACCCGGACGCTTCCACGTTGCCACGCACGCTTCCAACGGTCCAACCCCCCGAGAGCTGCTCCTCGGCACTCCAGCAGCGGGTACGAAGGAAGCACGGTGCTACGCACTCACTCACTACTGTGCGGTACGGTCGTCCTCACCCAGCGTGGTCGCGGTAGTCCGACTGCCTAGCAGTACAGTACATACATCGTACTCGTAGCATCTCTATCTCGAGGTACGTTCCTTTGTTCCCTTGCCCCCCCCTCCCCCAGTGCGCCTCTTTGTCCTACGCCATCGCATCGCATCGCATATCACCTTCTCGTCTCGTCTCCTATTATTGCGCGTCGTGCGATCTGGTTGCTGTCTGGCGCTGGCTGCTGTCTGCTACTGCGCACGTGTTGGCTGTCGCTCTTCCGGCGTTCGTAGTACCGGTCAGCTCGCACGCCTACTGGCACCACCAACGGAACGATCAGCATGAACTTGAACCTATTGCTCTCGTCCCCGTCCTCCCCCAAAACCAACCAGACGAGATCGGGGATCGATGTTCGAGAATGGACCCAATGAGCATGGCATCGCATGGCATGGCCTGGCCGGGCTGGCCCATCGCGGGACCCTAATAAATTAACCACCAAAAAGCTTACTATTACTATTTACATGGACTGGTTATGGGACTGACGAACAATTGTTGGACAATTACAGGAATAGGTTCCCTATCAGCATCAGCATCAGCATCGGCATCTCCATCCTCCGCCTCCCGCGCGAATCGCCGCATTGGCGAAACTCGTCGCCCGCCCCAGTATTATTAGCCTCCCCGCCCCGATCCGGCCTAGCGCGCAATCGTTTTAATCCAACAAGCGAAAGTCTTTACGACCTTTGCGACATCAACAGCTCAGCGCGTACTTAGGTAAGACCCTCCTTCATTCCTCCTACCATCCGAGATCTCCCAAGAGGCGTCTCGTGACGTTCTCGAGATCGCTATTGCGCCTATTCGTGTCTCGTGTCTCGTCGTCGACGTCGTGGAGACCCGTTGATGGTCTGGATGGGCATTGCCGCCCCCCCTTGGCTTCATCCGTTCATCCACCGCGTCGCGACTTCCCATCGCGAACCCGCCCTCTAGGCGCGCCTGCCATCTCTCTTCCACCCCTCGGGGCCTTCGCAGGAGGCTCTGTTTCGTTATACCACCCGCTGACGTATGGCTGCCATTGCAGATGGGTTGCCGCAACTCCTTCCCACAGTCATGACCTCCTGGAACGACGCCGCCATCCAGAGTCACAATGGCGCCGGCTTCAACCATCTTGACCCGAACTCCGCCGGTGCCATGCTGGACCCCTCTGCCTTTATGAACAACCCTTCCTCCTTCGATCCCTCCGCCCAGTTCCAAAATCAACAGCTTCAACAGCGCATGCAAAATGGCGCCATGCGCAATGGCTCACCGGCCTTCAACAACAATAACAACAACAACAATAGCAACAACAACCCCAACAACCCTATATATCAGACCAACCCGGTCATCCCCTCAAAGAGGCCGCGGCCGAGAGAGGACAGCTTGGCCACGTCTCCCCGTCAAGCGCCGGGCATGCCTCCTGGTTCGCGCTCGCAAACCCCCCAGCAATCCCCATACCCCGGATTCCAAGGGAATAATGTGCCCCAACAACAGGGGCCTTATTCACACCTGCAAAATGGATCTTCCACTGCCAGCCCGTCTCCCATCATGACAAACCAGCTGCGTCCTGGCGGTGTCCCCCAAAGGGTCTCGACGGCTTCGCCGCATTCGTTTTCGCCGGCCGCTCAGCAGTTCCCCCAAGCGTCACCCTCTCAATCAGACCATGGCAGCCGAGTAGACACGCCGCAGAACAGCAACCCATATGCACAGAATCCGGGCTTCGGACAAGGGTTTGGCCAAACTTTCACCCCTCCTTCGGGTCGAACGTCGGCGCCCCCTCAGAATCCTATGTCTACACCTCTCATGCAGCAGCAGCCGCACATGGGGCAGCCGCAGATGTATCCCCAACCCCAGCAGCCAACACAGCAGCAGCAGCAGCAACAACCCCAGCAACGGCCTCAGCCCATGGATCAGCAAAAGTTGCTGTACCACATGCGGTTGCAGCAGCAGCTTCAACAACAAAATTTAATGGCGGCTCAACGGGGCAACATGCCACCCAGCGTGAACCCGATGGCCAAACCCCAGATGCCCGGTCAGAATGGACAGTTTCCGGGAATGCGCCCGGGGCAAGTTCCACCGCAACTTGGTGGTCCGAGCCCGGAAAGCTTCATGAAGAATCTAGCGTCTTTCATGCGGCAGCACAATCAGCCGCTAGATATGAACCCCATCGTTGGCGATCGCCCGATCGCCCTAATAGCTTTATATATGACAGTGAGGAAGTTTGGGGGGTACAAGAAGGTCACCTCGCAGAATGGATGGCCGCAAGTTGCGCAAGCATTGCAATTCCATCCCATGCAGAGCCAGCAGGCCGCCCAGCAGCTCAAGGCCCATTACGACAGGAATCTGCTCATGTTCGATGAAGCATGGCAGAATCAACAGCGCCAAAGAGTCGCCATGATGCAGCAAGGCCAAGGGGTGGGAGGGCCTGGCCCACAGATGTCGCCCACTAAACAGATGAACCCCCAAACAGGGATGCCACAGCAACACTACCCGCAGCAAGCACAGCTTTTGGGTCAGCAGCAACAGATGCATACGACTCCGGTCAAGCAGATGGCGCAAATGCATCATCCACAGCAGCCAGCTGTGAATGGCTTCTCAACTCCTCAGCAACCTCCAGGGCAACCACGGCCGATGGGGCCTCAAAGCCATGGGCGGAACAGTCTCTCGCGGACCATCGAAGCCACCCCTCCGCAGAACGGAACCTCTTTTACCGTGCCTTCCCCAGTATCCGCCGCCAAGCCAGGTGCCCTCTCGTTGCAATCACCCCAAGTAGATGCCGGGATACGCCCCGGGGAGCCTCCAGCACCCCAGGAGTTCAACCTGCCTGCTGAATTGGATCCAAAAGTTCGTGTACTGGATACCTTTGGTGGTGTTGAGTTAGACTCGCTATTACGGCTCGGCGGGACTTTGATCCAGTCGAAACCTGATATCCCACCTGTTGCGGATCTTGGGTCGATTGACATTCATGCCCTGACCATGAGTTTACAATGTGGAATTCATGCTGAAGTGCGAATGGCCTTGGACACGCTAGTCTCTCTTTCCGTAGAACCTCGTTTACAGTTGGACTTGAGGGCCTGTGAAGATCTTGTCGAAACTTTAATCGACTGTGCCGAGAGTCAAGTTGAAATCTTAGCTGAGAATGCAGCAGAGGTTTCGGATGTCATGCTCATAAGCTCCTACGAGGACACCGTACGTGGGTGTCGCCTTGAGCAAGAGGTCTTGCAAGATATACCCCCTTTTGGATCTTTGGAATACGAACTTGATCGGGCTGTTGACAAGTTGATCTGCATCACCACCATCATGCGCAATCTTTCCTTTTACGAGACAAACCATCCTCCACTCGCCGACGAACTCGTCATCAAAATCTTATGTGTTGTTATAAGGTACTTGGGAACTCGTAACATGCTTTTACGGACCAATCAAAACACCTTGGATTTTATGAAAGATGTGATTATCTTCCTGTCCAACCTTGCACAGGCCATCGAGATTCCAGGCCGGGAACAAGCGCTTTGTCTACTTCACTTCCTGCTTGCATTCGCGCCATCTCCTCCACCCAACGCATTCGACCGGGTTACCTTTTCACCATATGATCCGGCGATACATCGTTATCTACCCCCGGCTGTGGACAGTCTTGCGAAACTGCTGGCTCGTGATGAACCGAATCGGAGCCATTACAAGACTATATTCGCCTCGGACGTTGCTTCAACTCCTCCTTATGACCTCCTTACAAAGACATTTGCGCTCGCGGTCTCCGCGATACCAGATGACAAGCAGGACGGAAAACGAGCGAACCTGATTCCTGTGGTAGAAGCTCGAAAACCAATCTTGATGCAAGGCATGTTAGCTGCTGAGATATTATCGAACCTAGCACCCGGCCATGAGTCCGGAGTGGCAAAGTCTTGGTTGACATCTGAAGATGGCTTTTCGCAAAATCTAGCACGGCTCATTTTCACGTTGTGTCTGGAGGCGACACCCCAGCACCCGCACTCACGATCGCAACCCGTCCCGAAGGGGGTTGAAGACGAAGCTCTACTTCATATCACCATGGGGGGAATTGCTGTGCTACGGCGTCTTGGGGAGAAGTCCCGCGATCCAAACGATCCGCTCTCTACTATGCCCATAACGACTTTACCATCGAAGGAGAATATATTATCGGCACTAAAATTGGTGCAGCCACGGCTGCAGGGGGTTTTGAAACAATTATGTGCATACGCGGGGTTGGGCACATAAAGCGAATTGATATTCTTACTCGGTGTACTACATTCCATAGACGCATCGGCGGTAATTGGCAGTGTATGGAGTAGGCGTTCGAACACTTTGATCTCTTGTCTATCTAGCATCCTAACGTCTTTCCTTGGCTGGGGTTTTTTGATTGGTTTGTTGTACAGGATGAAATGGCTCTACCTCTCTCCTAGACAGGTATGAGAGGTTGGCGGGTGTTGTACATATATAGGCATCAGTCCGCAAATTGGTAAATGCAGAATATTGCTTCCAGAAGCAAACATGAACCACGTTCCATAACTCCTCCCTCACAAAAGCTCGTAACCCTCCTTGCACCACGCCCCATGCTCAACCAAAAATGCCGTAACCTCTTTCTTCCTATGCCCCTATCAAATCCTCAATGTCAGCCCCAATCTCTTCACCCTACACAAAAGAGCAATCCACATACCTTTATCACAATGTGTCCAGTCAACTGATTAATAACCACCTCCTTATCATCCGCCACAGCTAGGGATTTCTGTAAATCCGTCTTGAAAGCAGCTATATCGCCTTGGATGTTCTTGACCCTCGTAAGCAGCTTGTTGCCGCCTCGTTGCTTCAGCTGGTATACGGGGAAACAATCGGATGGTGTGAGGGGGACGCGGTAGGGTTTGGAATTCGAGGGGACTGGGGATTTCGCAAGATGTGTGGATATGGGTGTGGATGCGGATGCGGATGGGGATGAGGATGAGGTAGCTCGCGTGGTGCCCAGGAAACGGGCGATTGTTGATGGCCGTGGGACGGCTCGGGGCCGGAGGAAGGCGAGGGGGGTCTGGTAGAGGGATGCCATTGTTGATTGAGGTTGATATGCTGTAGTTCCTGGGGCCAAAGTCAACCTCCCAGCTAATAAATCACGGTCCGGTTGTCGCGACCTCGAAAAAGTTGCGGTTCATTGTCCTCGCATCCAACGCTAACCCCTAAGAAGCTTAGCGCGGTATTCTTGGCGGGCCGCACACAAATTTCGATATCTCTAAGAACCGCGGAACAAGGAATCAATCCCCCACCAGAACAACGACCCCTTCTGCCCTTGAGCCTCCCCCCATATTGCAAAGATGGCGGACACGACAGCTGCCCGGACGCCCGAGGAGGTTGCCAAGGAGCACGACCTGCTTCCTAAACTGGTCACGCATCTCGACCGCCATTTAATATTCCCGCTGCTTCAGTTCGTCGCGGATCAGGATGAGGAGCCCTCGCCCGAGATCACGAAGGCGAAATACGAGCTCTTGAAGAAGACGAATATGACGGATTACGTGGCTACGCTGTATTGCGAACTCGAGGGGGTGGAGGACGCGCCGAAGGAGTTTGCGACCAAGAGGCAGGAGGTTTTGGATCGGCTGGAGAAGTATGAGCAGGAGAGTGAGAAGATTACGGATTTGCTGGGCAGGGAGGATGTGGTTACGGGCCTGAGGAGCGATAAGGTGGCTAACTTGGAGTTTTTGAAGAAGGAACATGGTGTAGGTGTCCCCTGGGGTTTTCTATGGTCTAATATGTGGCGTGTGTGCTGATGAAGAGAATAGGTCACGATTGAGATGGTTAATGTTCTTTATGACTTCGGGAACTTCCAGTATAGCTGTGGTAACTACCAGGCCGCAGCAGAACTGCTCTATCAATTCCGAGTGCTCTCCACCGACAACGACAAGGTCTCCGCGGCAACATGGGGAAAGCTGGCGTCGGAAATCCTCACCACGAATTGGGAGTCGGCTATGGAGGAGGTGCAGAAGGTGAAGGAATCCATCGACACAAAACTCTTCAGCAACCCGCTCGCACAACTCACCCACCGCACATGGCTCATCCACTGGGCGCTCTTCCCCTTCTTCAACTACGAGCCCGCCCGCGACACAATCTGCGAGCTCTTCTTCTCCGCCCCCTTCATCAACACCATCCAAACCGCCTGTCCCTGGGTCCTCCGATACCTGACTGCCGCCGTGATCACGAACCGCAGCCGGACACGCAACACAGGACAATACCAAAAGCAGCTCAAGGACATCATCCGTATCGTCAAGCAGGAGAACTATGAGTACAACGACCCGGTCACCGATTTCATCAAGGCGCTCTACATCGATTTCGACTTCGAGGAAGCGCAGAAGAAGCTCTCCGAGGCGGAAGAAGTCCTCCGCTCCGATTTCTTCCTCGTCGCGGCCTCAGACTCCTTCGTGGAAGCCGCCAGACATCTTATCTCGGAAAGCTACTGCAAGATCCATCAGCGTATCGACATCAAGGATCTAAGCGCGAGATTGGGTCTGAACCAGGATGAGGGCGAGAAGTGGATCGTTAATCTCATTAGAGACACGAGGGTTGACGCAAAGATTGATTACAAGGAGGGAACGGTCGTTATGAACCACCCACCCAGCAGCGTGTACCAGCAGGTTATCGAGCGGACCAAGGGCGGTTTCTTCAGGACACAAGTACTGAGTGCTGCGGTAGCAAAATGAGCAAAAATAGATAACGAACGGGGGGTGATGCTCATCACGCTTGTGGGGAAGGTTGAAGGAGGAGCCAGGATTCAGAGACATTGACAGCGGGGATGGATGTGAATGAGTGCATGGCTGGCGTTTTTGGGAACGGCGGGGGAAATCAAAGTATAGCAAAATGAATTGGCTGGACTTGCCCGGCTGAAAATGAGGCTGTCTTGTTGTCTGATATCCGAGGGATGGTAGATGATGGGCTCTAATAGACCAATTTGACCAATGATTTTTTCACACCACTTCTATATACCTTTGCGAGCTATTCTTCGCCCGTGTAACACACGCAACTACTTGACAGCATATGTTTCAAGGGCAGTCATTATATGTCTACATTGGGTTAGGCTGCCTTCAGAACCCAGCCTACGGCCTATTAATAAAAGATATCGTACTCGTCATGTAACCCACAAACTCTAGGTCCCGCACCATCTAACAGCCTAAGGAACTACTAATGAACATTTTGCGCGTCCACTCCAAAGGCACATTCAGGGGTCAACTCAAGCCTTGGCGCCACCATCGCTTAACGCGAGTTAATCCAACTCCAACTTCACGCGTCGAAAGATTACACAACGCAGCGACAGCGGATAGCATCATGCCGAAAAGAAAACGGAAGGACGCGGATAATAATGACGGCGAGAAAGAGGAGCCTCGCAGATCGAGTCGTCGGGGGGCGACGAGGAATTTGAAGGAGGAACCTAAGATCGAGGGACCTAAACGGGCTGGGAAGTCTAAGGCGGCGCGCGTGGTTGATGGGAGCAGTGAGGAGGTGTCTGTATGTGATTGTTACTTCGTTTTCTGCTTTATCATACTTCAATATACCCATGGACGCCTTCAGCTGTCTTTCGTCCTTACATACATGTATTCCGCAGTTGGACAGTCACGTGTTGCTTTCATTGCTTTCATCTCATTCTCTCCCTCCCTTCTCCAGATAAATAAGGTAGTAGCCAATATCTAACAGACTACCTATCTAGAAACCATCCAAATCCTCTACATCCGTCCCATCCACCAAAGCCGCCTCAAAACTCCCGGCAGCTTCTCCACCCGGCCGTCAATACTGGCTCATGAAAGCCGAACCCGAGTCACGTTTAGAAAAAGGACAAGACGTAAAATTCTCCATCGATGACCTGGCTGCAAAGACAGAGCCTGAGCCTTGGGATGGTAAGTACTTATACATCAACCCCCTTCAAGAAGCCTTTCTAGAAGCATAGGTGTTAATTTTATATATTCGCAGGTATTCGCGCGTATGCAGGTATGCATGTCACCATGGCTGGTGTATGATATGATTCGATGTGTGGCTAATGAATGGTTACATAGCTCGTAACAATCTCCGCGCGATGAAGAAACACGACATGGCTTTCTTCTACCATTCGAGCTGCAAAGTCCCCGCCATAGTCGGCACCATGGAAATCGTGGAGGAGCACTCCCCAGACCGTACTGTCCCCATATCATTTCCCCTCCCTCCGTTTCTCCCCACTCCTCCAAACCTATGTTTTCTTAATTATCTTACTTATATGTGTATTGTACAGTATCAGCACACGACCCCTCAGCACCCTACTACGACGCCTCCTCCAAACCCTCAGATCCCAAATGGTCCGTGGTGCATGTTGAATTCCGCCAGAAACTCGCAACGCCCATCACGCTTAAGGAATTGAAAGCTTGGCAGGCGCAGAAGGGCCATCCGTTGGAGAATATGCAGACGTTGAAGTTGGCGAGGAGTAGTGTTAGTAAGGTTAGTGGGGGCGAGTGGGAGTTTTTGATTGGCCAGATGAGGGAGAGGGGGGATGTGATTGAGGAATAGATGGTGGGGTGTGTGGGAGATTAGGCGTCGAGGATCATTCACATGTATAGTATGTTAATGGTACTTTGGGTTTGAAAGGGAAAAGAGTCTTATTCTGCGGGGCTATACATATGTCTACCTCGGTAGTATACATACGTCTGTGCTTCCGTCTCTCACTCATAACGCTCATCCGAATGATAACTATCTAGGTGAATGTCGAGTCAAATCCCGGGTGGGAGCGAAAGTCACGGTTGTTGGGAAGGACAAAGAGTTAGTTACTCGGCTTTATTAGGGAACAAAGGTATTGATTAATTAGGGCTTAAAGAAATGAATGAACGGGGTTCTAGGGAAAAAACAATACTAGCCTATCAGGGGGGGGCTATCTCTCTGAAAAAGGAAAACTAACTTGTTAAGGGAAGGGGGGGGAGGCTAAAAAGTCCTCTATAGAGGTATATGAAAAGGAAGATAGGACTCAGCTTGATTCGACCCTACATAGAGAGGGTCAGTGCCTGGTTTCATTGTCCCCGGCTGGCGTTCTTTGATGTTACCATCGTTTACTAACGCCGGCATCTGGAGGATATTTTCCAGGCAGAGGGTGACGAGCCTTTATTTTTTAGGCCGGTCATCCTCAGAATCATGCCCATAATTATTAGACATGCCCTTCTTCGCACGCGTCAGTATGTCCTTCGCTACCTTCTTGAACTTCCCCTCACGAGGAGGAACCTCGTGAGGCATAGTAGTGGGCCGCGTTACCCCTAGCTCAGCATCTTTGTAGTCATTATAAAACCTATTCATGCCAGCTGCTACTTTTCGGGATATTCTTGGCGGGGCGCCAGGGCCCCGCCTCGAGTTTATGGTCCCAAATACCTTGCTTGGTAGCATATGACTCCTAGAAGTTCTAAGGAGCTTGTCGGTTTTCTTGTCCAACTCTTCCTTCCGTCTCTCATCCTCCATGGGCTGGAGGATCTCTTCAAAAGTCGTAGATGGCTTGGTGCCGGACGAGATGCTTTCGGCCTGTCGCTCTCGTGCTCTGCCGCGTGTCTCTTCCTCATATATTGTGTTAGACCGCCCCTCAGGGAGGGGGTTCACCCTCGAGTTTATGGTCCCGAATACCTTGCTTGGCAAGGTAGGACGCCTAGAAGTTCTATCCAACTCTTTCCTCCGTCTCTCGTCCTCCATGGGCTGGAGGATCGCTCCAAAAGTCGTAGAGAGATCTGTTCTGGCTGACGAGGCCGTAGATGGCCTGGTGCCGGACGAGATGCTTTCGGCCGGTCGCTCTCGTGCTCTGCCGCGTGTCTCTTCCTCATATATTGTGTTAGACCGCCCCTCAGGGAGGGGGTTTACCTTTTTGCCATCCATTGCAACAATAATTCCCTGCTCTAATTGGTGAGTTTGGTTGCAGTGGAATTAAATGGTGCAGTGTGGAATGAGTTTGGAGTGTCTGTCCCAAGCTATTTATCTTTCGAGAGTTTCCTCTGTCTTGATTTAAAATCATGTTTCCTGGCAATGTCAAAGGATTCCGCGTATGCTATCGAATAGCGAATAGTCATTGGTCAAGGAAAGGACCCGGGCTAACATAGCTCTATAGATTTCGTTTCTTTTGTTCTCCGGAGCTCTCGTTCTGTTTCAAGGCATGCCTTATGCCTTTAGGAATAATGCGAGTCATTGCTTCAACTCGGTTTAAAATGGGCCCGGGACTTGCATGACCTGGAAACTAAATTTTCTTTCATTTTCTGGTATTATCTGTTCTTTCGAGCAAGGCCAATGGATTTGGAAAGAAAAAAGGTATGTGGTGTTCGAAGGCCAACTTGAACTGACTTGGGTTTCGCGAGCCCTCGCTGAATTTGAATACGTCGAATTTCCATCACGATCTTCTACAACCTATATATTTGGTTTAGCATAGCTCACGTTTTATATCGGCTGATCTTCTATTGGTCAATTTAAATTTTACGGTATCACAGTTCTAAAGGCTCACAGCAATTTGGAAAACGTACCTTGTCAATGAAGGAAAAGTATAATTCGCTAGTAAACTAACATCCATCAATCTCCATGGAAACAAACTTCAAGAGTATCAACGTGCTGTAGAGGAAGTCCACCTCGGCAAGGCAGCATCTACCATTCGCTCATCAGGAATAGGCATGTTTTTACCCAGGGTCATCCAAAGCTGCGAGGGCTTGAGGGCTGGTTTGGCACTCAGCTGCGAGGAATCTTGCGACTCTTGAGTTAATCTCCGCTGATGATTTCTTGGTGAGGTGCATGGAGGCTGTGAGGCCTGGCTAGTTGTAATAGTACGTGTATGCTTCTTCGACTTGGTTGTTTCTACAGCTGCTCCCTGCTGGTGGTTTTGTGGTGGGTATGGGGGCCGAGGCGCCTGGCTGGTTGGCATAGGAGATGCATGCTTCTCTGCCTTGTCACTTTCTAGTGTTGTAGTCATTTTGTAGGCTTATGGTGTGATATCATGAGGGATGTACAATGGCTACTGGGTATGACGATGGGCATAATGAGACACGTGGTAGCTCATGGGGGACGAAGGTTTTTATAATTCCTTTCAGTGATTATGTTTACGGCTGTTGTAGGGATTTAATCTTGTTTATGGCTACTTCTAAGAATTTATACATAGCAGAAGAGATAGAATTCTACACGTGCGAGCAAAATACTGTAGATATCCTTATGTATACTTAATAATTAATGGATGACCTTGTCATGCCTTACACACATAGATGACCTTGTGGAGACCTATTTAAAAGCTTGGTTTCTTTCACCGAGATAACAAAGGGATGGAATCACAGCTTGGTTTTAGTATTGTCTTTGGTTTGGTGAGCTATTGTTTCAACTTTCTTTGTTATACGGTCAAGAACAATGGCATTGTAGTTTCTTGGTTGGTAACAGAAGCAGAAATCTCCGATAATTTACTCCGAATAATGAGGGTGCCAAGGCGCACTTTTTATTAGAAACTGGTTGGAGCAGATTATTAGCATGGGTTAACTCCATACTACTTGTGGCGGTATGCGGATAAAGAATATAGGGAAATTAGGAGGCAAGTCGAGTGAGCAGTGAGTTGAATGAAAGGCATACATATGAGATGAAGCACTCAATTTCTATTGTTGGTTTGAACCAGGATATCACCAGCCGTTGTTTTGCTGGCGACAATGCCAATCATTTATACAAATGTAGAGAGACTTGTATTTATAAAGCGCTGACCATCTCCAAACTAATCCCCTACTGTCATTCTCCAGCAGTTCCCTAAGCATTATCGATCACACCACTAGATCTAGCAAAGCTACCTTACAATATAAAGATCGGGTTAGAACTAGCCTGCAATATGTCTGTAAACGAGAGTGTCAACTCTTCGACCGAAAAGGAAACCCCAAGATGGGAGAACAAGTTATTTGACTTCATTTTGGACCTTGCCAACGAGATAGATGCAGATGCCCCCGTTTTAGACAAACTTGTATTGGTGAGGAGCGATCTCATTACAATCTTTGAGGAAACTATCAATCGCAAAAGTTGGGAAGGCCAACTTCTTTCAGCGTTCGAGCCGATCGTCAATGATCTAGAGGCAGCAGGGCAAGTGGAAGGGGGCAGAGCTTATCTAAAGAAGCTCCTTCCAATTTTGTGCTCAGAGTTAGTTTTAGAGCGGGTGACCCCGGTGATTCAGATGATGATCAAGGATCTGTGGGAAAAAATCCGATTCACAAACGAAAAACGCAAAATTTGGGAGGGCAAAATTCTTTGGGCCTTCGAGCCCATCTCCATGGAAATGGAGGCACAAGGCCAAGAAGAAGCGCGCAAGTATTGGGAGGATGAACTCCTCAGAATAATGGGGACATGCGCTAATCTAGTGGCTACTAGTCAAGACGATCCCCAAGAAGAAGAAATCCAAAATCAGCATCTCCGGGACCTTATAATCAAAGAGATAGACCTGCAGAGGTCAACAGCTGCTAACTAGCAACTGCGAGCCCTGCCGAAGATATCTACGAAGGATGCTAGACGGGAATGCATTTCAGATTACCTAAATTGAAACACTTTTGGGGACCAACACCCTTCATACTTTGAAAGAATCGTGTCATTTCTTCGCCAGTGAGACCGAGTTGATGCGTAGTAACGTCCATCCCCGCATAGCGGAAAACCCTACGTGCCGGAAAAAATGATAGATACTTTGACTTTAAGCATCTTAAAATCTGTGCACACCTCAATATCTTCTATATTTTCTTACTCCCGGACACCCTAAACACCTCCCACTAGAAAATCATGTTCGTGTCGTCGCCCTCACGCCTGATTTGTAAAGAGTCTCCTTTTATAGCGTAATAGACTTCCTCCACCATAGCTCCACCACCGAGCTCTTACCATCCCTAATACTTATAAAGGGGTCTTATTCGAGCTCTAGGACCTCACACCTATAGACTACTGCCCGACAATTAGCCAAACATTGCGGACATTGGTGCAATAGCTTATATAATCACGTGGTCGTTGGAAATATGATGTCTAACAGCGTCGCAAAGTGAGGCTGCAGAAGCACAGCCCACCTACAACGGCAAGTATGGCTCTTCTCAACTCATTCCACTCTTCTCCTTCATATTATTTCCTTTCTACACAAATTCCTATATATTTCTCTCCCCCTTCACAGGTCACCAAACCACCCACCATGCCAGTTCCCTTCGGCATCTCAGTAGGAGATTGCATCGCTGTCAGCATCCTCATAAAAGATGCCATCAAAGCTATTGACTCCATCCACGGTTCCGCCTCCGAATACCAATCTGTGATTCGCGAGCTCTGGGCCTTAGATCGCGCATTACTAGAAGTGGTATCTCTAGCAGAGAGCTTCGAAACCACAGTCGAATTGAACGCGCTTAGCCACACGGCTCGCAGAATAGCGGAACAATGTCGTGTGTGTATTGTGAGATTTTTGGACAAGATTAGGAAATATGAGGGGTCTTTGAGGGAGGGAGGGACTAGGAACAAGGTGAGGGATGGGTGGAAGAAGGTTACTTGGGGGTTGGGTATGAAGGGCGATTTGGAGAGCTTTAGAGCGGAGGTGAATGCGTTTTGTTCGGCGATTAATATGCTTCTCATTACGGCGAGCGTGTAAATGTCTCCTATCGACATTAGATATCTGCTAATTCTTGAAGGTCTCTTACAAAGTTAAACGATAAGAATTTGGGAAAGCGGATGGAGGATGCGAACCGATCACAAGAATCTACGGCTGGTGAACAAATGGTGATATTGGGGCAGATGAAGGTTGCGATTGATAAGCATACGAGTGCACTACAAGTGCAGCAGAGAACGACGACAAGCCTTGCGGAACGAATGTATGGTGTAAAGTCTCGAGCATTGACGGCTTGCTAATAGTGTCTATAGGAAGTACCTCCTTACACTTGGGACGGAACTAAAATCTTTCATGACCCGAATCTGGACACTCAGCTTCCAAAGCTACAAGATCTTGATTGAATTACAGACTCGAGTCCCTCCAGAATTCGAACCATGCTGGATTCAAGAGCCCCTCATTTTGACTGATGCACTGGGTCGAACTGCTCCGCTACATTTGGAATTGATCAACAACTGGGATGTCTTGGAAGCTGTATTAGATGCGAGATTCAAGAACTTACCAGGTGAGAGCAAGGTTAAGCAGAGAGAGTATGCTCTTCAAGACCGGATTTCAAACAGAGACGTCAAAAGGAATGACACGTTTGAGTCTTCTTTCCTACCTGGCCGGAAACTTGACATGAGTATAGTCTTCACCAAAAGAATCTCATCCGGGAATTCTTGTCCAAGCTGTAAGATGGAATCGAACGAGGCTACATCTGAAACCAGAATTTGGTAAGTTGTATCATCAGTTTGAGTTTTGCTATTGACTAATGGGACTTTAGCAGCGGATGCGGTATGTGGTTCCAACGTATTGAAGAGATTGTTGAGGACCCAGTCGTAGAATTACAGCATGCATCTCAAACCAGGCCATTCAACACGTCATTATATGCGTCCGCCGACCCTGATCAGGAGGAGGCTATAGTCTTGGAATCGTCCATTCCATGTTCATCTAGGAAAAGGAAATCATCAGTGGTAATAGTGGAGGATGACATATCTCTCTTCAAACGAGTGCGACTGCTTCAACGCAAATATGTTGGCAAAGTCGGATCTTTACACCCCGGGCAGAATCAACCTTCAGTCTATGCCTGGCAAATCTCTACAAAACTTAAAGCTCCATCTACGTATGTTGATAACTTGATGTTTCAGGTAATACATACGCAGCGCCATCTTTCCGTTACAAAAAGTCTCACGGGAGACGAGATCATAGGGCCGTCTGTTCCCTCAGTCTATATGCTCTTTAATCAACCAGGACCTTCTACCCGAAACCCATCGACTCTTACCGAAATGATGGAATGTTATGCTACTCTCCTCTCTGCCCGTGGTTTCTGTCTCATTCCTGAGAAACTCTCCTCCTTCATGTGCATGTACCGTTTCGTACAATGGCAAATCTCACCCAGCTACGAGGCCTACCAGGCACTACACAATTGGCAAGTACCCGAACCATCACAACTCACCATCCCTCATCCAGCATGGATGGATCTTCCTCCGTGGGGTTCATTCCGAGATAGAGTCGTACGGAACCAAGAACGATATGATAACGTCGAATTTCAGTACGACTATGCCACCAACCTGTCGGTCAACTTCCCACATGATCCGATGAAGGCTTTAGTATTTAAGGACGGTCAGATTGTAATCTCGCCGATGCTGGAGACTCACTTGAGTGATATCTCGAATATGAGTATGCAAAAGCCTTTTGCAGTTAAATATCCTGAACTCCACGACGTATGTCGGTTTGATAAGATTTGAGCGACGCTCTTCTCCAATCAGTCGAGTGGAGACTTCACGAAACAATACCTAAAGCGAAGAGACGCAATAGTATGACGATAATAGCTTCAACACGTTCGACCGAACCTGGCTGCGTGGGTAAGTCGCTCCCACTAGTCTCTAGGGTATCACTTCCACTTCTATCTTTATTTCGAGTTGCTGATTGCTTCATTAACCTGTAGTAACTTCAATAACGCCGCACACACTATCAACTTGACTGCAGTCATTAACGCGCACCCATAACAGTACTAGGTCCTCCAAAAATAAAATATCAATGAGTGTTCCGAACTGAAGCCGATTTCGAATCCTACTGTACCTGCTTGTACAATAACTAACACTTCTACCTTGTCGAATGGAACTAGAAGCCATACAGCCTAAGCCCGTGCTCTACACCTACACCAAACGCTTCAAGACCAACGACGCAATGCTCCAGCACCAACGCGATTCCCCGCGTCATATTGATACACCACAAGTACCACAACGGACACTGAATCCCCACGAACTAGTGCAAAGGCTATCGTTACAAGATGAGGAAACTAATCATTGCGTAAGGCATACTGATTGAATAAGCAGCGAACTCTGCTAAGTGCACCAAGTTCATCCCATTTTCAGGCGGCGGTCTGACGACACCTTTCGCTGTGCCGAGTCTGGTACCAGAGCAGGTTACGGCGGGAGAGATTGATGTTGCCAAGGGAACGAAGAAGAAAAGGAAAAAGACAGGCAAAGGAAACATACTAAAGATGGGTCCAGGTGGTGGCTCGACCTAGAAGGTTAATCCGAATACGGGGCAAATGATGAACCTGCTCGAAGACCAGGACTGGGCGCTGTGCGATAAGGAATGTGGGTGGTGCGGGCATTGTAATGAGGGTGTTTGGTACTAGTTAGTTTGTAAAATAATCCGAATATCTTGAAAACCCCGGGCAAAGGTGAGGTTCCAGTGATATCAACTACACATGAACAACACAATGCTACGCGAGTCGCTAACTGGCAAAGGTAGCCAGCCGCCCGCCGTGTTGACCTCCATAATCCAAAATAAGAAAAAGTCCTGTAAGCTAGCTCGGATGGCGGAATAGGCGTACACACTATTTCGTGGGAGGGTCACAACGCTACCTCAGTGTGCACCGTGGTATCGCCCCTAAGCATGTACAGGTAGCCCAACATCCCTACGTGGCGAGACGCACCCCGTGGCGAGACAATTCACGGGTACTTTGAATTCAAGTCACTCTAACTCTACAAAAGAACCCAAATTTCCCTTAAATTTTGGATCAATGTTACATTGCTGCCACTCCAGAACATTTATATCTTCAGCTACTCGAAGCTTCACGATCATGTCATCGCCGTCTCCCTGTTTTGCCAAGAGCTTCGTATCATTACAAATTACTTCTTCTCCAACACAGCACCACCATCCAGTTCAAATCATTAGAGAAACTTATAAATAGCCTCATCAGACCTCGGAATACCACATCAATGCTGAAAAATCATCGTCACCAGCATTATTACTACACTCTGCGAATTCATGCATTGCTGCTAATCCTAGTTGGGTACCTCCAATCAGAAAATCGCCGCTTCTGGTTAGACCAAAAAAGCCTTACAGGTCACGTGTATTGATAACATATCATCACATTTTGCTGTAGCGTCCGGCCCGTGGCTGTGCCTTATCTCTGCTGCGAATTGCACAGGAGAACGCAAACCGCAGAGCGTTTTGACCCTACATTTGACTAAGCGAGCATCAAGTCAACCGACTTCCTGTCTTGACTCTCCCAGACGTCTTTACAAACTCTACCTAATCCCTTGCGATATGCCACTCCTTCTAACCATTCTATCCACATTACCCAATAGTATTCATACCACTGTCCCTTCTTGATCCTATCGTGATGTTTGATCTCTATTAGTCCCGGCCATGGCGAAGTGATATCTCTACAGAGTCCTAGAGCAACTTCAACTAATTCAATAGAACCTGCTGGCATTTCATGTGGCTTGCTGAACATAGAAAGCTTATCGTGTGGTAGAAGGACACCAGCCCATATCCCCGCATGGTCTCGAAGTGATATGGTGGGTCGATATCCGTTATTAGGGAGAATTTCCTCCGCTGCGGAAAGCCAAGCTCGCTGCGTCTTACACGAAATATAAAGAGCCTGTACGCTGGGAAACGAGTCTCCAACATTCGGAAGTGGGATCGGATACCAAAAATCGAGCTCCGGGTGTCTTGTATTTCGGTAGAACCATGAAGGGGGAGACCGGGGATCCGGGGCCTCATTAATGGCTTTCGGGGTTTCCAAAGTAGGATGTCGAGTCCAACCTGAGGGACATTGGCTTTGAGTTCCTAGGTAAGACTGCCTGTGATCAAAGATGCTAGCGTGTATGTGTTTCCCAGGCGCCTCCAAAGTGTCATGATATTTCCATGATGTCAATCTTACCACTCGTTGCATCTCGGACCTGAAATGTTTTGGCGTATTTCTAATGAAATCTGTGGCGAGTTCCATATTGATACGCCCTGACCATCCGGCCCAGCTCCAACTTGGGAGACAGTGTTGTCTCTGAGGATACCTCGCAGTCCTACGTTCTAGTCTCTCGTACGGAAGCCAGAGTAGGGCGAGGTCGAACAACGCTGTCGGAAGACCAGAGACGAAGCCTCCTTCGAAAGATGCACTCAATGCAGATGCAATTCCTGAAAATGCGTTGAGTGCATCCTCCGGGTATGTAAATGATCTAATGTTGTAGTTGTGTAAAATTGTTGTAAACACTCCAAGGTCGGGTATTGAAGACCCAAACAAGTCGTAGATATCTTCATCACCCCACCATGGTTTGAGTTCATGAGATAATTCGGTATGTTCCCGCCAGGTACTTGCAGCACATTCCCACCGTATTGAGTCGCCATCAAAAATAAGTTTCCTTCTTGCAAACAGATGTTCTTGATAGGTCCAACCTCTAGTTTTCCACACAGATTTATCGGTTGCAAGCTCAATTTTACCTCCATCCGCTTGTATTGGATACTGAGCCACTCGCACATCGTTGCCGAGCCAATGGAAGGCTTGTTTTATATGTCTTGGTTGGGAGACCTCTCGGAATCCTCTCAAGCCACTATTGGCATTCTCCCCTTGAACTGCCAAAATAGTGATGGAAGCGTTGGCGAAAATGGCTGCCATTTTCGCCAGCTCGACATACTTGTGCAATTCGTCATCTTGTACTATACACAGAGTGTCGACCCAAAGGTACCTCTCTTCCAGTAGCTGCACGATTCCTATCGCATCGCGAATTGTTCTTGCAATTGATGTTACGGCTTGATTGGTAGAAAGCGAGCCTTGTTTCTGAAGTTGGCATATGTTGTTACACATAGCCTGCAGAGTGGTATGGTCACCCCAGACGTAGCTCAGAGCAACGTAAGAGCAATTTCTAGGGGGTTTGACGACACATTGCTGCCAGACGTCCACCAGCCAAACCGGAGTTATTGCGCACTGAATCTCATTCGAGAAATTCTTGCATATACCCTCGTGAAGACGGTCACAACTAGTCTTCCACAACCGGGGAAGGTTCGAATCGATCCACTGAGGATCAAGAATTCGTCCTCTAATATAGGAATCATAGCTATCCGCATTTTCCACTATGTATAAAGCGGAAAGAGATTTAGGGGTCTGAGGATATTTAGGAATTTTTGCGGTAATGATTGCTCCCGCGTTCGCTGGACTCTTGTGGATTTCAATAAGGTCAACCTTCTCGGCCATCGTGGGTGTTTCAGCTAGAAGACGACTGAAATCGAGACCCAAGGCGCATATGATCAGTTGTTGGTGATCTTTGCACTGGGAATGTTGGATAACTTCTCTTCCTGATCCGAGGGTAACCATGCCACGGGGTGCGCCTCTGAGCGGTTCCCTCAAGACGGATAGTATCTTTTCACAGATCTCGCACTGCGTTTACAAACAGATGTCAACCCCATTATGTATAATTTAATTCTACATACCTTCATCCTGCAATGTTGCTAGCAATGCAGCAAGATTTAAGGATAATCGCAAAAGGACGCTTGATAGCGTCATACAGGAAACAAGCACAGAGGTGGGTACAGTTGGCAAAAGCAGTACTGTAATACTGTAGTTTATGTTTTGTTCTATGGATTTGGTTACCGCATACTCAGAAGGTGCAAAGGCGGAGATACGAGGCGAACGAGTTCACCTGGCTTGTCCATGGATGCTTCTAGTGGTGCGCCACACAGACTATGCTGATAAGAGAATAGTGAGTAAATTAATACTGTATTGTAAGATAATGTAAGCACGCTAACGCACGCCAAAATTGCGCTAAAAATCCATGCTTCTGTCAAAGCCTCCTCCGTTCGGCGAAACTCCCGGAATGCATCTTTCCGAAGTCAGAATAACCCTTAAAGCTTGATACTATATTCTTCCTTAATAATATTTTCTTCCTGGGCCCCCGAAATTCGAATTTACTCTGATGGTCGTAATCGAGCATGGGGGTATGGCTGAAATAGCAATCGATAGCGGCGAACAAAACGATCGACAGTATATTCAACAACATGGTAATTTTCTCGAAGTAGACTGGTTTCTGGGGGATAAATAGCTGGAGAATAAGGATTTATATACTTTACCTACGTAGTCTCGCGATGAAGAGAGTTGAGATGTGTTGAGTTTCGGCGATGCCGAAATCAGGGGTATTTGGGGTGTACGCCAGATGTGGCGAATATGACTCACTTTTACCTGTATATAACAAGGACTTCTCCTCCACCTCTATTACTAGAATCAATCAACTCTTTCTACTAGTTTTAGTGCCTCCGAAAATACTGACAAGATGCCTGAGCATGAAACTGTCTCGCCACTGGGTGCGTCTCGCCACGTAGGGACGTTAGCTCTCCCGATGTGGTATTTCCAACGCAAAGGGACCTATCAGAACTTTAAGGATCCAAGCTACTCCCCCCTTGTCAGCCCATTCACCTTTAAAAATCGGGTATAGCCACTTTAGTATGTGGCACTTCTGTGTTTACCACAGTTTATGGTTTGATTTCGACGCGCAGTTATCAATACCCCCATCTGATTTTCCAGGCCCTCTTAAAAGTCGCTGTTACGGGGGCGGGCCAGAGTTTTGCTATTTTGTTTGTTTCTTTTCCCTTTTCGCTTGCTTATGTCGCGTGTACCGCTGGTATATATCTTAAATTTTGTTTTAGTTTTTTTTTGTAGGGTCCTTGTTGATATTGGCGCCTGTCCCTTCTGCCTTTTGTTATACAAGCGAATCGCTGGAATAGGAGGCGGTCGAGATCGCAGCGCATTCTCCTCCAAGTTTATATTGTAGCTACAAGCAAGCGAGTTCCCAGCCAAAGCATTCTTCTTGAGACGGTTTTGCCAAAAATGGCTCTAGGCGGTATGGTCGAAGATACTCCGTTGAAGAAATTCCTCTGCTAATGAACCTAGCCATATCTGAGTAGCCACCAACGGAATGTCACAAAGCCAACCGAGACCTCGGATTTATATCCCTTGCGTCGAGATTAGCCACTGCTTTAGTAACTCGATGTTCCCCACGAGTGACTTTTGATCCGATATGAGTAGTCGGCAATGCCATGTTGATTTGCCCTGGTTGTATTATAATCGGCGAAACTACATCCCTCAGCTTTATTTCAGACGCCAATTTCCGCTCGTTCCCTTACCCATCCATCTTATATCCACTCTAGTAAAACACAAGAAGCACAAGAAAACTACCTAGGTAAAGAAGATAAAGTTATTGATGACTGTCCGTGTACAATACTCGAGGAGCTATCAGTTTCCCTTTATGTACAGCTCACATCTACTATATAAAATTATATTCTCCCCATTCATAGTAATACTCTTCAACCTCAAGACCTTTCGCTGTTAATGATTTTGGCCTCGTTGCGGTTTTCAGCTCTCATCTGAAATACAAATTTGACTTTGAAGTGACATATTCAAGGCACGTCTGTCGAGTGGGTTAAAAGATCGGCGATGATGGCCTCTCGTTCATTTCGTGATCAATGCTGTTGAGCCCTCGAATAAGACGAGATGTCGTCGGAGTTGGTAGCGCGCCTGGCGACGTAGCTCCGGCTGATGACTAATTAGAACTAACCGGGATACCCCTTTTCCTCCCCCAACCCCTTTATTAGACAACGTCTTGATCCTAACATTGTCTCACACCTCACTTCAAAGAAAACTCCGTTAACAATAGCACTTATATAAGACATGTCTACTTGAACGGGAATTATACAAGTTTGTAAGCGAGGAAGATGCTCGAGGATATTCCTAGCAAGTGACGAGCTTTGATTTTCGTTCTTTTCAACGTTATGATATTTTCCTTTAAGCTCATATTACTTTTAGTAATAGTAATATCATGTTTGATTTAGCCCCACGCAGCACTGAAACTCTATTGTTCAACAAGATGGCCTAGGGCGTCAATTTTTCTTTGTCGACCATAAGACAAGTGCTTTGTTCTCTTAGTAGGCCCTGGTCTTCAGAACAACATTGAACATATCGATCAGATTTTAACTTTTTATATAAAGTGATGGAGTTTCTGAAGGGGCATGATAAAAACCTATCCACCTGTTAACCCCCCTCGCAATCCCTCTGCTCCCTAATTTCATCTACACACCAAATAGGTTTATCGCACCTCCTTGCTTCAGCGGTTGTTTCTAATAAGATGAATCCAACCATGGATACCCCCGTAGCTGATAATGCTCAGCTAGAATCGGAGGAGTCTCCGAAGGAAATAGGTAGGGTAAAGGGTCGAGTAAGATTCGACGCCATTAGCCGGCAAGTCGGTCTGACTCCGCTAAACACCCATCCAACCTTGCCCTTTGAATGGGGAGACCCAAGTCAGAAGACTCCACAGATAGCCAATGGCAGCGAAGGACGTGAAAAGACCGCCGATAGCGTATGCGAAGAAGGGGACACATCTCAATCCGCTACTACTATTAGAAGTGAGTGGGCCACCATGTGTGTCTCAGGGTATCCTAAGCCAGAGGATACAGAACTCCCAGCCTACACCACCGATAAAACCAGCGAAGAAGTGAACAGCTCTCGCGCCCCTAGTAGTACGGAAAGTAATTGGATCAACACGTGTGTCTCCGGACATCCTAAGCCAGGAGCTACAGAGCTTCCAGCGGATGCCTTAGTCGATATCCCACTTAGCACGGACAAGTCTACAAGGACCGTTCCCATACACTTCGATGGTTTTGATCTCCCTCCAACAAAGCTCACGTCTCCGGAGAAACCAGTGTATGAATTGGATGCCATGGACTGGGCTCGAGCCGTCTTTCCCTGCTTGTTCGCGAGACGTTGAAACTCAGGACTATACTAAGTAGAGCGGTTTACCCATCGTCTAAATATTGACACTGGATACTGGCCCAAGTGAGGCTAGAGAACTTCTTGTGCCAGAATTAGAGGATTTGTTAGTTTGGATTATCCGGGCTGACTTCTGGGGGAACGATATGAGGATTTGACCAACATTGAGGCTCTAGTAATTGAGAACACTTTTTTTTGTTGAGAGAGTTTAGAAGCTTGCTGTGATAAGCTTAAATTTTGATATTTATAATACTCTTCATTTCTCAAAAGTATTGTGTATAATGTGCACTGTCTCAAGCTCTTAAATCGAGGGAAGCGTTAACGAGGGTTCTTTTCGGTGACCGAACATGCCAATGGATGGAACGTAGGGGCTACGCTTGATTAAAATTTAACGTTAGATACGCTCGAGTGTTTTGATCCGTCAAGTCATACATGCCAGGCATATCCATTTGAATCACGCCGTCTAGGATAGCAACTGAAGGTAACGTCCATCAAACTCTGTGCACACATCGACATCTCCTATAGCTTTGTATAAGTCGTGTTCCGTGGCCACCCCTGAACGCTCTGAACCCCTCCCACCAGAAAATCACGTTCGCATCATCACGCCTGATTTGCGGAAAGTCTCCGTTTATGGCGCAACAGAATTCCTTCATCACACCTCCACCATCGAGCTCTTATCACACCCGATACTTATAAAAGGTCTTACCCGAGCTTTAGGGCCTCGCTACTATACTAGAAATCGTCATGAGCCTTGTGGCTACTTATACGACGTAACTTATTTAATCATTTGCCAAGCTTGTGGCTGTTCAGAACAGTGGCTGACGTAATCGCTCGTCAATTCAATTCCCACGACTGATCTCCCGAGTCAATCCGCTGCTAAGTTTATCTTACTTGCCTGTCATATCAAAATATTCATTCGCTCTTTGACGTTCATACTTTAGCTTGACCAACGACGAATAGAAGACTTTAGCCATCGCAATGTATAACCCTAAGAGATAGACATATGTCTGCGAAAACATGAATTGGGATAGCATCTGCTATGACGCCGCCGCATTCACAGCTGGTCTATTTCTCCTCGAATACGGTGCTGATCGTTTCATCGACCATACTGCTATCGTCGCGCGTCAACTTGGAGTCTCACAGACATTGGTAGCCTTGCTCACAGCAGGTGCAGAATGGGAAGAGGTGTGCTTTCATACCATAGCGCAGATACTGAGTTATACTGATTAATATAGCTTGCTGTCGTTGTAGCATCCATTCTCCAAGGCCGCTCCCCGCTCGCACTAGGCAATATCATCGGCTCCTCAATCTCAAACATTCTAGGAGCATTCTCCCTGGGTCTCGTCTTTCATCCGGGCCGAATAGCATTTGATCGAAGCGCGAAAATATACACAGTCTTACTCTTTCTCGTTACATCGAATTTTACAGTTGTCGCTCTGACGAAAAATTTGGGTAGGCTCGCCGGAGGCATTTTCATTGGAGTATTTGCTTTATATCTGGTTTCGGTTAGCTATGTGATTTACAAGGGCGTGTTGTCTGTACCAGAAGACTCGGATAGCGACGACAGCGACGATGATGGGAGCAATGAGGGCAACAGCGCAGAGGTACAGCACGACCATCCTCCGGCTGAAATAACACCTCTTCTTCCTAACAACGCTAGTAGAGAGCGTTCTGCACACGGTTGGAAACATACTCTTATATATCATATTGCCCAGCTCATCCTCGGCTTCATAGCACTGTCACTATCAGGCTATGTTCTTTCACACAGCGCAGCTTCGATCGCTGATGCATTCGACCTATCTGGCACAGTCCTCGGCGTTACAGTCTTGTCATTTGCTACTACATTACCTGAAAAATTCGTTGCTGTCATCAGTGGTACTCGGGGACATGGCGGTATCGTTGTTGCAAGTACAGCGGGAAGTAATATATTCCTTCTCACCTTGTGTCTTGGGATTACGCTCGTGGCTGGGAATCAGAAAGAGCTTGCAGACTCTCTAATACCGTTCGAGCTGCTTGTTACTTGGGCATCATCTGCGCTGTTTCTCCTGATTGTGCTCTTGGGATCAAGGCGGTGGATTGGTGGAATGCTACTAATATTATACCTTACATTCATAGTTCTAGAGTTCACTATGTATAGAAGATGAGTAGACAGTCGACCCTGTAGATAGAATTTGTGTTGGCGGCACGATAAATGCTTACCTTAGTTTTTTAATGGAATTACGTTCTGCTGTACGTTGGGTATAAACGTTTTGACTTACTGGCCGAAGCTTCACCCAATGCGTCATAAGCAAAACATAGCCTCCTTCCGATCTACTCCCAATATGGGACTTCTCACATTCTCGATGCCACTTGACGGAGCAGCATAATAGCCATTGTTTATCTCGACCCAGGAGTCCATATAAGGCGACATTGCGGAAGCCAAGCCACTCCAGCCAGGAACGGACGGTAGCCGACTTGGAGACGAGCCTGCCTAGTCAACGAGTATCGTTAGCACTTGTGATAAATATTACTCATTTGAATTATCTATGTTTTTGTCAATAATTCAGCGATGATTACAGGTATAGAAATTTAGAGATTTAGCATTTTTGCGAATATTCTCATTATTGCCTAAGATTATCTACTGACAGGACTGTGAGGCTATACATGTTTGTAGGATCTGCTGCTAGACCTGGAACCTATCATTCCTCTATCCCTGAGACCTCTATGCAAATTTCTGGTATAGCTAGATCTTGGTACTCGTCATCCGAGGTCTGCTTAACAGCTCATGTCATATTTCTTCCTCCTTAATTACCGAGAGACGTCTCTTGAGGAATTTATCTTCGGCTCGCTGGAGAAGTGCAGCTATGGACTTGGCTCTCTTAGTCATCCTAGTCTTCGGACTATGCTTAGGCTGCCGGCTACGCGTGACTTTAGTATCGGACCTCTGTGGCTCATCGCACGTTGAGATGATCTCGTCGGGAGGTTCTTCCTCCACTACCCAGTCACCATCAGTACAGTTGGTCGTCTTGGGATCTCCAACCACTACCCAATCTTCCTGAAGCGGTTCAGGGAACCGGCCTTTGGGGGCAAATACCCCTACTAACCGGTTGAACGCCCAATTAGTTATCTTTTTGCTAACATTTTGGTTATTCATAGTATTGTTGAGTTGATTGCAAGTCGTAGTAATGCAAGTGATTTGATGGTTTCTACGGCTTGAGAGATGCTTTTGGCGATTGAGAAGAAGCTTAGGAGAAATGGTAAGACGCTGAAAGGGGACGTGTTCTTATAACATATCGGGTTGGGCTTTGTTTTTACCAGAAAACTCTGATATACTGAACAGTTATTGAACAGGGTTTCTGCAGATTTGCTGAGCAAACGGAGTGCATAAGCAGTCGGTTTTGCTGAAATAGCACTGTTCTCTTAACTAACGAAGCTTAATAAGTCTACCAAAGCCGAAATGATCTAATAGCGAACAAGAAAATTCAAACAAGACAGAAAAAACGTTTGTAGGAGCCTATGTTCCAGTTGGGAACGAATCTGTGGCAATATGACATTAGTTCACGGCTCACATCTGGACAGCTTCTGCCCGTGGACCATCGGCAAAGACAGAAATACTCTCTTAATTACCAATTATAACTCTGGCAGTTATTTCGAATCAGGACTAAAGAAACAGAATAATCTCCTGTAGATAACAAAACAGGAAGGGGGCGGAAAAGAAGCGGCGCCGACTAAAGTTTATGCGGAGTCTGAAACTATCCCTGCAAATGTAGATGCTTGCAGGGGTCCTGGGTTGATCTTATGGTAGGCTCCTATTCTTGTGGCCACCGAGAAAGATGGTCTTGTGGTAGCTGCAAATTTCCTCTGTGAAGAGGTAAAATAGCGATAGAGGCATTACTCAATCTTCTGTAGTCTCCGTTTAAATATTCTGCGCCTCTAACCGAGTCGCTTTGCGGCTCGGGAATAGGTGAAAAACGAAGCTCAAGAGTATGTGCTTTATTTGCATTGCGTTTTCATTTTTTTCCCAAACAACGGCTTGGGAATTATATTGTACCACAAAATCTCACAAATTCAAGTCGCAAATCAGAAAGTTAATAGAAGCTCAGGATCGCATAAGCATGAGTTCCAAGGGATGAATTTTTATTTATCAACTATCCAGCTTCCGTATGGTATGTCTTAACACTGTCTGGATGTCGGGGTCTAATTCGTCCAACTGGAGTATCGCTTCAATCCAGGCCTTCGTTTTCTTGGTGAATTCAGCCTTGTCCTTTGTTTTGTGAATCGATTCATTAAGTCTGTCCAACGCAGTTCCAAGGGCGGCAGGAAATTCTGGAGATAAGGGGTCGATGCCGACGACCGGTTGCCTCACATAGCAATTGCAAGTGGATGCATCCGTGGGGTCTGATTCTGATATAGCATCGAGAACGTGTTGGAGTATCTTCGATAGGCATTTCACCTGCGTAAAAGCGGCAAACATATCGAAGAAGTCCTCGGCCGCAGATGGACAGAAGAATTGTTGCTTGCGCGCCGCATCGAAAATGGCTAGAGGGATGGCGCCATTGAGAGCGGGGGTCGTCATGGGATCTTTCACAGCCTCTGAATCTACCTTCACGCCTTCAATCATGCTAGGCTGAAGCGTGTTGGGCTTGAATTCGGGGATTGCAATCATGTCGGCTGAGGTATCGAAACCAGGCCCCTCGTCAGTTGTCGACTCTTCAATATCGAGCCCTAATATCTTCCTCCGTATGGCAATTTTTGCGAGATATATCATCTCCAATTTGGCGTATTCAATCCACAAATCCTTACTCCTCGTGCAAAACCGTGTCCCTCTCTGCATGTAGCTCCTGGCCTCGTTCATATCCGCCTCCGACTCCAATGCCCAGCGTGCAGCATAGAGCCACAACTCGGGCTTGGTAGGGTGCAGCCTGATCGCGGCAGTCAAGACCATCTTGAACTTCTTCCGTGCCTTTGCTTGGCGGGTGTATTCGAGATATGACATCCACAATGCAGTGTCTCCCGGGTGTTTCTTCGTCGCTCGATCAAATATATTGAATATGCGCGCTTGGCCCGAGTGCGTCAGATTCCCCTTAATTCGTAACCGTTTGCATCGCTTCTGACGGAGATGTTCCAGGCTGATCTCCCACGCGGCATACCGGGCGTAGTCCACGGCCTGTGAGCCTCTTTCTAGGACTCTATGCTCGAAGTCGGATCGTTTCTTGACCAGTGTCCGTATCTCATCCTAGCTTAGGTTAGAATTGGATGCTTTCCCGTGGGCACTTCTAAACTAAGCGAAAAGAATCCGTATTCTCTGGTTTCTCTATGCATGCACCTACTTCTGTGAATATTTTCTTCTCCTTGAATTCCTGTAATTGGGGAACGGCCTGCTCTAGATAGAACCGGGCTTTATCACTGGCACCGGCCATGGCAGGCTGAGCTCGGCGCTACTAATGTGTTGGATCTGGCTGTGATTATGGTTGTGATTGTGATTGTGATTGTGATGCCGGTATTATCGATGTTCTCGTTGCCCAAGAGCCAAGCAACAAGTTCTCGAAATTATTTTCTGACGTTAGGATTCTGCCCCTGTCCACCGCCCCTCCACCGCCCAGGCCGCCAATGCGGCGTGCGGCGCAGAATCCGCCCTTACACGGCCAATCTGACTGACATGGGCCCATCCCTGGCTTGGTAAAGGTCTCGCGCCTCGGCGCCCCATAACGGTTATTAAAACATTCACCTTCATAAAGTCCGTCGCTCGCCCATTTAATTCCTCGTTCATCCCCCCGGAAGCCCCGGAAGTCATTCTTTTTCATGTGAACATCCTCCTGGCTCACAATGGCGCCGAAGTTCAAAGATGGCGATGTGGTGCTTGCCATCTCAGGTAAATGGGTATCCTGGACCCATACCGCGTTTGCCTACAGTATGTTGACATGCGCCGCCCTTGGGGGACGTTTCGAGCTGCTGATAACGTGAATAGCTGCTTTTTTCAGTGCCTTGATTGTGGGCATTTCCCTCCATTACCACAAGATCGTCGAGAACGAATACTATGGGTACCCCGACGAATGGTTCCCGTCGGTCTCGGCCACCATTGGGGACCGATATCCTGAGCGTTCATTCTTTATGATATTCATAGCTATCACCTCGGGTACGCGCTGAGATATATGGATGCCATTGCTGAGGCTTAGGAGCTAATGGTATTGCAGGCCCTCGTTTTGCTCTGGTAGGCCTATGGTACCTGCTCACTGCCCGACCGAACTCGATGCTTCCCAAATTCGTCGCGATTATGGGCGTGTTCAGAAGTCTTACGTGCGGCGGCTGGACATATGTTACATCGACGGATAACCACGATTGGCATGATATTTTCATGATATCATATTTGGTAGCAACAGTGCCTTGGACTCTTGGCTGCCTCGCCTTGAGCCCGAATAACCCGCAGGCAGTGAAGTATCGGAAATATCTTGCGGGAGCCTTTTTCGGTACTCTGCTCCCCTTGATCTATTTCTTCATCCAACACAAGGTCCATAAAGTCGCAGGAGGTAGGATTCACCTTGGCCCCTCACTTTTTCAAAAACTAAATTGACTCAGCCTACACTACTTATGCTTTCTTTGAATGGTCCTTGATCTTATTTGACGTGGCTTTTGATGCTGTGACGGCTCTCGATTTTACAACTTTCGAATTGATAGTCAAAGACGTGAAAGGGTCGAGTAAGGGGTACGTCCATTGGCTTCCGAAGTAGCTCTTGTATATATTCATGTCCAACGACAATACATTATGTGAACTTGTCTGAGAATCTTGATTCCGTAGAAACAGCAAGATGGTGGCCGACGCAGTTCTTGAAAAAGAGTATGTGATCAATTTCGCTTTAGCAGGGGCTTACTTGCTGACCGTTTACCAGGAAGGGCAAACCGATTGACCAAGTCTTTGGCCAGGCGTTCTCGTGGAGTGAAGCTATCGATGCCATAGCCGATATTTACAATGGGGTATACTGCGCCCCCCGTCTCGATGCAATTCAAAACTGACAATGCATAGTTCGCGTTTTGGTCGACACTGACTTCGTTGGGTATCGTTGTGTGGTGTAAGTGCCTCGATATGTCATGAGCGTACATGGTTAACGTGGACAGATTTTCCATTATGGCACATGGGTATTTCGGGTTATGAGGTCTTCATCATGACAACAATCTCACCATTCCTACTCGGCATTCGATCCGTGCGATTGTTGGTGGTCAGAAACCTTCGACTTTTCCATTTCATGGGACTTGCCGGACTGTTTGCATACCAGGCTCACAATCCAGTCTTACGGCTATTTGCTGTTGGGTTCGGCGTTTTTATGTCGTGCTTGTCGTGGGCTGCAACTTGGTACTCGGAAGCAAGCCAGCCAGTACGCCTGGAGTCAAGGATTTCGGCATGGACAATCGGGCTTGTCGCATCGAGTGTGATAAAATTTGCCTGCAGAACTAGCAACCCCGTTTGGGCAGTCTCGCATGCGGAGAACGGAGGGTACAACGGTCTTGGTTTTATTCTTGCAGTACTGGCTGTCCTCCGCTCCACGAGAAAGACCCCAATTGCTAGGAACGAGCTGGCAATTCAGGGACAGAAGAATGAACGATCAGTTCTGGCTGGGTTAGGAATCGGCGGTCTCTTTTTCGCCCTGCACTCCCTGTTATCAGACTCTAGTACAATGATTCTCTGGGTCTGGGAAGGTTACCCAATTCGTGGGCCAATTTCAGCACCTCATGGAGCTCTCACGATATTTGCGATGGCAATAGGCCTTATAGTAGGACTTTTCCAGGAAAGCCTAGCTCGCAGTTGGACTCTTTATGGCGTCGGCTGCATCGGCGCTGCTCTTCTCACCACATCAAGCAATTGGAGAGGATTTTATGGCGCTCTCATTCTGGCTGCATATTTAATGGCTGTCTCAATTCCACTCATCAGCTCCGCAGCCAAGAAGAGCCCTGCTACCTCGTTTGGTTTCGGATACCTGGTCTACAACTTCATGGCGCTGTTCCATGTGTGGGTGGTGGCCTACGCTTTCGTACCCGGTGGCCCTCTCGTCAGAGAACGTACCGACTGGGTCATGATATCCATGATGCTCCTCATCGGTTGTGGTGTATTTGCAGCTGCTTCGCCTTCCGCTGTCGCACAGCGCAAACGCGTCAACACATATCTCAATGGCAGAAGACAGCGCTCCTACTACATCTACGTTCTTGGTGTGCTTCAGCTTCTCGCAGTCGCTATTGCCTACCTCCGATTCCCAACATACGATTATGTCCCATATCACAAGGATGATAAAATTCTCACTGCGGGTATTTGGACTATCCATTTCTCTCTCGACAATGACATGTGGTCCTCAGAGCGCCGAATGAGAGACATTATTAAAGAGCTTGAAATCGATGTCATCGGTCTCCTAGAATCGGATTTACAGCGCATCATCATGGGTAACCGTGACACAACACAGTTTCTCGCTGAGGATTTGGGAATGTATGTCGATTACGGACCAGGACCAAATAAGCATACCTGGGGCGCCGCGCTACTATCCAAGTTCCCAATCGTCAACTCGACGCATCACCTCCTACCTTCCCCAGTAGGCGAGTTAGCGCCAGCGATTGAGGCGACCCTCGACGTATATGGCGAGATGATTGATGTATTCGTCTTCCATTCGGGTCAAGAAGAAGATCCGGAGGATCGCAGGCTACAATCCGAATACCTTTCTAAACTCATGGGCGCCACCCCCCGCCCAGCAATCCTCCTCTCATACCTAGTCACCAACCCGGGCGAGGGGAACTACAACACATACGTGTCTGAGACGAGCGGGATGCATGACATCGACCCGGCCGACGACTGGGATAGATGGTGCGAATACATTCTCTACAAAGGCCTCAAGAGAACTGGATATGCGCGAGTCTCACGGTCCACTATTACCGATACGGAGATTCAAGTAGGCAAATTCCTAGTTGGCGAGAAGGAGCCCGAGGATGCGGCAGTGAGGAATAAACATATCAGTGAAGACCAGGTTCCCGAGGGCAGGCGCTTCCCTCAGATGTTCCGGGGAGAGGGAGTCAGGGGTCACCAATATCACGTTTTTGATGAGCCGTGGTATTACGAATAGGCCATCATCTCTCCTTGGTATATCTATTGGGTGGTTTCCTTTGCCACAGAAAATTTGTGATGGGCTGGTGGGGGTTGGGGGCGTACGCGATAATGCTTGATACGAAGAAATGCTGGCGGTAATGGGCGGGGTATGGATGGTGGACTGTATAATATCTCGACGATATTGGGCGGATGGATAACATGGCCGGGTTATGCTGATATCCTGCGTTCCCTTTCTGCTGCATATTATCGGCTGCCAGAGGCTGGCAGTATCTATAATTATCTGTGGACATAGCTTTTAACCTCTCCAAAATGCGGTGCATGTTTTCGTTATGATTGTCGGTGCGTACAGAACAACGGACCCGTAGTCGCTAAACGGTAAAGTCTATTATGGTTTAATAGTATAGCCTTCCTGCGTAATTGAAACTAAGGTTGGCAATGCGTTATCTAGGACTCTCAAAACAAACTTAAACCCTACTCCAAAACCAAGGAGGAACAAAATAAATCTAGGGAAGTAAAAGAAAGTTGCAAATGAGCCATTGAGTAGGTATTTTGAGGCCGGCTATATAACGGAACTTAGCTGTTGTGTAGCCGCAAATGACAGAAGCATAAATCTCACAAATCCACAAAAAGGAAGCCATCGCCACCTCATAAACCTCCTAGGAGTCTATAAAGGAGACTATCCATTGAACAACAAGAGGTAACCAACTCTATACCCTTCTTCCATCTTCGAAGGCTGTTTTTCTTTCATTGAAGAGCCTGCACTCTCCACATGGTATCATAGTCCTATAATCCTCCCTATGCCCAAGAACAAAACGCCAGCCACATACAAATCCAACCAAATCCAGCCTCCAATTTCTCATCAGCCCAGGCTACTTTTTCTCCTCGAAGTAAAACTTTCCCAAATTCGCAGGATCGTCCGGAGTCCCAAGCCCGGCTTTCTTTCTCCCTTCGCCGTCATCTAACCGGTCCTTAACAATCCCCTCAGCAACCTCAGCGCCCGTACCTGAGCCCCGACTAGGGACCCCGCGTCCGCCACGCGCAGCAGTATCAACATATCCACTCGTATCATCAGCCAGTCCATCAATCATCCTCGCATCTCTCCTCTGCTGCTCAGCCGTCGCGGTAGTCGAGCTGCTCCCCGGCGTGCCTGGTCCGCTTGCAGAATTCGGGTTCTGTAGATGACTAGGGAGACCAGTCTTGCCTACCGCAGGGCTAGAGGCCACATCCCTCCTGTTGTAAATCGGGCCACTAACAGTGCTCCCAGCACCTTCACCAAATCCAACTAAGCTGGTGTCATCACTCATACCATCACCCTCCATGTCCTCGTCAACGGCAGAAGCAGAATAGTGATCGTTCTCCATGTCGCGGTCGTTCGTGTCCATGCTCATTTGGTCCTCATCATCGCCTGCTCTCGCGCTTCCGCTTGCCCATGTAGTAGTCTGTCCACCAGTCGAACCAGTTGCGGATGCTGATCCCACTGTTGACATTCTGGTTGTGTAGACGGGATTGCCATTCTGATCAAAGTATCCCGGGAGTTGGCTTGCGCCTGTGCTGGAGCCAGCAGCAGCATTCGGATTCTGGGGTCGCGAAGCAGACACTCGCTCAAGGCCGGCGAGACGTGAGATTCTGTCTGCGCGCTCGGCTTCAAGGGTGTTGCTTGAGGTGGTGTGGTGGTGGCCGGCGCCGCTATGAGGGAAAGATGTGCCGCGATGGCCGTCTTTGATAGCTGTGGTGGAGAGCGCAGATAGGGAGGTTGTGGTTGAATTGGGTGTACCCCTTTTTGCAAAATTAGGAAATGTTTTGCTATATAGCGACGGACTGGGAGGAAAGGAATGGGACTTACGGTGCCTCTGTTGGTGTATCGGGATTTGACGGCGGCTCGGGCATACCGATCAACGTTGGAGTGGTCATTGTAATAAACAGTTGGTTTGGTTGATGGGTTGAAACGCAGAACGGAATATAATAGGAGCCAATTCGCGTGGGGATAAAAAAGTGGAAGTTGAAGTATAAGTGCAAGTGGATGTGTGTTCTTCTTTGTTTTGACTTGGGGATAAGCTGCCCCTCCCCCATACACGTACTCGCACGGGATGCTAGCCTCCCTGGGGAGTTTCCGCTAACTACCGTTGGAAATCCCCCAAATGACGTAGCGTAGGGCGTCGCCGATATTTACCCTCGGACGTATTCCGATACAAGACTGTATAAAAATACGCGTGCACGGTAGAACTTCACACAGGCTTCCCAAGTGTTCTCCAGGTTCAGCTTCAGACGTATTACAATATGTTGCAAATTGAATGCTTTCTAAGTTTACAGATACATTTTGATGTACATCCCATGCTAGAACGGTAGGGCGAAAATCTATCAGGTGCCTCTACCCGTGCAGAATGCATGCATTTCCCATTGCCCGTTGCAGGAAGGAAATCTGAAATAACAATACCACCGCAACGTTCCGTTCAAATGTAAACCCCAGCACCCAAACCAAACTTCTGCTGCAACGCCAACACCAACGCCCAATTATCCATTTCCCCTCCCCATTTAAGCCCTTATTCTATATCTTTATGGCTCACAACCCCGCGGCAACGGCACTGTTGCCATTCACTGGTGTCTTGGATGGCGACCCCAGAGCTGCCTGAGCTGCATTTCTTGCTTGTTGTTGGGCACTCTGCTGTTGCGCGGCTAGCTGTGCCCGCTGACGTTCCATCATACTTGATTGTTGTTCTTGTGTCATGAAGGTGCTGTAATTTGTGAGAGATGTTGCTGGAAGCGGCGTATACTGTGCCTGATTCGTTGGCTGAGCACTCCCGTTTATCATCGAGGTGGGAAGAAAAGGCCGGCGGTCTTGAGATATGCCGGGCGTAGGGGTCGAATAAGATGGTCGAGGCTGAGGTGCGCTGGGCTGAGGGCTATACAGTGGTTTCTGCGGCGAACTCTGACGCGCAATATTGGAGCTATTGGCATACCGATAATCATGACCATTTTGGGGCTGCTGAGAATATGGTGGTTGAGATGCATATCGACCATTTATCGACGCCTGTGGTGTAGCCTGAGGTATACCTTGATAACCTTGATTGGGCCGCATATAGGATTGCGCACCAGGAGTCTGCAAGTACTGTGCTGAACTCGAAGGCTGATACTGTTGCGGAACAGGGCGGGCAGCTTGGTGGCCGTAGGTTGGCGTTCCATAGGCACTGGGTCGATAAGGTGCTGCAGAAGCTGCCCGCTGAGCTGGATAAGGGACTGCGGCAGTGGGCGTCGGCCGTTGCATGTTTGGCGATGCTCTGGCAGGCGTCTGTGCTCCATAGTACTGGTGAGGAAGTGTCGGTGCAGGTCTAGAGCTGGAATACTGGTTTCCGTACAATGCCGATGAGCTCCGATGAACTGATGGCGGTATGGCCCGGGATGAGGATGTTGTACTCGCTGCAGCGGCTGCTCTTGCCTTTGCTGCTGCCTCATCCTCTTCCATAACGCCTCTATAATCATCTAATCGGATCTCAATCTTAGTGCTAATTCTTAGGTCCGCCAATCGATCGGGGTCTAGTTTGGCCACTGCATACGGTGGCAAGGTCGAGATCATCAACGCCAACTGTGATTTGAGAATCTCATAGGTTGCCTGCTCTGCTTCGCTGGGCTTGGACGGGGTCCCAAGGCTTGAGCTATCTGGAGCAGAAAGGAGCCCTGCAGGGCGTGTCGCTGGGTTCAAGGTCATATTGCGAATTCGTTGGTACGAATTCAAGGTCTCCAGCAACTCGGATATGCCCTCTAGAACTTCCTCAACGTCCTTCTCCTCGACAGATTTTTCAGCATTGGCCTCCACGGGAGCAAGGTTGGGATCGACTATATCTCCATTCCAAGTTTCAACCAATTGTTCGAACTCCTTCATTTCCTCGTCATCCTCAACTTCATGCTTTGTGTCCAATCCTGGGGTTGTTGCTGTATCCAAGTTGTTCGTATTTTCTACTAGTCGCTCGAAGCTTCTCTCACCAGCCTGCTGCCACCATATGCGATCCAGCACGCCAGTGGGCGCAACTGCTGCGGAATTATCTTTAGTTGGAGCAAAGCTCGAATACGCGCTTCGGAAAAGAGCCTCTAGCTTCGCGCCAGTAGACTCCAAAGGCTCTGCATCAGGCAACGGAGCTTTCGCGCCTACAAGGCTCATAGCCCTATCTCGATGTCTTTTCTTGGAATCTTGTGGCGAGGTCACCTGGCTATAATCTAACCATTGACCGCAAGAAATTGGCGCCTTGAAATAGCTTCCGGTTTTCGGAAGTGCATCTACTGCAGTTGGTTGATACCAGCCTACTGTGGATGACCTAGTAGTTGCGTTCTTCGACGGCTTCGGTGGCTGCAACCCCGGGACATTTGCAGGAGTCGGAAACACGTCGCCAAGTGTAACCCGCTTACTCCCTTCCACAAGGCTCGATGACTTTATGGGGATGATTTGGGTCGTGGAAATTCCTGTGGGCAATCCGGCCTCTCGAAGGGGCTGGACAGCATTTTTCTCGCCGTCAACTTCTGTCGGTATTTGGAAGCTGGAGAATAACTGTTTTGGTCCTGGAGCGTTGCCATAAAGAGTGAGAACCATCTTGTTGTCACCCAAGCCCGCGTTGATTTGTGTATAAGGGTTGACGCCGACATTATTATTCGAGGTATAGCTGGAATTGTTGATAACGCTCGGTTTGGAGGTGTTATTCTGTTCCGAGGATGCCTTCTCTCTTCTAACAAGTTCGTGGGCTCGTCGTTTGAATGCAGAGGCCTTCAAAGCAATTTCGGCCTGCGGACCTGCAGGAGGAATATATTGGTTTCTCGCGGCGCCATTAGGTAGTTCCAACTTCTCCAAGATATCAGATACCGCGGTATCAATGTCTTCTAGGACATCATCTAGGTCCTTGTAGGTATTGGATGCCACACGCGTCACGATTGTATTCTGGGTTTCGGAGACATCTTCGGCTTTCTGCCGTTTAGCTTGAGGCTCAGATGAGGATGCGCGATCAGGTAGTGGCCGCGTCAAGATGGAGGGTACGGTATCATGTCTAGTCCTGCAATCAGCAATCGTCGTCGATGGCGCAGAAGTGAGGCGATGTTAGGATTGCGAGGGGGCCATAGAAGGCTTCGGACTCGTGAGGATCTGCTACTTACGATTTTAAGACGTCAACTAAGTCTCGAATGAGGGATTGGGTCTCTTCGGTTGATGCCCCTGTTGGTTGTGATGTCTGCGATGTCTGCGAGGCGATACCGCTATTTATCTGGTGGTCACCTTCGCTCTCGTCGCGTTTCCTCTTTGCCGAGAGGGTGATGGAGTCGTTGGCAGGTTCCATGTGCGATGGGGGACCTAAGATACCATTCACGGACGCCATCATGGGCTAGGCGGTCTCTCTGTATGGTATTCGGCTTTCGAAATATCCTGCGCGGTTTGGCGCGAGTCGCGATCGCAGAGGGTAGCGAGGGAGGGCAATGTGTGACGAAGGGGAACGTTTCTAGAGCCGGGGACAATGAATTTCTGGAGAGCAAATGCGTGACTCTCTGATAACACAAGACTCGAGGGGAACACGATAGAAAACCCGAGAGCCGGTAACGAATTCCCTTCAACTGAATATGCTGTCCATGTGGAAATGCAAACCTTGAGAAACTGAGAATCAGACATCAGACCTGAGGAATGGGGCTAGCCGAAGGAGGCTTGGCGCCAACATCCACCAAATGGATTGGCTTAGTCATCACAAAAAGATGCTTCGCAAGTGCTTCGCCAGCTCCCTCTATACTTCCTATTGTTGAGGTTCCCAGGACAGTTTGGTACAGGATGCAATCTGTTATTCCCAATAACTGCATTTTGAACATGTAAACCTGTTTCCGGAGTAATTTTAATTCACCGATATACTCTCCGATCCATCCTTCACCATCCCAGGATACACGTCCTATACAGACTTGACCTCAATTAGCGCTTTTGGACAATATGAACGAATGCAATCGCGCCTCCTTTTCTCGACATTGGGTAGTCCCTTCCTACAGGGCCCCACCAAGTCTCGAAGATTTACTTGTATAAATATTGTAAGCCAAGTCAATTTCTTCTATCCTGCCTTTGAATTCCTCCAATCCCTAACAGAGTACCATTTCAGTTTACAATCCGACCTACCCTTCCTCCCCTCCGATGTCTACATAGCGGACAGGCGGGTGTCCAAAGTTGCGAGCGTTTAGTTGGATATAATGGAGAAAAGGAACAAATACATGCGCGAGGGGTGGTATCGAGAATATCTGAACATCCGCTGCAGATATCCAAGACTCCCAGTCTTCCCACAATCGATTTGCGGTCACGGAATATAACTCGCCCCAACCTAAGGCAAGAGAGAAGGATTCGAAAAACACAGCGCATCTCTCCCTCAACCGCGCTTTCCCACTGGCTAAACTTGGAAGATCCATCAGAAAAGCAGATATATTTTGAAAGTATCTGGAGCACGCTTAACCATTCGTCGCTACATGCTATTCTCCTCCGCCAACTTCACCTATGCATGATCCCAAAAGTCCGTCTTCTCGTCCAGTAACTCGATAATTTATACTGACTCTATCTAGGCAGCAACAACTCCCTTTCTTGAAGATTCAACTGATATCGCATCGAAAGCCCTTCGAGAGCGGGGTTTTGGCGAGGATAATGTGGCAGAATGGGCCTGGATTCTATCTGGGAAAGGACCAGATGAGATGCTGGAGCGCCTTATTTCAATACCCTCGGCAACGCCTACTTTTGTTGTCCTGCAAATCCTGCAGCGAGATATTTTGAAGGTTATGACTCTGAAGAGAATCATAGTTTATGTGTGGGAGCATATTATAACGAGGGCACAAGATAACGTTCTGGAGGCTTCAGTCTCTGATCCGGAAATGAAGCCGGGTTCCTCTAGATTTCGTCAATCTCCAGAGCTTGACGACGCAACGTTTATGACCATCATTAGCCATCTCCTATATCACACGCGAAGGATCTGGCCCACTGCTATGCCATGTATTTCTCACATGGTAGGGCCGTATATGTATTCGGTTTTAGCCCGTAATGATTGCGGTTCCAAGGTGTTAGATGCTCGCCTTCATCGACGATTTTGCAGAGTTTACAACGCCGTTATGCATCTGTTGACATTACCAGCCTCTATAGATCCTCTGAAGTCGATGGCCCATAATTGGAGTGCTCAGAAGGTGGTTTTAGCGCTAGGTGATGAATTCGAGCCTTCACTTTTGCCCGATGAGGACAGCTATCGAGCTGTTATCCATGTTATGGCTGCTTTGGGAAAATCTGAGAAAGAGTCGAAAGTTTCAACCCTGCGCTCTCGAAGCTGGCCTCCGTGGAGGGTGGCTCAGGATGGTATGGATGCCCAAAGATCACCGGAAGAAGACATGAGCAGAGTGGCAATGGCCATAGCAAGGAAGCGAGGTTCGGGATATGTTGGGACGCCTTCCCAAGACGAAGCTCTAAGAATCTTCGGGGGCCAGGAATTTGATGGAACTCCAACAATACACACCCGAAAATTGGTCAAGATGAGATCTGGCCGGCGAAATGGTCCTTTGGATACGAGCAAATTGGACTCCAAGCAATGGGCTGCAAGAATTGAGGCCACCCGTGATGTGCGGGAGGCATGGAGTGCATTTTCTGAATATCACGACCTAGGTGGGCGGCCAACAATGGCAATGTACTCGGCGATGTTCACGAAACTCGCGTTCGAGGGCGCCAGAATTGGACGCACAGTCTCATATGAAGCTGCACCAGGCGATGGAAAAGAAGTTCTTCCCGTTGCGGACGATAACTTTAGCACTTCCTATAAGTTACATCACCAACCACCGGCTCTCGATGATCTATACGATCAGATGATCGATTCAGGAATTCGACCATCGGGACAATGCTTGATTCAACTTCTAGGGCATGCCAGCTCGGTCCAGCAAGGACTGCGTTACCTCCGTGACAGTAAACTAATCGATGGGGCAACAGTGGCTTCTCTGTCTGGCAATTCCAGTGCCTCGAAATCAAGTGGTGCTTTGAGGAAAGTGCCGACCCCCGTATTCTCAGCGTGGATATCTCTGTTGTGTCGTTTCGCTCCCCAGTTGAGAGCTGATCGAGATGGGTCTGATGGGGAAGCACAGTCATTCGACAGAGCTATGGCAATCAAAGAGAAGCCGAGATCCGGATCTTTTCAGGCTCTGTCACACGCTGCTGATCTTTTGAAGCAGCGCCATACAACGTCCAGGCCAGCCTGGTATGCGCTGTTCCACGCTCTTGCCCGACGAAACGCAATTATCGCTCGGGACGAGACTGACGACGCTCAGAATGATGTCCTAGCGTGGCAAGTCCTCGCCGCAGCCCTCAGAGATTTTCACAAATGTGGGCTCGAACTAGATCCCAGGGGTTTCCAGATCATCTGTGACGGGTTCTGCAAGGCTGTGCTGGCCTCGAAATCTGCTATGGAGCATGGCGAGGCGGTATTGGACGACGTACTGCTGCTCAAAGCCGAGTTCACGAAGATATCTACAAGCGAGCCAGGGCCTTACCAAATTCCACGACTCTTTCACTCACTCGGGGGAGTTCATCTCCACGCTTATGTACGGGTTCTAGGGGTCACCGAAGACTGGTATGAGATGATTATGGTTCTTGAGTGGATGGTGCACCACCATGAGGAATTGAACTCTTCGGCACAGCTGGCTCGAAACGGAGCCAGGCACATCAGACAGGTCCTCGTTGCCATGAAGGTCTTCTTGGGCGGAACTGGCTACGAGTGCGACGCCCAGAGATTGGCGGAGACCGTCGAGAACTGGGACGGCTGGCCCGAGGACTTCGAGGCAGAACAGTATCTTGAGCGGTGGCGGAATGCTGGTCGCAGTGCCCAGTAGCATGGCTTATTGCCGACATGATATATACCTAATTTACTACCTGTACATAACTGTAGAAGCACTGTACACTATAAAACAATGAAAGCGACGATGATTTCTCAATAAATGTCGCTGCTGCCTCATGTTCTATGCTGTGATTTTATACTTTTAATTAACTCTGGGCCGCACTCGTATCGGTCATGACTGGTTGTGATCTTGTACCTGGATCAGGGCCCTAGAGCCGATCTACCTACCTGTGGGCCTAGGCGGAGACAGTCCAACCCCATACTTTAATAGCTAGGTCTAGCTAGAGACAGATGAAGGGTAATAAGACTCTAATTATTAACCTCACCTTTCTAGAGGTGAGTGTCGAATTATTAGGTAAAGCAGCTCGACAAATACAAGTACCGGTAGCATAATGTGATGCTTTGCGTACCAAGTGTTTGTGTACGTACACAGGCGGACTGGGCGGAGGTCAGAAGCTCGGCGGGAGGCAGCAGCGGCGCGACGTCTCTCCCCTCTCCCTCCTGTCACTTTGCGCCTATCCGATGGCAACCCCGTCGTCATCAGCAACACACATCACCGCCTGCGTCTCCGCTCCCGCTTCCGAGCTCCCTCCCTCCTCTCCCTTCCTGTCAACAACCCCAACCCATCACCCACAACATCATCAATCTTGGGTTGCCCAACCATCTTAACCCTCATTCATCCATATCTATTACTTCGACAGTACTAGGTTGTTCGTCCGCTCGCTCGTTCCCATCGCATCGCATCGTGTCGCATCGATCGCAATCATGAAGGGCGCACTCATTGCAGCAGCTTCGCTGCTTGGCTCGGTGAGCGCGGGCGTCCACAAGATGCCCTTGAAGAAGATCTCTCTTTCCGAGCAGCTGGCCGGTGCCAACATCGATACGCATGTGAGGCAGCTCGGCCAGAAGTATATGGGCATCCGGCCTGAGTCGCACGCCGAGGAGATGTTCAAGGACACCTCCGTCAAGGAGAACGGCGTACACCCGGTCCCCATCAGCAACTTCTTGAACGCCCAATGTAAGTGCTTGTATATCTTATCTCTATATATCGCAATTTGGTCTAACCACGATCCTAGACTTCTCCGAGATCACCATCGGTACCCCACCACAGACATTCAAGGTCGTCCTTGATACCGGAAGCTCCAACTTGTGGGTTCCATCCGTCGAGTGCGGTTCAATCGCCTGTTATCTTCACACCAAGTACGATTCGTCAGCTTCGTCGACATATCAGAAGAACGGCTCCTCATTCGAGATCCGATATGGCTCTGGTAGCCTGAGCGGGTTCGTCTCTCAAGACGTCATGTCAATCGGAGACCTCGAGATCAAGAACCAAATATTCGCCGAGGCCACCGAGGAGCCCGGCCTTGCATTTGCATTTGGTCGCTTTGATGGGATCTTGGGTCTTGGATTTGATACCATTTCCGTCAACAAGATCCCCCCACCATTCTACAACATGCTTGACCAGAAGCTGTTGGATGAGCCTGTTTTCGCTTTCTTCCTCGGCGATACTAACGAGGGAGAGGAATCCGAGGTCACCTTCGGTGGCGTCAACAAGGACCACTACACTGGCAAGATAACTGAGATTCCATTGAGACGCAAGGCGTACTGGGAGGTCGACCTTGATGCCATCACTTTCGGCGATTCTACTGCCGAGCTTGATAACACTGGTGTCATTCTTGATACCGGAACTTCCCTCATCGCTCTCCCATCGACTCTTGCTGAACTCTTGAACAAGGAAATTGGTGCCAAGAAGGGCTACAACGGACAGTATTCTATTGAATGCGACAAGCGTGCGAGCTTGCCAGATATTGCGTTCACCCTCAGCGGCTACGATTTCAGCATTACCGCATTCGACTATATCCTTGAAATCCAAGGCTCCTGCATCTCCAGCTTTATGGGAATGGTGAGTTAATCCTTATCTCTGATCATCGAAAGCTAGGTCAACTAATATTATACAGGACTTCCCCGAGCCGGTCGGCCCTCTGGCCATCCTCGGTGACGCATTCCTCCGAAAGTGGTATTCCGTCTACGACCATGGCAAGGGAACGGTTGGCCTGGCTAAGTCCAAGGCGTAGATCGTCTAAAACGAATAACGGTGACAAAGGGTCGAGTTGGAGACGCAGAAGACTAGCACTGAAGTCATATTTCCTTACACTGTATTCTAAGAAGTCTGGGAAGTTTTTCTTATCTGATTTTGCTAGAAGTGTTTGAGCAACAGGTGAAAGTAATTCTCTCTCGCGCAACCAAGGGGTTCTTTTGTCGCATACGTATTCAATGGATATTGTACCACTCCACCTACTCTCTGGTAGCTGTCAGTTGTGACGTTATTGGGATGTCCATCATCCGAACGCCGTCCCTATAGCACAACTCCCCATCCATCCACAGCTCCCCTCCAAACCCAGCATGCAAGTCACTCGTGAAGCTGTTTTTACAGTACACGTTCTGTACTAGCCACATCCTCTTGTCCAGTGAAGTGGCGTGGGTCAATCCCGTCTGAATAATTATGCTCTTGTCCACATGGGCGGCGAATCCAGCTACATCATCATCAAGACCATCATGAGCCTCTTCCAACACCCTAGCATATTCCAACACCTTGACAAAATAGCGAGGCATGCTAAGCCTAGAATTATATGGCAGATTGCTATTGTGGGTGCTTGAGCCCGGACTGATATGGGGAAACACCTTCCCAATCTTCTCGGGAACGATGACCCTAAATTTCTGCAAGCGGCCACGTCTCGACCAGTCGGCGAAAGCCCTCAAAGCTCTCCCGGTATTCCCAACACCTGTGAGGAAGAAGGAGCCGAAGTCGATTTCCACGTGCCGGATATTGCGACTCAGCTGATCCCTCAGGGATTCCTGCACCATGACATCCGTCAGAAAGTCAGTCGCCTGGAGAAACAGCGCGTTAAGCTGCCAGAGGAGGTCTTTGCTTTCATGGTGGATTTGTCTGTTTAACCGCAAGAGCGAGAGCCTGATTTTTAGATGCTGGAAAGAGAGGTTTTGTTGCGGGTGGAACGGAAAGATGATAAAGCGTTTTCTGGTAGTATCGAGAGAGCGCCGCAGAACTACGAAGCCAGTCTTAGATTGTAAGGCGTGTCTGTAAATCTCTAGCCGTATTTCGAGGGGCAGTAATTCTAGGAAAAGACAAGGCATTGCGCATATATATCATCTCTGAACGATTGACCACCCGATGTCAGGCTGAGGTGCTGCTGTTGGAAATGCATCACTGGAGGGGGAATCGCTCGCTTTGGCCTTGATATAAAAAGCGGCACTACGCGCAGGTACTAATCATCTTGTAACAATGTCTCCAAGAGTTTAAACTATCCTCGAGAGTGTTTCGGTCTATTTCACATATTTCTTAGAAGCAGCAAGACATCTAGAAATCCACGTCTCGAGAATGTACGAGGTAATTCGTTAATACAGAGTCCTCCATTCCCTTAGCGTGCCGCTTTTACGGAGTCGGGCCTCCACATATAAACCAGACCATGCCACGTGACTGGCATGGCGCCGGGTTCTGCTCTAAGCGTTCCAATCGCACTCGGCAAGAAAATTTCCCAAAAAAGAGCTTCACCTCCAATTGAAATTTCCCAAGGTCCCAAAGAATAAACTCGCAACGCAGCACGAACCAACCCCAAATATTATTTGTGGGCAGAGACTACCCGCCTAAGCCTCTGAGATACGAAGGCTCTCGAGAGCTCGTCGAAATGTCCGCCATTGATTATCTGCTCCACGAGAGCTCGGTGGGGTATGCGATCTTCCAGGTCGTGCACCAAGCCGATGTGGTTGGGAACCGATTGAAGGAGGTTCAAGATGCGGCTCAGGATTTAGCAAAGTTCGGGAAGATGGTCAAGCTTGTCAGCTTTGCGCCATATAGGTATGCGCAGTGATTGTAGATCAAAAACGAGAACAGAACTAAACATTCGATTAGAGGAGCGGCCGAAGCTCTTGAGAACATCAACCTGGTATCCGAAGGCGTCCTGTCCGACTACCTCCGCTCGAACCTCGAATTGAACTTGCCAAAGCCTTCCAAGAAGAAGAAGGTCGTGCTGGGAGTGTCCGATAAGAATTTGGCCGGAAGCATCAAGGCTTCGTTCCCTGGTGTCGATTGCGAGACGGGCGAGACCTCCGAAGTCGTTGCAGACTTACTTCGTGGCTTGCGGTACCATGCGGGCAAGCTCCTAAAGGGTCTTCAAGAGGGCGATGTCGAGCGAGCACAACTCGGTCTAGGTCACGCATACTCCCGCGCCAAGGTCAAGTTCTCGGTCCAGAAGAATGATAACCATATCATCCAGGCCATCGCAACCCTGGATCACCTCGACAAGGCTGTCAATACCTTCTCCATGCGTGTTCGCGAATGGTACGGCTGGCACTTCCCTGAGCTCATTAGAATCGTTTCAGACAACCACACCTACGCCAAACTCGCACTACACATTGGTGACAAGCAGACTTTAACCGACGAATCTCTACATGACCTTGCTGCCATTGTGAACGACGATGGAGATATCGCTCAAGCCATCATTGATGCAGCACGCGTGAGCATGGGGCAGGAGATCTCAGAGAGTGACATGGAGAACGTTTCGGCATTTGCGAACCGTGTGGTTAAGCTGGCCGAGTACAGACGGTCGCTATTCCAGTACCTTGTCGACAAGATGGCTATTGTTGCACCTAATCTGGCCACCCTAATCGGCGAGGTTGTTGCAGCACGGCTGATCTCCCACGCTGGTTCCCTTACCAATCTTTCAAAGTACCCCGCCTCGACTGTCCAGATTCTTGGTGCCGAAAAGGCCCTGTTCAGAGCCTTGAAGACCAAGGGCAACACACCCAAGTACGGATTAATCTATCACTCAAGCTTTATCGGCCGTGCAGGCGCAAAGAACAAGGGCCGAATCTCAAGATTCTTGGCCAACAAGTGCAGTATTGCTAGCAGGATCGACAATTTCTCAGAGGAGCCATCCACCAAGTTCGGTGAGGCGTTAAGAAAACAAGTCGAAGAGAGATTAGATTTCTACGCAAGCGGAACCGCCCCAACGAAGAACGAGGATGCTATGGTACGACCCTCTTCTCTATCATGGTTTTGAATGACTACTGACGTACCCCACAGAAAGCAGCCATGGACTCAGTGCTAGCAGATATCAACGTTGCAGACCCATCTGCCGATGCCGACATGGAAGACATTGCACCCAGCTCCGTCCCCAAGCAAGAAAAGAAGTCCAAGGATAAGAAAGAGAAGAAGGATAAGGAGGGCAAGAAGGATAAGAAGGACAAGAAGCGGAGACACAGCGAGGCTAACGACGACGTCGAAGTAGATGCGGGCGAGAAGAAGAAGAAGAAGAAGTCCAAGAATTAGTTTTGCATAGGATGAGTGTGGCAAGCTAGGCATGATCTGATCTTCATTGTGTACATCTCGGTGGGCCTCTGGCGTGGTATTGGCTGATTTGTTTACGGATGAAGAAAACCGGCGTTAGTGGTTGGAAGTTTGGGAAAAAGGCTCTATTTACTGTTGTTGTTGTGAGTAACGTATTACTGGTAGATAGATACCGAGGTACTTGTGCAATGTTATTCATGTACGTCCGACTTGATTTTTTGTCCGGCTCATATGCTCTATATCACGCTGGCTACATGTATGATTCTCCCCTTCTCCCATCTCGTATTCCCCCCGTAAGGACTCATACACCACAAGAACGCCGTACTTCGCCATGCTAGCCGTACTTCGGAAAGCTCTTCTCAACTAATCATCAAACTTCGTCAATACATCACATTTTCAGCCATCTCTTCTGAGATGGGACACGTCATGAGCCTTCACTACCAAACTCCTTCGTCCACTCTTCGCTTCGCTTGATATCTTCTTGAGATACGGTTGGTCTGGCGCCCTTGACGGCTTTGACGAAATCCTTCAGTTGCAAGGGTGGTTCGAGGAGCTTGTCAGAATCCACCTCTGTCCAGTTCATCTCCATGGCACCCTCATCCCCCGGCGAACAAGGCGTCACTTTCTCAATACCGTTATCGTCGACCTAAATATCAATCAGTTCACTTCCTCTAAAATAGAATATCAAGTCAATTTAGCTTACCTTCTTGTAGTGCGTAGCGGTTTGGATCAACCGCACCGGTTGCATAAGTGCATCTTGGACGGCAATACTAATATCACTCCCCGAGTAACCTTCACTCAACTCCCCAAGTTTCTTAAAATCTGTCTTTTTAAGATCGCACGGCGTAGTGCCAACAGCAATCTCGAACATGGTTGTCCGGGCTGCTGTATCAGGTAGCGAAATGTGCACACGCCGTTGGAAACGGCGACGAATAGCAGCATCTAACTGCCATGGGATATTCGTAGCGCCGAGGACTAGAACACCTTTGCTGTCTCGGCCTACACCATCCATCTGCACCAGCATCTCTGTCTTGATACGTCGAGAAGCTTCAGATTCTCCTTCGCCTCGAGGACCACAGAGGGCGTCGATTTCGTCGATGAAGATAATCGATGGCTTGTTTTCGCGTGCCATGGCAAACAGTTGTTTTACTAATCTGTAAACTTATCAGTAAATGCTAGGTGATGTTTCTAGGGGCGGAACTAACCTTTCAGACTCTCCCATCCATTTGCTGACCAGATCCGAACTGCTCACGCTGAAGAACGTGCTATTTGCCTCCGTAGCCACCGCTTTCGCCAGATAACTCTTTCCCGTCCCCGGTGGTCCATAGAGCAAAATCCCCTTCCAAGGCTGTCGCTTGCCTGTGAAAAGATGTGGGAATTTTATAGGCAGGACAACGGCCTCCTTCAGCGCCTCCTTCGCGCCCTCAAGACCCGCAACATCTTCCCACCTGATATTCGGCTTATCCTGTAGAATGGCGCCAGCAAGAGCGTTTCTCAGCTTCTTGCTATCTGCATCCTCGGTTTCCTCCCCTTTCTCGCCCTTCCCTCCACCGCCTGTACTACTCCCATTCGCTCCCACCATGCCCGGTTTCTTCTTCCCCTTATCCGTGTCTGTCAGATGCGTCTTCAGCTTTTCGGCCCGCTCCATGTACTCCCCCGCCTTAGCCCTTATCATCTCCTTAGACTTGGTGTTCTTCTCCCATTTTAGTGCTAGCATGAATAGCTCTAGTGATTGGTAGTATAGTTGGTATGCTTTCTCGTATTCAGCTGCCGTGTCTGCCTCGATAGCTTTCTTGACCACCTCTATTGCGCGGCCTAGGAAATCGGTATTCGACATGCTTGCGGTGGGGGACGGCTTCGAAGGTGGGGAAGGTAAACCGGATTGTGAAAATCACCCAAAGCCTTGAAGCTAGAGTTTAAAGGCCGCGCTGGAAAGGCTTTGGTAGAGTTTATTCAAGCCAATAGTTTCAGAAGCAATATCTATCGCGCTAGGTTGCAGAGCAGGAGGCGGGGAAGCTTAGGGGAAAACTGGGTGGAGCCTGCTGTTGTTTGTAGGAGATCCTTTTGGCAGAAAGGGTTCAAGTTTGGCAGTCGCACGTCAACACCCAAGGACAAGAAAGCTTGCGACTGACAAGAGGGACCCCGGAGGTGTTCGTTGTCTCTGTTGTTTTTGAGAGTAGGGAGGTTGTCAATGACGACCAGCTTCTGTCGCTTGGCGTTGCCTGCAACAGCCTTGCCCCGCGACAGGGAACCGCCAAACTAGCCCACGACACCTAAACCTGGCCCTGGGTATTATTATATTTCTCGTCGCAACGAAGCATACAATTCCTCACTTTGTGGCATTGCATTGATATTAAACTCCTTCGGATAGTACATTCTCCATCTAAGCCCTAATCTCCGCACCATTAGAGATACTACCTCGCTGCTCTGGTCGATATTTTACCTCCATCATGGCAGACACACAACAACGCCTCCAGGCTCTTTCCACCCAGTATGATGCAGTACAACAAGGTCAGTGATGGCTTCCTTGGCCCCATTTGCCAGAAAACTCTAACATTGCCCCACAGAATTACAATCCTATGTATCATCACGGCAAAAGCTCGAGTCACAGCAGCATGAAAATAAGGCGGTGCAGAAGGTTCGGTGCACCAGAACCGAAACCAGCGTATGAATTGCTAAGAAACGCAGGAATTCTCAGGACTGAAAGACGATGCGAATATATACAAACTGGTTGGCCCGGTGCTATTGAAGCAGGACAGGACGGAAGCGGTCTTGGCCGTGGACGGGAGATTGGAATACATTGACAACGAGATGTATGTCCCCTACCCAAAGGGTTTATGGATTGGTTCTAACTCCTCGATAGCCAGAGAGTCGAGAAGCAGATTAAGGAGGCGGAGGATAAGACTGACGCCTTAAGGGCACAGGTAATTTCATCACTATCTTGATGGGTTGCTCAGCGCTAATGGGAATATCAGATCATACAGGTACAAGCGGATGCTGCGCCCCAGGGTCAAGGACCCCAGGCACAGGTAGCGGCTTGATTTAGTTCTCATGATTTGGAGTTGGGGAGTAGCATTGCTTGGCGTATAATATTAGACACTAAAAGAGTGCTTCGATTGCAGGTTGCCATGTTCTTGATCGGTCCTATGATTCTGCCCCACATGTGTATTGCTGCGAGTGCGTGCTACTGACCTTTTTATTTTCTTGCGGCAGTCCATGTCCATATTTTGGAGTTCCATCTGAATGTCCTGAAGCCCCAAGCCATACTGTTGCGGTAAATCCACTTTCCTTGCGTAGGTACTAGAGCGTGTCTCCAACGAGATTTAACACAATTCCATCTAATGGGGGAATGACAAGCGTCATTCTAGATGGTAGGAGATTATTGCCAGTGTATTCCCTCCGTTGAGGATCTAAATGTGCATGTAAATTAAAGATTCTTCGTTATAACAGAGTAGCCAGTCCTGCTTCGCCTGCCACGGAAGCTCGCTAAAAGGGGCACCAAAACCACCGACTTGGTCTCTTACTATTCGAACAAGATCGGCACCTATGGAGGGCTACCTAAAGAGCTAGGTTGTCGGCACCTGCATTTTTCTTGTTTATATACATATGCTCGCTCTTCTCCAGTAGCGTGGTTGTGCCAGCTAGCTAGTGAAGAATCGAAACCGGCGGGTCTTCAGATAGGTTTGGCAATTGATAATGCTTAAGGAGTGAGCTCTGATTAGTTGACCACTACAATAACTTGCTTCCAGGCTCCTATTGTTCCACCGATTCCCGACTTGGTGATCCCCATTGTTCAATGCTTCTCCCCTTGTTCAGTTCTTTTCCCATTGTTCAGTGCTTTTCCCCTTGTTCGGTTATTTTCCCATCGTTTAGCCATTCTCTATTGTCCACCCATTTAGTATTATCCAATCGTTTCCTTCTCTTTATCTATTCCCTCCTATTCTCCAAGCTCTTATTTTCGGATTACAGTAAACCTCCCCGGCCCTCTTAAACTCTGTTTGGCCCTCTTCAACTCTTCAACCCGTGAAATCTATTTACACCAAACCCCTCAGATACCCACTCGAATTTAGTGCTAGACTCTAAGCCTCCGGTACCCCTTAAGCACCTGGCACTACTTATACTACTAGTGCTTATACTGCCCTCATAGCTATACTTGAGGCTAAGAACTTAATCGTCAAAGCCTATACCGAATAGTTAAAGCTCGTAGACCTCTACTTAAGGTAAAACGAGAAGAAATGTCACCCCTGGCAAACATGATATCCACACTACCACTTGCACCAGCCGGCGCAACAGCTGAGAAGGCTAGACATGCACTCGCTAAGGCTTCGGTTTCGGGCTCATCATCTACATGCCAACCCAGTCCCGGAGCGACCAATCCTAACCACATGTCCAGCGCTACGCTGACTTCGACCAATTCATCCCCCTCCGAACTATTGCTAAAACAAACTAGCTCGCAAGATCCACCCGCGATCATCCATTCTTCGACAAAGCTTGGCACATCTACAGATCTTAGGGAATTTACTGGATTCCCCGAACTACCCCAGGAGCTTCGCGTTAAGATATGGAGATACGCAATGTCTAGGCCGAGAACTCGTCAAGCAGCCCCACTACATTTCCTATCGGGGGACATCTTAGTCAAACTTTCAGCCTTACCGCTCCTGACAGTTTGCAGCGAGTCTTATAGGCTAGCCTGCGAAACTTACTGGCTTTCACTCGGGAATGATTCAAAATATACCGTAAACAAAGGTTATGATATTGGCTCACGAATCAACCCCATAAACGACGTTGTCTACCTTCCTAACACCATGGGAGGGGTCGATGTACCTGGTTGTCTCTCGACCTTCGCCCCTACTACCTTTTGTAACGGCGTCATGGATCAGATTCTCTGTAAAATCCAGCACCCGGCAATCGACGGACCTCGCAATTACCTCAATGTAGTACTTAAATGGGACCTTTGGTTCTTGCGTCGTACAAATATTAAAACTTTGACACTCACACTGCATTCTTGGGATTGCCGTCGAATCTCACTGCGGCAAAATTTTAACGCGGATTTGGAACTGCTACCACCAGCGGATGGAGTGGTTAGCAAAGGAATAGAGCGACACATTTCGGAAATTAGGGATACGCTTCAGAAGAATAGGCAAGGACAAACGAATTGTCCGCCCAACCCTGAAGTGAAGGTGGCTGTTTTGTGCATAGAGGGAAAGGCGTGTTGCATTCCATTTAAGGAGGAATAAATTGGGAGATAGTACGATGCTAAATTCAGTTATATATACGGAGCAGGTACGTAGGTACAACACAATCAATTCATTTCACCAACAAAAACCTCTCGTCAATCATAATTAAGTGATTCAGCTGCCTAGGGAGCCAGCAAAAGCCAGCTACCTTTTCATAAAATACAACGTTCAAACTAAACACCGCAGCGGGCATATCCATCCATCCAACCAGATGATGATGTTCCCAATGACACTATCGAGTCTTAAATTCAAGCGCTCAACTCGGACCGGCTAGTTACCCAACCACATGCATCCATGCAAAATGCAAGAGGTCGTCTGGAAAAATCAAATGCAAAGCCGCACTCTGTAGGCTGAGCCTCTTTTTGATCATAAGTATCCCCTCCCATTCCTATCATACCCAAGTTCTCATTGTCCGATACGCCGGGGAAGGAGGCAAGGTCTCTTGGTACAGGGAAAATTGCAAAAGAAAAGTGTAGAAACTAGATAAGACAGCCCCCAAATTATTCGTTCCGGGTATCCTTCCATTCCCATATGTACGTGCGAATTTTTCATAAATGATCGATGGATCAGTAATCAAATGAGATGTCGTCTGTGGGAAGCAGCAGGCTATGCGGAAAATGAATGTATCTTGACGACACCGAAAATAGGAAAGTTATGCAGGGTGGAATTATTATCGCTCAATGCTCTCTGGGCTCATCATCCCAATTGCCGAGGCATCGTCCTTCTCTGTCTGGCTCATGTTGCTCTGGCTCTCAGTCCTCTCCATAGACACTGGCCCGCCATTTGGCAAGCCTAGCTTCAGCTTCTTTGCTGATGCGGTGAGCGCATTGCCTTTCTCCGGGCTACCGTTGATACCGGATTTGGTACCCGTAGTAGGATCCATCGCTGTGCCGTTATCGAGCTTCTTCTTTTTCTTCGAGTTCCCACTCTGCTCTTTCAGAGGCCGTTTCCTTGGGCTGGTGATCTTGCCGGTTGGGCCGAGACGGGGCCGTGATGGTCTTTGCTTAGGGGGTAGTTCCTCGTCTTCCAGTAACGGTTCATCGTCATTGGCATGCAACTTCGCCAGAAAGAAGTTTCTGACAAGGCCAATCTGTTCCTGGAGATTCTCTTTGGTGACTGGCTCCGGTGGTGGTAACGGCGGGAAGATTTCGGCCGTCGGCGCCGACGCAGTAGGGCCAGGATATGATCTGTGGATCTTGGCATGCAACAGATGCAGAGGAACAGAGAGACTCGACATCCCGAATTCAGAATCCAACCCAAGGGCCTTGAAACCGAAGAAGTCTTCCCCCAGCTCTTCCGCAAAGTCACCACCGACGAACTGTTCACTTCCATCATTGAAAGCACCAGATCCATCCGCGCCGCCATCAGTGAGAGCAGGACGTAGAAGGTCGGAAAGGTGGGCCTTCATACGTTCATGCATGACTCCGAGTTTCGTGCCTAGACGCTCCACGTCATCCTTTACATAGCTCTCCAAGCTTTCCACATCCATGCCATTCTCACTGAGGGTATGGAGGAGCACCTCCTCATCAGTGAAATGCTCTTGCCACTTTTTCCCGGCTTCTGCAACAGCCCCAGTCGCTGGTACTTTTGGGGCTTCTCGATAGACGTTAACTGTTCGTGCAATTTTGGTGAAGAAATCGCCCGCAATATCAGTAATTACATCAAGAGCACTGGGCTGAAGCTCTTCAAATCCAGCATGATAGCAAAGTTCAGCAACAGATCGCTGCATAGTGGCTCTGCAAACCCAAGTTGCCATGACCGGTCCGTCATCTGAGGTGACATGAGGTTCAATATCGGCTTCAACAAACGGCTCCGGCTCGTATTTTGGAAACTGATTATTATACATCTAGTACCAGTTAGTATCAACAAGTTGTGTGCAACATTATCATGAAACATACCTGAGCCTGTATTTGCATCTGTTTGATGACGCCGATTTTGGAGCATAACTTTCTAGTCTCTTGCATCTGTCTCATATTCGCCTCGATCTTTGAGGTCAAGAAGCTTTTCGGGGCGGTGAAGTGGCCGGGCTTGACCATGCGGAGAAACTCTTCCGACTGATCGATCACTTGCCCTTCCGAATCTTCAATCCACTGGTGCCTAGGCGGTATATCTGGGATAGCCGAGAGCGGATCATAATAGTCTGGCAAGACGCGTTCCTCTTCACCCTCCATTCCCTCTGCTAATGTCTCTGTCGCTTGAGCCGATTCCTTTCCATCCTTGCCAACATCTGCTTGAGACACGTCTGCTTGAGCTTGCTTTTGGTGACGGAGCCATCGCCGCATTCCAGCTTTGGTTCTTACTAAAGCTGGCTCATCTGGATTGAGTCTGTCCCCTTTGAAGAGTCGGTTGCGTTCTTTAGCCACAAGTGCACGGTCCTTCTTTGTGACTTGTTTCCAAATTTTATATTCCTCATCTTCTCGGATATCCTCTGCAGCAGCACCAAGGGCTTGCCCCAGCGACATTTCGTTTATTGAAGGTCCGTCAGTATCCATTCCATCGGCTTGACTTCCCAAGCCTGGAACGCCGTTGATTCCTCCAGGAGTGATCGACCCGAGTGGAGGTGTAGCAAAGCCATTGCTTCCGTCAAACCCCGTCTCGGATCCATCGTGGCCCAGTCCGTTGAGGACACCGTTGACCTGAAGGGCGGGTTTCTGGTCGATCCCTGGTGTCCCTTCATCTTTTCCAGGGCCGGACTTTCTCGCCTTGGTCGAGCCTTTCGCGCCAGCCTTTCGGCCTCGCGAGGACATGATCGGCTCGTCATCACTGTCATCACCGGCATCGTCTTCGCCGCCATTTTGCTTTCGGCGCTCCTCGGCTTCCACCTCTGCTCTAGGTCGAATAACAAGGTCCGGAATTAGCGGAACCAGCTTCTCGGCTTCCTTTCTCATTGAGTTGGCATTCCGCCGTAGTGCGTGGCCAATATCGGCGTTGTACTTGAGGCAATTACCCCATATCAAATCCAGATCGGCGACGAACTCGGCCTTGGACTTATACGTCAACGTCTTCAGCTTCTTGGTCATCGTTCCAAGATCCATCGGATGTTTAATAACTTAGCAGAGTTAGTCGGTGCGGTGGACTTCATGGTGGCCGCTTTACTTACTATTATAGTAGTCAGGAGCCTCACGCTTATTCACTCTAGTAAGGAAAGGGGCCGAATATTCGGTCATCGCCTTCAGTTCGCTGAGGACCTTCTCCGCAGCTTCATAAAGCTCCTCCTGGTGGACGTTCTCCTCGCTCGCCCACTTGCTTCTATTCTTGCGAACCTCGTTCATCAACGCACGCAGCTCGGCATCTGAAGCTTTGACCTTCTCGCGCTTGAGATCGATTCGCGCAATAAGATGCTTCAGCGTCAAGCTCGACGCGCCCAAGTTAGCGCTACTTAGGGAACCATGATGCTCGCCGGCTCCGCCGCTTGTGTTATTGGCATTTCCACTGTGGTCCATCTCGGCATTGATCTGCTTCTCGGCCTCCTCCAACTTCTGCTGCTCCAGCATAGCAACTCGATCATTCTCCAATGTATAAAATAGGGTATGGAAGCTACGCTTAGCCGCTTCTTCTGTAGCTTTCTTCTCCTCCTCCAGCTGCTTACGCGCATCTTCGGAAGATCGGGGTTCTTGCGCTGCTTCGTCCTTGGGTCCTTCTGTCTGCTTCGTAGGAGATAGGTCTGAGGATACGGGGGAGCTGCCGGATTTGGATGGTGATAACAAGGCATTGGCAGATTTATCCTTGATCTGGGTAGACGCTCGTATATCCTCCTCCTCATCGTCATCATCATCATCATAGTTATCCTCATCAATGGTGCGCGCAGACTTCTTGGGGGTCTGGGCCTTAGGTAGCTCGGCGGTGGAAGGCTGTTCTGCCAATTGATCGTGATGCGCCGACGCATCCTCCGCAGATCCGCGTCCTTCTGCAAACTTATTGCCTCCAAACAGGTCCGCGATGCGTGCTTCGCTGCGCCGATATAGCTCCTTGAAGAGCGCCTTCTGGTGCTCCTCCTCGGCATTGTCCCTGTCTCCATCATATTGTACGGCGGCCGGTTCAGCCATTGTGGCATCATCAAAGAGCAGCGAGGGCGTATTCGAGCGCGCCGGCGTCTCGTCGCGATGATTGAAGGGCTTGCTACTCAGATGCGACGATGGCGGAAGCCAAGTATGGTGTCCATGGGCGCCGTTGGTGATGGAAATGGCGGGCCCAGCGGCTGAGGGTCCGGATCTCGACGACATCGCCCCCTCCCACGCGCAGCAGCGCGGAAAATAGGCGTTCGCGACAAACCACGAAACCTCGTCGAAACGGCTTCAGCGACTCGTTACTTAGCGGGAATAGGAATTTCCCTCATTTGTAGTTGCGCCGCCGTTGAAAGCAGGACGAAATTCGATGGTTGAGGTGGTGTTCTTGATGGATGGAAATCATCGATTTTGGCAGAGTCGGTCGGTTGTCGTTCACACGTCGTCAGGATGGCTGACTGAGAATGGGAAGGGGATGGTTCTAGCGGGAGTTGCAAGCAGCTGGGCGAGCATCTACGACGGACAATACGCAGGGACATAGGGCAGAGGGCCCATTTCTAGCATGATTAATTCGCCACGGTTGCAGGTAGAGCAGCAGATAGATCAATTATATTCTATATTCTCTGGGGAATTAATGGTTTAACTTAGAGTTGTTCTTCCATCTGCACTTCCCCGAAACCCATGTTCCTTTCTGGCCGTGGCGGGCACGTGACATCAGCGTGTCTTCCACTGAGCTCCGACACGGCGACGACGGCGTCTGAAAGAAAGATGGCCGGAGCTGACGCCTTAAACCTGCCCACTTCGATCTTCTCAATAATACATATCACTCAATCTCGGAAACCAGGAGCAGGATGAAGTCAGCATCCTTGATTTGCTAAAGAAGCTTTATCTATTCTATCAAAATGCGCATAAGGCTGCCGTTCGCAGGTCCGTACCTTGTAACTCATTACCGCGTAATGCCCCGCTGGACCGCCAACAGCTAACTAACCTCGACCAGGAGCCTTCCTCTTCCTCGTCGCAACCGCAGCATACGCGGGTCTCTCTTCCCTCCAAGTCGACGCCCACGTCAATGACAAAGTCCTTCACGCCCTTACCTTCTTCATCCTCACCACCTGCTTCTACTGGATCCTCGATACCTCCCGGAGACGCACTCTCAACCTCACGCTCGTTACCTGCACGGGCGTCTTGGGCGTCGGGTCCGAATTTCTACAGGGCTTCCTGCCTAATGGCCGCAACTTCGATTTCTACGATATCGTAGCGAATGTCGTGGGGTCGCTGGCGGCCATTGGCTTGAGTAGCTGGTATCATATGCGGATGTTGGAGAGGAAGCGTCTAGCGAAGCATTACCAGACGGTGCCTGGGGACGACGACGGAGAACATGATCTAGAGCTGGGCGAAGGTGTCGGGCCACAAGAGTCTGGAACCGTTGGTACTGGTGCCCGGTCGCTGGAGAATGAGGTTGATAACTGGGACGAGAATGTCGAGGATAATTGGGAGGAGGATGAGCCTACCACGGGAACGGATGATGGGGATGGGCCCAAGACTCCCAGTGCTAGTAGTGCGGGGGAAGGAGAGCCGGAATTCAAGAAAAGAGCGGATTGAACTGTATCACGATATGATGATTTTGCAATGGCGTCCACATAGGGATGGCTGTTAGGCGAATGCGTTTTTACGCAGGCGTGGCGTACAATTGGATGGCGTTATAAAAGGATATCTCATAGTTCATATCTCTTTAAATGGGAGATATAGGCAGGTCCTTCTAAAATGCAACGTTCAACGACGACGATGATCTCGCCCCATGCTTTTCCTCATACTCCGCGGTTTGCTGTTCGAATGCTTGTTATGCCCATAGGACTTAATGATCTTTAATTATAGCTTCATGGTTGGTATCTAGAATCCAAAATAGTACAGAGTACAGATGCATCCAAGGATATCCCAAATAAGTCTCACCACCCAAAACTCTCATCGTGGAACCAGACATCTCGGCCCTTCCATATCCATCGCCCAACATGCCGTCGAACTTCTTTCGCCATCTCTGGTGGGCCGCATACTAACACTGCGACCCTCTTCTCGTTTCCTTGCCTAAATGTCTCATCTACAATCGCACCTAAATTCGGCCTCCCGCGGCCCCCGCTGGCTTTCACAGATTCTTCTACATTTTGGAAATCATCCAACTCAATACTGCCATCCCCACTAGGTGGATCATATGCTGGCCCGCCCGCAGCACTTCCCGTCAAGAAAATCTTAACATTCTCATCTTCATCGATCTTTACTCTTGATTGGGGATCCACTGCCCAGCTTGCTTCAGCAGCCGATCTCAGCGACCATATAAACGTAACACGATCTGGATTAATGGACTGAGTCTCCAGTTGATCCTGCACGTGTCGGTATATGGGAAGAATGAAGGTAGCGCCCACTCCGCCAGCTATAAGAAGTATCCTATCGTAGTTGGCTGCGAGATTAGGGAAATGGAGAGATGATCCGAGGGGGCCTTCGATGTTGATCGGAGGGTAGGCTTTGGGGAGGTGTGAAAGCGTCTGGATTGCGCGGGTTGTAGGCCCATTGAGTGTACGAAGAACCAGAGTAACATGCCGGGCTGATACTTCTGCAATAGTGAACGGGTTAAACAGTAGGTCATGAATCGAGGGGGTAGCAACAGATGGCGGGGTGCTTTCGGCTGGAATCGACAAGTAGATGTGTTGCCCAGGAGCGTCGTGGAATCTTTTGAGTTTCGAAGCCGGAACATGTACTTTAATTTTAACCAGCTTCGCATGGGGAACCGCGGTAATTGTTGCAAAACCTGTGGTTGTGTCCAACTTCCTACAAACAATGTCGAATATGAATAGAATCAGAGCCTCAAAAACGAATATTCGAAGAGCTGGCGCGTGAAAGAAAAGCAGGGGCAGTATCGAAACTCCGATAATTAGGTGAAGCACGAAGAATACTCGATAACTCCAGCGCCGGACAGTTTCCAGACTTGTTGTGGCTATGGTCGTCAGGCATAGAAACGCAGTTATTCCAATGATGACCACGGGAGCCGATAGCCGTTTAGCAAGCACACCCGCTTGAACAAAATAGTTCATGTACCAGGAGGCATGGAGGCATAACATAAAGTATATAATTCGCCCTGATAGTCGATGCCAAGGGTTGAGCTGCTCGTGTGAAGCCTTGAAGACCAAGGCGAGCGGAGAATAGAGGGATTTCATAGACAGCATGTAGTGAACAGGAAGCTGTGACGCGGCAACAACGCCGAAGCGCTTGGTAATATGAAGATAGTCTAAATATCAAGTCAGTCCATATTCAACTATATCTATTTGAGATGAGAAGCTTTGGTTTCTAGTATGACCATCGTCATCACGTGATGTGTGTTGATATAGAAGACAATTATAACCCCTAACTTTGCTTTTGAGAAAGATTTGGATTATGCGAATCAAGCCAGAGCAGAATTGTAGTAAACCGACGTGGTTCCTTCCAACAATTGCAAACCAGTAACGAGCAATTAACAAAGAGAAACTTACCATCACCGGTCCGGTGGATGCATAAAAACAACAACCAGCAAGTCCAGGCGCAACCAGCAATCCAATGGCCCCTAATACCCCATCCAGACGCAACCTCGCCCCCAAGCCACCAAGCGGCTTGCTTGCATCTTGTTTCCAGCTTTCCCGTCCTCCGGCGTGTGGAATGCGAGGAGTCACTCAGCGCCGTATAATCGAGCTTCGTTCTCTGTCTCTCGGAATATACCCAGGCGGCCAATCTAAACAGCAGGTAGGCTAAAATGGGCACTAAGGCCGATAGTTGGGCATATACCCCATAGCGATCTAGAAGGATTCTCCGTTGGTGTTTTTGGGTGGTTCCGAGGTCGAGTAGGTGGTATGGCCATGCCATGATGGCGGTTCGGCGGCGGTAGTGGTAGGTACGGTCTCAGATGTGGCCAGTTCTGGCTATGAAGTCGGGCTCCAATGTATTTATACTCCAGTGACGAGATACTAATACTCCAGACCGTACAGCCTTGCTTGTGCTGTCAGCAATATATATAGAATCGAGACATACGAGTTTGAGGACAGAAATCCGATAAATAAACCTAGTAGGGGACGGGGTTCTAAGATGACAAACTGACATTGCCGGAGTGTGTACGTACTCGTGTACCTTGATCGCAGCATTGGAGGACCCCTGCACGAAACATTTCGTACTACCAGCATTAAAGATCAACGCCATCGATATAAACACCAAAAGCCAGAATCCTACACTACCCCATACTTAGGTCCCTCCACCAGTCCCTTTCCCCAGGCCAGTTCCCAGTTCCTTTCAAATGAGATGACCACACTCGCTGTCCGCGGTCTGCGCACCGCTTCCTGCCTTCCACGCCCTCACTCTGCCGTCCTCCTCTCCTTCAAGCAACGACAATTACCCTCCTCCCCCTCCCCCTCCCAGCTATTCCTCCGGCCAGCATCAACAGCTTCCACGCAATCAAAACCCAGCTCCCCTCAACCACAGCCTTCCTCGGGCACCATTAATGGCCCCCTAAGCACCCTCCCCGCACCCCTCAACCTCCCCGTCAAGCCCGAAACCACAAACTTCAGCTACTACCTCTCCCTCGGCAAAGCCTACGCGCTCTTCTACCGCACCGGCGCAAAGAATATATTCACTAACTTCCGCGCCTCGCAACCGATCCAAGCCATAGTCGACAAGAAATATAAAGGCTCCGTACCTGCCGCCGTCTCCGCGGGTGCCCTCACGCGGTCCGATTTCCAGCTCCTAAACCGCAGCTGGCATGACATCAAGCGGTTGCCCATCTTTGGGCTGGTGTTTATAGTATGCGGGGAGTTTACACCTCTGGTGGTTATTGCGCTTTCGAACGTGGTGCCTTGGACGTGCAGGATCCCGAAGCAGGTTGAGAGTGATAGGAGGAAGCTGGAGAAGAGAAGAGGGATATCGTTTAGGAATTTAACTGCTGAGCCACCGAAGCAGAAGGGTGTTGAAGCTTTGGAGAGGATGCAGTTGTTACATATCAGTTGGAGCGTTGGCCTGAGTTCGAGGGTGTGGGACTGGGTAGGGGGGCAGCTTCCGGGACTTCCTGATTTTATATTGAGAAAGAGAGTCAAGAATTGGGTAGAGTATTTGGAAATGGACGATGGGTTGATTGGAAAGCCTAGCAGAGTGGATGAGATGGATCTTGAGGAGGTTAAGATGGCACTGGTGCAGAGAGGTGTGGATGTTTTGGAGAAGGATGAATCGCAATTGAGGGTGGATCTAGTTTCCTGGTTGAACTCCCGGAAGAAGGCGCCTATAGAAAGGTTGCTTTTAACAAGGTAAGATGCACAACTTCACGTATTGCACTGGGTTCTAACGTTTGTATAGACCATCTGTCTGGCCAAGCAAGCCAAAGTCTCCTTCTATTTGAATTCTCAAATAAGGATGAATCATCTATGTACAATACATTGTAGTATGGAAAGAATCCCCACAGCATCTACATAGAGCGGCGTTTTGCGGTAGAATCCTGTAACAAAACCAACTCCTCACAAGCATAGCACAGTGCTTCTAGACATAGTCTCACACTACTACAAACACACGTGAAAGAGTCCACGTAGGATAAAGCCTTGTCTTGACTCATACTAAACTAGATCTTCTGCATCCTTATAAATGCATGGCTGAACATTTTTAAAGTTAGCAATTTGCTAATCTACTTCCGGAATTTAGCAAGCTGAGCCATGATATTCTGAACCTGCTGTGCAGACTGCTGGTTCGTAACCTGAGCTGGTACTGATGCCGCACTCCCCCCCAGAAGAGAAGCAAGCGAAGGGTTGGCAGCAAGTGCAGCATATTGATCAGCAGCAGGTTGTGGTGCTTGCTGTGCATAACCTTGCTGCGGCGGTGACTGTTGGAGGCCGCCAAGAAGACCAGCGAGATCGATTGCAGAATTAGCAGCAATGGCAGGTGCATTTGACTGCTGTTGAGGAATATTGAAAGAACCTAGGAGGTTTTGCAACGCAGCATTGCTATCCAATTGACCAATCAGGTTGGCGAGATTGGGGGCTGATGGTGCAGCTGCAGCTGCAGGTGGTTGGTATGGCTGTCCTGGTGTAGGTTGTGGTTGTTGATATGGTACAGGCTGTGGCTGTTGGTATGGTTGTTGGTGTGGCTGCTGATATGACTGTCCTGCTGCAAATTGTTGTTGGGTGTACTCTGGAGCTTGAACCGGAGTTGGTGCCTGCTTTGCGCGAAGAACTAGTTCTGCGGCAATCCTTGGCTCCAGATCTTGGTACTCATCCCATCGGACATTGTTAGCCCCACCTTGACGATCGAAAACCTGCAGGGGGATCTTGCTGCTATTCTGAGATCTCATGGTGAGCTGGGACACAGCGTGGACGCCTTCAAGAATTTGTCTCCGGATAACGGATTCAAGTGGAAGTCGAGAGCTAAGGAACATGACTTCAGTCTTAATGGCACGGCCCCGGAACTCTCCTTCAACCCAAGCTACAAAACCTCTATCGAGCTGATCCATGAGGATGATCTGGACGTCCGGAACATCACGTGGTTCGCGCCGAGGGATCTGAAGGTCCATATCCTCAATAGCCTCGCGCCCTCTAGGGCTTAGACTCCTCTCCCGATATCTCGTGCTTTCCCTACCGTATGGAGATCGTGATCGACTTCTCCGACGGTCTCGGTTATCATAAGAGTCTCGACCTCGCGGTGTATATTCATCTCGGCCACGGAAAGCGCCTCGTGGTGGCGTTGGAGGCCGCACTGGTCGATAATCATCACGCATGCGTAATGGTCGGCCATACTCGTCTTGACGAACACCCGCTCTCCCATCGTAACGATCAACACCACGACCCCCGGGTTGTCCTTGGCTTAGCCGCCGATCTGGTGATCGTGATTTTTGGAGAGGCGGAGCGTTGGCCTGGGCATTGCGACTATTCTTCTGCGGTTTTGATATCTCAAGATCTAGATAATATATCAGCTCATATCGTGCCAGTGTTGGAATAACACTAATACTTACGCATTTTGCGTCCTCTTACTTCGGCGCCTTGTTCACGATTGAGAGCAGCATAACATGCAGCAGCGTCATGGAACTGAATAAACCCATATGCCTGTTTGATTGAAACTTGAGCAAGCTTACCATAGCTATGGAAAACATGGAAAAGATCTCGTTTTGTAACCTTCTCTGACGGGAGATTGCCTGTTTGACCAAGTCAGTGATGCAAGGACAGATCAAACATGGTATTATTTGCTTACCTATAAATAACCGGGAACCAACGGGAAACCTATCCCATAAGCCTTCGGTCACATACATACGCTCATCGGCAAGGAATTGGTCATATAGTCTCTGTGTTTCCGGGCCCCATCGAGCCTCAACTTCGTCAATATCCTCCTGGGACTCGACGGGCATCGGTGGGCCTTGAATAGGCACATGATTGAGCTGGTTATAGGGGGTTTGGTTGATAGGGACTGTAGCTGCTGTGGGCGGTCGAAATGATGCTGCTGGAGGAGGGGGCAGTCCACCTCTAGTATCTGTAGATGTGCCTGGAGCACCAGCACCTACAAGAGATGCGGTAGTACCAGGAGGTGGGGGCGGCCTATAAGGGTTGGCTGTTTGTGAAGGGCCTGCATGATACAATTGCATGTCATCGTTATATGGGCGCGGTGGGGGGATTTGCGGGCGTGGGGGGAGGCTTGCATGAGCTGTCATACCCGCACCGGGTTTGGGAAGAGAGAAATTGGAATTCTGGGCAGGCGTAGTAGGGCTTGTCGACGCTGATTCATTTTTCTCGGCATTGGCGGTGATATTGTCCAATAACTGCTGGATATCTATACCACCGTTTGCGATATCCTCATATGTATGGGTCTGGGGGGGTGCGGTCTTAGCCGGAACTTGGACTGTAGGGTTACTTGAAAGATTGGCAGCTGCTGCATCAGCAGGCGTTGGGTGGGAGGGAGGATTTGTCTGGACGGGGTGGGTGGAGTGGGCGTCTTGACCGTTTGTAGGCACTTCGTTGGTAAGAGAGTCGTTGGAAATGGACGGAGGTAGACCGCTGGCGGGCACGCTTGCAGGCAAAGTCTCCGTCTGTTGCTCAATATTTGCCTCTGTTATATCGTGACTATCTGCGCCTCCCTCCGCATCCGAATCAAATGTCATGGCATAGTCATCGCTGACCTCTGTGCCTTGATCGCCTTTGTCTTCCTCCTCCGCCACTGCCTCGACCGGCTGCTCCTTGTATGCATCGGAAAAGCTCGAAGCTGCAGATGGAGACCCTTCTTTGGAAGCTGGGGCTATGGGGTCGAGGGTAGAGTCTGCTGGGGCAGCTACAGGAGGTTGGGAGGCATCAGGATCAATATGTGTCGAAGTCATGTTGAAAACTGGGTCGATTTGATTCCGCAGGACTGGTATATTGGAGGGTTCCGGAGGGTGGATAGGTACGGGAGATGCTGGTGACAAAGTTCGTGTATGGAACTCGGGTGCCTCTTGTGTCTGTGTCATGAAGCCTCGCACTCGGATGAAGAAGAGAAACTGGTGGGGTATGGGTATCAAAATGGGGATGGATTGCGTGAGACTGAGGTTGGCAACAAGTCCAACTTTACAACAGGGCAACAAGGGCTCAAGGGTTCTAGAAGATGAGAGGGATGGAGGAGCGAGACAGAGGGCGGATGTGGATGTGCACGTGGATGTGAATGGGGGTGAGGATGAGGCGAAAGGTGAGATGGAGAAGGACGAGGCTCCGTGAACCGTAGACGGGTTTCTGGTGTTGCTGGATGACGAGCTATGGAAGCGTCACCGCCATCGAGCCGTAGAGCAATAGAGGCTCGTCTCTGCAAATTTGTGAGCGTGCAATAGGTGTAGTAGGCGTGTCGAAGGAGCTCCGGACGAGAGTTGGGGATTAGGAGAAGGAGATGTTGCGATTACTGAGGGGGAGAAGAGAAGTGGTGAGGAGCAGACAAGGCATTAAGAAAAATGCACCGAGTAGATGGCGGCGCTAATCCGTCTTGGGTCAAGGCGCATTCCCACCTCGACCTCACAGCCTCGACAACTTGAGCCGCCTTATATATATTATACATGTTTTGTCAATGACAGACATTAGCATCTAAAAATCTATAATGATTATTTTAGAACATACCCTTTTTTCCCCCATTTTCACAAATTTGCATCCTGGTCGTAGTTGGCTCCTGATCCTGTGCTCCATTCCCGTATGAGAGGAACCACCCGCCACAATGCTTAGGAGCCAGACCTTTAAGTCCTATTTCTCTGCATCTGCAGCTTTTAAATCTCAGCACCACTTAGTTCTAGCACAAACTCTTAGAACATACTCCGCGCGTTCAGGCAGTGACAGCCAAGCCACCGAGTTCGAAGCCGCACGGCATTGGTTTCAAAACTTCGACCAGTCTGCAATCGCGGAACTCGGAAAGCTCTCCAAGACTGATTTCTCGAGATCTTCTGGTCCCGGAGGCCAAAAAGTCAACAAGTATGTTCTGAAAATAGCTTCTCCCCAGCTTAATGCTGATACTCTCTCCTAAGGACGAGCTCAAAAGCCACGACGGTCTGGTCAATGGGTGATCTCCTACGGCATGTGCCAAAAGTATTTCATTCCAGCCTCCGTACCAACAGATACTATGCACCGGCTTCAGACTCGATTTCGATTCAGTGCGATACGAATCGAAATCGAATCGACAATAAGAACGAGACCTATCAACGTCTCGCTCAAGAGATTACCCGCATATACAAAAGCGAGGTCCCAGGAGTGACATCCGAGGAGCAGAAGCAGCGAGTTATTGAATTGTAAGCAGCCTATCACACAAATTTTTTATTCAAACGCAAGATATCAGTCTCTTATTGCTTTCGTGTCATCATGCACATTGTTGGGACCGTGACGATCAAAAAATATCACCTCAATAAGACAATACGACGCACTTCGATTCAAACCCCCTACTGACAATTCCATCCTAGGCAAAAAGCCGCATCTAACAACCGGCTCAAGATGAAGAAGAAGCATTCGGACAAGAAGCAATCCCGAGTTACCCGCGACTGGGACTAAGATGTCTCCCAAGCATCATCATTCGGTATCTTCTAGTGCCAGATCTCCGGTCCACTGCCAACATGAGTAGCCGTACCAACTGATTGTGGACAAGGACATGGTTTGGGTAATTGATCATGTTACCATGTGCTCCCAAGTGCGAAGGGGTGAGGGTGAAGATAGGTGGCTTCCCTGCGCAAAGATGTGGAATTGCGGGCCTGGGATTCGGGGATCTGGCAAGTTTTGTTTAAAGGACGTTGTCATATCCTCAGTGAGATGATGAAGGGGGTGAAATACTATGTGTAGAGATTGGTCAATTATCTAATGTCAGTTGGAAACACCAGGAGAAGTAAGATTAAAGGATGCAGCATGGATAATACCCTTAAATATTATTTGAAACGCTGGATGAAGCTAATTGCTTTGAACGCTTGATGGTATGCCTACTCTAATAAAAACACGCTTGCTTGCTTGCTTGCTTGTACTAGGCTTTCGGTATTATCCTAGTCCAACACAGTCACGTTCAGGCCCGCAACACAAAATCTCACAACTCAGTCAAACACCTCATACACTGACAGGTAATCCCTCGCAACCACTTACTCAACTGTACCTGACGCTCCTCCTTCTTCAGCTTCATAACAGATTCCGCGAGGACTGATATGAAAACCTCCTCGCCTTCTTTGATATCCTTACACGCGACAGCCTCGAATTGGGCATGGGTCCTAGCCGTTAGCGTGGCGTTGGGGTTGCAGCTATGGTTGAACCAGGAGAAGGTGGGATTGAGAATATGATTTGGAAAGTGCATATCACTCTTTGAGCCAGAGTTGGAGATAATTCGGTTCCTAAATTACTAGTCAATACATAGCCAGATAGTGGAATGGAAATGCAGATGAGAGGATCCGACAGACCACATGCTCACAATTACCCAAGTATCCCAATTATGGTCTTCAGAAACATTGATCCTTTCTCGTTATTGAACGGTTAACAGTCGGGAAGGGATGTTGGCCGTATACCGACACTTGAAGAAAGAGGGTAGAGTTTGTAGAACCTCATGAAAAGCCCCTTATTGCCATTCCACCAAAGTCTCTGAAGATGCTTCCCCTTCCAAGTCCTCTAAATGCCTCGATGCCTCCGAAATCCTTAAGTCCTTATAAAACCCTATTCCTCCTTTCCCATTAGGCCTATATAGCGACCGTGTAATGTGCTTCTGTATCTCTCCATACCCATAGGGTATTAGTTCGTGCATGCCAAGCCATTCTTCATTATGTCGGCGGGTGATATAAGAGTGCAAGGTAGTTGGCAGAGTCGTCTGTCAGAAAGGGCTCAACTACACACAAGAGTAGTAATCGCCAGAGCCACTACCTAACGTATGTCTTTCTTTGTTAGCAGATCGATTCGATAAAAAGATAGAAAGATACGTTAGTATCGATTCCAGGGGGGTGCGTAGTGTTGGGAAGCGCTCGATCAATTTGAAGGCGGCGATATCGTTCGTACGACAGCGAGGAGGAGATTCGTAGTCGCAATATCGTCATCTGACCCAATCTTAGCTGACATCTCCGAAGAGATCATTTCCAGCCTGCACCACGAGAGGTCTTGGTCGAGCAGGCCGCTGCCTAGATATCATCGATTTCACCGAACAAAAAAACTAGCACGCTTAAGTCATATGTATCAGTAGACGCTGAAAAGTGTGGTACTCACGGGAGGCAATTGGTACCTACAAGCAGGACTGGTGCATATTTTCTTCGCGATTCCAAATCCTTATAAGAATAATCGCGACAGCGTTCGTAGCGGCAATATTTTAATCTCCCGCTTTTAACGGGTTGTCTTCGACTGCTAAATCTAATTCGGTGGCCGTTGTTGCCTCGTGACCTTAAAAAGTTAGTATGTACTATATAAGCTAGAATAAGACAATTGGCGTTTGTCCCGTCGTGATGGTCGAGTGTGAGAACTTAAGGCTATGTGAGGTGCTGTTAGTATTGTCAGTAGCATGGCTTTGGGGCCGCGGGCTCACACTCTCACCCGTACTAAGACGTAAGTCTTCGATTCAACTCAAGCAAACTTGAAACGCGCAACGAAAGGAATATCGAAGTCCTCGAACTCGAGTTATTCGGTGGTCTTGATGTAGACCTGATGTTCCTTGTTTGAGTGAATGCACATGCAAAATCGCGGCCTTTATTCCTGTTCTAGATCAACGAGAACCTGTCGCCGAACACACACAAGTAATTTATCCTGTCGCGGGAGTCGAAACATACTCGCAGGGTATATAAGGTAACCCAACCAGGTAGCCTCGTGAGAATAAGAGGATTTAGTCGAAATCAGACTTGTGGCATTTACGGTCGGTCCAACAGATATACGTTGCTTCATGTATTGATGAGTCATCGCTGAAATCTCTTAGGTTGCGACTATCTCATACGCCCTTCTTACAGTACTACAGTCTTCTTGTCTTCGAAGCAATCCATTTCAATATGACAGAGACTATAGGAACACAAGTCGCTTCGAGGGCAAGACCGGTATATCAAGACGAGCAACTACTTCAATATTTCCTCGGTCTTCCGGTTGACCAGCCTCCGACATTATCAGGAGAATGCCGAGAATTGCCGAATACATCAATGAAAGATGTTGTATTCCTTTCACTCGATACCGAAAATGTCAAGAGCAGGTCAAATACCTCTTGTTAGGCAGTTTCAGGTTGGTATTTCTATTCTTGATGCTAGGGCTCTACAAAATATTATACCCTCTCGGCCTCTAGTTTCTATACAAGAAGATAATCTTCTTCGAACTCAAAACTATTGTGTCGGCCCCACTAGATACTGCTCAAAAGCTGCGAGAAGATTTTTGTTCGGTCAATCAGAAACTGTTCATCCAGATCAGATAAAGGAAAAGATCGAAAGCTTGGTCGTCAATCGAGATGTGGTTCTTGTGGTTTATGATGGCTACCACGATGTGTGGCTTCTAAACGAGCTCAAAGTCAAGCTGGAACCAGTTGCCATAGTGGACCCGCAAAAAGCTGCTTATAATATACTCCAATTGCAGTATCGGAAAAGCCTGAACGACCTCTTGATAGAACTAGATTGCCCCTTCAATTTCTTGCATATAGCAGGGAACGACGCGAATTTCACACTTCGGGCTCTCTTGATGATTGCAGTAAGAGGTTCTCATGGCAAAAGTCTTAACGATTCACAGCAGGCCATTCTATCAGCTGCACAGGCAATTGCACAATCCACTGGGCCAGATAAGTGGCATGAAAAATGGGACCGTGTTCTGGAAGAGGCAAAAAATTACTACGCCGAACGCGAGGAGATTAATCGTCAGAAAAAGGTGAAGAAAAAGGCCAAAAAAGCAGCGCGGAAGGCAAAATTGGCAGCAGAAGGTCATTGGTCCTCAACCAAGAGCGGACGCCAAGAGTTCTGGGCGAAGCCGGAGAACGCATATAAGAGGCGCCAGCCAGACCACGGAATCAACCAGGCCAGACTGTCCTGAAAAGGATAATCGACGCGTTCAATATCCTCTTGCACGAGGAGTTGGGGTAGCCACGGTAGTAGTTGGCCTCTAGTTTGGGGCTGTCCTCTCTGGTCCTTGGGTTGCCGCCCAGTTGACTGTTTGCCAGCAGGTCCACTGCCTCATTTCCTGCCACTCCTGTGTGGGCTGGGATCCATCTAATTGTAACCTTCACCCCTCTATTGCTGAGATCAATCAACCACTATATCAAGCACATGCAAGCCCAAGCGTGGGACAGCAACAGGACTACTGTAGTATACAAGAAGAGATGGAGTGGCAAGCTGCGAAGGAAGGTTGACCTCCTTTATACCCAACCTACCAAGGCACAGAGCTCAGTACTTATCCAGATGAGAGCTGAGAAAAAAAGAGGCGCCAGCTATAAATCGAGCTCATATTCAAAACGCGGTTAGGTATTCGGTAAGTATCATTTTGTGGTTTTGCTTGAGTAGTAGAAAGGGGCTAATGAGAAATACGTAGTTAAAAATCATTGAGAGGGTCGTCTATAGACAGCTTAAGGAGGGGAGGGGTAGAGTACGGACTTGGCTCAAGGTTCATACCGGGATAGGACTTACCTCAAAGATACACAGAAGGTGATTACGAGTTTCAAGCTGCTAGGGGGTGGTGAGCAGAGGTGAGGTAGTGGGGACTACATGTGAAGAATGTGTGAGGCGAGGGTTGTCAAGATTATAAACTACGAATAGGCCCAAAATGTAACTAATAAGTAGATATAATCAAAGTAAGTTACAATTACCAAAGCTACGATCAGTGCATGAAAACTAAGCTTGATATTAGCTGTATGTTTTTAATTCTTAACGCCAGCTCGAGGGCTGGCATTGTGAGATCCTCGACTCAATAACCTAGCGAAGCTCTACCATCCAAGTTGTCGTTTGGCTTATGATGTTCGGCATATTCGCGCTCGTTTGTCTGACGGACTTGTTGGCCAACGGGGTCGTCCTTGATGAGCCGGGATTCACATAGAAGCAACGCCTTATAGGCGTCTCCTGCGGGAAGTTCAGGGTACTCAAGATCCAGTAAACATCTGGACCGGTATGTCCAGTACTGGACTGCATAAGGGGAGGATTTTATATTCATCGTCGTGGTTATTAGTCTCGACCGGAGGGACTCGAGCTCCTAATGTGTTTCGTTAGTCAGAAGATTCAACAACTGCCGTGAATTTATTCCTCGACAGCATCAAGCCTTACCTGCATCGTTAGGCTGCGCGGCAGCATATGGGCTATTGCCTGTCAAGAACTATTAGTTGGGGGTTATGCTTAAAACACTAAGATTTCTCCAAATTTGTTATGAATTGGGCACGAGGAGCCGTACATGGATCCTTTCTATTTCCTTCAGAATCCGTGTACACGGCGGCGCCCATAGTCCGAGATCCCACGAGTACTCCATACCGGAGGAAGTTGTAGGATCGGTTCAAACTGAGCTCGGCACGCCAAGTGATAGCAGTTTCGATCCTCTTTGCAATTGGAAGGGCTTAACAAAGTTGAGCAAGGTACCAGTAAGAGTATATGAAAGCAGCGACTGTAAATGAGGCACTTGTGTATTGGTAAGTGATGGTGGGTGCAGGTAGCAATGATTAGTACTAATGGGTTGAATTAGGTGGAGGGAGGTGATTGAAACGAGAGGGGATTGCTTTGTACCCATGAATTTTCGAAATAAGGAAGTCGCGATCCCCCAAACATTGATGCCCCGAGTCGGGCTTTCCAAATTTTGATAAACTTATATACCTACCTAGGTAGGTAGGTAACTAGTTCCTATCCAGAATGTACCCATAAGGTAGAGTGGTTGGGTTACGAATGTGCAGGTCGCTAAGTATCCCGAGGAAACCCTCATCACGATTCGCGAGTCGCTGGCTGAAGGAGAGTAGTCCATAAGTCCACGCCCGCACCCCATAATGCATTCTATTTCTTCTGCAATTTACACCAAATTCTTTGGCCACTACCCCTGCCTTGGGAGTTACGATGACAACTGGAAAGGCGAGACAGATGATGGCGTCATCTCGCTCACTGAACGGCGCATCGAGTGCAAGCCCTCCGGTCACCACTTGGATTGCACGGCTCTGAATTATGGCATTTTGTAGTATCGCAACTCAAATAAATCGATGGCCCTGCCTTCTCAAAGTGGAAATGAAGCGCATCGGGCCAGTGCAGGCGGGCGTGTAAGACATGTGAGTTCAGGCTCAACAGAAGGCTTTGGAAGTTCCCGGTCGCACTTGCGTTTCGGAGGTGAGAACGTCCGTAATGGAACTTTCGATAGCTGCTTTGCAAAAGGGGCCAAAAGCGCAAAGGAGAAGATTTTCAAAGCGGGCCTGCAATGCAGAGAGAATGATCCATCTCGGTCATACAAAAGCCAAGTGTACAGTCGCGACTCTGGTGCACGTTCGTGGCACGCGTTCTGACCAGCTGGTCCATCAACAAGACCACAGTGACCCCCCAACACAAAAAAGAAAAGTCCTTCAACCAAAAACTAGAATGTGGCATGTATTGTGGTTTCTGGCCATTGACCAGAGCAAGATCTTTTGACAAATCCTGAGGGGTGAGGCCAAGGTGGTGTTGGCAATTTGCCCCTCGGTCGCAATCCACAACTTCAAAACACGACTTTTCTACTGCACCCCATCCCACGCCACACAAGCAAAAAATATCCAATTTGAACATATAAGCTTCAAGTAATTCGATCAAAAACATTCTGAGCGAGGTAATATTAACCATATAATGTTGTGGTGGTTGGATACTGCGGCTTTATTGTTGACGTTGGCAAACTCGCGATGGCTTCAAACCTCGGTCGCATGCCACCACCATTCATCAGGCACGTTGCATCCACCACGCAAATTATTTGGCAGTTGTTGCATTGGAATGGATAGCTGGAGATGTCCTCTTTCATCCCCAGTATCCACGGGCAATATAGATTAGGTTGAGGTGTGGATATCATCAAAGTCGCATAACTCGACGCTTTTCCAGCTCATAGATCAGCTCACAACGCGTCCCGGAGGACTTAATCAAGCGCATGATATTGGGGCATTTTCCAGACGAAGCGCACAAAGTATTTGGACGACTCGAACCGTCGCTGGCGGGAGACCACGACTATATGCTGGCATTTTGCTGGATTACAGCGTGGCAGCGTGGGCGTGTGGGAGAACGAGAAGCAGAGCGACTGTTGTGTCGTGTTGCGCATGATCCGTCGGGGGGCTCGGGGTGACCGTTGGATGTGCGGATGGGATTCTGGGCCAACATGTAGCCAATCACAAAAAAGCGTGTTCTTTTGCAAACTGCGTCCAAAGCAGATCTTCTCGCTTAGAGCCGTAGTGATCCAGCTTTTAGCTCGTCGGCCGGGTCTCATACATAAACTCGGCGCCCCTCCCCTCTCTCTCATCCTTTCTCTTCCTTCCGCCCTCGAACCGCGACTCGCCCACCAAAAGATAAACCGAACTTCCCCGCCACCACCATCGCCCATTCTATTTTTGTTTGAATCCTTGTATTCATTCAATCGTCTGTCGACCATCTGTATCCCTCCAATCCCACACATCAATCAATTAACCAGTTCTTTCACAATGGCCCCTAAAGCTGCCGCTGCCTCCAAGCCCAAGGCTGCCGCTCCCGAGCATGCCAGCTACCAAGGTAAGCTTGCTGCTTGCCCGCACCACGTCGCCTCCCGATCGCGCATGTATTTTCGCGGTCGCATGGAGTGCGCGCAGCTGCGGCCAGCTTTAAATTTTTAATCGGTGCATTTGCTGACGTGTTTGGTGCAGCGATGATCACTGATGCCATCGTCAACCTCAAAGACGTATGTTCACCTCCCATGACTTTTTAAAATGTTCTCGCTAACACTGCTTGTAGCGCAATGGATCAAGGTACGACGCCCCAAATTCCACGCGCTCTAGTTCTGAGACGGGATCGACGCGTCATTTGTTTACCTGTAGTAATTTTATACTAACCGCCATGCAGCCGCATCGCCCTCAAGAAATATGTAAAGGCCAACAACAAGATCAACGCCACTGACAGCATGTTCGACTCTCTGTTCAACAGAGCGTTGAAGGCTGGTGTTGAGAAGGGTGTCTTCGCTCAGCCCAAGGGTACGTATCGCGCATTCTCATCGTCGGCGCCCTGCCTAACTATTTCAATAGGTGCATCCGGCGGAACCAAGCTCGCAAAGAAGGAGCCCAAGCCCGCTGCAAAGCCAAAGGCCGCCGCGCCCAAGGTTGAGAAGAAGACTGCCGCCGCCCCTAAGAAGAAGGCTGCTGCTCCCAAGGCCAAGGCTCCCGCCGCAAAGCCCAAGGCAGCTCCCAAGCCAAAGGCCGCCGCCGCAAAGCCCAAGGCTGCTCCCAAGAAGGCTGCTAAGGCCAAGGATGTCAGTGACCCTCATTCGTCGATCAGAAGAGTATATCATCTAACAGATCAGCAGGCCCCAGCCGTCGTCGACAAGCCAGCCGTCATTGGCAAGACCAAGTCCGGTCGCGTGACCAAGACCAAGGCAGCACCAGCGGCGAAGAAGGCCGCACCTAAGAAGAAGGCGACGCCAAAGAAGGCTGCCGCATAAGCAGTTTATTCTTTGTCTTATTCTTTATTCCTTTTAGGTAGTTCATCGGCGTTGTGGCTGGGTATATCGCGACGTGAAAGGGGACCATATCACGCGTTTTGTGCTTTACGGAAATGGTTTTTACTGCTATGGTAGCTTGCTTTATTATTTTGATGACCGGTTGGGAGGGGCTTCTGCTTCTTGTTATCTTGTATGAAGGATGGTATTCTTTCTGTACAAGCTAGCGGCGACACATGAGCTCTTGCTAGACGGGCGCTGATAATGCATATGGGATGGATTGATGCGGATGCTATTACTGGGATGGCTGTACTTATACCAGATCAATGACTCGAAGATTTCAAAATTCAGAATTCAGTTAATTACAAACTGCATTGTAGACGCTCTGACTCGTGCTTATGGGCGGGAGGCGGGGTGAAACACCACGTAGCACACAGAATCATAACAAAGGACGATGTCTGCTACGCGTCTTATCGACGTTTGTTATGATTGCGGAAACAAGCGAGAGGCATGGATCTAGCGGGAGTCGCTCGCTACCGCGACCGGAGTACTCCCAGACCCGCCCGGCGACGACTCCGTGCAGCGCTATGCTCCGTTAGCTAATACGCTGATAGCCCGATACGCGTGGTACTTACGCTACAACTGGCAAGCATTCGCCATCTGCACTCAGTCCCATTATTAGGTTAGATCGCTCGCTTATGTTATCTTGCAGCACTCTCACGCATCGCCATCCCCCACATGTGATGCCCAATGCGCTACTCCTAATTCGGCTAGACTGGGTTCCCCTGCTGGCAGCTTTGCACCCCCTCGCATCGCTCGTCAGGCCTCCTTCTGCCTACAATAGGAGCACAATATCTCTTCAGCTCCCTCTATTTCTCTTGGGATTTTTCTCCTCTACATCTACAGATATTCTTCATAGCCCTTTCTCAATCTCATCATATATGTATATTTTGTAGGTTCGCAAGACACAGCGTTCATCCAGCTAGTCCTGCTCAGCCTCGTATACCATTCATCCCCAAATCCCCAATACTATCTAGGTGCTGTACAAATCCTTAAAGAGGATTCCATTTCATCCCCAATATAAACAAGCAATCCTCTCATCAAACATGGTTACTATCGAACGCAAAGTCCCGGTTGCATCCCTCGCTGCCTCAGCTACTGCAGCGGAAACCCCCCATAGCGAGCCTGAAGCCGAGGCAAGACAACCAGGATGGCCTGCCTCGCAGGAATGCTATGAATCTCAGTTCCAAGTATCCATAGACCCTTTGACAGGGGGTGGAAATTATCGAGATTCCCAATTGCACGATTACCAATTGCAGCTGCTTCGGCTGGAGCAGCAGAACAAGATGCGGCTCCGGTTGGCAAGAGATGAGCAACAATCCCTAGTGAAGCCCTGCCAGTCCACGCCTTATCAATTGCAGCTGCTCGAGGTAGAGGCGGGGAACAAGAAGCGGCTCCGGTTGGCAAGAGAAGAGCAACAATCCCTAGTGAAGCCCTGCCAGCCCACGCCTTATCAATTGCTGCTGCTCGAGGTAGAGGCGGGGAACAAGAAGCGGCTCCGGTTGGCAAGAGAAGAGCAACATTCCCCATCTCAGACGCTGGAGGAGAAGAACATTGTCTTGGTACGTGGAACAAACCAGGGGCTTGCCTCTCGCAGGCCACAAGATCACCTGATGCTCCCAATGCAGGAGGGGGACCAGAACAATAATTCTCTGCCACGCAATATGGCAGAACGGGAGCAAGTTGGCTCGTCAGCCGGTAACCAGATTCCGGAGCAGAGCATGAACAGACCATCTGTGGCTAGAGAGGAGCATCGTCCTATTTTCTATCACCCAGTAACACAACCTGTCGATATTCCAATCAGTGCCAGTCAGTGCCAATCGCAGTCACGAAGGCCCCAGGAAGGTACTGCTGAGGAAGATCTCGCTCTAGGCAGTGATTCCGATGGCGCCCTGCCTATCCGCCCAGCTCGTGAATAAATTTTCATGTTGTTGAATATTACCTTATCTTAGCTTTGGACGCCGTTCTCAGAGGCTCTCCTTACCATGTCCTACCAGTATTGTTACTATTCGAAAATTCAAGATTCATATAGTATTAACGAATTTCCTAGGGTTTGGGCGTCGAGACCTTTCTATTTCCGTTAATGTCCTGGGTAGCTTGGGAAGGTCTGTTTACAGCGTTTCGGTTACTATTTATTGAGGCGCCAAATATTAGGATTCATTTAGGGCAAATCAAAGTCATGAGGTCATGTCAAAGTATCCGATTGCCTTTAATCTGCTAACTGCCTTGATTGCAACGTTCCCCTCCACTTCAAGTTTCTAAGCCGGAAAATTCCCTGGGAGCAACCTGGTTTCCATCAACGCATGCCTGCAATATCAGAAGAGGAGCATGGTAGCGTCGCCGCCTTTATCCTCGTCCTTGGTGATGTTAATCACCACACTAAACGGATAAGTTTCACGGATGAGGTCCTCAATTCTCTCAAGCTTCTGAATCCTATCAGCTCGCTCAATTTCTTCGATCTCCTCGGTCGTGTCCTCCTTCACTAGTCCCTCCTCAGCGAGCTGATTTTTGTCATTTGGGACATAACCCTTGCAGAAGATCCTATGCTCAGCCCAGCCGGCACGTTGGCACTCCTTAGAACAGTAACTAACTGAGCGTTAACCAAATGAAATACCAAAGTGTAGAGATGAGAACTTACCCAACGCTACCGCAGAGACCACAGAACTTGATATCTTTGCCTGTACCGCAGTTCTCGCAATACCAGTCTGCCTCCTCACCAATGACGGGAGAGTAGTCGACCTTGACCTTCTTCTTGAGCATGACTCCAGCGGCTTCGCGGCAAGCGCTCACTGCCTCGCGGCTGCAGATCGGGGCGGCATTGCACAAGACCGAGGGGGCGCGTGGGTTCAAGTTCTGGTCGCTGAGAATAACGAGCATGTGGAGCGTAACTGCTGGCTGCTTGCAAATGGCACACTCCCAATCTCTGTCCCACAGCATCTGGCGGCGATGGTCCGCGAGAACTAAGAAAGCGTACTGCTTCTTGGCTTCAAAGCGTACGTTGTTGGCTGCTTCGTCGGAACGAGCCGCATGGATGGACGCATTCTCATGCTCGGTGAAGCGGAAGGTAACCAGATAGCTATCCTCAGCAAAGAACTTGCCGACCTTGACGTAGTATTTGACAGGAACGGTGGTACGAAGGGCTGGTCGGTAGCTAGGGAGGAAGATGGTGTTGTTTCGATCTCCATCGCGATGCGGCTGGTCAGTGGCGGGGTACAGCTCGATAGGCGGCTTCAAGGAGAGATGGAGATCCAGGAATCGGCCAATCAGCCCATTCGAATGGCTGCTCCGATCAGGAGGGTCAGCAGGGACGATGGTGCTCATGGTATCCTGAGGGACTGGAAAGCAAGGATGGTGGATGAAAGAGTGTCAGAGAACGCAAGGTGAAACGTTCAATTGAAGGGAAAAGTAGAAAGCTACTTTGAGGATGTTTGTGGGAAGGGAAGAGTTCAGAATCCGTGGTTATGTAGCGGCCATATAGCGCCGTAACGCCGACATGTTTCGAGAGAACATTCTTATATAGACAGCGACACGATGTCATCCACGTTATGAGGATGGGAGGCACCGCTATAAATATCGTGGCTTCATTGCTATTATAAGGGAGGAGGCGTGATAGTATAGACAGGACAACCAATGGAGTGTTTAGGAGACAGCAGTTGTTTGGACCATCAGGTAACTAAACACAGATGCAAAGTATCAAATAGCGGACGTGGAGAAACGCAAGGTTGTATGACAGAGTAGTCGTGGATAATAACATCTCAGGAAATGGAAACTCCTCATTCTGAGAAGAGACCATTAGTCCAACCTGATCTAGGGTTGCCGTTCAAAGTGAGTTGAGGATGCTACCTAGGTAGATTTGAAGACCAATTCGCTCACAGGCCCTAAAAAGGATATGTCAAGATAACAGGGCTTGGAGATGGCCACGCTGAGTTCATTCTCTAGATTGATCTTCGGCCATGGGCCAGAGCAAATGAAAAACGACAGTCATCCTTTTTCACACCAGACCACCAATCGATGGTTTCCGCGACTAGCAGGTTCATTAACAAACAGCTCAGACAACTTTTGAGTTGATCAATCAGGAGATAAGTTGTTCTTTAAACAAGCAACATAGGAAAATGAACAAGCATGTATTCTTACCTATGTTTTGCGCGCGAGGAGTACAAAGTAAAGATAAAATTAGCAAGTCGTGGAGAGATTCAAACTCAGAAAGAAGAAAATACACACTAGCTACTCATATTAGACAAGAGGAAGAACAAACGCCGGTGGCATAAAATCAATACAAGCAGAAAATTGCACCGGGCACTTGCTAACTGAGCTGATCATTCACCAGCAAACCAGAAACGGGCAATAATGCGTTCACGCCTATCTACGAAGTACACACTCTATGTAGAGTACTTCGTAGATAGGACACCATGAACATAAATGAAAACGAAAGAGATTTAGCCGGGGCGCATCACGGGATATGTGCGCCATCCAATTTTCCCAGGCCGTGCCAATCTATTTCACTTTATCCTGTGCAATGGCTCCTGCTCGGTATCGCTGATCCCGTTTGCCAAGGAGTAGCCAAGTCTATGCATGCTGACATTGTTACCATGATAGTATAGCTTCTGTCTCATAAGCGGAGTCTTGAGAGTGCGAACAATCCTTATCGGCCATGGTATGTTTGATGTGTAAATATGATTTTGAGTTTGAAAAAACCTGACAGAATATCAGTGTTTAAGGGGAAACAACGTTATCTTTGCTCGTAGCCAACCACTGCCGGCATAAATGCCTACTTGGGTTAGGTATTGTGTCACGGACCTCTATATGGTAGGGGCGTCAGGTACTAAGCTACCTAGGTACATACGGTACTTATCCGGCAAAATCAGACTTCATCACTTGCACCATCATCATCAATATCGCGAACACCGCCAATTATTTGCTCTTGATATTGCTTATGCCCTGCAATCCTTGCTATAGCATACAGTCTGATCCCAATGTCAGGAAATCTTGTCAAGTTGACAATAAAATGACTATGTCGCGCTGAAACTACCCTAGCGGTTCCCCCCACAATGTCTTATCTCTCGACTCTGAGGGGGGGACGGAGGCAGCCGGCAGCCGACCGAGCTTATTCTTTATAGGCAGCCAAGATATCTAGAAGGCTCTTAGCCGTTTACTTGCCATGGAGGGGATTGATGGAAACTTAATTCGCTCTTGCGGAGTAGATCCAAGAACGCGGTAGTTCCATCAATACAGCAGGCGGTATTGCTTCTTCATCTGTGGGCGCCGGGCCAAGGATATTATAGAGGAAGGTGGCATCTAGCCTCAAGATCGTCGGCCTCTATTGGCAGGTCAAAAGGCCTTGGCCCGATATCCTGGGCCGATGATCCCCTGTATACATCCCTCCGCACTCAATCACGCAAGGCTGACAGGGCTGGAGTCTTTGGAATGCCGCGGCTGCTTCTTACCCCGAGCTAGGGATTTAATTCTTTATTTATTCGCATGGCTGCTCTTCTCTACTTTCTCTGCTTTCTCCACCGCCATCTTTAAAGACGTGTTTTACAAGATTCTGCAAGATGAAGTCTGTCCTCTGTGTTGTTGCATTTTCTACTCTCGCAGTCTCCTCTGTGATTCAGCAGTCTCCTGAAAGTAGGAAACCACTTGTGAGCTCAGCAGCCCTAGAACATGATATAACTTCAAAGAACCTCTTCAAGCGTGCCAAGCAACTGTACAAAATCGCAGAGCTAGGTGTCGAGGAGTATGGCCATCCTACCAGAGTGATTGGCAGCAAGGGTAAGCTCAGGCCCTCTTTCGATATACACTCCTTCTAACATCAACACTACAGGGCATGTTGGAACCGTCGATTATGTACAAAACACGCTTTCCAAGCTTGCACATTATTACGACGTTTCAAATCAGACCTTCGAGGCTGTGACCGGCAATATTTTGAATTCTAGTCTTACCTTGGGGGACGACCTACTGCCGGCCTCTGCCATGTCACTCACCCCTCCTACCAAGGACAAAGCACCAGTCAATGGTCCTTTAGTGCTTGTTGCCAACCTGGGATGTGATGAATCGGACTATCCAGCTAACACAACTGGCTCGATTGCTCTCATCAGCCGCGGGGAATGCCCATTCGGCCAGAAATCAGCCAATGCTGGAAAAGCTGGAGCACTTGCCGCTGTCGTCTATAACAATATTGCAGGGAACCTCTCTGGGACTTTGGGACAACCGGAAGCTAATCATGTCGCCACTTTTGGAATCACTCTTGAGGAGGCACAGCCGTATATCACCGACTTGAAGGCTGGGAAGGACATCCCGGCCTCGGCATACATCGATGCCATTGTGAAGGTGGTCGCAACAACTAATGTTATGGCACAAACTCGGGGAGGAGACCAAGACAACTGTGTGATGTTGGGCGGCCACAGCGATAGTGTTACCGAAGGTCCGGGAATTAACGATGATGGATCAGGAACTATTGCATTATTGGAAATCGCCGTCCATCTAGCCAAGTACAAAGTCAACAATTGCGTTCGTTTCGCATGGTGGGCCGCCGAGGAGGAGGGTCTTCTAGGCTCCGACTACTACGTGTCGCAATTATCAGAGGAGGAGAACCTAAAGATCAGACTCTTCATGGATTACGATATGTTGGCCTCACCCAACTTCGCATATCAAGTCTACAATGCTACCAATGCCGTCAACCCCGTCGGATCGGAAGAGCTGCGAGATTTGTATACGGATTATTATACCGCTCATGGTCAAAACTTCACGTACATCGAATTTAACGGACGAAGCGATTATGATGCGTTTATCGTTGCTGGCATCCCTGCCGGTGGTATCGCCACTGGAGCTGAAGGCGTCAAGACGGAAGACGAGGTAGCATTGTTTGGAGGAACTGCTGGAGATTGGTACGATCCGTGCTACCACCAATTGTGCGATGATTTGACCAACTTGGCAATCGACGCGTGGGAATTTAATAGCAAGGTATGGTCCATCCAAATAAATCTTTGAGTATTTGTTAACATATCTCAGCTTATTGCTCACTCGGTAGCAACTTATGCTATATCTTTCGACGGTTTCCCCAAACGCATAAAGACACCAGGGGTGAAGAGGAATAAACTTCGCCAAAGTAATTATCTATATCACGGCCCAGATCTTGTCATGTAGTTATTGGATAATTTTAATTCTATATAGACAAAAACTATACCATTTTGGTAACACAGATAATTGGGATCTAAGGCTTCGTTTAAACGTGGCACATGATTCGCATTTGCATTTGTATCTGTTGACACCCGTTCCTAGCCTCATGCAGGAAGCCCTCCAAACCTACCCTACCCAATAAAACAAGACTATTTTTACGACAATAAACCAATCATATGTTATTTCAACCTTGAAGAACCCGAATACGACCATCTCCAATGGTACTTTAAGCCCCCTTTGAGTTGGGTGTAGCCAGGACCATATGAGTCAATGCCATTCGAAGGGCGCGAACGGCCCCACCCAAAACTATATATTCTTAAACAGTTCCCCATCCATCACAACTCAAACAAACCAATCTCATAATATTTGAACCAACGAAATTCCCCATTGGTATCACACTTAGCAACAGTTCCTTGGTCTTGCTCCCCGGGAAGTCTTACCCGTCTAACCTCAGCTCTTGACTGTCCCTAAACACGTCCTATTATCAAAATGAAGCTCAATTTCACCACCCTCGACGTCTTTACAACAGCGCGCTACAAAGGCAACCCACTTTCCATCATCTCCGTCCCCTCCTCCCTAAAACCCAGCCTCACACAGACCCAAAAACAAGCCATAGCCCAAGAATTCAACCTCTCTGAAATCGTATTCCTACACCTCCCTCCCCCAGATGCCGACTCAAACGCCAATGCCGAGAGGGAAATCGACATATTCACCTCCCACGCCGAAGTACCTTTTGCGGGCCACCCTACAGTCGGAACATCGTACTACCTCCTCAGGAACCTCTCCGGAGACGGAAAGAATGTAAAAACACTCATCACGAAAGCGGGACGGATCCCCATCTCCCTCTCGGAGGCAGATGGTACGAAGGTCCAGGCTTTAGTCCCGTTCGACTTCCACATCCACGCTCTTAAATTCTCCACCCCTTCAACTCTCGAGGGTACCAATAAGAACAATCCCGTGGTCTCGATAGTAAACGGGATGTCCTTCGTCCTCGTTTCCCTACCTTCTCTCTCAGCTCTAGAAAATGCGCTGAAATCTGGCAATCTAACGGGGAAGGATACTACCTATGACCCGTCTGCTCTTGATGAGGGATGGAGGAATGGCCTTATCGGGACGATGTATTTCGTCTCCGTAGGCGAGGAGAATGGGGAGAGACGGTACCGCACGAGGATGTTTGCGAGTAGGGAGGATCCTGGGACTGGGAGCGCGAGTTCGGGGTTGGCGTGTTTCCTTGCTCTTGAGAGTGCGAAGGCCAGAGGGGTGGGTCAGAGGACAACAGAGAGGTTTGTTTTTGAGCAGGGTGTTGAAATGGGACGGCGGAATGAGATTACTGTGGAGGTCGAGGTTGACGGGGGAGAGGTTAAGAAGGTGCTTTTGAGTGGCGCGGCGGTGCAGGTTATGGAGGGGAGTTTGGAGGTATGAAGGGGAGGAGAGGCCATTTTGGGCTTTGGACTTCGGGCTTCCGGTGCGTCTAGGTTGATCAGTACTTTCTCTCGACGGGCTGGTTGGAAGATGGGATTCCAGAGGTTTGAACTTGTTACGGTTGAGGAGGCGGAAAGTATAACTTGCTTTTATAGCTTTATTGCAGGAATGCTTATATGACATATTTTCTACTTTTCTTAAAAGTTTATGTATCTAAATAGCACTTCATTGATTATCAGTTTGAGTTGTGAATATTATATTTCTGGGGATAATATTTATCTAAACTAGGCGGTGATTATCAAAGAAAACATGAAGAACATATATTTCTATATTAATTATAATTTGCTTTACCGGAAAAATATTCTATACAGCAGTTAAAACGGGTTACTTTTAACTTTATTTTGAGATAATAATGTACTATATAACTAGCACTCACCACATAATATGATTTTACTAAAAATGAATTACATATATAAAGAAGACTACAAGGTGCCTGTACCATTAAAGCGAGAATGCAAGGTTATCAAAATACTTATTGTTTTGCAGATATAAAATAATTTATTCTCCTCGTTTATATATTTTTCAACCCAACCAAACAACCATATCATGTCCCCTTGTATCTTAAAAGAAAAATCATCTATTCATTACCTACTATCGCCAACCCATCAAACGTAGTTTAGACGATAGAGGCTTATATCTGTTAATTTATATATGTCCTGGAATCCGTTAAACCCGTAATATATAATAAATCTCACTTTTTTATTAATATTTCCCTGTCACAACACGAAAACTAGAAAAAGCATAGGATAATATAATACGATATTGTAGTATATTAGGATACTTAAGTCATATTTATACTCCACATAAGATTGAAATAGGTATAGGCTATGTGTATATTAAGCATAACCCAGCGATATTGCTGTTCATCCCTGAAGTTGACAAACACAATCAATCACAAGAAGACGAAGCCTGGTTTCTTTCTCCTGCCACTCCCTCTCAAAGTAGAAGGTGACATTTCCTTCTCAATCTTACATCGAAGAAGCAATCGACGAGAACATGGAGATCAAACCACCTGACTACTGGATAAGTGATCTCGGTGGCCAAAACACTTCGAAACAAATCCTCCCGATGCAAATACGGAGATATATTCTTACTGCAGCCAACAATCGGACATTAGATTTACCACACGCAGCCTTTCGGCCGCTAAGACCCAAAAGCTGAGGCGAACCAAAGGTAGCCCTTATTTGCATCCAAGCTACGAGGTTGCACTTGCAATCAAGGGGCGGTTTATGAGCGAGATCAACTTGAGTATTATAGATACAAACAAGGAATTCCGTCAACTTTACTTGAGGCAGAACAACTAATCCCACCGAATACACAATTTTATGGCGAAAACTTGCAAGAGGATGCGAGCCTGAAATGAAGATATGGTTATTCGATACAATCCCCAACCAATATGTCCGTTCGCCTAAGTCCGAATGGTCCATAGCGTTAAAACATCTCGAGCCTCCGGATGAATGTGTCAACGAAGCCTAGAATACCGGTCAACCTTTCATGGGCCTCGTGCATAACCTGGTTATTCTATGGGGGTTGGAAGATCTACGTCTACGGATACTCCGGAGGTAGAGAGGATACATCCACCTCCTGTTCCATAGCCACTGGCACCTTACTTCTGGGCTGCCTGTTAGATCTATAATCTTACATCTTTCGAAGCATTGGCAAAGTGTGCTGTTTTATCATCTACTCGAAGTCAAATCCATTGTTGCCGGCTAGACTTATATAATGGTAGTACATTGCCTTCGTTATAGCCAATATTCTATAGGGACTGGATTAGGAACACCATAAAATCGGGCAGGGAGCCTGGAGAGCTTAGGGTGTTTGTCATTAATAGGAGAGTTGTCATTAATAGGAAACTTATTGTCGGAGGCTGTATAGATATATGTATAATCGAAGCAAAATACTGGACATTATTCAAAAATAGGAAAGAATGCGCAGTATGGGCGTGCGAAAGGAATAGAGGGGAGAGGGGTAAATCCTTCTTAATCTCCTCGCTCTGTGCGATTCACAAACTTCAACGCACAAACATCCCTTTCGGATCACACCTGTCCTCCGGGTTGCTGTTACAAGCTTCTACCTTGCTGTGTGTGTACTTCCCACAGCAAGAACGGCAGCTATACCCGCGGAGATCACTTGTTGAATTATACCTAAGTATGTAATAATGCATACACTTAGTTGTTTCCACCCCTCAGCGGCATCTGTCTCAGGCGCCTTTGCGCGTGATCTAGGTATGTAGGTAGGATGGGGCTCAATATGAAGTAAGGGTGGTGATAATCTAACACCAGCCACTCAGCAGCATCCGGACCCCCATACCAAAGAAACATGAGACGGGGTTAATGCAGAGGTGGCTGTGGCTTGAGGATTTTTGCTTATCGTGACGGTGGAATGGAAATGGCGATCGACAGGGGGGAAACGCCCTAGTGTTTTGGCTATGATAGCAACTTGGAAAAACCGACACCGCCTATCTTGGCAGCATCATGCGCCACAGGGAATCCCCATACAATTTTGCGACTAAACTGAATATCACCAACTGCTGTAGCGCGATCAGAATGGGAAGACGAGCATCACGTGTCTATATGTGTATGAAGGTTTGACGAAGGGAGTGGAATAATAGAGCTGATAATTTATTTTGTGGAGCACTTGCCTTAGTACGGAGGTTGGTTGGTATGAGCACTTAAAAAGTGTCCAATCCATATAGCCCTGAAAATCCCCGAGTGGCTGGTAACGGGATATTTTCAAAGATATGTCTGTCACAACTGGGATTTAGGTTAAGAATGATATAACATTCCCCAACCAACCAGAAGCATGGATGGAAATATATGAAATAAGTATAGCATGCATGAAATAGTTGAATTTCAGCAGAACTATTAGGAGACTTCCACAGCATATTATAGCCAACACCATTTGAGTTGCTATGTTGCTTCGGTGATATGAGGTAGTAGACTGATACAAGCAAGGCATAATAATAAAGGTGAATATACCCGAGGATTCTTCGGAGAACTAGGTACTAAATGGGACGAGTATTATCCAGCCAGATATTGAGTACAAGACCGATGATATGGAGCGTAGCTGGAAAAAACTGCAGCTTAATGCTGTTAAGGTTTGATAATCTGAAAATCAAACAAGATTTGCCGGGCTCCACGTGACAAAATCTATGGAAGTAAATTCACGTGATAGTAAATAAATGTTGATAATATATTTTGGTGGCCAGATCCGAGGGTGAAAAGTGGTACCGCTGTATCAAGATTGAAGAGGGAGGTTTCTCGATGAAAAAACCATCCTTGGGTATATTGGATTCTAGGTATTGCCGGTATGATCCGTTCGGCCTCCGGAGTCACAAGTTTGTTTATTCACTGTGGGGACACTGGGACAGGCCCACTCGGGCACAGCATGCGGACTCCACACCTCAGCTGTTGTGTAGCAAGAAAACGGGCACAAAAATAGAAAGCCGCATCGAATGCTGCCATACCTAGCCAAACGGAGTCTGCTACAATGCCACCGGCGGCTCCGGCCAACTGTACGACATACCTCGTAGTATCTGATTATTATTTTGCGTCGTATGCTTTTTGCGCGCATTTGTAGGGGAGGATGAAGGTTTGGAGCGGAAATTCCGGAGTTAATATGTTTTTTAAGATTTGTGGAGGCGCAGGATACCAGGAGCTTTTGATCAAACAAAACCTCGAGACACTCGAGAAATCAGAGATGCACAGCCAAGACAGCATGAGGCGATGGGTAGTACGAGGTACCTACCTACTTCGTACTGTACATGCGTGGGATATGTGACATGTCGCTGTTTAACAGAGTAAGCCGCTCGGTGCCAACACCTCATAGGCGTGGTGTTGAGACAAAAATATGGTCTAACAAGTATTGTGTGCGTGGTACCCTCGTATACCATATGCTGGCTGACCCTGCTGATCCCGGGCGAGATTCTCGATCTTTCTTCTGCGGGGTGGATGCGGGCTGGTTCTGTGGCGGCCTTGATGTTTTTTTGGGCATTGTTGGCTACCGTTGGCGTGCTACTCGTAGAAGTAGGGAGGAGCAGGAGCAGGAGCAGGAGCAGTACTCCGTAGTTTAGTCTAGAACCCGTGCCTCCGCAATCAACGTGTAGATATTCGGTAGGCAGCAATTGAAACTTGTAAAGCAATCGTGAAAATCCTCCCGAGGCCGTGGGGACTATTGGATGCGGATCCTCCAGACTTTTTGTTGAAAGTTGAAAACACGCCGAACAACATCCCCTGACTGCTACCAGGGAAGGGGGGGCCCGAAAAGGCAGTCGGCAGGGATGCGGCAAAAAGGCGTGACGGGTCTTGGTCTTGCCAACGGGTTGAAATCAAAAGATCAATCAATCCTGGCGGGTGTGGGCGTGGGCGTGGGCGTGGGCGTGGGAGTGGCAGTGTGGCACTGGTACTCTACTCGTATCTCCAGGCGTTTTGGTAGTGTGCCCGCAGCGGTGTTGCACTATTTGCACTACCAAGACACCACCGGGCACTTTATTAGTTGGTTCATAAAGGCGACTGCTCCACCGCCTGCCCGATTATTGGGCCTGAAGCTGTCGGTAGGCCCCGATGTCCCGTACTCGGTTGACAAGTTGACAGGTTGACAACAATGGCAAGGCCGCTTGGGGGGGTTTAGGCCCGGATTAGCGGGCGGAGGAGGACCCCTAGTGGCCTGGAGGCGGGAGCAGGAATTGAGTCCAGAGCACTTCGCAAGTCGGCCGTGCAATGCAGATTCTGTAGACAGGTATGGTATGGTATGGTATGGTATGGTATGAGATGAGATGATATGATAATCATTTGCAGATGCAAGTTGGCGCACTAGAACGCGGATTAGTAGTGGCGATGATCGGGAATAGGGGTTGAGAGCAATAACTTGTGCAGCACTCTAGAGTACTCGACATCTACCTTGTGAACCTCGCGATAGGAGCTCCAGCCCCGATTCGCTGGGACAATGGGCACTCGCTGGCTGCGCATTATTCAACCGGTGCCGCGCGCAAGTGCTACTGCATCCAGCACGAGAGCGAGTACAGCATCGGCATCTGCACAATTTTGCTGCAGCGCGGGCGTGGATATAGCCAGAGTGAACAACAACAGCAGTAATTGATGATGATGATTGATGATCCGTATTTCATTTCCGTGCCTGGATCCACGCGCATCCTGTGCGCCATTAACCGAAGCGCGCTACTCCCCATCCGACCATCTCGTCTCACTTCGCTCTTGTTCCCTCTCTCCTCGCCCGTCGTCCAGAGTGTCTCCGTCCCAGTCTCTCCCTCCTCGCTCTCGCTGTCTCTCCCCCAAGCCCCCCCCAAATCTCTCTCCAGCCCCAAACTCCACCCCGAACCCTCTCCGCCCTCTCCTTTGCTCGTTGTTGCCGCCATCTCAACCCTCTTCACTTGACCATCGTCGGCCTCGTCCATCACTCTCGTTCTCTTGTCATATTCAACCCGCATCCCAAGGCACACTCGTTACGGCCTCTTGTCCTCTCGCTCATCCCCCCCCGACGCGTTCCCAGGTGCCCATAACCTGACAACGCAACGCACCTGGAAAACTTGAAACAACCCAGATCGACACCACCCAAAGGGCCCCCTTCTTCACATCCCCCCGTCGATCCCGTCTGTACATCCGTCAACTCTTGGTTCTCCACCGCTGAAGCGTCCTTCTGGACAGTACATCATATTCGGATTTCGACTTCGACCCGATCCTGCCATCGAGTCGACGCGGATTCCGTTCGATCAATCACGACTCGAACCCCCGTTTATATCCCCTCGTGCCCACGGCCGCCGATTTTAACAAAATACAATATAACACCATGAAGTCAATAACCTCCCTTGTGGCCGCTGGCGTGCTCCTCGGTGCTGCCACCGTGTCAGCAGCTGGCTTCGGACCCGACCCCGTCCAAGGGTGCTATAAGGCGGTTACTGGATACAAGCTCAATTCGACAGAGGAGTTCAACACCGATGGCTACTGCCAAGGGCAGTGTGCTCCCGCAGGCTACAATGCGATGGCAACACGGAAAGGAAAGGAGTGCTGGTGTGGAAATGCTATCCCTAACCCCGAATCAAAGGTTGACGACGCACTTTGCAACTTCCCTTGCGCGGGTTTCGACCAGAAGAATTGTACGTATCGAGTGCCGCCCCGATACGACAGCATGGTTATGTAGCTAACATGATATAGGCGGAGGACAGGACGTTTGGACCGTTTATTTCAGTGGGTTGACACCCGTCGTCTCAACAATGGGCCTACTACCCGGAGGGAAAACCGCAACCCCGTCATCATCAAGCACGAGTTCTGCCACAACCACCCTCGGAGGACAAACCGTGGTTGTTACGGCGAGCAGCTCGGAAACCCCAGAAAAAGGCAGCCCGGGCCCCAACAAGGCTGGTATCGCTGCTGGCGTCGTTGTTGGCGTCGTCGCTATTGCTGCGATTGCAGGTGGCGCCTTCTTGTTTATCCGCAACAAGAAGAGACGTGGGGTCGAAGAAGAGTATCGGAGAAATGCGGCTGTAAATAGCTTCATTGCTGGTGGTGGCAAGCCTCCAAACAGCAGTGGGGGTGGTTCTTCATTCACCGACACCCGTCTTGAACCGTCAATGGCCCAGCGGAGAATGAGTGATGGCAGCATTGCCGACAATCAAGATTACTCCAGGCGGATTCTCAAGGTATGTGTGAGCCCTGGAAGTCACCCGAGCCCCCCTTTATTGACCTCTTAACCTCCAGGTAACCAACGCCTGAACGAATCACCCTGCCATCCCGAGTACGAGTTTTCCACGTCTTTAGCCTCTCTTGTGTCATCCGGCGTTTACGGTCGTCCGGAATTGGTCTGGCTTGGTCATCCTCACTTTGTTTTCAAGACCACTGGTGTTCTGTGTATGGGTGTGGCGTAGAATTGGAGGAATGAAATCAACCCTCGTCATCATTCATGAGAGATAAATTTCCTATTTGGCCTCGCTCTACGATACGCAAACGTGATGCAAACACGTTCGATCACACCGTCCTGTCCTTTCAGAAACCCCGATTTTTCACATCGCCCACATCCTCCGATATGACCGTCCGCGTTGCGGCAACCCCCCCGATATCCCATAACCCAAGCGCTCTTCGCACCTCCCTCTCCTCCCGCCCCTTCCGAAGGCTCATGTTTTTAGCTTTGGGGAGCTTCTGTATTTTAGGTCGTCTCATCTGTTGCGGACAGTCACGGTGACTGCCAGCAGAGGCAGGATTGACGGAGAAAATGATTGTCTGGAATAGTATAGATTCGATGTTAATGAAGCAAAGCTCGATTTCTGAGAACCAAGCGATTATAGGAAATCCTGTGCCTGCATACTCCGCTCCGCTTGGATTGTGATATTCTATTCTGATTATGGGTCTTGTTGCGCCTGCTATCTGATGCTTTTTCCCATCGTTGTCGTCCTTGGTGAAACCGGACGTTGTCCATCACGCTCCTTGCCTTACACACATAGGTGCTGTACATATGAACGAGTTCTGTAGTTCTGTATATATAAGATCTTGCATTTTACAAGTCGAATTTCCCTGACTGAACCTATATCGCCATCACTCCTGGTGGGAACTTGACGGCACAGGTTCTACCTTAAAACTTATAAAATATAGAAAGGCTGATCTCCTTTCGATGCTAGGAGGACATAACAGAAGCAGGAGACTTCTACAACCATGAGCGGAGAGATGTCGACTCTACTAGTAAGGATATTCGATGTTGGATGTTGGATGTTGGAGTAATTTTATATTGCAACCGTGACAGCCGGATGAAAGTGAGTAACAGTCGGGTCCTGTGTGTTTTACCGTCTGATGGATTGGATTTGAAATTTAATAGATTGATCTCATAGCAAATTACATGAGGAGACTTTAATCAAACATAAGATATATCGCAGCAATCTACCAATTCCATGAGTCCTGTATGTAACTTTTGAGTGGAACGTTTTCAATATGTAAATCACGTGATATGCAACATGCTAAATGTATTCCAAACTCTATACTAACTTAACAAGAGTAATTTCAAATCAACTCTAAGCCTAGCAAAATTTACTACAGGCGTCCTAGCCCAAGAGCAATAAATCAAGAACATTCAATTGCCCGCACCTGCTCAAAGCGACGACGGGGACACGAGGTGAGACGAAGTCCAAGTACCACTACACCGTCACAACCAGTGCCGATCCTAAGCGAGAGAGCACCTCATCGACCGCCCTTTATCCCCCCGACCCAGACCCACGACCAGCACCCTTCCCTCTCATTCTCAGCCCAGCCTCCCACCTCCCTGACGCTTGGCCAGTTTCCATTCCTCGACAGACATCCAATCCAATTGACCACAAAGACGCCTCAGGAGATTTCGGGTTTTGCGAGTAGGGGGATCTTGAAAGGCAAAAGGGTGGGGTAGTAGGCATATCTTATCTTAGAAATGGCGGATATTGCGGCGGAGCTGGAGGAGGGGGGCATGGTGAGGACGATGAAGGATTTGTTTGCGGGGGCTGCTGGGGGGGTTGCTCAGGTTCTTTTGGGTGAGTTTTTTCCCTTTCTTTTTGGGAATTTGATGCGTTTTTCTCTTTTGTGGGTTTGAGCTTGTTTTTTTTGGACTTGGGGTTGCGGTTTTTTTGATATATGGCACGTGTTAAGTGGGTGTGTGGAGGAGTATTCATTTATGGTTTTATATTGATATGTTGTATTCTGGTGTTGATGCGGTTGTTATATATGGAGAGGAGGAAGTAATGCTCTATCAATCCTCTGCTTCCCCATTGGCATCTATCTCTATCCCTGCCCCTTTCTTATATATATACAACTCAACCCCCTTCTCCCCCTCTTAGCCAAACTCAAAACCACAACTAACACCCCCATTCAGGCCAACCCTTCGACATAGTAAAAGTCCGTCTCCAAACCACCACCCAATACGCCAACGCGCTCGAAGCAGCCAAAACCATCTACGCCAAAGAAGGCCCTCTCGCCTTCTACAAGGGCACCCTCACGCCCCTCATCGGCATCGGCGCCTGTGTATCTGTACAATTCGGCGCCTTCCACGAAGCCCGGCGCCGCTTCGAAGCCGCCAACACACGCAAGGACCCGCTGTCCCCAGGCCTATCCTACGCACAGTACTATGGCGCGGGAGCCTTCGCGGGCGTTGCGAATTCCTTCATCTCGGGCCCTATTGAACACGTGAGGATCCGGTTACAGACGCAACCTCACGGTGCGAATAGGCTGTATAGTGGGCCCTTGGATTGTGTCCGGAAACTGTCTAGTCACGAAGGTGTCCTCAAGGGCCTGTATCGCGGAGAAGCCGTCACGGTCCTCCGAGAAGCCCAGGCGTACGGCGTGTGGTTCCTGTCGTTCGAGTATATGATGAACAGCGACGCGGCGCGCAACCGGATCGCGCGGTCTGAGATCCCCAGCTGGAAAGTTGCGTGGTATGGCGGTTTGGCGGGAGAGGCGTTGTGGTTGGCGAGTTATCCGTTTGATGTGGTCAAGAGCAAGATGCAAAGTGATGGGTTTGGCGCCGAGAAGAAGTATCGCAGTATGCGGGACTGTTTTGCGCAGACGTGGAGGGCTGGGGGGATGGGGGCGTTTTGGAAGGGTATTGGTCCTACGCTGCTGAGGGCTATGCCTGTTAGTGCGGGGACGTTTGCGGTTGTGGAGATGACGATGAGGGCTATTAATTAGCATAAGTGTGAGTGATATAGACTGGAATAATAGAATATGCTTCGCAAGGATTGATTTGTTGCTGAAGTTGGGTGATCATGTAGAGGTACGGCTAGTCATACTCGGAGTTTAAAAATTCTATGCATTTCAAAGGGGTTTATCCCGTTGGGAGTAACCTCTTTGTCTAACCAAAAAGCTCGGGGCGAAAGCCACGCTTCCAATACAATGCTCTTTGCAGGCCAGCCTAAGCCATTGCCGATAAGTTAAACCCATATTAGGAACTCCCCTCAACCCTCTTCTGCAAAACTTGCCGCGCCTCATAATTCGTAAGCCTCTCTAGCCCTAATTTATTTAGTGCCGCCTCCGCCTGTGGATTCGTAGCAAAGATCTCTTCAGACGCCTCCTTCAACGACAGATTCCCCTCCTCTGCCTCTAGAGGTAAACTTAGCAACGTAGCAGCCTCTCTCAATTTCGGCATTCCCAAAGATGTTCCTGAGGGGAGACGAATAATTGAATCTACAACGCTTTGGATAGCGATAAGGTCTTGCACGAACCGTGCGGCCCCTAGGGTGGTGAAGTCTTGTTTGAGGAGGACTTCGTGGTAGAGAAGGTCTTGAAGGCTGTCGAATGAGGAGCGCCAGATTCGGCGGAAGGGAGGAGTGCCGAGGGTTTTGTTGAGGAGTGTCATGTTTTGTCTTAGTATCTGGAAGAAGATGAGTATTTGAGCTGCCATCTGCTGTTGGTGAGGAACTTACCTGTAGAGGATGATCCAGCTCAGGTGTTACCATAAGTAAGGATGAATCTATTTCAGCATTAGCCCGTTACATTAACGATTGGTAGCTAGGTTTACGGACCAGCGGTAGGCTCATCACCAATGGTTGTCCACTGGGGTTTGCTGAGATACAGCTTAAAAATTGATGGGAAGGCATGCGAGATGGCCTGTGTAAGAAGTTTCTCGGCCTTGTTTCGTAGCCGCTCGTAATTCTCAATCGTCACATCAAATACAGAGCCTTCATCCTGGGACCCAACAGCCACAGATGTGCAGTCCTTGACCTCGGTATAACTCATTGAGCCAGCAAGATTATCCTGGGAGGCGGAGGCACGTTTTGCCCTGCTCTGCAATTCGTCCCAAAGGTCAATGAAGAACTACCCTAATTAGTAAACCATCGATAAGTTGTTGGAAGCAGCACACGGAATTTTACCTCTTCGTTAGCCCACTCTTTGAGCATAGAAATGACATGGTCCGCGCTGCCATAGACTTTGCATAGGCTCTCCAAACCACCGATGCCCTCAAGTTTTGCTTGTTCTTCCTTGGAAATGGCATGCAAGGTGCGGCCAACGGTTGTCGTTGTGGACAGGTATACCTCCAACGAGTCATTAAGACGTCCAACATATTGATCGAGAATCTCAGCTTGGATACTAATTAAGAACCGTATCTTGTGCGAGAATCTCCGCAATTTGTTGTATTGGGTAGTCACAGAATTGATAAGATCTGTGACTTTCGTAGCGCCATAGGTAGTCTTGGTTTTTCCGGGCCCTGTGCTATCGTAGTCAATCTGGCCGCTGTCCGATGACTTAATGATCTCTCGGTATCTCTCAAGAGCAAAATCTTTCTCCACCAGAGACCATCGATCGAACCAAGTATCTAGGACTCCCCAGGTCAACCCTTTCCATCCACACTCGAGATTGCCGCCGTCATAACCGAATCTTGCTCTGAGAGCTTCATCAAACGTCATCAATTGACCTATAAAGCGACTTAGGTATTGAGGTTCATTGGACACCCCAGCAACAACTGAATCGACCTTCTCCTTCATGATCGGTAACAATGCTGTGATGAACGCTGACACTGGGTCCACATATAAGGCGTTACCTGCTAGTATATTGCCTCTAAAATGGGCAGCCAAAACAGGACCCACGTTTTCTCTCATAAAGTCTTCCCATTTTGCTACGGTTCCGAGAAACCATTCGAAGAAATAATCACCCAGCTAAACAGTGTTAGTAAACTTCTGATATGAGTAGGTAGTGACTAACCCTATGGGGATGATTCGTAGGCTTGTCGCTGAAGAAGTGGTATTTAAATTGAAGTACAAAAGTCTTGACAAGAACACTCATAGGAAGAAGTACGAGGGGTTCTTGAGCAGCAACAATCTCTGGTGCCTGTAGATCCAGGAGCTTCTCGAAGCAATCGGTCCATTCCCTTGACGGGTCATTGGCAACATCTGGCCACTTCGACTTCTTCAGAATTGACTCAAATTCATCAGCCATTATCTTTTTCATTTCTACCCATAAGCGCGTAGAAGTGTTCTGCACATGGTTGACTAGGTGAACGGCAGCTCCTTCTGCGGGTTCCTGGAGTTGTGCTAACGATATAGCGAGCTCTTTTAGCTGTATGTATGGCTTGAGGGCTTCCTTGGGATTTGCGGGGAGATTGCGTCGCGCTTCTTTTGTTAAATTATCAACGTCCTTGAGCAGTTCCACATATGATCTGGCCAACTCTACCCGTCGAAGCTTTTCCATAGGGCCCTTCAACCGTTGGGTGGCTTCCTCTGGGGTGTCCGATTGTGTTACTATCATGAGCCGGTTTTGTACGCTGTCTTGCTGCCGCTCGAATTCTTTGGTTTGTGCCAACATTAAGGAGGTATGGTTCGCGGAGGCCTTCTTTGCCTCGTCGAGCTTGGATCTAGCATCTAGAAGCTGTAAGGAGTTAGCGATGAGTGCATACAAAATACGAGGACACAGATGGCTACTGACTTGATTTTCTAGCTGCTTCTTTTGTATATCAACGTTGGCTAGCAAATTTGCAAGACCTCCAAAGTCGGCAGCTGTCTGGATCTTGTCGTTGAGGTAATCGTCCAGTCGTATGTCCAGTTCTGCTTGGGGAATGTCCTGTTTGGGATCAAGAAGAACAGCTAGGGGAGAGTGGTCCCGGGCTGTCAAGGGCGGAGAGGTTGCCATGTTGAGAATTGAATTAAAACAGGGCTCGAAGGAGCTGTGGAATACGCTCGTTGTGGTGTTGGAGTTCGAGATCTGGCCACCACGGTTTGGCGAGCGCGACTTCCCACGCGACTGACTTCAATGACGCAGCGAGTGCTTGCGACTGGCACCCACTTACGCTCCAACATAAAATCGACTGCGACTCAACCAAACATGCAGACTAAATGACGGGTTGACAATGCGAATTAAAGCAAGGCAGGTCGGCAGATAATAACATTTATGGAGATCAAATTTATGGGTTAATCAACACAGCAAGTCCACCAGTGGCCCATCCGCCGTGGACCACCTCAGCATGGTCAGTCCTGCGAAGAAACGGAAGCTCAACAGCGACTCCAAAACCACATCTACACCTCCTCGGAATCTTCACTACTTCTTCGGAAAACAGAAGCAGCAGCCGCCCCCGCAGCCTGCGAATAATGCGCCGGAAAACCTCGATCCAGACGATGCCCGTATGTTGACGGATGAGCAATTTGCAAGAAAGCTACAAGCGGAAGTAGATCTAGAAGCTGCCGCTGAGAGGGCAGAAGCCAGCCGATCTAGAACCCCAAAGTCGAAAGACTCGCTGCCTTCCATAGAACGCGCCGCCAAAGAGACGAGTACCGCATCCGAAGACTCTAAGCCCAGCGGGACTGGGAGCAATGGGAATGCAGCGGAGAAGGATGTTGTGGATACCAAGCCTGACCAGACTTTACCAAGTTTCAAGAGCGAAAACCATACTCTCACTCTGCAGGCCTCTGGTTCGGCAGAAGACACAATAATCTCTAGCATACCTTTTGACGAAAGCCCTTTGACGTTCGAGCCTTCGAAGTATGCACAAGATCTCGCAAATGGGGTACTGGAGGGACATGATGCATCCTATGCTCTCCTCACAAGGTGCTTCGTACTTCTCAATAGCACCAGAAGCCGGATCAGGATTGTGGATACTCTGGTCAATTTGCTCCGGGTCATTGTTGAAGGGGATCCAAGTAGTCTGTTGCCAACTGTACGTATGAATATATTACTTTCACTTGGCCCTGTTGGCTCCTTTATTGGGGCTATACCTCTAGAATATCGTGAAATTATGTATACATTCTCCTGCCCCGTTTGATTGTAAATCCTCCCCCATGGCCTAGGTCTGACCATTCGCAGGTCTGGCTCGCCACTAATTCTATCTCCCCACCTTACATATCAAAGGAACTTGGGCTTGGGGGCTCAGCCATATCAAAGGCTTTGAAGAATGCTTTCGGTTTAGACAATAAATCTCTTAAGGCGCTATACGACAAGGTTGGGGATGCGGGCGATGTTGCGTTCCTGGCCAAGAAAAAGCAGACTTTCACTCTACGAAAGCCTAAGCCGCTCACCATCAAAGGCGTTTACCAATCCCTAGTAAAGATTGCTAATACCCAAGGTACGGGCAGTGGTGAGACGAAGCAGCGGATTGTGGACCGTCTTCTGCAAGATGCGAGAGGAGCGGAGGAGAGCCGATACCTTGTTCGAACTCTATGCCAGCATGTTAGTACTACTATTTTCCTTAGATGATAAAGCTAATAATCATAGCTTCGAATTGGTGCGGTCAAAACAACCATGCTAATCGCACTATCCCGGGCATTTCTTCTGTCCAGACCTCCTAGTGCGGACTTTAATCTGAAGTCTCCAAAAGAACTAGCAAGTTTAAAGAAAGAAGAATTGGCCGAGGTCTGGTTGAGAGCGGAAGAAATTCTAAAGGAATGTTTTGCCCGGCGTCCGAACTACAACGATTTAGTCCCAGTTCTCCTTGAGATTGGTGTATGTGATGAGCTTCTGGTTAGATGCGGACTGGCATTACATATTCCATTGCGGCCTATGTTAGGTAGTATCACCAGAGATCTATCGGAGATGCTCACGAAACTTCAAGGCCGTGATTTTGCTTGCGAGTATAAATACGACGGTCAACGAGCGCAAGTCCATTGCGACAATCAAGGAAAGGTTTCTATATTCTCCCGCAACCTGGAACTCATGACGGATAAGTACCCGGATTTGGTTGCCCTCATACCTAAAATCCGTGGCGATGGTGTGGGAAGTTTTATCATGGAAGGAGAGATAGTTGCCGTTAATCAAGAGACAGGAGAGCTCAAGACCTTTCAGACGCTCTCTAACCGTGCAAGAAAGGATGTGGCTATTGGCAGCGTCAAAATCGAAGTCTGCATGTTTGCATTCGACATCATGTATCTAAACGGCGAGCCACTACTTGACCGGCCTCTCCGAGAACGACGCGAATTACTCAGGAGTTTGTTCATTGAAGTTCCACATCAATTCACCTGGGTCAAGAGCATTGATGCAAAATCGCAAGATTCCGAGGCAGTTCTTGAATTCTTCAAAAGCGCCACGGATGTCAAATGCGAAGGTATCATGGTGAAAATTCTCGACAATTTACCGAACATGCTCCCACCAGATGAAGAGGAAGCATCCGAGACTCCCTCAAAGGCTACCAAGGGCAAAAAGAAATCCTCAGAAAAAGATCCCGAGAAGAAAACCAACCGAAAAGCCCTTCTCGCAACCTACGAACCAGATAAACGCCTCGAATCCTGGCTGAAGGTAAAAAAAGATTACAGCACCACCTTCGACACCCTAGACATGATTCCCGTCGCCGGGTGGCACGGCCAAGGTAGGAAGTCACAGTGGTGGTCGCCCATTCTTCTCGCTGTGCGGAATGAGGAAACCGGCTCGCTCGAAGTGGTTTGCAAATGTATATCGGGGTTCACGGATGCTTTTTATAAGGCGAATAAGGAGCACTATAAGGAGGGTGGGGAACATGTGCTTGGTTCTAAGCCGAGCTATGTTGAGTATTATGGTCCGAGTCCTCAAGTATGGTTTGAGCCGCAGGAGGTTTGGGAGGTAAGGAATCCCCAAAACTCTCTTATAATTTCCATACGATGGCTAATCATCAAACTAGATGGCTTTTGCGGATATAACGATAAGTCCAACGTACACGGCCGCGATAGGGTTGGTGAGTGATGAGAAAGGCCTTAGCCTTAGATTCCCTAGGTTCTTGAAGAAGAGGGAAGATAAAGGGATTGATGAGGCGAGTACGAACGAGTTCCTGGCGAACTTGTGGAGGAAACAGGAAGAAAAGGCCTCTACTAGTTCTGTGAAGGAGGTGCAGGGTGAAATTGTGGAATATGATGAGAATATTTCGGATTAGTTCGGTGTATGAATCCACTCAGGCTGTCAAGATGATGCCTGTGGAAAGGAGAGGCAATACCAGTCAATATCTCCCGCAAGCCAATTGAGAGAAGGTTTCTAATAGACCTAGAGTGGCCACGCACCAAACTTCCTATTGTGTACTAACTATAAGCTACAAAAGGCAATGTAAGACTTGTCTCGTCAAGTAATAGAACGCCACGTTGCAAAACGCACATAGATAGGGGAGATTCGCTTTATCATTATGCGGCATGAAGCCGTGCTAAACATCATCGTACATTTGGGCTATTTTACAAACAGGGGTACAAGAGTGTGGAAATACTATGTCAGACAACAAGAATTGAAGACCAAACCGGGTACTTCAAACAACTTATGCCGCCACGAAGTCCTTGACATTTGATAGCCATCTCAGGTACTCCTTCTGCTCCTTCATATCGATGTAATCAGGCACAAAGATAGCAAGTGCCGTATTAATTCCTCTCTCATCCAGATATCTCTCCATTAGAACTTGCAGGTCCTCGTCAAGGTTGGCGAATGGTGGGCCGGAATACATATCCTGTCTGGCGTGAATCTTTTCGGGGGTCTTGGCGTATGCGAAGGAGGCGTCGTTGAAGTAGTACACGTTTTCGATGATGTGCATTCCGTCTTGGACGATGCTCTCAACATTTAGGGCGCCCTTGCCGGGCTTCTCGATGATGATATTCAGGCGCGCTGGGTATGAGCGCTCTCCTTCCTCGCCCTCTGCGCCCTCCCGGTCAGCGGGCGAGACAGAGTCCTCAGGGGCAGCCTTGAAATCTTGTTGGTTTCCTTGGTTGATGGCATCCTCCTCATCCGCCATAGCTGGATCTTGATAATCGGCTTCATTGTCGAGGTTGTTGATGTCGGCGATGGAGAAAGTGATTTGAATCCTGCAATCTATTAGTATTTATCAACGGGTCGGATTGTGCGGGATAAGCATACTTCTCATCACCAAATTGTCTTGTAAGAACAACCTCTTCCTGGCCAGGGGTATCGATGATCTCAAAAGGCCCATTGTCATGGTAATCCTTCACGCTCATGGGGACACCTTCTTGATCCCTCATCTCATTCTCCATTTCTAGCTCAGACTCGAGCTTCAAAGCCAATTCCTCATCACCCTCACCAGCCTTCGCCCATCTTAATGCAGAGCTTGAGAATGCGGCCGCGCTTTGTGTTTGAGCTGGTTTCCACGCAGCTTGTATTAAGGAGGCTCCGGCTGTTGGTCGTCTGATTGATGAGCTGGCCAATCGAGATACTGCTCGGGGGGCCGAGCGGGCAAAAGATCGAATGGAAAGCATGATGATGAGAGACGGAATGCGACGATATTAAAGTTGGGGGAGCTGGAGAAATGGAGTTGATGGTATTGATGAGTTGGGATTTAATGACGTTTAAGTTGAGTTCTTCCCCTAACTTTTTCTTAGCGCGAGGCTTCCGAGGTTTTAGCGCGTTTCGACGAGGCTGTTCATAAAATTAGGAAAGGCTGCACAAATGTGCTTTGCGTCGGAGGGCGTCGTACAAAGTTCGAAAAGTTAAGAAGTAGTATGAAGTGCAGTTCAATGGTACTCGAGTAAGGTTATGCTGAAGATCATCAATTCATGCACTTCCCCTCAATATGGCGGTATCTCTAAACCTCAAATCCTTAACCCCAAACCCAAGCCATTTTGGTACTCCATACGCCCTAAATGCTACTCAAGCGCTGGCCCTAGATTTAATGCTCACGATTGTCCTTTCGGTGGGAATTTGGCAGGCTTTACTATCCCAGCCTTCGATATCCAAACCCATTTGAGCGTAGAAAGGTAAGACCAGTCCCCATCCCATCTCTGCAAGAAAACTACGTTATCGGCATCTGTAAGATCTGGTAGATCTGTTCTTGAATCAGCCATATTCCCAAGGAGACAAATGCAGAATCTTCAACATACAGAATCCATTCTCGTATTCCTTCTCGTCCACGGCAATTTTCGTCCTTAGAATGTCTTCTCGGGTACTTGCCGGCCTGCCAGCTCGCCGTTCTTTCTTCAAGGCGCTAAATTCCTCATCGTGTTGGTGTACGAAACTAATATCGGTCAGAAAATCGGCTCTCGATCATATAACTGCGTGCTTGGTGCTTGTTATTACGTTTCGATATGGGAGTGTATCGCGGGGAGTTCGAGCGGGTTCCCATCATTCTCTCGAACAACCTCTCGGAAGAACGCTGCGCGGACAACTGGGACATGTCAGCGACTACCGTAGGGGAAATAAGAGTTGACCAGGCATGAGTATGTACTTAAAGGTTGATCGCCCTTCTTGCGTGCTGATGCGACTCGAGCTAATCTATCATCTCTCATCTGCGCCCTTCGCAACCGTTGCGAGTCGCGCGAGTTCTCATGAAGGGCAGTGATATTGACCCTCTTCTTCGCAATCTTCTTGCGAGTCTTCTCTAAGCTTTTCGGCATGTTGTCGTAGTGTAAACAAAAGCTATTAACGTATTTAATCAATTAAAACAAGCGGTGATACTTTTTTCGCTTGGATCGTTATCAGAATCTTTATCGCCGGCCCCGATCGCTTGGCTACTGACGTTGTGCAAGCCAATGGTTGCCGGGTAAGATTGGACGCGTTGAGAGCCGACCCGTCGAAAGCGCGTCCCAGGGCCAAGTCGTGGATCTCGACATTATACATCGGTACCTTGCTTTTGCAACATCGACAACTCCAACACCACGACGACAAGCCATAAGTCTCCGGCCTTTCACCGACATACTCGTATTAATTGTCCCGCCAGCAGATTTTCCACTCGCCCTTCGGCATTTGTTTGTTGTGCACCAGATTGGATTGTTATTGTTATCCCCCTATGTCCGTGTAAATACATGCTTGCTCCCCACTGCAGTTGGCTTTGGATGTGCCTTGTGCCTAGTGCACTTGCTTGTTAGTCAGAATGGGAATTAACGGTCAATACTTCCGGGATTCTATTATACTTCGTGTGCTGACTGCTGGTAGGGTTGCTTCCATTGCTCAAATCCATCCATAAACCATGCAACCTCAGGAAGTTCGAGGGGAAGACCCTCGCTGTTGACGCTTATGGCTGGCTCCACCGTGGGACTATTGCATGTGCTATGGAATTGGCAAAAGGAGAACCAACAAGAAAGTTGGTATAACCCTCAAGTATAAAGTATATTCCCTGACATGCATGTAGATTTGTCGACTTTGCCATGCACCGAGTTCGAATGCTGCGCCATTTTGGGGTTATACCGTATATAGTTTTTGACGGAGACTACCTCCCAAGCAAGGCAGCAACTGAGAAAGACCGAGCAAACCGACGAGAAGAAAGCAGAAGGAGGGGAATGGAACTTCTCAATGCGGGTAAACCGTCACAAGCATATCTCGAGTTCCAAAAGGCCATTGATGTAACTCCAGAGATGGCCCGGCAATTAATCGATGAGCTGAAGGAGACTGGAGTGCAATACGTCGTTGCTCCGTATGAAGCAGATGCCCAAATGGTATATTTAGAGAGGAAAGGTATCGTACAAGGAATCATCTCTGAGGACTCGGATCTTCTGGTCTTCGGTGCCAAGTGTCTTCTGACGAAGTTGGATCAATATGGGAACTGCATCGAAATAAATAAAGCCGACTTCTGCGCTTGCAAAGAGATTACACTCACAGGCTGGACAGATAAAGAGTTTCGACAAATGGCGATCTTGAGTGGCTGTGATTATCTGGCCAGTATTAATAATATGGGGCTGAAGACTGCTTACCGAATGGTTCGGAAACACAAAACTATCGAGAAGGTCCTTCGCATGTTGCAGTTCGACGGAAAATTCCACGTTCCGAAAGGCTACCTCGAGGCTTTCCATCAGGCCGAACTCACCTTTCTCCACCAACGGGTTTTCTGCCCCAAGACTCGCACTTTAGTCTTGCACACAGAACCTCAGCATCCAATAAATGAAAGTGAACTTTCATTTATTGGAGGTTACGTGGAGCCAAAGATCGCTCAAGGTGTTGCCAGAGGTGATCTCAACCCCATGACCAAAGAGCCAATAGTCGTTCAAGGTCTAGGGAAGAAGAACAAAATGGCCGTGGCTACACCTCCTCCTTCGCGCTTCCACCATCATGGATCAGCTTCCTCAAACGACCTCAAGAAGGGCAAGCCTATCAGCTCGTTCTTCATGGCACAGCGAATACCTCTTGGGGAACTTGACCCGAACTGTTTCACACCATCCCCTAGCCAGCAAGATGCTCTCCACAGAAACTCTGGACCTTGGATGGCAGGTTCTGCTCCTAGACCATACCTCAGTCGCCCAACCACCGAACCTGAACAACCTCCTCGATCTGCCCCTCCAGCTCGCACTCAACCCGGCCGTCGCCTGAGTCGGACTTCTATCAACTCTGAGCCCCGCCCTCCAAAGCGAGCTCGTCTCTGTGCTGAGGACGCTGAGATCTCTGCAATTCCGAAAGTCGAACTCGGACGGAGCCCATTTTTCGCCTTTGCAGCCTCCGAGCCGAGCCCAACAGTAAATAGAGTTAGGAAGAGTAATCGATCAAAGAAAGGCGACATCACAATTTTTTCGGATGATTCTATTGAAGAGGCTATGCTCGATCTCCCAGACGCTGATGGCTTCAAATCACAAGGCCTTGGCTCTCACAGCAAGCTTGGAATCTTCCGGGAGGACGATATCGTACATGATGGTGCCAAGGCTAAACCCGATGGAAGCCCAGATTCCCCTACGCCAGGTCGAGACTCTGAATCTCAGGATACGACCCCCAGCCTTACATGTGCGACCTCTGCCCCAAGTTCAGCTGAAGAACCGTCAACACCCAAGGACGCCGTTTTTGCCGTACCACCAGTCAAGGGACTCCGAGAGAAGTTTGCATTCACCGCCGATGGATCTTCCACTCCAAAATCGACTATCCCCTCTCATTCTACGCCAGAGCCCACGCCCCCCATTTCGACCAGACCGTCAAAGATACCTATTCCGGTGAAAGCTAGAATTTCGGTCCCTAAGACGTCGCCATCCTCGAACCGAGCCAAATTGACACCTCTGCAGCGCCTTGGAGCATCCGTCATGAATCGCTCTAATCTCCCAATGACCCCGCCACATACGCCGTCTCTCAAAAGCAACCATCGCCGCGGCTCACTGCTTGGAAAAGGAAGCATGACATTCCCCGAAGTTCAGCAGGAGAACCAGTCATCGACAGTCGATCCTGCGATGATACCTCTACCAGCTATCGACGAGATGGAGAAGGTCACATTAGCGATGCAGAGTGGTAGCGAGGACTGGATTGTTCATGATAGCGAAGAAGAGGATGATGATATGTCTCGTGCAGAAGAACATGAATCGCCTCGTCGAATGAACCTGGCACAATTCGTGTACACCAACTGAAGTTTGATTGGAGTTTATGGAGATAATAATAAGTGGAGTTCAGGGCTTTGTTTTTCTGTTTTATACCATATCTTAGGAGTTGGGGTTGGGTGGAGCTGTGTATGGAGTTTGAAGGATGATGGGTGGATAGGTGGATAGGAGAATGGCGAAAACATCATGTTTTTTTCCACGGCGATTAAGGCTATTCTGGAGTACATTACTGAAGGCGTTAGGCAGACCGTGATGTCCGAAGCAGGGGAATGAAACATGGCATGTTGGGGGCGTCCGTCTGTCACTAGAATTATTGACCAAAATACAATATTGTCACATTGCAAATGCATTCAACCCGAGTGGCTTGGTGAAAGATCTTTTCTATCATAAAGCATTATTCTCGTCATTTGTTGCGAGACCTTCGCCATCTTGATCATATCCCAGGTTATACGCATCATACTCTGCCCAACTCGCCATTAAACGCTGCATGTAGGGTACGCTGCCATGAGAGAATGAAAAAGCAAAGTTGATGTGTCCGTTGTGCTCCACTCCATTTATTTGCCCATACACCCACCCACCCCCCACCATCCAAGATCCCGCAAACATAAAGGGACCGGGAAAATAATACCATCAAGGGACACGCCGACCAAGGAATCGAACAGAAAACGCCGGATAATGCATCGTAGTGGTGCCCAGTAAAATGAAAAGACTCTAGTACGAACGACGGCATTGATCGGGATACGACAGTCTGATAACAATGACGGATCTAAGGTCTAGCTCTGGGCTAGGTCAGCCGGCCGACCTGCGAGCGGTTGCGAAAAATCGACGTTGAATTCCCATGTTCCTGCGAAGTTGAAAAAAGCACAATCAGCAATCTGTTGCTTCGAAAGGGTGTGGAAGCTGAACATATCGAGTAAAGATCAAGGGAGAAAACAAGATCAAAAGTTGATAGACCACGACCACACACCGTTCGCAAGATTCTCTGCTGTGTCGGCGAGTAAGATCACCCGACGCTTATTGCAGTATGATGTCTTGTCCATGATTTCAACTTTTAGGGCCGGATTGGCGAGGTCTGTAACGGGCTTCTCGAACATTTCCGATAGCGCTTCGACAGCCATTTCGAGGTCCTTTTGATTGTCTTCGAACATTTCTGTGAGGTTGTTGCGGGCGAGATAGAAGGCGAACGCATAGGTCCACTTCAGAGTCTGGCGACAGGTCTGCAGAGCCTGTGAGGCTGAGTTGAGATACTGCACTTCGATCCATGACATTCCCGAGGCGGATTGTAGTTGAATCATCTTCTTTTCAGTCTTGTGATAGATGTCCTTATCAAGCTTTGCGGATTGTTCATGGTTCGCATAACGGTTGTAGTAGTGGAGATACCTTTCTAAGGAGACACGAGACTTTGCTTGTGCATCGCGAGCCTCGGAACCGCTCTTCTCCTCGAATCGATTGCAATTGTACCAGCTAGTGCCATGCTCTGACCAAAGCCCCATGCACATCCAGCAGAATTCATGCTTGCATTTTCTGCAGGTCATGTGATTGCACCCTCCATTCTTTTCGATCGTGGAATTGCACCTCGGACACTCCTTGGTGTTTGCAGAGATCCAGTTGGCAGTTTCTGAGTCATCCGCACATTTCTTTAGCCATCTCTTGACTAGCTCACAAGGAGCAGGTTGGTGGTCTGCTAAGGCACAGCCAAAGCAGAACCGGTGCTTGCAATCACATGCAACTGTAGGCACCACTTTGTCGAGATCCTTCTTCTTAATTCCGCATTCGATAGCATTCTCGCAGTCTGGCGCAGGGCACCATTTTATCAACTCTTTATCCTCGACGTAAGTTCTCGTAAGCAATTCGTGGTATCGATGTTGGAGATTAGCTGTAACTAGTAGATCTAATGATCTGGCGTCCATAATCCGTTTGCAACCGTCCGCAGGACACTGAATCCGGGCAGCTTCACCCTCTTCCTTGATCTTCTGGGTCAGGTAGTGTCTGTAGCAGTCGACGCAGAATCGATGCCCGCACTTCATCGCGAATGACTGTAGACCTTCCTCGTCTTCGCAGCAGATGTCACACACGAAACCAGGAATAACTTCGAGTTTAGGGGGTCCAGTTTTGCTTGGCCCCAATCCGGCAGCCTCGAGTACTTGCTTCGGATGGTCCATGTAGTCCTCAATCAAGCGCTCCTTATTCCATCGAAAATGTCGTAGCAAAATAGCAGCGTCCTCCTTCCGTATGTCGAGGATCATATTGACTTCGTCGATGAGATCATCCTGCTGGGCTTGGATGTCTTCGGGATGATAGACGGTGAAGTTTATATCGAAAGATTTCTTCTTCCTTTGTGCCTCATCCTTCGGCTCGAAGCCTAGATCGGGTTCTGGCTCATCGAAGCCAAAGTCTATTCGTTCATGCAACACGTCAGTAAAAGTAAGTGAGGGGTTCGTGGCCCGGCAGACACATCGAATCTCGGGAGGACATACCATCTGCAGATCCCTCCTCGTTCTCGCTCTCCTGCAGCATATCATCTTGGTCGCTGGACATGCCAGACATGAAGTCGTCTTCTGAATCCATGGGTGTGCCGTTGGTGAGTGGCGTGGGGGGCCCCTCTTTTGCTGCCGCTGAGGCGACCCGTCTGCTTGACCTTTTTGAGGGCTGTTCAGAGGATACTGTCGCCTCAGCCGCCTTTCTCTTCCTCGTCTGGGAAGGAATGTTGTCGATTGTAAGGAGGTGCTTGAACTCGTCGGAGGGGGACGAGATTCCAGGCACGTATGAAGTAAGGCTGCGGGCGAGCTGTGACGGACCACTTCAACACGGAAATCGGGCCCAGGGGAGCAAGGATCCAGGAGGCAGAAAATGTAAGGGGAGGAGAATGCGACTATGATTCCGAGCTTGAGGAAATAAAAGGACGGCTGCACCTTTTAGGAGTTATATATTTCGCTTTCTGGAGGTGGTAATGTGCAAGTTTCGAGGTGGTGGCCTCCTGAGATTCAGGTTGGAGTCGAGACCGGCTCAGTCACCGAGTCGCGGAACCCTCTTAATCAGCGGCTGATAAGCCACACAGGTCGCAGCCGGGCCCCGCGTGACTTCGAAGACTGAGGGAAGGGAGCCTAGTGAGGTATCTTACCTTAGGTAAGCTTAGAAACACTGTTGAGGTTAACCAAAGACCAAATATATATTGAATGGTGGCTTCATAGTCTAAGTGAAGGGGAGGTAGAAGTAATAATTATGGTCCAGAAGCTTCAGTAACTGAAGGTGCCTGGTTAAGTTAAGGTATCTTACGATGTCTTGTAAACACCAGTCACGTGACAAAACTGGCAGTCTGGATTCACGTGATATAGCTCTTGCCTCTACTCCTGAGTCCTGACCTAGAATGGCACTTCAGTCCCACCTTAGCTGGTGCTGTCTGATCCGAGGCAATTGTTGTTGGAAGTCGGAGAGATAATTACGTCGTCAAGGGCAAATCACTACACCAATAGACACAGAGAAGTGATAGCACTACGAAGCTTGCACCTAGACTCGACTATGTAAAAAGTGACGAGAGGGAGATTTTGGCGGTAAATGAAGGCACGCACTACCAGATTGAAAGATAATAAGATTAAGCTCAAATACTGCGGACCTCCACCTTGCCAATGGGGATCATCAAAGCTCCCATTTTCCGGCTACTATCTTTTTATTGCCATCCACCAGGGCTACGGTCCAAACCCGTAGTTCTACTCACTAAGTTTACATATCTATGCTTAACACATACGCCTCGGTAGACAGTCTGTCCAAACCGATCCCAAGGTAACAGGGATCATACGACGAACACGTGATTATACGGCATGCCTCAACCCAACACCTTCTCTGCAGCAGAGACTACGATGCGTGAGTATGCTATCTCGGTTGGTCAGAAGGACAAGGAACTTACCGTCGAGACCAGTATTATCAGGCTCCACATGCAAGGCTGTGACCTTTCCATCCTTAACCTCAAGGGCATACCGCTTGCTTCTTGCGCCGCCAAAGATAGCGGTACCATCAAAGGCTAGGTCAAGTGCTTCGGTGAACTTGGCAGTTGGGTCTCCAAGGAAGCGAATCTGTCAAAGAATGTCGTCAACATTCAAGATTCATGTGTTTGCATGGCAAGCAGAGATGGTTGGGATGGGTGGCATGCTTACGCCTGAGCTACCACTAGGATCAAGAGATTCGGCCCATGCTTTGGTACTATCACTAGTTAGACCGTGATGATCAATTGAATACATTCCTTCAGCTCACACAAAGGGGTCGTTCACAGCAACCACGAAGACTTTCCCTGCATTTTTAAGGTCTTTGTGCTTAATGTATCCTGGAATATGAGAGTTTGAGCATGATGGGCCTGTTGGAGGTCAGTAAAGCCGACCCGATATATCTCATCCTTTCGCGGTAACACTGGGGATAATCTCCATTCGGGATACAGAGCGACATACTGAATGCAGCAGGGATTCCAATGATCAAAGACTTGCCAGTCTTGATCTCCTCAGCCAAATTGACTTTGTTGCCGGGGGAGTTCTCAACAAGGACGTCAACATTGGGAATCTTGTCGCCAACTTTGACGAAGGCACGGGAAGTGCTATGGAACGACCTAGCGGATCGAGAACCACTGAGAGCCAATCTCCGGAGTGCCATTGTAGATGCCATTTTGTACTTCCACGATTATGTCAATTGTGGTAATTTGTTGTTGTCAGACGCTTGAGCCTTGTCGAGTCGGACGGAGGCTTTCGGCAATGGACCGGGCCACTCGCTTCCAAGGTCTTGGCGGTCAGGTATAACAGAATTGTACAAAACTGGTAGCCCACGTGATCGGTGAGTGTTAGTAGGCGCACGTGTCGGGCGTCGCTCTAGAACCGTCACAGTTATTATATATTAGTTGAATTTCACGAGTCGATCTAGTGACTCTATTAGAATTTCAAAGATTTGTTCACCTTCTCGTTTATTTGCCTATAAAAACGGAGACCTTCTAATGTTAAATACTATAGGTGGACTATAGCTTGTTATATAGCCTTGCAAGTGGTGCGCTGCAGGAGTCATTCTATTTATGCTGGAAAAGCCAGTTGCTGCACTATGAGTTCCGTAGTAAAGTGAAGATGTAGCTTAATATACACACTATTAGAGACTAATGGAATAACTTACGTTTGAAAGCTGTCTGTGCATTTCTGGGACTATGTAGAGTAACAGGAATATATATTGGCCTACGGCAATTGTTATCCAGCTTGATGCGTCCCGCGCTCCAAAACTTCTCGTCCACCGAAGAGTCCTCCCGTTAGATGACTTTGCTAACGTTGAAGATTTTGATTCTTGCCAACACTATGCCGCGTACCGGGAACATCAATTCCCTCCACCAAATGTTAACACCGCTCCTTGGAGCCGCGAACCATTCCCTTATCCAAACTTCTTTTGTGCCCTAAATACCCCACTTCAAGAGAACCGGGTTATTGTCGAATTTTTTCAACCAAGCAAGTATGTACGGCGGCTGGCAGACCTCAGCCTCGTCATCTTCAACATCGTTAACGACAGGACCGCCAAGTTCTTGCAACTTTTCCCTAGAAGTTCGCATTCGATGGTCAGGCTGATAGGTAGTCGTAAAGCCTAGGCAGGGCGGCGAAGGGTGTATGAATCCCGCGCGGGCGACTCGCGGCTTTCTTAGGAATACCTTCGCCATATAGATGCCGGCCCAGGCAAGTGGTGGCTCGCAGCATCGCCCTTAATACCAATTTACACAGATCCATTGAATCCCACCCCCCCATGATTGCTACCATGGGGAGATCCATGATTCTGTGCCATGCCATCGAAATTGTTGACACCAATATCGTCGCCTCTCCCGTGTTGTGTCGCCACTTCCACAAGGCTGTTGAGCACGCTGAACTCTACCTTAAGCTTGACACTATAGACGAAGACTCTGAATGCAGTGACGAAGCCCCAGAGTTGAAGGTACCCGGTGATAACGATGGTAATATCTAGAAAGATGACAATGACGTTGACCAAAAGCAAATTGCGGCGCATTTTGCGGGTGGCTTTGTCGTATTGGCATCCATGCCAAGAGTAGATTGAAAAGAGGTTTTTGATGTACGTTCCGGAGATAATAAGTTCCTGAAGGAAAAAGCCACCGGTTTGGATCTTCTCGAAGATTCTCCAGGCCGAGCTCAACTCTGGGCTGGGACTCGTTATAGAGAAAGATAACAAGACAAGGTTGGGAATGTGCAAGATGAAGGCGTCAATAATAATCATTCCTAGGATAAACCTGAGACATAACCGACTTTGGACAACCAGATGTAAACGGGAATAGAGAACGAGAGACTGCCCGGTAACTGTTGAGACCCAACCTATGGCTGTGAGAGTAATGTAGAGGGCCGGTATATCAATCTGCAGAATGTGTCTGAGCAAGAGGCTAATGGAATAGGGCGCGATGCCATTTGTTGCGACGAGGAAGCTCCAAAAATATAACCCTCGGCGGGTCTTGAAGGTTGTGAAGATGATGATGTTGAGCTCGAGGACAGCGTACAGGGCGAGAGCCACGAAAATGGCCATCCACACCCGAAGAGCCGCTATGAAAGCCATTGCGTCGGTCAGGTTGTGTTACGATTTTGGAAGTACTGTTGTTAGTTGTCCGCTGTTGTCGTTATTGCAAGTAGGGGGGGCAGGTCATATACGGGGTGTTAGATGCTGAATAACGGCTCCTTTACGGAGGTACAGCCCATAGGTAATGTAATAGCACTAGTCGGGCCCCCCCATGTGAGGCGTCGTTGCTTATCCTATTGAGGTGTAATTGCAAGGGAAATTGTGCTGGAATAGGATAAGTTTTGTGTACGTCTGGGGGCTTCCAGGCTAGTGCTATTACTTTACTTATGGGCTGTACCTCCGTAAAGCGAGTAGACAGAATGAAAGACGTTACAGAAGCGTGACGTGGACTGAGACGTGTTGGCGATTCGAACATTGCCATAGCTAGGTGGTAAAACATAGCGAAACGGTGCTGTGCCGGCCTTGACAACCTAAGCTACTTCGTTATAGGTACTTGGTGTGTACATCTCGAGGGACCTGGCAATCATGTTTTAGGCCTGAGAGTGTACTTCGTACACTGTACAGTCTCTGGGCGGGAAAATGCCCCCGTCCGCAACTACAGTAACCCTAGGGGGGGGAGAGTAGAGCACGTCTTTTTGCTAGGTATTCGAGATGCTTAGCAGGGATTTTAAGCACTAAATTCAAGTACCTTTCCTCCTCCGGAGTATTTGTAGAGAGTTTCCCTTATTATAAAGGGTAGGGGCGAGGGCATGTTCCCGTCCAGTAACTGTACTTATCAGCCAGCTACGGAGGTACCTCCATAGCTTAGTGTGTCTAAATAGGGGCAATCCGGATAGATCCGAACCGACCCAATGTCTCAAAGAACGGGCTAGATTGTAGCACTGGAGTCTGTTTCTGGCGCCTGCCAAGTACGCTCTGTCTGTTCCCCTCATTTAGGCTGCGCTAGTAAACTGGCTCACCACAATCCACTTTCCTAATAAAATAATATCCCGCAGCTTTGGACAGGAAACGGCCATGGGGCTTGCCGCGCAGGCGCATTGCCCGGGGTCACCGTAGATTAAGAGATCGTCACTCCTTCTCTACGCGGACTACTCCGTAGAACTTAAGTCAGCCATCGCTGGGAAGCTGAACACTAGCATAATATCATCTCTCATATCCTCACATCCTGCTATCTGTGCGCACGGAGGTACATGATAGTTTCATCACATGTCAACCAACTCCAATTTGGGATAGCTCCCTAGCGATAAACTTATCTATACTCGAGGTTGGATCGAGGCGGCGCCTACTCTGATCGGGTGAGTGGCGGGTGCTAGGGTGAGGTCGGGGCAGAGGCTGTATATTATATTTCCGATGAAGTAGCGATCGACATCATACTCTCTCCCCCCCCTAATTACTTGTAATTAGGGGGGGGAGTAAGAAGTATTCTGCAGTGACGCCAACCTAGGACCTCCTCATCTCCTTAATATCACGGCTTGACAATTATCAAAGTCCATAATCATATGCGCCCAAAGTTCAAATAACCATAGCGCTTATCCACTACAAGTCCTTGCATTATCCCGGATTGAATAAACGATGTAGAACCCCGCCCTGAGAAAATTCACGAGATCGCTAGCTCATTTTATCGACCTCTGATTTCCGAAATACTCCATATGGCAGCTTTTCATTATCCCTACCTATCAAAGCCGCTGGAGCTCTTGTTGCCAATTCAAGTGAGATAGCAAAACTTCATAAGAGGTGGCTAAATGGACGTGTGCAATTGGAGCGCATCTGAGCCGATCCCTACTTTACCGGAACCAGGATCATCACAATGCTAAAAAGTACTTCCGGCACTATCATTCAAGTTGCGGGGAATTTGTGACCGTTTTGGAAACTTTTTACTCTGGGCAGATGATTGTTGCAGGGTCTCAACTATTTCTCCGTATCGTGACGGGAGAGGTACCCCGAGACAAGCATCGTAAGTCATATATGTGTATATATCGCTAGTTGTCCTGTTTCGTTGCAGTTTCTTTGTGTTCCCAGATAACTATAGCGCTATGCGTCTATATTTTCCTTTCCTGGCGTCTCTTTCCTGTGGGGCTGCCCTCGCGCGCCCTTGGTTGGATCCATTTTCAACCTTCTCAGGCGTCACGTTGTTTACTCCTCCTTCAACTTATACGGACCCACGAGTTCTCTATGCCCGCACGGTTGAGCTTGAAGGCGGTGTTCTCCTCGCAACCTGGGAGAACTACAGCCCAGAACCGCCATTAGTTTACTTCCCCATTTACCAGAGTCATGATGGTGGTGAAACTGTAAGAACACCCCAGTTGCACGTCCCTTCACCTTTCGCTCTCCTTAAAGTCTCTCACAAGCTTTGGTGTCTCATGATACTAAACAAACACATATTTTGACTTTCCAACTGCAATTATACTTAAAATGGAATGAAATGTGAAATGCTAACTTGCAAATATAGTGGAAAGAAATCTCCCGCGTGACAGATCAAGTCAATGGCCTGGGTCTCCGCTACCAACCGTTTCTATATAAGCTCCCAATCGCCGTAGGAGAGTTCGGCGCAGGTACGATTCTGTGTACTGGCAATTCCATCCCCACGGATTTGAGTTCCACCCACATTGACGTCTACGCAAGCGAAGACAACGGTTACACATGGAAATTTGTCTCACACGTGGCTTCAGGAGGCGCAGCTCATCCAAACAATGGCATCCCTGCTATTTGGGAACCATTTATAATAGTGTATGAGGGCAAAATTGTACTTTACTACGCAGACCAAAGGGATCCAGCTCATGGACAAAAACTCTCGCACCAGGTTTCCAAGGACCTTCATACCTGGGATCCTCCCGTCAACGATGTTGCTTATTCGGAATATACGGCTCGGCCAGGCATGACCACCATCACGCAACTTCCAAATGGCAAGTACATGTTTGTGTACGAATATGGCGGCGGCCCAAGAAAATCCGGGACGGGATATGCGTTTCCGGTGTATTATCACATTCACGATAATCCACTTGATTTCCGTAATTCGGTCGGACACCAGCTCATCTCCAATGATGGTGCACAGCCAACTGGCTCTCCCTATGTTACATGGTCTCCTGTTGGAGGAGCAAATGGGACGATTATCGTCAGTGCGAGCAGCAACAGCCAGATCTTCACCAATAACGCACTTGGAGATGCAAATTCGTGGAAGACTATCAAGACACCCCAACCAGCAGCATATAGCCGACATTTGAGGGTGTTGCAGGACCCTAATCATTTACTGATAATGGGAGCTGGAGTGTTGCCGCCTAGCACAACGAACAAGGTCTCTGTCAGCGTGATTGATTTGAAACAGGCTCTACGGTGATAAGGGTATATTATATTTTTTAGAGGTGTTAGACCACTAGGATATTCAACTTTCTTTGCAATCTATAAAAAACAGGTTGCCCCGTTTACTATTAGATCGAGTAGCTATATATGAAGTAACATCCTAAAATACGAGTTTGCCAATGGCGCCAATTTACCAGGTTAATGATTTTGCCTTAGCATGGGACTCGAGTGCTAGCGGCGGAGCGTGAGGTACACGTGGTTTCGCCGTCTGAAAGGGCAACTCAGCAAGCTTAGTATTTAAATAGCGAAATAGGTAATAATCTCTCAAGGAAGACAAAAGGCGGCCACTTGGCTAAGTGGTTCAGGTCAAATTGTCTTCTGGAGAGGATCGATTAGGCAAAAGCGACAAAACACGAAAACGACAAAAATCGACAAGAGATGTAGGCAATCGACCGGGCCGAACTCTTTTGCTTCCCATATCAATAAGATATTATTACTTTTTTGATTATCTTTTTATTTTTGTTTTCCCGTGTTGGGGTTTCTTGGTTAATATTTTTATTCTGTCCTTATTGTGGGTCCAACAAGGCAAGCGACAAGTGAATACTTACCGGCGAAGCAGGCTCTTACCTCCCAGCAAGCTATTGATATACCTTTCAATGGGTCTTAGAGTAGTTTGGCACATCAAAGCCAAAGACACAGTGCAGTAGAGGAGTTGATCGCAAAATACATCCTCGTGCTTCGATCAGGAAAATGTCCGGGGTCCTACCTTGCGGTTCCTTCGTAACATGTGGCATGCTGTGCTAGTGATCGTACATAGCGCCAGGGCTATCAGATGGTAATACTACATAAGGCACCTACGTTAGTCTAGACGCCTTTAGGCATACTTCGCCGGGTGGGCCAGTGACCTAGAAACAGTAAATTGCCTCCAATGATTCTTCGTAAACAGGACTCGATGGCCGAGGCAGCCAATGATCGAAATGACACCTACGAAGTAAAATCGCGGCCCCTAAATTAAGGTTTGTGGCCCCTGAAACGAGTGGCGGAATGGGCGGATGGCTGCATCGCCGCAACGCCAAGCGGGTGGTTGCTGTGGTGAAGGTCGCTTACGTCTCCATGTAAACAAACGTCGTACCAGCACAGCAAACCGTCGAAATAATGCGAAGGCTGGTTGCCCCCATCATACTCTGTAGTCATACCAACCCCCTCAAATTCCACCCCCCAAGTACATGACTGACTATCTTTGCTGGAGGATCCACCGTTAACACTTGAACTCGGGATTTACAAAGGCTACACTGCACTATCATCTGCAATCCACTCCTCCCCCATCTTTTCATCCATTTACTAGTTACGGTTATCTGACCTGCTTTGAGTTGTAGAGAAAACCCAGTATACAACTCGAAATACATTAACTTCTCGAGCATACACCGCATTCCTCGATATCTGTCACCGACATTCCTCGACCGAGCCCTACGCGCCTTTGAAGAACAATCCAGCCTCGCTGCATTCCACGGCTGCGACTCCTACGTCGCTCCAACCACGGAGGACGGGAGTGGCGGGCTTAATACTCTCATTCAAAGGTGTTTCATAGGAGGATTTCGCAATGGCACAGAGATTCGAAATTGGGTGGATGAGTATGTCATGCCGTGAACTCTGGGAGGAATGTTGCTAATGCTCCCTACAGGGCTGATACCATTCCTCGGATACCATCATGTGCTCATGATATTGATTGCAATTGCCATCATATTACTTTGTAAGATACACATACCTCCGAAGCTGTCTTGTTCACCTGACTAACGTTACCCTTTTGCCAGCACTTTTATTAGCAGGGTGCTCATCATCCTCACCTCTCATACCGGGCATTTTCCTCATATCCCTCTATTACCAATCATACCCGGCGGTGCCATCGACAGCACAAGCAGATTTCAACGTTCACAACGCAATAGCAACAGTGGTTGGCGACGCAAGACTAGCAGCAAGAGTTGGATTCTTCGGCATCTGTATCAATCCAGATGGAGGATCATGGCTTTGCAGCAACAATGCCACGGCATTAGCAAATGAGGTCACAGTTGCGCAGGACCCGCTGAACTTAATCTGGCTTGCCAGTCAATTCAAGGATATGATCGTATTCCCATACTTAATGTATGTTTTCTCCCAAATCCCCTACTACAGCACACCTGACTAACACTGTTTGAAGCATCATCGCCATCATCTTTGCATTCATATGCCTCCTTCTCCTCGCGACCTTCCCAGGCTGGCACGAGGAAGAGGACGCACACGGCAGCGAACGCGAGGTCAAGCCCTTCCCCTCACGGCCAGTCTCCCAAATCGCCCTCGCTATCATCTTCATCGCATCCATCTTCGTTCTCGTTTCCGTCCTCTGGCAACATACCGCCTCAGTCGCCGCATCCATCATAGCGCAAGATATGGGGAATGGAAGTGTATTAAGCGGCGTCGGCACCACAGCCATGGTGTTGGGCTGGTTTAGTTTCGCGCTATTAATCATCGTTACTATCGGCCTGCTAGTCATGATACTAAGTATCAGAGTTCTAGCAGAAACATTCGGATAGAAACAACGACTGAGATGATACAAGTGCGATGGGCATGCAAATTTGATACTCTTTCAGCGTGCATGATGATTACGACGACCGCTGCGAAAAATGGATGATAGACACTTGATCGTATCGTCGGGTTTTCAAGAAAAAGGGGATGAACGAGATTGGGATTTGTGTATACAAGGGAGCCAGCATTTGGGAACGGAGTTGATAAGACTTGGGTTTGGATCTCGGTTGAATTTTCTTTTCACACCTCCTTCGGTGAGGGTGATCCATAGGGCGGTGGAGGGTTGCGATGAAGCGAATGTATATTTGGATGTTAATGATTGCATGGGAATTGGGAATGATCGTCGAGAATGCATCTTGACGTCTGGATTTAAGGCTCGGAGGGATAATGAATATACAAGCCTTATAAGCGTCACCCGTCGTAACCTCTTCAAACAAACTGTGTCATCATGTGCCTTGTCATTCTCGTAATTTCGTAAACAATAATCCCATTTCTCTATCACTTCCGCCTCCTAAACCGACTATTATGAGCCGGCCCCCCTTTCGCCCCCGAATTCCTCAACTTCAACCTCTTGAAATTCTGGTGTGCTAGAGCACCAACCTTCCTCGCCGCAGTCTTAATCTTCCCATCCTTGCCCATAACCTTCCGCTTCTTACTCTGATCCGGTCTCCTATACCTCGTCCCGCCTTCCGAAGCAGTGTATTCAGATTGAGTATCCGAATCGAAGTTCCGCACATCTTCAAATCCTGCTGTAAAGTCATCGTCAATCTGAGTGTCCGGGACTGTTTCGTCATTAGGACCGGTGGCAAGCTCGTCGTCGCTGTCTTCGGTAGTTGGGACAGCAGCCTGCGATTGAGGCTTTGAGCGGCTGGGTTTCATGTTTACTCGTCTTGTTGTTCGTTTTTGGCCTTTCTTTTTGTAGACTTTTAGGGGCTCGCCGCCGCGATCTTTCGGCTCTTCAGGCTCACTGTCGTACATTGCTTCATCATCGAATCCGCCTAGTGGTAGCCTTGGTTGACTATCTTCGACCAAGACCGGCTCTTTGGGCGCTGCTACTTGCTGCTTCGGTGCAGGTTTGCTGGGAATACCAGCCATTTCATTCTCCATCTCGCGCAGGGCTTCCAGGTCGTCATCTGCGGCTTCTTCTTCCATTTTCCGAAGACCGGCTAGCATACTACTTAGACCACGCACCAGAGGTTTTCGTGGAACACGTATCATTTCTGGGGATATCGAGATGCCGTCCTCATTCTCCTTAAGGACGGGCAGCTGCGTCCTCTGGCTATCTCGTCTTAAGAACGAGGGCGTGGAAAAATGTAATTTGGAGATCGATGACGGAGTTTTGTTTCCGTGGTCGTTAGGATGCCGGTTCTTCAGTGGGGTAGCAAAAGCGTCTAGCATGTATCTTTTCCCTGTTGATGCTGGAGTTCTGCTGTGTCTGAGCGTATTCTCTAGCTTTGATTTTCGGGGTGTCGAATGGACAGGTATATGAGTACCTATCGTTTTAGTGGTTTCTGTTTTCGACGGCGAAGGATCCTCCTGAAGAAGATCAAACAATCCCAGTACCTGCCCATCCTTCTGTGGTGTTGGGCCCAAGGCTGTCTTCTTTAAAGGTGTGAAGAGATTTCGTACAACTGATGGCGAGTCATATGGGTCAACATCCCAAGGCTTAATTTCCCCCCTCGAAGGTGTTTGTATTATATGTTGCCGTTTGGATGCCACATGTCCTCCCTCGTGTTTTCGCTTTTGAGGTGTCTGGCGTTTGGGCTCCTCCTTGCTAGGTATGATTTTCCCGGAAAGAACATCTCGCACTTTGTTATATTCTTTATATTTAGCAGCTGAGGTATGGTCAGTACATGCTACTTAGGTGCAGTGGTAAAGGCTGGGTGTTACCAATATCAGGGTGTTTTTTGATATCCTCGCGCGAGGCTTTGTGGCCATCATTCGCGGCTGCGAAGTCCTTTTCCCATGATTTTAATTCTGCCCTGAGGGCAGTGGACCGTTCGGTCAACTCCTGACGTTCTGTTTCTTGCATTCTCTACAAGCTTAGAGTTTATCCATAAAGACTACCCTGTACCCTTCGTTCTAGACCGGCTTAGAAAACGCGTCGAAGTTGGAAAAGGGGTGTGGAGGGTCGGCCGGAGTATGTGAGTATTTCTGTTGGACTCAGGCGCAAAAGGTAGTAATGGTTATTTTTAATTCTAGAATCGAAATGCAGTTTAAATTACTACGAAACAATATGACGTGAAGCTTCAAAATCAAAGCACGAAGTACCTGCTCGAGGTCGCGTCACCCAAGGCGCCTCGAACGCGTTGGGTTTCTTATCTTTTCTTATCGCGTCTACCAGTCTCCTCGGCTCGCGATCAACCGCCACCTAAAATAAAGGCCTCCTTTCAAGCTCCCAGTCAGATCCCACCGCCAACACCTGTACAACTTCTTCATGGATACGAGTAATGCGGAATCGGATGATCGTTCCCGAGTCCTTCAAGCAACTCTAGATGAGATATCCTCTCGTACCGATGATGCAGCTATCGAGGACAACTGCTGCGTTATCTGCCTCGACCGAATCACCGAAGTCGCCATAGCCCAACCTTGCCAGCATGAAAGTTTCGATTTCCTCTGCTTGATCAGCTGGTTGCAGGAACGATCATCCTGTCCTTTATGCAAGACTGAAGTCAAAGTCGTTCATTACGAGTTCAAGGACAAGGACGCTTTGGCATTCAAAACATATACTGTCGCGTCCACGAAGCCCGTCGAACAATCAACTTCAAACCCTTTAGGGCCACGTCCGTTTGCCCCTCGCTCAAGAAGACCATATACCACAAGACGACCGTATAACAACACCCCACGCCCTCGACCTACTCCTAACGAAGCTATCCTTCGTCGCCGTCACATATATGCAAACAATCTCTACTCCCTCCACGTTGGCTCCAACCGGCACTCCCGCTTTCGAAACTTAACACCCCAACTCTTCACTAGCGACGCCGAGCTCCTCTCTCGAGCAAGGAAATGGATCCGTCGTGAGCTGCAAGTCTTTGAATTCCTCACACCCGACGCAGCAGCTTCATCTTCCGACCGACGAGCCAATAACGCCGAGTTCCTGCTGGAATATATAATAGCGATTCTGAAAACAGTCGATATGCAAGGGAGCTGTGGACAGGCGGAGGATATGCTGCAGGAGTTTTTGGGCAGAGAGAATACGAGGTTGTTTCTGCATGAGTTGAGGGCTTGGCTGAGGAGTCCGTATACATCTCTTGAGGATTGGGATAGAAATGTGCAGTACAACGAGGTCGGTGATGTCAAAGAGGGGGAAAGGTCAGTGGAGCCAGGAAGAGGATCCAGGGGCACGCACGGTTCGAATCCTAGATATCGAGGTAGTGGGCGGTCTTATTGTCGCACTTCCCAGCAGTATGACGATCGACGGTTTTCTCCTTATCACCACCGGCACAGGCAGGCAACATCGGATGGTTGAGAATTGAACGAGGGCAGAGAGGTTAAAAATTAGGTGTCTTACACCCTCCCCATCCCTTCAATTGGGGGTCAACAGCGACAATGCTTGCGACCCCCGGTCACCCTCAAATAGGAAGACCATCCGGCATTGTTCAGTCACTCGGACACGCATGTATTGGGCACTTCGTCCAAATCTTCCATGCCGGGCTTAATAAATGACCCCAGCTTGAAAGGGCCTAGGAAGGCTCAGTCGAGGGTGATTTCGGCCAGCTTTGGCATCCAATCGCCGTACTTATGGGCGAGTTGCTTTTTTTGAGTGGGGATGGAAATGGGGGAAGCGGAGGGAGTGAGGCAGTCAAATCTTTCTGCACAGGTAGTTAACCTATTTGCTGCATATGTTTATGTGGTGGTACTAGCTCTTGTGATCGAGAGTAGAGGAGCTGGAAAGTGAATTTTGAAACCACTACGAGTATAGTTTCATGAAGACGCTTGGCTGCTATAGTACCTTCGCAAGCCGAGGAGGCACGACCTTCGACCAGCTCGTTAGAACGAAAATTTTACATGATTGATGTTCCACTAGAAATATATCTAGAACCGAATTTAGTGATAAAATGAAATAGTAAGTTGAAACAGTCTTGGATGAAGAGATCAGAGCCCGAGGTCAGGTTGTTTGAATTCAGATCGCAACTACCGGTAGAGAACCTCCTCGAGTAGGTGTCTGCCACGCAATGGGCACTTGTGCCCATTGGGACTGGCGACACGAAACGATTCAGCCCCAGCAGACGTCGTATGAGCCTGAAGGGATGCCCCCGAGCTAGACGTCTAATTTGGGTTCGGGCCCCCCAATTTCGTTGCACGTCGCAGTCTTGGGGATCTCGATCTGGGTGTTTAGAGTTGAGACAGACTGGTCGATGGTTCGCTTCTCGATGCGATCGCTCGATCGATTCCAATGCTGGGGTCACGTTTTCTCGCGCTTGGGCTCGTGCAGGGGCCGTCTACCTGCAATATGAGTAATCAATCTGGGCGAAGTCCCGCCGCCACGTTCGCACTCGTACCCTGTATTCGGTTACAGTGCTCCGTTCGCGTACTAGTATGTATTTTCACGTGAGGGCTAACCTAGTGAACTTCCGGCCAAGGATCCAAAGGTTGTAGCTCGCTCACCGACCTTTCAGCTAACCAAGGGCAGATTCTGGCTCCTTGCTTTGCACTATCGACCTTTGGCTCCTCCCAAATACATACCTCGGTACGCTAAGATTACCTTTCTTGCAGCTGTGACGGGTAATATGGGAACTGTACTGTGCCCTCGCTCTGAGATTCGAAGGAAATAACTTCCCAGTGCCGTCTCTTTCTGTGCGCAACGCCAGCCGGTGGATTTAGTAGCTCTACTCAACCTGGATAGAGTTGCACAGCTGTTCTCCGCAGCGAGGCCAACCATGTCGAGAATCGCTACTGTAGCATCTATACCTCCTGACATTAGCGTTGTGATCCGGTGATACCCCTGTTAATAGGAAGGCGGACGCAACATAGTTTACTCAAATCATATACTTGGGAGCATGCTTAATACTTAGTGTCTTCTTGGGACACCCTCCCTTAGGCTACCGGGCGTCCTTTATTTCTTTAAAGCCCCAAATTAGATGTAAAGCATGATTGCTGACTATATTTCAGCCTGCTATTGTAGTATCAGGAAGCAATTCGAAGCTCGGTCAAGGAAATACCTCATACCAGTGCTCTTTTTACATACTCGAAGTACCTACTATAAAGGAAGCGTGGCATTGTCTTAAAAAATGGGAATCGATTGCGGTTTCGACATCTATCCACCCCTTGAACCCACACCCTCAAACCAAGAGAAATATAAAAAGTTTCTGATTGAGGTTCTGCGTACATACGAAACAGACAACGACGTCTGCGTTGAGCCCGAGTGGGAAGGGGTGTATATTGAGTTTATGGTTGGCGAGCACCCAACTATACCATATAACTGCGAACACTTCTTACGGTTTAGCTCCAAAGTCAGCGGCAGGTCGACAGCAAGGCCATACATCGATGGAGTGCACAACATTGCAAAGAAATGGTTGGGTGACCGCGTTCAATTCTGGGACGAAATGACCGAGACTTACGATCATCGTCAATGGGGCCGTTATGACTGGAATGAAATACGTGCAGCACGAAAGACGATGGTAGAGCAGGCGGGGAAAATTAAGGTCCATAAAGAAGAGGTCGGTACATCAAGTGCAGCAGGTGTAGCGTTACTAGGGAAGCAGGAGGGGAAGCCGAAGCAAGATGAAGAACAAAAAGAAGAAAGCGAAACGAAGCAAGAGAAAGATTGGGTGGGCGATAGATTGTTCGCTGTGAAACCCATTCCTGGTAAAGGCCTAGGCGTCATTGCCACATCCAAAATCCCCAAAGGCACACGCTTGCTCTCTGAATCTCCAATATTCAAGGTGCCAAGGAACATGTCCAATGCTGACTTTAGGGCCGTGGAAGGCATTATTGTCGAAGGGCTGAAGACCGTTAGTAAGGATCAGCAACGAGCCTTCTTCTCTCTGCACAATTCCCATGGAAAGAGCCGTGGCCCTTTTCTTGGAATTGCCAAGACTAATGTCTTGCCCCTTGGGTCTGACGCTCTACAAGGAGGCCTCTTTCTCGAAGCATCTCGCATCAATCATTCCTGCAGGCACAACGCACAGAGCACCTGGAATGTCAATTTAAATCAGCTCACAATTCATGTCTTCGAGGACGTGGAAGAAGGAAAAGAAATTACGATATCTTACCTCGACGGCTCAAAAGGCTATAAGACGCGGCAGGTTGTCTTGAAGAACAAATTCGGTTTCAATTGTGAATGTCAACTCTGTTCACTCCCTCTAGACCAGCGAATACAGAGCGATCAACGCCTAGACGAGATCACTCGGCTTGATGATTCAATTGGAGATGGAATGCGTATCACTTCCACGCCTATAGCATGTCTCCACGATGCATACAGGCTATTACAGCTGCTGGAAGATGAACGTGTCGCCGACGCGAGGATACCGAGGCTCTATTATGATGCACTACAGATCGCAATCGCAAATGGGGATCAGGCGAGAGCAAAGACCTTTGCAGAGAGGGCGTATGCTGCAAGAGTTGTTCTTGAGGGTGACGATAGCCCGAAATCGATAAGGCTCAAAGGGTTTGCTGAGAGACCTGCTGATCATAATCTGTACGGTACTACAACCAAGTGGAAACAAGCTGTGAAGAAGATTCCGCGGGAACTAGGTGAACGGGAATTTGAAGACTGGCTATGGAGAAAGAAATCCTAACTTAGAGCATGCCTGGTTGGTAAGACGACTAACTTTTGGGTTTAAGGTACTCCTTTCTTAATCTGAATCTCTCGGATCTTTTGAGACAATTTGCGTCTTCTACTCGGATAATGTGTATCCAACATCTACTCTCAACGCAAGTAGCAACCTCGCATAAATGCGGACTCTACGACAAACATCTGCTAAGAGCCGTTCTTTATGACATTGATGGTGTTCCCTGCTATGCCATGCTTTCGCCCACGTGGGGCTAATGCCATAAGGTGCGATTTACTGCGATCGTGACGGATTCATTCCTACTACACCCGCGATTATGAAGTCGGTAGCCACGGGGCGTTGCATACACTGGGTTACACGGCGTTACTGGCACGTTAAGTCGCGATTCACAGTAACTACAACCTCTGCTATTTCGACGCGCAGTTAATCCCAGCCCAAAGATCAAAATGTCTAGTGCATTTCCATCATTTCAAAACAAGAAGCTCTATTCGCAACGAGCATCGTTACTTCGACATGGCTCGAACTTGAGTGTAGAGATACACCCGAGGTATGGATCGTCTAGGATACAAACCGACTACTAACTAACGGGTATCAGGAAAGTAGCAGACAGTTTGTTCCAGACATGCTCCTCAAACCTCAACAAACTCGCGTCTCACGCGGCTCAGACCTCCCGTGGCTGTGAGGCAAGTCGATAACTCCTCCTCAAAAACCGCAGTAGTACGTGGATCGTACCGATACATCATCGATTACGATCACCGGCTGTTTTTCCCTATGGAATGATATAGATTTGACCCAGCGTGCATTATGGTCAGTGAGAGTACTACTTGCGTTTCAGGAAATGTCCCGATATTTTGCTATACCAGATTAGACTTACAGATCAGCGTCGCCCTCTACCTGGACTACACAGTAGCATTTGAGAGAGTATTGTCTTTGGGTTAGGTTGGGAGTCGTTGTAATCGCAGCCAACCAAGGCATGACATTTGGCATTCTCTTGAAGGCTCTCCTCTTGTGCATGCAGGAAATCTTCCGAAAGGTCGACCCTGCGCCAGTTTCCTTTTTTTGGTTTTGCTCTAACGCCGCACTGTAGAGGCTGCAGCACTTATGCAAGGTATAAGTACTTTGGGGACAACGGGGATCACGGCGCCTCTGTCGACTACCTAGGTACTCATACGTTGGTCAACGTAATTGGGCGTGGGAGTTTTACATCATGGAGCATACCTAGTTGTCCTCCCGACCTATCTGTTTGCTGCACGTGCAAAGTATCCTGTAGGTTTTAGTCTTGTATTCCCACACTCTTTGGAAATGCAAGTTCATAGGGCGAGAGGTAATCCCAGATCGATTTGAATCGCAACAGTTGGAATAGCTATAGTAGACTAATTTATACATTACTATATGCTTCAAATCCCACTCTTACAGAATAACCGAATCCTGCTCTTCTAAGGTCGCTACCTCAGCCATGACACGACCAAAACCGCAGCGCAAACCGCAGCAACCAAAATGGTCCATGTTTCCCTTAATGCACGATAATGTGGCCTTCTTGCTTGAAGTCGAAGACCTTCATTTCACCTTTCACGATCTCGACGAGGATATTGGTAGCATCCAAACCTATGACACTAGTATCATGGGCCGATTCAACTGCCGCAACAAAAGATGCGAGTCGAATGGATGGTCAAGCATGAGAATCGCCATTACTATTCGCATGTACCCGGGCGAACAATATAATGCCAGAGTGTACCATCAACGGTGCATTGCGTGCAACTTGCTAAGCAAGCCAATTCTGGACGATTCGTACGCAGAGAGGGTTGCGTATCGTCTTAAAAAATGGTGCGGAGTTGAGCTGGAACTTCCAGAATTCTCGGGCCAAAGCAAAGGTCCACACGCAAAGGAATTCTGTGAAGGTTGCAAGGCTGGACATTGCAGCGAGGGTCGTCGGATCGACGGACTAGTTGCCGCTCTTTCAAACTTCTCACTGGGAGGGATCTGAGATATCAACCTACGAATCTCAAGATCTGGTTCGTCGCGGTGGTATTACACGGAGGAGTGGAATGGAAGTTGGTAAAGATGAGATTGCCGCAGCAAGGATGGAATATGTTTTGAACCTCGATGTAGGTCGGGTAATGGAGGTTACATAGTCTTCCACGACGTATCACTATATAATAAGGTATTAGTCTACGTCATGTTCTCGGAGTAATATAATAGGAATTGGAATGAATCACCTCCTGCCAGTTACAAGCTCAGTCTCCCACCTTTCTCCAAAAGTCACTATCATCGTCGACGTCAAAATTGTCGCCACAATCATGACCACCACAATCATCATTATAGCGATAATGATCATCTTCAATATTACTAAATGACCTGTCGGACCCCGACTGTGTCCTTTCCTCCGCCACCCGCAACCCTTCAAACGTGATGCTTTACGTACAAAGGCATCATGGTTCTTCGCTTTTCTCTATCAGAGTCGAAAGCAAGTAGCCATAGCATCCATTGCACAAAAGCTCGCCGACTTTGTTGACATTGAAAGCCACGAGCTTTGATGATTTTTCAAGACCGCAGCGAGTGCATGTGAATTTAGTGAGCTTGCAAAGGCGACAGAGGCTTAATGAGCCTCGTTGAGGGAATTCCTTGGCGATATCAAACTGTGCCGGCATTGGATCAATTTATCTTTAATTAGTTATAAGCGCTATTGGTACAACTAATTAAGATGCATCTGGAAAAGAAAATTTCCTGCTTATTTGAAAGATCGTCAGTTGAAAATGTCGAGGGATTCTGGAATCCGCGATGTCGCGAGGCTGAAACAGGCTAACAGCACAACGGCGTATCGAAAGACGCCTCTAATATGGTTGCCAATCATTTGCTTAAAAATGGATGCCAAGTTATCCTTTTTCTCTACTCTTACTAGTTCGTAATTCTTTACCTTTGCTCCTCCGCCAACTTGAAATACTACGTACCTTTTTATGGACTATACGAAGGTCGCGGCCAAGATTTTGGAGAATGCGGGGGCCCTGGCGCCTAGACGTGCTGTAGCGCTTATAAGGCCCTGTAAGGTCTTAACCCACTTTTAGGGCCTCTAATTAGTAGCGAGATCCGAGGAGTGGATTAAATATAACAGCAACAACAACAATAATAATAATATAATCACTAAATAGAGTCAAAGTAGGTTAATTAATCTAACATACATCATGATACGCTTTATGCTCTTTTTATTATCTCTACTTTTATCTAATTTACTATGGGTGTTTTATTTAGTATTCTGTAGGAGGAGGGCTCCTTACATCTAGTGAATCAGACGCTGTAGAAGTAGGCCAAGACCTAACAGGGCCTTTATATGGGCTACAGGACCTCTAGGCGCCGGGGCCCCTGCATTCTCCAAACTTATTGCACCTCACTGTACCTGCGGAATCTCACGCCTCTACAGTAGAAAGGATTCGCCAAGATTAAGGATTATGGAAGCCTGCTGCGGTCAGAAAGGTCTTGTTGAATTGGCTACTTCCCGCGTTCGGATCGTAGCAGGTAACTCAGGGTGACCAAAGCGTGGAGAGAAAGGAAGGAGCCGGACCCGAAAATAGCATGCATGTAGCGCTTAGGTTTACCAATGCCGCAGATGCCTGAAGATGCGTCTACGAACAAGCGAATGGACATCCAGGTTTCAGGATACGACTAGCGATATTTGCTACAACGGAAATGATCCGATCTAGATATTTACATCTAGGCATCAACAAACGATACATTTGATTACCAATAAAGATGTAATATTATTTCTAGATCGAAGGGAGGGATTCTTTTACATCCCATCGACAGGAACTTAACACGTAGAAAAACAAAAAAGAACCAGCTTTCTAGATTTACTCGCCTGAAGAGTTCGACATGAGCTCTTCTCAATGATAGAATTAGATGGGATGGAAATCGAGACGCATGGCATGTTTCAAAGGCACTAGCGAAAAAGGTTATTTGCTCGCCTGGGTTGAGGAAGCTTTGCCCCAAAACTGCAGCCTCGAAGGAAGTAAGCTTATACGAAAACCCATTGCGGCGATGTTGGATCCAACCAACCACTGTCTTCAGATCTCGGTAGGATTTCCAGCAGCGGTAATTTGATCCAACTCTTTGTTCTCTCAAAGTGTGATGGCGAGGGATGTTGGTGAGCTGAAAGTGACCACTAATTGAGAGACAGATCCTACGTTGATGTCTGCGCCTCCTACCGGGCTTCCGAGCAGAGCCATAGGAGGTATTGACCATGGTCTACCGTCACGATAGTCAAGACGAAACCTGAATACTTAAAGGACCATCATGCCGGCCTCGAATTCCAATCTTCATCTTATCATCAAACAGCTTCACCAACAGTCTCAACAATCCTCTATTTCCTACGGCTTCTTTCCTTGGTTCCTTTGTAGGTTCCATTAGATTGCATTTCCTCACTTTCCTCAGTCCTCAAGTTCTTGAGTTCCTCCAAATCAGCATCTATCTCAGCAACCATGCATTATACTATCCCATCCATTGTTGCTCTTGCTTCCCTGGCAGCCGCCGTACCGACTCCAGAACAGCCGGCGGACCAGTGGAAGGGCGTGATCGATCCCTGGGGCCAATACGGACGCAAACCCGAACACACGAAGCGCTCCAACATCGAGCTCCTCGACGACAGCACCACCAACTCGACCAATATCCGCATCGCTGGCCTAGAATATTCTCCTGACGAACTCCTCAAGCTCGCCAAACGCGCCACGATCAAGGACTTCGCAGGCAAAATCCCCGGCTGCGACGACGACCCTAGCAAGAAAGACACGCCGAAGCCTAGCTGGCCGGTCAATCACGGCGTCAAGATCCCCAAGAACAAGGGCGCCAACGACGATGCTTGCACCACCGGTCACAATGCCGACCATTGTTGGACCGAGTACTATCTCGTCGAAGCCGCGATTGAGTACTTTTCTTGGCTACCGACCGGGTCTGCTGTCAACTGTCCAGCTGGTCCCAAGGATTCGTGCAGCGTCGCCGTGACGAGCTTGGCGCAGAGCTGTAGCATCACAGGAACAACCAGCACTGAGGGGTACGACTGGAAGATCATCGACGCCTCGGCCAAGTTAGGCATTGAATTCGACGCGTGGGGCGTCAAGAGCAGCGTGGACCTCGCAGGAGGCATGGGCATCAGCAAGAACTGGGCGACTACGGACCACCATCTCACGAACACCTGCCGACAAGATTCTTCGACCGCGACCTGCACCTGGAACAACGACGGTACCGATAGGAAGAACTTGTGCCATCAGGTCTGGTACGCCGACCGCGTGCTGCACGTCTGGGGCCAGGCCCAGCGCGTCTGCAACAAGTGCGGCAATGCAGCCAATGTCCAGCAGCAGTCTGGCGACGGCAAAGTTTGCGTCCGCGGCGCGAAGGAGTTCGATCTCCGCCTGCCCATCAACAAGCTCGTCCACTGTGATGGTGCTTGCGGCATCAACGACCCCGGTGTGAACCAGCCGCCCAATGAGCCAAGGGCCCCTTACGTCGCGCCCTCCAACTGGGACCTCCTGGTCATTGGTGGCGATTGAAGTTTGAACCGATGATGAAAGGGCTGGGGAGGCGTTGAGAACTCATGGGAGTAGAGCATCACATAGATTTGGAGCATTCGAACGGTACTTTGTTTCTTCTATACATGAGCATTTTAATATACGTATCAGTATTGTACAAATATTTTGGGTTGTCTTTGGGTGTTGAAATAGAATAAACAAATATTGATAGGTTGATAATATAACTTACGAAGTATCAGACGCATAACTCCTTATATCTTCTATTATAAATACTATAATCGAGTCTCGACGACACAAATTCGTGTATACAAACGTGCTAGGAATGTCGCGCTGAGCTGGAAAACCGCTCTAAATCGGAAAACATCTCCCTATTGATGCTGAATGCGCTTAGCGATCTGCAAGTGGAACACTTTTCCGGCCCAGGTTAAAGCGCCAATCTTACTAATCAATTGCCCCTTTCGACAATTCTGGCACCAGGTACTAGTATGACTAATATTCTTTTCGGCCAGTATCCCCCTCCTTTACAAGGGCTAATATTAACGGGATATAGGCTCTGTTTATATACTTAAATCAAGTGATCCAAATACGCTCCAAATACAGTTTCAAAATAGATCAATTCTATTCACTACTACTACTACTATCAATTGACGTGTCTAATGCGTCTGTCGCGATATCCTAGTCCTTTAGAGAAGAACTTCCTGTAGTAATTTAAAACTAGGCTAAGCTATAGGGGGTCATGTTAGGAGTGCATCGCCGGGTCGCACGTCACGGGGCCTGCCACCCATGCCACACCCGGCAAGGCGCCGAATCGTAACCGAGGGCCGTCCTCTTAAATAGAAGAGCCCCTATATAGATTTAAGGGGAAGAGATAGTCATGATACGAGCGCTTGATTACGAATCGTGATTCCCTATCTTACAGGTCATTACATTGACTTAAATGTGCTGAATAAAGGCTTTCAACGACGCTAGTAGTTAACAAGACTCAAAGTATAAGGGAGATCTAAAAGGAGGGGGTACTAGCCGAAAAGAGAAATATTAGTCAAATTAGCGGCTGGTGCTAGTATTGCCAAAAGTGGCAATTAATTAGTCCCATTGACGGTTGGTGCTAATATAACCTGAGCCCGCTTTTCCGACGATGCGTCTAACCATTAACAAGCCAATGTTCTGCAATAGTGGTCGATTGCCGAAGACTGCCCAACTTTCACTTGGATTACTCGTAAAAGGTCCGCCGCAAAAGTCAACCTGATACAGAACGCAAGCTTGTTATAGTTAATGTTGATTGATTCAAGTGGTAGTTGAGTAGTCTTCGACAATCCACTTTGTTTCATCCATGTCTACTATTCGAATTTAACTTATGTGAAGAGTGGGGACGTTACGAAGATGGTCAAGTACATCGGCCATCGAAATGCATGGTGAGCCAATCTGCTATCCCATTATTCGATTCGACCTTTGTTCTTGAGCCTGAGCCTGGGCCGCTGATCCTCTTTTCTTGTCCTCCACCCTTGCGCATGAACTCTTGCTGACTTCATTGGTCAAATTATAGTTGTCAGTGCAAAGAGCGACATCTGAAATGTGGGTGACGTTCCGAGTCCTCCGCTTCCTGAAGCTCATATCTGGAACTAGGTGACGCTCTGAAACCAGCTTGCACAGCTTGTGCACGCGCTGAACGGCCGTGTACCGAGACCAAGTATATTTTCCGGCATGATCACAACCCTGGCGTCCTACACCGGGATCAGCGTCGAGCAGATAAGAATATTCCGAACTTTGACTCTGAGCAAACGTGGCTGCCGGTCGATACAAGTAGTAGTAAGTCATTTGTGAGGCTCGTAGCGGGCAGCCTCTACTATCACTATTAACAATGATAAGTTGAATTTGTTGAAGATCAAGAACTTTCCGATACGTACAGCAACGTGGGTGACGAACTGCAACGTGAAGAAGAAGAAGGAAGTTCTGAAGATGAGCACACAAGACTTTCCACCCCCCAACTGCAGTCTTGTGGGCCACTTCTAGATACAGAATGTGAGTCAGAAGGCACTGCATATGTCGGTCTGCCAGCAGAAATCCACAGCATAGAAGATGGCGCTACGGAAAGCTTTCGCGGATCCCCCACCCCATCTCCTGCTGTTCACGACTCAGAGTCACCACTTCCGAACTTAGATGTGCTCAATCCAAGTCGATATAATATTCCACACCCTATACCGGGCTTTTGTCTTCCAAATAACAACTCGAGCGGCCACAATGCCGGAAACGCCCTTTCTAGCTCAATTGGGCAGCCCACCCATAATGATCCAACAGACATCAAATCTGGTTCACATTGCTTATGGCCTTTGTCTGACGATAGCGAAGTCAAGCTTATGCGTTATTTCGTGAACCATCTTTCAATCTGGGTGAGTAGACCTGGACATATACGACTGCCTCCAGCTTCAATTATTATAGGAGCTGAATCTTCATCCTTTTCCAGTTTGACTATTGCGATCCTCAGAGACATTTCCTCAACGAAGTTGTTCGTTCCGCTTCAACCAACTCCACGTTGTTGAACGCAATTTTGGCAGTTTCAGCAAAACATATGAGCCTAAATGGAGAGTTTGATCGCTATGCATCTGACAAATATCAGCGAAAGTGTCTCCAGAAGCTCATCCCAGCTCTCAATGATCACACCTTTTTGCTAGACGAAACTCTTCTTGCCGCAACAGTCATTCTGCGACTCTTAGACGAAATGACAGGTAACTGACTGAGCCCTCAAACTTCCTCTACCGTTGATGTAGCGTATGTGAGGCATTATTTCGGGGCTAACAACTCCTAGAACCTATCGGAGCAACCCACAGTCAAGGACATATCCTTGGCACACATATTCTTGTGCGAGCACATCAAGAACCTGCATCAGAATCAAGTTTGAAATTGGCTGCTTTAGTAGCGGGTTTACGGCAAGAGATCCTCATCTCCTTCATGACTAGGCGCCCTCTCCCACCACTTGCAGACTACTGCCAAATTGATCGATCCATGAACCCTGCAGATGACCGGACGTGGGCTCTTCGTATGATTGCACATTCCTCCGATGTGCTCAACTTTTGCTACGATGGAAAGCCACGCGGATTAGATATTTGGTTATCCTTGTGGCAATATGTTGAGGATTGGATTTCGCACAGGCCTGCGTCCTTTTCACCAATCAAATACAGTGCACCAGACAAAGCTGAGGGCCGTGTGTTCCCGGACGTTTGGTTCCTAAATGACTGTCATGGTTTGTGGCCTGACTCCTACACTATTATTTCCTTTCATCATATCCTCATCGGTCGCTTTTCAGATGGCATTCATTTGAATCAATTGCTGATTAAACCAGTCGCAGGACACCAGTATCTTGGAATTTGCCGAATTCTGCTCCTGGCACACGATCCCCAAGTACCTTCCTTGGGCCTTGATAGAAACAAAGTCGTACAACAGATTGACGTGAGTGAACGCTTTTATTCATTTGCCTCGGCATCATGGTTGATTCTTTCTATATAGGAGCAAATAAAGGATCAAGTGAGATTGTTGTGTGGTATCGCTGAATCTAATAGGAAGTTCCCTTCTGCGATATTCACAGCAGGCATGGCTGTCGCGATGTGTAAGTCTATTCCACCAAACCAGACTCTGCTGAGAACTACATTGACTCAAACTACTCAGGTGGAGAGCGGTTTTTGGATCCTACTGAACAACGTCAGTTATTAAAGGTCCTAACAGATACTGAAGCCCATCTTGCTTGGCCAACGTTGAAGTTTCAAGATATGTTCAAAAGGCACTGGAATATATCATGAATAGCCAAATTTTAAGGCTGTCAAGTTATCCCTGCTATCACCCATATGGAAATTTTAGTTCACCCAGCCTACTATTTCTTTCGATATGATCAAAGAGACGATATCGCCCAAGACACGCTTAGTGTTGCAAGACAAGGGTATCTCCAAATAGCTTATACGAGTCAGAATTGGCCACTGAGAGTCAGTCATCCGAGGTACTTGGAGAAAAGTAAATTTGTATCATACAAAGGAAAAGGGCTTGTTTCAGGGTATCTGGGATGCCAATCAGAAGCTTGTAGTTTAGGCTATATTGCAGAAAGGTATTAAGCTCCTTGGTATATGACTGTCCTCTAGAAGGGACCTTCTTGTAGCTATCACTCAGATTAATAAATTCGGTTCTACAGTCTTACTTCACTTGTATCGAATACCTGACCTTGCAAAACTTAGGATGAATGGGCCGAAGCTGCTGCTACTCTATTGACATGTCTGCGCTCGCATCGGCGCATCAGCCTTCGGAAACCACAAGATTTTCAAACATCTCTTTCAATCTGGCTCCCTCCTCATCCGCAACATGGCCGTACAGTTTTAAACCCCCAAAATGGTGATACGGATATGGACTTTGGGTGGTCAGTCATAGTAAGAAACAAATGCAGAGCTAAGATTCAGTGTGACAAGTTGCCTGTGAGCTGCAGTCTTGAGTGTCAAAACACCGAGAACCCTTCGAGAGGCTAGGGATATTGGAGAAATTCAACCTGGCGGTGGAGGCTCTGGATGTAGAGTGATAAAGAATGATTAGGGCAAGAGTTTAGGATTAGGAGGACCTGATGTTTAGGTCGAAATGCTTGCGCCCGAGCGCAGCGATATCTTCGTGCTATGAACGCGTGGTAGCAAAGCTGAACCCAGAAAGAATTGGCAAATCAGATGGCGACAGTGAGGGTTTTCATTCTTTTTTTCTGTGATTTACAGAGTGATGAACAAGGGTTAATTGCACTGTCTACGAGTTAGATTCAATCAATTAAGAAACATCATCACAGCCTCAATACCACAAAACAATACATAACATCAACACCCATGTCTTGATTTCGAACTGGCTTAAGGCCAATGTGTAGAGTTAAAAACATGCATGAAGATTTATTCCTTGCCAATTCGTTCTATTAGGAACCTTTCCTGCAGCTATAAGCCAAGCAAAATAACGCTAAGTGTTGCATCCTCAAAGTTCTTCAAGGTGGGCAGAAGTTGTTTTGCTGTCCATTGCCTGGGCCGGATCAGCGAGCTTCAGGGCGTTCTTTTCCTTATCCTGGAATGACTCAATTGGCACGAACTTTGCAGACTTTCGAGCAGACTTGACTGTGTCATAAAGCTCATCAACCTGCTCAAGTGACAAGCCTTTGGTCTCGTAGATGCAGAAATAGACAAAGAAGGAACTGATCAAGCAGAAGCCAGACCAGATGAAGAAGACCCTAGACTCCAGTCCAGCCTCTCCAGGGCCATCATTGACTAGGTACGGAGTCGAATATGCAATTGCCCAATTCATAAGCCAACTGGTGGCTGTGGCGAGAGAGAGCGATTTGGCGCGGACCTTGAGGGAGAAAAGCTCGCTGGTGACGACCCAGTTGCAAGGACCCCAGGAACAAGCAAAGAAAAAGATGAAAATGCACACAAATGCAATGAGCACCTTGTTTGCGACGGTCGAGGAGGCGGTTGTTCCGACAATAGCTACCAGCAATTGCGAAACACACATTCCAAGGGCACCAAAGAGCAAAAGGGGGCGACGTCCCCACTTCTCCACCAAGTAGAGACCGGGGAATGACGAGCAGACATTGACAACGTTTGTGATCAATGTTACTACAAATGCGTTGTCAATGCCAGAGTTGGAGAAATATTGCGTGCCGTAATAGAAGATAAAATTGACGCCGGCCAATTGTGCCAGAGCCGTGAGCGCACATCCAGTTGCTAGACGCTTGCCGTCGGTGCCTTTAAAGCTATCAATGTATGTTGCTTTTCCCAGCGACAGCTCATATCGGAGGTTTGCATCAATCTCGTTCAGTTCTTGTTGAATAGCTACGTGGGAAACGTCCAACCTTCGGAGTCTGCCAAGAGACTCCGCAGCTTTCTCTGGCTGTCCGCACTTGATGAGATACCGGGGGGTTTCAGGAAGGAAAAGCATGCCCCCTACGAGAATGATAGCCCATGCAAATTGTACAGCAACTGGAATACGATAAGAGCCGGTATCTGCTCGATTCTTAGTTGCATTGTTGACAATTGAAGCTAGTAGGAGCCCGATTGTGATGGCAAGCTGATAAGCACCGACGATGGTACCCCGAATCCACTTTGGGGCAGTTTCAGACTGGTAGAGAGGCACTGAGAATGCTCAGTTAGCATTGGTTTTATCGGTCATCCAAAAAGCACATACCTAGTGCGGAGATTGTTCCTACACCAAAGCCAGCAAAGAACCTGCCAGCAACAAACATGGGAATTGCGGTTGCAATGGTCTGCAAAATTACTCCCAGGGTAAAGATGACAGTAGAGACAATCAACCCCGGCCTGCGACCCAGCATATCACCAAATGGTGCCGCAGCCAAGGCGCCGAAGAAGGTGCCTGCAGATAGAATCGAGACAATTTCGGCAGACTGAGAAGGCGATACGTCTAATCCACCGTCAACGGGGTTGATATAGCCTGTTGAGAAAAGCTCCCGCCAGTATTTCATGGCTAGGATACCGCCGATAGTGCCTGTGTCATAGCTTCTTTATGTCAGAACCTGATCAAGCGTACTGGGATGTCTTGAGTTTACCCATATAAAAGGCCACCAAAGGCAACGAAGATTCCGATCACAATCGCAGGTACTGCTGACCCTTCCTGGTCTGAGGGCTTCTTTAGAAGGAGACCCATGATGATTGTATTGACCAAGATGGCTGAGGATAAATTTAACTGAGGATGAAGATGGGGGTGATGATGATGATGAAGGTCTGAACTGATTGATGAGGTCTCTGGTTCTTGCAACAAACGTGGGGAAACCTGGGGAAATCTGGGGTATTTACATGAATTTACATAGTTTTAGAGGTTCCCATGGCAGCCCCCAAAGGTCTAGAAGCATGAAAGGAGGTGTATAAGAAATGGAACGTCTGGTGAAGATTCCCGACCTCATCGAAAAGGAGCCCGTGTTTGTGATTTTCACGAGGAAAAAATTCCCATTCGGGACTGTCTCTTTCGGGCTGAGGTTGTTATCATTCCCACGGAGACATTTGCCTATTTCGATTTCCTCGAGTTTGCAGATTTACTCGTACCTGTTCGTTTAGCGTTCCTTACTTCCCCGCCTTCACTATGGGTCCTCAACGTCCGTGTTATGCAAACCCTGAAGCTCTCTCCATTCTCCAGTAACTCCTGCAGTCCGTCGCGGCGAGCTTGAAACTAGGCTGCGGCACAGGGTCCCAATTCCCAATTCCCATGCCCCAGGTGGTTGGGGCTCGCCAATGGGTGGGGGGACGAGTTTACCGTACCATGGGGGATGGAAATACGAAGTAGTGGGTAGTAAGATAATCTACCCCATTCATGGAGCCCCATGGGTAGAATTATGCACAGGTAGAACTGATTTAGTGTACAATTAAGTACATAGTACATATAGAGTATATAAATCACGTGTATAATCACATGACAAGGTCACATGCCCCATGGGTACCCATTGCCCCAAAAGCCACCCCCCATGGGGCCCCATGCTGCACCCTACTTGGAACCTTTCAACAAATATCGTCTTATTATTATTTAGCAAGGTATCCGTGCATAGTGTCACTCACGTCTGGAAACGATTTTGTGTTCTACATACGTACATGATTTCCGGGAAATGCTTCCCACTAGATAAGGTAGATTTCCATATTTCGTCTCTCATCTCGGCCACTAACTCGGCATCCACTAAACCCCGCATCACTAACCCCACAAGTCTTCCTGCCACTTGGATTGCGCTTTTGCTTTCCTCGACCATTCTTCTAATTCACTATCACTCCACCCGCAAGCCTGGGCAAGGGCAATACGAATGATGGCAGACACTTCTCGGCCCATGGCAGCGGAGCCACAGATGTAGATGTTTGCCCCGGAATCTTTAATGAGATCCGCTACTTGTTCCACGTTCTCCTTGACCCTATGCTGGACGTAGCACTTGGTCTCTTCTGGTGCTCGGGAAAATGCGCGAACAATCAGTAGTGAACCCTGCAGGACGCGCTGCCATTCCTTAAGCTCCTCCCTGTAAAGCTCTTCTTCGACATTGCGACAACCAAAGACTAGAAGCATTGTGCCAACTCCTTTGCCGATCGACACTAGGCGACAGCGCTCCTGTATGAATGCTCTGAAGGGCGCTATGCCGGTGCCTGCTGCCACCATTATCATGGGGCGCGAGGCTGAGAATGGAAGCTTGAACTTCGAAGGGCGAATGTGCGCAAAGATTCGTTTGCCTTCAAGTTGACCGTTGTAGCCGTTAAGATTATACTGCACAGGGGCAGCCGACGCGGAAAGAGTGGTTGGAGACAACCTGTTGTCGAGGGCATGGATGTAGTTGCTAGCTAGACCGCGGATCTGTTCAATCTGGTCCCCAGAGAGAGAGCGTCGTGATACGGAGGCGGTAAGAGATACCTGGCGCGGCTGAACGATTGATGACGACGATATTGAGTAGTATCGAGGCTGGAGCAACGGTAGCCGTTCCAAAAGAAAAGAAATGCTGAGATTTGACCACACGGTGGGTTCATCTGTTGACATCTCGAGCACCCGTCCGAGTGTCAGATGTCTGCTTGCTTGCAGATTTGCGAATTCACCTTGATCTTCTACCCAGTGTCTTAGCTTTGATTTCGCAGAAGATGTAGGCGCAAATTGCGAGAGTGAGGCAACAAGATCTCTGGACACAGGTCCGCAGATCTCAAGATAATACCTGAGAAGAGCGTGAATGGTAGTTGGGGTTGGAATGGCCGCCGATGTCACTGAATCTAGTTGTCTTATAGCTATTGGAAGCTTCTGCTTTTGCTCCAGGCCCAAAAGCTTGACAAGTCGCTCAACTTCGTTGTCAGGATTCGACGCCCAAATCCCTATGTGATCCCCAGTCTTGTATTTAAGCTCTGGGAACTCGCGCAAGTCCAATTCCATATGGATACAACTTCTTTGCGTTGTGCAAACTAGCTGCTGAGTCGAAATTATCCGTAAGGGTCGGATATCCATGTTGCCATGTCGTTTCTGTATCGCTGTCGGATTGCCCGTCTCAAGACCATTTACAGCAGCCTCGTCCAGGTAACTGACATCGTATGAAGGCATATGCTCATAGTCTAGATGACTAGAGAAATTTAAAGTATCCGTGAAAAATGCGAACAGTAATTTCTTCCATTCAACGAAGTCTTCCTCGGTTTTCCCATGCGAGTCATCGGCCATGCCCACAGGCAAGAGTTCTGTTGCCCCACATCTCATCAGCCAATTCCTGATATCTAGAATCGCCTGGTTGTAGTGTTGATAATTGGAGTTTCCAAGTCCGAAGGCGGCAAATCGGAGGTTATCGACTGAAGCCGGCGTTGCCTTGGATGAGTTCGACTTGATCCACGCAGCAAATGCTGCTGCATTGTCTGATGGGTTTCCTTCACCGTAAGTGGCAATCAAGAAAACGACTGTGACCGAATTCGGAATTGAAACGAAGGTCATGGGGTCGTAGTCTGCCAAATCCGCAACAAGGGTCTTTTTACGAAATTCTTGCTTGCATTCCCGAGCAAGACGAGAGGCAAAGCCCTCCCCAGTTCCGGACTGCGAGCCCCATAGGATTAGCAGCTCGACTCTCTAGTCATAGAGTTAGATTTTTTCTTCTTTCTGGGCAAGTTGGAAACGAAGTAGTTGTGAAACGTACATCTGATCTCGTCTTGACTCCAATATCACGAGTTTCTTGTGTCAGAGGCTTAGATATATCTGACTGCAGCTGTGGGCGTTCAAACCATTTATAATTAAATGGATCAGGTTTCGCCCATATTGTTCCGTAAGATACATAAACAAAGCCTCCAACAAGGAGTAGCAATGTGCAGGCTAGGTCGTCAATCGTCAGGCCTTGCTGCCTCCAATGAAGTTGAGTGTTGGCGAGATTCTGAGCCATATTTGGCTGAACAAAAAGGTTGTTCCCTCAGCTAGCACGTATCAATTTCGGTGAGATAAGGGGTATCATTTATTATAATGAATGGTGAATAAACTCCCGGGAGAGAAATTCTCAGCTTTATGCCTGGTAAAAACTCTGGTTCCCATTTGCGTTATTTGTTCCTACAAATCCTTTCAAAAACTCTACTGCAATTGAGCTGTACGTATTTTCTCACCAACGTGCAGACGAGCACCAGTACGATTATTCTGATGGTCTCCGATTACTTGACAGAACAAAATTCCCAAAACGGAAAACAATTCCGAAACAGACCGAGCATGGTTTGAAGGGCGCCTGGTCTCACTAGTGAGAGCAGCGTTAGTTTATTCGTGGTGACGGGGAGCTTCAAGGTAGGCGCAATGTAATTGGTCTTCTATCGTCCAGAGAACTAAAATGGGGAGAGCCCAGAAGATTGAGGTACGGCATTCTAGAAGAAAGGAGAAGTCACATGTTTTACCACTGGCACCTCCCGTCGGGAATTGTTTCTGGATTTGGCGATCTCGGATCAAGCAGGTTGATTCGAGAATCTGTTGAATGCCTGATCTTCCTGAATGCCCTAGTTATACTTCAGCGACAGTTCTCCAATTCTGAGTTTCAAAGCATCTCTATTACACTCTGTGTTGTACAGTTCCTCATCAAAATGTACGGACTCGTTGTGGGAGTTGCCTCACTCTCAGCCCTGACTGTATACTTTCTCATTTGGCCCCTGGTCATATATCTTGTCGATCCAAAGGGGCTGCGCAAATATCCTAACATGTCATGCCTTTCTGGCGTGACAGACTTATGCTTCATGCATGAAGCACGGAAAGGATTTCGTTCAAAGCGTCTTTCTGAACTACACAAAACATATCCCGTGATCCGCATTGGCCCTAATTCACTATCCTTTGGTAGAACTGCTGCTATAAAGGTTCTCCCATCTTAAATTTGCTTGAGATTTTGATACTAAACTGTCAAAGGACATCTATGGCCATGGTACACCATGCAACAAAGACCTTTTCTACAGCACACTCTCCGGCACCCATTTCAACCTTGCCGACTGTGTCGACAGAGCCGAACATGCTCGTAAAAGAAAGGTGTTATCAACCGCATATGCTCTCAAGAACCTTGAATCCTGGGAGCATAAGATCACTGACAAAGTCGCCATGATGATCAAACAATTCGACAGGCGTTGCACAAATCCATTGAAACCAGGAGAACGGCCATGTCCAGCTGATCTCACTGTAGACTATCGAGCATGGACGAATTTCTTCACAATGGATGCTATCGCCGACATTGGCCTGAGTGAGCATCTGGGCTTTATAGTGGCTGGAAGCGACGACATTGTCGGAGAGAAGCTCAATGGCGACACATACACTACTAGCTACCGGGAGTGCTTACATGCAACCCTTGATGCGCAATCTCACCTGATTTGGGCCTATGACTGGTATAAACCTCTCTCAAAACTGAGCGCTATGCTCTCTAGTCAATATTCCCGTTGGTTCAAGCTTGCTGGGAACTGGGATGGTGTCGTATATCACCGTGCTACGAAGCGACTCGTAAGGTACCAGAAAGGCGAGAAGCTGGACGATTTCTTTCAAGCATTGATGGAAGACAAGAACGGAAAACCGAACAACTTGCCATGGGGAGAGATTGTTGCAGAAATGTCTGTCATGCGTGAGTTCTCCCTACTCCTCCTCTGATAGCCATTTCTTGCTCACTCTGTAAAGTCAATGCTGGTTCAGCCTCGACTGCCATCGCAATCAACAACACCATGTATTTATTGCTCAAGCATCCTTCGGCACTTGCAACACTTCGAGCAGAATTGTCCACTGTCTTGACCGATCATGATGAGGTTGTAGCATACGACCAAGTGAAGCATCTTCCCTATCTTCGAGCCTGTCTAGATGAAAGTATGAGAATCCTGCCTCCAACCACCTTTGGACTCCCGCGCCGAACTCCTGCAGAAGGCCACTCAATCAACGGGGACTACATCGCAGGAGACACCAGTGTCTCGATATCCGCCTATGTTGCGCACCGGGATGAAGCTGTCTTTATAGATCCCGAATGTTTCATTCCGGAGCGATGGCTTGGAGAACAGGGCAAAGAACTTCAACAATACTTCATCGCTTTTAGCGCTGGTTCTCGGGGATGCATCGGTAGGAATATCAGTTATCTCGAACAGGTTATTCTGCTTGCAACCATGTTGCATCGATATGAGTTTGCATTGCCCCATCCTGAGTGGGTTCCAGAGTTGCGAGAGCATTTCAATCTTGTTCCAGGCCCTTTGCCTGTGAAGGTATGGAGAAGAGAAAATTACGATGCATGAGAAAGCAAATAGGAGATGATATTAGAGACCACTTGGTTTCCCCCCCTTAAACACCTTATCAATAAATCATTATTAGGTTCCCAGTCTTATACTAGTCATAGATATACAAACCATCGTAGCGATTCCTGCGCTGTGCTTGACAATTTCTATGATGTTGTTTGAGCAAAATGGAACCGAAGAATTGCACCAAACGCTCCTGCCTACTTTAGGAAAATCGCTCTTTTACTCAGGAGTTTAGCATTCCGAACTTTATCCAAGTGAGACTATCCACAAAGCATGAAAGTCACCTGACTATCGCTTCACATTTGTAGCGTACATACCCAGCAAAGAGACATACGGGACTGTGTTAACCTAGCTTTGCTAATAGCTAGTGAATTGGATAAGTTTAGCAAGTTCGTTCAATTCTTAAGAGAGTTGCTTATATACGATATCCGCTGGTGCTGACTAATCTATTGAATTTCCGAGCTGAGGCCGAAGACGGCGACTCGTACTCGGACTGGGGCTCGCCAGCGGCCCCAATGCCGCGTTGACGTTCCGCGCTCGCTATAACTTCGGTACTTCGCCCTGATGTCAGCCTTTATGCCCTGTTAATAAGCCTTTCCCTTTCCTTTTCCCCACTCGGCTTTGTGCGGGGGATTCCCAATCGTCGCGCGGCAACCCGCGGGCTAAGTCTTTCTCCGCCTCTGCTCCTAGCCACGGTTGTTGCACCGTAGTGTACAGCGTAGGGAGGGAGGTATGTAGAGCACTAGGTAACTTGCACGGAAGCTAGCATCTGCATTTCCTTCGTGTGGACTTCTTGCTCAAGTTCTATTGTTCTCTTTCCCTGCGAATGTCCTTTTCTGTTTCCTGTTGTTGATCTGCATCTGCATAATGTCTTCACCAGCTCTCTATTTCCGCACGGCGCGAGCGTCCGCCAAAAGTAGCTCCAAGGTATGCAAACAATCCAAGCTTTCGTTCAATTTCCTGGCTACAGCTGAATTGATCTTTCTGTAGCGGTCCCTTTTTCTGGCACGAACCTTCGCGTCCACAGTGCGCCGCAATGAGATCAATAAGGTCCTCCCTTCGGCCGCACACGCCCTAAAGGATATGAAACCAAATACCACCATCCTGTGCGGGGGATTTGGCCTGTGTGGAGTTCCCGACACGCTGATTGACGAAATCCTGAACAAGAAGGACATCACCGGGCTTACGGCCGTCTCAAATAATGCCGGTACGGATGAGTTTGGATTGGGGAAGCTGTTGAAGACAAAGCAGATCAAGAAGATGATTGCCAGCTACATCGGCGAGAACAAGACGTTCGAGAAGATGTACTTGACGGGCCAGGTGGAGTTGGAATTGACTCCCCAAGGAACACTTGCAGAGCGCTGTGCAGCCGGGGGTAAAGGAATACCTGCCTTCTATACCCCAGCTGGGTTCAGCACGGTAGTTCAAACAGGAGAACTCCCACTGCTAAATAACCCCGACGGAACGCCAAAGCAATACTCATACCCCAAGGACATCAAAGTGTTTGACGGCAAGCAGTATCTCCTCGAGGACAGCATCAAGGGTGATTATGCCTTCGTGAAGGCTTGGAGGGCAGACAAGCTGGGCAATTGCCAATTCCGATTGGCAGCCAACAACTTCAATGGTGCCATGGGCCGAAATGCCAAGATGACCATTGTTGAGGCTGAAGAGATTGTCGAGCCGGGAGTGATCCCCCCTGAGGCGGTCCATCTCCCAGGTATCTACGTCAAAGGCGTCATCCAGTCATTGGCGGCCAAGAACATCGAGAAATTCACGTTTGCGAAGGATCCAAATGACCCTGCGGCCAAGGCCGCCCTTGGAAAGGGAGATACGGCGGCGAAGAGAGAGCGAATCGTCAGGCGCGCCGCAAAAGAATTCAAGAATGGCATGTACGCCAACCTCGGAATTGGCATGCCGATGCTAGCACCTTCCTTTGTCGACCCGAGTGTAGAGGTACAATTGCAATCCGAGAACGGTATCCTCGGACTTGGTCCTTACCCCGTAAAGGGTGCAGAAGATGCCGATCTGATCAACGCCGGCAAGGAGACCGTGACATTGAAGCCTGGCGCGGCTGTCTTTGGAAGCGAGGAGAGCTTCGGCATGATCAGAAGTGGTCGTATCGACCTCACCATCCTCGGTGCTATGCAAGTTAGTGGCAGTGGTGATCTGGCGAACTGGATGTTGCCAGGTAAGATCAAGGGCTTTGGAGGTGCTATGGATCTCGTCAGCAACCCGGAGAAGACCAAGGTCGTGGTTACCATGGAGCACACGGATAAGCATGGGAATGCGAAGATTGTTAAGCAGTGTGCTTTCCCGTTGACGGGTAAGGCATGTGTGTCGATGATCATTACTGAGTTGGTGAGTTTCCCCGTTCCCGGATGTAAGTGAATGGTTTGGGGAGCAAGGCTAATATGTGTATACAGGGTGTATTCGAGGTGGATTTCACAACAGGCTTGACGCTGACTGAGATCGCTGATGGTGTGACTGTGGATGAGATTAAGAGCAAGACTGAGGCACCGTTCAAGGTTGCTGAGGATCTGAAGCCGATGCTATAAATACTGGGACGTTTCAACTGGAGTTGTATGCCATGGCGGCCAATTGGTGTTTGAAAAGGATGTAAAATTGACTCCTCTAGCGTTTTGACATTTAATAACACAGAACTAAACTCACTAGCCCTTCAGCTTACTAGCTAGGACTCCCATCTACTACTTTGCCACGTGAATAAGTGTCATATTAATTCCTAGTTCTTTCATAAGCATCCGCTAAGAAACCGGATTCATTACCTTGCTCCAAACTCCACTCAAAGAGGGCCAACAACACCATATCCCCAAATAAACCGTATAAACCTCCTCATATTCTCAGCATTAAAATCAAGCCTGCTCCCCGCCCTTCGTCAACAGAACACACCTAACTTTAACCTCCCCGCCAGCCTCCTCTACCTCCCCCTTAAACCCCCAGGACCCGCGTCCCCTCTCCTCTTTCAAACTCCTCCCCGCGCCCCTAGCAAGCCAACACAAATCATGCCTCCAGTTAGGGACATCCAGAAACCCCAACTGGCCCTTAAACTCGCGATTGTACTCCACCACCATGATCACCTCCCGCAGCGCCTTCATGCCAGCCAAAACACCCATAAAGCCATCTTCGCAGAGCCGGTTCCAAATACGCAGATCTACGGCGATGGAACGGATCAAGTGCCGCGATGGCGACGTGCTGAGATGGTATAGAAAACTATGGACGGACGATCCGATCAGCGGCCGTAGGGATATGTAGAGCGTCGTTGTCGGGTAGTGGATTGGTATTTCTGATGGCGGGAGAGCTGTGGAGAAGGGCGCGTGGGAGGCGGCGGGGCCGAGCTGGAGGTAGGTATAGCGGGAGAGGGTGAACGCGCGGGATTCGGAGGAGATGGAGAGGGTTACGGGGGGAGATGTGCTAGCTACGTAGCGTTGGTGGGAATGGGAGAAGCGGATTTTTAGGATGGTGGTGGGAGTTGACTTGTTCAAGGCGGCGTGCTCGTTGTTGACCAATGCTAGGAGTATCTCGTTGAATATCCTAAGGCGGAGTTCTGGGGGGAGGAGGGGGAAGAGGGTGAATATTGGTATTATCGATGGTGGTGGTGTTGATTCATTCTCCATTCTCACTGTCCATTACTTGAATGTCGATATGTGTATGGGATCTTGATTCGGAAGCTGGTAAGATGAGATAGTAGATGCTAATGATTAATAATTAATACTTAGGCAGGGCGCATTGCGAGATGGACTCTTTTAGGGATACGATGTTGTCGGACGCATGGCTTGCCTACTATCATAACGCCTGTTCTATGTTTCGCCATCTCGACAGGACTGGGATGCGGGGCGCGGACTTTGATAAAGTATCGATATCCACACGTGATACTTGTAACTCCCGGCGTCTTGGAAAAGGGGGAGGGAACAGCGGGGTAGAATTAAGGGGGATTTAATGTAGCCCCTCGTGTTTTAGAACATTATCAGATGTAAATATCATATATGGTGTTGACCTTCTTGAATAGGACAGGCTTTTGGTGGCAGCAGCAGAAGACATTGCTAGTGGCTAGAAGCATCCCTGATATTGACACAACCATCCACCATCACATCTTCCATCGCTCTGCACTACTTCGTAGACCCTAGCCCTTCAATGCATTCTCTTAGGGTTGCCCGCCGAATCGACTGTAGTTTCCGAACCATAATTATGGAGGGGTGAGTACTCAGAGGAGAGTCTCTGTCTCCTGAGACTGCTTTGCGACTATTCCCGCCGAAAGGCTTTTCCTTCCTGGTCGATATGTTTGGCCGGCCTTTATACTCCAATCCTAACGCCTGCCCCTCCTTGGGCACAAATATCCCACACGCCTTTTAATCCCACATAGTCATATTTCACAAGGTGTTTGGATCCCACTGCCTGTACGGCATCATCACTTCCTCGACGATCCACGAAACTGATTCTTTAGCTCCTCCAAATAGTTCTGTAAAAATCTCTGGGAATCCGAGCCCTCGGGATCTGTATATTAAAATGCCATCAGCCTTGCCCTTTCTCCTCCTTGCTGGGGAAGGTTCTTACGATCGATCTTCGTCCCGCCCATCTCCGCAGGGTCTTTCCCGTGTCGCAACTCGTGGACTTTCTTGTGTACGCGTCTGACGCCGCGATGGAACAGTGGACTTGATAGGAGCTGCGAGGGAGGTGTTAGTGAGTGTGCCGGATAGGACGGTAGGCTGGAAGAGGGAGGAGGATTTACTCTTGCGGTTAACCAGACCTAGGATGTTGTTAGTAAGTGCGCGGGAGAGTGAAGGGATCGAAGTGCTTGCCTCGAAGAAGCGCATCCACATGGCTGGAATTCACAGTGCTAGGATCATTAGGTGGGAGTCGGTGGGTGATACGTAGTGCCAGGCGGGCAGGTGAGTTTCACTTCACAGAGAAACAATAATGCGCTCAAGGGCTTAAGGGTTGAAGTGAGGCGGTGATGTTGGCATGTTGCATAGTACCATTGGCGTTACTGTACGGCACCAGCAGACTAGCAGTTCCATAACACGCCGGTTTGTCATCACCAGCGGCACTCCCGGGCGGGCATTAATCTTATTTAGCTTATCGATTGCCTTAGGGGCTTGACTCCGAACAACTACAGGTTCCAGATGATTTCCTTACTGAGAGTTCCGTGTCTGGTCCCTGGGCTTCTGTTTTGGCTTTAACTTAACTCGACCTGACCTCCTTCTCCGTGTCCTTTTCCTTGTCCCTCTTTCGCCGTTGCTCTCCCCCTTACGCTCTACTTGTACAATACATCCTCAACTGTCGTTTCACTCCTTTTCTTTCTGCTCTTCTAACCAGCACATACATATCGACGGATCTACGTATTTACGTACCTACCATCTTCCAAGAATTACATGTCCGTGTCTGGTCTCACTCTCCAACATCATCTCTCGCCCCTGCATAAGCCCGCTTGCCCGACACACGTGGCTTTCGCCCTTCAGCCTTATTGCGTTCTGCAGCCTGCTTGATCATCCACGCCGGACTCCAGCAGTGGCGCGGTCCACGCCCACGACCACCACCGTGGATCGAATAAGGGCCTTTCGGAGGCGACACGAGTCTCCCTCAGCCTCGCGCGACCCCTCCGAGGAGAGAGATATACATAAAAACACCTTGCGTTCGCACAGCAAAGTAAGGAATCTATCGCCGCATTGGCGCGCCAAGATGGATAGCCTGCGGTCTTCAACGAAGCGCGCTCATTCACCGGCGACGCCACCGCCAGAGAGATCGTCGCCGCCAGCTGCCTCTCCTGCCGATATCGACGTGGAGAAGTCCGTGGAACCCGTGGCGTCGGATTTGCCCAAGGGCCCGAGTTTCTTGCATTTGACAGAAGCGGGTGAGTTTATTCTCCGGTGTCTTTGCATTGTCACATGATACCTGAAATACATATTAACAAGATTGCAAGAAACCTTGGTGAAGTACGCAGAGCTCATTCGCCTGGAGACCGAACGCCTGATAAAGGGGAAGGAGGACGACTCCCGGTGGCCACGTTTTGACCCAGATCCCGTGCGAGACCGGTACAGCAATATCCATCCTTGGGTCAATAATCGCATTAAGCTGCATGTCCCGGAAGGATTTAACGACTATATAAACGCATCCCCTGTTGTCTTGACACCAACCACTGCTAATGAGGGCGAACTTAATGATGATACTCTAGACAAGTACATTTGTATGCAAGGCCCTAAGAAACGGACGGTTGACCATGTCTGGCACATGGTATGGCACGAACTAGCTACACCAGATAAATCCTCCCCAGCAGTGGTTATCATGTTAAGTCCAACGCACTCGCCCACTCCCGATGATCCTACCAAAATTATGGAAAAATGCTTTCCCTATTTCCCAACAGATGAAGACTCACCCCCGCTCCTCATCAACGAGAATAATGAGCTTGGAGAGGAGTTCAAGGCAACCGTGAAGTTCGTCTCACGGGAACCGGATATCCCGGGTACATCAATCGAAACCCGTCGGCTCGTCATGACCGTTAAGGGGGAGGAGGAAGAAAAAACCATATGGCATTACCTATACCCAAATTGGCCCGATTTCGGCGCCCTCCAAGAAGAGAATGTCGACAGCATCCTAGCGCTAATGGAGATCTCCAAAAAAGCCAACGGGGAAGGCCAAAATCCGCGTCTGATCCACTGCAGTGCTGGCGTGGGACGGACGGGTACGTTCGTTGCGTTAGAATTCCTGAATCGGGAGTTACAAGCTGGAGCGTTCGAGAATTGGGATGAAGAACATCCTGGCGAGGACCCTATTTTCCAGGCGGTTAATCAACTGAGGGAGCAACGGAGGACGATGGTCCAGAGTTATGAGCAATATGCGTTTTTGTATGAGGTTTTGAGGAAGCTGTGGGGGGAAAAGTATAAGCTGGACTGTAATGGTGGCAGCCATGAACGTGGAGATAGACATGTGGAGAAGAAGGGAAAGATCGATGATGGAGGGGATGAGGATGAGGACGAGGACGAGGACGAGGACGAGGAGGATTGAGGATGCTTTGAATGATTACGATGATTACTGCGTGTACGATTTAATGGCGAGACGGCGACGGTGGAATGCATGGGATTCATCCGTTTTAACACTTTGTAGTTTAGATCCCATAGATAAAGTATTCAGCAATGAACAGCAAAACCAAACTCATTAATATTCATAATGCGTTACACGCCCATATCTCCCTTTCCAAAAGCCCCCTAAATGTACAGGACAACGTGCCGATTTAAACGCCCGGAAACCTCTTCCCTCTCGCTTCCATGCCCATATCCCCCACATCAGGCTGTGACATTGATATAATCCCTATTCTCAATCGTCACACTCTTTGTCATATGGTTAACCTTATACACCCCAACAAGTCTTGACGCGAGTTCAAACATGTTGTTCCTCAGCGAGATAACGACGAATTGGGCATTCTTCGTCCGCTCCTTGATATAACTAGCCACAATCGAGACCTATGTACATCATTAGTTGAGCCACTCGCATGTAGTTAATTGGCAAGGGGAGGGAGGACTTACATTTCTAAAATCTAAAGCCGCATCAATTTCATCCATGACGTACAATGGAGTAGGCTTATAGTGATGAAGAGCAAAGACCAGCGCTAAACTACTCAACGTCTTTTCACCACCCGACAAGTTCGAGATATTCTTCCAGGACTTTTTCGGGGGCATGACGCTGAACAGGATTCCCTCAGAGAATGGATCCAAAGAATCCACGAGCTCGAGTTCCGCATTACCACCCATGGTGATCATCTGGTACATCTCTTTAAGGCGCAGAGATATGGTGCTGAAGCCCTCCATAAAGCCTTCGAGCCGAAGTCGTCTTAGTTCGTCACAGCGCTTTTTTGATATGTCGCGTTGACCAACTGCGCTCTGGAGATCAGCGTGCCTCGCCGCGTGCTCTTCCACGCGTCGACGATATTCTGCAAGGACACCGAGCTCAACACTCTCATTCTGAGTCTTTTCCTCCAAGGCAGCAATCTCGCTCTTCAACGATTCCTTGCTCATATCTGCAATCTCGTCCTTGGTATAGGATGGCAGTTCATCGGGCGTAATATCTTCACCAAGATCGCTAACATTTTGAAGAGAGAGCTTGCCCAATTTGTCATGCCAGTACCTCAGACGCTTTTGGTTTTCAGCAAGCACCTTTTGGTTCTCCTCAAGCTTATTGCGCATCTCAATTTCAACTGCGCGGGTCTCATTGAGGGCTGCAGTCTTTTCGTCGAGCTCTGCTTTGACAGCTGAGAGATCCCTCTTTTTCTCTCGAAGCGCTTCTTGCGCTTCATCGACGCTTGCTTGATAGCCTTCCGCATCCGAGGTCTGGTTTTGGATATCTAGTTCAAGAGACTCGAGATCTGCAATCGCATTTTCAAGTTCCTTTGTGGCTTTGGCGTAGTCTTTCTCATGCTTGATCTTCTGTTTTTCGGCCTTGGCTCTAGTGACTTCTGCAGTAGATACAGCCTCGTTGACATTGTCAATTTCTTGCTTCAAGGCGTCGACCTTGGATCTCTGTGTCCGGAGCTTCTCGCCGCCAACTTCCATAATCTTGTCTTGCAATGCCTTTATTTCTTGCTCGACACTGGAAGTCTCACCGTGGAGCTTTTCGATATCCTTGTTCAGCTTTGCCACCTCTTTTTGAAGCGAGGCCACGCGACTATCATCTGTCTGCGAGGGTTGATGCTCCTTGCTTAATTCCTTGATCCGTCGCTGGGCATCGGCAAGATTTCTCGCTGAGCTCTCAACCTCGAGCCCGATCTTCTGCATCTTCGTATCAAGTCGGGGAATTTGATCGTTAAGATCTCGCAGTGTCGACTCTAGTCCACGTTGACGATCTTGGAACTTTTGGAAGTCTTGCTCTAATGCATCTCTATCCCCCTCGAGCTTATTTACTTGATCTTTAGACACATCTGCAACGAGTTTAGAGGACATCAGTCCTTTCTTAACCGTGTTACCTCCACCGGACATTGTACCAGACTTGTCAATCAACTGCCCATCAAGCGTCACCACTCTCCACCGCCTGGCGCCATAGGCAATGCGATTAGCTTGTGCGAGATCCTTCGCCACCAGAGTGTTTTGTAGGGAGTGATAGAAAGCAGGTCGGAATCTGTCATCTTTCGCTTTGATTAAGTCAAACAGGCGAGGTACGTTTTCTGGAGTTTCGATGGGTGACATATCTCGATTCCCAAGCTTGTCCAAGCACATGAAGTTACCACGGCCAAGATTAGTCTTCCGGAGGTACTCAATGCATTGTTGGCCTGCCTCAACGGTATCGGTTACGAAGTTGTCAAGCGCTCCACAGGCTGTGGAAATAGCGACATCGTATTTCTGATCAATAGTACCTAGATTGCCAAGCCTTCCGTGAAAGCCATCGATTCGACCCGATTCTTTGAGTCGCATCAAGCCTGTAAGCACATTGCCTTGGGTCTGCGTGTTGGACAAACTGGCACGAGCCTCGTCTGCCTTTTGACGAGCCCCTGATAGACGTGATCGAATATCTGGTTCTTTTTGCGCGAGTTGGTTGAATTCTGCCTGGACTCGAGCGGCTTCTTTCTCCAGTTTCTTTCTCTCTGTCTTGCACTCTTCGAGCTCTTCAAGCTTAGCCTCCCGGGCTTCCTCAATGCTGACGAGTTTTGCTTGGGTTTCTTCAAGTGCGACGGCGCCAGCATTTGCCTTTTCATGCAAGATAGCGAGCTCACTCTCAGCAACGGCAATCGCTGACTGCTTCTGATTGATTTTCTCATTCCAAGGCTCCAGAGATTTTTGTTTCGTCCCAATTTGATCTGAAAATGCCTGAGTTTTGCCCTTGAGACTATCTCGAATGGTTGCTAATTCCTTCTCTTCCACCTTCATCCGTTTCTCCATCGCATCAATCTCTTTGGCCGACTGCTCAATCTCAGCACTCCGGGTCTCAATAGTAGATTCCGCATCGGTGGCAGCTGTTTCAGCCGTGCTGATAGACTTTTCCAGTTTCTTTTGCTTGCTTGTCAAGAATTTTCTCTTTTCTTCAAACTTGACATGCTCTTGGTCGAATCTTGCCATTTCCTTGAGGATATGTTGGGTATTCTTCTCGAGAGACTCGTATTCTTTCTGGCCCGTTTTGTACTGCTTATCCAGAAGCTTGATTCCATCCTCATTTCCTTTATGCTTTGCTAATTCCTCATCAAGGCGAGCTTGCATTTGGCAAACAGCTTCTTCCGTAACTGCAATATTGTCGCCACACTCGTCAACATAGATTTGGTACAGTGCGCATTGCTTCATCGTTAGCTCATTTTCGGATTTGATGTACGCGAGGGCCTTGTTCTTTTTGTCCTCCAAGTTGTTCTTTTCTTTTTCGACATGCTGAACACGTCCGCTCTTCTCAACACAGACCTCGTTTAGGGTTTCAACTTCCATTGCAGATTCTTCAATGGGCGTTTTATACTTTGAGGTACCAATAATATCCTCTAAATATTCAAGAAGACCATCATCATGCTCATTGGCAGCCTTAGCCTTCATTTGAGCAATCGATTCGACTTCTCCCTGGAGAATCAGGAATCGTTTATGGTCCAGGTCTATCCCTTTAGCACGGAGTAGCGTCGTGACGGTTGTAAAATTGGACTCTTTGCCATTCATGTAATATTTGCTGGAATTATTCTTGAAAGCCCGCCGGGATATGATGAGGTCGGAGTCTGGCATAATTATATGTGTTCCATCTGGCTGCGTGGGGTTAGTAAAAGCTGTTCATGGTTCAGAATGGAGCAGCTTACCTGATCCATAACCTCTTGAAAATGCACGGCAACCTCACAAAAGTCGAGGTCTGGGAATGCCGCAGAGTTATGAATAAGAGCTGAAATTTTGCCCTGCCGCATCTTACTGGCTCTGAATCCAAAGACAAAAAGCAGAGAGTCAATAACGTTTGATTTACCGGATCCATTAGGGCCTACGACAGAGGAAAAGGACGCATGAAATGGGCCCACTTCCTGACGCCCCGCATAACTTTTGAAGTTGGTGAGAATCAAAAAAGTAATGACAATCCGAGCTTTGGGCCCTGTATCCTCAACCACTGGGGCTGCCATCGACCTTGACTTTAGGACTATATCCATTGGCTTCTCTAAAACTGTATCAAATGGCCTGACACGCTCTACAGCTGAGGTCTGGCTCTCAGCTGTACGCGGCCGATCATTGAGGGCTTCAGTGATATCCGCAAGTGGCGTGCCAGGCAATTGGGAAGGTTCTGGAGATTGTGATGACTGTGGGGTAGGTAATGGCGGAGGTAGTTCTGATGTCCTAGAAGAACGAGTCCCCCGAGCCGGCACACTCTTTCGTTTTCGTGGTGCGCTCTTAGAAGGAGAGTCCGGGTCCGGTTTTATAGTTTCTTCGGGGTCAAATACTTCGGAGGGCTCAATATTCTCACTCGAAAGGCTTTGATTTGCCCGGCCTGGAGTACGCGGAGTGATAGGAATGGTATTTGTAGTCCTGCGCCTTGACTGAGGGGCTTTCCGCGGGCTTCGCTGTTTGGGTGCAGGTGTAAACTCTTCCTCATCATCCACTTGCATCTTAGATTGTGCGAGCTCTTCCTCTTCCTCATCCGATTCCACAATTGTTTTCCTCCGGGACGCTGCCCTTCTCGAGGGCCTTGAGGACGGTTCGGACATTGTGGGTTGTTTAAATCGCAATTTCGTCGGGCGGTGATATGGTCAATCTCTAGGTTCCTTGGCGAAAGCGCGTCGATCGATGCGCGACTATAGCTAACTGAGGCAAACTCGTTCAATTATTCGATTCCCAATGACTCAAATCGTCGCGAATGCTACAATTGCGCGTCGGGCAACAGACGAAATTTGCGGGAACCGAACGTTGGGCGTGATGTTGGGGTGGTGTTGAAGTAAATACCGGATGCTCCTAGAGTAAACAAAGCCAAAGGGGCATACACGCTAAGATAAGATAAGAGCAAGCCCCGAATAACCTCACCACTTCAATGTATGCAACAAATCATAACGCGCCGCGCGCAACCCCAACCTCGCAATGTCCAACTACCGGAATTACAACTATCGGAATTTCGATGATGTTTTTGAATTTGATCCTGACTGCTCGTATGATGAGGGCATTGTCCAGGAAATCGATAAGGACAGGAAAGCCCTAGAAGGACTTTTTATCGACAAGGTTATGAAGGTCCTAGGAATCAAGAGACGTAAGTAAATCCGCTTCACATCATGGTGGATCCTAACTCAACTTGTCTTATTAGCTGCAAGATACTATCCCCCGAAGACCAACGCCGATCTACGGAACTTACACAAGGCGATCGTGGAGGGCACCGGCGCGGATATACATAAGCTCTCGGTTCTCTACTACCTAGTACTCAATATCGATTTTCCTACTGGGACTAGAGACCATTCTATCGCCTTCGAAAGAAGATGGTTTCTGCCGGGCAAGTACCAAATATACATGAAGGGGCTATGGCATTTAGATCGTCAAGAATTTGAGGTCGGTGTGCCAGTTTCGCAAGTCTCCAAAACAGCAAGGCTCACAGTGTTCTAGGACGCGCTTGAATACCTGACCTACCCATCATTAGTTCCCGATTTCTCCGACGAGATCCTGGAGGTGTTGGTACGGCGTTCAGACAACGATCTGACCCTCCCCCTGGCGTATTACTATACCGTCCAACCAACCCTCAAAAGTCAGAGCGCCATTGAATGTCTATTCTCAGCCATTGCGAGACACAATGTTACGGAAGCATATTATTTCGCCCGGAGCCAGCCAGAGCATACGCAGCGTCACATGTTCGAAATGCTCATATCTCTCGTTCTCCATAACTCCCCGGCTCAAACCATAGGGGACAGAAGTGCCGAGCTGGTCAACCTGCCGTTTACCATCGAGGAGGAGGGCTGGTTTGAAGAGTATCTTCTACATGGTGAGGGAAGTGGTTTGAGAAAGGCTAAGGACACTGTGCTTTTCCGGCGGATCGGGACCGGCAAATTTACTGAAGCATTGGCTATGAAAGATATGAAGACCCGTCCAGTTGGTGGTTTGCACTGGAATCACTTGACAAAGGCTGTGCAAGATGGCTTGGGACCAAGATTGGGAGTATAAAACACCATGTTAATAGTACTTGTTTCGGCGCATAGCAATTGAGGTTAAGGAGCTTTCAGAACGGTCTTCAATGTCCCTTAGAAATGATACCCACCGTTGAAGTACTCGTCTCGTAATTAAAATGTCACAAAATATATCCCGGCTTTCTATTCGGTGACTATGATACTTCCGCGCTATTTCCTCATTTGACCCCGAAAACACATAGCCCTCACCCCCCCCCCTTCGCGACCAGTGCCATTGCACTGCGCAAAGCAATGGCAGATAACTACCGGTAGATATTTTAAAACCTAACCAATATCCACCTTCGCCTCGCTTTCCAATTCCTCAAATGGGGTAGGTAACGGAGAACTAAACACCACTCACCCATAATCGCGTTATATGAAGTATAAATTCAAGGATCAATGATTCTCTAGGGGTATTGAGAGTATGTTTCCAGGCATCTATCAGGCAATATATACGTTTACTGCATCTATCCACATCTAGTTCGACACATCCCAAACCTAACTCATTCATAATGTTCCCTATGCCAACGCCGTCAAATGATGATCGTCACGGAACGAACGTATGTAAGCGGCATTAATGCGGCTTCTTCAAAATATCCATACTTGGTGGGAAGAGACCACCAAGAACCTTGTTCCTTAAGCACCAAGGACATCGCTCTCCTTAAGCTCAAATTTTCCCTGATGCAAACCATCCAGAACTTTCCGACCCTCGTCCGTCAACTCCGGTTTCCCAAGCGGTGTAACGACACCAGTAAAGAATCTCGGCTGCCATTTTGTGCCTGACTCTTCCCGCGCTTTAGCTTTTTCTCTCTGTCTTTCTTCTAATTCCTGCTTCAATGTGGTAGCGCGGGAGAACTGCCGCGTTTTGATGGCTTCGGTTACTCCAGACCAGAACCGTACGGATTCATTAGGGAGTTGTGCTTCGAATGGAGGGAGAATTTTAGGTGCCACGGATAGCGGGGTAAGATCTATTAAGAGAAGTTGGGTATCCTTGAGAATTTAAGTCAGCCTTGAAATCTACGACCAGGTAGATGCAGTCTTACAAATTTAGGGGCTAAGGAGAAGTAGACCTTCTCCTTCCAATTGCCTTGCACCCGTGCCAAGATGTCCTTTTCAGGAACATCTCGTATTTTTGTGATATTATCGTTGTCGGGGTCGTAGCGGAATACCACCCCTTCCATCTTATTTTGGGTCTTTCCCAGCCACCCTTCCTCCAAATAATTGAGGATAGTTTTGATCTTGGTCTTCGTGCAGGTCACATAACATTGATCTCCCACTGTCACACTCAAACTACCCCGCAGTAAACCTGCCAGATGCGCCGCAGGATGAGTGAGTTGGTACTCCTCGTTGTCCCGCTTCTCAAGCGTGACAAATATCCCCAGGTTGTGCTCTCCTGGCGTTACTTTTATGCTCGTACCGGTAAACTTCGCAGAAAGTTGATCGAATCCGCGAGCGGAGATACCCTTCGCTGGGCAATCGACATAGAATGCTGAGACCGGGGGATGATGTGATGTTTGTTCTGTAAGGGACGAAACTGTGACGGGTTCCGAAGGAACAACAGGTGTTATCTTCCCAACCTTTGTAGCAGCGACCGATGGAGTGGTTGGCCTGCTTTTAATAGATTTGGTAGAGGATTCCGAGCTCTCGGAGAGAGCTTTAAGGCTAGGTATTGGCGGAGCATGGTCTTCCACTACCCAGTTGCACTATCTTAAGGTTACTCATGTGAACGAAGGGCCCTGAGGCTGCCGCTTACCCTAAAAAATTCGCCGAGGGCGGAATTATACGGCTTGCAAGGCTTTCCCTTGACATATTTAAGATCCTTGGTGAACCAAAACCGTAATACCTCCAGCATCCTATCAAGCGGCTCATCTGAGTCTCCAATGGCAACAAATGTGTTCGGTTGATCAAGATAATTCCAATATTCGAGGTTCGGCGTGGGTTCCAATAGCTGAGCTGGCAACGAGAATCGAACAGAAGCAATGTCCGTGACACCTATGAACCTGTAGACAAGACTGGTATTAGTGAAATAACATATTTAAATTTGGATTTCTTGAATGCTCATGTATAGAAAAAGCCGCCATGTGCAAAGAGCGCCTGGCGCAATGGCACTCAACAGCTGTAGGGTGGGGTATCAATAGGCGCGTAAAACATATCCAAACACTTACTTCCGCAAAATCCCCAAGAACATACGGAGCTTTGAGGTATCATCGGGCGGCTTTTCTGACGCAACAGGTGTGGGATTTATTGATGAAGCGTCTGATTCCATCGACGAGGTCCCAGTCGTTGGTGGTGAGTTCTCTATGGACCCTGACGACGCGGACGCCATGGCGAATATGTGTAGGGTGGTACAAGTTGTAGAGCTATGCGAAGCTTCCTGTAATTCGCAGGATGAAGCTTGGAATGCTTCTATCGCGGGTAGCTGCCTGTATTGTACGAAGTGGGGGTTGAGGAGGAAGTTGATGAAGGACGAATAGCGGGTCGCAACCGCCGCAAGTTAGTGACGAAACAAGGCACTTTCTTCACAACGATAAGGGTACGTAGTATTAGCCTTAGGTACCCAACCCGATAGCGAAAAGAATTCTCGGGATGGCTTAGCGCTGTCGATCATCAGGTGGGTTTGAGAGAGAAATGAAATAGTGCCAAGGTGGGCGCTCTGGGCGCTGAATCTGCGGAGTGTAGGTACAGAGTATGACAGGTCGAACAAAGCAGGGTGAGAATGTTCAGCGACGACAGCTTCCTAGGCCAAGCGCACGCCTATACTCGAGTCCCCATCGTCACCCCTCAAAATCCACAAAGACGTTTCCGCTGCGATATATTGCAATGCAAGGTCACCCGTTGGTTCCAAACCCCACAGTCTCTGGACGGAGAGTCGTCCTGCACGAATCGATTTGGCCACGCGGCGGGAATAAGTTTCCGTCCCGGGTGGCCGCCCTTGATGACCCAAACAGAGGCACATGGTGCTCGTTTGTTTGGCTGTGTTGGAGAACATATGATATTCAATACCCCCTACCTCGGCACATCAGATATAGCAACGCAAATATACAGAGTGATTCCTGCATCATGTTCGTGTTTACCGGGTGAAACAGTAGTGCAATACTGCGGGGTGTGTTGGATATTGTTGAGGTTGTAGAAGCGGGAATAAGTACCTAGGTATGATGGCGGTGGTAATTTAAACTACCTAGGTACTGTAGGAATTAGTACGGTATGGCGCATGGAAATGAGGCTTGGATTGGATTGATTGTTCTCGAATCTAGACCCTAGTGGAAGGAAAGTCGGGAATCATACCCAAAAGTAACAGTAGGATTTACAGCCTAAATGCCTAATGTGGCCCAAAACCACGGCGCAATATCTACTGAGTAGGGCACCTTGCGCCTATTAATCTGCACACATCAGGAACGCAAAGCCTCAGAAAGGTAGTGATTTCCCTAAGCAAACAAACCTGCATAACTACTCCACGAATTACCTAAATTACAACAGCAAGGTGGGGAGGAGAACCCGATGAAATGTGATTATATAAGTGGAGACTAATAGGATTGTCAGACTTTTTCTAGCTCCGAGGTTCTAACTTTATAAAACGTGCCCTAATTACATTGTGTCTTAAGGCTAATTAACGTTTGCTTTGCGTGAATATTTCAGTGATTAGACCAGAGTTTTGCAGAACGGTATATAGGGAGGTCAAGTTTGTCGGACTTTGGTGTCCAGAGCTCTGACTTTGACTACTTGTACATCACAGCGTCGGCATTTTTATTTGCGTTCCGTGTGTACAAATTCTAGGGAGAATAAACAAGTAGCTGCCATATCTAATCGTCATTATTAGAGGCGTTTAGGGTGATAGTTGTATGACCACACAATAATACTCAACAATTTAGGTCAGTGGATATGTTTACAACTACAAAACGAGGAATCAATCACATAAGATACACATGTTACTTCTCGACAAAGGCAGCTAAAAATAAACCTAGAATTATATCTACCTAGGACTCGGATATCATCAAATATAGAACAAGAATAGATAACGCTAGATTGACTGCTCAAACGAATGCTCGCTGATTCCTTATCTTGCTTGCTGTATTTGAATGCTCAAACTTGGCCGCTCATGACTTGCCCAGCACAAAGATCTCTGCGTCAGCAGTGGTATCGCTGGTCATGTACATCCTACCCGCGCTATCGAAACCAAGGCCCGCTGGTCGGAAGCATCCTGAGCTCATGACAGGGCCATTGCCAGAGCAACCTGCCACATTGGGGTTCGAGAAGATATCGGTATATCCAGTGTTGCTTGAGCGTGGTGCAACAGGCTTATAAGCACCATCGGTACCCTTAGTGAAAGGAACAGCCACCACCTTAAACCCGGTCGTTGGCTGGCGATTCCAGGAGCCGTGGAAAGTAACGTACAGGGTGCTGAACGTAGGGTCGAACTTGCTATCGATAGGAGCCGAATGGGCTTGGAAAACTAGAGCTGGTGGGGTTGATACGCTGTCGCAGTTTACATCCTTGAAGGTGTTATTTGGGGCGATCACAAACTGGTCACCGACCTGGAACTTTTGATCTGTGAAATCGCTAGGCTTCCAGACCGCGAAGCAGGTCGGATATCCGTACCAATTGTTGTTAGGCTGGGTAACGTCGCCAAGATAATTGAGCTTCTCGGCTGGGTTGTCTTGATGGACGTCCTTTGGTGACTGGCCTTGAGCGGTACGTTGGAAGTTGTCACCACTGTTTTCAACTCCCCAAAGCCTATAACGTTGTCAATATCAATTCTAAGTAGTAAGGGTGGAAAAACTAACATGTTGTTACCGTCAAAAGTTATTCCAACCTCGTTTCGGAGACCGTATCCTGCCAACCACCCATCGTTGGGATAGTTATATCCATTAGCGGGAGCCTTGCTTAGATCAAAGACCTTGACGATCGCACGACCCGTCTTTGGGTTTCCAGAGGCATAATCAAAATTGTCGTTGGAGCCGTGAGAAACAACCAGCAAGTTTGGCTGATGCGGTGCAATAAGCAGCGTGCGGGATACATGCGCACCTAAATATGAACCTCTGAATCAGTATTGCCTCTTTAAAGTGGATTCCCTCATTTCGGGTGGCACATGTCAGAGCCAGAGTACTGCTCTACACGTCCGACAGCGGCCAAGTATAGAATCAATTGCTCGGAGGGTGTGACTTACCGCCGTTATACATTCCAGTAATGACAGTTCCCCGAGTTCCAACCGAGGTTGAGGAGGCAGTGTATGGCCAGGAATAAACGGTCGTCGATGTACTCGCGTACAACGTCTTGCCATCAACACTTAATGAAATGCCATGGTTCAGGTTGTTTTGTGATACCAACATCTTGGTCGAAGAAATGCAGCCATCTGCAGACATCACGTGTAGTGAAATACCCTTTCCAGATTGAACCACCAACATGTTACCGGCTGTATCAAAAACGATACTTCGAGGGCTGGTTAAACCACCGATAACCTTGGTAGCTTTCCATCCGCTGGCCAGGACAGATTGGAATTTGGCGGCCCCGGCACCGGCGCAAGAAGCAGGAATGCCTGCTGCAACAGTGTTAGTCGCCTTCGTGGTGGTCGTGAAGGTTGTAGAAGCCGCACTGGTAGTAGTGCTAGTTTTGACAGGAGGTGCTGGCTCTACAAGATTGGCAGCAATCCAGGATTCGAAATCCGGGCTTCGAGCGGCGCTCAAGTCGTGCTGCCATTTGCCAACAGCCTGGTGAACGGCAAAGGCAGAAGCATTGTTTGCGGGTTCTTGAGGAGCACTAACTCCTTGAGCCCAAGCAAACGGTGCTGTGCCGGTGGCATTTATCGTGGCTAGTTCGGCATTATTGTCTTGGTATGAGGTGCAGCCTCGACATCTTGCTACCATGGTCCAATGCGTGCTATTTGTTGTTGTGCCTTTCATAAGAGTATGCTCGGCTTCATCGTAGCCTTGTGGAAGACTCAGGCCACTGCCCATATGTTAGAACGCTCATAGAATTTCAGGGATTGTCATACAATGCAAAACGTGCCGAGACCGTTGCACTATTGCCATTTGGCCAGGCAACTGTGAGTGGATTAAACACCATTGTCCCGCCCCAACTAAAACCGGCCCATTTCGTTGCCACTGGGGCTGTGATTGAAATAATCGCATCAAACGGGGCGGTTACGTTCATAGGGAGCGCAATTCCATACTGGACACCTGTGGCAGGAACAGTATAGGTTTGGAAGCAGATCTTTGTCACTGAGTCGCAGGATTTTGTTGACTGCGCTTGGCCATATGCTGCAGGCGGTTAGAATCACACACCATTGCAGAAATGAAGCTGCTCACCATGGCTGGCAAGTGCCGCAGCACTGCCCACGAACTGGACTAAACGCATGGCGGGCTAGTTTTGTGAGTATGCAGAAAAATCCGGATCCTACTGCTTAAACGCAGGCGGATATTCCGATATCTTTATGTGGCAGAAAAGCCCTCACATTCGCAATGGCGAATACAAGTCCCGGCAACAGGCTATCCTGCTAAGCATTTTAATCTCCAAAAATCCCCTGTTTTCCCCTAGGAATATATTGAAAGGCATGAGGGCCCCGAGCAACTAGCCAATCTTTCCCGCTGGAATTGTAATAATTGACCGGGAGATACGGCGGTAGTATTGCGTGGCCATAGGCAGAAAGAAGAGGTCGACGGGCCTCGACCACGAGACTGGAGACTCTTTTCTCCATATTGCTTGGCTATTTTGGCTGCACTTTCTGAGGAAATGCCACTACTGACGGCTAATCATATGTGATCTACGAACCCCAGGTTTGTTTCAAAACTAGGAGAAATAGAGTTGCCGTCCAAAGTTCGACGTGTGGGGTGAGCCCAAATGTGGGGCCGGGAGGCATTAAGGCTTAGGATAATTGCCTTATCAAGTGGTGGCCGATCTGTGAAAGGGGCAATAGCCTCATATCAGGCGGTAGTTGTGATGTCCCATCGTGCGGTTGTTGTGGTTAAGTTAGGGGTTCGGCGGAAGCGAACGAACGGAACAAGTTATCCTCAGAAGAGCCGAGCCCTGTCGTAGCAAACTGTACAGTAGGTACCTTACAAGGTCCGATGTCTCCTGTCGCCAACCCCATCACGAGATTGCCAGGTGATGTAACTGTTGCCAATCCCGAGGTCTGGTAGATCAACCACTAAAAATAACACTCCTCTAACTGCTGCCAGTCGATCACCGTCGAATACGAGGCCCCGAGGTTCTACCTGTCCCAATGAGTGGAGATATTGCTCGTATCATCCTCAGAACCCCGTAGAAGGGGGGGAGTACAACATTATGCCAGCTCTCCGCGCAGCAAATCCATGTACCGTGGTGGTGTCATGCTGCCCAAACCTCCTATTTATATAGGATCGTCCTTCTACCAATTTTGCCTGATCTTCTCCACGTCCCATTCGCTTTTCCCACCCGCGCACTCTATACCTCACACTCGCCTTTCAGCAACTTACTTTCGCTTACTCAGTATATCTCTATCGCAAATATGAAGTCTATCATTGCTGTCTCGGCGCTTGTCGCCATGGTCGCGGCTCAATTGGAGCCTCCTGCAGGGCCGTTCACTGCTGGCGCTTGGAACCCGTCCAACCGCTGGACTGGGGTTGCTATTAACGCAAGTGGCAGAGGATTCTGGATCGTAAGATATTCCATCCCAGTCGAATTTAAATATATATAAAATTCGAGTCTTGGATTTTAAGCTTCCACCTAGACATTCTTCAATTGAACGACACTGACCTTTCAACCTTTACAGGGAAAGGATAGTTCATCATATTGCCCAGTAGTGAAAGGCCTCGATTGCACTGCTTTCCCAGGAACCAGCACTGTCTTTGCCGGCGGAAGCGGAACTCTTTCTCTAGACGTTGCGGTTCCCGGTGGCCAACAAGGTACGTAATTCCTCGCATTCTATTTTCAATTATAATCATCTCTCCAATTCATGCCGGGCCCAATTCTAACGCGGTCCAATAGTTTTCGTTGGCCCCGACGGAGCACTAGGGTACACCGGGGCGCATTCAGCCAGCATCCCCGTTGGCGCTGTCACCACGGGTTTCTTACGCTTTCAGAGTGTCGCTGGGGGAGCGCCTGTTCCAATGACTTTTGAGGGCAGTGGCTTTAGAGCTTGCCCTGTGGATGAGACCCAGGAGAATGTCTATCAGGTTTTTGCCTCTGCAGTGGGGACTGACCCTGGAAACTGCATTCAATTCCAGTTAAGGACATATTCTGCGCCTGGTATTAGTGCTTGGCAGTATTAAGTCCCTGTGTTCCAAACCAGCAGAGGGAGTTTGTGTTGGAATACGGCATGTGGAATATTAGGGAACAAATGAATAAGTGGATGTATTGGTATGGTAATCCTGTAGGGTCCTTAATACCTAATATTTGGCTCTCTAATTCTTGAGATCCACATAATGGCAGCTTTCAGGATTACCAGGCAATGAATATGCCGACAACATCAAAGTAGAAGGGTTTATATAAGCCACGGAGTTATATTTAGAGATAATATATTAATTCCAGTAATTTGGGTGCATACGTGGGGCATATATAGGCCACGTGTATATTAAATCTGGATTGGCAATCCCAGTCATATACTAATATGATTAAAGCTAGTCTATCAAATGTAGATTGGAACGAGATCGATGCTCCGAGCGATCGGATCTCCCCGTATCCAATCGAACATATCCAATTATTAATCCTTCTTTATCCCTCTCAAATAACCCCAGTCAATTATGACCTACTATATGACATACAGGTTACTTCCGAATTATCCCATTTCAATCATAATAGCACTAAGCATTTATACACAATAATGTTAACTAGTAACCTTGATAGACTACTGTTTTGCTATCGTTTTGCGAAGCTCTCGTGAATATATTTTAAAAAAATATGTGTTAAATCCAATTCTTATTTACCGTTTTTAGTTACCGCTATCTTATTCCCTTAACTTCCTATCTATGAATAAGTGAAACCTTCGTTTGCAGTAAAAGCTGCGGTTATACGACCACAAGACCACAGCCAACGGAGCAAGCGAACGGGACTTTTATACAGAGTCATACACCGTAAGCGTTAAAAGGGAAAATGTGATTTTGCCCAGAGGATAATCGTCGCAATCAGAGTCGCACGAAAGTAAATAAAGGGGTAACTAGCAAAATTTCAGCGCGAGTAACTTGGGGGAAGAGTAGTATGTTGATTTCCTCCATGTGAGAGTAACATAAAATTAAATATTGGGGTAATAGAGCTAAAGAAGGGTAGCATGGAATGCCATCTTGTTGTGGGAGCACGGTTCTCCAACTATTCATACTCACTGATGAAATTTAGGAGTCCTAGGTAATTATACCAAAGCAAGAAGTAGAAACTAATAAATAGAAATTTCATGCCTACACTGTAACATTACTATTTATTACTAGTGTTACTGCCTTCCTCAACTTTATAATATAAATATATTTTCTTATATTGCTATCAGAACGCGACTAGACGTACAATTTCTTTTCATCCGAAATTCGTTCATCCTTTTCTAGGTATACTACGGTCCTCAGAATACTACAAGTATACAGAATCTAACCTGTAAATATTATACAATTAAATATAAGTGTATTGGCATAAGATCGTAGGATATAAAGTAGATACCCGGCTAGGTATGTAAATAGTGCCATTTTACTTGACATAATTTGTTAGATATATCCCTTAAAAATATTAAGGTTAGTGTAGTAATTATCATACTACGATACATAAGACGGGACAGGAAACCACCGTGTTATCACAATCCATTTCAGCACACGGTATGAAACAAAAGAAATGTTCTTACAGAGTACCCAACCTCGACATAGATCGCCTCCCGAAAAAAATCAAAACTTGCAGAAAATAATTGGACGCTGAAGGATTGAAATTAATTACTTACTTTTTTGAACGGAGGAATAGTAATCATGTATGCAAGCCACATCACCAAGCGTGCCGAAGAATGTTCTAATGAGAAAAAAGCAATCGAAGATTCGAACCCATGTAAAGCTGAACTACAGCGTTGGGTGGCGTGCAGATCCCTGTACATCGCTGCACTGCAGATCGATCCCCTTGTAGGGCCAGAACAGTTAAGCACGTGAGTAACCCCAGGTCTTGATGTTCAACCGAAGGCCTTTCTGAGACATACCTATCCCAGGAGATGCATTTCGCCTAGGTATACGAAGTATAAATAAGGAAGAACATGGTGGTATTTGTAAATAAAATACGATACAACTTTTTTTGAAAAAGGGCTCGAATTTGCTCACTTGAGCGAGCCGTGGAATGGATTTGCCATGTAAAGAGACGTGGCATTAGAGCCGAAACATATAATGGCTCCGGAGTGCGTCAAAAGCTCAAAACGAAATGTCGGTAAGGAGCTCTTCTCTTTGCCACCTAAAACCATACAGGTATATGATTCCCATTCCTTATCTCGTATCAGCTCTGCAGAGAAAATGCCCGACGCTCAATAATGACACCTCACTTGCGGACACTTGCATCATAAGGCGGGCCCATTACAACATCAGCCGCACAAGTCAGCATATCATAAGGGCATAATGCATGGTTTTAAGGCTGAGGCTTTGGGGGTTATTGGGGTCCTGAAAGGGGCGGCTGCATGGATACGACGTGGACGAGGTGAAGACTGGTGGTAATACCGGAGGTTTTTAGGCCGTATTCCTCCCATTGGGAATCGGCTCGTCAGATGCCGGCCCTAGCGAGAGATTTATCAGAAAGTCATCGATATGAAATAATGGTCCCGAGGATCCAGTGCCCGATTGGAGCAAATTAATAAGCCCCGTTGGCGGTTGAGGGCCTGTGCATGTTCGCGATAGGGACAATGATGTCATCAAGCCCTGACGCGCAAAGGGATTTCGCTCTTTTCTAGGCGGGCGGGCCTATGGACCCCTGACGTATTACATTACCTTACCAGCTTGATACCTTCTTAGGAAGGGTTACGATGACATTAATATCACAGTTGGACTGAAGCTAAGCATTCAGGGGTCAGAAGGCCGCCGGTTCCAAATCATTTTCTTGTTGATATTCTAGTGCGTCATAGCAGCGGTCTGGTCCGGGGGGTCTGGGGCAACAGCGTTGAGTTGAAGTGGACCAGCGGCGCGGCAATTAATAGTTGAACTGGCGGACGCGGATTGGCCCGCTGCACGGAGGATACTCCTCCTAAGGCATTCAGCTGCGTATACGGTACGAAGGTACGGCCAACTCGTTGGCATAATGCAATCGTATGTCAAGTACGAAGTGGAAGAAAAGACAACTGCAGTCGGCATGAGGTTCGCGTGAGCGGTGTGACGTCTTGCATCTATGTCTAAGCTTTTGATACACCCAGCAAGCGGTAACAGTGCGTTTGTTGTCCGGACGAGGGGCAAAGTTCATGCAGCAGATCGAGCTCGGGAGGCTGTCTCGTGGTTGTTAGGATTTATCTTCCTCCGCGTCCCCGATCATATAAGCCCCCGATCGTGTAATACTTTAGATATATACTAGGGTTAGTACTCGTCGACCCCAGATTATTATGCCAATGAATGGTGTTTGACGTAGATAATTTCGGTGGTCTCGGTTCGCTTGTTGGAGGTCGTCGCCGACAACGGAAGATGGCACAGCGAGGCACCACATAGCTGATGGTGGCTGAATTACATGATGGCAACCACGTGTTTTTTTTTGTCTCAGATGCCTTTTGTTAAATCATAACGAGCGTTTAGTTTCCGTTCGGCGCCAAACTTGAATACCCCTAAAGGGCGGGGGCTGTTGTGGTACGCGGAGGATTCCACTAATTAGTAAAAGATCGAGGAACCATGGGTTTGTTGCGCCACGAGTCAAGCCACGCCAGAGCAATCGCCACACCAAGAAAATCGATCGGCGCTGCAGATTCTTTGCGAACGCATCTCAAATGTCGCCACACAGATCCTCCAGGGTCCCAGCGCCTGTAAAGATTTCCTGCTCCCTGGAGAGCCGTGGCTGCGTCACCCTTGAAGCAGCGAAAAGGCTGCAAAAGGACAAGAGAAAAAGAGCGGAGAAAATTTTGTATCAAAGAATGACTTGTGTCCCTGAGAGGAACTACCCACAGAAACCGATGCTCCTAGTGCCGTAACTACTGGCCACCATAAAAAGGATAGAGCAGGACTTAATGTCTAGATGCGCCGGTGGAAACGGGAAACAACACGCACCCAGGCCTTCATCTTACTGGCGCTGGGTACGAGGCCAATAGGCGTATGGAAGGGACCGGTGAACGATTATTCCCCTACGTCCCCTAACGTTCGGTTATGCATCTCGAATAGGGGAGTACGGAGGTAATTGCAACATCATGTACATGTACGTTCGAGACCTTAATATCAAGAATCTTCTGGGATCCTGCCTGTTGAGGCTTTTGCCCTTGGGTTCCGGCGATTTCCGGGGCCACTTGCTCATGTACCTAGGTACGGCGTATTCCCAGAAAGAAACCAACATGCAGATTGGGGTCTTGAGCAAATTGGGGTCTTAAGTGTAGTTGTTCCTAGGCGTGGGGCTTCTCCAGCGCCATTGGAATTCAGAGTGGAACGAGGGCAAGCCAAATTCAAATCAATATATGGAAGATGTGGAAGCACGGAAGGAAGCTAATAGAGTTGGGCTGAGCCAGAAGGGTGACGCCTCTTAACAACATGAACCCAAAAGGGCCTTTGCTCCACGCCATAAAAAGGAGTATGCGAGGCTAATGAGGAAAAGGAATCGATGATCCCCTCGAGATGGAGTATGTCATCATGGGTAAGGTACGTTGTACCCGAGTACCTTGCGGAGTAAATTTCGGTTGCCATCGCAGATTTCGCGTGCAACGCAATCATCGTCATGTCGTACAGGCCGAGCCATAAGTGGCGGGTCGCATGCTGTTCGAAGTGGCTCGAAATATCCGGCGCTGGGACATTTCCAATATCAATGCTGGCAGCTGAAAGGCTGTGGCGGTGCAGTGAAAAAAATGGTCTGGAATAATGCACATATGCTTCGCACAGGACTACGGATGCTCTTCCATATCGCACCGATTCAGTGCACCCGTAGATGGCACGTAGTATCTCGCAGAGGCCCTTCCCGCCGTCCCACACAAAATGTTATAAAATATTTGCATTTGACGCCGAGGGAAGGCTGGTACTAGTCGGCAGGCTCCAGTATGAAGGAGCACTGCAATGAAACGAAACAAAATTAAAGGTTACGGCGGGGAGTCGGGGACGAGGCAACAGATCGAGGGCAAGAGGAACCAGATCACAGGCATCGATCCCCTCATTAGGGCACAAAATATTGCGGCAGCAGCGTCTAGTGCCCAAACTATAAGCATTAGGGAGAATTCGGGAAACAAGTGTTTGGAACTACTACTGAGTAGGTTCCCGGCAAAGAGAGGACAATGGTAATTCGAGGCTGGAGAGGCTCAACTTCACAAAGGTCCGAGGGTCTAGCGCCAAGATACGAGCAGTTCGTGGCTCTCAGTAGCGCCATTGTTGCTGTTCATGGTCCAGAGCACATCCCAGACTCCCAGGCCATGATGCCCACCTAGGGACTTGGGACTTCGGCGTTGGGGGCCACATACGTAGCCACTCCACCACTCTACCCCATCTTTTCATCCTCGGGAGCTCTGTATCGTAGCTTGCGGTCCCGTAATTATCCTTGGCCGCTGGCCGAGTGAAGCCGACTGCTCGGGAGGGGGCGATAGGGATTTGATCATTGTCGCCACCCTGGTGGATGATCGGCTATCGTTTTCCAAGACCTTTTGGAAGGTTGATCGTCCCATATCCATGTACTTCGTAGACTGTGTGGCTGAGGGACCCTAGGGAGGCATCCGGTGCAACGGGAGAAGAGTTCCATTGCCAATGCTGAACGTCACTTTGCACCGGCGCTAGGTTATTATTAGCTGGTGGACTTTGGACAACTCCACGCTGCTCTCCCGCGCTCTCTCTCGCTCAGCATCGTGGACGGGATCGCTGGTAGTAATAAGAGTAGGGAACGAAGAAACAGCTGGTGCAGGTGCAGGTACATGCGCAGATGCAGATGCAGATGCAGATGCAGGCGCATGTACATACAGGTGTAGACCGCTCAACAGAAACTGACTGAAGGACGCGAGCTTGCAATAATATACTTCGTGCTTGTAATAAGACATCAGACCTACGGCCTAGTACCAACAGCGGCTAAAGCGGCGCCACAGCAGACAGCATTGGTTACAGAACACACGACGTATTGTTGCAGGCCTAGCGTCTAGCACTCGTCATATGGAATGATAAGTATGTTCTCACCGTGTTCGTAAGAAAGCTGCGATGCCTCTGATGGCTACGTAGCACTGTTTGCTTGGTACTTCGCAGTGGTCTCTTGCCTCGACTCTCGCAGTCGAGGTACTTTGGAGGCGTGAGTTACTAGCAAGTTATTAGTTGTTTTCGCCACCGCACTAGGACACCAAGCACTAAAGCCCGCTGGTACCTTTTTCCTTTTCATCCTCGGGCGCGAGATATGTATATGGATATGGATCTGGATATGGTTACGGTTATGGATAAGGTATGGGATAGGGTTATGGGAGAGATGACATGTTAGCGCCCGATGCCCATCCACGGTCCCCATGCTTCCCCTTCCCTCGAATACGTTTCTCTACGTCCCCTTCGCCCTTCGTAGCGTCATCTCTCGATCATACCTACGTCTCCAATACCCACTCCCTACCTACCTATTACTGGACGAAATACCTCAGGTACTCGGAGCTTCCCCGTGATCCACCCCCCTCCCTCCCCCCCCGAAAACCCCAATTGCGTCGCCTACCGACTCCCTGCACCCCTTTCCCATCCATCATATATTATCAATCTCTCCTGCTCCTCCTCTTCTTCCTCGACCTCAACTTCGGCCGCCTTCTGCTTTTATTCATTCACAAAAAGTCTTCGTCCAGACAGGCTTCCCCTTTTCGCTCGCTACCCGCCCAAGTATACGCACTTGATAGGTATCTCGCTATCGTACAACCGAGCTACACCTTCCCCAGTTCAATCGCAAACCCGCGACATACAGATACACACCTTCGCTCCCTAGAAGGAGATGTACTTTGGCCAAACTAGCCCCGAACCTCCTGATTTCTCCACCAAATACCACCAGTATCTATTGAGCTGCGTTGTCGCCGAGTGCGTACCTGAGCCGTGCACTGCCCAACCTAGCCACCCCTCCAGATGTTTCGCAATCGGTACGTTCTGCGCCCATCTCGTGGTCCCTTTTGACGCGCCTCTGGACCCGGCCTCATTTCTCATTCGAGCCAGCTCAGCTAACTGTATTATGCGCCTAGAACGTCCTCCCAAAAACCTGGCGATGAATTTATCGCAAATTTCCGCCAAACCTTCCCAGAAGTCTCCGTTGCGGCCGCTTCCGCCTCCTCGACCGCTGGGAATCCAGCACCTGGTGCCGCAGTCTCCTCAGACCGGTATGTATAGAATCTTCCCAGCCCCAGAGGTGCCCCAGAAGTGCCTCAATTACATGCCTCTGCCTGATCCAGCGGAACTCTACCCCCACCCAGATCATGAACCTCTACAAGCTTAGAGATACCAGCTAACATATATCTGTAGGCTCCCCGACCTTGGCGATGACGATTTGAAAGATCTCGATCCTACTCCCAGGGCGCAAAACGAGCCATGGCGTTTTACACCTTCTCTGCTGGACCCGAATTCATTCGCTTTCGCCTCTTTTGCAAACCAACCGCCTGGATACTACACCCCCGGGCCAAATTCGTTGTATCATAACCAAGCTGGAGACCTGCATACTCCAGGAATGGGAATGGGAATGAGCCTTGGAACTCCTCTGTCGATACCCACTTCGGCGGATGCCGTACATACAAGCACCATGATGGACGTTTCTGGTTTCGGCCATACCCTCCCTCCCCAATTCCATAATTATTACCCATTTGGTCACCCACAGCCGCAATCACAGCCGCAACCGCCAGCACAACCAACTTTTGCCCCTTCCTCGTTTGTACATCAAGACACCGGCTATGAGACGATGGAGCAGGAAAGGTCGCCAATGGCTAATGGTGGGCGGATGGATTGTATGGATGCTAGCTCTCAACAGCACTCTCCAGTTATGGCATATCGGCCGGCGCCGCAGGACGTGGCGATGACTAGTGCTATGCCCCCATCGGCTGAGAAGTTTCGTTTCCATGTGACATTGAACGCTCCAACGGCAATGATCAAGCATGTAGAGGAGATTCCACTCACTTATCTTAACAAGGGTCAAGCTTATTCAATTTCGATCATTGACACTGCCCCTCCAGTGCCACTGTTGCCTGGGACGAAATATCGAACATTTATCCGGGTATCTTTTGAAGATGAGCAACAGCGTCAGAGACCTGCGACATGCTGGCAGCTATGGAAGGAGGGACGAGGGACGAACGAGGCGCATCAGCGAGGAGGTAAACTTCAAGCAGTCGAATATGTGGAAGCAAACCAACCTGTCGAAACCGACGACAGGAGGACCCGATCAGAGCTTGATACTGCATCCTTTGATGGTTTCTCAGTCATTTGGACGCCTGGCATGAATGGATCAGCAGAATGCAATGTTGCTGTTCGTTTCAACTTTCTCTCGACGGATTTCAGCCATTCGAAAGGTGTAAAGGGAATTCCAGTTCGGCTCTGTGCCAAAACCGAGACGATAACGACCGGATCGCCGCACTCCAGTGCCGAGTTTTCAGAAGTTTCCTATTGCAAAGTCAAGCTCTTCAGAGATCATGGGGCGGAACGGAAACTATCAAACGATATCGCACATGTAAAGAAGACGATCGAGAAGCTTAAGCAGCAGATTGCTCAGGCCGAGACTGGCATGATAGATTTTGGGAAGAGGAAGAGGACAGGCTCAAGCACGACCAATGCTCAGCACAGCCACCGACCTGGCAAAGTTCAGAAACATAAACGGACGTGGTCAATGTCGTCTGCCTCGTCCGCTGGAGGACCCCGCGTGCCCATCGAAGAAGATATGCACTATAAGCTTCAGACGATGCAAGACATGTTTACAAGCACGAGACCGGTCAGCATTCTCTACCTTCGTGGCGAAGTGCAAGACGACCCAGATCTTCATCCTGTAGCTTTGCCTGGCGAGCCTCTTGATCTCACGAAAGTGGATTCGAGAACAACTACTATTTGGCAACAGCGAAGCAGTGATCACAGTTCTACAACCGGAGGTTCCTCACTCGTCTCTCCATCTCCAAGCTCGATATCTTTGCACTCCCAAGCTCGCAGTGGCACTTCAATGCCTAACGCGCCCGGTCACTGGCCCGAATTCCAATCCTTAGCTCCAACTGATATCACCTCCTCGAATCCTCAACAACTCGCAAGCCCTCCTGATCAGATCACTAAGGTGCCCAGAACTGATGATGCTGGAAGTTTGAGCGGCTGGATTGAGGCTTTGGGAGTGGACTCGGCATACAAGCCGCCCATCGCAGACCGTCTATTAAAGCCAGTGGCTTGCTTCTTCGTTCGCCGCCGCGACCCGTCTCAACCCGACAGGCATGATTATTACAAAGCCATATATCTCAAGCAGCGGACTCTAAGAGACTTTGCGAGTGGCATAACTGCCAAATGGAATCTAGACCCTAGTAAACTCGTCCGCGTTCTACATGTCCTTGACCGAGGACTAGAAGTGGAAATCGATGATGATGTCATAGGGGAGCTTTCTGAGGGACAAGACCTTATCATGGAGATTACCGAAGTCAAAAATCCAACTGAGCCGGTGAAGCGTGAATGGGAAATATCACTCGATGTCACCGTTGACAGCGATCATTCTACAAGCACCGAGAATGTCATCCAAACCGAGGCATATGAAATCCGCCTCATGTTCTAATACAATTTTCTCCTGAAACTATTACCGCCACGATATCCAATGGCCCGGATGGTCATGTAATTGTTATCTATTTCATTATCTAGTGAATTTTGGGATTGGAGGCTTGATGTAATGGCGCAGCGTGCCTTTCTTGAGATACCAGTTCCGTTTTGGAACACCCTGTCCTCAATACCCCTCTTCAAATTCATGCTTAGAGGTTATTCATTCGGGAGGGAGTAGGTTATGGCGGATGGATTACTGCCAGCTTGCGGAAGCTTTGCTTGATTTTTACATGGGAATTCCCCCCTTTCTAGCACATATTTTTGTGGTCCAAACCACTTTGCATTCATTCCACGGTCATCACCTGGTCGACGTACACGAATATTCACGAACATGTTACATAATGGAGCCATGAAGTACATGAATTTATTTACTCTTTGAGAAGCTGGATTGGATATTTCCATAGGAGAGGGCATGATATCTGAGATGCTGAACACAAAATTGGCCCCTAAGAAGGGTTTGAGACGCACGAAGAATAATATGCGGTTCACACATGCACACATTATCGTTATCGTTCTTGACGTGAGTGCTTACTAGCTAAATTTGCTACATGACTTACTGCATTCATTATCAAGTGGTATAGGTCACTCATTGATACATGCTATTGGCTACAGTAATCCTTGTCGGTACAATGATAGCTAAATTTACTACCGTACATACATCGGACACCGCATTCGAATCCAGACAAATTTAACCCACATATAAATTCGAACTATCTAATATAAGGTTTATCCTCCACCCCCGTTAGGCCATTTTCCCATTGACTGAACAACTAGGGGCAATTTACGATCAGTCCCCGTCAGTCCCCGGATGTCATGTTTTTTCTCATGTGTTCCATGTGACCGACCTCCATAGATTGACAATCTACACGCACAAAGATGTGACCGATCGACATGCGATATACTACATATAGTTAGAAGTGGCGAGTGCTGTGTAGTACTCGGGCGGAATTCCGATCCTAGAGAGGCGGGGGCTCCACGCGGGCTCCTCGCAGCCGCCTCCCTATTCCACGAAATAATAACCCGATAGTGGACACCAATATACTGAGTCGTCGATTGCTGTAACTAGCCCCAACACGTTCCCACTCTCCCATCCCAGCTCCCATCAAGCCTGTGGCGAAACTAATGTGGAAATAGAGACTCCAAAGCTAATAAGGGGGCGAACTATTATACTCGGACCGAGATAATAGAGCGGGAGACTCCGAGGCTTTTGCCGCTACCTCAGCACCAACCTTAAAGGCATGCTCCGTCCTCGACTGCTGACTGGTTACCATGGTTCACAAGCTAGGCCAAGCTTTCAGGCACAGATGTGAGTGTGACATGCTCCTTACAGAAAAGCAACGCCACATCAACCCCTCACAAGGCCATACAGGAGATCTGCAGGCATCGGGGAAATCATCAAGACTCGATCGATGAGGTACTGGAGCAACACAAGGGGGGCGATGGAGTCACGCTGCATGTCCCCGTGTTATACAGCACTAAAGCATGCAGTAGGTGCCCTAGAGCCACATGAGAAAATAGGTAGGGAAGATCCACTTGATGAACCTCTCTCTGCTGTGGCTGACGACGGGCGGCTCGCAAAATAAAAGGAGCTTGAGTGTGAGGAATACCTGGGGCCGGAAGCCACAGCTATTGGCAAGCCACGGCTACCTCCCATCTAAGACTAATAAGGAAATGATCACCGTCATGAATCATGCATCAAAGCCTCCTGAATATTTTGGAGGAGGTTATCGACACGGGTACTCTGCCAATGTCTCCATAAGAACCTTTAAGACTATACTCATGAACCGTTCCCAAGGATGGGGGGCATATCGTGGGATTGAACGAGCATGTAGGGAGTAAACTAAGTAGCCTCCTTAAACCTCCTTGGGTTATGCAGTCAACAGTGAACAGCGACAAGAAAGGCAACCTCACAAATAGCCAATACACGACTCTTCCTGGTAGGAGTCAGCCTCACGATAACGCTCCCAGTCTATTTTCTTTAGAACTGAGAGTTTTAACTTGCTATATTTGCTATGAGGCTAAGGTATTGAAACCCAGTAGTTCTTCAAGTGGGGCTAAACAACCTTTCTCCTTCACTGAACTACAAAAGCAAAAGCAAAAGCAAACTATCTACTGATTTCCTTAGAGAGTACAAAGTACCAGGAAATAAACAATGTTGTCGGTGTGATTTTGGTTTTGGTAGCACAAATCAATGTTCTGCAGAAAGTTGTAGGCATCGGCGGGGAGTGGGCGGTGAGTAGAGCTCGCCATTCACAACAATCCACCGTATTTCAGCAAGCTTCCTTGATACTCTGACAATCATAGCTCTGTGAACTGTATATCTCTTTCGAACGTTGCTGGCAATTGAGTGTGCAGTATCTATCTTGATAAGTATTAAGTCAAACGCTTGGGGTGAAACGAGCAAGGCCCCACCGTTGCCATCGCCTCCAACCTTTGCTCCTTCAACCGCACGAACTCTTATGGAGAGCTTTTATCTTATTCAAGTTCAAGTCATTAGTAAATTTATCTTAAGCACAAAAGCAAGCACAACTGCTGAGCATATGACATACTTAAGTTCCATAAAATTTGATGAAAAGCTTCAAGAGCTCCTTGTCATCAGCCGCCTTAGTTGCCAGATGTTTTTTATATACCACCTTTTCAGTTCTGTTGAGAAGCCTCTTGGAGCGTTCTTTCTCAGCCTTAAGAAGGTCTTGCAAGTTAATGAGCTGCCGGTGCACCAAGGTCTGGGTGTTGCTAGCGAGAACAGCCTTTTCCTTCTCCAGCACGTCATGATCTTCTCCCAAGCTCTCCTTAACGACACCTTCGTACTTCTCGTTGAATCTAGTGATCCAATCTTGGGTAATTACCTCAGCCCTCTCGAACGCGACCACAGACATCTCTATCAATCTATTCTTGGTCCTGCGAAGGAAATCATCATCGCGAGTAGCGCGTTTGATGAACAGTTCGTGGATCGCCCTAAGGGCTGGACCATGGGGGGTCTTGTCCATCCGTTGGAGATAAGTTGCCAGGTCAGGAGGTCCCCTCTTCGTCATCTTCTCAGGAGCACCCGAGCCAGAGCCATTATTCAACTCCTCGGGCTTAGCTCCTTGGGATACCATTGGATTTGAAAGGTGTGGAATTGCGCTGTATTATGCTGTATCGTGCAAGTTAGATTATTATCGGTTGGGCTTAAGATTATCTCTGATGTGTGGGCCTTACTGTGGAAACTTTGGAAGCTTCAACGCGTGCTGCGTGACAACCGATATGGGTAGGATTGCTTGGGATGGATGCAATGATGATTGTCAGGTATGTGGATGTGATTCTTGAGACAGTAGATGCTAGCTAATGTGCGTGTAGTAGATCGGGGTAGGGAGGCGTGGTTCTCTTGGTGGTTTCCAGAGGCGACGTGGATTTTTATATGGGTTGTTTGTTTACACAGCAACAAGTATCGCTTCTTAATTCTAGGACGAAAGCGTTCACCGACTCCCTTTACAGTGGTGTATTCAGTGTGTAGGCAGTATGATTTACCACCGCCTTCTACGTCGGTGACAGAGGAAGATGTTGCAACTCAAAACCACCTTCGTCGCGCAAGAGCAGACTCAAAATCTATTCTAAAATAGCAGTCCAGAGAAACCTACCATAAGCTCGATGAACATGACGCACTGAAATAGCAACTTTGGTTTGCTCACCTCGTTCAATTCTTTATAACGTTGCTTGAGACATATCAAAAGACATGCCTTTCATTCTCAGGATCAAAATCACAAAGCTAGCTGGTATGTTCTGAAAGAATGCAACTCTGCAAAAGACTCTCTAAACGGGGGTATAGATTGTTATTATCTATACGTTTTTTTTAAGGAAGGATTTTGATAAGAGGCCTCGACATTTCTATGCGTTGATGAGAAATGTCTGGAGATCACGTGGTGCGTTTTGTGATATCTGGCACTGTATACTCGTGGAATGGCCATAAAACATATTAGGAGAAATGGGTATTAAGCGAAGAACAAGGGGAACATGATATAACATTTCTCTGACCAGCAGCCTAGAAATTGACCTCCTTCGTTTTGAAACGTCTCTTGAAGTTACGAAAGTCTCACGAGACCCAATAAACATTCACTTAATATCCGAGATGGGCTCAGGTTAGTACTCGTCCCACCATCCAGCTCCTTGCGGATAACCTACTACCGAAACCAGAAATGCTTTCAGTTCAGCTTTCTCTTGCAATACTGACTTCTTATGACGGGATAATATATGCGAATGAGGATAGCAAGGGATTAGCCAAGTATTTTGGGTTCAGACGAGGAGTCTATTCTTCAAACGAGTGTGGTTATATGGTAGGGCACCCTTTCCTTACGCATACCAAAAAACTAAAATACATACTAGACTCTCTGTACCCCCCCTATTGCGAGCGCCGCCCATAAATGCCATCTACCGAGTCCCAATCCAAGGAATAACCTTTCCATCCTGCCAAATAGCCCATCCCATACGCTAAGGAAGCATAGAAAGGGGCAAAACATGCGCTATCATTGTAACCGATCCAAAATCCGCAGAGAGAAACCAGGTTCTGCTACAGGCGGCGTGGGGAGAGAATCAGAGAGGTGTTGTTCGAATACAAAAAGAGACGAACAAGAACTAAAGCAAGTCATACGTAGGCAAGCCTACGCATCCTTCAGACCCGGAAAATCGCACTGGATCTGCTGTTCGGCAGGGACATTCTTCGCAGTTTTGACATCGCCCATCGTGCACCATGCGCCCGCAACGCCCTTATCATCCGTTGACCAACCAACGTCACCGCCAGGGAAATCGATATTCCAGAAGGTCGTTCCGGATTTGGTGTAAGAGAAGTCGAGCTTGGTCCCAATATTGCCCGTACGGAAGACATAGAGGCTCCTCGGGAGGCCCTTGATCTCTAGACTATCCGTATTAGACTTCATGGTGCCTGTTTTCTTGCCCTTGGAGACTTCATCTTTGCCATTGACTTGGAAGACTTCGGTTTCAAAGTTTTCGTCGCCTTTGCGGGAGATCTTTACGCGGTATTGCATCATATCGGACTTGCTGGTAACTGCGTAGTGGTTATCCGTAATGTAGTTGTACGGCTGGCTCATCTGCCCAGTCTTCTTATCTTTGGGGATCTGGAGCTTGGACATGTGGAATTGAAAGCCGTCATTTGCGCAGTTAGGTTTCGGCTTGCAGTAGGGGACGAATCTTGCCGTAATAGTAAGTAACTGCAACGCGAAAGAAAAGGGACACGGTAGGAGGTAACTTACTTGTCCTGGTCGTCGACTCCATCTTTACCGTCGATAATCCAGTCTACCTCGAATGTGTCGCCATCTTTCATCTCCCCGTCGCATTTCCTATCGCCAGCGAGGGCTCCGCCCTTTTTCCAGTCCCCCTGGGCTCGGACGAATTGTTTAAACTGGGAGCCACCACCTTCGGTAAGAAAGGTTAACAGTTTGCTCGACGATATTGATTTTTGTCAGAGATACTCACTTCCGTTTTCCCCCCCATTAATACACCGCAAGCTATTTCTTACAGTCCCTTCTTTGAATTCAGCCTGCTTGAAAGCATTCATAGGGAATTCGTCGCACTGAAGTGGCTTGGGGGCGATGTCATTGGATTGCCTGTCCCACATCCTCTGACCTAAAGGCGCAAGCTTGCAAATCGTAGAGCTGATGCTGGTTGTGCAGCCAGAATGTACTCGGTTATCAACTGGGCTGTTCCCAAATGTGAACTTTTTGTTGCCTTTGTTGACACAATTTATGAAATAACATGCGTTATTGCATGCTCCAGCAGCCTTATTGCACTTGAACTTGAATGTACCGCAGTCTCTTGAGGCCGCCCTCAAGGTGGGATCTCGTTCCATGAGAGAGGCCCCATCGGTGGTAGGCGGCAGGGCGATGCATAACCCAAGGAGGGAGTATATAGAGAAGGCGGCAAGGAGCTTCATTCTGAAGGCTGCTCGTCCAATGGAGTGTACCAAGAAGTAAAGAACGAGAAAGTATTGAGATAATATTTTCAAAAAGCAAAGGAGAGAAAATGGCAAACGATAAAGGGCGATTGGAAAGCTTTACTGAAAAGAATATATTGGAGATAGCACTGCAGCCCAGACATTTATACCTTCTTTTCCCTTACCTTTGATGTTCCACGGCTGGCACAGCATATCGTCTGACACATAAATTTTATCAGAAGGCGGAGGGAAGGAATCCAAACGAAACAAGACAGGGAATATAGGAGATCAAGAGACGAGGGGAGGATACGACCTGACCTCTCACGAAGGGTAACGAAGTGAAGCAATAGAGATAGGGAAACGGAAGGAGGAGTTAGGCGAAGCGGTAGTGTACCGAGTGTTTGTGCTATGTGAATCGCAAAAGAGAAAGTATTAGATGGAACTTTTAGCCCCAGAGAAGCTTATCGTGGCGGCGGAATTCCTTCTCAGTGCACTGCACTGCCATAACTAACCAGTAGATGATCTGCGAATCTTGAAGGCAGCAACTATAATGTATGTAAGAGTAAGCGCGAGCAGGATCAAAGCACTGTCATATAACGTTAAATTTGACAGGAGACTATGATATGAGGGTTGCACAAGATCCTAAAGGAATGTGCTTCAAATCAATGTAGTTTCAAACGGTTTAGAGGCACTGATAGGTCTAGTCGTTGCTGATCTCTGTCTAGACGCTGCCGACCGAGGTTAAGCATGGGACTCAAAATGAGCGGATCAACCTTACTAAAAATATATTAATAGACTAAAGATGGTTTTGCTTGTTCAAAACTTAGAGAGCCTGCTATATTATCATGGGGCTCGAAGCGGTCGGCCATGAGATGACAGGGCGGAGCGCTGGCTATACTGATATGTTGGGAGACGGCGGAGGAAGCTTAACTTGACTGGCTGCATGAATAAACATGTCAGCTAAATTTCAAACAATATCCTCATTAGCAAATAGGAATACGTGAAAAATTAACCTACTCCGTACGTAAGGTGATACCCCAGAGCTGAGGCTGTGGAACTGCACGCCTTTGCAGGTTAGTTACACAACGGAGGAATCTTACTGTATGTGGCTTGGCAGGTGGCTGAATCAGCCACCACCAATTGTATAAATAATTGAACAGGGAAACCAGTAAGGATCCCTCAGGAATATCCATCCTAAAATTAATTGCGTCGTCAATCATGGTTGGCTGTAGTGACGTCACTGTCGAGAATTACCTCTATTGGCCTCTTGTATTTTAGAGATATCAATACCTTCCGTCTCTTCTTCTTCCTGTCCGCATATGACCTTCCAGTATCAACAATAAAAATGTCTCATGAAGGCCCAAGGAACTCACCTATGTGGGTTGACGCTACTTTTGCACTTTTTATCCTCGTCGATGTTTCCAGAGACGTGCTACCCTCTTTCCCATCGAGCTTCTCTCGGTACTAACATCCTCAGGAAATAAATCGCGTTCTCCAAGAAGCCTATGACGGAAGTACAGTCAACGACTACATGTTCTGGCTTGCCGATGACTTCTCCAATGCGCCACGTCGACGTAGAGAAGGCGATGCGACCTATGTTGAGAGTGGGACGGAGCCTCCTATCCCGGAAGGATGGACTTCTCGATTCAAGGGGAAGACGATCCAAGACGTGGCAGGTTTCTTAAAGCAAGCTCCAGATGAGCTATGTGTTGACTGGCATCACTTTGCCGTGTTGGGCGAAGACTTTACCAAGCGGCATGTTATCACCCTTTGTAGGATTGGGGATGAGGAACTGAAAGGAGATAAACTTTCGACCTTACCGTGTACGGTGGAGCAGTCGGCGCTGTGCTTGTCAAGCATGGAACCTCATAAATGGGAGGAGTACCAGGCGGACCAGGACGGCAATAACCCGATTATGTAGCTAGTAGAGCAGCTCCATAAAATAAATAGCGCGGTTCAAATTCATTGCTTCATTGCTATTCCATTTTTTGAAATAAAGAGGGCTCATTCCTAGCTCGAGCCGCAAGGCGGAGTTTTAACTCTAGAATACTGAAAGGGGTTATTCCAGCGCTTAGTGCGGAGGTTTGGTGAGGCGAAAAATGAAGAGTGTTGTCAGTTTAGCTGCCGGCTAAGTTAGCTGCTAGGATTCTAATATCATCTGGACCACTTACTTCCCCCTTGCTACGTAAGATCTAGTCTAATTGCCAGTAGGACTTAGTCATTTCTTGAGAAATCGGAATGCTGTATGGGTCTTCGATGGTTAGTATTTATTATCTGGATATTCTGACTTCATTCGGGGGAAAACTAATATCACTCGAACCGGGGAATTTGCTTAGTGACCTGGGTGAGACAATCATGGACGGGAGAGAAAGGTTCAGCAGTTCAAACAGATTAATATCTGTAAATATATTTGAAGCGAATACTCCAAACTCCACCCATGCTGGGCAGCTGGAAAGGCTGCCTAGGTATATCCCGACAATGCAACACCAGAAATGAATCTTTATACAAGTAACACAACAATCCCTTCGTACGCCCGTTCTACCGTTCGATTACCCATCCCTGGCACCGCTTTCAATTGCTGTAGGGTCTGGATATTCCCTCCATCATCTTCGTTCTGCAGCTCTAGGAATTCGACGAGGTCTCTTGCTTTCTTTGCTCCAACGCCGCTGAGGCCCCTGATCATAGCCACGTCTCGGGAATTAACAATATCGAGGAGGTGCCGGGTCCGTGGAGTTGGGGCTGGGGGAACTTCGGGGTCAACATTATCGGTGAATACACGAAGCGAAGACTTTGCACCGGTCTTGGCTTTCGACTTCTTGGGTTTTGAGGCCTTGTATACGAAGCTGTCATCATCTTGATATTTGTGTTCAGGAATAATCGCTGAACCAATATACTCGTCATCAGAGTGTTCGTTGACCTCCTTTCTTTCTGGGTCGGCTTGCATTTCTACTAAGTTTTCCAGAGATGCAGCAGGGCTAGGGAGATGCGTAGCCGAAACAATAGGTGCTGTTGCAAGGGCGTTTCGATGAACCTCTACAGACGCTGACTGCCTGGCCGCCGCTTCTGCTTCTTTATTTGCCTGTATCTTCGCCCTCAAGTTGCGAATCTTCTTTTGCAACTTTTCCTGGTCTGGGAAGAAGGGTAAAGCCAGTTCATACATTTTCAGTGCGCTTCTGTCTTCCCCTCTTTCCTTGTGTTGCTTGGCCATCAATAGGAAGCGTAAGCCTTCAGTCCGTGCTTCTTCGGCTTCGCCACTCTCAATCTTTCTTTCAAGAGCTTCGAGCCGTCGCTGGACAGCATCGGTAATATCTTGTGAATTCTTGGTTGGTGGCTGCTCTAAAGCTCGGCTGGCCAAGGCTTCGGAAACCTTTCGTTCAATTAACTCTTCGATTTTAGAGGCCGATAGTTCGGCCGCTGACCTTGGGGCTGTTGGTCTGGCCATTTTCGTTGGGCGTGAGTTGGCTCCAGAATCTGATGGTCTCTTGTTCGTGGAATTCGTCCTCATAACCGATGTTGCTGTTGAGTTAGACGGTCGCGGCCCTGGCTTTGCTTTATCTGTGTATACCGAAAACGCCTTTGCGGGCTTGTCTCCAGCTTTCGGGGGCACTGCAGTCGGGTGTGTATTGTGAGCATTCGCAAGGGCACGTAGTGGCTGCCGTTGAATGGTTGCTCCAGTTATAGGCGCAGCCTTTCTTGGTGGCTGCGTAAATACCACTTCGTTTTCAATCTCTCTGACTTCGATCCGCTTGGCCCGTGAACTGACGTTGAGACTTGAAAGGGTGTCGAGATGGTAAGATCGCAGAGGCGCCAGATTCAGTATCATGATCGTGATACCGTTATTCTGGCCTAAGCTTAGAATTCTCGTCATTTTAGATTCCCTATAGGGTATCCTCTTGTCCCCTCGCCCAATAGCATCGATACACTGACTCAACACGAATAGAGATTTATTGATGCTCGCGGATTCGACCATCCTCTCCTTTCCGTTCTCGGTCCTTCGATTGTCTTCTGATCCAGCCAGATCAATTGCCGATGCCGTACTTGTTAGCGTCCCGTTTTCGTTCGTCTGATTGACCTTGACCATTAGAATTGCGTGGCTTCGACTACTTTGAGCATTGAGTTTTGTCCCCGCCGTGCTGCGGTTATGGTTTGCCTCGATGTACAATCTCTCAAAATCCTTCAAATCATCGCAAGCATGTTCTGATAACCCAACAACTATCGTCTTCCCGTCTTTTTCACGGAGCGGTAACCCAGCTAAGGTACGTTTCTCGGGCGGCTCAAAGAGATCGTATACTTTGTCGTTATAAATCTCGTAATACGAGAGGGTAATCGACACTGTCGTTTCTCCTCCAGAGTCTTTCGTGACCTTCCTTCCACGGCGATAGACTCCGCTCAGCAATCGCGGTATAACCCCTCTTTCTGATAATTTCATTCCCCCCCTCATAGTATGCGTCTTCCCAGTGCCAGTAACGCCATATGCAAAAATTGTAACATCTAGACCTTGAAAGAGAGATTTGAGATGCGGCGCAACTGTTATAGATTAGAAACAGTGGAGTTTGGAGATCTCTTGGACGGACCTTCTTTCGTGAAGAGCTCCTCCTGCGTTGTTGCCATTTTATAAACTCCATTGAAAGCAAAACTGAACTCCTCCGATTCATTCTTGGGATTGGGTATCCGCACAATATTCGACGGCTTGTCATCGTGGCTGCTATCTGGGCGAACAATTATGTCTTTGTCGAGTTCCTTGTCTAGCAAGGGCCGGAGTCGTGCAACCACTGTCGTATTATTTGTCAGGGATACGAACAGTATTGGATACAGATGGGATGAACTGACCTCGAACAGACATGGTGGAGAAGGAATTGTAAAAACAAAATACGACGAAATAGTATCGAAAGAAATAGCATCCACCAAAACTTCGGTGTTGCAGAGCCACTTGTACTCTGGTTACGAGCTCCCTTGTCGGTCAATAGTGGTGCTCGAATATTGAGAACCATTCACGACAAGGACACGCGAAGTTCGTCCGAGTGGCGTTGACAGGGCAACACGCGAAGCGTATGGGGTCACGTGTTGCTGCGAAATCTGGAATTTACCTATGACCCTGAACCAAACAAATCAAGCTGACCTTCTGTGAAATCCAGTTTCGTCGATGCTTCATAGAATGACTTAAAGGGGACCCTCGGATTTGGTAGCATTCATCGGGACCTAAGTAGCTCTTTTTATCGTCGATATATTCACAGAACAATGTCCCCCCTTTATCCCCGTGGGAGTAACACCGTCTCGAAAATTCCACGAAAAAAAAAAATCATATATTATTAGGTGTGATCTATAACTCTATTTCCTACATCTGCTGCAGCAAGGGCGGGGGTCTTATACCATGGTATCTATGCTGTCCAAACTCCAAAAAGTGCATCGTTTTACGATCAGCCATGCTGTTCATATAATCTTCATTTTAAACCCGCACTGCACCCACCGAGAAGCCACAAATACTAGAGTGCCAGCTGTCATCGTCGCACCACAAAATATCTGGAGATATAAGAAGTCTCCGTGATCTTTTGATAACAAGGCTCCGCCAATTGGATTGCCTGTTAACCCAGCGATGGAAACAATAGCGAAAAGAGTCCCAGATCGGACACCGATCTCACGGATGGGGGAGATCTGTGCTAATAGTGATGGCGCCAGAGAGACGAAAGCTCCCGAAGAAAATCCGTAGAGCAGAGCAAACACAATGATCGGGGCGTTGCTTGCCGATGGGAGCCATAATGCGAATACGATTATTGCTGAGAAGCCAGTGGTCATAATCATAACATTAAACCGACCAATGCGGTCAGCGAATATTCCAGGAAGGATTCGTCCAAAGATGCTGAGTTACAGGTTAGCGTATTCATGAAGCTATCTCTCAATATGTAATGCTGTCTACTCACGATGCTGCATTTAGAATGGACACGACATAAACTGATAGATTGTTTGACATTCCATGTTTTTGGGCCCTAAGCACTTACGTTAGGAGTGGTCTGAGACTATGAGGATATAACCAACTTACTGGAGGATTATGTAGTTGAAAGGAAGGAAAGTGCCGAAGAAGAACAGGAAGGATGCAGCACAGATCAGAGCGAAAGCAGGTTCCCTCAGTGGAGTTATAAACTCCATAATGTCGAATTTCTTTGGCTTGGGTGTCAATCTTGATTTCACGGTAAAGTTGGCGATCCCTAGCATCCCTAGTATCATAAATGCGGCAGCCCTCATCGTCCAAGGAAACCCAATCTGTGGGATGAGCTTCGAAACAAAAATAGGAAATATAACCCCCCCAAGGCTGGAGCCCGACGCCATCACTCCAAAGGCGGCTGCGCGATTCTTAAAGAACCACGTCCCAACAGAACTCATAGACGCGTAGAAGACAGCGCTTGCGCCAAGAGAACTACACATCCCTTGAGACAGAAGGAATTGGTAGTATTCTGTCGAAAGAGAGGCCATCATCAAGCCGAAGACGTGGAAGAATGTCCCTATGAGCAGGAGATACCGAGGACCAAAGGTATCGAAAACTTTGCCGAAAATTGGGCCACCGAGAAACATCATAGAGACTTCCAGAGAAGGGATCCAAGAGACGGTACTCGGCGAGTACTGGCTCAGCAAGTTTGTTTGATAGTACTCTTGGAACACTCCTACATTGGATCATTAGCCAAAGAGTCTCCAAATCTGAAACCACGGTCCGTTATAGTTTACTTACCAATACAATTAATCCAGCCAAAAGAACAAAACAGAGAACACCACCCTCCTAGAACGACTAGCCATGCCTCGAGGCCGCCATCCGGGAAGTCTGCAGGATTCACACCGCCAGGAGCAACATTAGACCTGGGGATCGCACCGCTCTTCTCAAGATCGGCCTCCGCTTCCACCTCTGGCTCCGGGAATATATTTGCCTCAGTCGACTGGTTCTGACTTCCGATTTTTGTGAGTGAGGACTTATCGTCCAAAATTTGAGTGGCCAACGTCGGTTTATTCCCGTGATCTGTTACTGGGATTGCTTCCGTCATTTTCTCCCCCGCACTCAGCGACGAGCTCGATAAACTGTGATCCGAGGCCATGAACGTTCGAAGTGTATGCTAGAATGATGAATGGATTATAAAGGAATATGAGATGAAGTAAAATGGGAAGAAAGGGCGATGGAATTTGGAAAGTTTTGCTCTTCTATATTGGACTTACGTACAGTACCTAGGTAGTATATATATCCCTTCGATACTCCTTAAGGCTTATGTAGGAGATAAGCTTTCTCCATGGGAATAAGCTGACCAACCATTCTTCTTTTGCCGGAGGGGACTACGACTAGAATCGTTAGTTATATACGACTGGGCGATCTGATTCACTGGAATCTGGGACAGGAAACAGGGCTGTCCATTTCCCCTGCCATTTTGCGCGCTTCGCACCTCGCCCTCGGCGTTCACTAAAGCCGAGCGAGAGAGACTTCTCAAGTAGATCATGTCCCATTTAGTAACTCATCGCACCCCAAAAGGCTACTCATAACAGATTTTCATGCTCTCCAGCATCGCCCTCGAGCCTGCTACTACCCTATCTTGAAGAACTATAACGGTGAGCCCTCAGGGCCACGCCTGCGAAACCACCAACGGATTTTTGGTAAAACTTCACCCACCCACGAGGTTAGTATGTCCAAGACAACAGGCATTAGCAAAAATCTTCTATATAGCCAACTGCAATCTGAAACTGATCTTCAAAGTGGACCACTCGGCATAAACAGGTTAACTCTGGGACCTCTTTACCGTTGGTTTAGGTTAATGTAATAAGTCATCGTGACGGGCGTCCGTTCGTTGACTAGAATGTAACTGGCAAAACCTATTCTACTGCTCTCAGTTTGGCGTGTCAATAGTGCGCTAAGTACTACGTAGTACGTACGGTATCGTAGCCGTCATTAATTCTTACGGAGTTGAAGATTTGCGGATACGGAGTGGCGAAAGCACTCATCGCACCGAAATTGTGCCATGTTCTAATAAATGTACTTCGTGGTACACCAACCCCAATCCTCGGGGTCTGCATTACTATCTCCGAAGATGTCGGTATATTATTATTAATTCGGTCTATTCGGTCTTACCAATCTGGTCCACGAAATACGCAATATTATAACCAGCTACAATTGCGTAATTCGATGTGTTCGAAAGCCACCTTCTAATTGGGGAACAAGTCTAGAAGCAAAACGTCAGCTTCACCAGTAGTGAGTGATTAACAGGGATTCTTTGTGAATAGTTAACTCCTCCGTCCTCCCTCCCATAAGATTGACTGTGGTCTGCTCTCTGGAATAATCCCATATTCGCTGGTATGAGCGGATACATAGAAGTACCAGGAGAGACTAGTTATTCGAAAGCGAAATTAAAGTCCCAATCCTTTGCTCGAAGTCTGGAAACTTGCAAGGTCCTTCTAGTTATGCTTTCAACCTCGACCTTAACGCTGAGCCTCTTTGCACCCTGTGGGAAAGAAACGATTTCACGGCTCCATTTTCAGTTAATAGGTATATATGGTAATACTATAGATTGCTTTGTTTCTTAACCACAGCAATATTCATAGCTTTTGATTTGATATCCGTGAAAAGATAGGTGGGTTCTGATATTGTTACATTTCTACACCTGTTAAGATAGGCTACCCATGTCTCAAGCCCTATTTTACAAATGGCTTGACATCCTGAACGTCTTCGAATTTTACCTTCCCATCCCTACCCACATCAGCCACATGAAACCCCGTTGGTACATCGGCTTTTCTTTCCGAAGCAGTTTCTTTTTCCTTTGGGTTGTTCACAAGTGTTACCGCAGATTGAACCGCTCCAGGTGGAGAGTCGGCAATCTCGTTGACGTCCCTCGATGTGAGAACATCACTAACCCGCGCTGCTCTTGAAGACATCAAAATTATAGTCGGGCCATGAAACTGTAAGAATAGCCGATCCCCCCAAATAGTTCTTCGAGCAGCTGTCCGGAAATTGAATAGCAGTTGCCTGATTCCTCTCCAAGTGTCGGTCTCCTTCATAACCCGGAAAAACTTAATCTTTGATAGCAAATCGCCAAACCCCAGATTTGGCACTTGAAACCTCAGATTCGAAGACTTGAGTCTGTATGGTAAAGGTGGATGTTGTGTTACAGTATATGCGACCACGTTAGCTGGATGTGCCACATACTGCTCTCCCGCCTTCAATGTGACCTGGTATATTTGACCAGGCCCAGCCAGCGCCACAAGCCCTCTACCAGTAACCTCTGAGTTGCCCCAGTGGGCCAAACTCATTTGTCGATTTACCCTCGGCGAAACAGAAAGTGTGTATCCAGTCCAAGCCAGCAACGCCTTCCGTTGGGCAACAATCCAGTCAACGGTACCATTAAGGTGTAATACAGTAAAAGAAGTGATAGGAGATTTCGTAGATATCAAGGCCGTTATTGGAGTTGTCGAGGAGATTCGTTGATATAAGAAAGGCAGGCCAAGAGCGGCTCGTCGAAAGGGCTCGAGAATGGATAAGGTGGATTGTACCTGCAATGATCGTGAGCAAAATTGTCCTCTCGATATAGATAATCTAGGATCTTCTAACATTTTCGGATTTCCCACTAACTCCAACCAGTGTCCCTCTCCTTGTGTATAGCTTTTGCGAGGCAGATAATGAGACCGACAGAAGAGAATAGGGCGCTCCAAAAACTTCGAATCTGGCATCTGGATGAAATTATTTAATCGGCAGCCTTATCTGGAAGCTTACAAGTCAATAACCTACCTGCTGAATCCGTAGATACATCAATTGAGTTGCCTAGAGCATCCCCACCGAGGATTGGAGATTCGGTCGTTGGCGTGGCGCTGATCTGGATAGCTCGACGCCGAGATGCCCCAGCGTAAGGACGCTGAAGCTGGCGAAGCCCTCGTCCAGCAGTTTTCAGCGGCAAATGACCGCGCATTGCTGCTTGTGGACGTTGGAGACGGGGAGTTGTGCAAGTGCTTGTCCAGGTCTAGCTTCAGGTGTCAGGCTGAAGTTCCGGCGAAGTTCGCGAAACTTGTGTTCCTGATTGCGTAATTTGCTTGGTTGTAGCTGCGCAGGTTGGTCGCTTTTAACGCGCCGAAACACGGCTTTTTACAACATCGCATTTCCCATTCTTCGGCCGGCTGATCCGGGATCGGGATTTAATAAACCTCTTTCTTTTGTCTCGGAGTACCAATCTGTCTGGGAATATACTTCGTGGCTGCGAGAAGAAAGCCCCCAGAAGCTACCCCTCCAAACTCTCTCCAGTCAGTGAACCATGCGGGCAGAGTCGTTCACGTCTCTAGGACGATAGCCACGCCACGAGAAGATCCACGATGATATCGAAGGGCTTAACCAGGGCATCTCGTTTTGGCGGACGAGCTTCACTCCGATTACAACCATGCCTTAGACCTCGAGCCGGTCTCCGGGTGTTCACCAACACAAGCCGATGCGCCCAAGTCGACTCCAAACGAACTACAGCCCAAAACCAAATCCCTAGGCCACCGAAACCATTGAACAATGAATCAAGCAAGGCGGAAGCTGTGGCCAAACCTGCGCCCACTGGGTCTGCAACTGCACGGAAAGACCCTTTGGCTCTCCCGGACAAGACGACCCAAGAGCAGCGGAAGGCGGATTGGGCGATTATGAAAGAAATGGCAAAGTATCTTTGGCCAAAAGATAATATGGGGACTAGATTTCGAGTTGGGCTTTCAGTTGCTCTTTTAATAGGGGCCAAAGTTCTCAATGTGCAGGTTCCCTTTTACTTTAAGAGCATTGTGGACTCGATGAACATCGATTTTGTCGCAGTTGGCGGTACTGCTACTACGGTAGCTGGTTCGATGATTTTGGCATATGGGCTTTCCAGGATTGGTGCTACCTTCTTCCAGGAACTCAGAAATGCCGTATTCGCAAGCGTTGCTCAGAAGACTATTCGACGAGTGGCCTGCAACGTCTTTGATCACTTGCTACGATTGGACCTGAAGTTTCATCTCACCAAGCAGACGGGTGGACTGACGAGAGCTATTGATCGCGGAACCAAGGGCATCAGCTTCCTGCTCACGTCCATGGTCTTTCATATCCTACCGACGGCATTGGAGATATCCATGGTTTGCGGTATTTTGACCTATCAGTATGGTGCCAAATTTGCTGCAATCACAGCATTGACTATGATGACATATACGGCATTCACAATTTGGACAACGGCTTGGAGGACCAAATTTCGAAGACAAGCCAATGCGGCTGACAACAAAGGGTCCACAGTTGCGGTTGATTCGTTAATCAATTATGAAGCAGTGAAATACTTCAATAACGAGAAGTACGAGGTCGGTAGGTATGATAAAACACTACAACAATACGAAAAGGCCTCCATCAAAGTTGCAACTTCCCTGGCATTTCTGAATTCTGGTCAGAATCTGATCTTCTCGAGCGCTTTAACAGCCATGATGTATCTGGCAGCTGACGGTCTGGCGTCTGGCAATTTGACCGTTGGTGACCTTGTTATGGTTAATCAGCTTGTGTTCCAGCTGTCAGTGCCCTTGAACTTCCTAGGGTCTGTGTATCGAGAACTTCGACAGTCCCTATTGGATATGGAGACGCTCTTTAACCTCCAGAAGGTCAATATTGCAATCAAAGATTCTCCAAACGCGAAGCCTTTACAGCTCACCCAAGGCGGCAAGATCACATTTGAGAATGTGACTTTTGGTTACCACCCAGACCGTCCCATCTTAAAGAATCTCAACTTGACCATACCTGCTGGAAAGAAGATTGCTGTTGTAGGACCTAGTGGGTGCGGCAAATCTACAATCCTGCGCCTCTTGTTCCGCTTCTATGATGTTCAGGAGGGCCGGATTCTCATTGATGATCAAGATATCCGAGAAGTTACTTTGGAATCGTTGAGAAAAGCCATTGGCGTTGTTCCCCAGGATACACCACTGTTTAACGATACTATCGAGCACAATATCCGCTATGGCGACATGAGTGCCTCCCCTGAACAGGTTCTCGCAGCTGCGCAACGGGCGAAGATCCATGACATCGTCTCCACGCTTCCAGATGGTTATAAGACCATGGTCGGAGAGAGAGGAATGATGATATCGGGTGGAGAAAAGCAACGGCTTGCTGTCTCGAGACTGATCTTGAAGGACCCCCCTCTACTTTTCTTTGACGAGGCTACTTCCGCTTTAGATACGCATACGGAGCAGGCGCTCATGGCAAATATCAACAGCATCCTAAAGGAGAAGGCCAGGACCAGCGTATTCGTTGCACACCGGCTGAGGACGATTTACGACAGCGACAAGATTATTGTGCTAAAGGAAGGTCAAGTCGCCGAGAGCGGCACGCATCGGGAGTTGATTGACACTGGCGGCGTCTACTCGGAGCTGTGGAGTGGTAAGTGGCTTGATCTAATCCTTTTGCTCATAGCTAACGGTTAGTAGCCCAAGAGACATTGTTCGACGTAGAAGGCGAAGAGCGCCAGGTCAACATTGGGGGCCTCAATATAGAAGAAGAGAGACAGGACCGGCCATCGACACGGTAGTCATCTAATTTTAGCGAAATAATATTTTATGATGAAGACTGTTCTGTGGCCAACCAGTGGCGTTGTGGGCTGCGTCCCTCGATTGCTCACAGACACTTCCGGAGACTACAACCATTTTGTCTGCGCCTGCATTCGATCTCGGCCGGAGAATGCCGATGGATTGACGATTGTGGCTTGATATGACACTCAAATAATCTCTCTACTCTGTATGTACCAAAAAAGGCCTACGAGATACATTATTTGTACCACTTGTTCATGTACCTCTACGATAGAGGAAAGTCGTACGAGTCTTATGTGGGTCGCTACTTCATACCTAATTGGGGGCGAGTTGCACTCCGTGTCCTAGTACGTAGCATAGAAGCTGGTTTGCAGCAACGCATCTCAACCAAAACAGGCCCTTAGCCTCTTGGTCAACTTATAATGGATTTGAATCAATCCGTTCTCCAAATGTAAAGGCCGTTCCAATCATCCCATGGAAGGATCGCTTCCCCTCTTTCGCCATCGATCGGGCAGAATAATATTCCATTTCCCCATTCTCCACAGGTTGGGGACTGGACCCCTGGGCGAGTCCGAGCATGAAGAAGGCGTGTGGTATGGCGTCCCTGCCCCCCCAGGAAAAACGTGCAAAGCCCCTATCGAAGACCCCGTTCCCGCTCCTGGTCCTTGATCAATGGTCCTCTATTGTTTTTTGGCGCAGCAGCGGATAGGCTGGAGCAGCACTCCAGGCTCCGCTGTCCGCATCTTCCCACTGTGCCATCCCTGGAGTTGCGGGTCCTGTATTTAGCCTCGGGTCCTATCACCGAGAACGCTGATCAACAGTGTTCGCTGCTGGAAGCAAGCCCCTAATGCCAGATGCTGGACGAAAGAGCCACAACTTATCGGTGGCTTCTCTCTTCCCTTTGGCAAGTTGCGATCACACTTGCAGACACACATTCCTTACGTTCTTTCGACCAAGAACCATCCCCTCTCCAGTCGATACGACCGCTAAAATAGCAACTACATCACCTGTACTCACACGTTCCTTTTCTTTTGTTTGTTTTTAAAAAAAACCAGCTCTCGAGAGACGCAGTCCAGCGGGCTCACGATCAACCGACATCCTCCAACCAACGGACTCCTCTCGAAAGTGTCGATACTCGATAGCAATACGATCCTTACCTAAACTGCCTAGCAGTCGTCCGCTCCTTTAATTACTATTGCCACCAATTCCTCATCGCTCTCCCCGCCCCGTCCAGCAGTCCCTCCGTTCTTTCAAACCTCCCTCATATACCCCCGCAACAATGAATCTCCTCGATCGCATCCAACAAAAGCTCGAGCTTTTCCGACTTGAACAACGTTACACACGGCGGCGGACAACCTTTATTTCCGAAGCCCAATACGTCGACGGCGAATACATATACTCTCCGTCCTCCACATACTCTGCAAAGTGCAGCGCTGGAAGCAGTGATAGCGACGAAGACATTGGAAGCAAGAGAAGCCGCAAGGAAAGCCGTAGGGAAAGTAGCAAGGAAAATAGCAAGGGAAGCAGCAAGGGAAGCAGCAAGGAAAGCAGCAAGGGAAACGGCAAGGAAAGCAGCCCGGAAAACAGCAAGGAAAACAGCAATGAAAGCAACAAAGAAAGCAGCCCGGATACCAAGCCTAGCAAGAGACTGAGCAGGCTGATGTTAAATACATCGGACTGGCGAAAGAGTGCAAGGGACGAGAAGCGGCAGAGTCGGATGAGCGTTAGAGAGGTGAAGTGGAATGACCAGGTTAGATAAAGGAAAGAAATATTGGCTGGAGTTCGAAACGGGCGAGATTATATACCGGATAGCAATCCGGCAGGAGACTACCTTTCTCATGTGTTATGAAGTTCTTTGGGGGCGGGGGATATTGTTGTCTACGGGGCGTTTTTATCTGTGTGATATTCTACAAAGAAAGATACGAAATTTATATTACATGACAATGCTTTAAATCATCGGAAAATTACTCGGTGATTTCTCCGCAATTGAAGTTTCAACCCAACCCCTCGGAATGATGGGGGCAGCTTGTACTTTGTCCTGTGCATAGGAGACAGTCCCTTCTGTGACAGCTATCTGAACTAGAACAAAGCAAAATATCAGTCTGGACGAATAAGCAGCCCTATGTAATGTATTATTACATTTAACGTTCTTCAAAATACCTTCCCAGGTATCATGGTGAGATAATATTAGAGCTGTAGATCCCACCACAAGTTTGCTCTAGACCTAGTTTGGTGAGGGGCATCTGCGATACGATAACTCATGGCCAATACCCAAAGACGGTGTGTTGCAGAGATAAGAAATATATTCAAGTAATAGATCATTGTACTCTCATCCACAGTACTAATAGATATATCCCGGTGTGTGTTATGCTGTCAGAACGCCTGGTAACATGCATGCATCTATGGTTCCCAATCCCGATGCTAACCAAGCCTTGAATAGATTTATTTATGCATTTCCAACCAAATATTTTGCTGATAGATCCCTCTCGCGGACGCTCAGGCGATCTCGCCAAGGAACAATATACAATCAATATCAATACAAAGAGATTATAGAAAATTTGGCTCATGAAGGTCTCTTGAATGGGTGAGCTTCGGTATTAAGAACCCATTCATCCAAGCTGATCGTGTCCGGTGTTGAGTACAGCAGATAGTAGTACTTCAGCGTTTCAGAGAGCCAGAAGCTTTCCATCTCATCCGCTTTGGTCGAATTTGACGTTGTAACATCGACGATGGCTGAGTGGCCGTGCTCTACGCTTGTAGCATCGATGACAGATTTGAACATTTTCCAGCCTTTGTCTTGCCACGAACTGTCGCCTGTGATGCGGTACATATACCACACGGATTCGATTGCTTCCGGTCTAAAATATCGGTTAGCGTTGATGGTATCTCGCCATGGAAGGTACAGTACAGTACCTTAATATGTATCTCTTATCGCGAATGCTTACGTAGCCCTCAGGAAGCCCGTTTTGTTCAATCATGTTCTTGACATACCCCTCATGCGTGTACGGCATTAAGGGATCTCGCAACGTCTTCCCCTTTGTTTCCTGAAGTGGCAAGTCGGCATTCCGGCCCTTGCCTGACACGTCCTGCAATCCGGCTTTCGCTGTCTCCGACTTTTGATTGTACAAACGCTCTGAGGGTGATAATTCAACTGATGACAGAGACTCGTCGTTGGGACCAGATGTTTTCCCCTTGGAAGAGCTGACTATTTCGCGCTTTTGCAAGGACGCCCGGTCGCTGTTCCGCAACGAATTGGCGCCATTCGTATTAGCTGCAAGGTCGGAAGATTTCTTGCCCAGGTGAGCATCTGGTGATAGCTCCCTACTAGAAGATTGGTTATGGGGAGCCTCAGCTTCAGATAATCCAGGTTTCTCTTCAGCGGCGACTCTAGCAGCTTCTGCCTCCCTGTCGCGCTCTTCTTCCTCGACAGCTTTCTTGTTGGCTATGTATTGTGCAACATCTTGTGCTCTCGAGTCCGCATATGGATCCAATGCCCTGTGATAAGCCGTCTCATTCCACGTGCAGTGCTCAGCGCTCTCGCAGGGAAACACAATCCCTCCCTCCGGCATAATACCTGAAGGTGTTGAGTTATACGCCCATACACAGCCATCAGTAAGCCTCTTAGCGAGTTCCAAATCGCCCTCAAGATCAAATATCTTCGCAGCCATCCCAACCATCCCGCCGATGAAGCATGTGAGATGTTCTACCTCAGCAGATAGCACTAGGTCATCTTCAGAGCTACCCCTATTCGTGACTAAACCGGAAAATAGAATATCGCGGTTGCCAGGAACCATCGGCCGGTACAGCATCCACTTTCGGACAGCTTGAATCGTCTTCATGTATAATGGCCGATATTTGTCCTCAAGACCGCCAAGTAGTAGGTATTGCTTGTTGCTGTTAGCGTAGTTCATTATGCATATCTTGGCTTCATACCTTTGGGAAATACTCATATGTTGAGTCCTGCCCGCCTCCCATTGAGAATTTATCATACCCAGCGGACGTTAAACCTTGTGGTACACAGTCATCTTCCGCTGCTTGTCTGTCTACTATGCCCTGTCCGCGTGTCGGAGTAGGTGTTGTGTCAGCAACTGTGGATTCATTACCCATATCTCTCTTCGACGACTTTTTTTCCTGATTTGGATGTGTATCCTCCCAACCAAGTACCTGGCCCTTAGCTGGCTCGCCCGGGGTGATCTGAAATTGTAAAGTGCCAGGCCCTCCAGAACTATCTTTGGTAGGTTTCTTCTTCGGCTTGGGTTCTTGGACAACGCCCGGGATGGCAGGCTGGTAGCCCAGAACTTCCTCCGCGTCTTTATCGGGAACAACTACTGGAGGAGCGATAGGTTGCTGGTTGACAAATCTTGCTGTCCGATTACAACCTGAAGCATCCACATTCTCCGGAAAGACGCCATCGAGGGGTGTACCTCGATCCTGCCATTCTGACAACGCATCAGTCACACGCGCTACAGCATCGTAGTATTTCGTGTTATGAGTTAGCTGCGCCAGTCTCGTGAACTCCATTGAAAGTGACCCAAGTTCTGCTAGGTTTGACCGCGAGCTAGCACGGTGAGGCTGAGATGCGTACGCTGGTTTCCAATTGTAGTATAAAACTGGCATCCGATTCGGCGTGTCAAATGCTCCTATCAGAATCTCGGCGAGTTCTACAGCTTTTCCCAGCAGATTCTTAAACCTTCCACCACTAACGTCGTAAGCAGCCAGGAGGCCACCCAAGTACCGAATGGTGGTCTCGAAAACGGGGATCTCGTTCCGCGAGCTTGTGGTAAAATCTATCAAATCGACAGCCCTGACTGCCTCTTCAAACTCTTCTTCGAGGCCCATGATCCAGAGAGTGTCTAGAGAATCCACCAGAGTTGCAGCCCACCCACAGAATGGATCCCGGAACTTCCCTGAGACTGGAGACAGCTCGTCATGCAGCCATGCGTATTTCTTGTATCCAGCCCAAGCCTTTTGGAATTCTTCCTTCACCCTTGCTTGCCTCGCCTCCCGCTTTGTCTTCGCGTCGTGGGTTTCGTCGCTGAATGAATGCTGAATTTTATTGATTGCAAGCGGTTTGCCTGTAGGTAGTTGTATAATGGACTCCGTAGGCACAGGAAAATGCTGCACTTGCTTCTCCCAGTGTATTGTGGTCTCGGCAGTAAATGATGGCGCTTCTTGCCGTCCAGGGGGAGCAACGGGATGAACGTCGTCCATGCCATCATCATCCACATATATTCTCGCAGGTGGCAGCTTTCTGTCGGGGATGCCAATATTAGGTATGGTAGGCGGAGGGGCCGTTGTACTGGCCACAGTGGACTTTGAACCGAATTTCGTCTTAGACGCAACTGCTGCGGAGGCAGGCGCCCCCTTTGTCTTCGTCGGTCCTAATGGCAACTGCTGCCTTTTAGTTGAAGGTTGTGAGGCCGGCTGGAGGAATTTGGCATCCGCCGCAGCCTTGTCTGGAGAAGAGTCTCCATCTCCTTCCCCCTTTTGCTGCGGTGCAGACCCTAGGTCTTTGAGGGGTGTGGCTTCCGACCAGCCATCCTGATGTCTCAATCGGACGAAGAGGAAGATGATTACTGCCGCTGCGACGAGAAAGACGCGGTAGCGTCTGAAGCGCAGCATCTTGGGCGGCTTCGTGCTTCCTACTTGCTAGACGCGGACTCTGTACAATTCAACGAGGGGACACAAGGCACGCGACAACGTCCCTCGGCGTGCGAAATGCGCAGAGCATTTCTCGAAGTGAGATTAATTACCAAAACGAAAGGATCGGTGGGGCACAGAGATAATAATAGAATTAAACGGTAAAGATAGCAAAGCCAGCGAGGCAATAGGGATCAAGGACAGTAGTCAGCAAGTTGATGTCAAGGTCATTTCAGGAAGAGCATGCGCCACAAGGGACCACTCGCGATTACGTACAAATACAGCCGCCGGGATGAACAACCTGTACCTCGATATTAACCATTGCACTGCTGGCGTTCAACGGACAAGTTGGCTTTCATCCGATTAATCTGTTATTGGGATTAGGCATTTACGGAAAACACTCAATCATAGTTCTATATGGATGGCTGTTGTACAAATATGCACTAACTCCGTAATAGGTGCTCCATTGCCAACGAGGGGCCGTGAGGCTCGTGATACCAAGGGCCCTACACAATACATACTCGAGGACAATCCCATGCTCATCGATTAACCTTACTACTCGTCCATTCCAGGGCCTGGCCCGCCTTGCCTCCCCATTTGTCTAGCTTTGAGCATTTCATCGCAGAGAAGAAGATTAGATGCGATGCCGGAACTCGAAGCAATAGCGTTTCTGAGAACACGGAAAGAGTCGAAAACACCCGCCAAGACAGGGTCCATAGGCTCACCAGTCTGCAGATCAAGACCAACCACGTTGCCCTCTGCTTGCTCGTCCTGAAGGGTGGCAACTATCTCAATGTCAGTAAAGTTTAGGGTTTGTGAGGCTCGATATACATACGTGCGTCCTGAATATCGTGTCCGGCATTTGCTGCTAGCGTCTTGGGAATAATGAGCATGGCATCAGCAAACGCCTGAACGCCCCATTTTGCCTTTCCCTTGACCGTCTTGCGGAAAGCCTCGCTATTTAGATGTGCTGCACAAGCTACCTGGAAGGCTCCAGCTCCAGGAACAACGCTTTTGTCGACAATCATATTAAGGACGCTGCGGAGACCGTCTCGAACAGCATCAGAGATCTGGGTGATGGTGTGCTGATTTGGTCCCTTGATGAGAATCGTTACGGATTTTGGCTCCTTCACGTCCTCGATGAAAGTATACTTCTCCTCTCCTAGTTGGTGCTCATAGACTAAGCCAGCCCAACCAAGAACCTCCGGTGAAAGATCATCAACGCTGTTTTGCGCGGTGCCTCCACATATCAGCTGCAATCTCTCCATATTCCGTCTCTTTGCTCGCCTCAGTGCAAAGATACCATTCTTGACCAAAACATCAAGAGATAGTGGATCAATCCCTTTCTGGTTGATAATGACAAACCCCTTCTTGGGATCGTTTCCACAAACTTCCTTCTTCAATTCAACGATCTTCCGTAACTTCTCATCGACGAAACGGCGTTCGCTCTCAACAAGCTTGTCTCTTTGTTCAGCGCTTGAGTAATAGAAACCCGAGTTGATCTCGGATTTCTCGTACTCTAAACTGACATTCAAAGCCAGAACAAACGCGTTCTCGACCCTCTTGGGCATATCAGGATGCCTTGCGCCGTGGTCTAAAGCGAGGCCCCTGATGAGCTGCGTCTCGGAAGCGGTTCGGTGTTGCATCTTCATGATCTCAATCATATGTAAGTCGGGCTTCGCGGGTGGTTGGTAAATGGACAGAACAGCATCCACGATATCGGGGGTGAGCTTCTCCGCCAGCGTATGGTTGAGTTTTGTGGAGAGGGATGTACGTGCAACACATAGTAACAGCTCTCGGTCAACCTCTTTCGGTAGTTTGAATGTATCTAGAAACTGGGAAGAAGAATATTAGTATATCCCCACCATGGTTTGGATGCCCCTCGTACCTTCAAAGCCTCGGTCTTGGCAATCTCATAGCCATCCGTGATAATCCTCGGGTGTAAACCTTCTGAGATATATCGATCTGCCTGCTTGAGAAGTTCGCCTACGAGCAATACAACAGATGTTGTACCATCACCACAGATATCGTCTTGGGCCGTTGCCGCTCTAGCAATCATAACTGCCGTCGGGTTCTGTATTTGCATCTCTCGCAGAAGCACATTTCCGTCTTTTGTGAGCTTGATCTACGCAGATGAAATATTAGAGAAAGGTATGCTTAGATGTGTGGGGTGTCTCCATACCGCGCCAGCTCCATCAACTAGCCTTCGCAAAATTAGCTATAGTCTTCTGGAGTTCAATGCCATTCACATACATCTTTATGGTCCCCAAGGGACCCAGATTGGATTTCAGAACATCTTGTAGTCCTTCACCCGCGTTGATGTTGACTCGTAAAGCTTCTCCTCTCCGCTACGCAATGTTAGCGGACATTTTCTCCTGCACAGCAAGTAACGCACCCTGGATTCTGCTTTTGGGTTGAGAAGCTGCGCTGCAGACATATTGACGTCAAGAATCTTTCAAAAAGGTGTACTGGAGCAGTCGAGGATCTTGGGACAAAGTAACAAAAAGGTATGTTGCTCTGTTGCTCCACGGTTTTTTCTGTCGCCAGGTAGACGAGAATCGCGAGGCGACCTCTGAACATTGATTACGGCGGCCTAGAACTTACCTAAGCGCAAGGCTGTACATATCTCATCGCAACCTCGAGTCAGAGTGCTGACACCCCCTAGTCCGGTCGACAACCGCTAAACTTCAAAAACAAAAGCAAAGGAATATCGAAGCAAGATGTATGCAGGCTGGCACCTCGTGATCATTGGAGCGGTCCTTTGTGGACAAAGCGTTGGCTATTTCTGGCCCTTCACAGCTTTTGCAGCTACAAGTGCATCTGGATCGTCGCTCAGCAATAACAACAACAAAAGTGTGGCTATCATAGGTCCGTAAACTTTCTTGTTTATCCACCGCCCTCATATTACCATGTTCTAGTATTTTCTTAATGTGAGATCGAGCTTGTTATTCGTCTGGCAATTGTGCCCTAGACCATGCTCAATCCTCAAGTGTACTTCCTGAGGGATGCTGCATTTCGGTCACATCTGGATCTGACTCCTGGGTATCTTGTTTCTCCTACGAGCTGTGCCATGTAATCCAATGGGAAACATGGCAGCAGTATTGCAATGCCATATATAGGCATGGGGTCAAGTCAACCACTGTAGTAGTTGGTTAGGGACATCCAGAAAGTAAAGCATCTCAGCAGCCCGGATAAGCCAGATATATCCATCTACCAGGTCTCTCGAACTCAAATAATATATATTAGCTGGTCTAAATTTCACAGCTATAATGTATTATTGTGTGGTCGTGCAAGCCTGTTGATGGGCGGTTGGGGTGGTTGTACTCCTCAGAGGACCATTAGACGATGAACGATATATTGGTGTAACCAAATACTCTCAGCTAACTAAATACTCAGGAGCTGGTGCTGGAGGATCTTCTGCAGCATATTATCTGCAACAATTTGCTTCCCAGGCAAGAGTTCCTGTTGATATAACGGTCTTCGAAAGATCCTCATATGTAGGTGGCCGTTCCACCACCGTGAATGCATATGGCGACCCTCTAGAGCCCGTCGAACTCGGAGCAAGCATTTTCGTCGATGTCAACACAATCCTTAAAAATACAACGGAGAAATTGGGCCTGAAAATCAGGCATTCCGACACTGGAGACGGAGGTCTTCTTGGGATCTGGAACGGTGTTGAGTTTGTGTATACTCAGAAAGACAGCGGGTGGCAGTGGTGGGACATTGCCAAGTTGCTCTGGAAATATGGACTGGCCCCTATCCGAACTCAGCGCTTGATGAAGAGCACCGTGGGTAGATTTATGAAGCTATACGAACCGCCTTTCTTTCCGTTTCGGTCGCTATCTGAGAGGGCGATGGACCTTGATCTTACTTCTGTAACGTCAGTGACTGGGGAACAGCTTTTGAAGGAAAATAGCGTGAGACATCCGAGATGGTAACAAATAATTTGTGCTGATTTAAAACAGATTGCACCAGCATTTTCTACAGACATTATCCAAGCCAGCACTCGGGTCAACTATGGTCAGAACCTAAATCTCATTCATGGTCTTGAGACCATGGTATGTATGGCAATTGAAGGTGCAATGCAAATCGTTGGGGTAAGTTGCCCGGCTCTTCAAAGTCTCCCTTCGTTATGATGGAAACTAGCTTCCTCTATCCTCGGGGGAAAATCACTTTTCCGTCTAAATTCATTTGCTCTCCGGTCATTTGTAACCAAAAATGCTGACTCGCCCATAAAGGGTAATTGGCAAATCTTCAATGGCATGTTAAATGCCTCAAATGCTACAGTCCTTCTCAACAGTACCGTCACGGAAATCACGAAGCGTGAAAACAAATACAGAGTCAAGACAACCATCAAAGATTCTAGCCCTGGGAAACTTTCTACGAATGAGGAGCTTTTTGACACGGTGGTTCTCGCAGCACCGATGCAGTATTCTGGTATCGATATTAAAGATGATCTCCTCCATCACAAACCCGACGATATTCCATACGTAACACTTCATGTGACACTCTTCACGTCACCCCACACCTTGAGTCCCGAATTCTTCAACCTTGCACCAGATGCTGAAGTTCCCACCTCAATCCTCACCACACTCCCGGCCGGCGAAATCCCACATAACCCTGATGAAGGTGTTGGCAAACCGGGATTTTTCAGCATCAGCACCCTCAGACCTATCCTCAATCCAAACACAATGCAGAAGGAATATTTGTATAAAATATTCTCACCCAAGGCAGTTACTTCGGAATTCTTGGCAGGGATTTTGGGGGTTCCAAGTTCGTATATCTAATCGCTTCAATGTATCACTCCTGTACTTACTAATACCAATTAGCTCCCGAAGATCTCAGCACGATCAGCCCTGATAGCGGAGATGCAATATCTTGGTACTATCCTCACGTCTGGCAGTCATACCCGTATGAGTACCCCCGTATCACATTTGAAGACTCGGAACTTGCCAAGGGCTTTTACTATACGAGCGGTATGGAGAGTTTCATCAGCACGATGGAGACAAATGCTCTTATGGGGATGAATGTGGCGCAGTTGGTAGTGAATGATTTCTTACAGGACCAAGATAAGATAGATAAATTGGGCGAGAAGCCACTGCAGGCAGTGCTTTCAGAAGGGAGGGGTCCTCCCGAAGAATTGTGACCGAACTGCTTTCTCCTTGGTTTGTTTATCAGTAGAAGGGATTGGGTTTTCGGACACTATTTTTATTTTTAATTTCCAATGATGCAGAACGTTTCGACTTCGATATATTTAAGGCACAGCAACTGAGAGACATCGTGATATCCTGATGTCCATTTACTACTCTAATTGTCCATGGAGAAGCATCTCATAATCTAGATTTCCAAGTCTAGTCTATACCTAGGTATCTTTCCCGACATACCAAAGAACTATCCAATTTACTAGCCTTGAAATCCATTCCGTAAATTCTCATACTTCGATTCCGGATAGGTAAGGCAGTTATTGCCCTGCTTCAGAGCACCCAGTTCGCTCACAACATTCGCAATCAAGCTTTGGTCCCCCGTTCTATCAGCACTGCTCTCCCACCACATCGCACCCCCAAGCCCCTGGTTCTTAATCCAAGCAGCCTTTTCCCTCGCCATAGCAACAGTATCGTAAGTCACCAAATGACGTTTCGCCGCATCATAACTATACGTGGCGCCAGCCTCCGCATCATACTTCTCTTCCGCACCAGCTAAAGGCAAAGCTTTGAAATCAAACACTCCGGCTTCCCACGATCCCTCCCCCACACCGTTAAAAGGCTTACCCAGACCATCGGTTTCTGCAAAGGCACGACCGTACAAAGGCATGCCGAGAACAATTTTCGAGGCAGCCACACCTTGGCTTTTATAATGCTCCACCGCTTTCTGAGTGTCAAACGGCGTCGCGGCGGGGTTACTTCCTGACGGTCTTAGATTCGCCTGATGTCCAGTATTGGCGTCCCAACTCCCCGCATAATCATACGCCATCAAATTCCAGAAATCCATATACTGGTCCATACCCCTGATATCCATATTATTGTAGTTTTGCGCTCCCGCTGGACAGGCTACGGTGAGCTCAAAGTGAGGCTTATCAGGTAGAGTGGCACTGTACGCATCCATTGCCTCTCGGCATGCTTTGAGGAGAAGCACGTAGTGCTCGGCTTCTGTGCTAGATTTGGGGTATTCCCAATCGATGTCGATGCCGTCGAAGCCGAGATCTTTGATCAGAGTTACTGATGAGGAAGCGAATGCTGCTCGTCCAGCCTCGGTTGATGCTGGAACAGGGAAGTTGCTGGAATATGTCCAGCCGCCGATGGAAAGTAGGACTTTCAGGGCCCGGTTCTGTCGTTTCTGGAGGTTAAATTGCTTGAGACAGCCGTAGAGATTAGTGCCGACGTCGTTCCACTAGATAACTCCAGAGTTAGCACTGGGGTTTTCAGCAGTAGACGGACAAGATGTCCTGGAAGGATACGGCTTCAATTATAATGTAACAGGGGTTGAAAAACAATGGCTGATTTTGAGTGCGTGAGTGAGGGGCTTCCCATCACCGTGCATAGTTAGAATGCTTAGATCTCTGTAACCCAAGTAAGGTTCCATTTACTCTTGTAAAGCCCCCGAATTCTTTCACTGGGGGTGCGACAATGTACCACCATACAGTCCAATTAATGTTGCATGAGATCAACCGAAGGAGCAAAAAAAGAAAGAATAAACAGTTAAAAACCTCTGTTTCCTTACGCTGTCGCCATCGAAGTGGATGTCTGTATCAGCCCATCCATCTGTAAGATATCTAGAATATCGTCAGCGTCAATCATGTATGATATATTTCAACCAAACTATTTCGTAAAATTCGCACTTACACTTCCCCACTCTCCGGCCTTACATTGGCAAATGAGTACAGGACATGAGTGAGTTTATCAGCAGGCAACATCTGAGGTGTGAACTTTCGGCCATAAATTGCCCACTAAACGAAATTAGCGATTGAGCTCCTTATAAATGACGACGACTTTCAAACCCCGCCACAAAGTCCTGCCAGGGGAGGGCAGGGTCATCGGAAGGTTTACTCGAAGAATTGCTCGAAAAACAATTTAAAAACATAGCCCGAGGCGAAGAAGGTCAGTGTTGGGGAATATCTTACGTTCACGAAGTACGCAACAGAACGATACCCGCCGTCCATCTTGTAGTTGGGTATTTCGAAATTACCGGTATCCAAAAACGGTAAATTGAGTACCGAGAAGGTGAGTCCAGCAAGGATGAGCAATAAAGGAGCCGCAATGAAGAGAGAAAGAGAAAGTTGTTTTGAGGAAGCCACTTTGATAACTTTTGTCGGTTGAGAGGTTATGAGGGTTTTATGAAGAGATGATGTTGGGTTGTGGCTAAGACGCCTGGCTTGCTTGGTACTGTAAGAGTACGTTCCAGCTCCAATTATGAGGCTGAGTTGAGCCAATGACGACGCCTCTGACAACGCATTGTTAGACCTGCAGAACTTGGTGAATCAGAAGCGCTTAAGGAACGTTATCTCTTGCCTACCCAGCCACAGACCATGTCACATATTTTCTAGATGATGAAATATCATCGGCATCGTCCCCTACAATATCCAATATCCATTAAGACCGCTGATGGGCATAAACCATCCTGGCTATCGCGAATGTTGTCCATGAAAAGCTTGGCTAACTCCGGAAATAGCCAGGACCAGCATTTGAACAGAGTATCTCGGCGTCCCCCGAACGCATTTGCCGAAAAAGCAAATTCCGGGATCTTCCTATTTCAAGTGGGCAGTAGGCTAATAGGACGAGGTCGTCGAGTGTGGAGAATGTATTTTTGGACTATGATTTCTACAAACACAATTCCACAAGACCAACATTCGCAAGGCCAAGTAAGTTACTGATGTAGGGAGTTAAGATGTATACAGAGCGTGTGGGTACCGAAAGTCGGTTTTTGGCGTGCGATTCCTACGAGCCTCCTGAAGCATATTGAGTAGCCCATTGTAATGATAAGTTTCTATATGGTAGCTGATTGTAACAGCAAGCTCGTAATGTACCTATATACCTTACGTATAACATGATGTCTTGGATTTGGGGTTCCACAACCATAAGGCATGCGCAGTGTAACCTGTGCGCAGCAATGCTTTGATTCGGCATCTTGAAGCCAAGCGCCTAAGGCGTCTTAATAGTTCTATGATCCTAGGATATCCCAAAAGCTTGAGCCGTTATACCAGGCTTCCTTCGACGATTGGTAATTTCATCTGTAAGCTGCCCGTATGAAACGAGTCTTGAGGTTGGTGGGGAGGTCAATATCGGTTATGTCTACCGGTATGGTAACCACTGACGATGGAAAGACCTACATAGGCTTTGAATCTTCGTTCGGAACGCCCGTCGTAACTATCTACCCATCTTTAGGGTTGCTTTTTTGCTGATAAATTCCTGTTGATCGACCTTTGATATCCTCACTCGAGCAAGTCTCGGAATTTGGTAGCAGTCTGCGGTAGCTCTCATCTACCGGATCTATCAGGCCGTATCCATGTGGATCTCTCTGTCTTAGGAAAGAATGGATCCTCTGTTCCCGATGTCCGTAGTCATTTGTCGTGTCCCTCCGCCGACGCATTAGGTCTTTGGAGACGTGATCATGCAGCGCATCTCTGCGTTCAAGGACGGTTGACGAATAATTCCCAACTCGGGTAAACTGGCCAATTCCACCAATGGCGGCAAATATAACGATCAAGCCAACAAAAGCCCCGTTTGAAACATACGTCGGTTCTTGAGGACCTTCCCCATCCCGTTTGTACCAATTTTCCCAGTCTTCCCACGTCGCATTCTGGCTTGGACCTCGGCCATCATCCCCCCAGCCCTTTCCATTGTTGGACCACGACTCCGAAGGGTCTCGAACCACATTTGGCTGACCATTCCATCCTGCTCCATAACAGTCGTAAGCGCCTCGTTTGACCGGATCGGACAGAATATCGTTGGCAGCGATGGTCAATCGATATCTCTCGATCTTAGTCGCATATGACAGTCCGTCGGGCGAGTTGTGATGATGCCGATCGGGATGATACATCTTGACAAGCTCGTAAAACCTTTGCTTAGAATAAGGCGATCCCTTTTTCTGGTTGAAAATCTGGTAGGGAGTCGGAAGGCGGTTTGCGGACGTCACTTCCGGCCAGCGGAGGTCGCCATGTTCGTGTCCGCAGTGCCCATCAGAAACAATGGCATATGAACGGCACTGTTGGTAAGAACGGGATGCCTGGCTCGGATGTGCGTGAGTTGGTAGTGGTGATGTTCTCGATATCTGGCCGGAAACACAAAGCGTGGGGAGATTGCTGTTGCAGCATGACAACAAGATTCTGGACTGCTTGAACATGGCTATGGCTGACATTGAGCCTGGCTCAACACGGGCAGAGAAGTCTCATCCCAAGGGAATAGGAGTAGGAAGCATCGATGAGCTGATGATGAACTGAAGTTCATGGGTTAATGATCGAGCGTTGCTCCGTGTAGACTAGATCAATCAGCCGGAGGGGTCGGAATGAGATTTGGTGGGCCGGCACGTGCCCCCTCAAGGCTTATCGCCACCTAAGGTACCTAGGTAGGTAGTAGGTAGGTAAGGTAGGTACATCACATCCCGTTTTGTCTATTACCTGGGTACCTACCCTTCGGTATGTGGCAACAATTTGCGAAACTTAGAGTCTCGCGGATAGGTTGTACGTACGGCTTCCTGAAAATGATATTATGAACTGCTGCACAATTCGGAACCGTCATCATGAAGTCGCAGCGCTCAAACCGCAGACTCCTGCGCAAGCTGGGCCATACCGAGTTTTGGTCTAAGAAGCTAGATGCTACACTGGGTGAAGGTGGACATGGAAATCACAAGATCGATGAATCTACCGGACAGGTATACACCGAGACGACTGCTTCTATCCAAAGTACAGATGATCGAGAGTGGACTCACAAACCACGCCTCCGTTCGGGTCAATGCGTTCAGCCCGAAGCTTCCTATCATGAGTATATCGCTGCCGAAGGACTGGATCAAGAGGATGCTTATAGCAAGTCCGCCGAGTATATTGAAGCCCTAAAAGACTCAGGGGTAAAATGCGGTAGAGGAACACGGTCTCTTAAAGATTTGTCTGTGGAATGTATTCTGAACAATATCACTTATATTACCCTGGAGGGAATGCAGTGTCTCCCACTTCATTTGGTACAACTTATATGGGACTCTATCAGTAATAGGTCAGTCTACTTTATTTGGATTCCGGCATTTTATTATATGAGCCGTTGAGCCAACCCACCAGTTGTTGATAAAATCTAGACCGATACCCTACCTTGCAGAACCTCATACTAAAACTCCTGTCAATAGATGCCTTTTGTCGTTCCACGCTTGGGTGATATTCTCCAAACTGCTTCACCAGAACGAAGGAGCGGTACTTGGTCTTTTGCGATACCGTCACGCTATCGAAACGCCCAAATCACCTCTTCAGATGTATTCTACCTCCCTCACATCCAGCTCATTCGACTTCATAAGTTCGCTGAGCATCACAACCACATTCCCACTTCCTGATCTTGTTCGACTTTCCAAAATTACGAATCTCGGGGTTCTTGAGATCATCAATGTTCCAGGAACAGAGGCTCGACCGGCCCATCCCAGAGCAATTCCAGGAGCCGTTAGTGATCGATTAATCCGAGCCTGGCATTTCGCTGCTTTAAATGAAGGTGCGTTCAAGGTCTTGAGGATCTTGAAGCTGTGGCACTATGTGGAGCTAAGCAGCAAATCGATGGTCTACCTTAACAGTTTTCCGGCCCTGGCTTTATATGACGTTCGCGGCTGTTCCTTCGACTCGTGCTCGAAGATAGATGCTAAACGCTTTGGGTGGAAAGCAACCATCAATGAGAATGTGCTGCACCTGCTAGAATCTGCCTGCGTTGAACGAGCAATGCTCATGCGGGCAAATCTTGGTGCCGAAGCCAAACCGCTTCGGAGGGCAAGTGCCCGTCAACTGCGGGATGGATCCAAAACTAGGAGAATCCCTCGCTCGGAGGTACCTTCTTTCCTTACCCGCCCAGAAGCGCTAGTGCCTGGAGGAAACCATGAGAAATACTCTCGAGGCAAGGAAACCGCCGATATTGTTGCAAGGAGTTCTTTTCCTAAGGAGTCAGTTACACGCCATCGACGGGGCTTGATGAACTCGGTTCTCTCCGATGCGAGTACATCACATGAGACTTGGGAATTCAGCACCTACACATCGTTTGCTAGAATTGGCGAGTTGAGAAACGACGCTGATCTATCAAGAGCCGGAGTTTCCGTGGGTGACCAAGTTTTAGTACAAAATGAGCTTGTCAATTCGGTTCCCATCGTGTCACTTCGCCTGGGCGAGACGCCGTCAGATTTACGCTCATGCTCAAACATGAGCAGACTCGAACCTCTCCATAAGGACATCAATTATGGTTCTTCAAACTCGCCTTTCAAGTATACCATGAAAAATGAAAGGGACCGTTGGATCCCCCGGGCTTTGGCTTTCATTCGGATAAAATTACCTCCTGTTGAAGTTCGTTCAGAGGTGCTGTCTGTCGATTCCGCTCAACAGGAGTTGAAATGCCCGGCCGAGGCTGCGATACCGGATTCTACGAAGTGCCATGGCATTAATGTAAGGAGAAGCAAGAAGCGGAACATTGGTGATATGCTTAGTTCTTTCAATTAAATGCTGGAGTTTATTTTCTGCTTATGCCGACATTGGTGCAAAATAGTTCAAAGATACCCCTTATGTATAATACTTAGCCCTTGGCGGGGAATTAGATGGATCGATTCTAGAGTGCATCAATCAATGATTAGTATATCAATGTTCGTGTAGGAAATGAGGTTAGGTTTAACTGATTTAACTTTTGCTTTGGAAATTGTGGTAGGATTTCATGATTAGGTATATAAGCCCGCCAGAACACAAGGACGAGATAAGGCAGTTGAAGAGCAGAGAGACCATAAAATCAGAAGTAGTAAGCTGGCTTACAACTGTCCACGATTGTTTAAGCTTGAGCGGTTGCTATAAAAATAGATCCGCCTACTTAAACCATATATTGCTGGGTTGTCTTTCAGTGTGGTAGCTCCACACTTACCATACTTATATCCGGGCAAGGATAAGAATTGTGAGCCCGGCAGACATAGCAAGCATAGATTATGACGGCATGGTCCAAGGAAAATTTTTACATAGGGTATGGCAGACACTTCGGAAAAGTTGGAGTACTACATTCTGGTTTGGAAGGAGCCTCAAGAACAATATCACATCACAGTAGAAGGTAGGCATAACTTGATAGCAACTGCGTAGCATTTGATATTGTTTGGGTATATCTCAGCCAGTCAGAAACCACACTATTTCCCATTTACCACCGTCCGTTCAGATTTCTAAGAGTATCTTTACTTTCCGGCCTCATCGAAGATGTAGGTCAAGTGGCAACGTCCGCAGTATTGACGGTCGTGCATGGCGGCCATGAAAACACCGGCTCCGCACTGCATATTATTAGCATCCACCTTAAGCACAGAATCAGCCGTCAAAACTTACATCAGGAGTAGGGCACTCTCTGCGCAGACGCTCGATCTTTCCATCACCATCGACCTTGTAGTACTTGAGAACCGCCAACTTGGTCTTCTTCCGCTTGTGCTTGATCTTCTTGGGGGTAGTATAGACCTTCTTCTTGCGCTTCTTAGCACCACCACGGAGACGGAGGACGAGATGAAGAGTCGACTCCTTCTGGATGTTGTAGTCGGAAAGGGTGCGGCCGTCTTCGAGTTGCTTGCCAGCGAAGATCAGGCGTTGCTGGTCGGGGGGGATGCCCTCCTTATCTTGAATTTTCGACTTGACGTTATCTATGGTATCGGAGGATTCGACCTCCAAAGTGATCGTCTTCCCAGTCACTAATTGTGATCTTATTAGCTAAAGATTCCGGCGATGACAATCCGTGGTGCAGATAAGCGGATAAGCAGAAAAGCAGATAGGGGTGAACTTACGGGTCTTGACGAAGATCTGCATGATTGCCTAGACAATATGTCGTCCTCAGCGAAATCAAGTTTGGTTTATCGGGAAAGGTTTGGGGGTCGGGAGGTTATCAAAGGGAAAAGTTTGAGATCGAGGTTGGGAAGATATAAAGATTTGCGGAAGGTGCGGGAAGCTAAGGTTAAGCGAGAGTGCACGTGGAGAAGCCGCGCTAGATAGATCACGAGATCATCGCCGACCTCCGAAGGGTAAGATATCGGTCGGTCAGGTCAGGAAGATAATTTTAATTACAATATACGCATCATGATTCTTGGTTATGTACTTTATTTTCTATCTGAAGTAGCAGCAGCATGTAGCTATGAATTGATGATAAGCACTCCGCAAATGTGATGGCGATGATGATCGAGCCAATGTAACCGCACTGCCTACCAGCAACAGAACAGACAGTGTCGCAAAGTACCCCTCCCGCCCCAAGTAAAGAAGAAGATCACCAGAATAGCCCAGCAACAATAGCACGCGGCCCGCGAATACAAACACATCCTTTCATTGTTGCGAATCGCGGTTAAAGTAGACTAGCTCAGCATCCTCCACCTCATCCTCGTAATAAACGTCTAAATGAAAAAGACCATGACCGTAGTCAAACTTCCGGGCCCGCTCTGGGCTACCGAACGACGCGAGGACTATTTTCCTACGCATTGGGTCCTTTATTGGTGTTGTGCTTGGTGATGAAAGGGCTGCTGCTCGGAGGAGGGACCGAATAATGCTGTAGATTTGATCCTTGTGACGTTCCCACTGTAGAAGATCACTATGAGCGAACACGCCATCATTGTCAATACGACAGAAGCGGAAGAACCTCCCATCTGAAGTTGCGCCATACACAATGCAATTTTGCTTTGACTCGGCTTTGCGAGTAGCGTGGACGATCCCCATGTAGCTGGCGAGTTGTGGCAATGCATTGTCGGCACGATCTTCACGTTTGGCTTCCACGATCAACAGATTTGTCGCCATCGCCCTCTTTCCCTCTTTAGTGTTGTCGTACCAAACGCTATAATCCGCGAATCCTTGTAGTCGCTTAGTTTGTCCCCGGTGAGTAACAAGTCTCGATAGTGGTGTCTCATGCTGTAGCTCGAGGCTAGCGGGTTCTTCACTTTCTGTGTTTGTGTTTGACGTAGGGGGATGCGGTTGAGAGGGGTCTTTGTCTGCGTCTGTGGCTTGCTTAGGTGGTTGCTGGTCGGATCGTTGGCCCTCCTCATACAGACAACAGATAAGTATCTGATCTATGATCATGCGACAGAAGGCCTCATTGTATGGTGCTTCGACAGTACTAGTCACAGAGTAGATCCTATCAATGTTCTCCTCAAGATATGGAGGTATTGGCGAGCCTTGTACACTTGCGAAAGGATCCATGCGACCTTTGCGCAGATTGAAGAGTCGTAGAGCTTCGCCAACAGTCTGAAGAGCCGTTGGAGCAAGCTATAAACGTAAGCCAATCGGATCGGGCATAGAGTACGCTAAATATTGATACATACCGTTACTTCTGGCTGCCTTCGGGTAGAGAAACTAGTAGCTAGAGCTAGAGCTCGCAAGTCGTACCATGCAGCCTGGAAATCCTCTGGTTCGGTGTCAAACGCGCTGATGAGTTGGTCGATGTGTACTATTCTCTTTCTCTTGTTGGACGGCGATTGGGATGGTGTACGCTTATTTGTCGGCGTGTGCGGACTTGACGGGAGTGTGGGCGTGTGCGGACCTGACGGAAGTGTGGGTGGTGACACGCCTGGAACAGCAGTTGAGTCCATTTGAGGAGCAGGAATGGCGCTCAACGAATCGTTGAGACGAGATTTGAGGGTTTTAAGACCTGTAGATTGATGATCTTGACGAATCTCGATTCGATTCGATTCGCGACCCGGGCAAGATGACGTGCAGGTCGGAGCAGTTGAGGACAGGGATGATCGTCTTCTGGAAGTATGTAAGACAGATGGAGAACGCAAGGATCGGTGTGGGGGACGTGGATGTGTGAAGGGAGCCATTGAGAGTGGCACCTGAGGGAAAAGCCCTCGGTAGCGAGCGAGCTAAACCAAAGAGTAGCGTAGTGTAACCATCGGTGCGACAACCGGGTAAGATTAATAGTATTATCTGAGTGTGAAGGCACAACCACGTGATCGCTAATCAGGAAAACCAAGGCTATCTTGCAGGTGGATCACGTGGAGCTCGACATCTACCACGAGTATGTGTGAAAAAGCAAGGTATGTGACATGTTTGAGAGGTTGCAAGAGGGCGATGGCGATTCCCGTGTGTGTGTTTTTGCAAAGAACAAATGAAAATATGATAAGCAAGCAACGTATCCGAGTGTATCCTTTCCCCATCCACATTCCTCACAATCCTGTCTTCTCCTTTCCAGTTTTCCTAGCCTTTCCCCTTTTCAGTCTACGCCGTTTCTCTATTGCTCGCAATATTGCATTGATATCATCTGTTCTTATACTTTCTTCACCTGGGTGAGTATGTTTGCGCGCGTTGATGTGGAATTCCCATTCTTCTTCGGAGTTGAAGGCGCTTGAGTCGGAGGCTGGAGAAGGTTCGCGATTTACAGTGGCGGGTAGTGGGATATTCTCGGCCGAGTCTTCTTCGTCTGAGTCCGATGCTGAACCGTCGTTATCATCATCCTCTTCACTGTTGTCATCGTCCTCCGGGTTATCATTCTTATCGGTGCTATCCGGGTGCTCTAGGGACTTAGGTATCAGGTGCTGATTGTATCCGGCTATCGTCTTCCCGCCAGGTTGTTGGTGAATTAGTACTGTATTCGTTCCCTTTTTGCGTTTCTTGGTAGGGGTGGAGTTAGCCTGCGACTGAGGACTGATAGTAGTATTCCGAACCGGGGGACTAATAGTGGTATTCCGAGCGGGAACTAGGAGACTGCGCTTGCGCTTGACTTCTTCTTCTTCTATATTCGCTAGTATTTGGTCAATAACAGGAAGGCTCTTGAATGCAGCCTTTATTTGTGAACGCGCCCAGCTGATTGTTTTCAAATCGTCAGCGGAAGTCCCAGTTGATTCGTGAGATAGGGATATATCATCGCGCGGTCCGAGTGGGGTACTTGGAGTGACCTTTGATTGCTGTTTCACTGGAGTAGTTGAGCTTTTCGGTTGGCCTTGTGAACTACCCTCCTGTAATCCCATCCGTGGAGCGTATAACGCAAGAATAGTCTTATCAGTTCCGGGTACTCCATCGATTTTCTCATGGGCCTTGATAATATTCTTCATCACGTCTGGGCTCCAAGTTACCGATCGCATATTAGGTGGGATATCCGCTCGCGGCTGAACGATTAGGACTTTCGAGCTTGGATTAGTTAAGTCGGATGCGCCATGGGGAATAGGTAAGGGTTGGCCTTCTTCGTTGGTCGGCACGAACCATGTATCCTTGAGGTAGGGCCATGTTTGCACTGTATACCCGGTCGCGCGCTGAATCGTCCATCTCTCGGGAAACAAGCTAAAGAATCGTGAGAGCTCAAGTTGCTGAGGGTTTGTTGAATTCTTCAAGACGATTTCGAGAAGTGCGACTTTTCCTGTGATAATATCTTTTGGCGAATCACCTTTGTGAACTTGCAAGTGTGCAGCCATTTGAACTAGCAGCGGTTGAGGCACGAGCCCTTGATTTTCCGCCGAAGCAGCTTTCCAGTCTTTCTCGTCCGGATCTTTCCCGTCCTTTCGTATCGCGTCAATAACCCGTCGATAGGCTGGTAGTCGCGTTCGTCCACTGATAAAGGTGATCTTTGGGAGGGGAAAATCCGGACCAGCATCCTGGGGGCTGGGCAAAGAGATTGGCTTGCGGAGATTTGGGTTATTATCATCTGGATATGAGTTTGGGAGAGTCATATAGATATTCGCCCTTTGGTATAGTAGCTTCCCGTCGGGGGTCATCACGGACATCGTGAACTGGTGGTGGCTCGGAAGCGGCCACTAGGAAGGGAGGGGAGAGATCGAAAAAGGGTATGTAGGAGGGAAGGTTGGATTCTGGTCGGAAGGATTTCTTGCAAGGTGAGGTAGTGAGATTCTGCTACCAGAAAAGCTAAGCGAACGCGAGATCGACTCTATTCTGATACCGCCCCCTTCCCGCTTTCGTTGATTCGTCTAGCGAGAGCAAGAGATTCCACCGCGCCTATATCTGTAGTATCGTGATAGCGCGCCCCCGGACGCGATGCCAATGTCATAGATCGGGTATCGAAATCCAAGGCTCCCTGTACACGTGACTCGAGTTCCTGCTCCTGTGCGATCGCCTGTGGTTTCCTGGGCATATACACTGTTCATATATTCATATAAAGTTGGCAATGTCAATTTGCTAAGGGTCGTATCTTTTGGAAAGTACTTTTGGTCCCCATCTGCCCCCGAGCAAAGAAGGTACATAGCATCGCTTTCTTAGATATGATAAAAAGCTAAGGTACAGCTAATGTCACGCAAGGTCGTGCACGTGTGTAAGAGATGGTCTCAACTTTCCGGCCATCCTAGACAGCTCACAAAGAATAAATGCTCGGTAGATTGATGATTGGATACTTTCGATCATGGTCGAGATTGCATCTGGTCAATGACCTTGGATAGAAGGTAGATTGTTTCGTCCGCGGGTGATGAGCTTTTCAAACTGCGATGCAGCGTTTGAAATATCATCGATTTCTCCACCTATATATGCCATTTCGAGAGCTCGGCGGTATAATACTCCCAGCTTCCACTCAGAAATCAACCAGTCAGATTTGGGATCGGCAGACATTCCAATGAGATGGCTGACCAGTCGAGATAGGGGGAAGAATCCATACAACCTCTGGTCATAAGGGGCCGTCCTGGAAAAGTACATTTGGCCATCGGGAGCTCGATTGCGGACGAATATTTCAGCACATGAAATTGCCAGTGTGAATTGAAGTTTTGGGAATCTTTGCTGTAAAAAGGACCATGAGCCGGGGTCAATTGATGCACCGTCGATTCCACGGAGAAGCATTATAACATGAGAGAATTCCGGTCGAGATGAGAGAAACGTGCAAAAGCGCGTATCTGCTCCTTGATTATCAAAGTCCCCATCTGGAAATTGAATCTGCTCATTGTCATCTGCGATGGCCCAGGGCAACGGGGCCCAGGCTTTCCTGCCGTTCCAAACCACGCTTTCTGTTGCAAGAATTGGACTTGCCGCCGTAAAATCGTCGATAAATTTCCGAAGCACGATGTCGTTGCCCTCTATTGCACCTTGGTATACCTCGTCCGGTACTTTCGCACTATAACGGGCACATACAATTATTGACAGGCCACTCCCAGTGGTGGTGGTTGGAGTTGGCTCGAGGCTCATCTCCAGATCTAAGCTCATCCCAATAGGATATATCTCTGCTTGCTTCTCTGCTTGCTGTTCGAGTCGAATCGCCTGTCGCTCCTTGTGTATCTCCCTGTCTTTCTCCCTGTCTAATTGGACTTTCTCCTCGCTGCGATTCGCTCTACTCTTTGTGGTCCTCTTCCGCGAACGGGCAAGTTCGAGTTGGTATTGCTCTTCAGTTAGATTATTCATCCGGCGTCGGTAACTCGCCCGCTGCTTCTCTCGATCCCGTTCGAGCTTCTCCTCGCTCTGCCTTGTTCTCCGGACCTTTCGCCATTCAAGCGCTTTGGCATGTTCCTCGTCGGTTCGAGCTGCTTTGCACTTTGCATAGTATGCCCTTTGCTTCTCGCGATCTTTAGCCTTTGCCTCTTCAGATTGAGCTGCTCTGTGCTTTGCTTGGGAGGCCCTCTGCTTCTCACGTTCCTTGGCCTTTTCCTCCTCGGTTCGAACTTGTTCTGAGCGCTGTTTTCTGTACGTTGCTGCTTTGGCCCTTTGCTTCTCACGTTCTTTGGCTTTATATTCCTCGGTTAGGGCTGCTCTATACTTTGCTTGGTAGGCTCTTCTTCTCTCAATGTCTTTGGCCTTTTCCTCCTCGGTTCGAACTTGTTCTGAGCGCTTTGCTCTATGCTTTGCCTCGTATGCCCTTTGCCTCTCACGGTCTTTGGCCTTTTGCTCCTCGGTTCGAACTTGTTCTGAGCGCTTTGCTCTGTGCTTTGCTCCATATGCCCTTTGCCTCTCACGGTCTTTGGCCTTTT